CAATACCTGAGGCAGTTCAATACCTGAGGCAGTTCAATACCTGAGGCAGTTCAATACCTGAGGCAGTCCCACACGTAGATCGAGATGTCGAGTGATTGAGTCGCAGCACTTAATTGTGCGCAGTAACTGTAAAGTGAATCTCTGCTTGAAGCAAGCGCCTGCAACTCGAGGGTTTTTCGTGAAGTCAAATCATAGATTCACTTACTGCTCACTCAAGTTGTTTCCTTTCCACTTTTGCAATATTAGAACTCCTCAGGTCTCTCCTGATTTCCTCACCACCAACCGTTTATGACATTTATACCTCCTTCTACACACAGCCACAGCGTTCTGGCTGCCGGAGTCCAACAACAAGAAATCTGATACTACCCTCACAATACCTACTGCTCCATGGACGACTCAGTCAAGCCCATCAACGACCTCGGGCTAGACACAGCAATCATGACGGAGAAGCAGGGGACACAAGCTGATGAAGCCGCTAGCAAGGTACAGTCAGCAGATCTTGCAATACTCAGAAGCAAAATGAACGTGCTGAACACTCGGCTTCAGCCATATGGAGACATCAGTGAGATTCCTCAATCTGAAGTGAAGCAAATCAAGTGTATTCTTGGAGCCATTGTTCAACAGCTCGGTTTTGCGATTCTAGAGATCAGAGCTATGATTCAAGCGTCAGGAAACGCCGTCCGACAGCTTGAGGCAGGCAGAAAATGCCTCGAGGCAGCCATTCAAGAGTTCGACACTGCTGACCGTGACGACTTTCTTACTACAGGCCAAGACCTTGAGGATCTCTTTCAGGCGTACAAAGGTCGGAATCAAGACGAAGAGGAGCTCCTCCAAAAATACACGGTTCTCATGGATCATGTTTTGTCCATCTGCTTCAAGTTCGAACAGAGCACTTGAGCATATCAAGTAGGTCCACATACGGGGCCAAGGGTCCTCAAACCAGACCAGTAGCACCTCAAGGGAGCAGGCAAGGTTCTTGGGACAGAGATGGAAGAGTGCCATCACAGGAAGGGGGCTGAAGTTGAAATCAAAGTTGAAGTTGATGAACGAGCCTGAGGCCGAAGCCTTGCCAAGATGCCAAGGACAGACTATGTCAAATAGGGCAAAGCATCATGTGATAATCCCTTGAATATCCGAAGCCTGAAGGCGAACTTGGAACTCGAACCTGTTTTTGTTATCGGCTTTTACCCGACGGCGCAAGATTGCAGTCACTTTACCCTTAATTCTTTCCTTTCATCCCTCACATGATTGTAACTTCTTCTCGGCGCATACATCATTCCAAGACATTCAAATTTTACAACTCTTCATCTCTCAATTATAGTCCTTTCTGCGCACCTCTGCGCCCTTAATACTCCCACTAGCCTCACAAACATAGCCACTTCTAACAAAACGCTTTGAGACTCCAACAAAGAGCACGCGCGCCCAGTTACCCTTTTCACATCACTCATATCGCGCTTTCTACCTACCCTCCACAACCATGGCGCGCATCGCCCAATTCTTCTCCTACCTGCACAGCATATTGATTTCCGTCCCGCAGCATGGCTACCACAACATTTCTCGCGTCGTGCAGCCCCAGATCCGGAGCATATCCGAGAGCTTCACAATCCGCGTCGGCAAAGACCAAAGCCTGAGCGGCATTGAGATGCAGAGCCTGAAGCCCAGAAACCCCTCTACCAGTCCGTCGAGGGGAGTGGGAAATTCAAAGGGACCGCGGCGGTGAACAGTGTCCCCATTCTAATTAGTTAGAAGTGGAGATGCTGTGTGGCGCAGCCTTCAAGAAGAGAAAAACCCGGGGGAACGGCTAGCTACTTTGTGCTAAGGTGGCTCCACCTGTGGTATCGATACGATCGAAAAAGTCCGGGGAAGGGAATATGAGCACGAGCTTTTCATCATGAAATACATCACACCATTTATCCAGATGCGCCGGCTTCGACAAAGATCTTGCCTAGCATCACCGCCAAACACAGTCACCAACACCAACACTATCATCACCAGGGACAGCAAATGTCTCCTGTCCCAACGATCAAAGACCATTCTCGGTATCACCCCAGAGCACTGCTAAGAATTCGCCTCAAGGTATTCATTTACGACATTCCAAGCATGGCAATAATCACAATTTGAGACGTGTCACAATATTCCGAACAATCCTTGCTATGGCCCCAACAAGCACTAGCAGGTATTGAACGTCACAGGACGCAACGCAGAGCCAGCAAACCAACGGACCTATTCAACGCTTGCTTGAATCAATCAGCAAAGGGAAAGGTCTTTCTGTACTTTTTGTCCACACACGCCATCCCCAGACAAAAGAAAGCAAAGGCAGAGAGCAGAGCCAGGTCAAATCCTCACCAAGGTTACGATTCCAACCTTTGAACCACCGCAGCACAGCACGGAAAGAGGCTTTTGGAGGCTTCCGTCTCAGTCACCTTGCAGACATGCTCAATCAAGGCCTTGCAACGGCGCCGCGATGTCAAGGTCAGGTCAGGTCGAGTCGAGGGCGAGGGCGAAGGCGAAGGGGTGGGGAAGCCCCGAGTCCGCAGCTAATTGAAGGAAATACCGCGACTTCCCTAGTTAGTAAAAGGCACACAAGCTGTCAGTCAGTTGAGGCTTTCAGCCATCATCCATGGCACTGAGTTTCGCCTGTCCGGTACAGGTGCCTGGCTTGCTTTTGCTTTCCATAGCTTGCCATGCAATCAAAGCTCACAAGATTACTCAAGTCACAATCAATCAAATAATTCCCAAACCATAACATAAGAAAGTCTACTTGGTGGCCAATACCCTCGCATCGCGTTCTCTCAAGTTCTACTGTAGCTTGAATGTTGAACCTTCATTATTGTCATTGCATGCTAGTTAATCTCGTGTCGTCTCGAATGTCGTCTTTCTCGACTCATTCGCCATTTTCAATGGGAAGAGGAGCACTTCCTCCTCTCTCACTGTACAACTCTGCCGGGTTCAGCTGTACACAAGAAGGAGTGACAGGAAAAATATCCTGTGGCTGAGGGACACTGGCTCAAGCTCAAAACGACATACAGGAACACACGCCTTTTTTGACTCTTGACACGTCGCATGTCCTTGCGGTTCTCTCATATTCAAGCACAACGCCGTTCCCATCATCTGTCATGCAGTCAATCAGCTCATGATAGTCATGCACCGTTCATTCCCTCGTCACCATAATCCAAAGCTCATTTCGAGCATTTCACCCAGCTATCCAGGTGCTGTCGTTTACCGAGACCAGAGCAAATCCCCTCATTTCTGTATCCAACCATGAATGGCCACAAACAACATAAAAATAGTCCATTCACCATTCAATTCAAGTGCGGATGTGTCGCGGTTTCTGATGATACAGCTGCGCCACAGTCTTTGGTTCAATATCGGAATCTGATGAGCGATAGCCAGAAACAGATACAACACTGTCTCTTGCCGTCGTGACCCCTAAAGTCGAGGCTCGTTGTCGGTCAAAATACCCCTCACCACCGACCGGTTCCAATGATGATCGCAAATTGTCATGTCTGGCTTGAGGGCGTAGTTGCATGGTGCGAGCCATACCGTTCTCAATATCTGGATGCTGACTGTCTGTGGAAATGTTGGCCGTTCCAGGCTGCAAATATCTCTCCTGACGGTGTGGATCTTGAAAGTCATTCTCTGTGTCGCTGTACGGTAATCGTGAAGAATTCAATAGATCGAGGACGTGAATACTCTTCCGATAGACTTCACGATCACTACTCGCCACGCTGTCAGCATCTTCCGCATCACAATAATCGTACTCTCGCGCATCATCTCTGACATGATTGTCACCAGCTTCTGATGATCCCTGGACAGATACCTCGGCAATTCGACTGAGAACTCGGCGCGGTCCAGCTTGGCCATAAATGCCACTTTCGTAGTTGGAGGCAATTTCATCAGCCATAGGACTGTAGACTGCATTGGCGGGATCGGTAAGTCGAGCGAAAGAAGTTGATTTTGGAAGACTGCGCTGAGGAGGAGCCGGAAGAGTCTTGTCAACATCTACCGGAGATCGGAGGGCCGGGAAACGTTCTGTGGCACCTAGTGAGGTGCCTCTCGGTTGAAGGATCAAGTGACTTGGGAGACTGACCTCACCAGGACCATCAACAGACAACTCTGCAGCACGCGGTGCATGGCGTCCAGTGTCATGACTAGAGGTTCGTTGCAGGAAGGGCCTGCTAATGACTGGGGCAACCTCTTTTGAGGAATATCTCGAGTCCAATGGAGATGATGCAAACTCGGTACTCGTGGGAGAAAGACCGATCATACTGCGACTTCCAGGCAGTCCTTGCTTTCTGAACTTGTCTCTGTCGTGTCCCATCCCCAGGAATCTCAGAGCTTTAGACGCGCTGCTATGTTTGATTGATGAAGGAGGCATCTCCAAGGGAGAAGGCTCATCCTTTTGAGTTTGAGACATAATGTTTCTAACATCAGCCCGTCGTGCAAGGACTTCTTCACGAGCACTGCCCAGTTTCTGTCGCAACTCTGCAATTTGTCCGTCGCGTTGGTCAATGTCCAGGGTATGTGCAAGTTCCAAGCTCTTCATTTTCCCCTTAAGTTCTTGATACTGCTGGGCGAGTTTCTTTTTTTCATCTTCAGACTGGGCCAGTGCAGCCTCGCAAGCATTAAGACTTTGTGCAACCTCTTCGTTTTTCTCGACTAGGAGGAGGATTTCATGGTCACGTTCCTTCATTCGCTGGACCAGACTTGCATATCTGTCGACATTGGCATCGAGGTCAGCAGATTGACGTTGCATGGCCTCGCTCTGAGCTTGTAGGATGTGTCGATACTCGGACATCAGGGACTTGTGTTCTTTGATATCTGCCACATATCTGTCGACTGTGACCTCAGGAATGCGAACAAATCGAAGTAAAGCACTGTCTCGATCGCGAGTATAATCACAGAAGATACGAAAGACATCCTGAGCTTCAGGATCGTGGGCCAATTCAGCAAAGTCCGGAATGTTGGCCTCCATGTAAGCTCCCAAGATACGAACGATCTCGAGGATGGTCTGGCGGAGTTGTCTGATCTTCAGATCTTGATTGGAAATTTTATCGTCCTTGCACTCTAGCTTCTCAGACACTTCTTGGACTTGCACTTCCAGGTCTTGGAGGCGGTCAGAACGTGCAGCGATGTCTCGTTCCATGAGTGATTCTGCGGATTGGATTGTTTTGTGGTAAGTGTCTGTGATGATGCGGACATCCTCGGCAAGGGCAATCAAGTCCTTTGATGGGAGTTAGCGAAGGGATCAGGGTTGGGGTGAAGATAAGGAAGAGAAGGTGAAGGAATTCATACATCGTGTGAGATGGCTTCTTTTTCTAAAGTGTCGAGCTTGATTTGACACGCGTCGTGAAAAAGGGAAGTCACCTCCTGCAAGTGGACGCGCACGGCAGGCAGCCACAAGTCAGAGACAGTCGTGGTGTCCAGTTTGGGGAGACATTCCAACAGTTCCTCAAGATTCATGGCCGTTAAAGGCTTTGTGATCTTTGGTAGAGGATCTGGAAGCGGCTGGCCGCGGATGACATAGGTAGGCATGTCTCCCGTACCAACGCCTCGGCCGTTTCTCCTTAATGGGTATGTCAGGTGTCGAAGACTGTCCATGTCGTCTTCATGTGTGGTAGGGGAGATTGAAAGAGCAGGGAGAGAACTCAGGCTGGACTCCTCAGTATCTCGACGGTGAAGCGAGGGAGGAGGTGAGATGGGATCTGTTTGAGGGAAACCTTGACTAGCAAGGAGGAGTGAACCAGGCAGTTCGACAGGTAGTGAATGAGTTAGTGCGGCTCTGGCGTTTATGGGTGTTTGCGGAGGCGAAAGACAAGCAACAAAGGGTTCTACAGGATTGTAACGTGATACCAACGAACATGTAGTCGTGGTGGGCGTGGTGGTTGTTGATGAAGCTATTGTGTGGTTCTCGAGCAGTGATTGTGGGTGGATGTTGTCAGACGGGGTGATGGGAGTCCATGGTCTGGCACAGTCGATATCTGATGATTCGGAGAGCTGTGAAGCAGATGAACTTGTGAAGGACTCGGAACTGGTCATCTCGAGTTGGATTGGGGGAGGCCGCCGTCGTCTTCCTTGACCCCGCCGTTTGATATCAGGTGACTTATCCTCCTTCGTTTGCGTTAAGTCATCCATCACAGATATAGGATAAACTAACCCACCCAAACCACCATGGGCAACCACTCTTGTTTGAGGAGGCCGGGGGATGGAAAGAAACAGAGAAGCCATGAGAGAATCGGATACACGAAGAAGCACTGACAACAGAGTTGAAGGTGGAAATCTGAGGGGAGGGAAAACCGATGCTGCCAGTGCTTGAAGCCATTCTTACCTACTAGCTACCTACACACATGTGATATATCAGCTCGATGAGTACCAGCTGGTCGTGAACGATATGCGAACCCGGGTTTAAGCCAGTCGGCCAAACAGGTTGCATAATGCTGCTATCGGAGGCTGAAGCAGCAGCAGTCGCAGACTACGGTTCAGGAGGAACGTGTTAGCCAGCGGTCAGTACATAACAAAAGCCCAAATCAGCAGAAAGAGAGGACGCCTCAAGTACGGAAATGGTATAGTCAACCCTTGCTTGGCCGTTTGGAGGTGCATCCGGAGCTGGCGCTTAAATGGGTCGTCACGAGGCGGGCCACGAGTACCATTGGGCTTCCCATCTGGTGGATGGGGGAAAATCAGTTTCATGGCGGAGCAGAGTTCATGTCCGTTGCAGATACGAGGAGAATGCTACCTATGCATCTAGGTGGTCAGAGTGGATGGTAGATGCAACGACGAGCAGATGGAACTTGAAGATGGAAGACGTAGGGGGAGAAATTCATAGCACGTGACCAGGCCGGATCAATTCTCCGATCAGTGCCTCAGCGACGAGGCAGGAAACGTGATTGTGAAATCATTAATATAGTCTTTAGAGAGCACAAAAGTACTGTATAACAACAGGGGTATCTTTTCCATCAAGGGACAACGAGCAAAAACGACAACATGGTGCACAAATCAAGCCGATCCAACATTGACCCCTTCGACGACCGTCTCCTCCAAGACGACAATCCCATAAGGATCCCGATCTCGCTCACTGACCACCACCTCAATTTCATCATCATCCAACACCTCCTTCAATGCAGAGCTCAAATCTCTCTTTGCGCCCTCTTCCTGTTTGACCTTGGTCCATTCCTGTCGGACCTGCTTCTCCAGGCTATCTCTCATGATGCTCCACAGATAGCCTCTCTCGGAATTACTGTGGAATAGACTGATGACCGAACCGCCCCTTTCAGTGACAGCCAGAGCTTCATGATGGCTGAGCTCGCCGGTGAAGATGAGATCGGCATCCGAGTTCCGCAGAACACTACCGCCCGAGCCAGGACAGGTGGCGACCGTCTTGATCTCGATCTTTTCTAGATCTTGACTTTGGGGGATGGCGACTGAGAATCCCTTAGGCAGTCCAATGGCATGTGCTATCCTGGTGATCAGGACGGTCAATGGTTGGGCTTCGTCAAAAGTGATCAATCTTCCGGCGCCGGTGTTGGAGGAGTTGTAGTTGGAAGAGCCGGTGAATTGATTGGCGGCCTCGATTGCGTCTCTCGGGGAAGGAGTGACCACGCTCCGGGTATGTGAGAGAGCAGAGGGGTGGAAGTTGGAGGTGGGTTGTGGGTAGGTCGGTTTGCTGTATGTTCTATGGGCAGCGCTAGGACGAGCGAGTCGTCGCTTGCCTTGATCTTTCGCTTTGGGGGTGGTTGGTGAGACAAAAGGATCCGATAGAGCATCCGAATTGGATGTGGGTTTGGTGGAAGCATCTGACTGACGATCGAGGTCGAAATCCGACTCGGACTCGGAAGTGGTGACTTCAGTTTCCGAGGGCGCCGAGAGAGTTGGGCTTTGTCCAGCAGTATATGCTTCCAACTCGGGAGAATCCACCTTTCCAGTCACAACATCACACAGCCAATCTGCCATGCCATTGGGGACCTGGTCCACGGCGGTATGAGGGCAATAGACGCTGATACCATGGGCAAGAAGGAGGGTCATGGAGAGTTGTTGGGTATCATTTGTGGTGATTGATTTGAGGCCTCGGAAGATGATGGGGTGGTATGCGACAACGACCGAATGGTGGTTCTCGATTGCTTCATCGGCAACAGCGCGGGTCAGATCGATGGCGAGGAGAACGGAGTTCCTGTTGCGCGGGTGGGCAGGAATGAATGGAGCTTCAACCAAGAGACCAGTGTTGTCAAAGGACTTGTCAGCGAGAGATTCTGGATAGAGCTGGCGCATGGAAGAGACGACGGCGCGGGTGAAGGGGGAGACGTGGTATTTGGATGTGGAGGCCATTTTGCGGGTGAGGTTGAGGTTGGTTGTGAAGGAGGTTGAGATTGGGGATGTATTATGGATATGAGCTATTCGAGGGAGGAGGAGTCGCAGCATCTGAAGACAGGATGTGTAGCTGTGGCATTGTCCTGTTGATTGGCGTTGGTGAACTTGATTGTTGATGATCGAAGCTGGTCGCAGGCAGGGCATCTCCAAATGCACTTGAAGGGCTCAGGCTATGACGAAATCCCCCCAAAACAATTAATTTTCCGATGACTAAGAAAGTCCAGCTATTCCTTTACCAATATACGAAGTACCCAAGTACCTATGAGAATTCGACCATTCTCAATCACCTCCGACGTCGCTCGCCACCCACTGTACTATCCTGCACCTCACTCGCCTGCAGTGTTCAAGTGGCATTCTAATCGACATTGGCACACCTTAGCTCACATCTGACCTCTTCAACTGGCATGCCCTCCTCCCTCTTCCGCGGCGCCGTATCACAACTCGCCCGGCGCATCGCATCCAAACCAACAATTACATCCGCATCCGCATCAGCATCTATACCAGTAACAAGACCAACAACAAAAACATCACACCTAACCCGCCCCTTCCAGCAACAAAACTCCAACTCCTTCAGCACCACCCATCCCACCCCATCACCACCTCCATCCGCAATCCCCATTCCAACGACCACCATGTCCTCAGACCCGCAACCCCAGTCAACCGCCGCAGACGACACAATAATAACGCCCGAATCACTGACCAGCAAACTCCAAGAATCCCTCCAGACCACCCACGTGTCCATCCAAGACATGTCCGGCGGGTGCGGCCAGGCGTTCACGGCGGTGATTGTGTCGCCCGAGTTTGAGAAGAAGACGCTGCTGGCGCGCCATCGCCTCGTCAACGGCGCCCTCAAGCACGAGATCGCCGCCATTCACGCCTGGACGCCCAAGTGTCTGACGCCCGAGCAGTGGGAGAAGGAGAAGGGGAGGGAGGAGGCGTAGCGTGTTGGGAGAGTCGGAGAGCAGATGGGATGGGATGGGATATGTGTGTATATGTGTATGAGGCCAGTGGAATGCAGATTGGCATCTTCCAGGGGAAGAGGAACGAGGAACGAGGAAAGAGGAAAAGAAGGCCTCCTTCCTTCGATGCCTGGTACCTAGATACCCTACCTAGGTACTTTATTTTCAGGACATGAATTATTGCTGCTACTATGCAGTTGGGAACTCGGGACCGGCCTAACAGACTCCGTTTGAAAACCTCAATCTCAAGTCTATACTATACATCTATGTGTACTGTAGCACTACCTAAGACGACCTGGTGAAAATTGATTTCAATTTCCAACAGGTACAATTTACAAGGGAAAAGAAACGAGGCCACACCTTGTAAATGGTAACGAATATCAAATAGTGTATAATAAGTAGGTTAGTTACCTAGGTACCCAAGTACTGTGACTTGCGAAATGCAATTGGTGGTGACAGTTGGACATAAACATCATGCTGCAGCAAGGCGCTAAGGTATGGCCTCAAGTTGCTGCATTACATCACAAGCCTGATCAAGGAGTCCTTCTCCTTTCCTTTCGAGACAAGAAACACAAGTTCGTCCGTCTGTACATGATTCTTCAAAACTGGGTGTCAACTTAACAGTCGATCCATTCCTCGTCACCTTTCAGTCCGGTCCTGCTGTGGTATTCAACATCACTGCTTGAATCGCGATGTGGCGACCATTCCCGTCCATTATCATCAACCTCGCAGGATTGAGCAAGCCTTATATTCCGTTTTCCAGTCCATTCCCCCTCCAATTCCTCAGTGCAGTCCCCGTAAGTTAGACATCAAAAGCATTCGCCTGTTGCAAGTAGATATCCCCCACGGACGGCACGTTGCCAATGCAGCATATGGTAGTTTCATCAAGTCGTAAAAAGAGGTCGCTGGACAACCTTGGCCCACTCCTCAGCTGTACCTGACAGACCATCTTTGTGATATCAGAGAGCTGTTTTTCTTCGCATCACATCTCTTCCCCTCCATAATTTACTCGGGTCATTGCCGCATCGGTGCTGCCATCGTCTGTTGCGGTGCGTATATTCGCTGTCTTTTGTTTGCACTCCCACCGTCACCTCCACCAGTCATGTCCGAATGTCCCCTTCGATGAGCTTGTTGTTGGTGTTGCTGCTGCTGCTGCTGCTGCTGTTGCGCCTGTTGGAGCATCCCATGCCCTCTCATCCCCACCGGTGTCTGTGGTCCGTTGGCATTATATGTATTGCCATTGGCGTCTACATAGGTTTGTTGTGTCATTCCTCCATAGTGCACATTGGCATTCACAGGTGATACTCCAGAGTATTGACTCGGAGAGTTCCACGTCCCAGAAGAACCGGCTGGAGAGGCCCCAGCCGACATGTCATCACGCACTGATTGCGCAGTCGATGATGGTTGCCCGGTAGTCACCATCGAGCCCCCAGCAGGTGGCGCTTCCATTACTGCCGATGTCTTCTTCAAGTGCATCAAATGCTTTTCTAACATATCCAATAACGACTTTCTGGTAAAAGGCTTCGGTAGCACGTCGTCCATTCCGTGGTGAAAGTACATCTGAATATCGTCCGATCGAATATTCGATGTCATGGCCACAATAGGTGTCCGGTCAAACTGTCGGATCAAATGACATGCCGAAACTCCATCAAGGTTGGGCATGATTATGTCCATCAAGATCATGTCGTATGGGTTTCCTGCCCTGACCTTGCTGACGGCTTCCAGTCCATCCAATGCGGTCTCAACACTACACGAGAACGAATACAAGAACTTGCCTCCAATCTGTCGACATGTTGGATCATCCTCAACCAACAAAATTCGAGGCGGGCGACTCCAACCAGGATCCGAGACTCCGCTCTTCTTTCGAGATTCTGCAAATTGCGCTCGTGGATCGGGTGTTTCTCTGACGGGTGGCATACTATAAGGGATGTTGTGGATATGCTCGCTATACATCGGATCAATCCCATTGTTGCCGCCAACAGGGTAGATCACACTTTCGAGTTCGGCTGGGTTGATCTTGGAGAACCCCATGCTGCCACTTGATGTCGCTGAGTTGGACGCTCCGAATTGGTTATTATGTGCATTGGGTAGGAGATTATTCACCCCCATATTATTGTTCATTTGCTCAAGCGTAGCGAGGTTGAACTGGGAGTCAGGTGGTAGATCATTAAGAAGTTTAGTCGCATGTTGTAATGGCGATGCTGGAATATCATCATCTTGTACTGGCATGTTCTGGCTGGTGGGCGTCAATGTCGATCCGGATGGTATTTGTTGCTCAGTTTGAGGAGCGAACAGGGTTTTGCTATCTCTGCGTTGTTTGGCATCCACCGAATGTAAAAACGTCATGACATCCTGCATCACACGGTCATGATTCAAGACCGTCTTCTGCAGTCGTAGTAGTTCTTGAACCACCATCTGGTGGTTCATTTGTAGCTGGCTGGTTGTTTGAACTAGTGATTCAATTTGCTGTGCTTGTGCAACCATCTGTTGGTTCATCAGGTCGATCTGTTGAATAGGTATCTGTTCATCGTTTAGACTCGACGGTTTTCGAGGTGCAGGGGCCTTCCGTCTGATGTTGTCAAGTGTATCTTTGCTATTGGCCTTGAACTCGGGATGCCGAAACTCCCAAGCATTTGCTCCGTATATTGAGGTACCTCCCTCTTCGTTGTTCTGTCGCACCTTGTGGAAATCATACTTGTTCAGTTGCCGCACGAAACTGGCAAAGTTGGAATGCTTGAAGTGCTTGGGTAATATAGATTTGGTGAACTTTTCGTTCTCAAGAACAACGAAACTGTCGCCTTCATCACCCCAGCGCACTACCGACGAATATGAGGGATCTTCCAACATTCTGCGTCAGAAAGGTTAGCCATGTGGTCTTTAGAATTGGGTGGACGCGAAAGAAGTACTTGTATAATTTGCGCACAAAGTCGCTAGAACTGTTGGCAGCTCCAGCACCACCTTGGCTGTCCATGCTGAATATGAGACAGACGGTTGATTTTGATAAAGATTATGTGTTGCTGCTTGACAGGCAAAGGTATCGCGGAAAGCGCGACTCGAGGTTCTGTGATGCAATCGACCGCACAAGGTGGGCTCAGGCTTGCATTGCCAACAGGTTTCAATAGTTGGTATTCTTTAGATCTCAGTGATACTCCAGACAAAACAACGAATGGTATGGTGTGCTGGATGATCGGGTTGGATACTCCAGTTGAATAGATCGCCAATGTTCGGTTCTGGTGCAGTCGTTGTAGGCTGTTCTCGGCTAGGACTCGGAGCGTAAAAATTGGAGGTTGCAGAGGGGGTTATGGTTGAGATAGCCGAAAATGGTCGAGGTCTGTACGGAATACAAGGTCGAGAAGGAGAAGTCTGGTGCCAATAAAAAGTACGCAGGTTGGTTGATTTGAAGTTGAAAGATAGGTCGAGGCGTGAGCGCTTCTGCTTGGACGTGTTTTGCAGACGATGGGCGGTATGTCCGAGGGCAAGGACAGGTGCACGGTTGCTAAGAAAAGCGGAGGTAAGAAGTAATTGGTGTGCGGATGGAATCTGATGCTTCAAGAGCCAGAGAAGGAGAGACCGAGATTCCAAGGCTTGATTTCCTGGTCATGGGGAAGGGTAAGGTCAGGCACAGCAGAAAAACAAGGATAGTATAAACTAGCAAGTTGGAATCTGATGAGTAGTGGTTCCTGTACGAGACTCGAGAGTTTAGATCAACCACCAGGGCTTGGAGATTCATCCACATCAAGTTGGAGGCTTGCACCGCTAGTATGCAGGACTTGGAGGGGATGGGAAGGGATGGGATGTGCGACTCAATGTGAGAGATGCCAGAAAATGCATCATCTGCGACGGGGACATCTGCATGGAAAAAAGGCACTTAAACCTGCAGTTGTCGGACCAGTGAAAGGCTTTGGCATGGGGCTTCATTCTCTGGTGTGGACATGACCAGCTGTAACAAGCATGGGTGTCGACTAGTCCCTAACGTACCCAAGGGGAACACGGATAGCGGGCATTCGGGGGGCAAGGCAAGCCCAGCGAGTACGAATTATAGCCGGGGACAAGGCATTTCGGCACAGCGCTAACCCTGGAGCTCCCCCAAATTAACCTTGACGATAGGATCAGAAAAGGTCGGAAGAGACGATCTCATCGCTCCCATCGGTCCCTCTTCGATGCGCCTTAACCGCACTGAGAAGCGCACCTGGGTTTGGACTCTTGCCCATCACTCCCCCACTCGGAGTGCATTCGCTAATGAGGCCGTAAAGTCTGAAGACATGACGACGGCGGCGCTCGCTTTTCCACCATTTAGGCAATTCATCGAGTATCTTGCTTGGCCTTTGGAGCGTTGGTAGATAGAAAAGCGCTTGAGGAGGGGACAGTGTTGAAAGATCTGGCTAACCTCATCTTCGCATAGGGTCGCTTCACCATGTCTTGCAACACGTGCGACTATGCCATAAAATGATACGGGGGGCAATAGACGCACCACGAGTGTTGCCACCATTATTGCTAGAGCCCTTCCTAGGAAATGCGGCGTAAAAACCACCAGCTGAAGTGGGACAACCACCTTATCCTAACCCGGCAGTGGCTTTGGATGGCGGCTCTGCCAAGCAATTCATGGGCTGTTTTGGTTGATCACAATCATCAGGGTCCTTGTCTCGTAACTTGTACCTCGTACTTGCAACTTGATCAAAGGTAAAATGTCTCTACCCTCTCAATGGACGACCAACATCGGGTCACTGGTCGGCGGGCGCCGTCCAGATACGAGTGTAGCCGTTGCGGCGTTGGATTCGTATTTGAGACTTGGTCAGATGTCACTTTGGGATGGGTAAATTGACGAACCCTCAAGTCCAAGTGGTCGATCAAGAGGCGCGGTAGAAACTCGCAGAATTCCCACCAGTGCAGATCCCAATTGTTTGGATGCAGCAAGACCATCTCGGGAACAAGCCATATCCGGCACTTGAGAGTCGATCACTGGCCACCAACGGAGTATGTTGATCGAGCGAAGAGCACGAGTATTGCGTTTGTGCTATTTTCAAACCAATCCAAATCTGTAACAATCAACATCAACATGAATGGGGGTGGTCTTCTGATTGTGCCACCCGTGTCACCATAACTGTGCGATTCTGATCTTGAAATGATCCAAATTGGCACTTCACAGTCCAACTTGAAGCTGACATGTCCGGATACGTGTGTCCAAGGACTCCGATATGCAGGGGGTCCATGTCACCTGCGTGTGGGAGAATATACCTCTTAAAATGGCCCAATCCGTTGGGACGATTCCCGGTGAAGGTTTCTGGATGCTCGTTTGCTTTTCAGAAGCTGCATACCAGGTCCCAGCCTAATTAGGTAGGTACCTCCAGAGGCATGTATCCGTACCAGGCAATAACCTGACTGTCTAGTAAATTCGCTTCCAACCCCATGGAACCCAAGGACACTTACAGATCTCGGCAGGTCGATGATGCAGCTCAAACCCGGTCAATTCAGGCAGGCACTAGAGGTACCACTAGGCTGTAGCTGTGGCATAGAGAGATCCGTAGTATTCTGGTCGTGAGTCGTGAAAAAGCAATTCTCCGACACAACTTCCTGGTCCAGGTTGTCTCTCACCTCTCGACGGAGTTTTCGCCGGGGGAAAGGGGAGGCCAAATAATTCAAAGTTTCGGGGAAGCCGGGCCACCCAAACAACCAACATGTCTTTGGCATTTTCGAGGGTATCAGGCAGATGGTGAGGCACTCCTGAGTCCCGAACCACGACAGGTTGACAGATACAAAGTCCTCGGTAGAGTAGAGACCAGTTGCATAGGCGAGACGGACCGTCCAAGTAGTCGATTTCACCTGGTGCTCGACCCCGGGGCTTGGAAGCGATAAGGCTGAAGGGCTTCAACTCCAATCCATCTACAAGGTAAAGGAAATGTACTTTGGGCCGACTTGGGTGGGTTCTTGGACCTTTCAAGCACAGATACCTACCTAGGTAATTTAATGACCATTTACACGTTTCAATTCGATTATTATTTATGTGCATAGGCCTTGTTCGAAAACGACTCGAGCACTTGATGTTCCCGCTTAGCTGTTCATGCATGGCATATCGTTTACTCGGTATCCGTATTACTGGCGGTCCTAGTCCTACGGAGTCCTCCCGGGCACCCACCGGGGTCCCACACACTGGGGAAACATTCTCGCCTGTATTCCAAATTGCGACGAGGGCACTTAGCAGGTATTTCCATCTTTTTGCCATCATGGAGTAACCGAGGATAGCACCCGGTGTTCACTGTAGGTACGAGTAGGTTCCTTTTTAGATCGAGCTTCAAACACGAAAGACTCGCAGCGGCAATGTTTTGTTCGACCTAGGTATACTGGATGGTATCTTCACAACTTCGTTAGTAGGTAGACTCGTCGAGACCTGTGGGGATATGCTGCAGTCAGGTACCAACGGCTCTCGGGCCTTGAGTCATGGTGAAGCTCCGATACCACGGCACAGGCGGCCACTTAGGTACCTACGGAGTACTTAGGTACCTAGGTCCCTAGGTAGGTAGGTATCCGTACCTACCACCTAGTCCGGAGTATCGCAGTCTCACGCGGGGCTGTTCTGGTCCTACCTCACCCAAGTACCCAGGTACTCTCTCTCAGACACCTCGGTCAATGCTTGCTCCTTCGTCTGAATGCCCACACGAATACGCAATGGCAGAGGAGTGAGGACCTTGGGTTAGACCTGGTAACCCTGGAAAGGAGCTTTTCTCGATTGAGTCGGCTTCAGTTAAAAGCTGGTGATGCCATCGCCCGAGCTCCCCATGGCAACGAATCAACAGCTATGGATTCTTGTCTTCGTCCTTCCCCTCCACCTCGCTCACTTCACTGCATAAGTGGTCCTTAACGCGTGCATCCTACTCGTACCTTCCACTTCACAGCATTTGGAATTGTTGCTGTTGCTCGTCACCTGCGAATTCTAATTTCACTCCTGCCTTTTGGTTCCCTCTCTTTTGGTTCTTATTCACCATGCTTCTCTCTTCTCGCTGTCTTCTACGCACTTCAAACTCTCTCCGAAGCACCAGTTCTCTCAATTCTCTCGCGTTCAACTCCATCTCAAGATCTTTCCATCCCACTCCCGCAATCATGGTAAGCTACGTCATTTGTTTATTCAAACCTGAGAGGGCACTAACCCCTGGGTGCCCCCCTCATTCACACTTCATAGCCACTAATGATCAACAGGTCAAGCAAGGTGATTCCGTACCCAACGTCGACCTCTTCGAGGATTCGCCCGGCAACAAGGTCAACCTCGCCGACGAGCTCTCTTCAGGCAAGGGTCTCATCATTGGTGTCCCTGCCGCCTTCTCCCCAGGATGCTCCGATTCACACATTCCCGGCTACCTAAGCAGTGACAAGCTCAAGTCCGCAGGAAAGGTCTATGTTGTCTCTGTCAATGACGCTTTTGTGTAAGCCTAGACCCTGCCCTGTCTTTGACATTCCAACAACAGCTTTCTGACGGAACTGTTTTGCCAAATTAGCATGAAGGCTTGGGGAAAGAGCTTGGACGCAGACAAGAGCAGTGGCATTCGCTTCCTGGCAGACCCCTCTGGCAAATTCGCTAAGGCCTGGGATGTCGACTTCGACGCCAGTGGTCTCCTCGGAAACTACCGAAGCAAGCGTTATGCTGTCGCGGTTGAAAATGGCAAGGTTGTCAAAGCCTCCGTGGAACCAGACAATGTTGGCATCTCCGGTAAGTCCTCCCACGCTTGACTCAAGCTTCAAGTTTTGACCTGGAGACCAATCACTAATCTTAACCAGACTCCGCCGCCGACAAATTCTTGTGAAGAAGTCATATAGAGCTTCTAGTGACATGATACGATCGAACCGCATCCTGTTTACCAAAAGTCTTCCTTAGTCTTCCCAAATCCTCGATTTCGGAGACATGAATCGGTCCAATGACTAGATATCCAATAGCAATGGGGGAATAGATAAAAATCACCACATTGAATCAGACAACGATCTTCTTCTTTCCCTCTCCTGTGCTAGCGTATGCGTGGTGATTCTCTGACTTCACCCTCTCAGCCATACGAACTGAATCAATACAGCAAAAAGTGACTGAAAGGGCAAAATTTCTACAGTCAAGTCTGATAAAAAAGGAATCCTGTCGACAAGTGTACAGAATATATACCTTCCTGCCCAGCAACACAACTCTGTAGAACAGGACAAGATGTCTGTCCAAAGATATCTCAACTGAGCAGCGCTCGAACCTCGGCACCCGTTCTAGGATACAAGTCACGTATCGGGACCATGGCATCCTCGTCCTCACCTTCCGTCTCGTCGCCATCCTCCTCTCTACCCTCTCGCGGCCCATCTCCACCACCACCACCACCACCTTGAACATCCACGCCCTCCAACAGAGCCTCAAGCTCATCAAATTCGAGACAAAACCTCTCGACCGCCTCGGCGACCACATCGCCCGCGAGGCCCTTGTCCAACAACGGTTTCAACAGCTCCTGGACATCCATGAGGGCGGCGCCGAGAAACTCATCTAAGCGCGCCGCAAACCCATCGAGATGCACGACCAGCCACTTCCTGCGCATGCGGGCCCCCTCCCCGCGCCGCGCTTCCACCTCGAGCAGCAGGTCGCGCACGCCCGACGCCTCGAGGAACACGCCGTTCAGCAGCTCGGCGACCAGCGCGTCCCGCAGCGTCTGGATCTCGTGTCCCGCTTTCTCGAGCGGGATGCTCGTCGCCGATACCTGTGATACCGTCCCGACCAGTGTAGCGCGTAGCGCCGTCATGTAGTTGATCTTGTAGATGGTGCGACGGATGGGGTTGGTGATGGCGACGGCGTTTTCGGCGCAGACATTGAGGATACCCGAGAGCGTGGCACTGAAGAGTCTTTCGAGCTCGGGTTCGGTCATTTGTGGGCCTCGTGTGCGTGCGATCTCGGCGAATTGCCGTAGTGCGGTGGCGAGGAACGTCGGAGGCGTGAGGTCTGCGGCGATGTTGGGGCCGGGGGTGTTGCTGTTGTCGTCACCGTGTGCGGTCGCGGTGGCGTGTGCGACTTCCTCGGCCATGGTGGCTTCGAAGTGTGCGAGCGTGTTGGCCTGCATGGTGGCGATGAGGCGCACGAGGTCTGCATCCCCGCCCAGTAGCTTGGCGAAGATGCCGCTGTAGAAGTCCAGGAGGTTGAACGTCTTGAACTGCAGGACTGGATCGCCGCTGCTGCGTACAGAAACATCGACGCGCGCCTGTAGTGTTGAACACACCGTTGCGAGGTTTCGTGAGATTAGCTCGGAGAGGGCTTTGCGGCCGTCGAAGATGGGTTCTTTGGAAGTGGTGATGCCGTTCTCGCCTTCGTCATCGTCGCTTTCTGACGACGATGACGAGGGTATATTAGCGGCAGTGGAGATGCTGGGCTGCCGCCGCTTGATGCGTGCCCAGGGCTCGCTGGTCTTTCCGGCGCTGAGACCACGGGCGATCTCGTCGGCGTCGGAGACGAAGAGACCCTCTAGTCCTTCTTTCTCCGACACTGCTGTCGAGTGAACCCATGCCAGCATGTCACCGATATACCGCAGAGGTTCATGGGTCGAGAACTCGATGGCCTTGGTCGCACCACTGGAGCCCATCAACGCATCGTGAAAGGCCTCGGCGAGTGTGCTCTGCCTGGCCTCGGCGAAGAAATCCAGACAGTTTTGAAACAGCGTTGGACGCTCACTGAGGACCCGTAGAGCGCGCCGGATGGAGCCGCTGATGTGCGGGTCCTCGAGATCCAAGCCCTTGAACTCGCGCTGTATCCAATTGTAGAGTTTCTTAAAGCCTGCGTCGAGGTTCCGGGTGGTCTGCTCCATGAGCTCGAGGCCGAGGCGTGGGGGTTGTGTCTCGCCCGAGGGGTCGTGGTCGTCGCCGTAGGCCAGCAGCAGTTCGCAGTCACGGTGGATCTGCTTGACGCGGGCCAGGATGGTGAAGAAGCGGTCATCAAGGGGTTCAGCGGAGCTAGTGAGGATGTTCAGGTCGGCCGTTGAGACTAGGAAGTGGGCGGTAAAGGCATTGAGGAGATCCTGCTTCGATTCTGTCTCTTTCTTGCGCGAGATCAGCGTCGATGCCTCGTCGAGCACGGGCGCGGATTCTTGCTTTGCGGCGATGATATGGGCGCGCATGCTTGCGCAGGTCTGGTTCAAAGTTGTGATCATGGCACCGACTCTTTTCAATTGCTATGGATTGACCAACTGGTTAATCACGGGAGACGGTCTTGGTTGGAATGGAGAAAACACACCTCTGCGACCCTTCCGAAATCATCGACTATCATAGCATTGCATTTGATGACTTCCATTTGGGCATTCGCCTTCAGATCCCGCCTGGTGTCCTCATCGTTTTGTATCTGACGCTCATCCAGCAGACGCAGGGCATGGCGAATCTCAGGGTCGGCGTAGGAGGAGGAAAGGACACTGGAGAGTTTGTTGTTCAGGGCATTGGTGGTTCTTTTGCCCGAGGAGAGGCCATCGGAGGCACCATCCGGGGAGAGAGGACTATCAATTCCATTGAGAAAGGTGGACGTAGCTGCCATGGATTGTCTATAGCGGGTGGTGTTGCGGACAGATTCACTTATTTTAAGAAAGCCATGGTGGGATATGGGAAGCGGAAAGGTGCGGAGTACAGATGCCCCATGATTCATAAATTTGGAGAAGCCTATCAACCATGACTCGGTGTGTCATTTCTTCTCAACCGAGGAACTCATTTCTTGTTGACATCGATTCCCTGGCGATCGCTGTCCATTACATCTGCGAAATCAACCACTTGATACCACCAATGAGATCGCCAACGAACTTCTGTCCTTCCGGCACTGAAGGGAAGATCCAGAAATAGTGGGGCAGTCCTTTGTAATGGTTATGCTGGGTCGGCACACCCGCCTTCTTCAAAGCCGCCTCAATCACATACGCATCGTCTCTCAAAGGATCATACTCGCAGCTGGCAAGGTAGGTAGGTGGGTAGTTCTTGTGGTTGTCCGTGGCCAATGCAGTGAAGATGTCGCTATCTTTGGGGTCCACTCCTGCTTCTCGGTAGAAGATCTCCATCGACTCCTTATCAATAATCGGCACGCCGGTCTTGTTCTCCTCGTACGACTTGTAGAGGGACTTGTACTCTTCGGGGACATGGTCGAAGTGCAGTGTGCATGGCACCAGTGCGGCGATTCCTTTGATGTTGTTTCGTTTGGCTGGATCCTTGACAATGCGATTGGCCACTTGCAGAGCCAACGCACCTCCTGCGGAGCCTCCGACCGTGTAGAATTTGTTTGGGTCTCCGCCGAATGAAGCTGCGTTTTGCTGGGCCTAAACGGGAAACCAGTCAGCCACTGAAACATGGTAATACAACATCGGATTAGAGCTTTTCACCCACCCATCGATAAACTTTCAGTGTGTCCTCCAGCTGAGTGGGAACCTTGTGTTCTGGTGCGAGTCGATAATCCACATTGACAATGATGGAAGGAGTATGTTCGGCCACGATTCTGCACAGAAGATCGTCCGAGTTGAGATCACCTGTCATCCAGCCTCCTCCGTGAGTCCAGATGGCGACTGGGAGCGGTCCTTGCTTTGCGGCCTCTTTGGGTGTATAAACGCGATACTTGACGCCTTCGACCTCACCATCGAAGCTCTCGGTCGCATCGGATGGAGGGGGCAGTTGTGGGAGTAGCATGGCTACCAGGCCATCGTACATGTCACGGATGTCCTTGACGCTGCCGTGCATCACGACCCGACCACCAGTCGCTTTCTCCAGCTGACCCGGTCTGTTAGGGATGCGTGTCAACCAGGATGTGGTGAATGGATACTTACATCTTGCCATGATTGTGTGTAACTCATTTTGAAATTTCGAGTGAAAGGTTGATGGTTATTCCCTAGAGATTTGGCCTGTAGACAAAGGGCAAGAGGGAAAGACTGGTGAGAGTTCACAAGCTGAGCACTTGAGTTGGTGGCAGAAATGATCTGGAGTCAGAGTGCCTGATCATTTTATATCGAGTCGTCTTCACTACCTCGGCTACACAGACTGCCTCAGGGTAAACAGAGGGGCAAAACCTTTGTGAATTCCACGAAGCCATGGCACGCATGACACGCAAGGTCAGCTCGGGCTGGAGCGTCGGGCTGGAGCGGGTTTTACTTTCTCACCCAAGCAAACTGCCCAGATAGCCTTCGAAGTGAAGTGTATCCTTTCCGTTAACTGCTCAGGCTAGCAAACCCGCCTTAAACTTGACCGAGACTTACGATACCCCGCCAGACGAATCAAGTGGGGGCGGGGGGGTGGTTGAGCCCGGGACTTGAGCGCTGACATGATCCATGAATACTGGAATATCCCACTTCGAGTGATGATTACATAGTGCAACCAAGGTAAGTTAATGCTGCTCGTTCGGTTCAGATCCGTGCAAGCCTGCTCGGACTCCATTCTAAGACGCGGTGCTCGGATTCTGCACCCCTGAAAATAGTAAACAATCCAAATGGCAGGACCTAGTGCACCCTTTACGCCGGCAATGTTGAGCTTTGTAAGCCCCGGAAGGAAAATATGGACTGCTCGATCATCGGATCATCAGGAATGAAGCTGTTGCGCAGGTTCACCTGCTCAGGTTGTTCTTTCGCTATCCTGACAATCAGAGTCATTGCATTCGGGCCTGTCGTATGATCGTCAATTGACTCCCGTGCTATCAGTGCTGACATTTAGTAATCTCTCCAGGGCATCCTCGTCTCATTCGCAGGGCGCATCTCCTATATAGACCATGTTTCCCACGGTTTCCCCAAACTAGATAACTGTGGACTTGGCCAGCTCGTATTAAGCCTTATTATGTATCTTCTGCGCTTACACCTCACCCAATCCCCTCACTCCCAAATGGTCTGCACCCTTTGTGCTATTGCTCTGCGTTGTAGCTCAAGAACTATTGCATGGGTTTTGATCTCTTTCACGTTGATTCGAGTAAGGCTCATGCCGTCTCGCCCTAGATTTACTCTTGATGGCCGCTTCTAAAGGGTACGCCTTGTTGAAAGCATGCGGAGAGCATGAGCCTGTTTCGGTCTCCAATGTGCGCGTCACACGGTGACCTGACGCCAATGCTCAGCTTGCTTCTCCAAAGTTGTAGTGCCCCGTTTGTTCTGCATGTTTAGTGGCACCCGCTTCACCAATACATGTCGCTCCACAATCATTACATCGAAGTTGGAACCCAGCCGTGTCAGTGTAGTAATGTCTTGCTTGTAGGCGCTCACATAGAGTCACGGCACCTTGCAAGATCTCATCTGACAGGGGTGCTGGGAATTGCTTGATATCTGACTCCGGCACCGGGTTTTCGAATGGACTGAGGGCAATGGTGTCATAGTGTATCCCCGAGTATACCACAAAGCAGCGCCTCGAGGCTTGTTCGTTGTATCTATCCACGCGTAACGTCTGTACGTCGATACTGCAAATCTCAATGTCAAAATGTTGAGCTAATATGTCGAGTTCAATCTGGCCTCCCCAGGCATCTTCGGTTTGAATCCAACGGCAATAGACCTCTGGCTCTTTGTTGTCAAGAATGGCCTTCGAATATTTCTCGGGGTTATGGTGGATAGTCTGGGCGATAATGGACCGTAGCTCTGTCACAGCATCCAGTTCCGAGATGGCTGCAGAAGCTACTGCTCGGAAAAGACATGAATTGTCGTCTGGCATGATTCTCAAGACCAGAGTTCCTCCAGATTCAGGTAGGAATACTTCTGGTGGGTCGTCCATGGCAGGATTTTGCTTACGCGAAAGAGAGAGAGGAGCCGCTGATGATGGTTGCGACTTCGATTTGGGATTGGGATTTGACTGAGGAGCCTTTGACTCTGGCGGATTTGAAGATTTCTGGTTTCGATCTGAGGGCTTGGCTTCTCTGGTGGCTTCCAAATTCTCTTGCGATGTGGAAGAAGTTGCATTATGCACGGTGAGTTGTTCACCATTCAATTTGACATCAAGCTCGGAGAGCAGACTGTCGGATGGGTATCGTTGAAGATCGAGCGTCTTTGGAGGGAATCCATACTTGATTTCAAAGGTAGAGAGGGTTGTCTCTGCCGTAATGGCTTCTCGCAATGTCTCAATCGTTGCTGAACTACCCAGACTGATGATTGAGGTTTTGCCAGAAGGACCTCTGATACGAATTCTCATGGTTGCGGGGCGCTGGAGGTAGTGCAATGAGGCACAAGAGAGCCACTGTCTCTCAGTCGAAGCGAGAAAACGAAAAAGACTTGACGGATCAATGTATGATTTTCTTCGAGGGGAAAGCGCTTTCTCTGGTGTGTTGCCACACGGAAGTTCACAGATGGCTGTGGAAGAAAGTGGGAGATGTCAAGGTGTGTTTTTAATGTAAACCAGCAGCCAAGACAAGGGGTGAATGCAATTGTCGTTTGAGCTGTCGGACCAACGAAGAAGCCACGATCATGTAAGGATGAGTGCCCAATGGTCCTGGATATCGTGGCTGGACGAATTTGTAGCTCTTTCCTTTCGCTGGAAAAAGAACAACCACGCTGACGGCTCCGTTTGGTGGCACTCCCGTGGCTTCAACTGGAGTCAACACCGTTTGTCTTGTTAACTCAGTGATGGGACAGAATTCGCAATCATTGTTCACAGCAAGAAACGCGATGCAGGTAGGATGGCTGTCTATCCAGAATGAAGATGGAATTTGATATCGGATGGCTGTGCCAAGATGGCCGTTTGAGCCCCGCTCGGGAATGCCTTGGTAGCCTCGTGAGCAACGATGCCCTGTGCTCGCCCGTACCCAGATTGCTCATCGTCCTGCCATCTGGGTCCCCAAAATAAAATGGGCCTTTGGGGAATTCCATCAAGCTCATTTGCGGATTCCTAACTCTGAAGAAGTTACTACCTACGAGGACAACAATGGCGAAAATGCTTCGGGGAACGGGATGACATGAGCATTTTCGAACTTCTATGCCTTTCGACAAGAGAAACTGCGATATAACATCCTTAGAGGAAGAATGGTAACAGCACTCACATTTTATCTCCGTCACCTCAAATCGAGGAGTCTCGGCAGTTCGTTAGTGTTCAAATCAAGTTGTGGCCGCTCTAAGCTATTCCGGCAGCAGAGCCGCGGCTTCGATGCCGAGGGGATTTGAGCATCGGTCCCGACGCAAGTTAAGGGAACGCGGATCAGTCTGGCTTCTCTTCGACTTCAACACCTCCCTCACTTGATGAAATTTCGAGACACAGCTCTAGCTCACAAAGCAATGATGTCGGATAGGTCAAGAATCATGGATGGCTCACTTGCCGGGGCTCATAGAGATGGATCAAGTTTCCAGCACTCAGGCGAACGCAAGCGGCGACGAATTGGCCAGGCGTGCCTCCCCTGCAGGCGCCGGAAATCACGTGTACGCCATTCTTTTGTTTGGAGAAATCCATCTGACAGTTAGTCAAAGTGTAATGGAGCGCGGCCAGTTTGCTCATCCTGTACCGAACTAGATTACAATTGTGTCTATGGTTCAGCTCACCAGAACCTGGGAGTAGGACCCCAGTACGTCCCGGTGCCTTATGCATCCTGCCGAGCAGGTGCTATTGACAGTGAAATGCTGACGCGTGTTGGAGGTCAAGTTATCTCGAGACTCTTGAGAACCGGCTAGCTTCCCTGGAACACGAACTTCAACAAAGTCGAAAGCACGATGGATCTGTGGATCTAGCCTCTGGTCGACTGCAGAATGATGCCAATGCGGTTCAGCAAGGCCTTCCCCATTCTAATGACGGCGACAGCCTTCTATTGCACAACCATGACCTACGAAGTGAACAGCCCTTACATGAGGCGAGGGTACAACCATTGCCACCGCAGGAAACAGACGAACTTGCGCGTCGTGTTTTCTTTTGTGGTGTGGAACCCGAAGTCTATCACGGTTGGTTTTGGAACACTGGTTCTCTTCACATTTTTATCTTACTTATGAGACTAGGGTCATCTTCTCTGATGGCATATGCTCGAGATATTTCCAGCGCTCTTAAACGCTCTAATGAAGCTACGGAAACGGAGGAACGGCCCCCCAGATCGACTATGGCAATAGAATCTGGTGGCCTAGCCGTTATGCGACCAGGCTCTCCAGTAGATCAGTTACAGAGGAGTACGATTCCTAGCTTTGTTATTCACGACATGTCAAATGATCTCTTCCTCCTTCCTGCCCATTTGAAGGCGTCCAACCTGGTTGATCGGTACTTTTGTGGTTGGGGGTCTTTCTGGCCGTACATAAATGAAGTCTCATTCCGCGAAACCTTTCGACACATCTATCACGGAACATCGAAAGTGCCTCGAATTCGACTGAGCATGTTGAATATGGCGTTTGCGTTGGCAATACAAAGGTCATTGGCACCAAATGCGGAACAGACCAATTCTGAGTCATACAAATATTACACCCGAGCGGTGCAAATCGAAGATGCTTCCACGTTGACGTGCGCAACTTTGGAGACTGGTAAGTCTGATTGGAGCATTTAAGTGCTTCCTTGATTGATTTGTGAATCTCATAGTTCAATACTTCTTGCAACGAACCCAATTCTTAATGGGGACTGGTACTGCTTCAGAAACCTGGGTGACCCACGGATTGGCTGTAAAAGCCGCTTTTCAGATTGGGCTCCACTCTGCAGAGACATACGTTCAACTTGATCCAGCCGTGTGCGAGGCCCGGAAGCATACATGGTGGACCTGCTTCATACTAGACAGGTGGGTACTCATTTTCTTGCACAATCCTCGAAAGATTATTTACAAGAGATAGGACTTTGAGCATGGGCTTTGGAAGACCGCCCTCGATTCCTACCTCGTACATGGAGGTATACTCCTTATTTCCAGGAGAGACCACCGAACACCCACGGAATGAAGAAACAATGCTAAACTTGAGCACAAACTTTCTTAGTGCTACAGTGTGAGACAAATTTCAATACCAGTGAAGAATACACCTCTAACAGTCCTAGATCGATCTCCACGATTCTGGGAAATATCCTCGAGATCATGTACAACAGCAACCTTGACAAGACTGCAGATAGGAACCCATTCGAGGCCGCTGCAGAAATTCTTCAGCTTGAGCTTCAATTCAGCAAATGGAAATGTGCATTACCTCCCTGGTTACTGCCTAAAAGGTTTGAGGGCCTTCCTGGGCGACTCCCCTCAGAAGAAGTGTTAGCACAGTACCGCATAATTCTCACTCTACGATTTCACACGTTCCGTTGTTTGGCCCATCGACCCATGTTAGTGATGCTCCTGAAATCGACCTCAGCATCCGGCGGAGGTACTCAGGCGGATAGTGATCTACAACATGTTGGTAAAAGAAGCCTCGAAGACTGTGTAAACTCTGCTACACAGATTGTTGCATACATTCATGCAATTTGTACAGCACGCAGACAACAGCAACTGCTCGGGACCTGGTGGTGCTCTTTGTTTTACAGTAAGCCAATATTTTACCCTTCAGCTAAAAAATCCGTGAAAACGCTGACGTGAGCACTACCATGACAGCTTTCTCCGCGGCCCTAAACTTATTTTCGATTCTGATCATTTGCAACCGATTGCCGATCATGCAAAAGTCCCTGCCACATACCTCAACTGAGATGATCTCGTCGTTTCAAAATGCTATCGAAGTGGTAGAGTGTCTCCGCAGGGACAATAGGACTACAGCAAAGTGTGGCGAATGTCTGAAGCATTTGTATCAGTTTATCCCTCGTGGTAAGTGCACTCAAGAGTCATTTAGAGTAATTGTCAAGCTCTGTGGAACGCATATTCTAGCTGGCATTTATGAGCTGACAAAACAACCTTACAGAGTCCTGCGGTGGCTCGCCGAATCATGATGCCAACATTGGCCAAGGAACTTCATTTATGACACCTAGCTCGACTTACAACACAGACGCCTCACTTGCGACTAGGCTGGATAAATCTCCTCTCCAAGAATCATATTTCGAAGATCTTGAAAGGTTTTTTGATCAGGATTTCTCCTTTCTAAACGATCTTATGGTCTAAGTAATAACCACAATAACTCCACTCTGATAAGATGCACGATATCGTAGTCAAGTTTGTATTCTCATTGCACAAAAGAAAATTAGTACTCTCTGTGTCGGAATGCTTAACTGAAACTCATCTTCTTGTGCCCTTGCCCATAACCGACGTGGCTTGAACCCCGACAGCATCAACATTAGTGTAGCTCAACTAGCCTAAGCTTAGATCACATATTGTTCTCCCGAGGGAGCAGGAACTATTGATTGATGTTGCTACGACTCGGTGCCACTAAAGCCGGGAACGCTCCCGAGGCTCATCAATCGCCCTGAAGACTATCCCAGGAGAAGGCACACTATCTAGGCCCCCTTATAGCTGGTCTTTCTGTATGATAGTATATTAGTAGGCAAGCTCCTTTCCTCGCAATCGAAAGTCATATCTCCTATCCTATCATGCTTCCAGAAACACAGCTCTGCGCATGGGTTCAACAGCCTGGCCTGGAGGCCACAGTGGATTTTCGAAACATCAGAGTGCCGAAACCAGGTCCGGGGCAAGTGCTCATCAAATTGGCAGCTTCAGGGGTTTGGTAGATATACCCGACGGCTTCTCTATGGAATGAGATGGCGATGCTGACTGTGAGCGTACGTATCTTTCTATAGCCATTCGGACTGCCATTCTATATATGGAAATACTCCCATGACAACACACATCGCAGGCCATGAGGGCGTTGGCAATGTGGTTGACGGTAAGTGACTCATCGCCCCTTCAAGTGCTGATCAAGGCTACTCGGCTAAGACCACATTAGTGGGCGAAGGTGTTTCGCCTCTACTTTTGGCAAATTATGTTGGTGTCTCGTGAGATAGCCCTCCATTCCTTAAGCTCTCCAGGGTCTGATACGGACAACAGGTGGCTTCACCAATCCTGTGGCAAGTGTGATACCTGCTCAGTGGACTATACGTATTGTCCGAACCAGTTGAATACCGGAAGGGTAAGACATTTCTAGATCGTGTTGTTCACTGCTTCGGCTGATATACTAGTGCAGAATGTACCAGGAACATTTCAGCGTAAGTACCTCTCGCCTGCGGAGACTGTGCATCGTCCGTCAATACCATCTTCTAAGCCTTCAACAATAGAGTACTGCCTGGCAGACTCTGACTTCATTACTGCGATCCCGGCCGGTCTTCCTGCAGAGATCGCTGCACCCCTTCTCTGCGGTGGAATCTCTACGTATGGTGCCATTCTCCGCGCGAATTTGAGCCCGAGGAGCTTTGTTGTGATTCCAGGCGCAGGGGGAGGACTCGGCCACCTAGGCGTTCAGATCGCATCAAACCTGGGCCATCGAGTCATTGCAATTGACTCCGCCCTGAAGGAGGAATTGTGCCTTGCCCAGGGTGCAGAGCATTTCTTCAGCCTAAGCTCGGCAGAGTTGGTAGATCAAATTCTATCCGTCACCTCCGGAGGCGCCCATGCCGTTATTTGTGTGGCTGGTGCGCCAGCAGCCTACGACATGGCGATTTCCATGCTTCGCAATTGTGGAAAGTTGGTCTGTGTGGGTATTCCTCCTTCGTCCTACCGTCTCGCGGTCAGCCCCTTCGAGATGTTGGTCAAAGGGATTCACATCATCGGCTCAACTGTTGGGGACCGAGCTCAGATACGTGAGCTAATGAAAATGGCCGTAGATGGCAAGGTCAAACCAAAGGTGACAGTGTTTGGATTTGAGGATTTGCCTTCGATTTTGGATAGTCTGAATAACTCAAAGGTCGAGGGACGATCGGTGGTCAGATTTTAGTTTTAATCGAACAGGTAGAAGGGTCTTTTTGAAGGCCATTTCAAGATGAATATCCGAAAATGGTCACTATCCAACGACGGCGTCACGCTACACTTTCGGGCAAGCTATATCCTTTATTGGATGAGGTAATGCAGTACAGAATCCCCAATATTTCCAAGATCTAATCTTTCCAGGTTATCACTTTGGTCCTTGTCCACTCTTGTAAGCCTTCGATTGCGTTGTTCCTCCCGAATCCACTCCGCTTCGCCCCTCCGTGGGGCAGCCATGGCTCATCATGGATTGTCATACCATTGATATGGACCGAACCAGTCTCTATGCCCCTTGCAAGTTGCATCCCCCGACGAAGGTCCTCAGTGAATATTGCCGACGAAAGGCCATACTCAGTGTCGTTTGCCAAAGCCAGAGCTTCCTCGTCGCTCTTAACTGGAAAGATGGCGACTGAAGGCCCAAACGATTCACTGTAGAATAAATTCATTTCCTTGGTGACGTTCTCGAGTATCACCGGGTGGAGCGTATTGCTAGCCCCGAAAGGAGTGGCGAGATCACCGCAGACGGCGCGAGCTCCTTTCGACACTGCGTCTTCTAGTAATTCTTTATTTCTTTTAGCTGCAACCTCCGTGATTAGCACGGTTGGTTTGCCCTGACTAATGATCTCTTCAAATGCCGCCTTCAGCGCTTGCTTGAAGTCTGCCAAGATCTTCGAGTGCACAATGATGCGTTCGGTGCTCATACATATTTGTCCAGAGTGGATAAAAGCACCCAGGACGCACTGTTGCGCTGTGAGGCTGAGATCCGCATCCTCGCAAACGATTGCTGGAGCTTTTCCTCCGAGCTCCAGTAAACAGGGCTTCAGGTTCTGTCCAGCCAGGCGTGCAACAATGCTACCGACTTTCGTGCTCCCTGTAAAGTTGACTTTCTTGATGGCAGGATGAGATATCAAAAGTTGGGTAATCGATGCAGCACTTTGCGGGGCATGGTAGATCGTGTTCAAACAACCTCTAGGCAGACCCGCCTCGTGCAGTATCGACACGAAGTTCCAGTATGTGGCTGGTGCCAGCTCAGGCCCCTTCAAAATGACAGTGTTTCCAACAGCAAGTGGCGCTAAACACGCTCTGAGACCAAGCACATGTGGAGCATTCCAAGGTGCGATTCCAAGGACCACACCATATGGTTCGCGAATGATCATAGCTCGAGAACCAGCCTCATTTGTCTCTGGTACAGTTCCAGTCATAGCCGCAGGAAGATTCGCCAGTTGGAGACATAGTTCCATTCCCGCGTTGTACTCGAAGGCAAACTGGGTTTCGGACGACGCGGTCTCAACATAACTGTATTTTTTCGCAAGATCACGTTTCTCAATGAGAAGGGCGTGCGCGCGCAGAAAGACACTTCTCCTTTCCGCAGGTTTGGTCTTTGACCACGATAGGAATGCTGTGCTTGCCGCCTCCACCGCAGCCATGACATCAGACTCATTGGCAGATGAGGCTCTCCAAGATACTTTTCCGTCGACTGGGGAGATCACGTCGAATGTCTCCTGTGTAAAGACCTCACGGCCGTCAATCCAGAGTGGAACCACAAAGCCTGACCGGCTCTCCATGTCGTCTGAATCGATGATGGGACTTGCCATGAGGATCATGGACCAGTGAAAGATGTGACTTAAGTACGAAAGAGACTTCACTTGCTGGAGTTGGAACATGGATCACGCTTAAGGGTACCGGCAAGACGACTTTTCCAGAGCCCCCTCGTGGCAAAGCCGTTAATCCCCCTCGGCCCGGATAAGTTCATTGTGTCTTCACAAAGATATTCCGCGGAAGATTCACATAAGCCAGACCCTGCTGAGATCGTGGTCAGCCGATGGCGATAGCGTGTGGTATTTTGGAGTCTTAGCTGCTACCATGGAATCTCATAAGTCCACGCATGCTATTAAAAACGGATTGCACGTTCTACCACATTATATCCCTTAGTGTATCACATAGATTATTGTATATCAGATTGCTGAATGACGTTTGAGCCTAGAAACGACTCGAGCCTTGGGTCAAGAAAGTCTAAGGTCTATCTAATACCCCAGTGCCCTATTCACAGCTTCAACGTCCCAGTAGAAAGGTCGCAACTCCTGGATTACACCGCGTTCAAGATCGACTGTCATGGCCTGACAGAATGGAAATTTCATCTCGTCTCCAGTCTTCCGAACCTTGAAGTGAACCTGTGACAAGACTACTATACGATTCGATCCCTCCTTTTCAAAGATTTCCGGGTTTTGAACGTCCACAATCTCGAAGTAGTCTGCCATTTTCCTGGTCCACTCCTGCATGCCTTCTTTTCCAATATATGTGCCAGCGTATGGCAGAGCTGACGTTTGTTCCATCCTAACGTCCGGGGCCAGGGTCGCTCCAATTGTTTCAAAGTCTCTTTTATCAGGTGGCGCGGCCATATATCGTCGTTCGGCTTTGTAGAAAGCATCCAATATCTCACGTGCTGTGTACATGGCTGTTATAGGTTTTGCGCGGGAGATCTACTGACAAATTAGTATCCGCCAGCACCTACTACTGTGCACTCACGATGAAATGACTTCTCAATGATGCAATACTCCCTCATGCGTTGGTTCCGGCTTCGTTCGAATGAATTCCTGCAATCACACAATGAAAAGCTTCTTAAAGCGATTACAAGTCTGAGAGCAATCAGCCGAAGTTCCCGAGGCAACATCGGATTCCATGAGCACGAAAGAGATTTTGGGCATGTTATCTCAGGCTTCGTATAAGTATGCACGAGCCTGGAGTATTCAGCTGAGAAAGTCAGGCCTGTTATCCGTGGAAGTGCAGCCTGGGTAGTAATAGCTATCGTCCGATGAAGATGCCGCGGCATCAAGCCGAAAGAATGAGAGTAGCATAATTACCTCTCCTATAGATGCAGAGGAAACAACTTTATTGGCTCGTAGGAAAAGCTGTAATGATACGATTTAGAAAACTCTTAGAAACGTTCATCGGTTCCATTCTGTACTATTCTGGTCATTCATCATGAATAACAGTACACAGCTGAATGGCTGCAAGAATGAGACCAGGGTGGCCCTCGACTCTTTCAAAACGACCACAGTGCTTCAGGATCTTACTAGCATAGAAAACCAAGTCGTTGTCATTACAGGCGAGTATAAACAAATTACCCTTCATGAAATATACTGATATGGGGACAGGAGGAGGTGACGGCATCGGACAAGGTCTTGTCAGAGCAGTACTTGAGGTGAAGGGACGTGTTGCCGTAATAGGATTACGCGATTCTCCCCCCGAGGACTTCTGGGAGGCCACCTTACCGGCCAAAGATTGCCAACTTAGGTACTACAGGTAGGATGCATTAAGAGACCCTTCTATTGACTTGCTCTCACCTTGCTCTCTTCATCCAAAATTCAATTTCAACATATCTGACAAAATTGCTGCTACAGCACCGACGTTGGCAAATACGATGAGCTGAAACGCACGTTTGACCAGATTGTGATAGACTTCGGCAGGATTGATGGCATGTAAGGCACCTGATATTGCTGTTTGGAAAATATTCCCTCGACTTAGGGTTTTTATTTCTAGGAACTAATGCAATTTTTCAGAATCGGGTGTGCCGGGATTTGCATTGAGAAACCCTTCTTAGACCATTCTGAGGACGAAGTTCATAAGTTGCTTGAGACCAATGTAAGTATGATAAGATGAGTGCGATATGTCTAGGGATCGTTCAGCTTCTGTTCCAAGAAAGGCCGATATGTTACATGCTAACATCCTATCCTGCTTCGATAGAGTTTTGGCTTGTTCTTCAGCGTACAATTTGCATGTCGAGCGATGATGAAGAACAGCATAGAAGACCGCTCATCTAGGGGTAGTGTTATCCTGATCGGCAGCATTGCAACTACCTGCGGCGTCGAAAGCCAGGGACTTTCAGCATATTCGGCCTCCAAGGGTGCGGCAAAAGGGCTACTCCACGGTCTCTCGGTCGAATTAGCACCATCGGCAATTAGGGTCAACATGATCTCACCGGGGCATACAGTCACCAATATGTCTGTGAGTCAGTTTATGGCTCGACCTGAGCTGGAAGCGACTATGAAGCAAGCGGTTCCCATGGGAAGGATGGGACATCGCAGAGACTTGAAGGGCGCCGCCATCTATTATCTTTCAGATGCTTCTCTGTACACAACAGGTAGTGAATTGGTTGTCAGTGGCGGGTTGCATGCTGGCAGGCTATGAAAGGAACTAAGCTTTTTTTGCTGAAATCAGCAACCTCAGGCTGAGCAGATAAAAGCTTTTCAAGTACTGTTGACTTTTTCCACCTCTGTTCTGACGATGCCTGGGATCTCGTCTACGAGAGACCCTTCTTTAGGTTGCCATGCTAGTATCTTCCTGGCTCTTAATGCCCTGCTCCTGGTCATATAATTTGTTATAGGACGAGCTACTGACAAGAATGTACCACTTTGTTCCATGGGGACGGTGACAATGTCTCCTGAAGCGATTGCATTCTGACTGTATGCCTCCTTGGCGATTGTGTTATTGCGGTATTTATTTGGGTAGTCCCGAATATAAGTTTTGGTGGGAGGAAGAGGAGTTGAAGAAGGTGGCGCTTGGAAGTGTATAGAGCACTAATCCCGAAACTGAAGTGCGCTGGGAGACGTTCTCGGCTAACATTCTTCCTCCACTTACAACAGGTCATTCCCTTCTGCTACACCCTTTTAGGGCATTAACACCCCTGCAACCGTCGGCCACTTCCCAGCAGGCTTAACTCAAATGCTCGACAACTTTCAAGACGTCGAAAACGTTTAAAATAACGAAGCAGCCGGATTCTTGAGTTGCTAGTTACTCCTTCCTACATATTTGTTCTTGCAAACTTAGAAGCTAGAAAATTTGAAACCTAGCATATCCAAATCAGAGATTGTGCGACTTGTTGAGCCACCACTTAATATGGACCCGGTACCAAGTACAGAGATACTTCTCACGCGTAATGCGTAAGTCCCAAATCTCATTCTACAGGGGCCAATCTGACGCCGACTAAAGCCAGTATGCACAAAGCCATCAGCCAATCCCGCTTTTGAGTGAACTCAACGAACTCCCACCCGAGCAACAGGTCCCTATGCCAAAGATCTTTATAAGTGGGAGAAATGCTCATCTGCCCTCCCTGAGACTTTCTTCACTGACTGAAACCTTGAATATCAGTCTCATGCTGCGACCCTCGGATCAGTCCGTGGAAAATCTTTGGCCTACAAGAATGGGGTAATAACTTATTATACATTCGGAATGAGCCATGCTATGTCTAGAGTAATTGACATTATCCAGATGCCGTTGTCGTCCGCAGTTGTGCTGGCCGCGCAGCTCCTCAACTGGAAAATCTACTATTCCTTGATCACGTCTGCACCTTCACCGACATAATGATATTGCATCATACAGGTGAGCTCGATTAGGACGCCTCTTCTCTAGGGGTAACCTGTTCATTCGACATTGCATCGCTAACTATACGATTACACCTGCGACTCAGATTGCTCGGCCGAACTCTTTAAGAACGAGGATGTTCGTCTAGTCTTGAAAGCGCGTGCGCCAGGATATCATGGAGAGGTCGATGCCCTTAGGCTGCCTTCGTTTGAAAAGTCAGTCATACCCATGATCTTCATACTGATTAATCTTACTCGGTCATGGACACTAACAGGCCATGCAGTCTTGAGCAGAGTGTTCGAGATGATGTACAGCTTATCAAAAGCTCGCCATTCATCAGAAAAGAGCTCGCTAATCGAATCGGAGGTTTCGTGTATGATATCAAGACTGGTAAAGTTAATCCCGTAGATTAGTACTGGAAACAATGAGTCAAATGAGTGGTACAACCACGGCACGCCAGAAGTAGATTCTGCCTACCTCTCTTGGTGTGAGCGTTTTCTGAAACACTCTGCTGTTTGTCCATTGGTATCGCTTCAACGTCAATAAGGGATTAGCGTTAAATAACTAGTCAGGTGTACTCGAAATACTAAGGAGTTGTGGAGCACCTATGGGAGTAGCGGTGGGGATAAGGTTGGTATCTCATGCTCGGGAACTCCCGGTTTATTGCTGTATTTTGAAGTTAAAGAACCAAATGCCCAGCGTAGCGGGGTAGTCAAAATAGTTCGGCTTTCTATGCTGACCTCTTCATCTTGGGCTTGAATTTCAGCTAAATGTTGATGGTAGGAGGGAGCTATATAATTCTCCCGGAACTTTAACTCCCTTCCGGGGCCTCGCCATGGCCGTCCGGAATAGCGCTGATTTGACTTTTCTGGGCTCGTGGATTACAAATATCGGTTTGGCACATTCGTCAGCCTCTCGACTTTGGTCGAGATAGGCATCTTCAATTCATGGCACCTTGATCTCGTATTGCAAGATGATTCATATCATATTTAACGCCAGGGACCGTACCTAGAATTTTCCGCCACGATGACGACAAATGAAGACTTGCAATGGATACTGAACGATGTTGGTCGCACGGGGTACAATATATCCAAAGTCGACCGCACAAAAATCCGGCGACAAGCCATGAAAAGAGTCAGCGCAGCCTGGCGAGAAAGTGGCGGCCAATGTCGGGTCAATGTGGGCCAATATCCTATCTTTGAAGCTGGTATTAGCAACAATACCCCCCCAAGCAAAACCACCGCTGTAGTGACGGATCATTTAGCAGAAAAGGAAGAATCCTGTCACCGACCTGTGTCGCGTCTGCCAGCCACCACTCACAGATCTGCAGTCCCAATGCGACCCCTGCTTTGGGCCCTAGAAAGATTGACGGCTGAAACAGGTGTCGACCTTTTACAGCTGTCGACATTAACAAGTTCCCATGTTGGGCATGCTGTGTCTGCGTTTTTTGATCGACAACCAACTCGCCTAGTGTCACTCCTTCGGCAGCGTAGACCGTCATACCTCTTTCATATGTCACACAGGTACGGCAACGAACCATGCCTAGACTACACCGTACGTACACTTATGCACAAAGTACATGACGTGCTCAACTCCTCCAATCAGAAATCCATCGCCTCAACACTATTTTTCCACAATAGAGCACTTCAGACACTGCAGGTGGCTATAAATGATCCTTCGAAGGTCGCAAAGATAGATGTCTTATGTGCAACAGAACTCCTGGGTCTTATTGAGGTAGGTTCATCTACTTGCACAGTAGTCCCATCACTCTCACTGACTTGGTAAATACAGATCCTGGACTCTTCAAACGAGAATGCGTGGGCTCACCACGTCGCGGGAGCATCGCTTATGATAAGGCTCAGAGGCCCCGGGGCGTTCAAATCGGATTACGAGAAGGATGTACTTATGTCACTTGTGAGCCCTATTGTATGTCTTCAGCCTGTGACAGGAGCTTCTATCTACCCATCAGAAGATACTAATAGCTAATAATTCCCTAGATTTGCGAAGCAACAAGAAAGAATGAGGTCTGTTTTCTCCAGGAGCAGTGCTGGCAAGACGTGTTAGAATCCGCGATTGTCCCGACAGAGCACACCATTGTAGAACGTAGCAGAGTGGCCATATCATTACGGATGCTCATGGCTTATTTACCAGGCCTGTTCAAAAGTGTCTGTTCGATGGTCTGTCACGATCGCAGATCTTCCCAACAGAGAATTCAACCACTCTTGGTAGAAATTCGAGACTTTCGCGAGAAGATGCACCAGTATTACACACTGTTAAAGAGTCGACTTGAGGAGCTACCACTTATATCTACATCTTCAACAGATTTGGGTCTCTTATATGAGCTACTAGGAACGAGTCTTGGTGCTCTAGCGATGGCTAATCGACTGTTGACTTCTCTCGGAGACTGTCATGGAGTGTCATTGGAAAAAGACGCTATTTTCTATGCGACTGAAATAGGGAGGCTGGAGGCGATCATGACGTCCCAAAATAACTGGGCAAGCTTTCACTTAGCTCAGAAGGCCAGCATTGCGGATTCGTTAGTTCAGACTGGTGCAATCTGGAATCCAAGGCTAGGTGGATTGATTGAGGAATGGCAGTTCAACAGATGGTGTAAGGAGATGCAACGCGAAACATGTGGTTGTGATTTCGGAGCAAGAACACGCCCTTGACGGCTAACAACTGTTGTATTCCTTGTCCCCTTCTACGATCTTGTGGCCGGTTGCGCACGCATTTGTCGCGTGGGATATGCGAATGTGGCACTTTCCTTTAGAGAGTTAGGCAATCTGCAAAAAAGAACGACCCTCGAAAAAGCAAAGTGAACCTCTGGCTCGTCAATGCCCTAGTTCTAGCTTTTGAGCATGACTCACGCCTTGGCTGCACTATAGCTGTTTTGACATGATCTGTTCCTGCTGCAAGAACGAGCTTGTCCACTTCTCTATGTGGCGATCCATATATCAACACAAAAAGTCAACAGGGAGCATACAGAATTTCCCGCGTGACTACGTACCCGGAAGTGACTTCAACTTTTCTATGCCATCTAATTCGTCGAAGATCTGGACAGTGAACGGGCTGTCTATCTTCGTAGTCGGATTGAGAAGGACGTCCATCCCGCTGGTATGGATATAGTGCCCGCCATTGACAGATATTCCCTGTATGATGGCTTTGCATGAAGCAACGTGGTCACTACTGACAGCAAAATGAAGAACAAGATTGTGTTTTGCCACTTCTTCCTTTATCGAATCCACTTCGTCTAGTGTAGCATAGAATAGGCTCAGCTTGGGCCATCTGACTCCGAATGCGGCTTCCTGAGTGCGATCACGCAGGAGGCAAGTAATGTTCTCCTTCCAGTCTGGATGCGCTGTTAAGAGGGCAGATAGGGCGTTCCACCAACCTATCCGCTCTTGTAACGTTCGTTACCAGACTTGTTCAGTGAATCCTCATCAAGTACGGAAAGTACTTCCTGCGCCGGTGAAAAATATGCGAGGTGCCATTCTCAAAACTCTCAGCTGATGTTGAGCGTACTTTGCAGCTTTATTTCTCACGTGTAGAAGTTCGCAGCTATGTGTTTGAGGCAGCTAACTTAAGATAATGTGACCGGAATTATATGCTACCCTTCTGGGATGTACAAATGCGCATAATTAACCTTCGAGGGCTGTGCTGAGAGGTTCACTGTGAAAGCGATCTTTGTCATAATTTTCACTCTTGAGACTGGCATGTCAATGCGACGATGACACTTGACTCGAGCGAACCCAAGAACCGTACGTGCTCACCCTAAAAATGCATGCCGGGGAATAAAGCCGCCAGCCACACTTGTGCGAACCGGGACTGAAACCACGATAATTTGCTCCCGCGGCACGGCAACCGCGGCATCTATGAAAGTCCATTCCGCAGCTCGATTACATTGACTGGAAACGAGACACCCGCGTGGTTCTATGCACCTGTGTGGGACTATAGTTGAACCTGGGGTTGGAGATCTGGGGTATAAAACCAGCCCGTGCCGCACCGGCGTTGTTATCGATCAGAACAGTGTATGCAGGCCAGTCCTTCAATCAAGCACGAAATGACAGTGTCCACAATCCCAGATATGAAGAATATTGAGAGCGAAGAGATCAAAATTCGCCATATTGACAACCCGAATGAGACGAAAACAGATGTATTGCCGGATTCTGATCGTCGAGAGGATGCCTTCGGTAAGGATAGTTCGGAGCTTCCACCAGGCTACTTCTGGAGCGCAAGATTTATTGGGAGCTATTGTGTAAGTGAAGTTCACTTCGTACAGCGTTCCACTGACTGATGTTCCACAGGCTATCGGAGTAGCATTTGCTTGCGGAACTGGGGGATTCGCCTTGGTCGCCCCAATTCTTGATCAGATTAACAACAGCTTCGTTATGAAAAATGTGGTTTTCAGAGCAACAATTGCTGATTTATCGGCCCAGAAGAACCATCAAGAAATATAACTTGGGTGGGTATCGTATATGCTCTGGCTCAAGCCATTGTGTTCATGCTCGCTGGTAAGCGCTCCCTGACTTGGCTGGCATCAATCCAGTGCTTACATTCCTGGTCGTCCAGGACGTCTCTCAGACATATTCGGGCGCAGATGGTTCTTTATTGTGGGCTCTGTGATAGGGCTAGCAGGCAGTATTATTGGAGCCACGTCTCATGGTGTTGGCCAGCTCATTTCTGGAGAGACCTTGATTGGGATCGCTGCCGGCTTTCAAATCAGCTTTTTCTGGGTTGTGTCCGAAATCGTCCCTATGAAAAGGCGCTTTCTGGCAAACGCTGGCATTTTTCTTTGGTCGTTGCCAACGGTAGGGCTCCCCACAATCACTTGTATTTATTTGCTCTGACTGTGGAGCTGATAGAACACTCTTGGGCCTAAAATTGCCATTAACATGCAGAACAACACCTCCGTGCAGTGGCGAGGCTGTTTCTACTACCTCATTGCTCTGAATACGGTCTCAGTACTCCTGTGGTATTTCTTCTACCATCCTCCGACATTCCATATGTTACACAAGAGTCAGACTGCCAGACAATTATTGAAGGACTTTGACTACGTTGGTTTGATACTGTTTTCCGCCGGGATGCTTCTTCTTCTCATGGGTCTCAATTGGGGCGGGGTAGGTCGATCTTGTCCCTACTCCAGACAAGAAACATACTGACGTTCCTATCAGTCCCTTTATCCATGGAAGAGTGGTCATGTCATTGGTACGATCGTCTCAGGGTTCGTGGCTCTGACAGCATTCGGGTTATACGAGACTTTGGTCTCCTTGAAAGAGCCCTACCTGCCTGTTGCTCTACTGCTGAATCATAAATTCACAGCGGCGTCAGTGTGGGCGTCAATTGCTGCGATGACCTTTTACGCTTTTGGGTATGTCTGTTGTTGAAACTCAAAACATGCCACGGCTGACCTCATTCTCTTAGTCTTATCTGGCCACAGGCGGTATTCAGACTGTACCCAGGTATCAGTGAATCTGAAAGCTCGACTTTAGCGGGTCTTGTCACCATGGCTTTCGTGCTTGGGCAGATGACAGGACCATTCATAGCAAATTGGGCGCCCCCAAAACCTTTTCTTATCGTGACCTGCTATATCGGAACTGCGCTTCTCACTGCTTTAGCAGTTGACCCACTGAACAAGAATTTGACAATAAGTTTACTGGCCACGGGAAACTTCATTCTAGGTTGCGGCGATGGGGTCTGCATGCCAATGACGACTTTCCCCATACGAAGCCAAGAGGAAATTGGAACCGCAGGAGGCTTGAGTGGTTCTATCAGATTGACTGGAAGTTCGATTGCTGTAGCCATGTACAGCACCATCCTCGCAAATCGACTGTCAGTCACACTGTCCGAAGAAGTTGGTCCGGTAGCACTGGCAGCAGGTCTTACCTCGTCAGTGCTTCCTGACCTGATCAACGCGATGAATACAGGCAAGCTACTCAACAGCACCTTGGTGAACAATTTGAACTCTTCAAGTATAGCAGCAATCGAGAGTGCCTACCGACTTGCCAATTCCAAGGCATATTCTACCACATTTCTTTCAACCTTAGGGTTTGGGGGACTGGGTCTCATAATCGTCTGGTTTACCGGCGGAATCGACGAAAGCAAAGGTGACTATGTAGCAGGCCAGATTCATCGTCCTGCCGAGGAAAAAGTGTAAATGATGAGGCAACACGACCTCCATGAGTGGACTTCATGTGTGGAATGCAGTATTGGCATCTAGATGGCTGCGTCGGCATGTTTGCCGCAGCAATTGTGCTTCTCCACATAGCTTGCCAATTCCAGGATGCATAATTTTGATACACAGAGGAACTACGGAGAGACTTAGAGTACAAAATCTCTAATGAGGTCAAAGTCCGCAAGGAGCGAGCGTATGAATGATAAGCATGACGTCGGGAGCACTCAGCCTTACCGGGTAAATTCTCAGCTTGGCGAATTTCTTAAAATGGCGAGGAATGACCATAAAAGCGGCGTGAAATAATGAGTTCCATGTATTGCAATCGCGTTGCCCTGCGATGCTTTTCATGGTGCAATGCGCGACTGTGTTTGTTCAATCCGGCCATAATTATTGTCAACACCCATGCTATTGTGTGTCATCATATACCTTGAAACCTCCCTCAGATTGTAGTTCGCGACTGCTGTATTCTCATGATTCTATCTTTGGCGTCTCGGTCACTATAATCCTCATGCCCACTGCCTAGGCGCAAACCAAAGCCCAAATAATGGCGGACTCCTCCACGGCTTCCGCTGAAGACACAACGGCCAAGTCACCAGATCCTCCAATTCAAGACTCGATCGAGGTAGCAACTGAGGTTAAGGATGAAGATGCCGCAGATGATAAGTCGGAAAATCTGAATGAGCCTGATGCCATTGAGGATGAGGCAGCGGGAGAACGGCCTGTCTCCAACGACCAATATAGAGCACTCAAGCACATCACAGAAGTCCTGACTAACCATAAGGTCAAAGTGAAAGGAGACGAGTAAGTTGTGTTTAGAATGAATCGAGTAAATTCGTGGCTTATGCACTTACAGGGACCATTATCCTTCCACCTTGTTTCGCCGTATCCCAAATCGAAGAAACCTCCCCGATTATCACGAGATCATCAAAGACCCAGTTGCACTTAGTACGCTCAAAGGCAAAATCCAGAGAAAGCAGTACACCGGCATTCCCGAATTCGTCCGCGATTTCGCTTTGATCGTCCATAATGCTCAGGTATACAATCGACCCAACTCTGCGCCTGTCCGGGATGTCCTCGAACTGCAGACCCTGTTCAAGGCCGAGTTGCAGAAGCTAGTCGAAGAATCATTGGTCAAAGAGGACGAAACCGAATTCCCCGACTTGGGAGAAATTCCTTATGCTACGCCAGAACCCGATCCGGTCTCGGAAGAAGAAGACGAGAATGAAGATGACCAAGATCAGGACGAGGACGAGGACGACGATGAGGGCGATGCAGACGATTCTGACGATGACCGAAGGAAACGCAAAGGACGCAGAGGCAGGGCCAGTATGTCTGGTCGTAAAGGTGGTAATGATGACGACGAGAACAAACTCAACGATGGCGATGTTCGGAAGCGTCGCGGAAGGCCACCAAAGGTTGACACACCATTGGAAGCTCGAATCAAAGCAATCCTGAAGGGCTTGCGCAAACCCAAGGATAAGGCAGGCCATCTCAGAGTGCGACATTTCGAACGTTTGCCAGACAAGGCAGAGTATCCTGCCTATTTTGTCGAGATCAAGGAGCCCATTGCACTCGACACGATCAAAAAGAAAGCCAAGAGAAAGAAGTACCAGTCCTTGGAGCACTTCATGAAAGATATCGAATTGCTGTTCAACAATGCCAAAGACTTCAATCAAGACTCGAGTGAGATCTACCAGGATGCGGTGGAATTACACACTGAAGCAGTGCGTCTTCTTGATGTTGAAAAAGCCAAGCCCGATGATGAATACTTGATGGAGGATGGAAGAAGACCCCTCCCTTCTGGAATCCTACACAACAACGAGCTATGGAAGGTCGGTGATTGGGTGCATATTAAGAACCCTAACGACGTGACAAAACCTATTGTGGCTCAAATCTATCGGACATGGGAAGATACTGACGGTCAGAAGTGGATTAATGCTTGCTGGTATTATCGACCAGAACAGACCGTTCATCAGTATGAGAAGCACTTCTTCCCTAATGAGGTGGTCAAAACTGGACAATATCGAGATCACCAGATTGAAGAAGTGATTGATCGATGCTTTGTCATGTTCTTCACCCGGTTCAGTCGTGGTCGTCCAAGGGCGCTTGATTCCAGTAAAGAGGTCTATGTTTGCGAGGCAAGATACAACGAAGAAAAACATCGATTCAACAAGATCAAAACTTGGGCCAGCTGTTTACCCGACGAAGTGCGAGACAAGGACTATGAGATGCACCTGTTTGATCAACCTCGTAGGATAAAGAAAGTCCCCAGTCCACTCAAGCATCTTCTGAAGGACGATGCAAAAAGCACCGATGATATTCCTTCACCTCAATGGGGTCATCCAAATGCACCTCCGTTGGTTGGTGGCATTCACAGACAACCACGCGACGAGAATGTGAGTTGTTCCTGCCTGAGATGATGTCCTGACTCGTCGAGCTCCTTCCCTACTTCATCTCGTTTGTAATTTGTTCCATCTCAATTTCCATCTCCATTCCAATTTTTGCTTGCAACGACTTCATTATTTACTTGCCAGAGGAGACATCAGCACCATGGAAGCTCATGAGTTCCTATTTGTTGTTTTGTACTAACTGGTGCCTACTTGCAGCAATCACCACCACCGGAGCGTACACCCCCTCCCCCTCCGACGCCTGCTGCTCAACCTATCCGACAAGCCTCTACAAATACCATTTCACACCAACAACATCGTCCAAGCATGGATAGTCGAACAAGTCTTGGTTCGGGCATCCTGCCTCAACTCTCCCGTGCCTCGTCGTCCATGACACCTCAAGTCCCTCCCTACCAGGCACAGTCGATTTCTCCTGCACCTCAATATCTTCGACAAAACACCTTCCAACAGACACCGGCAACAGCTCATCGTACTGTTACTCCTCAAACTCCAACACAGCCGATGTCACTACCCTATGTTGCTAATCAACAACTACATCCTACACCTGCCCTCACGGCTGCTCATCCCGCAAACTACGCCCCAGTTGCTGCTCCTGTTCAATCTTATGCTCGACCCGCAGTCCATCCAGCTCAAGCTTACACCCCTTATGGGGGTGTCATGGCGACTCCTACCCGAGAGCCCGATGTGTTTGTATTACCCGACATAGCCAATGAGTCCATTCCTAAATCTATTCGCGATCAATTTCCACAAGACTCTGAAGGTCGGGTGTTGTTCTTCACCAAGCCACCCGTTGTCTCAAACCAGGCAATTTATGACAGACATACTGGAGAGAAACAGAAATCTTTGGCCCACAGTGAGAAATATTTAGCTGCAAAGGCTACACGTAACGAGCTTATTGCTTCAAGAAAGCGGGCCTATGAACAACGAAAAGTTGAAGCTGATCGCAAACGCGTCAAATACGACACTTTCAACGGTCGCAGCGACATCAATGGAGACAAATCAATTTCCACCAACGGCGCAAGCCTGCTTGAGGACGGTCGTCAGCCCTCTGCAAAGCTCCCAGAGCCGGAAATCGAAGTCGCTTCCAAAGCTGTGATTAAGTCAATACAGGAGTGGATTGATAACATGAATCAACACACAACAGAGGACTACAAGGCCAGATATGGTGACCGATGGGAAGAGGTCCGCACAGAAGATGAGCTCCGCCAGCGGGAAATGGCCAAGAAAGATGGTGAGAAGCGAAAGGATCGGGACGAGGTTCTTGCGAAGTGTTCCAATGCCCCGACCTACATCACCAACTTTAGTACGGACATTTGGGGCAATGGCTTCAGGGGTGAGAGGTATTAATTTATCCATATCGACACCTCGGCAAGTAGCAGAGAAATCATCGGACGGATAGAAAGTGATTTATGCTATGTACGAATATTTCCAGTTTGCGGATTGCAAGCGGAGTGAGATTGAGCTTCAGCACTAAGCAGAAAGCTCTGCTCCAGTTTTCTCGAGTAAGCCTGATGAACAACACCAAATGTTTTGCGACGATTCATTCTCGATTGTGTGTTTCCTGGCACTGTCATATAGCCGCGGACATTCGCAAACATGATGTCGTAGATCATTAAACCCAATCATCCTTGAACAATTCTCGCGCCTCCTAGCCACCCAACTCCTCAAATCCCACCGCCCGCTTGCTTTTCAAAGCCTCTAACTCCACCATTGCCCTCTTGACCTCACTCCTCGACGCCTCCACATCCGGCGGCAGGCCATTGAACGCACGAATCGCACTTTCTAACCTCTTGATCTCGTCCGCCTGGGCTTCAAGACGCTGTTGTTTGGCCGCGATGTGAGCAATTGAGGCGGTAGTTGTAGACTGAGGTTGGGATTGATGCTGGGTCAGCTGTGTGATACGCTCGGTGTATTCCCGGGCTTTTAACTGCAGTTGCTTCGTTTCGAGCTGGTGGTGTTGGGTTTGGGCGTGGAGCGTTGCAGAGTCAGGGTCGCTGGGATCGTTCGCGGTGTTGTGATTATTAATATCTGAAGACACAAGATCGAGATCGATGGTCGGTCGGAACGGGTTATAGCTCCGCGGTCGCACATCCAAAGCCGTGGAAGAGACTGCGTCGGATTTGGAAGCCCCCAGTTCGTCTTGCTTTGGATGTCGCGATATTTGGAACCGAGCGATCTGCTCGTCAAGCGATCGGATCTGCGTTTCTAGCGCGAATGTCTGTTGAGAGACTTGAAGGATCGAGGATCGAAGCTGTTGGCCTATCGATGGTGCTGCTTTTATCGTCGATGTCGAGCAACCTAGTAACACAGCCGCCTCTGCCAAAGAGTCTAATGCCTCCGCCGCGGGCCCGGACAGGGAGGCTTCGAGCAGGGAGAGTAATTCCTGGGCCGAGGATCCACTTTCCCTCTCCATATCATCAATATCCTGTAGATCCCTCTCCATTTCCGCTCTGGCCTTTGCCAACTCAAGCTCCTCGCATTGCGCATCGTAAAGCAAGCCACGCAGCAGATCCGCAGCTTTGTTCTCCGCCATTAGGCTCTGCAGGGCCCGCAGCGTCGCAGCATTACGCTCGAATGTGGGTGTTGGCAGTGGATAATACATTTCCGACAGCCAGCTGTCACGAGAGACCACGACTGTGTTTCGAGCGCCTGCGCACGCGCTTTGCTCGGCGAGGCTTGCATTTGTTCAGTGATGGGGAGTTGGTGCTTGTTGTGCTCTCGGACAAATGGCCGAAGAGGATTGCCTTGGCTGGGATGCCGTGCTCCCTTGTTTGAAATTTCAAGGATGTTCACTTAAGAGTCACGACCAAACGATCCCAGTCCTATGGAAGATTTTAGAAGCAAGATCTGTGTTTTCTTAACACGCGTTGGGGTGAAACAACGTGATAGAAGCAAAAGGTCTATTGATACATTTGTTTCCAGGACCACCAAAGTAGATTGCTATAAGCCTATAGATGGCATGCAGCAAAGACGAGCAGTTCAAAAATAAAGATGCATGTCGTGGGTAAAGTGGCACTTCGAAAGAATCTACTTCCGGACTATCTACGAGGCTGAGGCGGGATGTTAATGCCAAGCCCTGGGCAACCAATCTCATTGCGTCAAATTCAGCCTTGCGTCCAGCTTTCGACCACACCCGCTTGACATTCTATCTTTCTGTTCAGGAACGGATGTTTTCGCCATCCATTGCTGCTGCTTTGCTGGCTGTCCAGACTATACTGTCTGAGCTTAGAGTAGCTCAACGACTCAGTCATTGATCACAGTAGCACTAGTCACCACCACGCTATGAGTGTTTGCCAGTCGAGATCAGCCTACCACGATGCTCACTCATTGATGTGGCAGCCATCATGATTCCGAGAGACTACCCCGAGCTCCTGAACATCGGAACCCCACAGACACTGGGACACGTTGTCGACCTCCCATACTCACTCCCGTTCTCCACGAACCGGGTGATGCTTCTAGCCGACTGCGGAGAATTTGCGGAGGTGTGACCCCAGATCAGTCGTGCTCCACCCGTGGTTGCGAGAAACGGCCAGGCTACATGGACAAATACCTTTATGTTCGCTTCTGGTGTTGCTCATGGATTCACACAATAGCCAGATATGAGCAAGAACAGTGTCTTGATCAAACCACTAACCAACATGTCAAACAATGTCGCAGCAACTGAAACTACCGAAGATCAACGGAGTGCCATCAACAGCAGCCACGCCACAAAAGATCTTATCCAGGGTGGCAAGCCTGAAGCTATCGAATATGCCGATCGAAGCCACGAGCCAGTGCCACACTTCCACGCAAAGACATTCCTGATCTTGTTTGCCGTCATGGCAGTCTACTTCGCTCAGCTGGTACATCTGGTAGGGACCGGAGCATACGCCAGAGCCATCACGAGCACTGTCGGTGGATCCCAAGACGCAGTGTGGATGGCCTCCATCGCAGTCATTGTGACGGTGGTGGCCTCACCTCCTGTGAGCCAGGCGGCAGACTACTGGGGTCGAAGGTGGTTCATGATCATAACGACATTTTGCGGCGTGGTGGGCTCGGTCATCATCGCCAGAGCCATGTCTATCGGAACCGCCCTCGCCGGCGCCGTCATCACCAGTCTATCCTTTGGTGCACAGCCGCTGCTACATGCCGTCGCCTCCGAGGTCATTACTCATCGCAATCGGGCGGCTGCGCAGGCTGTAATCAATGCGGCCAATGGGCTCGGTGGCATCACGGGCATTCTGATGGGTGCGGCTTTCACGCAAGATGGGAACCCTGACGGCTTCCGAAATTATTGGTACGTCACAGCCGGGATCTATGCTTTGGCCACCATCATCCTCGTGGTGTGTTATACGCCTCCGCTACGGGAGACACAGCTCAGATACACTTTCAGAGAGAAGCTCCGCCATTTGGATTGGATTGGCTATGTCCTGCTGGCTTTAGGGCTGGTTCTGTTCGTGATGGGCTTATCATGGGCCGAAAATCCTTGTAAGTAACTCGTGCGATCAGTAATGGGACCTCACTCCGCACGGGTTCTAAGTTGACCGATCTCACAGACTCGTGGAAGGACGCACACGTTCTTGGCCCCTTGCTCGCCGGAGCTGTCATTTCTATTCTCTTCATTCTCTATGAATGGAGGTTCAAATCTGATGGAATGATCCATCATCGACTATTCTCTCGGGATCGCAATTTTGCTATCGCGCTCGGGTGCATTTTCTGCGAGGGGCTGGTTTTCTTCGCCGTCAACGCATTCATGGCATATGAAGTGAGTGTTCTGTACGACAGTGACACGATGAGAGTGGCATTGCAGTGAGTGCTCCAAACGAGTTTGTCAATAAGCGTCAAGGTTAGTGGAAAGCTAATGGTCAAACCGCAAAGCTTTTCCGTCACTCTCTTCGTATATTCTCTATGTGTCATAGGTCCAGCGATCTATTGTTACAAAACTCGACGCGTCCGAGTCCTAGCGATGAGTGGCTTTGCATGCTTCCTCACTGGCAACATCTGCATGGCAACCCTGGGTCTTGGCAGCGCCAAAGCTGCTTGGGGTTACCCGGTGTTCTTTGGCGCCGGGTTAGCAATCTGTATTACGGTGCTGCTAACGGCGGCCCAGTTGAGCGCCCCCCCTGAGCTGATGTAAGTTCACAAAGTATTCGCGTTCCAAAGTCTTCTGTGCGGGCACTTCACTAATTCGTCAACCTTGTATAGTGCGATAACCAGCGGTCTGATGATTTCTGTACGTTCCCTTGGTGGTGCAGTCGGTCTTGCTATTTGTAAGTAATTGAACGTCTTCTTGCAAAAACCTAATGGAAGTACTAATCACAGGACGCAGACACGGCTGCATTCAACTCCAAACTTTCTGAGACCGCAGGAAAGAAGATTGCGAATGCCGTCCTCCCTCTTGGGCTGCCGAGTTCATCGTTATCCTTGCTCATCCTTGACATTCTCACTGGTAACATCGGAGGACTTCCAGATATTCCGGGCATAAGCCCCCAGATTATCCAAGCAGGAGTCCTTGCCTTTCAGCAAGCTTTTGCTGAGTCCATCCGTGCGGTTTGGATCACGGCTGCTTGTTTTACGGCTGCTGCCCTGGTTGGTGAGTTTCTGTGTACTAGTGACTAGACTTTGCGTTGTTCGATTCACTAAGCAGTTCATCTGTAGCCTCCTTCTTCTTGATCGACCCTCGAGAAGACTTCAATTTGCATGTAGACGCTCCGGCTGAGAAGATAGAGGATCTTTGCAGCCCAGAAGCTAAGTCCTCAGCCTGAACTGGGGCCACAGGCTCACAGCTCTCTGGGAGCCGCTGGCTCTGCTTGGCAAATGGTGATCGTCCTCCGAAAATGATGCAAGAGTCAAGGAGCTGGTGGTGTGTGGAGTACAGGTAGCTTGGAAGAAGAACTCGTTGCTTGTGAAGATATAAGGGCTCTGATAGGCCATGGTTGATGGACATTGGAAGACAGGCTCCGTAGGAGCCCTATCAACAATGTTTCAACGTTTTCGTGATCGAAGACAATCTAGTTATTCTGACAGGCCAAGCTGTGTTTTCCCAGACCATGCTGGAGGTGGGGTTCCGGGCGAGCGCTGAGCCCTGAGCAGATCTTCACGTGTCAACCCCACCAGATCCGGGATTTTTTGACCCCTCAGGTCAAAATGTTCTAGTCTTTGTAGGGTTCCAAGGAATAACGTGGGGAACACCTTGACATGTTCCAGTAGTTATAGTGGTTCCATCGAGCCTCGGTGCCTATGAAGCGCTTCTAACAGACAAAGGGGCCAGAGTTAAAGAGTGTATCACCAGGGTCTAGTCTCTAGATGTACAGCCTGATCATCTCAGCTTCCATGCACAAGTCTATTCAAAGTCAAGGACATTTCCGAGCAACATGGCCATGGCATCTGGTCTAACTCCAATTTGAATGGAAGGATCTGCTTGAGACTGCCTGTTCTTGCCGAACTTGTCTTTGGGCATGTTATGTTGGTCCAGACGACAAGGGCGGCGAGGAAAACTATGACAGGGGACCATATCGGATAAGGGTCGCAAGTGTTGTCAAGCACAGACCAAGCATATCCGATTGAATCATCTGAGAGCTCGATGGTTTCGATGGTTTCAGGGCCATTGGATAGACCCATCCGTTGAACGACCGGAGCGTATCCTGCTAACCTAGGAAGTAGAGTTAACTCTGGGCAGGAAATGTAGAGTCGACAGCAAAAGTACAAAGCCAGGTCATTGGGAGATCTACCAATCCGGAAGGTCAATTCCCATTTATCCAGAGCAATTGACAGCTGATCGACCATTCGGCCATATTCGGAATGTGGAAGGGTGGGCGGATAAAGAGTTCGCACTGCGGAAGGCTTGCCTGACTTTACAGCGTTTAGTTGTTGCAAGTGTTGTGAGACATGTCTCGCAAGCCTTCTCAAGGACCTTCGCAAGCAAATGAAGTCGCATAAGATAGCAATGAGCAAGAGGACCGCGTCTTCTCGTGAGCCCAAGCCTGGGGGGACAAAGGCGTCTTCGTCTAACAAGCTTCGGTATGCCCTCTGAAAACGAATCCCCAATGAGCTGAGGTGCATCTCTATTTCATTTGTCGTCAGACAACTAGCTATGTCCAAATGCAGTGAGCCCAAAACGTTGATCAGCCAGAAGCAGCCGATTAAGCTCGTACGGGTTCCAGCATCCAACAGTTGGGGGGTCACGGCACCATCTGAGGGCGTGGACTCTTGGAGTCGAAGACGGCGCAGTATCGTGATAGACGATGGCAGCATTTGTTGCTCGAAGTTGCTCCAAACCTTGGTGTCTGAGCTTACAGTGGCGTAGACGCCCAGTAGGGCAGCCGTGACAACCGACTCGGAAGCTCGTGCTTCTCTGTTATCAACCTCGAGCATGACGGTCCACAGTGCATGGGAGGCAATGAAGAGTGTTTTAGCTAGAGCGCTCTGATCGGTCTGGTCAATAGCCGGTGCAGTCGAGGAAAGACAAGCGATTGCTAATTTGAGATACGGTGCGATCTGAGATTGTGCAGAACTCGGTATTGAAATGTTGTTGATGAGAATGTGGCTCTTCCATCCTGAGGAAAAGGACTCATGTAGCTGGGTAATCATATAGTCTGATGGAAGTTCTGGGAAGTCCAACAGCACCGACGTTGGATAGGTCAAGGTCTCGATTCCGTGGAGACCTTGGAAATTGACGTGAACGAGATCTTCATTGTTCACCGCCTCGGGGCTTGCAAGTAAAGCATTCTTGAAATTGTCAAGGAAAGCCTTTTCAAGGGGCGAGTTTGCGAGCTCGACATCATCCTGATCAGGATCCCGCGATCTTGGCCAGGTTGACATGTTTGTGTAGGGCGAGGACGAAGTCAATGCCACCGCGCCATGCTCAAGGACATGGATATATTAAGCTTGCTTTACAACTGGCAGTTCTTTGCGAGGTGATCAGGCATCTCAGGCAAGAGGGTGCAAGTACTCCCTCGGTTAACTACCTAAAGTATGAGTATTGGGAAATGCTCTGAGTGACGTCCAAATAGCAGTTCTTGTAGTGGCTTGGCATTCCGTTGGGGTCAAGGACCCCAGGGACTACCTCCTCCTTCTTCAATAGTGTTGACACAAAACATATACTCTGCTGCACGTCAAGATGGATTCAGGTATGCAGCAGGCTAGAGCACAACCTAGAGATCGTCATGAGGTGAGCCATCTGCCTATGTTAAGACCATCCAGAGCGAATCCTTCTCTATGAATAGTGTTCTATCTCAGGAACGCCGATGAGCTAACGGAGACAGTGCGACCTTTGTGGACGTTGCTTCGTTCGCAACGAACATCTTGTGAGACATCGGCGGACGCGTGAGCCACTAACATCTGGTCAGAGGGTGATAACTCATAATTCTGGTGCTTAGATACTCGCGAGAAGCCCTACCGCTGTCCTCATTGTCTCGCCACTTTCGCACGCCGTGACGTTCAGGAGAAGCACACCAACCGGTGTTATGCATCTCCTCATTCGGATCAGACCCCGCTTCAGCTCACCTCTGATGTCTTAAACCCACGAGGAACGACGCAAGCATGTGATCCATGTCGGCTTCGCAAGTTGAAGTGCGATAACCAGAACCCTTGTCGATCTTGTCGGCATCGGTTAGTCATGTGCACTAGAGATATCTCTCGAAAACCGCGAGGAAGACCTATCAGCGTCAACGTCATTCCAGAGCCTACTCCGGCTTTTACTCACGGAGAATCTATTTCCTTTCCAGACTCAACGATCGAGTTATTACCAACAGAAGGAGACTACTCCCGAAGCACCGGTGCTGCAAACATGTCTGTATCTTCCCATACTAGCCTAGAGTGCTCAGTGATCACGTCTGCACTTCAAAATGAGCTTCCTTCTGTCTTCAACCTAGATCAAGAGCTTGGATCACCCAAGCTACTGCAGCAGAATCCTCATTCAATGGATAATTTCGCCTTGTGGGCACAGATCGATGCTGATATGAACATGATGGACTTTTTTTCGGAGCTCCCAGGCATGGTATAGCAACAGTAGGCAGTCATTTAAGTCTTATGCTGATATTTTGTCTCAGGACTACCAAAGCTGGGCTCATGGGTGCGAAGGTTTGTTGGGCAACACCATATCCGCGGGCCCAACAAGCGCCTCCATGCAGGTAGCAATTGATATTATGAAAACTCACTTCCAAAAAAAGAACCGCGCAGCGACCAGCCTTGCCTACGAAGCCAGACAATGGGCCTCTGCGCCACCGTGGTTGGAACTATACGACAAAGATGTGCTCAATGTCTTCTTGAATCTAGCAAAGAAGCATCTGTCTCATCTGTTTCCAGGCCTCCTGGTGTTTGAGGCAACTAGGAGCACGGAACCGGAATTAATTCTAGCCATGGCTGCCGTTGGAGGAAGCTTTTGCTCCGTTGAAGGCAGCCATCGTGTTGCCGGTGCCATGTACAATGATGCCAGGAGACTGGTGTACGCCAAGGTTAGAATGCTAACAAAACTCCACCACAAATATGGCTGAAAAGATTACAGGCAGCGAATGAACCCTTCTCGACCTTTGATTCGGCCCTATCGCGCGCCAAAACCGTAAGTTTATGCCACCTCACCCTACCTGATTCACATTACCTCATAAATCTGTAGTTCGTCCTCTTAGAAGTCTATGGCCTGTGCAGTGGTGACGGCCGAAGCCATGAGTTTGTTGAAGCTTTCCACGGCTTCATAGACGAGGTAGAGCTTCATCTCAACCAGAGACATGATAATTGACTAATTTATATGGGTAGCTCGTAGCTCAATGCACGTCACTTCAGCCGCCTGAGCTGGTGCCCGAGGATTCTGGAGTCGCCCCGTATGTCCCGCTGCGAAACTTTCAGATGTACAGCGACAGGTTTTGTTGACCAAACTGTTAGTCTTCTCAATGCCGTGCTTCTACTGGATTGCTACCGAGTACTCCTTCTACGTCGCCCCCCAACACTCATGGCCCTGTCCGATTGTCGCCTGAATCTTCACAAAGGCCATCAAAATTGGTTGTCAAAGGTGGCAGTCCTTCTTACAGAGGATGCTCCAGTCTACGCCGACAGATCGCAACGGTTCGCCGATTTGGAAAGTATCGCTTGCTATGGTTGGTTTAGCAGCACGCAAGAGCCTTCTTGCATACGTGAGCCAATTTTATGGCGGACTGAATTCGTGGAACTTGCACTCGGCCGCTGGATCGATGCACAGCAAGGTGATGTGGAGCCATGGCTACTGGTCCTTTACCACATGATTCACATCACTCAACACTGCAATTTAGGGCTTCTCCAACGGCTGGCTCGTTTCATATCTCGAACAGATCGTATACCATCCGGCGCTGGGGCTCTTGCTTCGGTGAAGAAGTGGTTGTCAGGCCGGAAGTACGCAATGTCAGAGTGGCACGCGAAGGCTTTGCTCAAAGTTGCACAACGCTCTATCAGCGACACTGAGCAGCAATGGGGTCAAAACTCATCACGAAACGCTGACTACGACCAGATAACCCCCTACTGCTATGCCCCAGAAACACTACACTTTCCAGTCTGTGTGTACTCTGCCACGCTCGTCCTCTGGTATGGCAGTCTTAATCTAGGTCGCGATGAGTTCCTCCGCAATGCTCCCCTTGAACACGGGATTCAGATACTTGGTGGCCTCAAAATGCACCTTGCTCGAAGTCTAGGTACTGCCCTAATGGAGCTCAAGCGCGAACCCGGTTGACATTTGAAAGACATTTGCATGCCAAGAGGAATAGAATTCATGATGTAGCAAGTTTCTTAAACCTCTAATGTTCAATGGTCGCGATGAAAATCCTCCTCGAAGGTGATCTGATGATATGATGGAGCGAAGTTGGATAATATTTCTGGTGCTTGGGTAGGCACGTAATTCCGACTTAAGGTATCGCAAATCGTCTCGAATCACGGAGGACTAGCGCCTTCCCAATCACCAGTGACTCCATGGCTTTAAACTGCTCGAGGTCGTCTTAGTGCTCAGTCATTCATCAGAGTGAAGAGGAACAGCGGAGCATTATTACCTAAGAATTAGCCGCCGCCGACCGGACCTCCACCTCGCCGCTGTACCACGCTAGTCCAGTGGAAATCCTCACGACCAAAGGATAACTCCATCATACAGAGGATCGGTGGATTTCAATACAGCTAAGCCTTGCCAACGGAATGATGGAGAAAGCGCGAAGTGTCGTCCTATCTTGGACTTGTGCGGTCAGAATACTCGCACCACCAAGGACTATCCCGGGTATCAGGGGAAGATCCAGGCTCAAACAGTTCCTCCACTTAGACATGAACAGCAGTTCTTTTTGAACTTCTCATTTACATCTTGAAGTTCGGTAGTATCACATACGGAGCTTGGTACTTTGCCCAGAACAATTCCTCTATTTTGGACTGCGTTGCTTACCTGCGTCACTTTATCATCTACCAAGTACTATCACGCTTTCAACATGCCTCTTATTCAGCTCAAGTTTTGGAGCGCCAATAGTTACCATGATCTGAAAGACAATGGATTCAGTTTGCTGGTTCTTGCAGTCCCTGGATTTCTGGTTGCGGTATTCTTGTTGAAGGTGGGTGATTCTTTGGCTGATTTCTGAAGCGCTTCTGGGCTGAAAATCGATCTGCTGAACAGACATTTTACAACGTTTACTTTCATCCTCTCGCAAAGGTGCCTGGTCCATGCTTCGCAAAGGTGAACGGAAGCTATATGGCTCCTGCGCAAGCAATGCTTTGCCGGGCACAGGTAAGCCAATTGTAGCGCGGACACAAGGGTCTTCACATCTGACATGATCTTCCAGACTCTACTCGAGCTCCACAAAAGATATGGCTCGGTGGTCCGGATTGGGCCAGGAGAGGTCTCGATTTCGGACTGGAAAACATACCGAGAAATCTATAGCCATGGTGCTAGCACCAAACAGAAAGACTTTTACGAAGCCACTCGACTTGCTGGCCACGACAACGTTTTCACCATGATCCATAAGGATGCTCATGCGAGTCGACGCAAGATTCAGGAGAAGTCTTATTCGCAACAAAACATTCTCACAAATGAATCATTGATAGCAGACAAAGCCGAGATATTGACTCGAAGAATGGCCAAGGGATCCCAGCATGGGCATTCCGTCGATGCATTTCGACTTGTTGGCTTGTTCAGCTTGGAGGTGATCCTAGCCTGTGCATACAATCGTCAACACGGGGATGAACCGACCGACGAATGCACGACTCTTCTGACTGCGATGGATGCCTCGGCGGTTGCAATTATCACCAGCGCAGCTGTGCCTGGCCTCAAACGCTCAGTCGGAAGGCGTCTGCCTGGATCCATAGGCAAAGCATTTAGGCAGTGGGATTCCTGGCAGAAGATAACTACTAACCTTCTTGACACATTTCAGCAGCATGAATTAGCCCAGGACAAAACTGGCCGGTTCATGACCACACCACTATTGCTTAGTGTAGACAAACATCTGGGTCGCAAGCTGAAGCGTGATGAGTTAATCGAGGAACTAATGGGGCTCACTTTCGCGGGCAGCGGCACCACATCCACAACGTTGACATATCTACTCTACGCTTTAGCCAAGGACTCTGACCGTCAAGAACGACTGCGGGAGGAGCTACGAAGCTCGGCCGGAGACAGCCTCAACGAGCTTCAGCCACTACCATATCTAAATGCGGTAATCAAAGAAACCTTGCGTCTCTACCCTACAATCATGTCAACTTTACCACGAGTCCTGAACAAACCTTTAGTCGTGGATAAGCATCTGTTGCCGGTCGGCACTTCCGTCGGCATGCAAAATTACGTGCATCACCGCGACCCCAATCTTTATCCCCAGCCTGACGAATTCTGTCCTGAACGATGGTTGATGGATGATGCTGTGAAGCTCAAGGATATGGACGCCGGTTTGACGCCCTTCTCCCTAGGACCATACAACTGTATTGGTCAGAACCTAGCCCGGGCGGAATTGTATCTAGCAGTTGGTCGAGTCTTCCGAGGACTGAAACTCACGCTGAACGCTACCATGAAAGATTCGGACATGGAGTTGGAGGATAGATTCAACATTGCTCCGAGAGGAAGGCGGCTATTATTTGATGTGAAGATCGTATGATAATGCTCTGACTAGAGCTCTATTAGAGACTCAATGTCGGAAACAGGGCTCCCAAGTCATACCCACATTGAGACTATTCCATAGTTGTCTTGACAATGTTCCAAATCTCAACACCCTCAACAAAAGAAAATGATCAAGATAAGTCCACCGTGCGTCAACAGGTTCACACGTAGACTCGTTATCCAAACTTGTGAGTAGAAGATGTGATGGGTGAATCATCTCGACAGGCTCAGCCATTGTTACAACGACAAAGAAATTCTCTCGCTCTGGAACAAAGGGTCGAAAGATGAAGAGATGAAGACTCAAAGGCATTATGTTCATGTTTTGTCACTCTTTGAGTCAGTCCTTGTATTAATCATGGGTGGTCTGGTCATCCCGGGTCTTCGACCTTTTCTGACCAGAATGCTGACTCACATTCAACGAATATATCTCGAAAGCAATTCTAGCAAGAAAGCAAAAAGCACAAGCACAAGCACATCAAATCATATCACATCGTTTCAAACATTTTGACCATCAGCAAGGATGCCATTTACCATCAAAACGCGCTCAACAGCGTCGAATGCAACCATGAACTCCCACTATGAAACCATGAGGTGCTCGGAAGCATCATGGAAACGCGGTCAAGGGCCGGTGCCCAGCGCACTGGATAGTCCGAGTTACGACAACGGAACCGGCGCACTGGATCCACAGTTCATCCGCGAGAATCGACTCCCGTCCCACGTGAAGACGGCCCGAGATTTGTACGCATACCAAAAGCAGCGCGACGCTCAGCAATTATTGAGTCCATCAGCTGCGATCCGAAATTTCGGGCAAGCGGGTTCGCTCTACTCCGAATCGTCATACTTTGAACGAGATTCGTACAACTCGTATAGTTCCTGGTCTGGTCGGTCGTCCGCCCAAGGCCAGTCTTGCGAAATCTCCCGCCCTTTGAATGTCAGAGGACCTGCGGTGAAGTCACTTGTTCATGCAGACCCAATGGTCCGCGGACTGAGAGGTTTGTATGCCATGCGCGCCTTCCCCCGTGTCCTTCCAGGTGCCAGGCGAGTGACTCCGTATGAAGGATATTGGCTCCATCGTGGTACCTTGAGAAAAATACCCGGAGAGAAGGCAGGTAAAGGCGTTTGGTGGAAGAAGAAACAGCAGAAGACGCCTGCCAAGGAAGCCACGAATAGTAGTGTCGAGACCAGTGGATGGTATTCCGACTGAAGGTAGGTAAGCAGTTCAAATTGATCTTCGTTAGACGTCCATTCACACAATGGTGCCCCGATGGAATTTCTGGGCCGTCCCAGAAGCCCGGGCATTGTGCCGCATCATTTATTAGCTTCATCAATTCATGCTTCAATATTTGCCACTTGATGATATTCTCCCAGTCGCTTGGAATCAATCAATGCACAGCAGCATCGACAATTCGCTTTCTCACCTCAGTGCTATAGCCAGGACTAGACTCGTCCATGCCGGCAAGCTCCGCGTCGACGGCGGCTTCATAAGCCTTGGTGACGCTGTCCTCGTCAACTCTGACACGCTCCTCCGCGAGAATCTTGATACACTCCGCAATCTTCGCAATCTCCTTCCTCGTCCCCTCTCCAATATCGTCATTCTGACTCGAGTAGATCGCACTGCTGACCGCATCCTCGAGATTTGAGATACTCACACCTCCCGCGATCTTGACATCATCCTGTTCGACGTGCTTGCTCAACCAAATGTAACCATTGACGCCGAGGATGACATCCACATCCCCACCACCCTGGGCGCCGCTGTTGATTGTGAAGACCTGCCTCCTACTACGGATGACGCCCCCACCGCCACCGGTGCCAGACACGGCGAGGAACATGCCGTTGCGCAGCTTGCCGTATTTCAGACTTCGCGTGTGCAAACTCGCTACACCGTCGTTGGCTCCCACCTGTTGCACCTCCGCCACGAGTAAGTCGCCTTCCTGGAAGTAGTTTCTCATTTGCAATTCATCTGCAGTCGTCCGTCTTCGTAGAACCCCACCGGGCAGATTAATTGACGAGAGCGGTAACTGTGCAAGCAACGGTGCCGCGACGTCCACCTTCCAGCGATTTTTCTGCACCTCCACAATGCGGCCGACGACGAGATCGCCGATCTCAGGCGTGTATCTCGCCCGGAGTGGGGCGATGGAGAGGAGTTTGTTCGTTTTTCGTAGCGGGCCGGCGAGGGTTGCGATGATGGTGCTCAAGGACTCGTCCATGAATGTTCCGTGTCCTCTGTTGAGGTGGTTAGAAATGGTCCCGGCGGGAGTAGTCTTGACATTCATGAAACCAACCTCATCCATTGTATCTCCTGCGTGACCATTTCTCCAGGCAGAGTGATTTGTCTAGTGGGGCCGGAGGAAAGTCGTGGGCGTTTAGAGGGCCGTCCGTTGGCGTTGTCCACCGACATGTCACTATCACTGTCTTGGTCGAAGCCATGGTATGAAACCACTTGGTCATAGGCATCTTCAGCCTCCGGAGGGAGGACCGCCAGACCCATGGTGTTGTGGAAAATGAAAGGTGATTGTTACAACACACAAAGAAGATGGGAGAAAGTCCATTCGATTGAAGTTCAGAATTGGAGATGGATTAAAATGCTAACGGTCACGTGGAGATAACGCCCCCGCAGCTTATCGTTTTTCCAAGGGCGGCAACATTTTTACAAGATGTTGAAGTCATCCATTATTTCAAGAACCATCTTCGTCAGTATTTTGCAGAGTCACCTTCTATAACCATACGATCACTATTTCTACTGAATAATCTTGAAACATCATGGTTCGTCACAAGAAAGATGGCATGTCCGCCAAAGCGAAGAAGTACTCGACAAATCCACGCCATACCAGCCGCTCACAACGAGATGGCGATGTGGAAGGTGGCGGGGCCGAACGGCCGCCTTTCAAGGCAGCATGTTGGGACTTTGGACACTGCGACTCGAAGCGATGTAGTGGCAAGCGATTGATGCATTTTGGGATGATGCGAGAACTGCCCATTGGGCAGAAACACCAAGGTGTTGTGATCTCGTAAGTCTACTGTGATTCAATACCTTTGAATGTGGCTGACATCATAGGCCAAACGCAAAAACGATAGTCTCGGCCGCAGACAAGGATTTGATTGAACAATATGGAGCCGCGGTCGTCGAGTGCTCATGGGTTCGAGTCCAGGAAATACCATGGTCACGCATTGGCGGAAAATGCGAACGACTACTCCCCTATCTTGTCGCCGCAAACCCAGTCAACTACGGAAAGCCGTGGCGGCTGAACTGCGTGGAGGCTCTGGCGGCATGCTTTGCCATTTGCGGCCATCTCGACTGGGCGGAAATCGTCCTCCAGCATTTTCCTTACGGCCAACCATTTCTCCAGATAAACTCTCAGCTCCTGAAACGTTATGCCGCTTGTCAGAATGAGGAGGAGGTGAAGAAAGCCGAGGAGGCTTGGTTGGCAAAGCTGGAGAAGGAGTATTCTGACAGCAGGCTGACCAAGGGCGCTGCGGGGGAGGACGATGTCTGGGCCGGGGGCAATAGGAACCGCATGGAGCCGCCCGCAGACTCCGAGGACGAGGAGGACGAGGAGGACGAGGAGGACGAAGGGTCGGACGAAGAAGAACATGGAATCGCTCCTCAAGGGGTCTCACTCGACCTTCCCCCGATCGACGACGAAGATGATGACGAGGCGGAGATGGCAGAGATCAGGAGGAAAATTTTGGCCTCGAAACCTTTCGCCGACTCTGTCTCCTCCAAAGCACAGGACAAACAACCCCAAACCCCGACCGTCAATTCAGCCCGGGGTCCTGATGTCCAACAGACACAAAACCCGCCACTCGTGGACTCAGACGCCGAATCTGGCTCCGAGGAGGAAGAATACGACGACTTCGACCAGATCGCGAACGCAACGCCTGTCACAGATCGCACGGGGATCGTCGCGAGGGAGAGACAGAAAAAATTGGAGCAGTCGAGTGCATCCTTCTCACGCACTGTGCTTCCCGCGCCGGGAAAGTGGTGAAAGAAAAAGCTCCCTTTCCAGGAGACCCAGCATTTGAAATGCAATACCATATACCACATCAATTCTCACATGCCATAGGCCGGAAAAAAACTCCCCTTGGCCCACTTTGACCTAGTTTCCCCCAAACAGATCTGCATGTCCAAACTGCGCATGTCGTTTGGACTGAGCCAATCGAACGTCGCCGGGACTAGGTTACGGCTCTTTCTTCCAGGTTTCCCCCTGCATCCAGGGCCTATGATTGGCGATGGCTCTTTTGGAGCCTCTATCATCAAATTGCCTTCACTCAAGGATAGTGTATTCTTGACTCAACAATTCAGACAGCGCATGCACGCGACTTACGTCAGAGGTGGCTTCAAGTCTTACCTATTCAATTCTTGCAGCGGTACGAACACGGGAGCGACTTATCCAACGCAGGATACATGCAAGCGACGTAACCGACATCGAGCGAAGGCGAATCTTCGCCCTCTTTGTCGCTTGCTTGCGTTTGACAGCGAGGGGGGGAAGCCTTTTGCCAACTTGTCCCCAGAAATATGACGTTTTTTCTCCCCTGGTAGCCCGGTGGGTTTGTGTCGTCTAAATTCCACATTCACAAAATGTGCCTCTCATTATTGTGGATTGCTCCACGACTCTGCAGTAGATAAAGTACCTTTTAAAAACCTGTAGCAGTGAACTGACCCGGCTACCTGGCTGTGCCGCGTAGATGTTTTCCTCTCTTATCCCACGGGAAACCAAACTCCGGGCCACGCCTTCAAGCAGAGCCATTTTGGCCGATCCTCGATACTTCGTAGCTCTGCCACGCCTCCAGTGTCTCGTCCCGCGTGCGTTCTCTTTCAGATCGGCGGTGTGGAAGTTTAGTGAAGAAGATCTCCCCGAGAAAAGCCTTGTTTTGATATCGGTAAAATCCAGGACATCGACAATCCCTGCCACGTTGAGCGTAACGCGGAAACGGAAGGGTTTGTATGATGCGGAAGTAGTTCTCCGCCGTAAGAAGCTGCGAAGGGACTCTAGCGCCAAAGACGTGCTTCTCCCAGGGCCTTTCCCCAAGCATGTCGTTGCATGTATGCGGACTTGTTCGGGCATCATTCCAATCGCATGAATAAACAGTTGATGAGCACAAGGTAATTTGTGAACGCCTCATCGGAAATAGAAAGATACTTTGGTTCATTTAAACAACATGGTAGTAGTATGTAGCTCTGAGCTGTCGGGTATATTTAATACCCCGTTAAAAAAATCCAGAGCTCAAGGTTCCGCCGTCGCTATTCCTCGTAGACACCGTGCCTGCCCACCCACCCAACCAACCAAATTCCGCTCAAAAACAACCTCCGTCCTGTTTGTCTCTCTCCCCAATTGAATCACCTAAGAAGCGATGCAGATCCATGCGACGGATAATGAGTATCTCATGTTCGAGCCACCCAACCATCATATCGCCATCGATACATTCCGACCACCCGTGTTCGTATTATACGTCTCTGCCAAAGACCCCGGCCAAGGCGAGAGATAGCGATCGATAAGCGGGAGGGCCGGTAAGGAAGACCTGTGTCTGGGATAAACACCTGTAGGTCTCTCCATCATCGCTAACATGTCATACTGGCCTGGATCGTGCATATTGTGGATGAGTTGCGGAAGGTTGGGTGGGATAGTGCACGCGCTCGTGTCCAGGTAGGCGTCTAGATCAAAGTTCATACTGGACGAGTTCTCCATGTGTGTCATGATCGGGGCCCCCGAGGTGGAATTGCTGCGGGAAGACAAGTGTTCTGAAGCGGCGTAGAGAAATTGCTCAGACATGTCCATCTCCGGAGGCGTTGCGGGTATTGTCGATATTCTGTTGTTGGTGGTGGTGGTAGCCGTGATGATCGCTCCGGACTCCGGACTACGCATGGAAGCCATGCTGAACGAGGATTGGGTGGGCGAGGGGAGATATTCGTCTTGAGTGGGCGATGTTGCGGAGGCAGGACTCGTTGCATCCTGTGGTGGTCGAACTGAAGAGTTGCCATGAGAATTGACGCCCGTGCGTCCGTTCTCTACACCTCCTGGGTCTTCCAGTGAAGGTCTCATCAATCCCAAGGCATCTATAATTGCAGTAGTCGATGGAGGACCATTGGATTCATCGAGAGGATTTCCAGGAAATCCAGAACGACTCCGACAAGCCCAATATAAGCGCTGGAGGGCCTCGTCGGTCACTTCACGCATCTGGCAGTAACTGTATCGTTAGAGTGATGTTATCTTCGTAGAAACAAGTTGACTTACTAGCTTCGGGCTTCTCTTCCTCTCCTCGCGGTGTACATACACGCAGTATCGCAGGCTTGGCAGGTCTTGCAGGGGTTTGTCCCATCACATTTCGATTTCTTCAACCGGCACCGGTCACAAGCTCGTGGAGTACGGCGTTTGGCCTTTTCGCTGCTCTTGCTTTGGTGTTTGTTCTTAGAGATAGCCATCATACTTGTTGAGCTACCACTTCAACGGCGAAAGGGGGTATGATATCTTGTGGGAGATGGGTGCGGGGTGATGTGATCTGGACACTTGCAAATGGTGAGAATAGAAGCATTCGAGGCTGGTATTTACCGAGTGTACCGTGAGTTTCTCATTAATAAACCACAACTAATGGGACAGATATTGTCGTCATCAAAGCGGGGCCCTTCTGGGTTGTAGGCTCATTCGCACAGTTGTATAAGGTATGGAGAAGTGAGATCTGTTTGCGACTGTGGACGCCTCTGGGAAGTAAGACTTCCTACCATGCATCCTGTTGTTCTTATCCGAAGCCATGGGCATCCATAGTCCATGGGCAGCAATCAATCATCTAGGAGCTGTGAGCCTCCACGGAGAACGATCAATGATCGATGCATCAATCAAAATTGTGTCCAACCAGACAGAGCCGAAGATGCTTGATTCTTTCAGCATGAGGTGGCTGTTTCGATGATCTTGCCTAGATGGTAGACTTGTGGAATGGGATATTTACTCCGGGTTGCATTAAATGCGCCGCGGCAGCAAAAGAGAAGTATAACATCGTGGAATTGACCGTGGTAAGACAGGGCTGGGGTGGTCAGTGTTTAATGCCATACGTCGATTCGATCGCGGATATAATCTCCTAAAAGCCAAGCCTCTGTAAAGGAGCACAAGGTGTCGGAATCCATGGTGAATCCACCAGTGCCCAAGGTTAACCGTCCAGCTTTGCATGCAAAGACAAATGTCATTCGGAATGTAGCAGATTAGGCAGGTATGTAACCAATAGCCCATGGGAGGTGGACAGGGGACGTTGCACATTGCACGAATTGGAAGAATCCATTGGCTCTCCCGCATCCAATCGCTCCCATCACTGGTTTTCGGACTTCAAACTCCGGTTCGTCATCGTTCGTTGAATCTCCACCTCCTCAAAAGTCAACCCCAATTCTTCAGTCGAATTCAGTAAAGCTCGGTAGCATTTGAGAATTTCACCTGTCCCTTATCAACAGATGAAATGCCCAAACGCCCATCGTCATTTGCCATGACCTCCAAGCACGTTGGAGTCTGGACTATTGCCACTATGAAACCGATGTCGACGGCTCTGGTTTCCGCGGGTCGACTTGAGCCGTAGCTAATGGTTCTTCGCATTCGCGCGGTGTGAGGAGAGCTCAAAGCTACAACCCCATCAACACCGCTCCTGCATGAGTGCAGTTTTGCCACCATTCTGTGCCGCTCTGACAATTACCGGCTGGGTGTCATGACGAATGTTGCAGCATCGACGAAGATAACCTTCAGTTCATCCTAAGGTATTTGTTTGCCACGAGCGACTTGTCGCTTGAATTCTAGATTATACCTGCCATTCGCCCTCTCTGTTAGCCAAATAGTTGGATCTTTTGAAACATACCTCCCTCACACACACCAACAACACACAAACTTGCGTTGCGCAGACATGGCCTTGGACGCGGCGTTCTCTGCACCCCCTACTCATTTTCCCATAGTCCAAAGCTCCGATTCGTGGCAGCTCGCATCTCTTCCGGGGTTCATGGACATTCCGGAAGACAATTTTCCTGACCTCTCCATGTTTGAAATCTCGAAGATGCATTCGCATTCACCGTCCCCAGCACTCTTGAAGGCGATGATCCCTCAGTATGTTCAGCCTAACGACACGTACAAATCATCGTCCCCAACCGAGTCTGTTGACTCATTACACAACAGACAGACGTCGCTGGACTCGCTATCGAGTTTCGTGTCACTCGATCGTCAACAGACGCTGCGTCGCCTGTCTTTGGCATCGAACGACTTAAATAATGACACCTACCGGCCTCGGAACACACCGGTCAGACGGCGGAAAGCCACCACGAGTCGAATTACACCTCGATCGACCAAGCATGCTAGGGAACTCGAGCTCAACCGGAAAGCGGCCACCAAATGTCGCAACCGACAGAAGAACTTTGTCGAAAACCTGCAAAACAAATGTCGCAACGAAGAGGCAAGAATGCTTGAACAGTCGGCGTTGGTGCACGCCTTGCATGACGAGGTGGTTCTCCTCCGGAACGAGGTTATGAGACAGAGTTTCTGTGGATGCCACTCTCTGCGGAGTAATATGCCACCACTCGCTGGTTGAAAAACCGAAAAACGAGACTCACCAATATATACAAAAAGACACCAGACATCGGTAGACCACCCTGGTCTTGACAGTCCAAAAGTCTATCCAGCATGGTCATCGGCGCCAGTGATTTCCATGATTGAAAGTGTTTTCATCGATGATTGTTCATCGTTACGGTGGTTAAATGCTCCGCAACCAAACAGTTACCACGTCAGCGTCGACTCCGGCCCTGTGTTGTGGTCTTCGATCCTGCTGGCTACGCTGCTTGCAGGCTGAATTGGTATGACTCGAAGAGCGAAATACTGACTGGAAGATCTCGAGAAGAGCAGTTTCGCATCTTTTGATATATCCGCTCATGAGAGAAAAGGATTACCCTCTTTCCAGCCAACATGAATCACGGCTTAGCTCGTGCATCATGCGAGGTTCTAAGAATGGTACAAGCTTTCCGTCTAATCATATGCCTGGTACAACCTGCTTCAAAGTGAGGTGTCGTTCTATCCTTGAAGTCCTGTGCATCATGGGACCAAGCACACTTCGACATGGATGGTATGCTCACCAATAGATGTACCTGGAAGCGCAGCTGTACAATCGTGCACAACGTGGTCATTTGTTGGGATCTTGAATGCGAGATTTAATGAACCTGAGGTAGATCCGGATTGGACACCAGGAGATCTAGTTGCATGCGTTACGCATCGCATTGCTGTAATAATAATGACGAGAAGAACTTTATGAACCCACTTTATCTCTTCACCGTAGAGAGTCGTCTGACCCTCATTGCATATACGCGGTGTCGATCGTTGTGGAAGTTAAACTCCATCAGATTTGTAACGAGTGTCATTGCATCTAGATTTCCGTGGACGAGGAAGATGTTCATTGCCTGAGGCTAAAAGTGACCACCACGACGGCCATAGCTAAATGTGTTGCCTTGGGTTGTGAGCCTCTACCAGATCTCGATAGATGCTTTGAAATTTCGCAGTAGAAATCAGCCGATACCCAATTCCAGTTTGGAGACATGGTTGAAATCCCACACCATCATGGCAAGCCGCCTAATTGTGCGGGAGCCGAAGAGTTGCGAAAGACCGCTATGGATCTCCCTCGGCATCGATATTGCGAAGAGCGTAGACTCTTGCACCGTAATTAGCTTGCTCAGCTGCGCTGAGCTGATTATCGTGGCTGTAGGAAAGAAACTTCACCTCGCAGACGGCGCAGACGCGGTTGCCACCATCGCTGGGCTCATTTCCCCGTGAAGGCCGAAGAGAAAAGGGCCATCACGCCAATCGCACGCAACGTGCAATAGCAAGATGATATTGTCGACTGATTCCAGCTATGCCATTCCAAAGACATTGCCATCATCACCAGCGTATCCATGCAGCGCAGCAGGTCTAGGAAATCACTCCACGCTGTCCCATTACCAGCGTCAATCAATTGTGGAAAGGGCGTGCCTCACAGATCGTGACCACCTTACCAAAGACGGTGGATTTCAGCTCGACTGCTAGGGCTCGCCCTCAGCCAGGAACAGGAATCGAGGTCCGCAAGACATTTCAAGCTATCGCAAGCCATACCTCGGTAGAAAGCAACCCCAGCGCTGGAAGACCGAGCATGGATGGTGATTTGTGAAGGGAGGGCAAAATTCAGGCATTTTCCCAAGGTACTTACCTATTGCTGAGAATCGCAGTCTCAGGGGATCGTGTATCAGACTGCAACAACACATCGGCGCGAGGTGTCAAGTTGCCACACGCATCAGCCTTGTAGCTGTTGTGCATTCGGATTAGATACTCACGAGGTGATGTGGATGTTCAACATGCATACAACCTCGAGGCGACGGGTGTAGTCATGGGTCGGCTGCCTAGTGTCAGCAGCCATGTGCCAGGTGCTGAATAGGCTCCTCGTTCCCACTCAGTCATGTTTAGTGGCATGAACATCGTGATGGAACTTGGGGTTTTGATACCGTACCAAAGTGAATCACGCCGCTATATGGTTAACCGGAGCTAGTGCGCCTAGGGGTCTAGTGCGCACAAACTTGCCAAGTCTCTCTCAGACACACCCGCCGAGCCTGGCATTACCCAGGACAGGACAGGACATTCAAGTGGCTGCTCACAAATCTCTCGCAACAGCAATCACAACGACCTCGAGCCGCATTCAAGTCTGAATCCCGTCGAGCAAATCGCCGTGCCTCCTGATTAGCTGCCCACCGTCAAGTCATATCCGTCTCTAAAAGGAGAGAGAAACATGGAGAACCACAACAACAACGACCCAAAAGACCCCGCCAGCTTCCTGTCCTCGATCATCGGCGTCCCTGTCACGGTCAAGCTGAACTCGGGCGTCGTGTACAAAGGGGAACTGCAGTCCGTCGACGGTTATATGAACATCGCACTGGAGAAGTGTCAGGAGTTCGTCAATGGCCAGTTCCGCAGGGACTACGGCGATGCGTTTGTGCGCGGGAATAATGGTGAGTGCCTAAAGAAAATAATCCTGGGTCAGGATGAATTGGGGTTTTAAATAAGGAAGAGGACTCTGGGCTGACTATGTATTTTGGGAATTCTGCAGTGCTGTACATTTCGAGCGATTGAAGGGTCTATAGACTATGGGTTGTGTACAAAGTCTTGGTCGACTCGAGAAAGGGGATTCGACTGCTTCTAACACAGGTCCCGACGAGCAGCGCAATGTCCTTCCAAAGGCAGAACGTGGGCCCCTGGAACACATTAGGAAGCCATTACCCCCAAGGACACCCATCATGAACAGTGTCGCCCTGCGGAAGAAGTGTCGATACGGTTTACTGATACAAAGAGGTGCACCGCCATAAGCAAGAGACTGGTGTGGACCTCTGTCCGATGGGGTAGCTCCACGAGGCCGGAGAGAGTAGGAATTCGAGACCTTGTTCCATCAACTCAACCGCCACTTTTGAGTGGCTCGTCGGGAATCCTGGTGGTCCAAAAGAAATAGGTTCGGCCACGCAGAGCGATTCTGCCCTGCGCATCCGTCTGCTCAGTCTTAACGGCGTCGAAGAAAACCTTTTTCACCCTCTCTAGCTCTTGCCCTTCTAATATTGCAAATTGACTGAGCGTCCTCAACCTGCTCCAGATAGCATCGGGCGATAGACGCTGTTCGTACTCGACAGTATCTTCCCCGATCGGCAAGCCAAAGATAGGATTTGCAAATTGCAGAGACAGCGGGTTGCTCCGATTCTGCTCATCAAATACCTGTTTCCACTTACCCTCCCTAAATCTCGGTGTGTCGTCTTGAAAAGTGTGTACCACGTCGCGCATGGTGGCTCCCCAACCAGGCTGTATGTCCCAGTCCAAGGGAGCGTTGTCTATTCCAATATGAGGTAAGCAAGTGTGCGGCACCCGGACTTGAATCGATGGGGATTATACAGTCATCCATGTTCCAGATCCCACCAAAGACTCCTGTTGGTTGAAGTACGCGTGCGATCTCGGTTAATGCTTGCATGTTGGCAAACCTGATGACCCCGTCAGAGATCGGCCTTCACGATCGGAAGATCTGTTAATCTTGAATACTAACCAGTGAAATGCCTACCTCCAGATCAGCCACGATATCTTAGCTTAGATGTGCGAGCTCGAAAACTTACCTGTGCTGCGACGACCGCTGCGACACTGCCGTCCGGCACAGATGAAAGATCTTCGGCATGTCCCTTGACCACCTTCACAGCGGTGAGGTTTTTTCGCTCGAGTTCCCCTCGCATGTCATCGTGAGGTTCGATGGCCAGAATATCATACTGCTCAGGTCGTGACGCCAGGATCTCTGTGAACTTTCCGGTCCCTGCTGCAAGATCTACAACTTTGGCCCTCTTGACACCGGAAACCTCTAGTTTTTGTAGGAATTGGTCGACTGCTTCAATTGGATAGCTAGGCCGGTGAGTGTCGTAGGCGGCGGCCGAGGCAAAGCCGCTCTGGACTGCCGCTTTGAGCTTGAAGTCCCTCATACTTGTTTTTTCGTCGATTATAAGTTGCTCATGACATGCCGCGGCGAATGAAAAAACGAAACAGGCCTCAAACCAGATGAGTGTTCCCACACAGGAAGTTAGTGACGCAACTCCGAACAATGAGTAGCCGACTCAGAATAAGCTATGAGGGGTAGTCGCATGACTCAGACGATCAAAAAATGTTAGCCCCGCATGATCCCTGTCGTCGCGACATCCTTCGATCCAAAGAAAAAATATAATCTGGCCTCGACGATCATCACAGCGTCGGCCACGATTTAGCCGAAGAAAACACGAAGACACTAGTTGTGGTCCGAATCGCAACCTTGAAAGTGGTATAGACAGCTTCGTTGTCGACCTCCATCCAACATGGTCTTGGAAGCGATTCGATATGAGGCCGGCACGGCTTCAACGCCACCGGCCTTGCAAATCCTCGATCAACTTCAGCTTCCTCATCGGACGACTTTTCTGGACATCACCACATGCGAGGAAGCCCACGATGCAATCAAAACGATGAAGGTACGGGGTGCCCCTGCGATTGCCATCGTGGCGGCCCTGGCACTTGCGGTGGAAACGGGAAAGTTATTGACCGAGTCCAAACTACCGTCTTCGGCCGCAGATGTCAAGCAGAGAATCAATCAGCGGCTGGATTACCTGAAGACCAGCAGGCCGACGGCTGTCAATCTCGGCGACGCAGTGGGCAAGCTGAAGAGCATTGCAGAGAATGCCACCATCAGTGCTGACGCCGGAGGGATCGCGGTCGCCCAAGCATATATTGTCGGCGCCGAACGCATGCTCGTGGACGATGTGTCCGACAACAAGGCGATCGGTGAACACGGCGCTCGCTGGATACATGCGAACACGATTGCTGGGAAGAAGTGGCAGGCGGACAAAACTCAGGAACTCAAGGTCTTGACACATTGCAATACAGGGTCTGCACAGTACAACCTCGATCATCGTACCTTTACTGACATCCGGGCAGATCCTTGGCAACTGCAGGGTATGGCACGGCCCTGGGAGTGATACGTTCGTTGCGAGCTGCGAACAGCCTCACCAGGGCATTTTGCACCGAAACTCGGCCGTACAATCAAGGTTCACGTTTAACGGCGTATGAACTCGTCCATGACGAGATCCCGGCGACCCTGATCACCGACTCAATGGCATGTGCACTACTGGCTAAGGAGGGAGAAAAGCTGGCTGCAATAGTTGTTGGGGCCGATCGGGTGGCCGCAAACGGAGATACGGCGAACAAGATTGGGACATATTCTCTAGCAGTCCTGGCCAAACACCATGGTGTCAAATTCTTGGTCGCTGCTCCCAGAACGACCATCGATCTCGCAACGCCATCGGGAGAGGATATCATCATAGAGGAACGAGCTCCAGAAGAGGTGACCAGGATCAAGGGACCGAAAGTGACGGCAGATGGAAAGTTAGTACTCGATCAGGAAGCAGAGTTGATCAGCACTGCAGCGGTTGGAATCGATGTCTGGAACCCTGCGTTTGATGTAACTCCAGCCCAGCTCATCGATGGAGTAATAACCGAAGTGGGTGTGGTGGAGAAGCATGACGGCAAGTTTGACTTTGGGTCCATATTCGGACAACCCTGATCCGACGGTGACGATATGTCTCGGTCGCAAGGCTGTAGAATGTCTTTGTGTGGGAAAATTGACATGACTAGCGATATATGTACTGGGGGTAATTGAGCTCCGTGTTGAAGAGTTGGTTGCGGCCTCAACTTGAAGAGGTGTGACCAGCACGTGGGAGTTCGGAACAACCGGCAAGCCTTACTTGGACTGGGACCTATCCGAGGGCGGATTATCCTGCTTCAAGTTCTCCTCCATGCTGGCCAGTAATTGGTCGATGCGACCTTCTATACCATCAAGCTTGGCTTCAAGGGCTGAGGCGGTACTTTCGCCTCTATAGATATTCTGTTAGTAAGGTGCAGGAGCCAAACCAGGTGGATTGCATACTGAGCCAGTTCTTGAAAGGCCTGGTGCCAGTTGTCAGTCGTTAGCGGATCGACAGCATTATCATGCCGAACAGGGTTCATGGCAGGCTTTTGTTCTCACCTTGGCCATCTCAGAATTCAACGCGCGAGGATTGTCATTGTCGTGCAGTTGGGTCGATGGGGAATGGGATTTCTCAGGCCCGTCTTTCTGCTGAGCCATGGCCAGCAGGTTGTGAAGGTGATCGAACTACCACAAGCCTTTTGGGATGCGGGGGGGTGTTGTCAAGGGACCAGGACAGCAAGCTCGAAGATCTGCGTCAGGGTTTCACGGAATGACTACTACTGAACCAGGGATCGGAAAGACGCCTATCCGCCAGAAAGGTCGGTATCAGTAGTCCGGCGTGGTGTGGTGTAGTGTGGTGTTTTGGTATGGTGTCGTCTTGACGAGAAACATGAGGGAAGGTAGGTTAGTGACTGAGTAGGATGGAGATCCTGTCGGGAAACTTAATCGAACGGACGTCAAGACCTGCCTAAACCAGATTGGTTAAATGACCAAACGGGTTGTTGTTCCTCGGCTGCAGATACGAAGACGAAGCAGCAGCTCACAGAGGGAGACCACAAACTTGACTTGACGAGCGGCGGCAGGTGGTTTCAGGGCACCGCCGTGGGCAGTCCAGTGGGCACCTTTTTGCGAATTAGGGGGCAGCCTTCCCCCTCCTCGGTACTTGTTGAATTTGGAGCCTCTGAGGTTAGGTAGCTTTAGCCACCAACGATCCTCACTCGTCCCTGCTGTCACGTGTACTTCGTAGGTGCAGTGGTAACGGAGTAATAACCTTTAAAGTATGGTGGTCTTTCGAATTTGGATATCGAGTTTCAACTTTCGGGTTCAAGTTTGGGCAAGCGACGCCCGAGCAGGTAGCCCGAGGGCGCCTCTGGTGTGGCCTATGGCTATGGCATTCCGCCGGTCAAAGCATGTGGAAACGTGACTATCTCCCTCGGGTAACCGTAGACATCTTGGCGGGGCTGTCTCAGGCACCTGGGCACTTCCAGGGCACATATTTCCGCGTCTGCCCCACGGTCGATGGATACTGGCACGCAGGACTACTTCGTACTACGGAGGACTCAGAAGTTAGTACTGACTTCCTAGCTAACGGACGCGTACTCATACCTTTGACGAGTCGACCGCCTGATTCGACCATCCGGTTGCTGAACACATATTAGCACCAGCGCGCTATGATCGAGGATTCGTAGAGACATCGTACCCGACATACCAACACCCAAGGTTGACCTAGCACACCGAGATCGAACTCTTGGGCGACAATCGATATCCCCCCAGCACGAGGGATCGACCAAGCTCCAGCAGTTCCACCTGCCCGAGCGGCATTGCCTTGCCTTGGTCATTCTGGTTCTGCTTGAGTTCACAACGTCTGCAGGGTCTTCTCTAACCCATTTCTATTGTGGAGCTGGCAATGATTTTGTTCCGGTAGCTTCCATTGTGCTGGGATCCTTAGCTGCGGTTCAACTTCTCCGTGACTCGCGAAAACGACCTTTCAGGGCGCCAGATCGACCGGCTACTTTCCTTGCACAATACTGACATGGGCGTGCTTTCCCGATTTCCTTGTCTGAAAAAGGGTTAGAATCTCTTTGAGGTCGGAGATAGAACAGCAGCTCTTGTCACAGGCCCTGCATCCTGTGGACTTGGGATGGAAGCTTCAAAGCGTAATCCTACGACTGTAGCTGCCTTAGGAACCTACTCGTACTAGGTAAATTACCTCTCGCAGATGTTTGACCTAAGCCCACATTTCTAGGTTTCATTTACCGGCTTTGAGCTGCCCAACTCCCACCGAGTAATCGCAGGAACTTGATAAATTTCTCTACAACGATTGCTTCAAATTAGTCTGCACTGGTGGTCCCCTTGGCGAGTGACCTATCCCGGTCAGAGGAGCAAGGTCATTCGGAACCAATGGCACCACCGGCATTTTTGGGGAGAGGATGGAAGATCACGATGGGGTCACAGGTTTGGCGTGATATGAGAGATGGCGGTTTGTAGATAGGCATTGTTCTGGCATCAACTTCACCCTGGCTGCTCATGGGTAAATAGAATACGATCAGATCTGGCCATGGGCAGCACAATCACGATGTTGGATGATTGATGCAGTGGTGGGGACCTCCCTCTGGCATCCAACGTTGGCTGAATGCCGATGGGAAACCAAGGTTCTCAGCCTCCAGGGAATGGGGTCCTGCCAGCGGAATTTCGTAGGTGGACAGCACTCGACTCGTGGGCGTGTGGGCACTACTGGGACACCACTTGGGCAAGCTAAAGGCAGTGGCTAGGACCCTTAGGGGTACCTATCGCGTAAGGCCTCTTCTGATTCCTCGTCATGCGGATACCACACCGTATTCGTCGCCTTTTCGCTGGTCGTCGGCAGCGGCGTATGACGCCAATGGCACGGCGTCCACTCCATCATCGATTATCCATCATTCACCATCCATGCTCCAAATGCCCCGTGCACTGACATCCATCGGCATCGGCTGCTGCGACTGGGACTGGGACTGCGACTCCACGCACCACGAGTTTACCTTAACCCAGTCCTGAGACTTGGCTTTCTTTCCTAAACATCGTTCACAGCCCAACACCATGGACAACCTATAGATTTTCTTTCCGGATCTTCTTGTCGATTTTGCATCTTTCTCCATACACTGGCGCTTGTCGCCCTTTTTTTCATTATCAGACTTTCGGTTGTGACTGGTCCTAGCCTGGCGGTGGGGAGCTTCTTCGCGTCTACTTGCGGCGTTCAGCGATATCTGGCTTAAACGCCATCCGAGTCCTCACTCTCGATTTTCATCTCATTGCCATCAATCAATTTGTCGACTCGTTTTCCCCAGCACGACATCTCGGCATCCCTCGTCGTCCCTGCAGGGACTGTCTTCGGATCTATTTACAGCCCCAGCGCCTTGCATTCAGGGTCTACTCTCTTGTGCGCCTGGTCCTGATCACAACCAATATCTTTTCTAGAGCCCATGGTGAGAAAGCAGATCTTGTAGACCCTGAGACCTCGACCCTGACGGTGGTCATCACTTGCCATCTGGGGTTCAAGGCCACCCGATCCATGAACCGTCGTTTGACTTCCTAGTGAATGGCGTGGAGAGCATATCAACATCAATAGCACGCAAGACTTGGACATTCCCTACCATTATCAAAAAATCACCCGTAAAAACTAATCACGCGTGGTGGCTTACTTTGGTGCCAAGTCTGCATCTTGACTGACCGAACTATCACGCTCCATTCTCTCGTCAAGCCCGCGAATCAGCTCCGAACGCTCGCTTAAGATCATCAACGACTCAGCACGACCATTTCCATATGCGACAAAAGCCTCCCGATACCGTCATTCGTTCTACAATTTGGGAGGCATATCGCCCCGATTGAATACGACCATCTAGGTATTCGTTTCCTCGCCGCTTTCAGGCATCGATGCACCCACACAAGCGCTTGGATGACAGATATCGCCCCCTACCTCGAGCGCCTGGGCCTTGAGCAATACTTTGACGCCTTCATAGGCGAAGGCTTCGACACTTGGGAGACCCTGCTAGACATTCAGGAGACAGACTTGTATGTCTTCGGTCGACCATCACTGGAGAAGTACGCGCTAACTTGATGGCAGTGACGTCCTCAATATCAAACTCGGACACCGCAGGGTAGGTCACTTACCTTTCTGAACAGTTCGCCATTAACCTTGAAATAGAAGCTTCAACGAGCGATTGCTGACTATAGAGGAATATCTTATGAACGGCTGATTGGCTCTCCGGCCCAGGACCTTCCTTATGAAGGCGGCAGGAGTTCAGAAGGTGGCGTCCCGACGTTGAGCACGCTAGAACGAGGCTCAGGTCCGGCACCCGAGACAAAGAGGAAATATCGTCGTCATCCGAAACCTGATGAAAACGCGCCCGAACGTCCTCCGTCAGCCTACGTTATCTTCTCCAACAAGGTTCGCGAAGAGGTCAAAGATCAAAGCCTCTCTTTCACACAGATAGCCAAATTGGTAGGAGATCGATGGCAGAAGCTCGATCCTTCTGGTAAAGAGCCGTTTGAGGCCCAGGCCAACGCTGATAAAGAGAGATATAACATTCAGCTGTCTGCATATCGAAAGACCGATGCATACAAGGAATACATGCAATACCTGTCAGAGTTCAAGGCCAAACACGGGCAGCCCCCGGATCAAAAAAGACCTCGCCTCGAACCCGAATCTAGCGGTAGCATTGTGTCCGCAAAGTCCTTGGAGATTAATCCCGAGGCCGTTTCAAGCCACTCAGGCCATGTGAGAGGCGGCTCAATTGGATCGATGGTCTCATCGCCCTACGCTGGTGGACCGGCACACTCGACCGGCAGCCTACCGATAGGTACTGCCGCGTCAAGACCACCTCTGCCCTCGTCTCGCAGCGGGTCGCCTCCCATCCAACAACAAAGTCGTGAAAATTTCCGCCCCGGACTCCTTTCGAGCCACAGCTCTGTCTCGGACGAATCAGCTACTATGCGTAATGACTTACCTGAATCATTGATGCGGACCGCCGGCTTAAACCTTGGTTCTGCGTCAGGTACGCCTCCTCTCCCACCGCATACCCCGAGCGTCGGTTCCCTGGAACCGGTAGGTTCACCTGATCTGTTCGCACGCTCGAGGCTCGCATACTACACTCAGACATCGGTACCAGGCGTTTCACCGGTCACCATTCCACCCCAGCCACCCTCGGCGAGCCCTTCTCTCCCACTGCCTTTCCCATCACCCACAGCACAGGAGGTGGGGTGGAGGAATCGTCCAATGGATACACGTGGTTTTCATGACTCACCGAGGGCGCTTCCACCATCGCTACCTTTCCCATCGGGACCTCAGCAGCTAGGGCCATCCTACTTACTACCATTGATACCTCCCGAGAAAGGGCCTGACATCGGCCAGCAAGGCGTGATGAGGAATCTTCCTCCGCCTCGTGTATCGCCCATGGGACAATCCAACCTTCCGTACATCGGTCGTCCCTTTGAGCAGCCTCGACCTTTTGCCAGTGAAATTCCTCCCGAGCGACCTCACGGCCAAGACGGTACTCGAAATCGGCTGGAATCTCCTGAAAATGACGCGGCGACCACATTAGCAGGGCTGGCGACTGTGGCATCGCGGCCCAGTACGACCAAACCTTCCGGACACCCTCCGCATCGATCACCTCCTTGAAATACCCTATTTTGACTGGCACTCCATCATCGCGAGATATAAAAGCAAAACCATGTTGCAGAATGATCTGCAACCACGAAGAATGTTGAATTGAGGCATTGAATTTTGGTGTTGGGCATTGGTCTAGAACCCTGAATCATGTAGAACGTGATTTCGAGAATGTTTTGAATGATGATGTCTTGTGGCTCGAAGACCACAGCAATTATTTTACTTACATTTTCCCTCCACCCCGTCGGTGCCTTGCTCGTACGTCTCGAAGAGCGCTTAGTTCACATTCGTAGCCTTGATCTTGCCCTCTGTTTTGCCCATCACGATGACGCGTCTGATAAATGTATTTTTAAAAGCTGGAAACACACGTCGTACATGGATTCCAGTCTACAAAAGAAACGCAACATTGTGTTTGAAAGGAAATTAGACTTCCATCATATCGACTTACTTAATCAAACTTACAGAGGGCTGTGATAGCTGGTTGGGACATGGTGGGCGGAGTAGGTAGGCTGCATGATAGCCTTGTATCTGTGCTGGACGTTTGAGATAGATCTTCTTGGGCGAATAGCAAGGCTTAGAGGCAATCAAGAAGAGAGTTCGATAGTCATTCCCTCTCATTAGACCGAGAAATTGAAACAAGCCCCCTATGATAGTTGTGGGCCGTTGATCGAACGGGCGTCGATCATAGAAAGGCTTAGTGCCATCCCCCGCCTCCAACCAGAGAGCCAAGCTGGGCGTTTCTTCTTCCAACCTCATTTTAAAAAGTCCCCCCACAGAAAACCATCCGGAACAGCACGATCGCTTCCAGGTTTCCCTTGTCCATTTTTCCACCTGTCCTTCTCGTCGACTCACATGAAGCCGAGGAAGACATGTCGCCATTCCCTGGCATGGCATGGCCCGCGACATGATGCCAATTTCCTCAGCCATCGCCGAAACAAGGCTGCTGTGGACTCTGTTGTCTCCTGCTTATTTGATGGCTCGATCCAATCGTCCCCCTCAGCCAGCTTGCTTGCCAGGTTGAAGCCCGTCGAAGCTTTTGTCTAGTGCTTGATCGCCCGAGGCATGTTCTCGAATCATGCTTGTACCTGGCTCATGCAACAGATGTGGTCAAGGTTTGATATGCTTAACGACCTTCTTGAACCGTCAACTCCTCCGTGATAATGGGCGATCAACAAAGTCCTCCAATGTCCTCGGCCATCGCCGGACGGGCCTGAACTAATGTGGCATCATCTCCATTCCAGTTTTTATCATAATTCCAAGTAAGTTGTTGGTGCATCAGAGTGGGTATATCGGAAAGTGTTGTTTACGGACAGTCGAAGGAATGATGAATTATAAAAGAGGTACTTGACGGGCTGGTCTCTCTCGAGAAATCTTCTCAAGCCTCATCCAATTCTTTCATTCTTTCCAGTCAGCAAGGCATCCATTCATTTAGTTGTGTCCTCGAGACCCTGTCATTCTTTGCCCTCAAAATGCATACATTCACTACTCTTGTCGCTCTTTCTGCCCTTGCTGGCACAACACTCGCGAGGCCCGCCCCGGTCCCAGAGGTGACCACCCGAAAGGGCTTTACTATCAACCAGAGCGTTGCGAAACCATTTCAGGCCGGTCCTGTGGTTTTGCAGCGCGCGTACCGAAAATACAACCGCGTTGTGCCTGATGCAGTGAGCCGTGCGGCTCAAGATGGCACTGTCAGCGCCACACCGGAACAATTCGACTCGGAATATCTATCACCCGTGACCATCGGAGGCCAGACCGTCAATCTTGACTTCGACACTGGTTCCGCAGATTTGTGAGCAACCATCTAGCAATGCCTGGGTGAAGCCGCTTTACTAAGTATGCCACAGATGGGTTTTCTCGTCCGAGCTTCCGAGCGCTCAACGGCAAGGTCATGAGTTCTACGACCCATCCAAGTCCGACACTGCTCAAGAACTCGATGGTGCAAGCTGGAACATCACCTATGGAGATGGATCGGGTGCCAGTGGGAATGTCTATCTCGACACTGTGGATGTTGGTGGCGTGACGGTCACCAACCAGGCTGTCGAGCTTGCATCTCAAATCAGTGCTCAGTTCCAACAGGATGAGAACAATGATGGCCTTCTCGGGTTGGCTTTCAGCTCCATCAACACAGGTAATTGTGCCCGGTTGTCCTCCAAGCATGCTTCTAATATGCACACAGTGACACTCGATCAACAAACCACATTTTTTGACACCGCGATCAACCAAGGGGCTCTTTCCTCCAACCTGTTCACTGTCGATCTAAAGAAAGGTGTCCCCGGAACATACGACTTTGGATTCATCGACGACAGCAAGCATACCGGCAAGATCACGTACACTCCCGTCAACCCATCGCAAGGGTTCTGGGAGTTCACCAGCACCGGATACGGCGTTGGAAACGGGTCGTTCAAGAAATCCAGCATCGATGCTATTGCCGACACTGGAACCACACTGGTCTTGGTCGATGATGCGATCGTCGCTGACTACTACAAGTCGGTGCGAGGAGCGAAATACGACAACAGCCAAGGTGGCTACGTCTTCCCTTGCTCAGCAACCCTTCCAAACTTTGTCGTTGGCATTGAGACTTATCATGCCGTGATTCCTGGCTCTTTCATCAACTTTGCCCCTACCGATAATTCTGGTACAAGTAAGTTACTACTCTCAACTTCCAATAACTTTCAGTCGTCCTTGATGGCTGACTTGTTCTTTTTCTTCTAGCTTGCTATGGTGGTATTCAGAGCAACCAGGGACTGGGCCTCTCCATTTATGGCGACATCTTCCTCAAGGCTGTCTTTGCGGTTTTTGACAGCGACAACACACAACTTGGATTTGCTCCTAAAGCCTTGTAAGGGTTGGACAGTATCATGTGGAACACATGGGTCTGCCAAGAGGACATGTGGAATTGGTTGAAGATGAGAGGCATGTGAGGCACTTCCGGATATCACATGCTCGAGAAACAAAGAGGAAGTCACTCTAGCAAGGTAGTATGTGGACATATTATCTTGTTGGTAATTTACAATTTTATCCACACGAACGATATAAATGAAATAAGTTCAATTTGCTGTCATACTGGTACCTCGTACCATGCTTCGAGAATGCGTGCAGCATTAGGTACTTAATGCAATAGTTAGTTAGTGTCCTCCGGAGATCATGGCTTCATGGCTTGCAGCTCCAACCCCTGGGCATCGGGCTCCGCCCCACCCGTGCTTTGACGTCACGGGCGTGCAATCCACCCTCAGCCAAGTTCAAACGTGCCCCCAATCAGTTGCTGCACGAGTACAAAGTACACGCAACACACATACAGATAGCAATCCAGAAATTCATTTCTCACCCCATACTATACTCCTCCACTCGCTCAGAGCCACTACTACCTACTAAGCAGATTTACGCCCTACAGTATCAATTCTTCTCGGGACTTACGTTGGTTGATTCGGGCACAAAGTCCCCCTGTCCTTGACCCTGCAGTGCATCTGTCATGACCATTTGAATTTCCTCGGGATTTATGCTTCAGCGAGGGCATTCCGACTTTGCGTGGTTCAAAGAGCGCGCCGACACCCTGCAAAGCGATACCGTCACAGCCTACGCGGAAATGGCCTCTTCCAACGGCGGCGCTCCAGCGCTGAACACTGAACCCGCGGACCCTGAAGAACGTGCTGAGCTCAATCTACCTCCCAAGTCCTTTGCCGATGCTGTGAGCCACTCGACCGGACAGAACGGAGTTGGCAGCAGCGATTCTGGTGTGTTGCGCGCCGAGCCTGCAGACCCTCAAGAACGTGCTGAGCACCATCTACCGCCGAAATCTTACGCCGACAGTGTCGTGCAACCCGCTGCGACTGCCCGAAATGGAGATGGTCTCCATGAGACTAACGGTGATGGGCCCCATCAAGGAGTTAATGGCGATGCGTTGAAACAGGACGAGGACAAGCTGGTGCATGAGAAGTATACAAGTGTTGATGGGAAGACATCCTTGACCAGCGTCAAGGTCGACGAGGAGCATGATGAGAGTTTGAAACACAGTCGGAAGATTGCGCCTCGGGACAGCAATACCAAGTTCAAGAAACAAGACACTCCCAAGGAGCTTGCGAGTGGCCGAAAGGCTGGCGCAGGCTGGAATAGGTCTGCGTACGGACCACCCCAGGTTTCCTTTCGACGGAGGGTATTTTTTGCTGACGCGCTGATGATAGTATTCGATGGGCACCGCTCAATGTCCCGCTTCAACGACGGTTACAGACCCTGGCGGTCTTGTGGCATACCATGACCATCCCGATCTTTCTCTCTCTCTTTTTCCTCCTCTGTGCCGTTCCTCTTACCTGGCCACTCCTCATCCCCTACCTCATCTATACTCTGTTGATCAGTGAAGAGGCAACCAACGGCACACTTTCGCGACGGAAGAATTGGCTTCGCCGGTCGAAATTCTGGTCTGGGTTTGCTTCATATTTCCCGGCCCGACTACACCGAACGGTCAGTTTGGAGCCTACAAGGAAGTATATCTTTGGATATCATCCACACGGTATCATATCCCATGGCGCCTTTGCTGCCTTTGCCACTGAGGCCTTGGGATTTTCCGACCTCTTCCCGGGCATAACAAATACTCTCCTCACCCTGGACACCAACTTCCGGGTGCCCCTCTATCGAGACTATGCTTTGGCCATGGGATTGGCGTCTGTTTCACGAGAATCTATTGAGAATCTCCTATCCAAGGGAGGACACAACGGTGAGGGCATGGGTCGAGCTGTGACCATTGTGATTGGTGGTGCTCGAGAGAGTCTCGATGCGCAGCCACATTCGCTGAGGTTAGTATTGAGGAGTCGAAAAGGATTTGTCAAGCTAGCGATCCGCCAAGGGGCAGATCTTGTCCCTGTTCTGGCATTTGGGGAGAATGAACTTTATGACCAAGTTGATAGTGTCGAGCACCCGTGGGTTCACAAGGTACAGATGGTGGTGAAAAAGATGATGGGTTTCACCATCCCCCTGTTCCACGCTCGAGGCATCTTCAACTACGATGTGGGCTTGATGCCGTACCGACGAGGGGTGAATGTCGTGGTAGGCCGTCCTATCAAGGTGGTCCAACAGGGCGGAAAGGACAACAAGGTCGACGAAGCATACCTCGACAAGGTGCATCAAGAGTATGTGGACGAGCTGGTACGGTTATGGGATGGGTACAAGGACACATTCGCTAGAGATCGAGAAGGGGAGCTGGAAATCGTCGAGTAACAAGACTGACGAACAATTTCTACTTTCTTGTATACTATAAGAGCTGGGTAAGTTATGGTTCGAATGGCAGACTTGGGCTTGAACGGAATGGGACTACTGAACGATGGACGACACAGTGACGGAACTGGAGCAAGTGCTTCCACCTTGAAAATGGGGCTTGGATGATGGGGGTTAATGGATGATTGTACAAATATAGGAAGAGAATTGAGCGTTCAGAGATAACTCGATGGCAATGCTGGGTGCTTTGTATTTGTCAAGACACAACCTTCATGGAAGGTACAGGCACGGAATAACATTCCTCCCATTGCACCTTCCCAAGCCCAATCTCGATAGCCTCGTGGTAGTAGCAGCGGCAGGCGCGTTACTTCCCAGCCTCCACGTACCAACGACAACCCGACGCGTTCCTCCCTGTCCTCAAGTTCGTCGAGTTTGAATTTGACCTACTCTCAAATCCGACTGGAGCCCACTTGCCATCTCTTAGTTCTTCTATCAACAGAAAATATTCAGGGACATCCCCAAGAAAGATGCCTCCCAAACGAGCCCCCAAAAAGTCTGCACCAGCTACCTCCCGTCTCGCTCGAGCACTTGACATTGACGACGATAATGACGACGAAGAATTGGAGGGCCAGCTCGACATGGCGCAAGAGCTGCGTGCCCTGGAGGAGAACCTCCGAGGGAGTATGGCTGTCGATGTGAGTTGACGCTCTCTTGGGGGAAATAACATGGCTGACGTTGCGACCTTCCCAGGCTGGGCTCGGCAAAGAGCAGAAGCAGAAGCGGCTGGAGAAGGAGTTTGAATCTCAGATGGGAAATGTTGAAGAGAGAATCGACGAGAAGGTGAGGGTTTACCGGGAGAAAGTCCGTCGGGATCAAAATTCGTATCTCGATCGACTTGGCGAGCTGGTGGCTCGAAAGGCAGAGATCGAGAGGCAGATTGTACGGCATACTCAAGAGCTCGCTGAGCATTGTCGGACTACGACGGAGGAATTTGAGGCTGTCCTTCATGGCCGATCTCACGATGTTCATGGGGCAATTGAGGATCTGAAGAATGCAGCGTGCAACGGCACCAGTGAAGATGGTGCGCTGCAGTCTGGAAAATAGACCATTTGAGGTCTTGTCATCAATCTCCCTCCACGGCAAACATGACCTTGATGAAGAGGCTGCACCCAAGGCATCCAACAAAGATCTCTCCATGTTGACTCTCTTTCTCAAGATCGTCCACCGCCACCATGTACCCACGCTCATCACCACATCGGCATGATCTCGACCAGATCTCCTTGTCATCATCATATGCCATATCTTCCAGATCGAACACCTCTACCCCGATGTGTGTTCCACTTTGGCCTCGCTGGTCTGTCTCATTGCGCCTCAGGGCCTCATCATAAGCGGCTCTTTTGTTCGCGTTTGACAGAACTTTATAGGCGGTGGTGATCTCGTCGATCGAGTAATTTGGTGGCTGTGTTGACAATGATGGTGCTTGGGGTTTGTTATTGCCGTTCGATTTGTCTACAGACTCGACCGTGTTGGGGATTTTATCTGGGTGATGAACGAGCAAGGCACGACGATAGGCTCTCTTGAGCTCATCAACGTAGTGAAGGTTCCATTCGGTACTGGGAGGGATTTGCAGGATGTCGTAGTATGTGTAGAGGTTATGACCGTCTCCCACTGCGCAGGCGGCTTGGTCGATAGGAGGAGTGGTCGTGGGCTCGCACATCAGTCGTCGCGGGCTTCAATCTGAGTCAAAGAGCGTCGTGCCCAAAAATAGATCAAACCCAGTCATATTCCTTCGTTTTGCTCACCTGACGATCTAAAGGAGGACTCCTGTTGGTGATCTTGTGGAGACTTGATGTGATGTTGGTTGCCAGTGTGGTGATCAACTCAAGTTAGGTGAAAGCAAAGACGTTGACGACGTTGTACAAATCATAAACCGGAACATAATAAAATTGGCCACTACGGTTACTTTCTGCCACTAAATACCAACGCGTATGTTTCTCGCTTGACCTGGTACTTTTGCCACAGGTCACCAGTCACGAAGCACCTTGATGACCTCCTCTGTGCTATAGGTGCCTAGGTATTGATCCCCTAGACACCATCCAACATAACATGAAACACCATATATAGGTACTCATACATCGTCACTTGGTAGATCAGATCCCCCTCTCCAAGGATGCCTCTCCACAGGACTCTTGGCAACTCCAATCCCATGCCGCGACGCCGCGCGTTTTGTGTGTGCGTGCAGCTTTTTAGGAAATGCAAAACGTCATACCCTTTTCCCCATGCGCACTTGAAGGTTGCCCACCACTTGTGCCTTGATTGTGATGCAGCGACACAAGAGTGCGAATGCGGAGAAAAGCCCTGGGATTATGATGCTTGCTGACCTTGTTTGGATGGAGCAATGCCGTGTGCACTGGCCACGACTGGCCTACCATGTCATGGACATACCCTAGGTGGGTTAGGTACTGGGGGGCAGGTACCAACGACGTAGGTAGGGTTTGCGACTTGTTTGTGGTTTTTACATCAACTTGTCAGTGCCTGAGGATTGGAACTTGAATTCGAGTCGTGTGCTTTGCCAGAGTCCTCAGTGTACTGTTTCTTTCTCAACAGCCATATTTTCCTTGCCAGAGGGTGATTCTTCTTCCTTTACTGCTGTGGTTACTACGTTCAAGTTGTTGAATACCTTTCTTCGTGAGGCAGGCCTTCTTCCTGCTCTTGCTGCAATTTTGAGGGTATTGGAACAATAGGATTTCCCTTGTTACTTGAGGTAGGATTGCCATTCATCCTCGTGGTCCTGTTGTGACGAACGAATTCTCCTGGTCTTACGAGCCCATGACATATGCAAAGCGCAATAACACCAACCCCCGCACGAAGTCTACCGTTTGAACCATCCCTACAATGGGTAGCCACGAAGACGACTTCGACACCGACGGCTCACGGCGCCGATATAAAGCACCCTACACGGCACACCACCCCATCCCCACGATCCAGAAATACAAGGCCGAGCGGAGCGAGTTAGAAGGCCAGCAGAAACAGGCGGAACACGCTCAGAAAGACGAGGCCGACGATGGCACGGTCAAAAGGGCTTACCATGCCGCCAAGGGCATCTTGACGGGCGAGGATCCTGCTCCTCGTTCTGGCCATGATCCCTATGCCACGGAGAACAGGAATGTGCAGGGCACTGGCACGGGTCATGGTGGGCAGGAGAAACATTCTGGTCCTGGAGGAGATGGAAGTGACGATGCAGTCTCACGCCCACAATCCCAGGTGCAGTCGCAGCCGCAGTCGCAGAATCAACAGCCGGGGAATTTCCAAAATGGGAGGACTGAGAGTCAGGACAAGAGCAACACCAGTCAGAAGTCCGACCATAAGGGTGGAAAGTCTGCCACCGAAGCCGTCGCAGGACACCACGACCCTCGACAGAAACGAAAGGACATGAAACACAATAAACGCGATGACGGTGGACGAGAAGTGACCGATCCCATCACACACTTGCCCATTGTGATTCGCGACTCGACACACAAAGATCTCAAGTCGACACCGGAGAACGAAGTGGCTTCTGGAAATGTACCACGGACCAGTACGGGCCTCAGTGGTGCCAGCAAGTCAACGGACCAACTTCAGAGTGAGAGGTCCGAGCTGCAGAAGAGTCATGAAGGCATGCAGAAGTTGTTTCCGCCGCCCAGCTTCGAGGACTTGAAGCTGGAACTGTCCAGGACGTATCAGCTGGCACTGACCGTTGGACTCGGTGCTGTAGTGCTACTGGTCTCCTTGGTGTTGACTGCCGTTCAGCTATTTGGACTGAGTTTCAGACGGTCTGACGAGAGCAGCAGCAGGAGCTCATATCTCTACTCCATTATACCGACCGTGGCGATTTTATCAACATCAGTCGGAATTGGAATTGCCGTCGTCCTTGCAACGCGGAGCTGGCTTGGCAAAAAGGTCGAAGAGGTCTGGAAGGATGAAGTGTGGGATGCCGCGAGGTCGGAAGAACTCGAGGTGAATGATTCTGAATCTATTGTGCCCGAATCCGTGGCGTGGTTGAACAATCTTCTGGCCGCTGTGTGGCCCTTGATTAATCCTGACCTCTTCACTTCCATCTCCGACATGCTGGAAGATGTTATGCAAGCTTCTCTGCCCAAGGTGGTGCGTATGGTCAGTGTAGATGACCTCGGACAGGGCAGTGAGTCTTTTCGCATTCTCGGTGTCAATTGGCTTCCCACAGGTGCTGCTAGTCAGACTGTGGATTCTGATGGCAATCTAAAAGAGGCTAGTAATGAGAACGACAATGATCGTGCCGCGGGTGGTCAGGGACAGATCGATGATGGCAACTCTGACAACAAAGGTCAGGAGAGCCCAGACGAAGATCAAGATTCCAAGGATAGCAAACTGGACGAGCAGCAAAAGGAACAAGAACAGCAAGCTATTCGGGAAGGTATGGAAGCTGAACAGGGTGACTTTGTGAACATGGAACTTGCATTCGCATACCGGGCTCGCTCTTCGGGCAAGTCCATCCAAGCCAAAGCAAAAAATGCCCATTTATACCTCAAGTTCTACCTTCCTGGGGGTATTGCAGTTCCTATCTGGGTCGAGTTGCGAGGCATCATCGGGACAATGAGACTACGATTACAGCTCACCCCAGATCCTCCATTCTTCAGCCTGTGCACACTTTCGTTCATGGGCCAGCCACAGGCTGATCTATCCTGCGTTCCACTTTCACGGCACGCCCTGAATTTGATGGATATTCCTCTTATCTCGTCCTTCGTGCAGTCATCCATCGATGCTGCACTGGCAGAGTATGTGGCGCCCAAAAGCCTTACACTCAACCTCAAGGACATGCTCGTGGGCGATGATTTCAAGAAAGACACTGTCACTCGAGGTGTTGTCATGATCTACATCAAGTCTGCAAGTGGGTTCAAGGAAGGAGATGGTGGTATCGGTCCTTTCAGGGGTTCAAGTGATGCATACATGACAGTCTCATGGGGCAAATTCGGAAAGCCAGTCTCATCAACTCGCGTCATCGTTGACGACCAGAATCCTAGCTGGCATGAGTGGTCACATATTCTGGTCACCCCGGAAGAGTTGAACGCGGACGAGAAATTGCGGTTGCAGCTTTGGGATTCTGACAAATACACTGCTGATGATGACTTGGGTCGTGTCGAGGTCGATCTACGTGAACTCATGCATAGTGATAAGACCAAGAACAAAATGTGCGATCGTGAAGATCGTTTTGTGGGCGAGGAGCCCGATGAAAAGATGCCGGGTTCCGTTCAGTGGAGTGTAGGGTATTTTGAAAAGACCAAGATCACAGAAGAACAACTTGCGAAGCAGACTGAAGACCCCGATATCAAGTCGATCGAAGACCTCAAGAAGCAGGTCAGCGACGCCGCGGAGCATAAGTTACGTGAGGCTACGGCCCAGAACGAAAGCAAGGAAATAAAGCAGCAGAAACAAGAAGACTACAAAGAACGAGAGGATGCGTTGATTATATCTGCTCCGCCTCCGAATGATCATCTCAGCGGCGTTTTCAGTATTCAGATTCACAATATTACCGGACTCGAGGTGGAGTCGTTGAACAAGAAGGACAAGAAAAAGGGTGAAGGTGATAGAGAGGATGAGGCAGAGCAGTCTGACGACCTCCCCAGCAGCTATGCCACAATTATTCTCAACCACCAAAAGATCTACCGGACCAGGACGAAGCCGAAGAACGCGAAACCATTCTTCAATGCAGGCACAGAACGATTCATTGCCAATTGGCAGACTGCAGAAGTCATGATTTCTGTGCGTGACGATCGCGAAAGAGAAGACGATGCACTGCTCGGCATGGTCTATCTGCCTTTGCGAAGAGTTTTTGAGAAGAGAAGTCAGGTTATGGAGTCCTATCCACTGGTTGGTGGTATTGGCTATGGAAGAGCGAGAATCAGTATGGTATGGCGAAGTGTGGACTTACAGTTACCCAAGGAATTGCTTGGTTGGAACTATGGCACGCTTGAAATCCACTGTCCTGTCCGAGCCAAGTCGACGGGTAGTGGCAACATGGATCAGTCTTTTATGCAACACCGCATCAAACTGCGCACTGCATTGATGCGTGCCAAGATGCAGAAGGCGGGCGATGGCAACGATGGCACCGTCGGTGAATGGAAGCCGAAGCGAGATAAGAAATCTGTCTTTCTCGCCGTACGGAAACGATATGCCAGTCCACTGATCATCGAATTCCGTAAATCCTCGCTGGGACCAGATTCGACGCCTGCATTTGCCGTCTTCTGGCTGAAGGACATACCCGACGAAGAAGAGAAGACTGTCACCATCAAAGTCTGGAAAGGTGGAAAGGAGAACTTCCAGCGAGCAACTTCTAGCTACGGATACGAGGGAATCGAGGAGAACGAAGAACCGCTGGGTGAGATCGAGCTGACGATGAAATTCTGGAGTGGGCTGAGCGGATACCACAAAAACTTCGCGAACAAAGGCCGCAACACGGACGTGCGAAACGTGATGGAAGTGCTCGACACGGCCAACGACGAAGGGCAAGTCTCAGACGGCTCGGAAGGCTCTAGCGATACCGACTCCACCTCCTCCTCGACCACCGACCTCTCCCCATCCAACAGCCGAGACCACAAAAAACTCCGCGCGCACACGAACGACACGTCCAGCGATAGCGACTCGTCCGACGGCGGCGAAGACCAGCACCCGTCGAAGAAGCTCGCCAAGACGCCGATCGCCAAAGCGAAGGAGGTGGTCAACAGCCTCGTCGACGTCGACGGCCACAACGACGCCAGCGACGGCGAGCGCGGCGCCCGCGCCCAGGTCCGCGACTACAAAGACCACCACAAGCAGCTGCACCGCAAGCATCGCGGCGTCATGCAGTGGAAGGGCGCGCGGACGTTGGATTGGATGGCCGGCAAGGCGAAGAGATCAAAGGATCGCGTCGGGGATGTGTTCAGGCATGATGATGATAATAAGGCCGGGGGGATTGAGACGGAGGTTTGAATGTGCTTGAGATTTGTGTTTTTGGCGGCTCTTCGGTTGGAATGGAAATGTTTGGGATTGGGATCATGCGAGTGCAATTAAATAAGGGAAGGAGATTCCTGCATATCACGCCGTATGCTATGCTATCTTGATGAAAGCGATGTTTTGTTTATTCAGGCGTCGTGTCATGCGAGCAGTTGGCCCTCGTGCGACATATACTTGTTCGGAGTGCCTTTTTCCACTGCATGGGAAAGGATAGGCACCCAAGGCTACCTAGCGCACAATATATAGGTAATTACATATCGAAAGGGGCTTTTCATAAGCTTAGAATGTATACAAGAGCGATGTTAGTGAATGGCTACTATGTTAAATGCTCCAGAGTGAGTATTAATACTCAGCCCTCGGGCCCGTTGCAGCCTAAGGCAGAGAAAGGGTTTCAAGCCTACGAGGTAATATTAACTAACGGTTACGTTAAGCCTTCGGCCCGCAGGAGGTGACGCTACCTACTAGTACCGCTCATTAATTAGTTAGTTAGCTAAGCAGTCAAACTTAGAAGTTGCTCCTTCCTGAATTACCATATGTACTACTTCGTACCTTCCTGCTTCTGGAGTTCCAGAGCAGCTCAGTGGCATCAACCGTTACAGTGAATTATCTGCCTCATGCTACCTCCATTAATGTTCAATGTGACACACTTCCTGTAGGCCATGATTGCAGTGTCAATACTACTGGTCAAGCCCCCCTGGGAAAGCAGGCACAGCGCGTGCGCGAAAACCTTCGTACCTTGGGTAAAAAATGGTCGGGTGTTGTCTGCGAAAGGAGCAAGGCTCGCTTGCCCTGCATGAGGTCGCCAAACAAGCTAGCACGACTTGGGATTGCAGCACCAAGTCAGTCTGCCTGCGCTCAAAGTATTCAGCCTCATTCCTCGACTCGCGCGTAACAACGATGAGCACATATCGTCTCATTCTAGCGCTTGACTTGTGTCTCATATTGTGAGCTTAGCGGACTGCGAGTATCATGAGCTCCAACCCGCCTACAAAGCGCCACAGGTTCCAGTTCTGGAAGAGCTCGAAAGCGGAACACACCTCCCGTCGCGAGCCTAGCAACCACAATCAGAGCCTCACTTTTCCTCAGAGCCAAATCGTATCGCAGGATGTAGGACGTGCGTTCGATCTGGTGAAGTATAGTTCGCTGAGTCTCGAGACAGAATCGAGGTGATTTCGCTAAAAGGGTGGATGTTGCTGCCTTAGAACCGCAGAACACTTCGGATTCACAGCTTCGAACGATTCAGGAAACACAACAACGATGGGTTGATGCTCTTGGCCTCAAGATACTAGCGCAGCCCGAACAGGTGAATGAGAAATTAGAGGCATCGTCAATTGATGTCATTGCCGTCCATGGCATTGGAGGTAATGCTTGGACGTCATGGGAGCATCCGAACGGACATCTCTGGCTCCGCGACTCATTGCCAAAGCACTTTCCATGTGCCAGGATATTTTCCTTTGGCTATGACGCGAAAGTAGCTTTCACGAGAGCGCGAGGTGATCTTCGAACCTTTGCACGGTCGCTACTTCAGGGCTTGAGAAGCCACAGACTAGGAGATGTTCGTTCTTGCCCTGTTTGCCAACCAATATTGCTAAGACTTATCAGCATCTTGAAAACAGGCCGATCATCTTCATCTGCCACAGCATGGGCGGCCTTGTGGTCAAACAGGTAGTAGACCAAGCTATATCTCAATCCACTAACGCTTGCTCAACCCAAGACAGGCATTGATCCACGCACGTCTCGATGAAAACGACTTTGGGACAATAAGAAGTGCCACGAAAGCTATTCTTTTTCTGAGCACCCCGCACCGAGGCTCGGACGTGACTCCCTATCCGAAACTTCTGAGCAATATTGGCCGTATCACAGTTGATTTTACAGGTTTGTCTGGTCTGATGGGAAATTTTCGATCCGATCTTATAGGGCTCCTCGAAAGGGACTCGTCGAAATTGACCGACCTCAACACAGATTTCCGAAACCAGTACGCCGGGATCACGATGATATCATTTGTTGAGCAGTCGGCCACCCCTCCTTTTAAACACAGGGTACATCACCAGCGGTCCCAAGATATTCTTGGTCTAACCGGTGACCTTAGGTCGTTGATGAGACAACTGGTATCATGGCAGTGCCGAGCGAAGACATCGTTCCAATGGACGGTTGCGACCATCACACTGTCTGCCGCTTCCCAGGAGATACTGCTGCATTCAAACTACTCCTTTCTCAGTTGCAAAGAATTGTCCAAGGTCAGTTTACATTGTTATACGCACCTCTTCGTACTGCTTGCGTTTGTCACACCACCTATGTCTGAAACCTTGTACTTGCGAGTGTTGCAAGACACCGTTGCTTACACTGTGCAGGATTGAAGTTTCGGCGCCGCAAGGAAGGTTTGTGAAGCCTGGCTTGTAATGCTGCTTCTTCTAACAATCTGGAGAATCGAGGGAATTGAACGTCATACTCCAAGAAGATCGTGATGGTGAGTTGCCGATTTCCGGGCTGCATCTACTGATTAGCCTTGAGTTTGTGCCAAGTCCCTCTTACGCTCCTAGCGCTTTGCAAATCCCTGGTCTTCGAAGACATGATTTTCCGCGAGAATGACATCGAGAAGCCGGTTGCCTCCACCTGTGAGTGGCTTTGGAAAGCCCCTAAATATCGCAGATGGAGATCACGTGAGTTACTCAGCGCCCACATGGGCTTCTTGTGGATAAAGGGCAAGCCAGGCTCCGGGAAATCAACCATGATGAAACATGCAGTGAGAATGAATCATGCTCAGAAATCGAGATGTGAACTCATCATACAGTTCTTCTTTCACGGCCGCGGCAAATCAAGTCTTCAAAAGAATGCCTGTGGTTTATATCGTTCGCTAATGCACCAACTATTTATGGAAACCAGAACCGTACCTGCCGAAGTCATGCTTCATTACAAGCAGCGTCAAGTCCTTGGACAAATTGGATGGGATCAACAAAATGAATTGAAGGAACTTCTCCAGGAAAGCATCAGAGTGCTAAATTCCAGTCATCGAATCATCATTTTCGTCGACGCCCTTGATGAATGTGGAGAAAATGAAGCGCGTGATATTGTGGATCTGCTCTACAGTCTCGCAGAATCAGCGTTTGACGATGGACGCGAGCTTGACATATGCGTGTCCAGCAGACATTATCCCAGCATACGAGTACCTAAGTGCTATGAATTACGAATGGAGCATAGCAATGCTCGTGATGTAGAGACTTTCATTGATACGAAACTCAGTCACTTATCTCCACGAATGTCTCAACATGAAACCGAGATGATCAGAGAATATCTCGTATCTGCATCTTCAGGTCTATTCCTCTGGCTCAGTCTTGTGATTCGCAATGTTATTGCCTTTCGTCAGAAAGGAAAACCTTGCGAACAACTATTATCACTTATCCGCCAAACTCCACAAGATCTCATGGAGCTTTTCCGGTTCCTTTTCACAGCCTTTGAAAATGAAGAAGAAAAGCAACAAACCCTACGCCTGTTTCAGAGTACAATCTTTGGTCAAATAGGATTCGAACCGACTGACGCTCTTCATTTCGCTCAAGCAAGAATTGTTGACGAAGATACTATTACCCCGGAAATTGCGGAAATTCGTGTAGTGGAGCTATCACGAGGACTTCTAGAGGTAACGACTGGTAGACGCCAGAGCCCCGTCATCCAGATAATCCATCAGTCGGTGTCTGATTTCATGGTCGATCATGGTGGTCTTCAGCTATTGGGAGTCCCTGTGGCATGCAGTATCACCGGCGTCAGCAACTTAACGATATACCATAATCTCGCAACCATTCTACGAGATCATGTTGAACCAGGATGGTCAACGAGGATGATCGATGGCAGTAAGTTACAGCGTACCATCTACAGACCATCAAAGAATCTCTTCACGTATGCGCGGGACTACGCATTCTTCCACCTTCATACTGCACACGAATGTGGAGTCTATCTAGACAGCCCAGTTGGCGAGGAGACGCAGGCTACGTGCTGGGCGTGGTGCGACTGCCCAAATCCATCGTCGAAGATTTGGTTAAAAGGTGCATCAAAGATGCATCAAGAGGTGAAACCAGGAATCCTTGCGATGTACGTCTTCACCCAGCTTGGTCTCCGCAATTATGTCACAGAGCTACTTCAAGCCGGTGTCAATGTTGACGGTACACCGGACGGGATGAGCATGCTGAGCTTCGTCGATGGGTATAAATGGCATACTCTCCATCGTGGGGGACACATCTCCAGATCGGGTTGCTTGCGTAGCTTTATCAGTATAGCAAAGGACCTGATACAGAGCTCAAGCAATGTGCAAAGGTTGGTCAATCTTCGGGACTGTCAGACTCGCCGCCCCCTGGAATCCGCTACTGCGCAGAACAACCTGGATCTCATGCGATTGCTATTGGACAACCATGCTGAAATCAATTACATCGACACTGTCGGCAGGAACCCATTGTACATAGCCTGCATACAGGGTTGCCTGGAAGCCACGCAGCTGCTTTTGCAGCATGGAGCCACTTTCGATCCACATGAATGCCGAAGAGGCAATATTCTTTCTGCTGCTATTCACGGGAAGAACTCGGATATCATCAATATCATCCTTGCTTTGACGGAAAACTTGGATGGAGAGGACGCTTTAGGGTGTCCGTTATGGGTTTGCCGCCGAAAGAATAACCCAGATGTGCTCTGGAGATTACTGAAAAGGGGAGCCAATCCATGGTCCTTGCCAGCCCACAATCCTATGTTCTCCCCCCGTACTTTTAGCAGAAGTATGATTGAGCTTGGACCGCTGATAATGCTCCTGTCTCTCAGTGGGGTGCTCACAGCAGATACGGTGAACAGACTCGATCGCTGTGGCAAAGCCATTATCCATTATGCTACGGAAGCAGGTCTAAAAGTCTGGGTCGTCATTTTGCTTACCCGCTACAGTGCAAATATTGAACAAAGAGATGTGAATGGGGCCACAGCTCTGGGGATCGCGATCAGAGAGTGCAACCTTGAGATGGTCCACCTCTTGGTACGTCATGGCGCGGAAGTCGACTTGGAAGAAGTTAGTGATCTTGGGTACAAAGCTTGGGACCGATTGCAGATCGAGCGATGTCATGCGATGAAAGTCTACCTCTCGCAGATTGTAGCAGGCGTGAATTTAGAGGAGGCTCTCGAACTCGCCTGGAATTCCATCGGCGATAAGTACCCCTCGGTAGGAATGCAAGCAAGACTACAATCAGGGCAAGAGAGAATGCTATTTGAAAGGGCCAGGTTTCTGATGGACTTACGGCGTGGTTTCGCGCTTGACTATTTGTCCGCAATAGCTAACATGAAGACACTAGTGCGTGGGAAAAACAAAGAGCTTCTGTCGGCTCTTGAGAATATCATCGTCGGGCCGAATAATGGACCGTTTGAAGGACGGCTCTGGGGGAAGTATGTTCACAAGCAAATGTATCAACAGTATATCTCTGAGGAGGACAGCAGAAGAGCAGGTTAAATCATCCATGACGGCACCGAGGATGATTACAATGACTACTACGCCGCCCACGAGGAGGAAGCCTCCGAGGACGCTTCCAATGACTACTGACGAATCTAAGACCATATGGTTATTTTCTCCTTTGAGGTTTTTGGGAAGCTAGTCTTCCATCGCCAACTTGTGCAACCACTCTTGGAGAAAGTGTTTCAGGGCTTTCCGTGGAGGAAACGAATCTTGAGATACAGTAATAGAGACGAGATAGGATATAGCACAAATTTTTATCGCGTAAAAGTACACACCACAACCTCCAAAGCAACGGAGGCGAGAGCCCCCCCTGGGATTCGTAGATTCGACAGCCTTGTCCAACACAAGCATTTATGCGCAACCGTACTCTAACTAGAATCTACAGGAAACCATAGCGTTCGAAGCGCAGGCTATTTGGACTCACAAATTATGACCTTCCAGATCTGAACTTGCTCAACGTCAATCAAACAGAGGTAAACCAGCTGTTGTGGAACCCGAAAACCTTCCGTCCCTACTGTAGGGTCCTTGTTTCCACAAAAACCAAAATATGACGAGGGACAGGTAATATTTGCGTCCCGTCACTGCATGCCTGTAGCGAATCGAGTGTCTCGGCCATAAAGAATGTCGACCACGAGCGGCCTCAACGTCATCGCCCTGATTTCGGGAGGAAAAGACTCGCTCTACAGTCTGCTGCACTGTTTGGAGAACGGGCACAAGCTCACCGCATTGGCGAATCTCTACCCAAGCAGCAGCAACAGTTCACGTGACTCATCCGTGTTGTCGCCAGGAAAGGATGGACCACACCAAACGTCCCACGACGAGGACGACGGCGAGGGCGAGCAAGAAGACCTCAACAGCTTCATGTACCAGACGGTCGGCTACTCCGTGATCCCGCTGTACGCGGAATGCCTCGGTTTACCTCTCTACCGAAGGGCTATCACCGGGTCAGCCGTCCAGACTGGCCGCTACTACGATTCGAGCGACCTCGAAGAATCTGCCGATGAGACCGAGGACCTGATCCCACTGCTGCAGGAGATCAAGCGCGCACATCCGGAAGCGAGCGCATTATGCTCAGGCGCGATCCTATCGACATACCAGCGCACGAGAGTCGAGTCGATCGCCGTGCGCCTGGGCTTGACTCCGCTCGCGTACCTGTGGCAGTATCCTGCTCTCCCACCACCAGTCGGACGTCCGGAATCTCTGACAGGCTTGTTGGAAGACATGGCGTCTGCGGGGTGCGATGCGAGGGTGATCAAGATCGCCAGCGGCGGGATTCCGGAGAGTCTGCTGTGGGCGAACGTCGCTGATCCGCGAACGCGGCACAGGCTTGTCACTGGATTGGCGCCGTTCTTCCCTGAGCGTGAGTTCTGGCTGCGAGGAGCCGTGCTCGGTGAGGGTGGTGAGTATGAGACTTTGGCTGTTAATGGGCCGAGGAGGCTGTGGAGGAAGCGCATTGAGGTTCCAAATGCGCAGAGGGAGGTTCTGACTCTTGAGGGCGGTGTTAGCTATGTGAAGCTGGGTAAGGCTAGGGTCGTCGAGCAGGATGCTGATGTGTCTGTGGAGGGGGTCGAAGATGGTGCTGTGCCTCTCCCGGGATCTCTTGATGAACAGTTTCGACGAACTCTTGCAGAAGTGCAGGCATGGCAGGGCCGACGTGGTGGTGATGCGAAATCGAGTGCTGAGACTCCGCCAGTCACTGAGCAAAGACACATTTCTTCCGATTGTCTACAGTTCCGAATCACTTCCACGGCCTCGACTATGTTCATTGCCAACATTACTATCAGAAATACAGCAGTCTATGGGACTCGAGATTTCTCTGCCAAGGAGCAAATGGAGCAGATTGTCGAGCACCTCGAGAAGCTATTGACATCGCAATCCACCAACGGTGGCAATATACAACCAACACCGTCGAGTATCGTCTCCACGACTCTACTGCTCAAAAATATCGCCGACTTCGCCGGTATTAACATAGTATATGCATCACTGTTTCGACCAGGAGAGCCGAATCCTCCCGCTCGAGTGACGTTCGCGTGCGACCTTCCAGCCGGCACCGACGTCAGCCTGAGTGTGGTGCTCAGCCTCGCGCCACGCGAGTCGAGGCGTGGGCTCCATGTCCAGAGCAGAAGCTACTGGGCACCGGCGAATATCGGGCCGTACAGTCAAGCCATCTGCCAGCCTCTTGACCAAGGCGTCAATGCGGATTTGAACGTCCATGACGCGGGTCTGATCGAGATCGTTCACATTGCAGGTCAGATACCTTTGGTGCCGCAGAGCATGGATGTCCTGCAAGCCCCTTTTCTCCATCAAGCCGTGTTGAGTCTCCAGCATCTTTGGCGGGTGGGACAGGAGCGTGGGATTGACTTGTGGCCTTGGGGAATCTCTTTTTTGGAGGAACAGGGACAGGGTACAAGTCACTCGAGAGCAGAGCAGGCTTCAAAGGTATGGCAATATACTCACCGGATAGGAATAACGCATGAGGATGACTCCTCCGATGACGAGGACCAAGATGGCCCTGATGCTTGGGACCTACGGTTCAATCGCTCTGTGACGTTCCAATCTTCTCATTCGCATACAACTATCGGTGCACATCTTCATACCTTGCCGAATCCCAACGTGTTCACCTCACCCATGTCGAAGGCTACCTACATACCTAGCTTCATCGCAGCGACAGTGACTGCTCTGCCACGGAATGCTCCGGTGGAATGGTGGAGCCTTGGACTTGCAAATCTACCAACATTCGGGACATCGAGACCTTGTGTAAAAGTGGTCGCAGGATCTTATGATTGGGGCAATAGCTCAGCGGTGACCATAACGCCAACACGTCCGCGGGCAAGAGATTTGTCGCGGAGGAAAAGTTCGGTCACGACATTGGTTACAATCATGATGAACATGCTCCCATCAACCACTGCAGATGCCGAGATCGATTCCATTGACATCGAGAAACATGTGTCCAGCCTCCTCTCTTCGGAAGACAATGCAGACACGAGGATCGACTTACCACTTGACTTATGCCACGGCACAGCATTCATCTCATCCGAAGGCGAAAGGCAGTGGATGCAGGTGGCTAACAGGACCAGCCTGGCTGCCATCACGGTGGTGCCCTGCACATCACTGTTTGGCAGCCCTGCCATGGAGATTAGCAAAGAAAGCAGCGAGTTTTCCTACTCCACACGAAATGGTGAGAGGCACACGTCGGACAGCTCAGACGTTAGCTGCCAGCCACTCAGTGTCGCCTTGACCCTTCGCATTGAGCACTTGGTGGACACGGATTTTTGACAGCTGTCAAGGAGATAGGCGTAGACGGACCGATGTTTCCGCACATGGGTCTGGAGATGGACATTGTGGACCTTGCACTTTGCATGGATCTCTGCCCAGGACATGTCAACGCTGGGACGTCGCCGTAAGGTGTTTCCAACCTCAGAAATACGAGTACGCGTGGTTTCGAAAACCCCGCAAGGCATGCGTCCCTAACAACAGCCACAAAGTCCACCAACGACAGGGCTGGGTAACGGTTATTTAGGGTTTTCTGGCACTGGTTGCAACATGGAGGTTTCTTCGGATACGTTCGGATCATCCTCACATCAATTTTTAGGTGGATGATCCTGCATACTGTTGAGATCCCCAAACTGGACCAGAACTCCGGTGACTTGTTGTGGAATGTTTGATTGACTGTGAAAAAAAATCCTCGCTGATGTGGAGCATATCAGCTTCACAATCAGACGATGATGAGAGATGACGCGACTTGTTAGACAGCTTGACAATAGCACTGGTCAAGTCGTGAAGACATCTCTGGAAATGGCGTAAGATGATCATTTGCATAACATCCACAGAGGAGAGATGTAATCGCACGTCGACAGGGCCTTGAACGTTTGAGTACGAGCCAGTAGGTGCCACCGAGAAAGTCACGTTTGAGAAACGCGTTTTTCGCTTGCGTTATTTTTGCCTTGTGGATAAATCAACGCGAAAGACCGCGATCTTGACATATCCGTCACCACGGTTTGACGCGGGAGTACGCGACAAAGGCGCGAGATTTGCGATTTGGCGTGTGGAGTGGACGCGTGTTTGCACACAAGTGAACTTGCGAGACATACATGCATTAGACTGAAGCAGTACTCGGTACATCCGGAGAAAAACTCAATAGGCGAGTGTCATACCATACACTAATTCCCAGTGGATGATGTTTCTGTGTGCTTCTTGAGTCGAGTCGGAACAAGTTTGGGAAGCGTCGAGAGCAGCGAGATATTTCACGCCAAGCAATGGTATTTGGCTCAAGGAAGGAACGCGTTATCCTCGACATCGCAACTGCCAGCAGACGCTGGCCTGATCGCCCCAGGCATGACTGAGTTGCTCGTTTGCTTCGCGACTGGAATCTCATCAACAGCAGGATACATGCTAACACCGAGGATCAATCTCTAGAAACCTAGATACAGTCCTACCGGTCCAGCACTCTGCCGTGCCACCCAATCAGATGCACGTTTCTGCTTGTTCTTCCATCACGGGCGAGTCGCGATGGTGGCCAGAAGAAGCGTCTATACCAACAGTACCACATGCTCGCGCGCGCTCTCTATCAAAACTTTGTACTGCCTTTGGCGCTCATGCTCATTGTGACGTTCAAAGCACGCTGATCGGGGCGACACGCTGGCTTCTTACCCTTGAGGTCTGGAAGCCATCATCGAGCCGCCGAGGTTCCTTTACTGGCGGCTGGCTGGAAGAAGTGACTTTGGGGTTTGTACCATTGCCTGGTTCGCTCATTCTTTCACCAAGGCGCGCCTGGAGCAAAAATGTATCTCACCTACCTCCCATGGGATGACGATAGTCCACATCATTCGATAATCGTTTTGCTTGCGCTCACACCTCTTCTACGAGTCGCAACCAGTCATACACCAGTCTGTGCGCTCGTTTCTTTTCTCAAACACTCTACTGTACGATCACCCCTGGATATGCAGACTACTCGTACATTAGTCATGAGGACGACTTGCTACCCGTATAACACCCAAGGCCCAACAACGAGGTTGTTCTCCACTGCATCGCATCCGTTAACCCAGAAGAAAAAGGAACCAAATCTCTAGTTGAAAGTCCACAACCACCTGGCAGGGTGCAGCCCCCGCCCTCACCCACGAAACCCTAGACCAGGAAACCCCTGCACTAGTTCTGTTTCACAATTGAATCCCACGTTGTTTCTCTTCCTATCCTCTTTTTGCCTTGTCTCTCTTCCGGATAGCACGAACTCAGGTAGGCACGGGAGTTGTTACCCTCCCGCTTGGCTTGCAGTACTTTGAGTCTGGTGGATGCACGCGAATCCATTCCCAAGTAAATGGAAAACGAAAACGATGAGAATGTCTTGAAGTCTCTTTTTTTTCGCCTCTTTGTTTCACTTCTTATCGTCCTTTATCAAACGTTAGCACTAGAAGGCCCCACAATCCGTCATGGCACGTTGCCTCTTCTTCTGTCCCCTCCGAGTCTTCGAATCTGTGATGGATTCTGCATTGCATTGCATCGCATGAGGTAGAAAGTGCGAGCCATCAGTAGCTGGTGAGTACCTCGGGCTCGATACGGACGAAGTAGTACTCGTAGAAATTAGCGAGTTTCGAATCCCTCAACGAGCAACTCGTCTCGCAGTCATCTCTGCAGTAGTGGCATAACAAACAAACCACCAAGACAGAACAAACGCATTCTGCAAAAAACGTAGCGAACCTAAGCTCGGCTGGAGTCGGTGTGGTAGAAAATCCACAAGCCCCAGATTCTCGCCCTCGAAAGACCAATTTGTCCACCGAAAAGTCTGAAGAAGCCAATTCAAGTGCAATCATCGTCATCGTCATCATGAACGACTTCCACAATGCAGGTTCCAGCACCGCCCTCGGCCCTCATGAACCTTGAATACCCAATCCCTCCGCAAGGCAAACTCGAAATCCAGCCAATATGCTCTGCTTGGGAAATTGCGGTTCTCACACCTACTCATACTGCCGCGTCAGAGATTTCCCCCCAAAAAGTCTGAAATTGTTATTATTATTGACGCAGGAAATGTTTATTTTTGACATCAAGGTTAGAGTTCTTTTTCTTTCTGTAGGGATGATCCTACCTGTGTTGTGTACCTGCAGCCATGCGAGTCCAGGGGTCATCCTTTCCTCAGATCAGGGACGGACAAGATTGCTTTAACGATTACGGATGCGGCACTGCCACCCCGAAATATCGGTTGTGCCCATGATCGTTGATTGATTAGGTGCTGGGGAGCATGCCTACGACCCGTAAGATTGTAGCCTGTAGGCCTGATCCGGGCGTTCTTGGGTATGCCATACGCGGTTTTACAGCTGACTTGCTTCGGCCATGGGTGTTGTGGTGTGGTGTGCTGTTGATGCCTATCGATGCCCTGTCACCCCCCCCCCCCCCGAAAAGCTCATCTCCCGCACCCTAAGATTGGATTATGGTTATCCGGGTCGTGCCCTTTATCGACAAGAGATAGATCGCCCGGAGAATTTGATTGTATGATAAGTGATGATCGTATGGACGCTCCGTAGTGCAATGCCATTTTGTACTGTACATGGCTAGGCAATGGCCTACCATCCGTACTTGGTAGCTAGCTCAGAGGCATGGCATTGAATGCCAGTGTAGTGTAGATTGTACCTGCATGCCCCAGCTGAGATGATGAGATAGAGAAGGAAAGCGTGCCTAGGGCACGCACCCAGCTCATTTCGGGCGTCTTGAAGAGGCGTGACACTGGAGATCTTTTGTGTCCAAGCTTCAAGTCGTTGATATATATTAAATAAAAATCGATGAGACCAATACAGAGAATTAGATCATAGAACAGTTTGGTTTGGTTTTTTCAGAACTCGATAAATATATTTGCCAGTCTTTTAATAGTACAGTTACAGGTGTTGTTGGTGTAGTACATACAAATTTCATGTCTCCCTCAGTACGGTAGATCGATGCTGATGCCGAAGACTCTCAAGGCCATCTTCAAAGCGCGGGATGTCTCTCCTTTCTGTGACCCCTCGAGTTCGTTCCTCTCCCTGGTCTTCCCTTCCCCTCCCCGTCCAAAATTTGACTTTAAAAAAGGGCTAAAATGAAAGAAGCGAAAGTAATAATAGTTGAAGAAAAAGGAAATATTGGTTGTTCAAAAGAAAGGAAGTCGAAGAGTGGACATTGTCCTCGCGAACAAGCCACAATCTTCTGTCTCGCTCTTCGTCATTTCTTTGCAGAGAATGGCGGACAGCAGCAACCAGCAAGTTTTCTCTTCTCCCTTCAAACCAGCTCCCGATTTCCTCAGTGTACAGCGTGCCATCGCAGAAAGAAAATCGATCTTCGCCCCGAGTGCCGCCTGTTGTTGGAATACAAGGCCGATAGAATACATGGAGGTTGTCGAAAGAATTGAATACTGTTAAAAGGTTCTAAAGCACTTTTCCCCGCCTGTCTCATACGCATACACATTCTTGTAGCTCCTACGCTGGTCCGTTTTGTTGGAAGTTGTCTTGACTCCGAATTGTCTCTCTTGGTTGGTTGTTGTTGTAGAAATGAAGCGAGGTCCCCTGAGAATAAAAGATTCTGCTTGGTAATGGTTGGTCTTGGTTCACATCATAATGATCGTTATTCGTCGTGGCTAAGTTTTGTTGCAGAAGTTTGGGGTGAATTTTTAGAATTGTCGTCATCTTGTATCTCGTGAAGAAGAGTTGATTCGGGAAAAATCCACGTTTTTTCTTAAATTATGAGGACTCGTCCCGCTTTCGCTTCTTCAAGGCACGCTTGCTGTCTCCTGACGAAGAGGACTCGGAACCACTGCCACTTGATGAAGAGGCAAGAGCGGCGCGTTGAGCAGCTTCGTAGAGTGCATGGCCCATTTCCTCATCGAAGGCCTGTTGAGGAGCAAGTTCACCATTCTCCAAAACACCCATGACGATAGCACCGCTACCGTGAGTGCGTGCGTGTTGTGCGAGGTTGTCAGAACGAGAGAACTTCTTACCGCACTCGTTGCACTCGAAAGGCTTGTCGTGAGTGTGGAGAGATCTATAGTGGCGCTTAAGATGTTCCTGTCGACGGAAACGACGAGAGCACAAGGTGCAGACGAAGGTCTTGGAGGGATCCTCAGTCAAAGATTGCTTGCGTCCACGTCGGTTGGTGGGAGTCTGAGCGGATGATGCATCTCCAGCAGCGGATGTACCATTCTCCTCATTTGAGCTTTGCTGACTTTGAGAGCCATTGGAAGTGGTGTGTTGACCGTCATGGTTGTGCACGTGTCCGTCAGATTCCGTCATGTGGGTGAACTCGAAGTCACTGTTGAGGGAGTCGGTGCGCTTCATCTTGCGGTGAGCCTTCTTCTTGCTTGAGCAGCAAGAGTCAGAGAATGATGAGACTGGTGGTGAAGGTAGACCGGCTTGGGCAATCAAATCTTCCTCGTCGAAGCTACCGAAGCTGTGCACGCTCAGGAAGTCCTCCTCTTCACCAAGGGCTAGCTTCTGTCTCTTGTCACCGTTGTATGAGATCTCAACATCGGCAAAGTTGACAAAGCTGAACTCGTCCTCCGAGTCGAACTCACTGCAGAATGAGGATTCAAAAGAAGGGTTCTCAGAGAGGATGAAGGGATCAGCAGTGTCATGCTCAGGAGTGACGGGGAAGGCGTTGACCAAGGCAAACTTGTGCTCGTCGTCTTCGGCAGACAGGGTTGGCAGAGGAGGGAAACTTTGAACAGGTGCAGCAACCACAGGCTCGAATGAGGTGGAAGTGAGCTCTCGTAGGTTGACGAATTCGGCTACTGGGTAGGCCGATGGAGAAACTTGAGACTGGGGTGAAGCAGGGCCCAAGGATGGGGAGTTGCAACTGCTGAGGCTGGCCACCGAGAATGAGGAGTTGATGTTCATGTTGAAGTTGCCAGAAACGGTCGAGGGCATCGAGTTGCTGGGCAAAAGCTTGGCATCACCGGGATGCGGGAAAATGTGAACATCTGTCACGCAACCAACATCAAAAGTTAGCAAAACCCGTTTCATTTGATTTCATCGTGTTTGGTTTCATCAACCACTGGTTACACTTACGTCCATTCTCCGATGGCCACTCGTCCAAAAATCGTACAGGTTGCATCTCCTCCTTGGATTGCTCGATTGGGAGATTGAAGTACCCAGATCCGTGCACTGGGGTTTGGTGAATGCTGCTGGCTGGTGGGCTGCTGGCTGTGCTTGGGCAAGCAGATAGGCATGGGGTCGGAGGTGAAGAGTGCCTGCTCTCCAGGTAGTGTCCATGCTCCATCTGCCCGTTGTGATCAAGCACAATCTTGGGCATAGGCATCGCCAATGTCAGAGGTGGTGATGCTCGTGGGGTCATCACTTGCTGAGGGACGTAGTGAGCTCGAGCAAAGTGAGGAGGTCCTTGCCAGTACTGTGGTGCCATATACTGTTGCGGGTATCCAACCATGGGGCTGAAGACCGGTTGCTCGCTCGGCATGGGCGTGAACACAGCATTATGTCGTGCATCCGAGTCTGGTCGGTATTGGTAGAATTGGATCTGTTGGGCTGCCATTGGGAATGGTGCTTCCATTGCAATGGGTTTGTTGTATAGTGTTATGTCGTAGGGAATATGCTCTTCCCCTCGGTTGATCTCAGCTTGCTGTCTTTGCAGGAAGCTGGAGTCGGGTTCAATTTGTCAGTCGTTGGTAGTGTCGTCGTTGTGATACAGAATAGTACAGATGAAATGCTCGTCCAATGAATGGCTGCTGGCGTCTCGGGTCTCCCTGGTTCGTGGTAACTAGCTGTACATAGATATATGCAAATGTGCTGCTGGTAACCGTGTAAGAGAGAGTGTCGGTTCCTTGACGTATGTTGTAGGTAGAGATGGATTATGTTATGATACAATGTTGGCACAGGCTTTGGAAGGAAGGACTGGATGATGTTCACAATGATACAGTGGTGTAGTACAAATGATGAACAAGATCCGGGACTGGCCTGGTCGAACGAGAGATATAACAAGAAGTAAATGAAAGTGTAGATCGCGGGGAAGAAAAGAGCGTCTTGCCTCGATATCAGTTGACGAAAAAGAGAGGATAGAGCTGGGTGCAAGGACGAGCCATAAGAAGAGATCGCTAGATGTCCTGAGGGTCTGAGGCCGGCTGTCGACCAGTGACTTGGACCACCACTCGATGTAGAAAGGTGGATGCTTGCAGGAACGGGCGCTGCGATTCGGGACCGTCGTCGCGACCCATGCAAGGTGACTGAAGGATGGTGGAGAACAAGGTCTCACCCATCCCAGCCCGTCTCAAAGACTATCACCCACTAATCCAGGCCCACACACCCAGCCCCAGCTGTTAAGGCAGCAAGCAGACCCAGTCCTGGTTTTTGCCGCATGCTTCTGACTGCTCACCCAAGTCGGGGCGGTCCATGGTCCATGGGCCCTGGGTGACGTTGAGAGAGCCCTGTCACGCAGCACTGATATGCACGGGAAATTGCACACTGATGCTCAGCACACCCTCTTACCACCCTCGGCCAATTCCATTATACCGATGACGCACCGTCGACCTGAGTGTGGCCGTATTCAAGTGACCGAGTAGGCCGCTTAGGGTGTGATGGTGTGCCTATGAACTGTATGCAAGTGATCCTATGGGACAGGCAGATCATTGCTGTGCTTGTTCGATCTCTACTATTGGCGATGCTGAAACGTATCCATCACAAGAAGAGCGCTTGAAGAGGACGGTCGACCACTTGACTCCATGATAGAATCAGATTATCCGATACGAGCGCAGTGAACTTGGCCTGATTGCTTTTCTCACGGTGCTATAGGCGAAGGGCATTTCCAGCAAAACCGCAGTAGGGCTTGATCCGATGCTTCCATGGGATAGTGGGCCGGGACCAAAGTGATCGATGCGAGGTCGTCTCGCCCACTGATAGGTGTTGCTGCATTGACGAGACAAGTGAGTCAAGCCTAATCAGTTGACACGGCTTGTGCGATCGGTGCTCTGCCTCAGAATCATGCATCTATGAATGCTCGAATCAATATTTCGGATCCTCCATCTGGCAGAGGTGGCAGTTCAGTGCTGCACTTCATGGACGATGCCTGTTCAACGACTGGGCGACGCGCTGGGATCTCGACGCCAATCATGAGCGTGACGTGGGTGCGGACTAGGTGATAAGCTGCGTCTTCGGCCAACCCAGCGAATCGCCTCATGTCCTATTTCTGGCTGTGCCCGACAAAGCCCACAAACCCATATCAATTATCCCCCATATTCCATGGCAATCCTTCGAATGATCTGGTCATTCAGCTCAGAAATATCTTTTGCTGACCGACCCTCGTAAACATTCAATTAAATCATTGGGTAAGACTCAGACAAATTTCGCCCTCGACTTGTTCATCGTCCCTCAGTCTGGACTTCTAGTGGACAAGCAAGCTCATGCAGTAGACTGCACGGGTCAGAAGCATCCAAGCTGACAAGTGACAATGCCAATTAGTGCCACCTTCTCAGCACGACTTACGAGTGCGGAATCTGTTGGTCTCAAGACTACTTGGACGCGGCGGGTTCAGACACGCGATGCAGAAGAAGAAGGTGGCAAGCACCTCGATCATGATTGGGTTAGATTGGGGTCTGGTTGAACTAGAGCGTAATGCTGCAAAGACATGAGGTTGTGCAAACCCTAAAGTCGTGTCTTAGAGTCTCTTTGAGCCACTGCTCCATGCCCGTATGCAGGTACCACTCCCAACGCTGGGTGTAGTCTTAGCGATTGGTAGGTGGCGAGTCTTCAAGGTTGACAATTGTACATCCGCGTTCAAAGTGGCTGGAATAGGTGCCGCGTGGGAGCAACTCCGAAGTGAAAACGCGACATCATGTCTCGGTTCAGACTTTGCCCTTTTCGAGCATTCTGCATGATTTGGAAGTACGAAGTAGCCTACGGACCAGTGCTCTACTCGTAATCGTGAAAACGCGTGCTATCGCTCTCCGAGATGATAGAGAGGAAATACACATGCTTGCTATCGCCAACGAACCGATGGAGAAGGAACAGAAAGGACTGGATCGCTAAGCGTACTCTTTAGCTGGTCTGGATTCTGCACGCTTGTTGACGTGACCTTGGAATCTTGGATGGTAGCAGTGTTGGTGAGTACCCAAAACTCGCCTGCGGAACCAGAGACTTGCATCTCCCCGCGATCCATTGGTGCAGGAACAGTACCTCCAGTGTTTCATACTCTTGCAATAGCATGGGACGAACGTCCCATCGACTTCTCACAGGTTCGGATCTGGATGGTCACAGAAACCAATGAATGCCATGGTTGTCAAATTGCATCGGTGCGAGTGTTGGTACGAATGCAGGATGAAATCACCAGTGCTTGCCATGATCTCAGTAATCGACTTCGTAAGAGCTCCGTCTCTGGTAGCATCGAATCCTTCAGTGACCATTCGAGGCATTTGCTATGCCTGTCTTTGGTGGGTTCATGTGTCAAAGGGACTTCTAGCCCCGAAACATGATGCCTGGAAAAGCGTGGGACCCTGGCTCCAGTGGGGTTAATGATTGTACCAGAAGGACGCGTATCGATAGGCATTTGTTAGTTGAGGACTGGGCGTGCTTCAGACGATTGGGCAGCCCTTGGGTGCATCTTTGTGCTCTGACCACCGCGACTGAAAGCTGTCCCAGTACTCATACCTACGTACGATTCACGAAGCACCGACACCCTTCAGAAGTGGTGTACTTTTTAATAAATGGGTTGGTTGCACACCATCGGCGTTGTTTCTTGCCACCGTTACTTTTCGAGGCCCGACTTGAAGGTTCCCGAGAAAAATGCCGACTATGATTGCGCTTGGGGAATGTCGACACAAGCGAAAGAGACGGCTTCTTTCTCATTTGGATACGGCGCCCGACCAAGAGTTGGCAGCAGGTTGAGAGGCGAAAAAGCAGCATGGTGCTTCACCAGAACTGGCTGGTGGTGTGAGTCTTAGACCGGTGGTAGGCGAGATGCGGCTTGCACAGCCCAAAGCCCATCCCAGGGTACTCGGGAATCACAACGCCCAAAGACTTATTGCCACTTGGAGGACCAGCATCTTCCCTCAGGTACCCGGTGAAGCTTACTCGCGGGCTTCGAGTGATCCGCGGGCCGTCAGGTCCACTTGGAAACTTTGGCCCCTGTACCCCTGCTTCAGAGATGGCGGCCCCAGGCACAAGCGTAGAGGAACCGTCCGTTCGCGGGCGGGCCTCTTGTGGTGCACCCGCGTTCTTGGCCCAAGTGTCTACCCTAGACTCGAAACAGCATAGGATCAGAGCAGCACTTCCAGAAGCTCGTCGCTGATACGGTTTCCACTCCATTCCAGAGTCTTGGGCCCAGTCTGAACCACAGAAAACACGCCAGCCAGGGCAAAGTGGCGATTTTGTGAGCAAATGTGTCCTGCTCGTACATTTTGACCTAGCAGACTCCCGCGAATACCACCAAGGAGTTGCGCTAGATCCACCATCCAGCAGGACCCTTCATAACTAATGCAGGAACATTTGCACGAGTAGGTTCTGAGGGATCTTCTGCTCGACTCTGTCCATCAATGATGCTACCTTTACGGCCAGAGCCAATGAAAACCTCCCACCAATGCAGGTACAGAGTCTCTTGGTACGGTATTTGTCCATCAGCTTTCAGCTCTGATCTGCTGGTATTCACCCGAAGCTGCAGCTTGTGTTTCAGCATCGAGGCGAAACGGAAACGCCTGTGTCTATCACTGTTCCTTCGATCGACACACAAGAATCCCCATGTACTTGTCCCACAGGACCCGTGTGACAAGAAATTTTTCGTGCCATCCACAGCGTGGGATTCAGAATTTCTTTTGCATCAACCTACCAAGTCTATACATGAGATAAGGGAACCTTTCGAATATGCCTCGTTATCTTAGTGCTTTTGGTAGTGCTGTTAGTGACTCCAAAATTGGTGCCAGAGCCCTTGTCGCCGTCAAAGTGGTGTCCACTCCAAGTTGCCAGAAGTTCTCAACGACTGTGCGCATTGTGCAGCACTGAGAATCTCGCTTTGGAGCTAGCTGGTCCTCAGTTGGATTACCAGCGAAGAGCAAGCCAGTGTGCGGAGGTATTCAGTAGTGCTTCCGGGGAAATTGCACCTCCACTCTGCTATCTGCTTATCGTGCCTGGCGTCGGGGAAAAACCATGGTAGGTTCACTTAGTCTCGCAAGAACGGCACCAAACCTCATTGAACCTCGTTTGGAACGACCCAACCCTGACGCCAAAGACCTTCCTCAGAGTTCTACGAGAAAATGGCGCGCCTCTTGTGAAGTTTTGGTTCTGGTGGCTTGAGCGCTCAAGTTCCCACCAGTCCACCCTTCAGCAACGCTTTGTTGGATTGTCCTTCTGGGGAGCTAAGCTTTAAACCTATCGACTATTCAAGCCAAAACTACGCCGGCCTTCGTGAAGACTGATCTAATACCGTCCTTGATTGGAACACCAGATATCGAAGAAGGGTTCTGTTACACTGGAACACATCCGGCCAATAGTTGGGCCCTGCTGAGCTGGTGAATTAGTTTAATGCTCATACTTGTGTAATTATTCGTATGCCTCTACAGCACCAAATCCATCTTCCCCGTCAATAGATCAATTGCTGGCTACCTAGGTATGATGACCTCGTGGCGATCAAACCGAAGCTCCTCCCGGCGCACTTGCCACTGACTGGTTTGTTCCAGATGACCACGATTACACTAACACTCATATGCAGATTTGTGCAACTTTAGCCTGGACAAATCCAATGTGCGAATCATCAGTTTCGCTGAAATCCCACTGAGAGCTCGTATGGCCCCAGATTCCGCCTGGGTCAAGTCTTGGGGCTTTGAGATGGCTCAATCGATTATCAGGTCGAATATCCATCATCACTAACTAAATCTTCAAAGTCTATCAGGCGAGCTGAGATTCGATCCCGACTCCTCCAGGAATCGCAACATTGTTACGACTACGAGGACTTGGAATGCCAGGGAGGTCCTTGGAGGCTCGGCCATATGCAGCATTTTCAAGACCTCAAGAGGCCACGCTCCGGAGGATTGTGCGATAGAGTTTTGGTCTAAAACTCAGATCTTCGGGCGCCACTCAGCTGCGATAGCCCAAAGCGGACTGGAATGGAGTGATTTGACAGCTCTCGACTTTGTACGCCACCCAATTTGGAACTGATGCATCGAGCTGCACATGGCTTTTCCCTTGGCCCTTTGAGGATAATTTGGCACACTCGTGTTGGGCTTTTCTGGTGAGGTTCCCGAGGAATTACGTGGTGTGCCATCACTACCCGATAGTGTGGTTCTGATACGGGATGCTTGCAATAATCATGGACACACTGGATCAATCAGTTCAGATGCATACTGTCCATGAGTACGAGGCATCTAATTTGGTCCGGTCTGGATAACACGGAAAGAAAAAGGAGGCTGTGTATGATTGTACTCGTAGGCAACATTGTTTTTGTGCAACTCGCGACCTCCCCGTGACGCGTGAAGTCGTTTGTTTCTTTTCTCCTGCCTCCGAAGCAATCTGGCGTGGGATGTCACGGTATTGCCACCCCATTTGACGTTGGGCAGCACAGACATCTCCCTCTATCTGCCATTCCTCACAACCTGCCGTCAGCGACGAAGGTCACGTTGGCGGACAATCAATCCGTCGAATTACTTTACATACGCACTGGCTCAAAGTTCGGCTGAATACTTGTCACCTCATCCGAGAGTCTTGCCATGCATCTGATCGGAACTTGCAATCACATTGACATATCTATGTGAGTAGCTGGATCATTCATCGTAGGGCCGCGATGGCCATCAATTACCTCATGCGATTCTCCTAACTCGAGACCCCGGAGTTACGCCCCGAGTCGGGTTGCTTCCTGTTGCACACGAGTGTGGTTTGTGCAACATCGCAAAGGCTCATAGGCGAAGAATTCCTTCTCCCTTGGCCACCGCCATGGCCACAATAACCAAGGCATGTGGTCTTGAGTCCTGGGTTGAGCTTGCCTATGGCCTCTTCCCTTGGTTGCACACTACTCTTTTGAAATCAGTTATGGCTTAACGGCACGATTCCATCGACAGAGCCCTCATCTTCGACCATCTAATATCACAATCTGTCTTGCAAGCCTCAAAACTGGGTGGCAAATACCACAGTACGGAGTCCTAAGTCGTCACACGTAAGAGTTGGTCCGATGATGGCGCATGGACCTCCCGCGACCGAGCGAGTCGAGCCGAGGCGGAGTGAACACACCAAACTGCAAAGCACAGACCGTAGGATCGGAAGCAGTTGCATCTCGTAAATTCTCAGTCCTGATATTTGAGCACGGCCTCGCGACACGATACTGCCTTGCCTTCAACACAGTGTTGCATTACCATTTTGGTTTCAAGGCCAACTATATTGCAGTATGAGGGGTCGTGCCTGGCTGTCGGGTCTCTAAAGGGGGGGATTGAGTGAGATAATTTACTCACCCGACATGACAGTCCGATATCGCTATTGTTGCGGTCAATCCTTGTTAGAGGCGCTTATCATGTCTTATCCAAAGCTGCATATTTGCGGCTCGCCTGAGTGAATTCCCATATACTCAAGTGGCCTCTCACTGTCACAACAAAACTCAAGCTTCAAGCCAGGCTATCCCGACACATGCAGGACCACAGAGCTCGGTAGAGGTGTTGTCGGTTCCGACTTTTGAGCATGAAGAAATTGAATATATGTGCCTATCTGGCAATTTGCGCAGCGGCAACCTCATTCGCGGACTGATTGACAACAGTACCAGGTACATGGATCAGTCCAATCCCTCCATAGAGACATCGGGTCTCATAATACCGATAGTTTCGGATCGGAAAGAGGCTTAGGCTCTTTGCCAAATGAGCATGGCAATCTGCAAGACCAAGGAAGGTTGACATTGGGAAGTGGAAAAAATAAACAAAATAAAAATAAACAAATCATTGGCTTCAGATTTTAGTCAATGAGATCATACTGAAACATCGTCAGACATTCGTCCAAGCAATGTGCCAGCAATCATTCTCTTCCTATCAATATAATTTTGTTAACAAACTCATCACAAGCCTTGATATTGTTATCAGACAAGAGCAAAAGGAAAGAACTGCTCGATGTAAAGTTTCTTGCATCTACTCACGCCAAGACTTTATGTTCACAACCACACCATACCACAAACAGACTAGCTCGAACATTTCTTTTCAAAACTTCAGATAGAGACTTGCTTTCCCTTTCCCTTCTTCTTTTCTTCTTTTCTTTTCTTCGTGCGGCGCTGCCACCATCAATTACCCCTGTGTTGCTTGGTCGATTCTTCTCTCCCATAACGAACCCAAGTGTCAGTGGCAGCACAGATCAATAATCTCAAAAATTGCATCTGATCTCCTCGACGTGCGCCCTTGTTTGCTTTTTGCCTTTTCCATGGCGGAACGAGGACCCGTCGAGTGTCTCTGCGCTTGTTCATGCGTGGGGTCGGACATATTCTCAATGATGGAATCGATCGTCAATGTTGTTGGTATCGAGGGTCTATATCGTGCCTGACTCACCTTTCACGATCTTTAATCGGCCTTTTTAAATTCGTGATTACCATGAAATGGCTATCTAGCAAGCTACAGTTGTGTGGTTTAACGTGATATGGCTTCCGAAGTCGGATCATCGCCGACTCATCTGTGGCCAATTTCTCGGTCTCTAGCATCGGTTTTGGAGTATTTGGTCCCTTTCCTCTATGCCCTGCCTGCGCCGCGTTTGGATGCAATCGTCTCTCGTTTCTCGTTCATGTGTCTAATCCATCCCGTATCAATCATCCGATGCTATCTTCTCAATCTTGCCATCTCTCTTCTCTCCAGTCTCGCCGATGATTCTGATTCGGTCAATTCTAACCTTCTCGTTGTCTCCTACGCTCTCCACCACAAAAATGACCAGACTGGAAACATTCGTGAACTTGACAATGCGCAGGTCAAGTTTGGCAGTACCTGTCTTGGGATCCCAGTCTTTTTCTGACAAAGTAACCTCTTGTGCTGGCTGTGTGTCGTCCGCCTCGTCAAACCCAAGAATGTGTGGTCGGTTGGTGTAGATTTTGACCACTTTTGGCCTGCTGGGTTGCTCGTCGTCATCCGTGTTTTCGGGCAGGGAGGTGAGGTGAATGGATTGGATCTTCAGGGTGGATTGGAAAGGGATGTAGAGCATGAGTTGTTCGTCGGTGTCACTTTCAACCCAATCTTTCGCATCCGCTTGACCTGGTTTCGTCAGTATTTGCCATTCAAGAGGTGGATAACTCCTGCTCACCTTTAGGCTTGTCGCCACTAATCAACGTTCTTGCGGTTCCATGTGTAGAGTCCCAATTCAACAACTCCAGGCTCAAGAAATCGACGGAGCTAGTCACGTCCCCATATCCACGAGGAAGTTCCGCGCCTAGCCATGTCCCGCCACTTGAACTGCCACCAGCATCCTCGCCCTCCAACTTATTTGCCTCATTTGCGAGGTCTTTCACCACCTGCGATAGCTTTCTTGGGTCGGCGCCTTCGATGAAATGGATTTGTTGAGAGTTCTTGAAGATCATAAAAGTAGGCATGGCTCTAACATTGTAAGACCGTGCGAGATCTTGTTGTTGGTCGGTGTTGATTTTGGCAAATGTGATTTTGTTTGGCTTGGACAGTTTGGCCGATAATTCCTCATATACTGGAGCAATTTGTTTGCATGGTCCGCACCAGTCGGCGTAGAAGTCGGCAACGACAATGATAGAGGAGGATAGCAGGTTGGAGAATTGTACGGTCGACTCGATATGAACAGTTTTCGACATGATGTCGGTTGGAGGGGCAATCGCCGCAAAGGTGGGAAATCAGTCGGATATGATTCGGGAGAACCCGGTCTGTCTGATTCACGGCGTGCTTTCGCGAGATCGCTGAGGAGAACTGGAAACAAAATTGCAATTGTCAAGGAAGCTGTAAAGAGGTAGGGAGTATGGTCACCTCAATTCGTGCATTGCAACTTAAAGGCGTCGCTCAACGCGCAATGGAAGCACAGAGTGCCTGCGCATGACAATTGGTGGAATGACAAAGCAGAGTCTTGGCGCGGGATGGGTATACTTCCAACCGAACGGACAGGGAACATCGTTTCGCCGAATCAGAGAGACTCAACCGCGCGTTTTTCGATGCTGCTCGTATTTCTGCCTGGGTTTTTACTGGTTTGATCGACCTGTACCCAGTCCAGACCTGGGCGAAGAGCATCTCACTGGCCTCGCTTGTCTGCAGCACGTTGATGGCGTTCACAGACGATAGCTGAATCCAATCTCTCTCGCTGGGTTTCTAGGCTGCTCGGGTACCGCAGACGCTTCAACCCACCATGATCAACTTTGAATATCTCTTTGATGTTTCTGCTTCAGACATGTTCGATCTTCTCGGAGGTCAGGTTTCAGTTCTTTTCCCTATGACGTTAAACCAATAGTCAGCTCCGGCTTCAGGATGGCAATCAACGAAACGAACGTACTATTTATCCCATATCGCCCATCGTATTCGTCTAAGCAATCATCAGCTAATGGCCAAGGGATATCCCAGCAAAAGCATGCCGCCAGGGAATATCATCGAAAGGTAAAGCTGAGACGACTCGCTAATAAGCCAAGTACATCGCAGAAACGAAGACCGTACACTGAGCTAGACATAAATTCGGCTCCATCGCCACGTTCTCCTCGTTCCATCGTGCCTCGAAAGAACGCTTTCCCAATTGGGGAAGAGACAGATCCTCCCTACAGAATATTTGACGTTGGTGCGGGTCAGTGGGATCCATTCCAAGTCTGTATTCCTCGGGGTGTGCCGAACTATGTTCTACAAATGTTAGATCATGGTGAGTCGAGCGAACGAACCTGCACCGATCATATAAATTCTATTTACCATCCTTGCCACTCTACCCTCTTGTTATTCATAAATTCAGATGACATCTAGACCTTCAGATCGCTGACCTAACACGAAGCAATCTCATATCAATGGCCAATCTTCTCCTCATCAAAGACTCAGGTATCAGTGGGGAAAATCAAGAATGCAGTGTTGAAATGTGCCATGGCATCACCGGCGTCCTTCTATGCTATCGTTTTCGCAGGCGCGACTCACAATGCATTCGTGCATGTCGATGGAGCCATCCCAAAAGAGAACATAACACTACGACTGGCCTTCAAGACACAAGCCATCAAAGCCTTGAGCGAAGAGATAAATGCTCTGACAGGAGATCCAAGTGATGAACTCCTTCTTGCCATCATTACTCTGGGCGTTCATGGCTCGGGAGAGACATTGAAGCCACCAGTAAAATCCAAAAAGCCCCTCTCACAACTAGCAACGGCGCAGAATTTCCAATACTATGGTGGCATGAGTTGGGAGTCAGCACACATCGAGGCCGTTCGTCACATGGTCCAGAAAAAAGGCGGGTTGCATAGATTGGGTATGCCTGGCCTGGCGAATGCAATTGCATTGTATGTGTTGAACAAAATACCTTGCCTGACTTTGCGCCTTGGTGCTAACCTTACTTCAGAGGTGACATTTTCTTGAACTTTCAAAAACTCGGGCCTCCTTCGTATCCACTCATGTTCCCAACTACGTTCGCGATGAAGACCTGGCCATCTCCAACGCCTGACGGCGTTCGACCGTTGATGAAGAAACTCGGGAGTGGCTTTCGGGACCTGCCCATATGCATCATAGAGTCTCCTTTGTTCACCATTATAGAACTGCTGCGGGACGTGACCATTGGCTACGACAATTATCTACGTCAGATCAAACCACATCCATCTCTGGAACGTGTTCTGTGGGCTCGGAATTGCTTGCAACATGATCTCATATCTTTACCAGAAATCTCCCAAGAAGATCTCAAGCATGATAGTTGCTTGTACGAACTGTGCCGGCTCGGAACAATGGCATACACATTAATCGTCCTGTTCCCAGTTCCACGTGTTGCTGGGATGCATCCAGGCCTCGCGAAACGACTCATCGATACAATGGACAATTGTACGATCCTGGGAATGTGGGACGAGTATCCTGGACTCTTGCTATGGACAACGATGTTAGGCGGGATCATCGCCGAAACAGTTCCTAATCTGAGACAGCTCTATGTGTCGATGTCGAAATGGACTCCCTTGAAACATACGCCGGGTGCATGGAATCTGGTAAGAGACATTTGCGCTGGGTTCCTTTGGCACGAAGAAGAATGTCACGAGGCAGGAAAAGCATTGTGGAATGACATCTGCCTCGCAATTGCTGATTAGATTAAGATATTCATGACTGAACGAGAGAGCAAGAGTACCGAAGGAAACATGTCCTGTGCTACCGCTCTGTCCTTGCAGTCTTTCCATCACTAGCATCCGTGAGTCACTCTGTTCCCAGAATTCAAAGCCCCCATCAACAGGAAAACAGCCATTGCGGGGGCACCACTTCGGATTGCACCGCTCCTCCCCTGGGAACTGCTCACACCTGAGGTGGACGAATTACGCTTCTACTGAGGATCGTCAAATGAAAGGCAGGCAGTCAAGAAATCTGAGAAGGATTCTTCTCCAGGGTACGAAGCTGTTGATCGCACTGCAAAACCTTCGTCTTTGTCCAATCAATAACCTCGGTCTAGTCGGCCTCACTTTTTAGACGACATAGCCCCTAGATGAGTGTTTGGGGCCGTTCTGAGAGTGCTATTTCCTGAATGGTCTGCAGCATAGACACGCGTGTGATAGTGATGATCACGCAGCACTCCATCATTGATCTTGCTTGTCTGCTTGATGCATCATGGGCTTCAACTCATCATAGACACCCTGTGCGCTACCACTAATGACCTCTTGCAGATAACTCTCAAAGGAAGTGAAGTCGACATCCGGGTATAGCTGCTTGCCATCCAGATAACCCAAATACTTAGCGAATTGTGGCGTATTCTCCCCACGAATTCCCCAAGACAGAGCATACTGGGCGAGCACTTTTTGGGCCCTCGCCTTGAAATCTTCTGGACTGTCTTTTAACTTCACATCAGCCTCGGCAATTTGTTGTTCATATTCCTCTGCACGGGCATATTTTCGAGGGATCCCCTCTCCAGCAAACTCCTCGAGCAGATCATATATTTTATTCGAGGTCCACAATTCATTATAGACAAATACTGTGGCATTCAGAGTTCTGTCATCCTTAATCGCCCGCACGACGTACTTTCCGACATCTCTAAGATCCGTGCGAGCGGATGGCATATCTCCATCGCCTGGTATGGTTTTGATCGGAACACCAATGGCATAGTCGATCCTACCGGAAGGGAGCCTAGGTAGGGAGAACTGGTACCACCAACCGACATCGATGATAGTGTAGGGAATATGAAGGCGCTTGACTAGGTTGAATACCTCCTCCTTCTGATCCCTAGATCTATGGACTCCAACTGGTAGGATGGGCCCGAACGCGCACGGGACGATGCGCTTCACCCCAGCCTTCGCAGCTGCTTCGACAAGTGGGATCTGTGCCAGCTGATCTCGTGGTCCAATGGCGGATATGAGAATATCAATGTCCTTGAGTGGTTTCACGATGGAATCCTGAGGTGCATCCAGATCAAGTGCACGCATTTCGATCCCCAAATCCTTCAGAGCCATGTTGGCCGGCTTTGACAGCGATGCAGAACGAGCAAGAGCGATTATTTCCTATTAGACCATTAACCCCGGAACAGCAGTGCATGATATCTTGTCAATCTTACAAAGTCTGCGTTCGTAATGAGTGCTTTGAGAATGGAAGTCCCGGTCTCTCCTGTCGCGCCTAACAGGCCCACACGATATTGTGCCATGAGTACAGTCTGCGTCGTTGCTATCAAGTAATATGATTCGTTAAGGCGCTAGTGGAAGTGTTCTTTGTCTGTGTTGGTGGATATCCTGCAGCCTCGTGGGGGGATTTGTGCTATTTTATTTGTCTGCTTCAGATCTTGCAAACAAGATGTTTTCAGCACTCCTAACATGGATTTTGCAGCATCCTGGCTATTATTGCGGCTTGATAGACACAGCGTATAGTCAATATTGACAAATAAGGCATTAAACATTCAAGTTATGTTGTAGCACATCAGATGAGGCGTCCAATTCACAGCTAGTCAGGTCCTCGGACTTTCCGGACCCCCAGCATCGAGCACTCGACCGTCCCGGCGGAGGAAATCAATGTCTAATAAACATTTGGGGGGATCAAGTCCTTCTTGGGAAGCGAAGAAGCATTACCAAAGTGACTTCAAGATTACAATGTTCTTCTAACGTTCAAGATGAGAAGCTTCATCAGTTGCACCACCTGGCTTGACAGATTAGTGAAGCTGGCTGTGAAGCAATTCTGGTGCCTGGAGGCATGAGACAAAAGCATGATCCAGTGGCCACGCACTTCCCATAACAGCCTTGAGGTTAACAGCATACTTTGATTTAATCCCAAGGACAGGTTATGGGTCTGTCGTCAATTCGAAGCATCAAGGAGTCAATTGTCATGTTGGTGTGTTGGCTGGGGTTGAAGCGGCCATGAGAATGCCCATGGAATCGGCCCTTTATGGTTACTGTGCTCCCAAAGGCCAGGGCGGCGTCACTCTCGAAATGAAGCTCACTCGTTCAGATAAATCTCTTGCCTAGACACGAGAGTATCACAAGTTCACAACCGACCAAGTCTTCGGCTTCGTTTGAGCAAGGGCGCAGAAGCTTCGCAAAGCATAGGCGCTATGATATCCGCAATGGAGCAGAACCGCTCTGAAAGCAGTGCCGTCGATATCCGACAAAGGCAATAGTCCCCCACAGGAACACGAATGCCTTGGCTACAGAAGGCCACACAGGGCTGTGCGATCGCTTCTAGAAGGTGATAAACAGAATGCTACTGAGTGTTTTGGGCAAGTCTAGCTAGACCTTTGCTATTTTCAGCATGTGCATTGGCCATCTCCAGATCATTATCGGCAGTGCTATCATCATTAGGTGCGAGGTTTGAGCTTAAACCTGCCGACCACGTCAACCGTCCGTGCGTTCAGCTCTTGAAATAGTCCAGAGTACCATTACATGAGGTGCACAGGTCAAGTGTTCTCGACTCACCAGAGATCCTCTCTCTCATGCTAGGCTGTCTGATTGGTAGGGTACTCCCACTCCGTTACTCCGAATGTGCACCATTGATACTGTTCCATTGGGAACGGTCCAAGTTACTTCTGTCGACAGCTACCTAGCTGAAAGGTAATGGCACTTGGCTCTTACCAGTTTGCACCATGGTACCTTACCGACGATGCAATAGTCTGTGAGCAAAGACAATAGCTTGAGAGGTTATGATGATGTTCACATGCCTCAAAGTAGGAGTATAAGTACCTCCAAGTTGACGATGCAAACGAGAGAAGTCCATCATCATCAGCAATAGATTTCCTCTCCATTACTCACAAGACAATTTCACCCATCAGCAATCAGTCTAGAAAATCAAGTCCCTTAAATCCCAGTGCCCAAGCTCAGCAAAGCACTTTTTTCAATCACCCACAAGCAATCAAATACCTTCATCCACATAATCGAGATCCAGCATATCTTCTTCTTCTTCTTCAATTAAGCCACAATGCAGTTCAAAAACACAATCATCGCCTCAATCCCAATCCTAGGCGCCATTGCGGCACCAACAGGTTCTTCCGGCAAGAATCCCGATGCGCCTGCCACATTCCCAGCAGCTTACGGTCTAGTCGTTAGCACCCACGTGGATCCATTCCACTTCGAAACGGTCAATGCCAACAGCGGCAAATTCTGGCTTAATCTTCCCTTGACCTCAACCTCTTGCCCAAGCGACGTTGCCTCTCAGGGCGCCTGTCCTCCCGGAACAGATACTGTCTTCACGGGAGCAGGTGGTCTCGCCACCGTGGTGCCTGGCGGCCAACAAGCTTATGCCCTGCAAACTGGAGAGCTCCGGTTCACCGGCGCGCATGCCAACCTTGTCCCTCAAGGAGCAGTCAGTTCTCCTTTTGTGTACGAATTTCAGGACGGCGCACAGTTCGGCTCCGTGACCAGCTACGCCTTTGGTGCTAATGGATTCATGGCTTGCCCCACTCCAGGAAGCAGTGCCTACCAGGTCTTCCTCAATGTGGCAAATGCTCAGGTTCCTTTGGGTGACACCAGCGCCTGTGTTCTTCTTGGCTTCCTCGCTGTGCCTTACACTCAAGGAGATGCTGCTGCCTGGCAGTACGACTAAGTCCCGGATTATACCAGACCCGGGAGGATAGCTCCAGGTCCTGCACAGAGATCGAAGACACGTGGGACTGTCTGAAATTGGTGGAACATGGTGACCACGGGGCCGAATTATCAGCATTTGGTTTTCGCTACTCTCTTTTGACATTGGTGATATAAATAGCATAGCATGGGTATAGACAGGTAATATTATAGCAACAGGTCTTTTGATTGCATCAAATATATTGATTCTTTCCCCTTCCAATATCGGATATAAGATTCTTCTCTCGAGCGCCTCAGTCAAAGCTTTGGTACGTCTTTGAAAACATAAAAAGCCTATTTTCAATCGTTAGTACTTCCAAGAAACGCAATTGCACCTCGTTGTCATGGATCACACGAACCTCTTGAACACAAGTTGCGACCAACAAACCATCCTTGGTGTAGATCTTTGTGTGAATCATCCCCCGCCCATCCTTGGCCCATGGAGACGTAGCTTCAACGTACAGTAGGTCATCTGCGCGGAAACCGTCGTGGATATGAAAGTGAATTGTATGGTTGAGACTTGTCATGATTTTCATCTTGTAAGGCACCTGCTTGCGCTCGTAGTCATTAATCTTAGATAACCCAAATTCAACCCCATGGATCGACAACGGGCAGTCCATCACGTGGTAGTCGGACATATGGACGATTGCAAGTAGATGTGCTGCGCTTCCGGTTGGTGATTTAATGGGTGGTTCGATCTTAGCAACCACAGGTGCAATCGTCGTGCTTGGATCCTGGGGATTAGAATGCTGTAGCGGAAGGCGCTGAAATTCCATGAACGGGCCCCGTTCCGTCCGCATATGCACGAAATCGTCCAGCGTAATCTTGTCAATCCGTTCCTTGATTTGAATAGCCGCAGCGTGCTTCATTGCCTGACCCGTCCATGCTTGACCGCTCATGAAACTTGCCGTCACCGCGACGACGGGCTTGTCATCTTGCTCGATGATGATGATCCGTACTGCGAACCTCCGACCTTGACTTACTCTCTGAACCTTATAAACGAGAGGTTTATCGGCTTTGGGACCCAGCATGAATTGTGTGTGCAGCGAGTCCAACATGAAGCCTTCCGGGACAGTTTTGTATGCCGCTGCCGCTGCTTCCGCCATCATCACTGGGCCAGGGACGTTGAAAGTGATGTAGAACACCCATGGTTGATGGACGTTGGTGAAGACATCCTGGCACATATGTTTATTAGGTGAGAAAGCTGATCTGATACGATGCTGCTCACCTCCCCAATTTTCTTCAGCTCTAGATGCTCTTCAAAATCAAGCTTACTGGGTCCTGGCATCCTGATATAGGGCTTGATGTTCTAATCGAGGTCAACAAGATGTAGTGTCTGTGTCAAATCTAAAGGTCTCCTCAGCGACACGTCGTGCGCAGCTTTGATCTTGAGAGAGCTGGCGAATCCGAACGAAGATTGCGGCTGAAGGACGGCTTTTCTTGTTACGAAACCTAGACCTTCCTAAATCACGCTCTAAAGACCTTGAATTTGGGCCTACATAGGCTGCAAATCGTTCACTTTGTTCGGCGCATAACGTTATGCTCTTCAAAAAGTTTGGGATGTACACACCCTTCCCACGGTTCTAATACCTGGTTATTACCGAATATTTAGCAGGAGGCCGACAAAGATGGAGGAATCAGCTCAACATGCGGGGAATGGGCTCAGCTAAGATGGGTAGGCACCTGGGAGAAGATTTAAACCGAGGCTTGCAAGGCTGAGTTGGGGCGACTGGGGCTGATCTGCTTGGACGATCTACTCGTAGTTAACTAATCACTCGTTAACTGAGTCGTTGGAGCTGCGAACTACCAAAGAAGTTACGAAGTTAGGAAATCGTTATTTTGCCAGATGCTCACGAATGACGTCAGGTAAAAATATGCCTACTTAGACAAATACCTGCATGAATCGAGTATCAAGCCCGAGAATAGGGCTCGAAAATGCTCAACTCCAACCGTTACAAGTGCTCATCCGATCTGGAGGAGCATCTATTATACATAGTAGCTTATCATTTCTAGACATTGAGCTTCGGCGGCGACAATCCTAACACAATTGCTTACACTAAGAAATCAAGAAGGTGGCATGCTCATGGAGCAGCCAGCCGCCTGAGGTGCCCCCGCCTAGCATCGGCCCCACGGGGCTGGAAATCGTTGGACCTAAAGCCAATAAGCAGAGGCAGCACTGGTGGGCGCTTCCACGCCTAGCCTCAGGTCAATAACCTTGTTTTTCATCTGACGATCAATTACACTGGACGTTAGCCTCCTGTTGCACACCTAACTATCAGTGTGCACTTGTCAGCTCTAAGAACTGGGCAGACTAGTAGTACAAGAGTTCAACTCCAGAAACGCTACACCGACAATGTATTCTACCTGATCTCAAAAATCATGAGACGCAAGGCCTTAGTCTTCAGCACGGTGACATTGTTTGTGCTGGTCATACTCTGGCTTTCGCCATCTCTTTCCGATGCGCCAAGGACTTTGAAAGAAGATTACGACAACCCATACATCTTTAAAGGACCAAAAGCTGAGGACAAAGTTATTGTTCTAGCCAAAATAAAGAAAGAGAGTGTTGGCTGGGTCCGGAAGGAACTCCCCGAGTAAGTGAACCTCAATTGTCGATATGTCAACCTTGATCAGTGCTCATACGGAGGAAAAAGTTGGCAACACGCCATCTATCACATGGACGACCCGACTTGGATTTTACATCCACCAGATAACAAAGGCCACGAGGCGATGGCTTACTTGACATTCATCATCGCCCACTACCACAACCTACCGAGCATCATTGTCTTCCTGCATCCACATAGGAAATCAATGCCCCAGTCTTGGCACAACGACGCCGAGGACAATGATAACGTCAAATCCGTCCGCAGTCTTCGTCTCGACTACGTCTACAAGCACGGGTATGCGAACATGCGCTGTGCCGAAATGCCGGGCTGTCCGGATGAGATCCAACCATTTCGAGGCGATCCCGAGCGTATGTTCGAAGTCCCCTTTGCGGATGCTTACGTCTATCTCTTTGGGGGTAACCACTCGACGGTGCCTCGCACCATCGCGACACCGTGTTGTGCTCAGTTTGCGGTCTCCAAAACACAGGTTCTCAAGAGGCCCAGGTCAGACTATGTACGGTATCGACAGTGGCTGCTCGACACGGACTTGCACGATGAGATTTCTGGGAGAGTAATGGAATATTTGTGGCACATAATTTTTGGGAAGGACCCAGTCTGGTGTCCTGATGCGGGAAAGTGCATGTGTGAACAGTTTGGGAGGTGCGGAGGTTTGGGAATATGATGAAATGCGCTGAGGATGTACAATTGAGCAGTAATGATGCATATGAATTTCTGGCAACGTGGAGCCGAAAACTCAAATCGATAAAACGATGATCTTGGAGATTCATAGCCATGAGTAGAAAAATTCCCTCAAAATCTATCTACACTGCAAACTGCCCAACAGTGAACCTCGGTGAGACGAGACTAGTTGGACAGACTGGGCGAGCCTGGAAATTTTTCATCGCGACCTGAAGATCCCAGAAAAGGGCCAGGATACTGGGCACAGAGAGGTCATCAATCCTGAGCTAACTTGAAGCATATCCTGAGAGAGTAATGGCTTTCCATGGGCGGGCCTGAGGTGATACATCATCTGCTGGTCCATTGCGGCCCCGTATTAAACATTACCACGCTTTTAATTACACCGACGGGCCAGATGTTCTACCGAGGATACCAATCCTCTCAAAGTAGAGATCTCGGATCAATGCCCATGCGATCATCTTGCCCACTGTGGAGAAATTAAATTTAATTACCACAAAGACCACTTGGAGATTAGACATCAGATAGTGTGAGTGTTACTTCAAGCAGCATTCTATGCCTGAAATGTTTAATCTCACGTTGTGGATTTTCCCCTGGGCGCGGTACGAGAAGAAAAGAGTGGACAGGTGGACAGGTGGACATCCAACACCATGATTGACCACCACAGGCTGTTAAACTATGGCTAGGAGTATTACACGCGTCCTTCATTTAACATCATCTTTAGAATTGCTTATCTTGGATGAATTGTACCAGTCCTCATGGACGCTATGAACTGTAATTCCATGGCTTAGTTCTGGAGTCTGAATCAAGCTATCGTCTTAGAGCGCGGTTCCATTTACAACCTCTTGAAACGGTATTCGACACACGAATCAACAGTCTCAAAAGAACTATGGGCTCCGATTTCAGCAACAAGGCCAGATGGATATGGGTCCCGGGATATGATGACACTTCTACTGAAGGAAAGATTGTCCTCTTTCGCAGGACTTTCGGTTTGTCTAGCACGCCCACCAACCCTACTCTCTTAAAGGTGTCAGCCGATACACGATATCGTTTATTCATAAATGGCCAAAGTGTTAGCTTTGGGCCATGCAAGAGCTATACCACTCGTTGGTACTACGAAACTGTCGACATAAGTGACTATCTTCACAAAGGAATCAACACGATTACCGCTCGAGTGCTCCGATTTTCAAGTGCACACCCCGGAAGTTTCTCCCTCTCAAGAGGTCCGTTTCCAGGATTGATACTTGATTGCTCGGTTGAAGTAAGTATATACAAATTATCTTCGAGAGTTGTTCTTATTGACGTGCTGGCAGGAACAAGAATTACACACAGGTCTACCAGGATGGGAAGCCCAACTCGATACTTCAGTCCAGATGCAACCCCGCTCCGAGTGGAATTATGCCTTTGGTCCTCCATTTCTTGCCATGAATGAGAGGGTCAATGCTTCAACTTCCTCGGAAACCTGGTATCCTGCTCAAGTGATGTCGGTCAAATCAATGATGTTACCGGTTCTTGAGCCCTGGAAACTGACGGAACGCCCCATACCCACACTTCCTGAAATATTAATGGAGATGCACAGTGCCGTGCGTATGGAAGGATGCATTGATAAATACAGGTGGAACGAATTCGTGAAAGGCGTAGCTCTCTCAATACCAGCTCGACAGACAGTGGTTGTTGAGCTGGACTCCCTCGAACTCACGACAGGATTTCTACGCCTCGAGTTTGAGTCCTTGTCAACAGTTGAAATCAGACTCATGTGCTCCGAGAGCTACGAGACACCCATGGCCAGAAGTGGCCCAGGTTCCAAGAGGCAAAAGAACGACCGGACAGACCATATTGATGGAAAACTTTATGGTCCTAGTGATTTTTATATTTCCAAGCCAGGAAATAATGTTTTCGAGCCATTTTGGTTCAGAGCATTCCGTTACATTCAATTGGAAATCTCGACTAGCAGTGCGCCGGCTACATTTCATTCATTTCGATACCGTATGACGCGATACCCATTGAAGGTCGAAACAACCATCAAAGCCTCGTCCGAGTTGGAAAATATGTGGCAAATCAGTCTGAACACGCTAAAGAACTGTATGCATGAAACTTATGAGGACTGTCCGTTCTACGAGCAAAATCAGTTCATCATGGATTCAAGGTTGCAGATGTTGTTCACGTATCAGATATCAACAGACGACCGTCTTGCTCGGAAGACCATGCAAGAGTTTTACGCGAGTCGAAGAGACGATGGCCTCTTGGAGGCTCAATTCCCTAGTCCTGGCAGATGCGTCAACATTCCACAATTCTCCTTATTTTGGATCTTGATGGTCCACGACCACATGATGTACTTTGGAGATCAGCGGTTAGTCAAACAATACCTTGGAACTATCGATGGCATCCTCGATCACTTTGATGCTCGACTCAACTCTCTTTCTCTCGTGGGCCTCTTCGACGAAGAAATGTGGCCATTTGTGGATTGGGTGACAGAATGGCATGGCTCAACAGGGCTGCACAGTATGGGAATTCCTAAAGCGTATTGGAATGGAGCCGCAACCTACAACAGTCTTTTATATGCTTTTGTCCTGCAGCATGCCGCTGATCTATGTGATTTCGTGCATCGCCCAGACACCGCAAGCGAGTATCGAAGAAGAGCCATGTCGTTGAACGAGGCTGTAAATGCTCATTGCTATGATGGAGAGCTGTACTTGGACGGACCAAATTCCCAAGACCGATCTCAGCATCCACAAGTCTTTGCTGTTCTCTCAGGAGCGATCCAAGGAGAGGCCGCTGCTGAATTGATGAGACGTACTATTATCGATAATAGCTTACCGAAGTGTTCATACGCATTGTCGTTCTATCTTCTGAGAGCCGCTTCTCAAGCAGGTGTTTATGAAGAGCTATTCATATATCTTGTTGCACCCTGGAAGAAGATGATGAATCAAAATCTGACCACTTGGGCTGAGGATGATGTAATGTTCAGGAGCGATTGCCATGGGTGGAGTGCCAGTCCTATCAATGAGATCGTTTCTAAGATCTTCGGCATCTCACCTGCTTCTGCAGCTTATGCGTGCTTGAAGATTGAACCTTCCATTTCTCTGCTTCCACCACAAGCAGAGGGCAACTTTGTGACAAGAAACGGCGAAGTATCACTGTCCTGGGATGAAACTATTGGATTGCAAGTGGTATCAGATCATGAAGTTCAAGTGCAAGCTGTGATCAAGGGAGTAAATCATGTCTATTTTCTCAAGACAGGGGATGCAACGACGATATATAGTCCCATCGCTTGGACAGAAAGGCGTGGCCAGGAAGGTGCAATGACCATGGCTGAAAAGTCTTCTCATCAGGTGATGGAAGTGATGGGCGTAACGTGTTAAAATGATTTGAATGATATCGCGGTGGCTGGGTGGCTATGTAGTCCTGCCTTTGAGCATACAGCCTCGTCAGCCTCGTCAGCCTCGCCGGTCTCCTTTTCTAGCACTAAGCTCACCGCCAAGACATCTACCCCTCTTGAATTAAATTGTCCACTTAACCACTTGCCCAAGTAGGTACTCTACTATCATTTCCACACCACTCTGTAGTACGTGTGATTCTGAGCTCGATAGAATAAGGGTGATGCTGTGAAGACCAATCCTCCTTCATCTGCCATGCCGAACACTTCTGCAGGGCCTGGTAATTTTCAGTGTCCAGTATGTAACAGCGTTTACCAACGCCCCGAAAGCCTCTCACGTCATCTTCGCACCCGTAAGTCAACCAATATCAGATTTCCTGGAAAGAAGGGACCATACGTTGACTCTTGAGATAGATGACCCACATCCAAGGCGGCATACTTGTACGGTGTGTGGCAAAGGTTTCACACGTAGTGATTTGCTGAGTCGCCATGAGAAAACCCATTCGAAACCTCCTCGTTTGAGAAGCATATCCAAGAGCAGAACCGGCTCCCGAAGACACCAAACCCTCTATGCTCCATTGGGTTTACTGCAAGACGGCAACTTGAGCGACATCGAATATGGTCCGGATGGTCCATCTGGGCAAGGCGCCCTGTTGACACAACCTTCCCCCGCGGTTCAGCCTTCCATCGAATCACCATCTACACCTAGTAGACATGTGCATGAGCCATCGAGCACAACACCAACCATGCTGACAGTGAGCACACACCATTCAGCACTCCTGCCGCTTGAAAACATCGTTCTTCCTCCAGACAAAACCGGCATCGAAGGTCTTGATACTCAATTTGGCCTGCTTGATGGCCAGGATCTCCTACTTCAAGACTGGTTTGATCAGAATTTTTATGAAGCACTTCATGAGACTGATACTCTCTGGCCATTGAGTGGAGATGGAACAACTATCGAGATGCCTACGCTGGGGGATACAGTGATGGACGACCTGAGTTCCCCACAAAGAGATGAGGATTTGAGAGACAACAGGCATACAGTCCCAATGCCTGTGAGTCGCATTCCATCGCCACCAAACGAAGCTTCAGAGGAAGACAGGTGGCCCTTTACTTGGGATCCGCGGTCGCGTCGCATCCTTGCCTCAAAATCCATTGAGATTACAGAGGACCACCCACTTCAAATAGGTCATCGCCGTAGGTTCGATATCACCAACATCAAATATGACAAAGTCAAAAGATTTTGGCAGTTACCTACCGATCACAGTATGGGACAATTTTCGATCGAGATTCCAACATTGAGAACAGCCAACATACTCATTGGCATCTTTTTTACACATTTTGAGCCTCGAATGCCTGTGATTCATCGTCCATCTCTTCAGAACACAGACAATCTTCCCGATGCGCTGATAGCTGCGATGATTGTGATAGGGGCGATCTACAGCAGGCAACGGCATAGTACTCGCTTCGCTATCGTCCTGCTAGACATGAGTCGGATCGCTGCTCAGGTTACAATGGAGCATGATAACAGCCTAATGAGAGATGCCATGTACATTTATGCTGTCGGCCTCATTTGTTACGTGGGACTCTGGTGCGGGAACAAACGCGCATTTGAGTTGGCAGAACTCTCAAGAGCAGCCATCGTCAATTTTTGCAGAAGAAGTCATTTCACGAGTGCCAGTCCAAGTCAGCAAAGGCGGGACTCGAAAACTAACCAAAATGCTGGTCGCGATATTGGAGTTCACTGGGCCAAATGGATTGAGCAGGAGACCAAGAAGAGGCTCTGCTGGGTTGTCTATGGCATAGATTGTGAGGCCGCAAGCCTGCTACATATACCTCCGACCCTATCGATCACCGAAATCGTTAAGCTCGAATGCCCTTGTGATGAGGAATTCTGGCAAGCTTCGAGTGCTCGACGGTGGAAGCGGCTTTTAGGACTTGCTCCTTTTCCAGCATCTCGAGCCCTGTCGTCTGCATTGTCACCATTTTTGAAAGTACTCTACGCGAATGATGTCAAGACTTATGACAGGTCGAGTAGCACCATCAAGGCTTTGACTGGTCTTAATTCTTGGAGCCGACTATTGGTTTTGCAGTCACTGCAGCTTTTCGTTTACAAACTGTCTGAAGACATGTCACTTACTACATCTGCCGATCTCACAGATAGCGAAAACGAGGAAGACGAGTACGGACCACGGTGGAATGCTCCATTGTCCTTCCAACATTCGCTAGGTAACTCCAACCCGGGGAGTACCAACATTGATCCTCCCAGTACACAAAACCTTCCCATCAGTGATACTGTACAAGTGGTCTCTCGCCGGAAGGCGCAATTGGAAGAATTGTTGTCAAGGTGGTCAAGCACCTGTCTGAGTAATCCGCCTTCCGATATCACAATTTACTCAACATCCCGATACTTCTACAATGCATCCGGAAGTCACCATTTCCTCGCTATTTTGAGCCTGAATGTGCAGATTGTGGATCTTCAAGACGCTTTGGGGAAATCTGGAAGCGCAGAGATGGTTCTAGCTCTGGAAAACTTATCTCGGGTTTACGAGCATGATATGGCACAGACCACAGCAAGTGTGATGCACTGCAAGAAGATAGCAGAATCTGATATTTGCGGGTCCGTATCACCGGTGCATGTAGGTGGTGAACATGATTCTGACCCGGAAGTTTTCATTACGCTGTTTTTGGGTTATGTATTTCTGTGGACGGTCGCAATGACGGCGAGTTCCGAGCTCAAGTCTCGTATAATTACTGCCTTGTCACCAGCAACAGCCGATGGAGGCCAAACGAAAATCGCAGGTGTCCTTCAATATGCATTAGCAATTGAAGATGCCAATCTGTCCACCATCGTTGGAATTGACAATTTACCGGCTCCAGATCAATCCTCGAGATCTGAACGGTCAGCACGACCAACAGTCATCCTCCGTACTGGTGCCGAGGCACTGAGCCGATTACGACCATGGGGTGCCTGCTTGAATCTGGCACTGCTACTCCATCAGCGTGCGAAGATGTGATGAGGAATCTATCATGATGGTCTTATATGGGGTATGACTCAATACATTCCGCTCAGCGCTCAAATAGTACCCGGGAGTGGGGGCACTGCCTCTGGTGGTGTCAGCCTCCAACATGATGGCATTCCTCCTTTTTTCTTGGAGCATGGGAGTGAGCACAGGTGAGATTGATTCCATGTTCAAAGTGCAGTAGACGAGCCCAGCCACTTCGGATATCTTTGGACAGAAGTTGGTGTGGACATACGAGTCTCGGGGCAAAGAGCAACCGAAGATGTTTACATTTCGACCTAAGGGTGGTCTCGATACGTATCAGTGATGGCAACTGAATCGAATTACAGAAAATAGGTATCATGTAACAGTCCCATGTGGCAAATGGTGCCAGCAAGTCTAAATACTGCCTAGGGAGTAGGAAATCCCGAACAGCCCTGCTTGAATTACGAGGAGGTGGTCGGCTGCCACTCGATCTAGATGTCCACTTGTCCACTTGTCCACTTGTCCACCTTTTTCTCCTCCGACTTTCACCACGCCATAGACATACAACGATGTGTTTAACTAGTATTCGGTTGAGCTTCAACCGAGAGCAAGCATAGCACAGAGTTCAAACCCTTACCACCTAAAATACAAAGTGATGTAGCTCTTCTTAGGATCACTCTCAGGCTGTAGAGCTTTGCTACAAAAAAGCCGCTTGTCTGTCATCAGAATATCCTACGTGTCCTGGAGTGGCATTTGCTCAATTTAAATTACTTACACTACGTCAAGTCTACGCTCTTCCTTCTTTGCAAGCACTAACCAGACCATATCTCTTGTTCACGAAGTTTCCTGTGGATCAAATCTAGCAATGGCTGAGATGGCTGAGAGCAAGGTGGCCACGAAGCACGTTGAGGCCGTAGCCGACTACAGTGAGGACGCTGCCCACCGCGGTCAACTACTCTTCGATGAGGAGCGGCATCTCGGTGTTCTCGCGACGGCAAAGCTACATCGCAGAGCACTATTGACATGTAAGTCAGAATGCATTACTGTACATGTTTTTACGAAACTGTGCCTAGGATGTGCTCTGCCACCAGATATTCAAAAACACATCTGACACACTGTGAATAATGCAGGTAGTGTTACCTTCACGGCTGGACTGGTGTTTGGCTTCGACACCGTCGTTAACGGCGCCTCTATATCAATGCCATCATTCCTTCTGTACTTCGGCAGCATTGGACCTACAGGACCGTTCCTCCCATCCATCTGGACGTCGTTATGGACCGCAATGTCCGGTCTGTGTCAAGCAATAGGAGCCATTATCATTGGCATTGTTGCTGACAGATTCGGTCGAAAATGGTCTGCATGTGGTGCTGCAGCTCTCACTCTCGTTGGTACCGCCGTCCAGTACACCGCCCACGCAAGGGGAACATTGATGGCTGGCAAGATGATCGCCGGGCTCGGTGTTGGCGCAATCCTGGCTGTTGCTACCACTTACGCCTCGGAGGTAAGAATGGATCTATCTGGGCCTCCCTGGGTATTTACCTGAGCTGTTACTGATCTTTGGTTTTACCAGGTGGCACCTCTCAAGCTACGAGGACCGATTCAGGCCACCCTTGTGTTGTTTACCGTCTTCATGCAAGGTCTTGCCTTGGGTGTGGTTCGAGTCTTTGTCCCAAACGTTCATGAACAGGCATTCAGAAATGTCTTTGCGACACAGTGGGCAGTCGGTGGGCTTGCTCTTATCTGCTTCGCGCTTGTCCCAGAGTGAGTACAATTCTGGTCTCAAGGGGCCACCTTTTTCTCAGGTCAATCTGCTCACGTGTTATACTATCTCAGATCTCCAGTGTTTTTGATCACCCGTGGCGATATACCCGCAGCTCGAAAGGTAATGGGGCGAATCTACGGAGAGAAGAAACAGCCAGATGAGAGAACAGCGTTACTCATCAGAACCATCCGTGACGAGCAGGCCAACAGCAAACTCACTGGGGGCACCTACCTCGATTGCTTCAAGGGAACGGACAGAATACGAACAGGTACCGTAGCCTTCTTGTACACGACGTCAAATGTCGGTGGCGCAGGCTTTCTCGCACAGAACATCTACTTCCTCATCATTGCCGGACTCGAGCCAATTCATGCTTTCGATATTGGGATCGGGGGTTTTGGTTTGGCCATCCTTATCATCATCGCTAGTGGTGCGTACTTGAAGAAGATCAGTCGTCGTACGACGGTTATCGCTGGCTGTGTCATGAATATCTTTTTCATGATTATCATTGGCGCACTGTACTATGCCCCTGGCCGTGGAGCATTGTGGGCTATCGCTATTCTCATGTAAGTCCCGAGTGTTCCAGGATGTGATATCATTAGTGTCTGAGAGGTCTTATCCCGGCTGACGTGAATTCTGCACAGGAATCTTTTGATATCCTTTCAAACAAGTACCCTTCAGGCGGTGGGATGGCCCACTGCGGCAGAAATTCCTAGCTATCGATTACGAGCGAAGACCCTGTCGATCGGAGTGTTCGCTCAGACGCTGACGACGTGGTTCTTCTCTTTCGTCACGCCGTACATGTACAACGTGGACTCGGGAAACCTCGGGGCACGCACTGGGTTTGTCTATGCGGGCACGAGTGTTTTCCTTGTCATAATCGCCTACCTCTACTGTCCCAATACCGCGGGATTGTCCACTCAAGAGATTGATGATCTCTACGAACAAAAGATGTCTCCGAGGCTGTTCCAAGCCAGGGACAGGCAACTTGATGAGCAGGGAATGCGCGACAAGAATTTGCAATCGGATGTCCGGAGCTGAACCTTTAACAGACGAGTCCAAATCCATCTTTTGGTACCTAGGTATTGTAGTGGTCCTATTGTTGGTAGATTGGGCCTAGGCTAGATTAGATCTTCTCCGCAATCAGCACTTCGGGACTTAGCCATGTCTCCCAAGATACAATCTAAGGCCCTTCCTACGAAGTCTGTAGCAGCAGTCAGAGCAATGACTAGTCTTCCATAGCCTGGAGTTTGCACCACTCCCCTCCTCCAACCACTCAACCAGTAAGCTGCACATGTGGGATGCAGAATATGGAAAGTACCTAGATGGTATGTGGAGGGCAGGATGTGAACGTTCCGTATGGAGGATGGTCAAAGGTAGGTGGATGGTGGGTGGATGGTAGTGAGGTCTACCTAGTAATTTGATGCGATCTAAAGAAGCTAGCTCATCGAGCTGCCAAGACACTAGAGTCTTGGCATTTGAAAGTTGGAGAATCCGAACTGGCGACGTATTTGTTTGGTGATGGGGACGAACACTGTAACTCTGAGAACTACAAGCACACTCAGAGCGAACAGATTACTGGTTGAGAGCATTGTCTTCTTCGATCAATACCTCATTATGCGTGTCCTATCGCTACTCCCACAGGCTGTTCTACTCCTGTCAGCTGCTCAATCCGGCTGGGCAGTATCGTCCTGGTCGTTCACAGATGCCTCAGTTAATGTGGCAGGCAAAGGCGCAGGAGTAGGCGGCGGGTTCAAAGAGAAGTAGGCTTGTTTCCAGAGCCGTCCATGGACACCAGATATGATAGCTAACCCTAGTCTCCCAGGTTGACACCCTCAAAACCACTGCCGTCTTCCAGCCCAGTGAAACTAGGAGCAGGAGATACTCTCAAGGTCATCCTCACTACGCAAGAAGGGAAATCAGCCAAACGGGCGCATCAAGCCTTCCTACTCCTCCAAGACCCCGTCACCAACCTCGACATCTCATATCCCTTCAGTGTCAAAGACTCGGGCAAAGCCAAGGTAGACCTGGTACGTTGAACGCCATCCTAATGGCTCCATACCTCTGATCATCGATATTCATATCTGCCTATAGACTCAGAAAGACTTGCCCGCTCAATTACTGCGAAGCTCTTCGCCCCTGTCCGCAAGCATAGTCATTGCGTCCTTTGGTGCCTCAACAGGCTACAACAGTCTTGCCTTCTCGCTGTCTATCGAACTCGACCCCAACGTGGCACTTCCCGCGGCCGAGAAGCCGTTAAGATACGGAAAACTCCCCGAGATACATCACGTCTTCCGCGGCGATCCCAAAAGCCCTAATATTGTCATCAGCCTGTTCTTCGTGGGTGCCGTACTGGCCACTGTGCCCGCGTTGCTCGGAGCAGTAAGTCGAGGCATAATTCTTCTGTCGACCCATACTAAACTATGCTCTAGTGGCTCTACCTTGGAGGCAACATCAACCACGTGTCTAAGGCCCTCTCAGATGCACCAGTATCGCATGCGCTGTTCGTGGGGTCGGTTATTGGCATCGAGGGCATTTTCTTCCTTTACTACACAAGCTGGAACTTGTTCAAGACTCTCCCGGTCCTGGCGGCCGTCGGATTGGTCGCGTTCCTGTCCGGAAGCCGGGCTCTCACTGAGGTCCAAGAGCGCCGTCTGGCTGGACTGAGATGAAGACCGAATAGAAGTGTTTGCATGTACGTTAGAAGACTGTCGCATAGGAGGAATTAAAAAGTATAGAATCTGGCCCTCGACTATCCTGCCATCAGTGATGGAAGGAAAAATTATATGAATGCTGCATGTCCACTACCTAAAAGTGACACTTTTTGGCTCATGATTAATGGAAACCGTCATGCAGCATATTCTGACAGAAGTCTATACAAAAGTGCTGATATACACGGCAAACTCCGCAACCCCACCACCCTCCCCCATGTGCTATTCGCCGCATCACCCAGCAGCGCCCTGCGACATGATCTCCCTAGCGATGCGACTTCTGGCCCTGATCTTCTCGCCGTTGAAGAGCAGGATCCAGGGTACGAGGGTCAACAGCGCACTGATGCCGCCCAGCAGACTGCTGGCCTGGGGATAACCGATGTTGCGGAACATCTGATCGGTGAACAGGGGGAAGATGGCCGCCATGAGGTTCCGCATGAAGCTCTGGGCGGCCAGGGCCGACGACGCGTACCGGTGGTACACATCCGCCAGGTAGTTGAAGACGGCCAGGTAGATGACGAAGATCCCGATCTGCGCACATCCGATGGCCAGCACCGGCGAGATCCAGTGGATCGACGACGACGTCGTCCAGCCGAACCAGAAGAGGCCGATGGGGAGGAAGGCTGCATGGATGGGGAGAGGTTAGTATGAATCGATGGGATTGAGGAAATGAGGGCAGAGGGCGATTGGGTTTTGGGCCACTTACCCGACTCCAGGCACGCGAAGTATAAGCGGCCCTCGGGGCTTTCAGTCAGCTTGGGCCAGTGTCTCTTGGCAATGCGCTCCTGGACGATGGAGAGGATGGTGGCGAGGATGCTGCCGATGGAGATGGCGGCGAAGACGGCCCCGTTCTGCTCCGTCGTGAAGTTGTGCCGTGTGCGGAAAATCAGTGGGAGCACCGAGAACGTCATGTACAGCACGGCCCACGCGAAGGAGGCCCACAGAGAGAAGAAGAAGACCACGGGTTCGGTCGCCAGGAGCTTGAAGGGGAGCGTCAGCGATAGGTAGAGCATGTGGCGTAGTGAAGAGCGATTTTCGTCGGCCGCGACTTTGTAGCGCAGGCGTGCGGGTGTTGGTGGTGCAGAGGATGTAGGTGGTGGTGCTGGCTTTTCGGGGCCGTGTTGTGCTTGGTTTTGATGCTCTATCTTTTCCAAATACTCATTCAGAGCCTTTGCTTTGCGGCTGAGAAGTACCGAGCCACGAGTCTCCTTGAAAAAAACGCACACCACGACAAATAGCAGAGAGAGTGAGATGATCTGGTGATAATACACCCATCGGTAGCTGGCTCTCCCAACGATGAAACCCGATAGTAAACATCCAAACCCAGTGCCAGCCAAGGCGGAGCCGCTGTAGATGGCCATAGGCGTGTTGCGATGTTCAGCGTGATACATATCAGAGACGACACCCCCAACCATGGTGGCGAATGTGCTTGCTCCAGCACCAACGATGAAGCGAAAGACCAGCATCGCTGCAAAGGAATTGGTGGCCGCGCAACCGATCTGGCCAGCCAGAAACATGACAGCAGATCCAATGAAGACGGGTCTCCTACCATTGATCTCTGAAAACGGTGCCAGTAACATGGGTGAGCAAGCAAAGCCCAGCGCCCACATCGTCACGCCGACGCTGAACACCACACTCGAGATATGCCATTTCTCTCTTTGTGGATCTGAGGCGATGGAATAGGCTCCGGCAGAGTAGGCGGCAGTAAAGGTACACCAACAACTAATCACTAGAATAATATTCTTCCGTGACGATGACCAGTCGAATGGTGAATCGTACTGTCTCAAATTTGGTAGTGGAACAGTACTGGTGACCGCGCCGTCTATCGAGTAGAGGCGTTCGTCCAAAGGAATTGGAGTCTCGAAAGTGAGATACTCGTATCGAATATCCTCATCCGGGGCATCACGACTGGCGTTCGGATAGTCCATTTCCTTGGGCAAGATTGAGGTCGGCTCCTCGTTGGAAGCAATACTCTCTAAATCTCCCTTGGCATCATGATGGGGATCTGACGGCATCGGATCTCTATCGATCCTTTCGCCCATCTTTAGTGTCTGGGGGAGTGATTTTCTCTGTCTTCTAATTCACCTTGACCTGGCAAGAGAGTAGCATAATGTATATAGAAAGCGAGGAAGGGCGTGGATCAGTCTCAATGACAAAGCAATACAGAAAGACTGGACGGCAATAAGGGCGTTCGCGGTCAGTTAAGATTTTTTTCTGGAAACGAAGAAAGACTCATCTCTACTCCATCTTAGAAAGAAGCGAGACAACATCAGATTGCATGGCATATCTCCGGAGATTCTCCAACTTTCATCTCGCAGTCTAGTTAGTGCAAGGTGGTAGCCAGAAACTCCCCCAGATAGAATAATGGAACCCTCACGGAAGACGGCATCGTTTGGCGGCACGCACGCATGGCAAAAATTGAACCAAGGACAGAAGGGAACTCGAAGGTGCGGATAGGAATTTTGGTGGCTTGCAGCATAATGACGGTGTTGGCCATTCCCATTCATGCCTTTTACGATAGATGGACCTCTGAGCAACAGGGGCGCTGCAGCTTGATTGGCGTCGTCTGGCTCCCCCGCATGGCTTCTTTGGGGGCTCTTCAGGGATCATCACATGGACTTCTGTCCAGGGACCACCACCCCGAGATATGGCCGCTGGCCACATGGGTAAGCCTGACAGTTTCTTCCTATTGCCTAGTTAAGTCCACATGTACCATAGCATCATTCACTAGAAGTGCTACGTACGAACTTGAAGGTCATCGTACAGCACATGTAACAAGAGTAATCCTACATGACTAATTCGACCTACTCTGCGTTTTACTCCTGTCGGCGTTCTCATCCTGGCGTTCTCCAGAGCACGTGAAGTGGCTGGGTCTCACATTAATTGATGAGTCACGTATACACACGTAGGCGATCTTAGTGATGATAGTCTACAGGCAGAATGTCATAGCAAGCAGAACATGAAGGACAAATGCGTCGTGGAGAGACGATATCAAGGTCTTCACGTGTTGCCTCAAAGCTAAGCGGGACAAGCTCCGAGTGTCCATGCTGAAGGCGACCTCCACGAATACCCAATTGAGTCTCCTTCTCTTTTAACACCAGAATAAGACAAAGGGAGCTCACCCGTAGGCGGGTTTCCCACACTTTGCGTAGCCAAACCGAATTAATGAATAGTGTTGTATCCAATGCACTCCATCCAGATGCGTTAACCTCCCCATGCACAGTACTTTGATAAGTACTCCATATATTCCCATGTCGTGTACATAAAGGCGTGAAAGGGGCAAGAACAAAACCCCAAAAGTCTTAAATTGTGGTGATAACAAAACCGGCAGCAGCTACACCAGCCGCCAACCAATTGATGGACCTGGTAGCTGCACTGTTCGCGATATTGATCTCACCGAGAAGTACAGTAGGCTCATATCGCGGAGGGTCCCTCGAGTCAACGGTTCCGTTCCAGCAGAACCGTTCGAAACACTGGTTACAGACCTCTGGGATATCAGTGCGAGTACGTTCAAGACTTCGGCTTAATATGGCGCATCCAGCACAAGCTGGCCATGTCTCATCTACCGTGCCGTTGCCCATCGTGACAACATTCTGGCCGTTGAGAATGACAGCATCTCGGTAGCTGTTGTTCGTTGACAGTTGAAAAGTTGAAAAGTTGCTATAGGTAACGTATGGAGAGTTTGGAATGTAGACCACCAGCGGCACGTTGATTCCGTCCGTCATGTTTGATGTATCACAACCGAAGAACGTCGGATGGGTGTTGAGGCCAAGGTTAACTATCGTATTCTGATCGGGAATGCTTGGGAATGTGGTGCCATTGGCCACGTCGGCTAGTGATCGCTGATAGGTTGCAACGAGAGCAGTAGCATTGGGCCAGATGTACTCAGTGTCAGCGGATGAGTCCACGGCAAAAATAACATCGACGTGACGATTTGGTTGAATGAGTGGATGTAATGGAATATTCTGAAGATCTTCTCCACCATCGACAAGTGTAAGGCGAGATGAATTCGCGGACGGGTTGCTTTGCGGGTTGTAGTGAAAGAACGGATTTGGTGTATAATCGGCGATATCATTGTTGTCCGAACTCAGTGTGTTCAGAATACTGGAAACGATATCTCTGAGTGACTGTGGAATATCGGTACCATTCAGATTGAGGAGAAATTGGTTGAAGAGAGATGATGAAGTACCCATGATGAATCCAGCATTATCGAAACCAACAACACATTGGTCATTGTTAGGTACGCTTCCAGCGGTGAAATTGGTGCCCAAATATTGCATCGGTATGAAGCCGTAAGCGGTCGGGTCCCATGTTCCCATTTCGAATGCGTTGAACTCATAGACAGTGGTGTTTCCTGGAATCAGAGTTTCCCCTGGTGCTCGAGCATCTGCGACGAGAATTGGAAATGGTGTGTTGGCGTCTTGGAAATCCTGAGCGAGGCTGATTGAGGACCATGTGTAGGCTGGGCCTCCATCGGTCGCATTAATCAACTGGAAGGATAATGCTCGACCCCAGACATCAGTCAACGAAACATCGAACCCGGCATCTCGTTTTCCAGTGACAGCATCGGAGAGACTACCATAGTATTGAGCGGTGTCGAGAATCTGCAGGCCACCCTTATCTGGACCTTCAAGAACCGAATTCTCGAACTGCCACGTAGAGCCCGCGTCGTGCGACTGTAGAGCGCCCACTGTCGTATAATTGTTTATGAAAATGGAGCCAACCAGCCAACCACCCCCACTGAGACCAGCCAGGTATGTTGCGGACTGCAGCAGACCACCCAATTGACCACGGCCTGTGTTGTTGTCTGTTCTGGAGTCGAATGCCTTGATGGCGCCTGCGCCATTCATCAAGGCACGCCAGCCGCCTCCAGACACCGCAATACCGATATTGGGCAGCTCCGAAGCATTATTTGAAACTCTGTCAATGTATGAGCCAGCATCGAATCCCGTTATATTGAGCCGCGTCAACAGGTCTCGCATAGGCTCGACTGTATTGTTTCTTCTTCTTTCTAGCCATGCCGTCTCTTGTGACGAAAGCTCGGCAGCGGCCCTCACTGAGGGTGCATTGCTTGGACAGTCCCTCGACGTAGGAGTATAACCATTGGGAGAGTTGGGGAGAGCTCGTCGCAGGTGACCAAGCGCAGTCAAGCCTTCGAGATAGGCGTCTTCAGCAGATATAGCATATGCTGTTAAAAAGCTATTAGCATTTCTACCGAACGGTGGTTAAGGCTTTCCTCTATACTCACCATTTGCGCCGGCTGAAAAGGCCGTCACGACCGAGGCAACGAGAGAAAACTTCATGCTTTTAAATTGATCCCTTTACCTAGAGCAAAACATGTGATAACAACAAGAAGTCAGAAGGATGGGGGTGACACTCGGATGTGCTCAGGCGAAGGATATAATAGTCAATACTCGTCTCAGGCACCCACAGCACATAGCCACTATTGCCAGGACTGAAATGCAAAGTGCATTGACATGAGCTGAGCCTGAGGGAAGCACCGGATGGCAGGGCAGTTCATTGTTACCCGTGCCTCCAATGGCTTGTGGAGTGGTGGAGATGAATGCAAAGGTTGTTCCTCGTAACACTCTGGGCAGATGATGTCAACAATGCTTGTCATTCTGTGGAACCTCGCAGCAAAAGAGTTCGATGTTCCTGATTCTTTGTGTGCCTGGCTCGATTGCACTGCAAACTGGGATCCGGCAGGACCGGGAGTGGAATGCATACTGTTTCAGGTGCATTATACGGCATAATCGTAGCTGTGGAGAGCACGGATATTTCTCATGTGCTCTTGGTGATCTAACCACAAGATCATTGAAACGCGGCCAAGCATTCGGTTGCGACCCAATGGTTGTCGTACCAGATGTCGCATGTAGCAGGTGATCGTCAGCTAACCTGGAGTTCGTGATTAGGCGTGCATCGGCAGCTAATCTTAGTTAAAGCCTTTCGGCAGTCAGCGCTGAAGCCCTGCATGAAATGAGTGCAAATCGTAATCAACTGAGCCACCCTGCCCACCACTGCACCTTGCCACGCCCACAAGGCTATGTAGCCTTTTAGTTACCCGGCTAAAGAGCACAGCACAGTACGATGTGCTCGGTGATACGGTTTCCGCGGATTGGTTATTGGCATCAATCTCGGTTTCACCAAACTAACCAAATCCGTCCATATGCTGCGACACCAATGTTCTTGAGGTAGTCCTTCATGCTACACAAGGAAAGCAAATAGCTCATGTTAAATTCCGACCAGCTGCAGGGTCTGAGCTAAATGCCGATGTTATAGCTCAATTATGAACATGCAAAGGACAACGTCTTGTGTACGAGTCTCCTAACATGTCAAGCAGTCAGTGTCTACTGCAGCTATTCCTCTTGTTCCATCATTTCTACGCAGCGAAGAGCCAACTCGGATACTCCGCTTGCTTCAATGTTTGCCTTTGCTACGTGCCCGCTCAAATTCGAGGGAGAGGGTGCCACGTCGACCCACCCTGTACTCGAGTAGCAAGGCATACAACATTTCGTGCGAAGTCATGTACTCCGTATCTCGCTCATCGTCACACGTACATTGTGAGATCATCGACGTGCGCGAGCTGCAAGCCTGAACTGGCATGGGCCGGGTCGATACTCTCCACCGCTGCTACTGTATGCCAGTGCCAGTAACCGGGTGGATTGACTGAAGAACTCAGGCCCATGTGTAAGTATGCGTAGTTGGCGAATTGGCTATCCTGCTGTAAATCTCGAATGCATTCTGAAGTCTTAGACTTGACTCCAATCCTAGACTTAATAAGCAACTTGAAATGAAATAGCAGGAAGAGAACCAGGTGGGGAGAAACCTAGGAAGATCTCGAATGACTCTTGCTTGGAGGTCGGCTTCGGCTTCGTGATCGCAGCGAGCGTTGTACGTCTTGCTATTATTTCGGCTGCAACAAGCTTCTTGGAGTTGCTAATCCAGTTTTACTGAGGAGATTTGAAGGTTAATATGTTTCCTGAACAAGAATCGTCAGAATTCAATCCCATTAGTGGTCGAGAAATCACGGTCTTAAGAGCGTCTCAATTCCCCGGACGGACCATGCAACCTGCTGACAACGCTAACGTGGCAGCTAATCTAGGCGAACGAGGCGGCATGTCTTCAAAGGTTATGATTCTTCAATTTCAAGGCAACAATGATAAAGTCGAAAGCACTATCTAGTCATGGAATACGGTTTTCAAGGGAAATAGGCCAGGTAGATGTGGTTTTCAGCCCCAGATATCAACTATGGACGAGCTCGGTCGAGACCATGGTCGGGTCATATTTGGCCCGTCAGCCTTGTGGCTTGGGCTAGGGGCCAATCAACAGGCCTACTTTACAAGGCTCGCTGCTCCTAGCTTTGGAACGGCTCTTGAAGATGTCCTACCAAGAGCGTACTACGCTCGTCTGCCCATGGGCACGGAACTATAAAGCAGAAAGCTAACCACCCGACGGCGGGCGAAGTGAAGCACATCAGTTGTTAGGTCTAAAAGAACATTTTTTACGAGCGGGTACACCTAGCCCAGTGACTCGCGAACATCGCATACAATGCCGAAAGCAGGAAGTATCATCAACCCTGTCAGCGACGTATGGAAGTATGACCCTGACAAACATATCCCGAACCTGAAAGACAAGGTCATTGTTGTCACTGGCGGCAACAGCGGAACGGGCAAAGCCTGCGTGATCGAGCTCGCGAAACACACGCCAAAGCGCATTTTCCTCTCTGCGCGATCCAAAGCAAAGTTCGAAGATGCCGTGAAAGACGTGAAGGCCGTCGCACCAGACGCAGTTGTCGAGTTCCTCGAACTCGACCTCGCGTCCTTCGCGTCTGTGAAGCACGCTGCCGAAGCCATCAAAGCCTCCACCGAAAGCTTGGACATCCTTGTCAACAACGCCGGCATCATGGGTCTGCCACCTGGATTGACTAAAGAAGGATACGAGCTCCACTTCGGGACAAACCACATGGGCCCAGCGCTCTTGACCAAACTCCTCCTCCCATTGCTCCTCAGTACCGCGCAGCAGCCAGGCGCAGATGTACGTATCGTGAATTTGACGTCCATGGGACACACCAACACTCCGAAAGGGGGCATTGACTTTGAGACTGTCAAGACGGAACTCAGTGACCGCCACTCCTTCGTCCGTTACGGACAGTCTAAGCTCGCGAACATTCTTCACGCAAGGGAGCTAGCCCAACGTTATCCATCCATTACATCTGTCTCCGTGCACCCGGGCCGTGTGGCAACGCAGCTCCTCGATGATATGTATGGTCGACGCACGGTGGTTGGGTCACTTATGCAGGTGTATGATAAGATTGCAAGTCCCTTGACCCCGCAGCAAGGTGCCTATACCCAGTTGTGGGCCGCCACGTGGTCGAAGAAGGAGGACGTCGTCAATGGTGCGTATTTCGAGCCATTTGGGAAGCTGGCACAAGGTACCAAGGATGCGAGAGATTTGGAACTCGCCAAGAAGCTCTGGATTTGGCAGGAGGGAGAATTCGAAAATCATGGCTTCTGAATTCCATGGGTCGGTATATCTTGTCCCTAATATGGAAGTAGGACAATAACACCAGAAAGTGCCAACCGTTCCAGAGATGCTCAATACCATCTAGCTTGGGAACCCCCAAAATGATGTATAACGAGGCAGTCAACATGAAGCGATCATGCCTTTGAAGACTCTCCCACAGTATATCCGCGTGCAACGCCTGTTCGTCCTTCTTCAATAGCGCTTCCAACCTCGTCTTCCTCATACTTAACCTCAAAATCAGTTCCAAGACCTCTCCATGTCCTCTTCTGTGATAGATATTCTGCTGCCGGGGAAGAAATTCCATTGACCGAGATCATGTCACCTTTGTTCCGCTTCGCAAGTGCTGTGGAAGATGATGTAGACGAGCCTAGCTGCCCACTACTAGTGCGCGTACTGCCCATCGGTCTCGTTCTCGACACGTATCGTCCCGTTCTGAGGTCGAATTCAGGTGGTTCCGATTCGGATTCGGAAGAATTGTGTGATAGGTCGTCTTCACAGTCATCCTTAGGGGTTCCCTCGTTCTCCCCCAAAATACTTCGATCTTTGTTTCCATCCTCGACATGGCCATTCTTGCTGGCCGCGTTGAGAACACCTTCGAAATCGCCCCTCCACTGTCCAGTCCAGACCCTCTCATCGTCACTCTTCAGCGCCAGCTCCAATTCGAAAGGTGTGATGATTGGTCTGTAGAACTCCTTTGAATCTATCAAGCTACTCTCCCAGCAGCCGATAACCACCCAGCCTCCTATTTCGGAGAAATTGGCGATCTTTGCGGCATTGAGTTTGCCGACAACAAAAAGATATGATTTCTTGCCTGCTTCAGCAATAAGACGTTGAATATGTGAAAGAATCGAAAGGTAGTTCTTCACGGAAAGAGTATTGATGAGGATGCCCCACGTGGAAACAGTTGTTAACGATGTGACCAGGGCATACCGGCGACGGAGCAGCATTTGTGTGGGTTTATCAATAGTTGTCGAAGGAGTTGCAGAAGATTCGCTGGCCCCTGTTGGGAAAATCTTGATACTAGACATGCGAGAGATAAGTGTCAACAGCAGAGAAGTTGGTGGGTCGGAGATGTGGAACAGGTGCCACTCGGACAGGCATGAAGGGTCATCAGTAATCGTAGCGGGTACAGTCCGATTTGGAATAGCCGAAGAAGGGTCGTGGATAATCGATGCTGCGAATATGTCCGTGTATCCTGCACTCGTCAAGAGTTCAGCAAGTGGCTGAATGTGATGCGCGTAAGACACATCCGCAGTCAGTATGACTTTTGTATGCGATTCAGGGAAGTGGCTGCGGAACGAATTGGTTACAATATCGAGATCCAGGTCCATTTTTGTGAATATGTGTAATACTGGTAGTCTCGCCGTAGGTGAAAGACACGCTCGACCGTAATGCACGACAGCATCAGCATCAACATGCTCGGCGGCAATCTCGTCCACACAGCACGAGCCGTAAGAAGTGTCGCCCAGAATCGTGAGCCTTACCGGCCTCGTGTCCTCAACCGTCATTTGAGAGATAGTGGATATTGGGGGATCATCAATAGTCTGCACAGGAGGGTTGTGGGTTGATCGACCCTCTTCCAGACCTCGAGCGAGTAATTGGTAGACTCGGGCAGAATGTGGTAACATATGGTCGGGGAACTGCAACGCAATACGCCTCCATTGGTGCTGTTTGATCTCCTCAATGGTACGTGAGATTTCATATCTTGTGCAAATTTGGTCGTCTGACAAGTTTTCGGCTGGGTGTCGTGAGAGTTCAGGCAAGTCTTCAGTTAAGACGTGCGTGTCCGGTGTGGACAGCACGGGGGCTGCTGTTAGTTCTTGAGTCATCCCGATACGCACATCAGTGATTAAAGGCGATACGGTACTTGAAAGTATGGCCATGAAATAGTTGACATCTGGTCGAATTCATCTTGATTCTCAAATAAATTTTAAGGAGAGGCGATGGCCAGATCTTGGCACTGATGACAAAGTATCGGAATTCATGGTTGTGATTGGACAGGCATAAAAGTTATATAAAAAGCATAGCAGCGTCAGATGATTTTCCATACAGCATGCTCAACTCGGTGGCGATCATCATAAAATCAGGTGGATGTATAATTAGAGCCAATTAGGTCTTGATGACCATCCAAGCAGCCCTCGGACCTCAACAAAGTGAGAGGAGAGCCATCCTGTGAAGGCACAGGCTCAGCGGGTTTCAAGTAAGTAGTCACTCAGCGAAAAGTGAATAGTGACTGACCAGCTGATATATCACAAGTCTGGAATTCTGTATATAGACTTCCTAGATTGCAAAGAGTGCATCCGCTTCTTGGTCTGGTGCTCATGGCTTAACGGTACAACATCAGATTCCATAGTTAATGGGCGCTCCTTCACTGTCAGGAATTGTTCACAAATCAAAAAAAGATCCGTGGGTCTAACTCTCTGTCAGTATCGACCCTTATAAATGGCTTTTCATTCCCCAAGTGGTGTGTTTTTTGCACTTCGAGGGGAAGCCCTTCTTTTGCCGTCTGAGCCCTTCGCCATGCCACACTGTTGTACTCTTAAGATCTTCGCTGTCGTGACCGGCTATGCGCTACAGAGCAGGTGTATCTTTTGTCGTTCTTGGGAATTTGCTCTCTCTCTGTTGACCAGCCTGCCTCTTGATACCCCTATCCTGTACGCTTGAGTCTTATGACACCAACAATCATAATTCAAATGGCATACTGTTGAGCCACGATAGGTCATTACTGTCGAATACGAAATCGAAATCGTAATCAAAATTTGGGTTATTGAGACCCAAGGAGGATGTAGAGTTGTCGGTTTCTTCGATCGCCGCGTTAGACTGCAGCGCGCTGTAAGTCTCGGCGCGCATCTGCTCAACCTGGCGACTTGCAGAAGTAAGCACATTGTTACCACTGCAACCAGTTTGGTATGAGCCATCCCCTGGCGGTCTCGATCCTTTGGCCTGTGAGTAGTGCTCCGGCAAAGTACTGAAAAGAACATGTTGCGCAGCTACGAGCTGCTTGATCACCGGGCCGAAAGACTGATAATGTTCCAGGATTTCTATGGCTCGATGCCATGAGCGAGATATCGACTTCTCGGGTATCTCTGTCAGAATGGATGGGCATAGTTTACCCGCGATCAAAACTGTTGCCGCACTGTACACGAACAGGACGTTGTACCACCAAGCTGCGATTGGGCCTACCGCGGTCGGATCACCCGATCGTCGGGTATATGCTAGGTCTATGGTCTCTTGGGCAACGGTGACACAAACAACAGCGCATTGTAAGGCAATGCGTTGCGTTAGAATCCCGTCGAAGGTGCTGGAAGTATCAGCATTACTCGTTTCTGCCGCCACATATGCAGAGAGCACGGGACGGAGGGCAAGCAGTCGAATATGAAGGTAGCTATGCAAAATCAGCCTACAAGGCAAACAGATAGTGCATTGACTTACCGCTGGCGTAGGATTGTCGCCTGCCGTATGAAGTACTTGTTGGTCTCTGGACGACTTGAAGACCGTTCCGTCTTCAGATGAGCAGGCAGATTGGCTTCCCAACGGACGAGCCTGCGATCAATTGCGTGGACAGATGGACTCCAATTCGTGTCCGGTTCAGAACCTCCAAAGTATCTTGCCCACCTACCTTCACCAAAATTATCTTCTGTCATCGAAGAAGAGTAGAAGGCAATGAGTATATCATAGAGAATCTCATATAACGATAACGTCTCAACGAAGAAATCGATCAAAGATGGTTCGTTAGGCGTTGGTACACGACCAAAGTCTTGCAGTCTATCCTCATCAATTCCCAATGGCCGTGGGACTGCAGCTGCAAGTTTCTTGTCAATCGTGGTTGGCCTGCCGTAAGTCATGGATGAAACACGGTCCATTATGATACACCCATGCCATACTTTGCGAAGAAGCTCTCTCTTCCGAGGGGTATTGGCTCTCTCAGAAGTTTCTCGAAGATGCAGGCCAAGACTTTGAGCAGTGCGAATTGCCATCCCAATGATCGTCCAACATTGATGGGGATCATTTGTGCTTTGAAAATACTGCCCAAGCAGGAGGCAGACCTGAATGTATTGGAAAGACGCCGAATGCCAGAGGTCAAGGAGGGATTTCGCCCGCTCGAAGAAGACCTTGGCTGAGTTCTCCCTTTGGTGTGTCTCTCCGATCAGCTGAGAAGAAAGCGCGAAAATGACATTCAAGCCACAGATGAATGTTGCATCCTCCTCATAGTCGCTTCGTTCATTCCATAAATCTCGATACTTGAGAATGGTTTCCGCCTTATCCAAATAGGGATACAAAGGATACACAACCTCCCAGTACACATCCATGAGCTCATCTGCCCTTCTTCTTGAGGGGAGCACGAAATCTATCGGGGCCGCTGGAGAAATCTTCGCTTCAACTCCCATAGTGTCAGAGCTACTAAGGGTATCCCGAGCAAATGGACGTTGTTCGGGAATATTCATTTTCTGCGACACCGCTGCGCGGACCTGGCTGACAAAACTTCCGGCACTTGATCCACCAAAGTATTCGTGGCTAGGGCCTTGATCTGGGAGAGAGCCGATCATCCCACTAGAGGCAGCATGGCGGGAATGTCGGGAATGTCCATCAATGGATGGTATCTCCTTGACAGAACGGGAGGTTGGAATGCTTGATAGAGGAGAACGATCAGACACTATTGAAGGCTGACGGCCATGTGTCGACATGTCAACGTTTTGATTTGGAGTGTGGTGTATTTGCGCCCGATTAATATCGTCGGTCCTCTCCAAATCACTGAGACTCGCAAGGATTCCTAGAGCGGAGTTTTGAGATCGCTGAGTCGCGACAGCGTGGTTTTCGGACGTGGTCGAACCATAAGAGCGTGTGTTCCGTGTACTGTTTTCAAGCTCTCTGACTCGGTTCTGAAGACGCAAGATCTCAGATGCCGACATTTGAAGACTCCGAGCATCTCCATTATCCCAGGTGCATTGAGCGGCTCCATCTTTCCTCCGTGAACAGGGTCCACATACTATGAGTTTTAAATTAGCAACTACTTCCTTACAACTCACTGATCATGACTGCCATTGGCAATCAACCATAAATCTCGTCGCATACTGAAGCCTTAGGGAGCACATTCGAGACATGGGGAGGAGGCAGGCCTATTGTAGGCTTGAAGCCTGCTAGGCACCAAGATAGATTGATCATATTGCTGTTTCATGAAAGGAAAGGATTCCACTGGAGTCCGTATCAGACTTACTCGGACGTACACTATCACATTTGACCTATCCAACAAAACTCGGTCAGGATGAGAAATAGTAACCAACCACCAGATAGACTCGCCTTCTTAGCGCGACAGCGATCACAAGCAACGGCCACTTTATGTCTCTTTCCCGGACGCGTGTCCTCGTCGTAGTCAGCTTCCATCCTTCTGACCGTCAGACAGCACTCAGTCATCTAATAACTCGGCATAACTGCTTCGAGAACTCGTCAATGCAAGTTATCGGAAGTTGGACCGCATGTGGGGAGTTGTTATGGTCGCAGCTTTTTTGGGATGTTTTCCGGAAAGCCAGGCCATTTGAGTCCGAAATTCTTTCGGAAGCGCTTCCGGGCTTGAAATGAGTTGATGCCAAGGCTGTTCCTCTTCCGCTCTTTCCAGGACTCGAAGCTGGGAATGTGACTGCTCGATCATTCTTCACAAAAACAGAACTCGATCACACATTACTTCTTCCAGAGGACAGGAAAGTGATCACCAGAAAGTCGGAAAGGAGTATGATTACTTGATGGGAATCATCATTAAAAGACACGGGACCCCTTTCACAGTTTGTGGACCTGAGTTGAAAGACGTTGATGATGCTAGAATAACCGCAACTACTGATGCAAGCTTTTAACCTTTACACGTGATAACAGTCCTCTTTGGGTATCTTCATCACGATGCTGGCGCGGCGGTGCCATTTGTACCATTTGTCTCGGTAGTCCCATTCGTCGCTTCAGTCGCCACGACAGGTTCATCCTTTTTTTCTAGCCCTGGCAAAGCAGCACGTACACCAGGAATGATGAAGCGTCCATAGTCGATGGCGTCGTTCAGATTATCATAACCTCGAATGGAAATCAACTCCGCACCCAGCTTGACATAATCCAGAATGGAGTCGATAACAGTCTGGTAGGAGCCGACCAATGCGGTCGATGCACCACGGGCATTCGTCGCGGTGACAGTAGGATACCAAAGTGCACGATCTTGTACCTCACCTCGCTTCGCGATCTCGAGCAGTCGCTGGGATCCAACATTTTGCGGTGTGTTGGCTTCAGTTGCCTTGCCGCCACCCCAGGCTGTGCTTGCGGCCGAGGAACTTGCCTCGAGCGCGTCAAGTGTCCGGTGCGCCTTTGCCCATGCAAGTTCCTCGGTCTCTGCCACGATGGGACGGAACGTGACCCAGATGCGCGGTCGGTCTCCAGCAGGGCGTCCAGCCTTCTCTGCGGCAGCATAGATCTGATCGATCTGGTCTTTGGTCTCTTTGAGCGGTTCACCCCAGAGTCCGAAGATGTCGGCCAAGGCGCCACCGATGCGATAAGCTGACTCGGAAGATCCGCCCACAGACACTGGGATGCTCTTGCCGTTCACTGGGCGGACCAGGTTTCGGAAGTCTTTGAATTGATAATACTTGCCTTCCCAATCGAAGGGCTCAGGAGATGCCCATGCACGCCTCAGAATGCGGATATACTCCTCCAAACGAGCATAACGCTCTTCCTTGTTGAGAAAATCGCCTTCCCTAGCTTGCTCAGCATCACTACCACCGGCGATGAAATGGACAACCGCTCGTCCTCGGCTGAGTTGGTCAAGCGTGGCTAGTGCTTTAGCTGCGACCGTCGGGTACAGCGTGTTGGGTCGAACCGCAATGATGATCTTGAGTTTCTTGGTCAACGCAGCGATGGTCGCTCCGACAGTCCAAGGATCAAAGTATGCCGAGCTATATGGCACAAGGGTGTAGTTGTATTCATAGTCATCCAGGTTGTGAGCATATCGAGCGACAAAGTCTGGATCGATTGGTGCACCAGGAATTGGCTTCAACTCTGTTGACTCGTTCAAGAACGTCGCACTGATAAATTCGACAGGCATCTTGGCGGCTTTGCTATGATATTCAGTATAGTTGAATACGCTCTGAGGATCTGGAAGGCTCTGGGCATGATGATCTGGTCTGCATTTGTACATATCTTGCAATCATATGGCGACATATTTTCCAGGGATGACGCCTTATATTACCCGCCGGTTTCGGCCGTTTCCACCATTGATTGGTAGCATGACCCAATGATGCTTGATAAGCCAGTATTTGTGCTACGATACGGTTTTGTATTCGTTTGTCGTGGATCAGATATCATCTTTGAACAAAAGGAAGTTAATTGATTGCTGGCGATTAGAGGAGTTGATATTTGGGAGTACCCCACCATGTGCGCCGGTTCATTCAGATGGTGAATACCAACTGGTTCTCTACACCAAAGTGTCTGAGAGAAGAGCATTGGTCATATAGAAACGTCTTGAGATGCTCAAAACGAATCTACAACATAGTCCAGATGCCATTGAATCTTCCTCGTGTGCCGTCTACAGCAAAGACTTTCAGATCCCAAATGATTGTAGTAAAATCATGCCAGCAATCCGATAGTGGGGCGATGATGCCATGTTAGTGTAGTAGCTAGCTCACAGGCTCTGATTACTTGGTAGTCAACTCGGTAAATGCGCAAGGGAAGATCAGATGTGCCCCCTATTGCACAGTGGTAGAGAAGGGGTGCCATCAATATTATTGCTCTGGTCGGCAATCGGGAGCCTCGCGTGGGGAGCACCTGAGCCCAAAAGGGCATTCCGATTCGAGACCCGACGAACGTGCCATGGTCTCCAACAAGGAAGAGATTTTCGAACAGAGCATTCTGTTCAAAAGCCGTTGCGATCACACCATCTGTACGCGAAGTGAAATATGGACCGAAACAATCATTCCGCTTAAGTCCGAGAAGGCGCAATAATCGCTTCTCGTCACTGAGTTGACAAGCACGTCTTTTCAGTAGTGCGGATAAGGAATAGAACGTGGTTCCAAACTTTTTCGTCTGAGACGTTGTGATATGGTGAATCACGCCAATAAGATAGTTGTAGTGTTCGTGGCTGTACGTAATATTGCAATGGAAGAGTAGAACTTGAAAGGGAAGGGTTCCGAAGAACATGAGCGGTGCCATTTTTGGGAATTTGACTCTACCTATTTGGGCCTTCTCTGGGCGATTACACCAGCCAGCAAAGCCTTCGATCGCAGGCGGATCGCAGGGAAGCCGCATCACTGGATTTGATGCCCATTTGAGATGATTCGTTTGCCTCTTCGGGCGATTTACATCAGCCAGCAAGTTCAAATTCGCGACTCCTGAGTCCCGAGTCGCACTCGTCATTCACGACTCACGACTCACCCTATTCTGGAAGTCTACTCTGCCTATTTCGGATTTCGCATTACACAGCGAGTCTAGGTATTCAATCCCTTGACAGATGCTTGAAATCCCTCAAAACTAAAAGCCATCTTCACATTCTTCGATCAATAGCCCTTCTCGCCTCTGAACTCCGACTCTATCTCTCCATCCACCCCTTAACCCATCCAATGGACTCTTCACCCACACTGACCAACCAATTCACACACCTACTGTCCCAACGCGCGCATCCCAAAACGCTGTGTCCGTCAGAGGTCGCTCGCTCTTTGTCCGCGGCTGAGCTACATGAGCTCGGTGTGCAGGGGTGGAGGGACCTCATGCCGCAATTGCGCTGCATGGCGTTCGATATGCGCGACCGCGGCGAGATTGAGATCTTGCAGCGTGGAGAGGTCGTCGATCGGGCGCGGGGTCTTGATGACGTTACAGGGCCGATTCGCATTCGGAGACGTGTTTGAGTAAAGGCAATGCAATTGTTACGGATTTGATGTGTAAGTACCTGGAGAAAGTGAGTTATCATTGTACGATGCTACCGTGGATGCTTGATTGGTGGTCTGGAAATCTCAAATTGTAATATTGAAGAGATGCGAACGCCAGGTTGATGCACTACTCTCCGTCATTATTGTGGGAGCTCCAGTTTGCCCCAAATTTGTCAACTGTATAACGCTCTCAACCACAGCAAAATCTCCAAGCTGCGGGAATGTGGCGATGTTTTGTCATCTATGTACGATGCCAACGTTAAAGTTCCTTCTTCAGGGTATCAATGCCATCAATGCAAAGCGAGACAAATATAAAAAAAAAGTGAACCACCAAACTTATCTAATAACCGCCATAGCCACGACCCGACCGCACTGCAGTCCGCGGGCCTCTGGATGGGCCTATATCTATCGTACTGAGCTCCAGTGCGAGCGACTCATCAGGACCATACCCCGAATAGTCTGCCACACTTGGTGGAGGTGGGTAAGAGGACTTTGTGGGAGAATGGGAGAATGAATAATCAGGGCGGGTGGAACCAGAGCCAGAACCACCACGAACATGATAGGTATTCCCGGCAGGGATTTGGTATTCGGCCAAAGGCGGTCGTTGGACATGACCATGAGGTGGCGATGATCCGATCGAATATCTTTGAGTTGTTGGGCTTGGCCTCTCCACAGGCGAACTGACAGTCATCACAGCAGGGCTGGTGTGTGCATGAGGATACGGGTTGGATGGTGGTGGGCGATTGGGCATGGATTTCTTGAGCCGATTTCGTCCACTAGGTGATTCAGCTTGTGGTGAAGGTGGAAGTTTAGGAGGAATTGCCGGCGCGTACTGGCTTGGAGATGGCTGCGTAAATTCAGGAGAGGGCTGATAGGGGGATGTGGCGATGGAATGTGGCCTAGCCGAAGAAGGCGATGATCCGCCACGATTGTGCATTCGCGCCTCCTCCCTGGTCCGAATCCGAATGACATGTTCTGGTTTCCGATTCTTCCTATCAGGTTCGGGAGCCCAAGTATCGGCTGGCAAATGATCCGAGGGGTCAATAATTCTTCCGTCGTTGCCAATGATAGGACCCAGATCCCTGTTCTTGTCGAGATCTCTCTGTCGTGCGGCTGCCTGCGCTTGCTCCGGAGTTGCAAATGGATCAATTTCAACTGGGCTTGGACCCGGGTTCAGGATATCATAAGAGTCTGGTCCGAAAGGTGTGCTCGTCATGCTATTCCGTCCTTCGGGGGTAGTGGGAGTTGGTGTTATGGACTTTCGCGGGATTTTGTGAGCAGGGTTGGGACTGACAGCCCGTGGTCGAACGACCAAAGGCTCCGACCTGCTGATTTGCTTTTCTTCACCGCCCGCGAAGTCATCAAAGGTTTGAGCTCTTCGAGGGGGGCCGTAGCTATTCCCGTGTCCGTTATTATCTTGCCGTCCGTAGCCTGCGGAGTGTCTGAACTCGTCCTGTGGGCTTGCACTATATCGTTGGGGATGGATATTCTCTTGACCATACCGAAGCACACCATTAGGACTCGGTCTGGGCTGGAAATCGTCAAGAGTGTCGTTGTAAGAGTTCCGCCTATCGGTTGAACGATCACGGTAGGGTTCATAGTCACTGCCAGCAGCGAATTCGTTGGAGTGAGCGGGTGAATACTGGTTATCCAGATCTTGAGCTGATGGTGATGGTCCCTGATAGGGTGTATATTCTAGCTTCTGTAGAGGGCTTCGCTCTTCTACCGAGGGTTGGTTAATCGATGTTCGCATTGGTGTCCCGTATCCATTCTGATTAGCAACAGAGGGCATGGGCATGCGCACAAGCTGACTGCCATGAGCTGGAGGAGGTGGAGGAGGCTCATCATCGTCAAATTGCTGGACATAATTGTGAGGATGAGATGGCATCTCGTGTTGACTGATAGATTGTCGCAATGGGCTATCTCTGTAAACAGAATGTTTGGTTGGCGAAGGACTTCCGCGACTCTGCCACGTCGAGTGTTGTTGTACAGGCATATTAGGTAGAGTTTGAAGAGGCTGACTGGGCGATGTTGCTTGATAGGGTGAAGAACTGGCGACTGGTTGTAATGGGCGACTGGGAGTGCTCGCTGCGGATTGGCCTCGTGTGCGACTCCCCCAGTGACTTGAGTTTGGTCGTTGTTCCTGCATAGATTGAGTTTGCTGACGTGTGTCTATATTATACTGATCAGAGCTGTAGCCATCGTAGTAGTCTTGGGGTGAATTTCTTTCGTCAAGTCGTTGACTTTGGCCTATGTGTTCATCGTCGAATGATGAAGATCTCTGATCATAAGAGCGATTCATAGCTGAAGGCATCAAATCATATTGGTCTTGAGGATAGTCTGGAACAAAATCATAGCCAACATCGTCCGGGGTTTCGGGCATGATGGGATGCTTCGGTGGCCGTGGTGGAGGATTGGTGTTGTTTTGTTGTCGATTTATCCAGGCATCGGGTTCGAAGTCTGGTTGCATTGAAGATAGAGGGCGTTGATCTGGGATATTGAGAGGAGAGGCAGGTGAGGAGCGCCCTCCAGGCCCAGGCGGTAAAGGTCGTCTCTTGATTTCTCGAGGGCCAAGTTGCCGTGGACCAGCAACTGTACTAGTGGTGACATCACTTGCTGTGGAATGGGATTTTTCTCTTTGCTTCTTCTTGTCAGGCAAGGCATCTGGCTTCGGTCGTGAGTCGTAGAAGGTTAACTCGATCCGTATATCTCCTGCGTATTTGCCTTTGAAGTTCAGTTGATGCCAGAGGTCGTTCTGGCCGCCACCAGGCACAACGACTTCTTGAAGATCAATCCATGCGTCCCCGATTAGGTCTGTCTTTTTGTCATCGTTGAATACCGAGCATTTGAGCTTATGATAGTCCGGGGACTCTTGAACGACGAATCTGAGTTCTTGATCCCTGGGTGGAGTAAGCGTCTCTGGCTTGCAAATCTCTGATGGGGATTACATACCATCTTGGTGTTTGACCACCTCTCTTGTCGGTGTCCGTCTTCCTTGCTTCTTTACCCAGTCTCATTGCACAGTAGGGGTTCTGCTTTCCCATGGTCTTTCTGTTGGGGAGGTTCTTTGCTCTGTCAACAACGGCGACCAAGGTGCCAATCTCCGGGCCATCGAGGGTCTTGTCGGCGAATATTCCTGCGGTATGGGCGGCGTTGACCGCTCCTCTCGTTTTCGTTGCCATCTTAAAGTTCCACTGCTCATGGATTCAAGCTTGCTCGCGGATGGAAGAGGAGGGGCTCGAGATAAGGGCAGGTGCTGCCGGGTCTTGAGGATAGTGGTAACTTTCGGAGTATTCAGGAAATCATGGTCGAAAGGACAGTTGAGCAGGAGGAGGACCTGGGAGCTTGTCGAAAAGGTTGTTGTTTGTGGTGCACAGAGGTTGAAGTCAAGTCAAAGGTCAGAGCGCTGGGCAAGTCTCGAGTGTTTACGCAGGATGAAAGTGGACAAGGCGCCAGCCACGGAATTTACGTGGATCGGTGGAGAGATGGCTGGGAGATTTCTCACGGGCGTCAACCTCAAGGAATAATGTTTCAGATCTGAAGGTAGTCGAGGCCTGGGGTTTCTGTACATAACAATGCATCCCGTTCCTCTTTCTAGCATGACCTTCAATCTTGTGCTGCTATTTTGATCATATTCGACTTGATGATAGGATGGGTTGGAATGTCCTAATTGGCCGCTGGTTGTTTGGGCATGACGCCAATGCCAAGCAATGCGGGAGCTTGACCGCTTCAGGCTTCGTGAGCTTGGGACAAGGCTGAAGCTTCCAGCGCGCAAGGCTGTGCTCTGAATACCGAGGTAACTACGAGGGAGATACCGAGTACTTTTGCTGCCTTGGTTGGTCGCAACCTCGACCGAACATCTCATTTTGTGCAAATATCCATTTAGGTATCTTTGAAATCTGTTTAGATCTTCCTCGAGCCTTTGTTATGTGACATTCTATCCGAAGCATGCATAGCCATGGCAACGACAGTGCACCCAGGTAGTCGCCCAAATCTCCCTTTATAATAACGGCCAAGACCGTAGTTGGCATGGCGAACTTCAATATGCCTGCAGCTCCATCATTGCTCAACATCGAATGTATCCAAAATAGACCATACTAGCCATCATGACTATCTTAAGGGCTTCGGTAGCGGATCAGCTGTCTCAACGTACCAGGATAAGTCGCTATCTTCTTGCATCTCCCATTCCGTAAAGCCATTGCCCATAAATCTGAAGGGATTATTGCTTTTGTAGGCTATTTCATAATCTTCAGCACGAATTTCGTTAATTAATCGGTAGAAAAGAACAGCACTTCCACCAAAAAGTGCAGTGACTCTTCCATCTCGCCTGCCTCGCTTGTACCACTGTAAGTTGCGTGAGATTAGCATCAAGGTTGAAAGTCAAGGATAACGACTGCCAACATAAGTTGATACTTACTGAACTGCAACTCCCAGTCCACACCAGCCTTTTGTGGATCTCATCACCATACTTGACGAAAGCATCAACTGCTGACGCCTTAGGCACCATGTACTTGATGTCCTCGGTTGCCATCTTCTTGATGATTTTGACAAAGTAATCTCCCGTCCAATTGAGTGATTCCACGAGCGAACCGTGGCCTCCTAAGCAGTTCGGGCCCATCATCATGAAGTAATTGGGGAAACCATCAGTTGCAACAGAGAGATATGATTCCGGTTCTGCAGCCCACTTCTCCGCGAGATTGACACCATTTTGGCCGATCAGGGAGAATTTCGGGCAATGCGAAACGTCAAATCCTGTTGCACATACCACTACCACGAGTTGTCAGTAACTCCAGAATATTCTCCACCCGTACATCGGTCGCCATAACTCACCGACGTCACACTCGAATTCCTCTCCATCAGCCGTCATAACTCCGTTCTCAGTAACCTTGGCTATTGGACTCGAGGAAAGACTGCAATTAGGCTGGAGAAATGATTCAAGATAGCCAGGACCGGGAGTAACTCGGCGACATCCCAGTTCCCATTTCGGTATTAGTTGTTCACATAGAACGGGATCATGGTTGAGCTTTTCGGCCATTTGCTCTGCGGCAAGCTTCATCACCGCATCATTTTGTTCCCCCTTGATAAACTATAACGCGTGAGGAAATACAATGAATAGCGCTCTTGATTTTTGACTTACCAAGCGGAACGCCTTATTGGTCCTGGCAATAATTCCCTTCCGATACGCTTTATGCTGCTCTGGATCCTGGTAGCGCCCTTTCTCTTCTTCGGTGTATGCAGGATTCAAGTCGTCGGTATCCCGTCCAAGATGCTTCGAGGGTGGCACTCGATAGTATACCCAAGCTGGACCGCGGACAAAATTCTTGACTGTTGTACCTGGTAACTTGGTCATTTGAGGAACGATTTGAATTCCTGAAGATCCATTCCCAATGACTGCTATTCTTTTGTTGGAATAATCATAGCTGTGATCCCAGTCTGCAGAATGCGTGACATGACCTTTGAAATCAGACAGTCCAGGAACTTTGGGCCATGATGGATTTCTGGCATGCCAGTTAGATAGTGCTATAACTTCGAGCCATTTTTCCATCACATAACGGCTAGATGCAGCACTTACACTAGGACACCTTGGCCAGAAATGAGGATATCACAATACTCGTCTCGCGTTTGTCCTTCGTTCTCAACTGTAACTTTCCACTCTCCCGCAGTCTCCTGCCACTGGGCGCCGACCACTCTCGTGTCGAGGTAGAGATCACGATCTAAATTCCAATCTTTGACTGTTTGCTTGATATAAGTTTGTATGGCTGGACCCTTTGAGATTCGTGGAGTCAGTAATGTTATCGTTTTTGTCCTTTCCAAGAGGTACTTACCGAGGCGTAAAATCGATCCCAGTCAGGGTTCGGAGCGAAGGGAAAGGCCTGTATCAATGAGTTGGTTTTCCTTCAACGCAAGGGGCTCGGCACACTTGCATAGATATGGGAAGGAACGTCGCATTGAACACCAGGGTACGTGTTCACAAGCCACGTGCCTCCGACATCCTTCCTGGCTTCGAAGAGCTTGTGTTCCACAATGTCTCGAAGCTCAGGGAATCGATGCTGAAATTTATGGGCAACGAGGAGACCTGAAAACCCGGCACCGATGGTAATAACACGAATTTTCCGAGCCTTATAGGCAAAATCCGTATTCAGGGGAATGGCGTGGGGGCTGAAATCATGCTTCGTTTGATGTGTGTCAACGCCGGAACTGATTCGTATCGGTACCTGTTGTTGCAGCTTCTCTGGAAGGTCTTTCGCTTTCGGTTGTGGGATATCAAATGCTGGCACTTCACCATCGGAGACTGGAGGTGTAACTTGCCCCGTGTTCCCCAAGAATGGCGTCATGATTGGAAGTCCAGACTGCTTTGGCTTCCAAAGATTGTGAATGGTGCGGGGCCAAGCCTACTTATCTGCTACACAGATGCAGTTGATATGTCGTCCGAAGAGCTGCACAGGAGACCTATGGAACAATCTTCTTCATATAATGAAAACGATAGAGAATATATTCGAACAATGCCAATGGTCTTATGCTTCAAGAAAGCTCTCGGCAATATTGGTGGAGGTGCATATGTTGGGAAGCCTGTCTGACTCCAAAAGGCTACCTTGATCGTCCTACATTTTCAATGGACCAGGCATTCGATACTAAGTATCGCGAGTAGTAACTCACCTGAGGCATGGCTCATAACCTATGAAGGGAGGACTTGCCGAGATCCAAAAGGCAATTAGAAGTCGGGGCCTAGGTAAGACTAGACTGTCGGCAGTGCACTGGCCGTATTGTGTTATGTCGGTATTCCATTTTGAGCGTTTCTTCAGTGTCGGCATCTTACAGAAATCTTACAGCCGGTAAACCGACTTGGCATTTACCAGCATTGTTGTAGTCCATCGGCAGTGGTTAAACTGCCAGTCCAGCTTTTTCTGACCTTGACTAACTTATTTTTGTCGAGAGGGCTAAAAGAGGTACCAGTTTTTGCAGTTGCCTGTTTTCAGATTAAAACTGTAAATTATATAGTCAAATTGGAGACTGTTGCTAGGAATGTAAACGGAGTACGGAGAGCCCAGATGTAATGAACGTGCTTGGGGCAAGGCTTGTGCATGATCTGATCGACTGGGCTACTACCTAGGAACGTGCCAGGACAAGATCTCAAGGAAGTGCGTGCCTTAGGTAAAGCGATTTCCAAATAGCCGGGGGTCCCAAGGATTTACCCTCCAGGCTCCAAACCTGCCTGCAATGGTTAGGGAGGGTACAGATAGTTACGCCTAGCTAAGGCCCATAATTTCCCCCACGATTCCCCATGTTAGCCACTTGTGTTCCTCTGCGCGCCGTTGATGACACAGAATCCATTTGTCCTTGATATTGTACTATTTCAACTTCACTCGAAGTCCTTACTCTCGCAAGATGCGACATTAGACTGTCAAGTACCATGGCGGAGGCTCAATGGGTCCAATTCTCTGTGCAGCGTCCGAAAAGGAAAAGAGCTGAACTCGCCTGTGAGACATGTCACTCCAAAAAGGTCTGCGTGTCTTGCCAATGTCGAAAAATATACTGAGCGTAATACAGATAAGGTGTGATCTTCAAGCACGAAGCGCGGGAGGCCACAGTACTTGTACTAATTGCTTGTCTACTGGCAAGGGCTGCAGGTGGGTGTTTCGCAAACAATCTGATGTGTGGACTAATGTTGAATCACGGATGGAACTAGGCCGCGCCCTTCGAAGCGTGATAAAGCACGTCAGGGTACAGAAGATGGGCAGCTCAATCCTTTGACTCCTCCTGGCGATATCGAAACCCAGGACTTCGATGCGAGTGCTTTCCAGAGTCAGGCCATTGGTGCAACTTTAGATATCGAGATTCCTCCCGCTTTGACGCATCTCAGCAGTGTGAACATCTACCAGGCTAGCTTACCAATAGCAAGCATCAACAATCCACGCGTAACGGAAAGCCCGCAACAGGTTTTTGACAGGGCCTCCGTCGTCTCCAACGACACCTCACAAAATTGGAGAGCATCTGAAAATGGAAACAGTCGCTATGTGGTTGATCCAGGGTTTCTGCAGGTCTATGGCCCGGAGAACGACGATGATGCTCGAAATCAAGCCACAATTGCGAGAAAGGCCCCAAACTTCTTGGAGGAATCTCAATCCGACTTACAGCAGAGTTTCGCCGAGACGTACTTCGAGTACTGCTATACTTGGTGCCCTGTCCTAGACAAGTCCAACTTATCCAGGGATCTTGCGAGGTCATTGTTACTTGCTGATGCACTGGCCCTTGTCGGTACGCATATACAACCCCCGATGCTTCCTCATGCTAGCCCGGCATCCTACTACGATCGTGCACGGATGAGATTTTACGACGATGAGGAGCCAGACCTCATCACCTGCCTGAAGGCAGTATCTTTATTCTATTGGTGGTCTCCTCGACCTCCTTCGATCGTCCATCGACACTCATCTTGGTGGTGGGTGTCAGTCGTGATCAAACACTGTCAACAAGCTGGCTATCACCGTGAATCTGGAATGGATCTCGCTACGCCAGAAATAGATCTTGGGTTGAGGAGGAGGATTTGGTGGACAGCTTTTGTATGTGGTACTGGGAGAACTATAGACCTTGCTGCTGACGTCTGTGGCAGGCACGCGAAAGACTGACAGCTATATGCCAGGGCAAACCTTGTGTCATTGATCCCGAAGATTGTAATGTCCCCGAGCCTACTTTGGCAGATTTTCCCGAGCTCGAAGACAAAGTGAAAGCCGAAGTCTTCATATACTGGGTGCGGTTATGCGCGATCATTGGCCGCATAGCGAAGTATCTATCAAGGACATCGAACGATGCCTCGACTTCGTTCCCAGTTCACCTCGGACAGGAGTTGATTGCCTGGGTTCGTTCGTTACCTCCGCATCTGCAACTACCCATCAATTCCAGCTCTACAACAAACTTCAGTCGTGATGTCCACCTGTTGCACTTGCCATACCTGACAATCATTATCGTCCTTTACCTCAAGCGAACATCCACGCAATCGCTTCCTCAAGCACTGCCACCGGCGACCTTGGCTGCTACTTGCTTGGCAAGGATTCTAAAAGATGTCCTAGTACGAAGCGGTACTAGATATTTGATGGGCATCACTTGCTGGTATTGTGGTATGGGGTTCATCGCACTCCTACAAGCTTCGCAAACCGAAAACCTCAGACTCGGCGCAGATGCAGATCTGGATATTCTCTCACTTGCGATTAAGCAACTAAAATCCATGTGGGCGACCGCCAACGTTTTTGAGCAGGGGTTTGAACGTCTGAAAGGGAAAGCAAGATCAACTTCCACGGCAGCAGGAAGCTCCAGCTTTGTGGATATAGTTGATAATCATGCGACTGATTCACGTTCAAGTGCAAAAGAAGTTGACATGCATGATGGCATAGACTGGATGGACTATTTTCCATTCGTGACGGCCCAGACAAGTGTCGTGGCGAGCCATATTCTGGCGCAACAAAGCGCCAACCTCTTTTCATTCGACAACTTTGGCGATACTTCAATGTTGCATTTCCAAGATCTTTTCGAAGGTCTTGACAGCTGGACTGATCCTAAACTCTTCTTATAAGTAGCCCCTCCTGAGTGCCTGTCACGGCGAGATGTGAGCGAGGCTTCTTTTTGCATATCGCAGCATCTCAACACCACCTCAGAGCTTGGCACCAACGGCTCTTCTCCTCTCTTGTTCTTTATCGCGCAGCACTCGCCTGAGTATCTTTCCGGATGGAGACTTTGGGATAACATCGAGAAATTCAATGCCTCCCGTGATCCATTTGTACCGAGCCTTCTGCCTCCGAATGTGATCAAGAATATCATCCCTCAGAGCCTCATCGCTCTTTGGAGATACTAGAGCATTGCATGATTTGACAACGTATGCCTTGGGAACCTCACCGGCCATGTTATCGAAAATGGAGGTGACCGCGCAGTCGGCTACTGCACTGTGATTGAGTAAACAGGCTTCGAGTTCCGCTGGCGCAACTTGGTGCCCCTGTGTCAAATCGTCAGCGACCTTCACCTTTGCACGACGGTACAGAGAATATATCATACCATTACCTTGATGAGCTCTTTGATTCGATCAACTATCCACAAATGTTCAACTTTGCCATCAGGTGACAGCCGAAACTCGCCCTTATCCCCAGTTTTCAGGAAGCGACCCTCTGGCAGATCGACGAAGGCATCTTGGGTGGCTTTCTCGTTCTTCAGATATCCAAGAACAACTGCAGGTGACTTGACCAGAATCTCACCAGCTTCTCCATAGCCTGTGACTTCTTTCTCGCTCTCCGTGTCAATCAGCTTGACCTCGCAGCCGGGCAGTAGGCATCCTGATGAGCCTGGCCAGATGTCGTATGGGCTTGTCGAGCTGACGACCGTGGAGCTTTCCGTCAGGCCATATGCCTGGCGAATAACCCAGTTGGGATGCTGGGTGAGCAATTTGTCGGTAACCTCTTTCGCTAATGGGGCGGCCCCAGAGTATATTTGTCGTACGGAACCGAGATCGTAGGATCGCATAACGTCGCTACTATTTGCCATGTTGATGGCGATGGGAGGTACTAGGTAGAGAGTGTTGATCCCGTATTTAGCTATCGCGCTCAAATAGGGTTTAAGCTCGAATTTGGGAAGGATGATGACTTGATCGCCCCGCCAAGTGGATGCATGTGCGATAATAACGAGGCCATAGATGTGAGACTGCGGGAGCAAGCCAAGGGCAACGTCTCGGTAGTCCAGACCCCTGGAATCGCGACTTGCTTTCTCAAATGTGCAGCTTTGAATGGTGTTTGCTATGACATTTCGATGAGATATCATGACTGCTTTCTAGAAAGACTCAGCGTTAATTACTACCCAAGAGTATACAGGATCGGTTCTCAAGCATACCGGAAGGCCTGAAGTACCGCTGCTGTAACAAAGGAACGCCGTTTGCCGCGCGCCTTGACCCTTAGTCCATCTTATAGGTTCTAGGCTAGGTAAATCCTTCCCTCTATCAATCAGTTCGGAGATCGTCTTGTGATGACCCGGATAAACACCATCCCCAGGCATCTCGCAAATGTATATTCGTTCATGCGATAGGCCTGCCAAAGTAGCAGCTTCTAGTGCAACTGGAAGCAACGAAGCCACTGTGAACAAAGCCTTGCATCCAGAAAAATGTAATTGGTGGCGAAGTTCCTCAACTGAGTACGCAGCATTCGCAGGAGATGAAACACCATTGATGCTCAAAATTGCCCAATTAAGTGTCATTATATCGATCTTCAGGGTTTGGTCGTTAGAAACTCAGCTATAACACTCTAATTTCAGAGCGTCTTACCGTATTCAAAGCAAAAATCCCAGCAACCTTATCGAACTCAGATCCTTCATTCACACTCCATCCTAGCTCTTCTGCGAGTGCTCGCGCAAGATAGGTGACCCGAGCCTTCTGTTCCTGAGACGATATGCTTGCGCCGGTAAGGCCGCAAGTGTAAGCATCTCTAGACTTGGAGACGGGGTACCTTCCGTACTGCTCATCGAACATGAATTCTGGCAATGGTACAGTATCTGGCACGTCAGGCAGTGGTGGTACGAACGAAGGTGCTTTGAACGTCATCTTTTTTATGCTCTTTTCGATCGCGCAAACACAGACAGCAAATATCTAGGTGTGACTACACATCAAAGGTAAAGAATGTATAAGTGCAGGTTGCAAGCTGTGGGTCGAGGAGGACAATTTTTTTTCATTTCTACTTGCATCCTGAGACGAGCCTTACCATCAAGCGGAAGCACTTTGACGAACCGATACGACCCGCTTATTTTGGTTTTCAAGTGCTAGTCTATCCAGATCAACATTCTGTTCTTTCCGGTTGGAAAACCCGTTGAATCGATAAATTCGAGTTAGCAACTCCGAAATAGCCAGGGATCGTCAATGACTATGTGTTCATTTTAGTTCTTGCCGGTCGGATCGGCAGACTGCTTTCGTACCGCGCACGGTCGGGTTCTCGGCAGTCGCCAACTCCTATTCCTGATAATCCAATAGCCTTACGGCTTGAATATCTGAAGGGAAGCTTTCTGATTTGGTGATAATTATTATGAAGTCCCCGGTAACGGCCTAGATCTCAGCGTGACCCTAAACTTAACTTTTGACCCAGCATGTACCCCTGAGTCCTAATCAGGTCTTCCTTATCTCAAATCAATCTTTACTATCCAGGAACCTGCTGATTCACACAGACTCAGGTCACTATCAATCGATCTGTTTGAGGACGATGGCAGATTTCTCTCAGTATGGTATTCCGAGCAAGGAGTGGACAGTGATCCAGTCGACACTACCACCCTCTTCAGACCATATCTCACTTGCGGACCTAAAGGAGGGCACCAATCGTGGCAGAGAGGATGTAGCACGACGAGAGATGGTCCAGCTTGCTTCGAAAGTGATATTGAATGATTATTTGATCCCAGCACGTGACGGCTTTAAATTGGAGGCCCGTTCTTACCGAGCGGTTTCTGTGTCTCCTGATGAAGCACTTCCGATATATGTACATTTCCATGGGGGCGGCTTCTGCTTTGGCACATTAAGCTCAGATGACGCTATCTGCTCTCGTCTTGCGATAAATACGAATGTTGTCGTGCTCAACATCAACTATCGCCATACACCGGAGTTTGGCTACCCCACAGCGTGGAACGATTCTGAGGATGCTCTAGACTGGGCTCACGGTAATGCAGACGAGATTGGCGGCGATTGCGAGAGGATAATAATTGGCGGTATATCAGCAGGTAGTTGGCTAACGGCTTCTCTGTCATTGGCAAATCTGAGGAGAGAAAATAACATGAAGGTTAAAGTCGTTGGTCAAGTACTTATGATACCAGCCCTTGTCTTCCATGAATGTTACGCACCACAACTTCGATTGCTCAAAGATCCAAGCTGCTCGTCATACGTACAAAATCGATCCGCGCCAATTCTACCATTGCAAAGGATCAAACAGTTCAATCACCTTCTGAAAGTCGAGCAGGCAGATCCTAGAGATCTTAGACTCAACCCTGGCTATGCCACATCAGCAGAAGTGAGACAGCTACCTCCAACAATATTTGGCATAGCTGGTTTAGATCCTCTCAGAGATGAGGCCTTGTTCTATGCGAAGCTTTTGGCTGATAACGAGTAAGTCAAGAATAAGCTAAGGAGACAACGGACCGCTGATATTGAACTTTCTCAAGCGTGCCTATTCAGATCAGTATGTTCAAAGGTGTACCACATGGCTTTCGTCGCTTCTCAGACAGACTACCAGTAACGAAGGATTGGGATCGAGTAATGGAAGAGGGGATCTTGTGGGCGCTGAGCAGTCCCACCGCTTCTAAGGGGTTCGAAATCAAGACTTACTGAGTACTACTTGAGTATTCTCGAAATGATACGATGTCTTTGTACATGTGGTACGGTTTTTGAGGAGTCTAATGCACTGGATTGATACACTCTATCTCAATCATCGCCCTGCAATCTTGCCGCGAGTGGACATCCCATAGCCTAACAAACTCTGCGCGGTACTAAGATCCTTAACATAGGTGACTTGGGTTTTACGCAAGATTTAAATCCACGTATCCTCTATCTGCAACATCCTGCGTCAAAGCTCTGTAGCCAGGGGCGGGTCCATTATACCTAGCTATGATGCGGGTTTGTTTGTGTCTCAGGTTTTTGTTCACGCCCGTCATCCAAGAATCGACTTCGTTCGCCAATAAACCTTCGGCACATTTGTGAACATGGTCAGTCCAGCGCTCAACCGCTTCAGGAGTCGCTTCGATTCTAGTGATGTTGTGATCGCGACAATACTCGAGGCAGCTTGATACCCAGTTGACTGCGTATTCGATACTTCTTGGAATATTTCCAAACATTTGATGAGGCCCTAGAATCATCATCATATTTGGGAATTTGTGGACAAATAGACCCATTTGAGTTCGTGGGCCTTCAGCCCAAGTGTCCATTATTCGTTGGCCGTCGACACCACAGAAGTCGATTGCAGAGAATGCTCCGGTGATGGCGTCAAACCCAGTAGCATATATCAGAATATCCAATTCGACAAAGTCGTTCTGTGTCTTGATACCCCTTTCAGCGATTCTCTCAATTGGGTCTTCCTTGATATCAAATAGTCGAACATTGGGTTGATTATAGGCCTCGAAATAAAATGTTTCAAGTGGAACTCTTTTCGTGCCAAAACCATGGTCTTTGGGGATGAGCTTCTCGGCCGTCGTAGGATCATGCACCCGCTGTCGAATCTTCTTAGCAATAAAATTGGAAAACTCGGCATTAGCAGCCTTGTCAGTGTTGATATCCCCGAAATTGCTCAGCCATTTGGCGAAGCCAGGTTTGGAATAAAGATCTTCCCAGAATGCTTCTCTTTGTTCCTTGGGAACATCGAAGGTTTTTCGCTTATCCGCGCCGTGAACGAAACATGACCATGATTCATTGCAAAGTCTGAAAATCTCGGGGTATCTGGCTCTAATGTCGTTCATCTCCTCTGGCGTGATCTTGGCGTTGTGCAGCGGCGCAGACCAGTTAGGATTGCGCTGGAATACAGTGAGATGGCCAACGGTCTTTACGATCTCTTGAATGGTTTGGATTCCAGTGGCTCCAACACCAATAATCCCGACCCGCTTCCCCTCCAACGATATTCCTTCGGGCCAACGAGATGTATGCATTGATACACCTTGAAAATCTGCCACACCCGGAATATCCGGGTAGGTGGCTTGATTCAGAAGGCCCATGGCAGTGATGAGGAAGCGAGAAGTATACGTGTGGCCAGACTCATCGGTCAGTAACCAGGAATTACCCTCTTGGTAATGTGCGGACTTAATGCGAGTATTAAACTGGATATCACTCTTCAAACCGAATTTCTCACAAATGAATTGACAGTATTTCAGGGTTTCCGTCTGAGGTGCGAAATGTTCCGTCCAACTCCATTCATCTAAAAGTTCTTGAGAAAAAGAAAAGTTATACGACCAACTCTCTGAGTCAAATCGAGCACCAGGATACCGGTTCCTGGTCATGTTAATCAGCCAGCGTATCGTAATTAGATATGGAACCCACCAAAACCATGTCCCACCTTCTCCTGCACCTGCCTCTAGGACTCTCGCCCTGAATCCAAGTTGTCGCATCTTGATCAGGGAGTAGAGACCGCTGAGACCTGCTCCGATAATGAGAACATCATAATCAAAGCTGGAATTTGAGTCTGAATAAGAAGAACTACCAAGGCTGCCCATGGTCAAGTGATGAAAATGATTGACTAGTTAGTATTACGCAACCTTCAGGGGAGTGTGTCGAAAGATATTAGATATCTCATCACTCTCTTGGAGTCACAACTCGTATATGATACATTCAAGCGCATACAGGGACGACAGTGTATCAGATCCATAGAGTCGTTGGCAAAGTTCCTAACGTCTTTTCGCTGAACCAGTCATACTCAAGCCCGCGGAAATCATTTGGAGAGCGAGCTGTCGGTAACCCGCATTCGAACTGACTCGATAGTCATGCCGTGATGAGCCGAGGCGCATGAGGGGATAGTTTTGCCCCGGTCGGCCTAAGCCTTGGTCTGCGGGGATGGAGTTGGGGGCTCTCCTGTTGGATTCATTCGGTTAACCTTAACGGGGTTGCCAGCTGAGCCAGCCCCAAAAGAGCGGCCCGGATTTCCAAGGTTTCCGGGGATGTGAGATGGAAAGTTCGCCAGAGCTGCAGCAATTACTCCACAGGCCATCACCATGGCACATGGCAGTCGTTCATGAACGGCGGTTCGGTTCACTAGACATCATCTTATGCGGCCTTCATGATCACATTCAGGCGTGTTTACGTCGTTTGTCACCACAACCATCTCCATAAGGAAGTAAACCACTTCACACATCAGGCGGAAACTTGACATCATTTTCTATTCAACTCAACTATAACGATGCCGCTTCCAAGATACACGTATACTGGACCGGTGGATCACACTGTCGTTCCAGAGCTGTCGAATATCACAGGCAAATCAGTAGTCATCACTGGGGGTGCCAATGGCATGGGGGAGGCTTTTGTCCGGGCCTTCACTGCAGCCGGGGCTTTTGTGACGTTTGGTGATCTTCATCCAAGGGGGTCTGAGATTGAGAAGGAGCTAAACGTTGGCAGCGAAAAAGCTGCCTTCGTCAAATGCGATATTCGCAATTGGGAAGATCAAATATCACTTTTTGAGACTGCAAGATCGAGAAGTCCGAGTAATAGCGTCGATATCGTGATCGCCAATGCTGGGATTAGTAGGAGCTCCGGCGACAGTCTATGGAGACTTGATGGTAAGCGATCTGATCAATTTGTCGCCAGGAGAGAATATGTTCGCCTTGGACCAAAACGAAATTTAGACTAACTCCTTTGCTTCGCCCAGACCCCCAAGGCGAGCCTACCAAACCTGACTTGAATATTGTGAAGGTAAATATGGATGGCACGCTGTACACATGGAAACTTGCTGTACACTATTTCCGTAAGCAACCCGACACCGAAGATCGAGATCGCTGCTTCATCATTACTGGAAGTATGGTGGCGTGGATAGATTCACCGGTAGGGGAACTTCACGACCTTTCGATAACATACCTTCAATACTCATAATACTTCTACAGGGAAATTGGGAATATACCGCAACTAAATATGGTCTTCGTGGTTTTATGCGGACAGCCCGTCGCTCAAGCTGGGAGCAAGGCATCAGAATCAACTACGTTGCTCCATGCTGGATTAAAAGCGCAATACGTACCGCAGAATATGAAAAGTGGCTCGTGGACCATGGTATTGAGTTTGGTGAGCAGGAAGATTGTGCTCGTTGCATGATGAGGATCGCATGTGATAAGACTATCAACGGTATGTCTACGATCATATACATCGCATACTAAAATGCTAATGTGAAGGTGCAGGCCATTCTCTGATGATAGTGCCAAGATCACAAGCAAAGGAAGGTTTTATGGATGTTGATAAAGATGACTACAAGGAGGAAGGGTATTTTAAGAAGACCCAGGAAACCCAACTAGTGATTATCGAAGACAAATGGCGGGATGACTATAAAGTCAGAGTTTATAAAGACTGAATGTAGTCCTTAAATATCTTGGACGTAAGCTATTTGCAACCACAGAATGTCCAAGTGGATGACATGTCACAACAACAAGTGTTTTCTTTGATTCGTTTACATAAACCGGATGTTGAATTCGATCCTATCATCGTTCGGATACAAATAATTGGTGTTTTCATCCAGCCAAAGTGCAGTGATTTTCAGCTCTGTTAGCTTTGCTGCCTGATATTTTCGCTGATGTGGTGATACTACCCCAGTGTCCAATCGGCATGAAATTCAGCACTCAAGTAAACCTTAACCGAAGGCCACAATGGTACTATCTGGCAGCTCTTTTATCTGTAGATCGTTCGATTCTCTTGAGCACAACATTAATCGTATTTCAGTCCAGAACAGCCCAAGATTCCGCATTATCTGAGGATTGAGCGCTCCCATCACCTACAAAACACAATGCCTCTTACAATCCCTAGCAGCATGTACGCGTGGCGTAAGCATAGAGGCAACGCTGACCCTGTAAGTCATTCCTGGATCGTTGACTTAAAACCAGTAACACTATATGCTAGGTGTGGGAAGAGGTTCCTGTCCCTTCAACACCACCTACAGGCTTCTTGTGCAAGATGATCGCATCGGGCGGTAGGTTTTCAGAGCTGCCCTTCAGACCAATTCTCCATCCGGAGGATGAGAAGGCTAATATTCTGAATGTCCTACTAGTCTGCCATAGTGATCATTCGCTCCTTACAAATGACAAACAACGCCCTTGGTTCCAGGAGAAATATACCTTAGTACAGAACTCCATAGACTCTTCGTCGACACGATCTAATTCTGTTCTTGTAGGGACATGAGGGGTGCGGCGAGATCATCAAGATAGGTCAACGCGTCCAAGATACGAGGTTCAAAATTGTAAGTCTAGGACCATTGGTCGTGGTGGATGATAGTATTTGTGAAGGCTAGCAATTTTGACGGTCATTGACGTCTTGCCAATCAGGGAGACAAAATTGCGCTACTTGCCGTGCCGGGATGTGGACAAGATGCCTGTGTCGAGTGCTCAAGAGACCTTGCGCAACTATGTCAGCACGGCCACCACTCTGGTATCGGACAAGATGGCTTCTATGCGCCATATGCTGCGATCGATGTACGAGGGGCTGTCCCATTGCCCCAGAACGTTACACCGTCAGCAGCCGCGGTAGCCACGGATGCCGTAACAACGGCATATCATGCCATTACGCGACGTGGGAAGGTCACCCGCAACGAGACAGTCTTTCTCTTTGGGCTTGGAGGCCTCGGGTTCAATGCCTTGCAGATAATCAAGCACATAGGTGCGAGAGTAATTGTATCGGATATCAGGCAAGAACGACTCGATGCCGCCGCAAGGTTGGGAATACCACGTGAAGACCTGGTACCTGCTGGCAGTTCGGTCCAAGATTTCATAAGAGAACGAGGTTTGGAAAACAAGATTGACACGGTCCTAGATTTCGTCGGCACACATCAAACTTTCGAGGACGCACAGCAGATTGGTATGACAAAAACCTCTCAAAACGGAACATACTGACCAAGTCATAACAGTCCGGATTGCTGGTAAATTGGTATGCATCGGCACTTTGGATCTAGAGAATACGGTACACATGAAAATAGGCATTCGCAAGCGACTGAGTATTGTATTCTCCTACGGGGGACAGCTACGCGACTTGGAAGATGTTCTTGCGTTGATAGCAATGGGTGCTATTGAACCCTACGTGGAAGACATGGGTCTCGATGATTTCCCACGAGTACTGAAGGACCTTTGTGATGGGAAAATCAAAGGTCGGATTGCACTTTTACAGAAACAGGATAGATAGGGTGCAAGTTTGTGAACTCCACATCAGATATAAATAACTTTCTGCTATTTCACTACTTACTGAGAAGTGCCATTGACACTTGCAGTCTTTGGCAAGCCAATACCTACAGCGGCGGTAGCCCCAGCGTCCACGGGAAGGATCGCACCAGTGATCCATCTCGCATGATCGCCTGCCAGAAAAACAACTGCACAAGCGCAGTCCCATCCAGTTCCCTCAGTCCCAAGGAGACTTCGCTTTTTACGAGCTTCTCTGGCGCCTTCGGTCATACCACCAGCGTACATCATGGGCGTATACAACATCTGAAATAGTAAGCATGAAGCAATGCATAGAACTGGGTATGGGTTACCAACCCCAGGACAAACACAGTTGACTCGAATACCATCGTCTGCATGATGTGCGGCCATTGCCCGTGTCATGTTCACAATAGCGCCCTTACTAGTGGGGTACAGAAGATGAGGCGTGCCTCCTTTTAAGCCGGCAACGCTGCCCATATTGACAATCGAACCTCGGAGTTCTCCTTGATTGCGCTTCATGGCAGGTACAGCAAATTTGACCATCATGACCATGCTTGAAACATTGATGTCTAACCCCTGCGCCCATAATTGCATGTCCACTTCAACAGCAGTTCCGGGAGCACCGCCGATGCCGACATTGTTAACCAGGATATCAAGTCGACCAAACTTTTCTATCGTAAGCTCGACAGTCCGTCGACAATCCTCTTCACTTGTCACGTCTGCTTCGCTGGCGACAGCAGTCCCCCGCCCCGGCTCTGAATTCACAATTGCCACCGTCCTCTCCGCCCATTCCAAGTTCCGATCGACACATACCACTTGGCAGTCGTCACTTGCGAGTAATATCGATATTGCTCGACCATTACCAACTCCGTTTCCAGCACAGCCTGCTCCTGTCACTATTGCAACTTTGCCCTTCAATGAGCGTGGCGGTGGCCGATCTTCGATGCTGACATCCATATTCTTTCTCCCGTGAGCTCAAGAGTGCAGCAGGCGCAGCAAATCTACGTCAGGAGTCGAATTAGACTTTGTGCACTTGAGTAATAGGACCACATGATCTCATGCAGACCATCTTGATGGGAACATAAGATGTGTTGCGTTTCTTGGGAGAGCCGAACCAAGCATGTCTCGTAACCGAAGGCCCTCGTTCCGGGTCACTCGCAATGGCCACCTTGGATTCACGAGACAGTATGGCTCGTGCTCCTGGGTAGTCTACGTCGTGTAACTAAGTTAACCACTTTTCCATAAGAAGCGAGCCGCAGGATTACGAATAATCTGATGCCTGACACTCGGTCATAGCTCGGTCACAGTACTATCGGCTATGGGTACGGGCTAGGCAAACAATGCATCATGGCTCCGTCCGAATTTGAGCTACCGAAGAGATCTTTATGGGCTTAGCCACAATATCTTGGAAGCGCACAGTAGGTCATATTCGCAGACATTAACATCTTCCACTCATCTTTCTCAAACGCTAGAGCTCCTTTGACCGGAAGTATGGTTCTAGATCACGGAGAAAGGCCCACTTTAACTGCTTGCCCCAGCCTTTAGCCTGCCAGTCATTCAGTGACTGTGGGAAATGCGCCACCCCATCCCTGACCGTTGAATCGTGGGCAATTATGACAAACACATTCTCTGCACAATCAAGTTCCTGTAGCTGTTGCATGGTTTTCGTTGCTAGAGGAATATCATGTCCAAATGTCATGTCGTACAATGTATCGGATGTCTCTCGTCCCCGGAAAGACTGGAGTTCTGCAAAAGCAGTACCAGGACAGAAAGGGGTATCACAGCCTCGCTGATATGGATGAGGGATGATTTTAGCAGGTAGCGGGAGGTGGTTAGAAGGTCGAAATATCCCAGCGTAATGACAAACATCTCCTCCCATCAAGATGAAGGTATCTTTCGTTGTTCGAGCTAGGCCACACAGATGTCCTACTGCGTGTCCTGGACTGTCGAGTAAATAGAACGAGCCATCGCCAAAGTAATCAAAGGCTGGGAACTGCCCAATCCGTATGACGCCGTCTACACCTTTGAAATCTATCTCTCGAAGCCTTCGCCCGCTGTCGAAACTCAATCAGTAGGAGAAAATGGTATTACTGGTGTTAGCTGACCTGTAGTCGCTCTCACGAATTGGGGATGCAGGATTTGCTGGATAGCCAGGCAGCATGGCTTCAGAGAACCCCTGACCAACAATGAGATCGGTAGATGGGGGAAAGCTCGCCGGATCACCAATGTGGTCCCAATGCCAGTGACTACGCCAGGATTAGCTGATCTAGAACTAGGACCTTGTGCAGAGATTGGATGGGACGGGGAAGATTGATCTGACCTCCATATCACAGCTTCGATCTCCGAACCTGTGATACCGTTCTCCTCCAAAATATCGACCACATTCTTCGTGACTTGAATGTCATAGTTGGTAGTCGGAATGTAGTCCGCGATTGCTTTGGAATAATTGTGGAAGTCCTTGCGAATTCCTAAATCCCACACCAATTTTCTCCCCGATGGATGCTCCAGGAGAAAGCTAAGTGATGGTGAACTTTCAAACGTCTCGAGTCCAGGGACTGGAGGAGCCATGAATCTGTTCAATATTGCTGGCCCAAAGTTGACAGGATTGATAAGTGAAACCTTAATTACGACGTCCCCCAAGGGCAAATCTACCACCCTCTGCTGTGTTAACATGGCTATGATGTCGGTATGAGCGTCTGATTGATCTCAAGGAAGACGTTAATCCTTCCACAAAGAAGCTGATATGCCCCAAGAGTCAATATATGTCAATCGGCCAATAGCATGAGTGTTCGCAAACATCCGGACTGAGCACCACGGCCAAATACCCTATGAAAGGTTGCAAACCGCATTTAAGGATGTGGAGTTGACTCACCTCGTTGTTCGCTGGAGCTCGCCACACGTTTGGGTAATTCTTCACATAGTCTCAGAAACTATTTCTCGGTTCCACGCCTTGTACTACTGGTAGAGCCATCCATGCAAAAAGTTAGTAATGCACCTTGATGGGTAGCTGAGGTGCAATACATGGTGCCAATTCCGCTAACTCGTTGCGGGTTACCGAAGATCGGCACACATTCGCGTTGCATTTCGCTAATGATGTACCGGCAACCGCTTGGCGTGTTCACCCCGGATGTTGCTCGCGCCCATGCCTGTACTCCAGATCCTAGACATCCGAATACCCACAATGGAGATGAAAACAGACGAAGCTCATTTAAGAAACCATGCTGAGCAGTCCGGCACTGGACCGTCGATAAAAGACGTCTTGCATCCTCATGGACTCTTGAAGTACCAGTCAGCGTATCGTTGCTCGGTTTCCAATTATCTTTATCCCTCCCTCGAGGCATTGAACAATGTCGCAGCACGAAAAGGCAGATACAACTATCTCAGAGGATGTCAAGATCCCTGCCAACACAACGGCCATGGGCGATGAAGAAACGGGCTTGAAGCACATCGATACCCTCCATGACGATGAGGCTGTCAAGGTCCTTGCCGCGTACCATGGTGACCAGAGCTGGACAACGATGGAAGAGCAAAAGCTTCGGAGAAAGATAGACTGGAAGCTGCTCCCCGTCCTTTGCGGGACCTATTCTCTTTTGTACTATGATAAAGCAATGTTGGGGCAAGCGGTAACAACGACTCTTGCTCTTTGTCCACGCATAGTGCTGACATATTGAGTTAGGCACTCTTTGGACTCAGGAAGGATCTTGAACTCACCACTGGCAATCGTTATTCTTTTTCCTCGGCGATATTTTATCTTGGATTCATAGCAGGTGCCTATCCCGCTGTGGTTCTTGCACAGCGCTACCCTATCGAACGCGTGGCATCGGCTATTACCACCGTCTGGGGGATAACCCTCATCGTCACACCCGCCTGCACTACCTATCAAGGCCTGTATGCTCAAAGGTTCTTTCTCGGTTTTACAGAAGCAGGTATCTCACCAATGTTCATGCTCATTGTTGGTGGTTTCTATCGCAAGAATGAACAGGCACTGCGCATGGGTGTCTGGTACAGCTGCACAGGGTATGTCTCTATATTTTCGCCACTTGTAAATTATGGACTTGGCCATATTCGTGGCTCACTGTCCCCATGGCGATACATGTACATTTTTGCTGGTGCAATCACTATCCTCTGGGGTATCGCAATCCTATTTATCCTCCCACCCGACCCGATTCGAGCAAAGGGATTCACCGAGCGCGAACGTTTTATTGCCGTATCCAGAATGCGAGAGAACAATTCCGGAGTAAGAAATACCCATTTCAAAGGGAACCAGGCTATTGAGTTACTTTTCGACTACAAATTCTGGTTTATGTTCTCTATTGCCTTTCTCTGTATGGTTGCGAATGGGCCTATTTCGACGTTCATTCCCATTATCATTAATGGCTTTGGATTTAGCCTACTCAATTCGCTCTTGCTCCTGATGCCAGCTGGATTCTATGCTGGGACCTTGCAACTGGTCGCACCGTACTTGGCGTACAGGTACAAGAACATCCGTACCTATCTTGTTTTCGCTTGCCAGATGGGCACGGTTTTAGCTTCACTCTTGCTCTGGCTTCTGCCTCTAGGACAAACCGGTGCACTATTATTTGCCTGCTACATACTCCCATCAGTTGGTGGTGGCTATGCAGTGCTCATGGGACTGTCTCTTGCCAACACTGCTGGATATACCAAGCGCTCACTAGCGTCGTCCGGTTTGTATATTGGATATTGCTTAGGTGAGTGCGATCCCTCGACTCCATTGAAGCACAATTTGACATAAGTACCAGGCAACTTCGTGGGGCCCTTGGTTTTCAAGCCAAAGGATGCACCAAGATACGAACATGGATTCGTTGTAGTCGTTGCCACCGCAATTGCTGCCGCAGTTTTGGCCATTGTCTATCGTTTCATTTGTATCTGGGAGAACAACCGCCGGGATAAGACAGGAACACTTGAAGGATTTGAGCATGCCTATGAAGACGACTTGACAGATAAAACCGTGAGTCCTCGCCTGGCCTTTGCTCCTGCTTTGGTGAAGCTAACTTGAGGCCGCAGAATCCCCAATTCCGATACATCACATGAGGCAATTTCCGTCTTGTACCCAATTGCTTGATATCGAAGTCGTTATGAATGGTACACGCATCTCGACTGCGGACGATGGAGTCTTATGAAGATGTTGGGTCTGCAATAGTATGTTTGCAGCCTTGTAGGACACCGCAGAGAGTGTCATCTTTGAGCTATTTCATGCCTTGGATCTCTACAAGGCTTTAGTACGACTTAGTTATTCGAAGCGGATTGTACATCGTGTCTAGGCAGATGACCTGTGTCGCAAAATATTTATGATCAGTACTTATCTTGAGGGGAAGTAGCTGCCTAATTTAAGCAGAGATAACTCAAGACTTTGAAAGGATCAAACGAACTTGAGCCGTCCTGGAATCTTCGACACCGCTGCCAGGAGAGTAGTCTCGGTAGTCTGACTCCTGTATCCTTGGTATCAAAGCTGATGGATCTCGTCCTGAACAGAGTCCATGTATCCACACACTAAAAATAGGTACTTGATATATCCCTACGAGGTACAAAATTTGTGTGTCGATTTCTTTTTCGATTCCTAAGAGTCGGACTGGTATTCATAGGACCACTCTCCTGGCAGCGCTGATCGTCGATGTATCATGGGAAATACACTACTGTTCTTACCTCCTCCCGTTTTGTGTTAGTGGTGAATAAGATTCGTGTTAGAGAAGGCGATTTCTGTTACCAGTAAGAATCACAGGAGGTGTATAAAAGAAAATAAATACTGTAGCACAAAAAGGTCGTCGTTGTTGATTTGGAGAGCGTGGAACTCCGGTAAACAAATGATAACCATTGATGAGTTGTGATTCAGCAGCTACGTAAGGTGCCTGGGGGCTAAGTACACCGAGGTAATTGATTTATTTCAGTCCGTTACCGAACTAGAGTCACTGCCATATGCCGCGTTTGCCGACCATCCTCAAGTAAACTTTGGTCTCGAGACGACGATGGGACACGCGCGTCATAAATATTAATATTACACAACGGTACGGTGCAGCTAATTACCACTTCCCTCGTCTCGTACTCAGGTGCGCCTCTGTGCCTGGGGCCAATGCCAACTTCCCCACGAATTTTCATCCTGCTCCTGACTGGGGAACGTTCTTCGAAGCCCGCGGGACGCGTCCACCCCACAATCAAGATTTGGGGTATGATCACGAGACAGCCACCAACTCTTACTGATTGTGGTTTGTGTGAGTCCTCGCTGGCTATCTCAAACCATACCTCTTGCTCAGACATGTGACGTGTATTTCTGAGTCGACCCAAGATGTTAGGGTGGAACAGACGTTCGATGGGACAACAATGATCAATCTACTGGACCTCGCTCGACTGCTACAAACACGTCCAGCCACAACATTCTGGAGCAGCTCTTTAAAATCGAGCATACTAAGGCTGGCACAAAAGGACCCTTATTCAACTGGATTGAAACATATTTGTCCTTCATGACAGGCATGGAAGTCCATGGCGGTGAGACTCGTAGTCAAAGCAGGGAGCAGGGAGCATATCAGGTGACTCTGAAAAACAAAATCATCGCAGGTATGCAGATGTTTTATGATTGTCGTCGCCCAGGATCCAAGTCTGACCTAAATTTATCAGTCACAGGAGCGAATCAAGGCATAGGTCTCGCGCTCGCAGAAGTCTTCCTCTTGAATGGTGCGGAATATGTCTACTCCCTCGACGTCAGCCCTCCAGATTCCCAGTTAGAGTCTCTCCAAGCACTCTTCCCCGGGCAGTTGAAATATATTCGTGCAGATATTACAGACGAAAAGTGTGTAAGTCAGGCGATTGAGACCATTGTAGCAGAAACCTCTCGGCTCGATGGTCTCGTGGCAAATGCAGGGGTCACTGCACACAAGGCTGCTCTGGACTTCAGCAGAGATGACATTGACAACCTATTTAATATCAATGTGAGCTGGCTGATAATGCAGACGATCCAATAAAAGCTTATATGCGTGGTACAGGTTCACGGAACCTGGCATTGTATAACTGCCGCCGCTAGGGTTTTCATGAAACTTGGTATCAAAGGCTCAATTGTTATCACATCTTCCATGGCGTCACATGCTCCAAATAAGGTAGACGATATGGACACTGTGTTGCTACTTTGACAAGCTAACTGTTGACTGGACCGTCCCTTCGGCCCCATACGGAGCAACCAAAGCGGCACTTCGAAGCATTGCAAAGACCGTCGCCATGGAATGGGCAGAGCATGGAATCAGGGTTAACACAGTGTCACCTGGATTCATCAAGACTGAGCTGTCTGCACATGTCGCCAACGACCCTGACTGGACAAACAAAATGAAGTATTGGCGCGGCATGCCACGGTTAGGGCTTCCTCAAGAACTTGGGTAAGTTTCAAAACACTCGGCGGGAACCAGGACGGGATTCTCTGATAATTCTTCATGCAGCGGCGCGTATACCTATCTCCTGTCCGATGCGGCAAGCTACACCACTGGAATTGATATTCCAATCCACGGCAGCGTTGGTGCGTGGTGAAAAATATCCCACAGCATGATTCTAGAGAGCGTGCACGACTTAGCATGACCCATCAGACTTCGATCTCGGGACAAGACCTCGAATGTTGATGATGATATCATTACGAATTAATCATTTTATTCAGCATTGTGGGTGCTCAGGCGGCATTGTTTGATAGTAATTTTCTGACATGGTGCGTTCACCTGGAGGGAGATGATGGGATAAAATCGGAATTGGGCCTTCACGAGAATGAACCTTCACACTTACTTTCTGGATTTCAAACGTAGATGCCAAACTATCTCCTAATACTAGCATCTTTTGCAGCACACATGTGTGTATTTAGTATGGTTTATCTGGAAATCTACCTTCTCCACAAAATATATGGGACGAAATACTATCTTCCACCCACAGCTGCCTCACCTGCCCATTTCCCCGTCACCCAAGCCAAAGCCAGCCCTGCACAATATCTGTAGTTGCTAAAGCCTCCAGCGTCCACCCCAGTCACATAGAGATTCTCAATCGCTCTTCCGTTCTGGGTCAGCGCCTGCGAAGAACTGTTGATCTTGGTACCTCCATATGTCAGTGTAATGGACGGTTGGACTTCCAACGCCCAAAAAGGTCCATTATCATCCGTTATCGGTCCATGGGGTGGCTTCCCGTACTCATTTGTGCCGATAGGGGCGTCGAGGTTGCTGGGATCGACCTTTGAACCACTTTCCAGAAGCCTTGCCGCGGTATTATAGCCTTGAATAGTGTTCTTCAGATTTGTGGCGGCAACTCCCCATGTCGCCAATCCCTGTACCAACCCTTCAACAGTTTTGACCTTGAACACTCGTCCACCAACATCTTTGGCTTTTTGGATACGGTCCACAAATCCAGCATTTGGCCAGGGCTCTCCTGTGGCATATTTCTCTCTCGCTTCGTCTGACAGGATCATGTAAGCGATTCGGTTTTCTTGTTGAGCAACTGCTTGATTCGACACTTCATCACCCATTGTCTCGTCACAGAAGCGTTTCCCACGTCGATTCACAAGTACTGTACGACTTGACTGGAATTGAGCGATATGAAGGAATTGGAAAGGATCGACCTCAGATGCTTGTAACGGGGACGGTAACAAATGTCCATAAAATGTGGACATCCCTCGTGAGCTGCCAGCTCCAGCTTTAGAAGCGAGCGAGAGCCCGTCTCCAGTATTGCCTCGGTTGGAGCGTACAAAAATATTATCTGCCCCAGGACCAATATATCGAGATACTAGCTTGGGCGATCCTTGAAACCCTCCCATCGAGATGACAGTAGTCTTTGCATGGACCTCTATAGGTTCGCCGCCATCAGGAAGGATAATGGCGCCCCGTACTGGGCCTGAACGGTAGTCTTGCAAAAGCGAGATTGCGGAGGTGTTCAGTAGAATCTTTGCAGTGGATCGAGCACGTATCTTATCGATGGCCAACTGTGTGAGAGCTTTTATGTCAATAGGATATCCCAAACCAATCGACATAATGCCAGGGAACTCATCAGACACCCTTAAGCCTTGCGTTCGGAACCAGTCCACTGCACTTCGATGTCCATCGATGAGCTTATCGATAAGTCCGTGCTCTCCGTACTGAATTGTTTCATGGGCCATGCTTTTGTCTTTTGGTGCCCAGAACATTCCAGACGAGTATTGCGACGAGCCGCCAAGTGCTTCGGTCTTCTCTATTACAAGGACTGAGAAGTCATTTCCTCCAGCCATCTCACAGGCGTGCATGGCCGTTGAGAGGCCTGACAAGCCACCTCCCAAGACCAGAAGATCCACATGTTGTGTTTGAATAGCCATATCTTGAGCTCTTTCAGGGGTTATGGACAAGATCTCACCGACTCAAATATTTGGGTTATTCTTGTCGTGAAAAGAAAGGCGGCGGCAATGAAACTGATATTCCTGCCGGTAGGCTTGTACAAGTTTTGTCATCACATGAATTATCCGACTTGCCAATAAATTCAGAGCGCACTCATGGAGTATCGAAGTAGTAGCGGAGATCATCCTTGTCAGAGCTAGCCACGTGCAATTCGAAGCCCACTCAGTACTTTGTAGAGCGCCCGCATCTCCAACATTGGAGCAATCCGCGTCTCGCGACCACAGCTGTGTCTTGTGGTCTACAAATTTAGCTTTACGTGATACTTATTCTTCTCTTTTGTCAGACAGAACATTGGGCAACTGTATCATGGGCACCGTTCTGATGCCAGAGGTACGCTGACGTCTTTCGCTCGATCGCCCATATCCCTTAGTCCTAGTGACAAAAGGGATTTTTGCTTCTCCAAGACGTTGGATCTTTGATATACTCAATCCGCTTTTGCAAATCAGCCGAATCTCAGTACAACTACTCTGCGTACTTCGCTCTTTACCATGATCTCTACAGATCGTACCGCTATATCCAAGCGGCTAAGGCCTGCAGTGGCATCAATGTCCATTGCCCGCGCCACAACTCATCATGAGTTAGAGCCAAAGATTAAGGCTACGGCGCAAGCCGGCTTTGAGGCCATTGAACTGTTCTATGAGGACATCAAGCTTCCCAGTCGAAGACAGACAAATATCACTCGACCGTTTCAAGAAAACCTCTACAGCAATGCTCGTCTCTTTCGCAAGCTCTGTGATCAATACGGCCTGAAGGTAATAGTATTTCAGCCCTTCAAGAACTACGAAGGCCTTCTCAGTAAAAGCAGACACGAAGAGAAGCTAGCCAAAGCCATGGTGTTTTTTGAAATCTGCCAGATTCTGGGAGCAGACATACTTTTGATACCGTCCATGTTTCACACCAGCCTAGAGATTGCAACAGGCGGGGAGAAAGTCGTGGAAGATTTTAGAGAGCTTGCAGACCTGGCAGCATCCTATTCCCCTCCCATCCGTCTTGCCTATGAATATATGGCATGGGGAGCACATGTGGACAGCTGGCAAACAACGTGGGCGGTAGTACAAAAAGTTGATCGCTCAAATTTCGGGATGTGCATCGATACCTACCACACACTTGCAAAGGTGTATGGGGATCCCGAGGCCCTAGACGGTCTACGACCAAATGCCCTCGAAAGTTTGAAAGCTGATCTTGCCGATCTCGCACGAATGGTTGATGTGCAGAAGATCTGGTACATCCAGCTCTCAGAAGCTATGAAGATGGACACTCCTCTTTCACCTTCACATCCATTCTTCAATTCTCAACAACACCCCTTAATGCAATGGTCTCGCAACGGCCGGGTCTTTCCTGGTGATTTGGAACTGGGCGGCTATATGCCGGTAGACGAGATCGTGAGGACTTTAGTGTTGGAAATGGGCTACCAAGGATGGGTAAGTATGGAATCATTTCATGCCTCAACAGCTGATCCAGATCCTGAAACACCCATTCGTCAAGCTCAGAAGGCCATGAAGCTGTGGAAGCAATTAGTGGCATCATTGGAAACAGAGAGCAAGACTGGTGAATGAATGACATATTAAGTAGTGGTATACCGTCCAAGAACATGTCCAATCATAAGCGTGCGCTGTGACAAGGCTGAAGCACTGGTAGGGAGACGATTCAAGTAGTCCAGAGTCCTGCAACCGATAATAGCCATAGCATCATGCCACCTCGTGCCAGGTGACAAAACTATCCCGTAAACAATAGTCAGTCTTGTTGGAGTGATCGAGGCAGTATCATTTCCAGCCCTGCTCTACCCAATGGAAGCTCTGGCGGTTGTCTGAACCCTGATTTCCAAGAATTGAAAGCTGACTCCTTTAGGCACCTCCATGAGAGAAGTTTCAGAAGTGAAAAAGATGGAGAGGGCTTCCACGACCTGAGATGTCGAGGACCCTGCTCAGTCCGCTACGCGCATCTGAGTTGTGAGCTATCAAATTAGAAGGGTGCCTAACGAGGTGTGGCTACCGCCCCGTGGGGATGGCTGTGGACCCTATTCCAACCTCTTCCCCACCTGACCTGGGCTCGCTTGGACAAAGGTTACCCCAACCGTGTTGCAATTCGGGAAATCGTATATAATGCAGTCTGACAAAATACAAACTTGTATCAGCTTGCAAGCTATAAAGTAGTTGCGTGATAGTATTTCCTGCCAGTATTACATATCCTTTGGCTCGAACTTCCAATGGCTGTGAACAAGAAATTGAAGCCCATCTCTGGCAGGCTTCAGGATAAAATCATTGTCATTACTGGCGGGGCTGGCAACATTGGGGTGGTCACTGCACAACGCTGTCTTCTCGAAGGGGCGAAGGTGGTCTTGATTGACCTCAATGAGACCCAACTTAATGTCGCAAAAACAACTCTGAGCGCGGGTTGCAAGTCTTCCATCGAATCTCCCCAGGAGAGGATATTAGCAATCAAAGCAGACGTCACCGATGAGTTGCAAATGGAGAACGCATTGAAGCAAAGTGTTGCCACTTTTGGAGGCCTCGACACCTGCTTCCTCAATGCGGGTATATCATACCAGGCAACACCCCTACTGGATACAAGTGTGGAATTATTCGACCGTTGCATGAACGTCAATACCAAGTCCGGTGAGTATGCTCCGTAAGCAGGCACGCTTGAAGACTTACATGCAGAAGCATTCATCGGGCTAAAACATGCCGGAAGGATCATGAGAGACAGTGGTAGTGGACAAGGGAGCATCATTCTGGCATCATCAGCCGCTGGGCTCATCGCTCGTCCCGGCATGACTGCATATGGCTGCTCAAAGCAGGCACTGCGAAGCCTTGCAATGTATGGTGCTGCCGAGTTGGGCCAATATGGAATTCGAGTCAACACGGTACACCCCTGTGGCGTAAATAGTCCAATGTTCCTGGACTGCTGGCCGGAGCATAAGATCAAAGAGATGCTAGCAGCCCTACCTTTGGGTCGGTTGGCTGAAGCAGACGACATAGCGGCTATGGTCACCTTTCTCGCCAGTGATGATGCTCAGTTTTTGACAGGAGGGACTTTCAAAGTGGACGGAGGCCAAGCGAATTACTAGATTATAACCTAAGATCAAATGCTTCTTGTACGAGTCTATGGCGCTATCTGGGGCTCTAGCTTGTGAAGAACGACAATGCGACTATCTAAATTCTGTACCTGTTACATCTGAATCATTCGCGTCGTAGGAGCTTTTCTGCATTTAAGCAGTAGACATCTGACAGCCATTGTTGACCACAGTGAGTTTGTATACTGTCATCTAATTCCTGTGACAGATCCTTTGCCACTGCGAATGGCAAGAAGGGAAGATCTGTGCCGAAGAGTAGTCTGTCTGGAGTGACAAGCTTCAAGATCGCCGGCAACTGGTCGGGACACATGAACCCTGCGGTATCAAAGAAGAAGTGTCGGTTGAGGTCCGCTCTGACGTCCTCTGATGTGGGAAGTCCTCGCATGTTCAGGCATTTTGTTGCAAACCCAGTGATCTTTTCAAGAACAAGAGGCAGAATGGCACCACAATGGGCGATGATGAAGGTGACATTTGGATGTGCCGCCGCTGTCCCCGAATGTAGAAGTGATGTGAGTGCTCGTCCGGTATCGAAGAAGTATTCCAAAATTGACGAAGGTACAACCGGTAAAAGCTCGGGAATCTTCTGAAATGATCCAGCAACGTGTGCATATCGACAATGATTTGGATGGATGAAGACTTTGGCACCAAGAGTATCCAATCTCTGGAAGATTGCTTCAAATGTAGAGTCTCCGGGATATATGCCGTGGCTGTTTGACATTAGACCAATTCCATCAGCGCCCAACACGTTGATTGCGTAGTCAATTTCCCGAAGAGATCCCTCAATATCTGGGAGAGGCAAAGATGCAAAGAATCCGAATCGTAAAGGGTGTGCTTTCACAATACTAGCCATGAAATTGTTACATTCCCGTGCCAGCTGTCTTCCCAGGTGATCATCTCCGGGTTCCAAGTGTGAGCCTGGGGCGGTAACACTAACGATGGACTTCTGGATGCACAAGCTATCCATTAATGAGATATGCTCATCGACGTTCCATGACTGTGCTAGTTAGAACTCATGTGCTAGTTGTTCCAGTAATGGCTTACAGGGACTTCATAACCTCGGCGTCGACATTCTTCTCGCCATCTAGGAGGCACTATATGTGAATGTACATCGATTTTCCAGGGGGGCATTTTGAGGTTGCTGGGTATCAAAGCGTTGATGGGTATCGTGTATGCAAGAACAGAAAGGCATACACTTGAACCATGATCTCCGGTCATGTTCTGTTACGCTTGGTACAAAAAGTCAAGCAACTTGTAATTCAGAAAGCGTTCTTGCAAAGGGTCCCAGTGGACGCGGCACGCGGCACATCTGACACCGTGACCAGGACGAATGATGCCAAGCGTACATCCTCTCGTCTAACCTGTAGTGTGACAACCTCCCCGTATCTCAAAGTTTCCCTTCCCCGTACCCCGGAGCCACGAGACAACGCGACCCAGGAGAAGATTCGGGCCTGAACTTACCCGCACCATACAATGTCAATCCCCATAGTCAGGATAAAAGGGATCGACTCTGCGCCAGGATGATGGACACTTTTCGACCGACATCAACCTCACCAAATATTCTTGCCCTACGGCGTTTCTTGGCCACAATATCAATATGGGTTCGAAGAATGATGTCGAACTTGGCACAGCCCCTGCGAACCAAGTCGAATTCTCCATACCAAAGGACGGTGACAATGCAGCAGCAAAAGTGCTAGAGAGTGATCAACTCGGTTTCACGGAGGAAGAGAGCAATGCAGTCCTTCGAAAAATCGATCTGAGAATTCTGCCTCTCGCGGCAGTGGCTTGTGGATTGCAGTACGTGGATAAGGCCGGTCTGGGATCCGCAGCTACGTACGGTTTACGCGAAGACCTTGGTTTGGTCGCCCAGGAGTATTCCTGGTGTGTTTCAATCTTCTTCTTCGGCGCCCTGCTTGGCTCTGCCCTTGTAGGCCGAGTCCTCCAATACTTCCATGTCGGCAAGGTTCTCGCTGTGGCATACTTTTGTTGGGGTATAACCTTACTTGGTTGCATTGGCGCCAAAGGCTTTGCTACTCTGGCCGCTATGAGATTCCTCCTAGGATTATTTGAATCTGTGCTGGTGCCTGGCCTCTTGATGATCACGACGATGTGGTACACTCACCGGGAACAGCCTTCTCGCCTCGGAGTCTGGACTGTGCTCAATGGGGCGCTGCCTATTCCTTTCCTGATGGTCTTTTATGGCCTGGGCAAGGTGGAATCTGGTCCACTATCATCATGGCAGCTGATCTTCCTTCTGCTGGGGCTTTGCAGCTGCCTTATGGGTGTGGTACTGGTAAGTCATGAAGCCAATCTGAGATGCACAGACATTGACACTTCAAGTGGTTCTTTATGCCCGATTCGCCAGAAGGTGTCAAGTGGCTGAATGAAAGGGAGAAAGTGGTGGCAATTGCGCGTATTGCGAAAGACCAGACTGGAATCAAGAACAGTGAGTCAAAATCTGAAAACCCTGGCGAGCGTTCTTTTTGTTGATCGTCGTTTGTATAGCAACCTTTAAGTGGCCACAATTCCGGGAAGCCATGCTGGACATTCGTGTCTGGCTTATTACATTTTCAATGTTCTTTGCCCAGGCAGCTGGAAGTGTGCAGACCAACTTCTTGGGTATAATCATCAAGGTTCGTAGATGGATGAGATCTATTCCTGATGCCGGACGAGTCTAACATGTTGTTAGGGGTTCGGATACACTGCTTTGAAAGCGCAATTATACTCAGCACCCGCTTACGCGCTTCAGGTAAGGCTCACTGGCATCAAACCGCACATCATCTAGCTAAATCGATATGAAATCAGGTCGCGGTCGTCCTCCTTGTCTCTTTTCCCCCTACTTACGTTCGCCAACTTCGAAACTACAAGCAGCCTCTCACCGCGTTTGCTACATGCTTTGCGGTTGTTGGTTGTGCTATCTTATACGTCACACCGGCAGAAGAACAATATAAGCAACGCAGGTTTGCAGGTGTTACTATGATTGCATTCGCGACTGCCAATTACAACGTTATCATGTCTGTCATTGGTGCGAATATTGGAGGCTTTACAAAGAAGGCTGTGACCACATCCATGACATTCGTGGCGTACTGCGTCATCAACATCGTCTGCCCTCAGACATTCCTTAACTCGGAAAGCCCCAGGTTCCACACGGGGCTCACATTCGTCATGAGGTAAGCGGAAAATCTCAGCAAATATTGATTACAAGCTAAATTCTGTTCACAGCGTACTCAGTATCTTCATCTGCATCATGGGTACACAGTGGACTCTGATGCAAGCCGAGAATCGACGCCGGGACAAAAAGGCATTGACCGACCCTGCATATGCAACTGGGGACATGAGCGAAGAGATCGTCTCTGGATTACAGTGCGTCCAAACCTTCCTTATAGTGGCGAATGGCATACTAATTATTTTCCTTAGGGACCAAACCGATAAGGAAAACAAGCGCCATAGATACTCTCCGTAAAGTATCATTAGAGCAAGGGAGCATTCTTTCATGCCAGCTCTGAGGACGCTAGACATATGTCTTCCCGTCAAGAGCTTTGCAGATGCACGACTGGTGCTCCGAGCTGAACAAAGAAGGCCACAGATCTCTGAAGACCGATGAGAACTGCCAGAGCTAGATTTCGGTGTAGTGATAGCCTCACTTCAGTGCAGCATATGTCGCAAATCACAAGTCATCGTGAATAGTTCTCATTCAGCATCCTAATGTTCTCCATTTCCAGCCCATTGACGCTGTAGGTTATGGCGCAGCTGCCGTACAGACCACCCGCTACATCTTTCACATTCATCCAGTAGAGCGAGAATACCTGCTTGACGTTTTTCGTTCATTTCGCAGAACCCAGCCCCATAGAGGCATTGCGAAGACATAATATGAGCTCCCGAATGGTCGAGCGTAACAGCGATGCCATATATGGTAGTACATGCCTCTTGCATAGCTTTTTGCATCCTTGACTGACTCCCTAATCCATCCAAGATTGGGCAATGTAGATACACCAATATCCGGGCAAGATTGTACATTTGAATGGCGGCAGCAAACTTTGGAGGATGGATCCAGATTGGGTCGAACTGCTCACGGTAATTGTGCGCAATGCCACTTGCAGAATCCTCGAACTTGTTCAGTAGATACGGCAATGGCTGGAATGGCAGCCCCAGGCATTTGAACCAGCACTCCTGATTCCGTTGCAGCATTTCTGCATGTTTCACACGACTCTGCAAAGTCTCGATATTGCTAGCATCGTCTGTACTGCGTTTTGCTGCGAAATTCACAGCCTCCCGTAGAAGGATAGTGGCGAAATCGGCTAATTCGTCTTGGTTTTGTTCGACGACCGGCCGGGGTGGTGTCCAGAAGCTGTTTGATCTTCGTCCTTCACGAAGCGCTGCCCACAGGTCTTGACGGATCCACCACCACCATAAAGCTTGACGCAATCCTGGAGAAAGGCCATTGACGTTCTGGGCTCGCTGGATCCAGAAGACCCCTTTGAGATGTCGTTGCCATCCGACGGATGATTCATCGAACATCTCGTAGAGTGACACCAGCATGACAGTTGCGAGGATTTCTTCCGATTTGTTGTAGCTGGCAAGATGCATAGCGTCTTGAATGTAACGCAATGTTTGATAGTAGTATTGGACAGCCAAGCTTGGATCAAGTGATGGCAAGCTAGGATGAATTCTGCTGGTATGAGAGCGATGTTGGGCTGAAAGAGCGAGGATCGCATTCATTAGCCCGGCATTATTGCACTTAAAATCATGGAACTCGTCAGCAGCTGGGCAAAAGAGCCTGGCTGAGGGCATTACTTACAGCGAGCCTCGGAATGTATGTAGCAAAATGGCATTTCGTGTCAAACAAATCCAACTGATTGCCGTTATTGAGCTGTAAGAGCAAAGGAGGATATAAAAGAAATGTGAACGTACCCAATAAGCTAATTCTTCAACGAAGTGTCTGAACAAGGCTTGCTCTTCAGCAGACAAGGAGATGTTCTCAGCCGATCGCCAGGCGTCCTGATCAGAAATACTAATCAACGAACTGGGTGATGTTACAAGCAAGGCTCCTTGGAGAACAGATGCCAAAGGCGCTGTAGCGGTGATGTGTGGAAGTATCTGAGGAGCGTTGTTGTTGAATGAGAGATGTTCTTGGTTGAGAGGGATTGTGGTACTATCTGTGACATCACTGACTATAAGATTTAGCCACCGCGAGGTCGCGCGGTCTTGTACCATAGTCCCCGTCGTCTCGGTTGAAAATGGAGAAAACCCATAGGCACAGCTCTCACCAGGAGCTGTAGTTATATCGAACGGGTCGACCTCAGAAAACCCGCCAGAGACACCTTGATTCACATCATCATGGTTCTGCTCTTGTTCAATTGTCCGAGGAGGGAGTGACACTTGGCGTTCTGGGATGGCAGTGATTGACTGGGAGTCGTCACCAGCACCATCGCCATCCCAATGGCATTCACGATCTCCTTTCGAGCAATTACTGCATCTCGGGTGTCTTTCATCACATTTGCGGTGACGTTTACGACACGTAATGCTTGCGGACCCCACGTGTTAGCAACATCGGATTGAGAGTCGATAAAAATTTCAGAAAGTGGTGAAGTTCCTTACCAGCCTCTGTTAGACCGAAGGCCACTCCCCCTAGGTGCTCGGACTCTTTTTTTCAGCCTCGAACCACGGACAGTGTTCGACGTTGCGACATTTCCAGTCTCCATACCTTATGGATTGTTGTAACTTGTGTATAGGGAGCTCGAGAGCATTGTAAAGAGAAAGGCGAAGCACCCTCAACAACAGTGAAATGCCAGGAACCAAATCTTATGTCGGATATTCTCAGAAATGGGTCAAGTGATGTGAGGCATTGATGAAATGGATGATGACCCAAATCGGAAGGTGCGCCCTTGGACCAAGGAGGACTATCCACACAATGCTAAATTGCGGGGTGAGTAGGTGGGATATATACAAGGAGGCACAACGGTGAAGATGATGGGCCTCTAGTGACTAGTTTGAGAGTAGGCTGCAACATGGAAAGCGTTTATCATAGACAAGTAGTTAAGAAAGATGGTTGTGTAGAGTGGTTTGTCCACAGTGCCTACATCGGTAGTTAAGTTAGTTACTTAGGTAGTTACTTAGGTAGTCATAGGTAGGTACCTAGCCGAGAAGCTTAACCACTGTTCAGGTCTAACTATCCCGCTCACATGATCTACCTGTTGACCCCGAATTACTATTGGGCTTAGCACCAAACCCAACCGTTGTACTCCTGCATCCCAATTCGACTCAATAGTACAAAAAGGACGCTGGAAAGAAAGAAATGTTTTTATATACCAGTAGCAAAGTTTTTTCCACATCCTTCCAAAATGCTTCTCTGCAGAGGCATCGAGGTCGAAGAGTTGACCATCTGTGAGCTCCAACAACATCTTACCACAGCATCATTCACATCTCAAGATCTCACCCAATGCTACCTAAATCGCATGGACGTGCTCAACCCATGCATAAAAGCCGTCATCGAGACCAATCCAGAAGCGCTCTCCATAGCGATTGACCTTGATACAGAACGTAGCAATGGGGTTGTCCGATCCATGCTCCACGGCATCCCGTTCCTCGTGAAGGATAACATTGCCACCAAGGATGGAATGCAAACTACGGCAGGCTGCTTCGCACTCATAGGCACAAGGGTTCCAGCCGACGCTGACGTTGTTGCCCAGCTTCGAGCAGCTGGTTGTATATTGCTTGGCAAGGCAAACCTAAGTGAGTGGGCATCAATGCGCTCGAGTTATTATTCGGAAGGCTACTCGAGTCGCGGCGGACAAAACAGAAATCCTTACAACCTGGCCGAGCATCCCGGTGGCAGTAGCAGTGGTAGCGCAAGCGCTGTCGCGGCCAATTTCTGTGCCTTTAGCATTGGGACCGAAACAGATGGCAGCTTAATGTTTCCAGCGGACAGGTGCGGGCTTGTGTCAATCAAACCGACTGTAGGGTTGACATCCACGACCGGAGTCATTCCAGAAGCCAAGAGTCTTGACACCGTTGGTCCATTTGGAAGAAGCGTTGAAGATGTTGCTCTTGTCCTCGAGGTGCTGGCCGATCCCAACAGTCGCCCTTCCAGCTTGAATCCGGACTATTCTTCACTCCTAGCGAGTAAGGAGATGTTAATAAATGCCAGGTTCGGAATGCCTATGAACCGAGTCTGGAACAGTGCCAGGGACAATGCGGAACAGGCGGCAGAATACGAAGCGCTAATCGAGCTTGTAAGCAAGATCAAAGATACTGGTGCAAAAGTCTATGAGGTTGAATTTCCTAGTGCTGAGGATATCATACCCCCTGATGGCTGGGACTGGGACTATGCGGAAGGCTACACTGGGTCCAGTCTTTCTGAATTTCAGGTTGTCAAAACCGAGTTCTACCACGGGCTCAAAGAATACCTAACCGGACTCGAACATAACGAGAGCAGCATCTTGACGCTTGAGGACATCGTTAAGTATAACATCGATCACACTCACACAGAAGGTGGGGTTCCTGGCACTCACCTGGCCTGGCCGACAGGCCAGGACAACTTCGATCGCTGTCTCGAGGCAAAGAATGAGAGTGAAGAGCAGTACACGAAAGCCTTTGAATACATTCGTCTCAAATCACGCGAACAAGGCATCGATGCTGCACTGACGCATTCAGAAGGCGATTTAGACGGCCTTATTGTGCCCATATCCGTGGATGGTGGTGTTTCTGTTTCCATTGCGGCAAAGGCTGGATATCCAATGATTACTGTTCCGGTCGGAGTTGACGGTAAAGGAGTGCCATTCGGCATTGGGCTGATTCAAACGGCGTTTAGGGAAGACCTATTAATCAAATACGGATCTGCCATCGAAGACCTTACCGGTCCACGACCGGAGCCAACATATTTGAACTTTTATGCCAGCAATTACACCTACATTGGGACACCGCCAGTATCGTCATGACGCTTTCAGAACGACGAGACGAGTCTCAAGTGATCCAGTTAGGGTCCTAAAACCCCCCAAGCACAATATCTATTGTATGAATGGACTCGAAACTCGAGCACAAGGGGCAATAGCCATACAGGTAGATCATACACCCAGGTATCTAACTATGGAGAGCTCTCAAAAGTATTGAAGTATCAAAAGGTGAGACTAGCTGACTAAGTAGGCAGGCAAAGTCCCAATATCTTCGGGTGAAATTACAAGCATGTAGGCGAATTCCCGGCGCCATCCGCTGCATGACATAAATAACAACGCGCACGTAGCCTTGCCTATCTCTTCCTCATGAACGTTTCGCCTTAAAGTATCCATCTTTTCAACCTCTGCGATAGCGCTATCTTTTTATTCTACTCCAGTTATTTAACCCGGCCATATGCCAGTACAGGCTGTCAAACTCTGTGCCACGAAGTTTCATTCTTCTCCTCATGACATTAGGCTACCGCGGACTACTCCGTCAGCCTGGACTTGACAGCGAAATATTCGATTATCCCCACCTCCAGTTCTGTGACACAAGGCTGTTAACCATTTACTGCGGAATCGGCTTGTGACAGACGACCTTTGATGACTTTAGCACCTCCAAGTCCATCAATTTCACCACAATTCTCGGTCCAAACTGCACATATTTCAATCTGTGAAAGCTGACCGGCTAGACAACATGAGCACACGACACCAACAGCACCTACGACGGGTCTTCACCCACAATTTGTCCACCTTTCGACGACAGCCATGGACCGAGATATCCGGCTCACTCGGCGACTTGGGCACGTTCCTGCCCATTGTCATCGAACTGACAGAAGGACGGCAAATCTCTCTCACGACGACCCTGGTCCTGACCGGACTCTACAACATCCTCACTGGAATGGTCTTCGGGATTCCATTGCCAGTCCAGCCGATGAAGGCCATTGCCGCAGTTGCGATTTTGAAGTCGCTCACAGCGGGACAGACAGCCGCAGCAGGCATCTTCGTGGCCACCTGTATTCTCGTTTTCAGCCTGACCGGGATCTTGTCGTGGTTCACCAGGGTAATCCCCATCCCGGTTGTCAAGGGAATTCAAGTCGGGGCAGGATTGAGTCTGATGATTGCAGCGGGTTCGAAGGCCGTTTCGGCCCTGTCTTGGACCGCACCATCTTGGGCGGATAACTACATCTGGCTTATCGGCGCCTTTCTACTGTTGTTTAGCATCAATGCACGTCCTCGCGTCTTGCCTTACGCCCTCGTGCTATTCCTCGTCGGCATTACCTTTGCCTTCATCCAACTTGCAGTACACGAACGCCAACATCTCCCTGGATTCCGACTGTGGCATCCTCATGGGGCTCGCATCCCGTCTCTGCAAGACTGGAAGATTGGCATCCTTGATGCGGGTATTGGCCAGTTGCCTCTGACGACTCTCAATTCCATCATTGCTGTGACGCATTTGGCCGCCGACCTCCTCCCCGAGATCGAAACTCCATCTGTCACCGTCATTGGAGTCAGTGTCGCCGGCATGAATCTGATCGGGTGCTGGTTTGGAGCAATGCCCGTCTGCCACGGTTCTGGTGGTCTCGCAGCACAATACCGTTTCGGAGCTCGGTCAGGAGCGAGCATTGTCATCTTAGGCATGTTCAAACTGGTCCTGGGTCTCTTGTTTGGTGGGAGTTTGACTGCTCTACTGAATAAATTCCCGCTTGCATTGCTGACCGTCATGATCATCGCAGCTGGTCTGGAGCTTGCAAGTGTAGGTGAATCACTCAACACGGAAAGGGCACGGGACCTGGGCAAGGAGATCAGCGGTGACACCCAAAGTAGCTCACGCCAGCACATCGATCTGTCAGACGAGGATAAGAAGCGAAGATGGACAATCATGCTTGTGACGGCGGGTCTACTGGTCGCGTTCAAGAACGATGCGATCGGATTTTTAGGGGGTATGATCTGCCATTGGAGTTATTCTATACCTCGGTACGAGCGGACGCACCTGTCTCGCAATATCTCGAACGTCGACAGCGATGAAGCAGATGAACGCCGATCTCTGCTACCGCATTGAGATGTTGGAGCAACAGCTGATTCAAATGCCCTGGGATCCACAGCCTTTCTCCTCCTATGTGGTTGCCATCGTCATCATGGTCTCATCTCACCAAGGTATTCTGCCCTCCTTTCTCGAAAAAGTACCTGAAACACCATCAGGTCCCTCAGCCACCAACTCCACGACCCGAACGGCACCATGCTTTGGATCCATCTCATCAGACATGGGCAAACCATTGAGGCCCGTAGCCCTGTGGCCCGGACACACGGCATTGACCTTCCAACCAGGATTTGTCGTGGCATAGTAGACAGCCAGGTTATTCAAAGCACTCTTACTGGAATTATACCAATAACCCGAATACACCTGCTCCGGCTTCCATGTGAGCGTTTCTGTCAAACTCGCCAGGGTCGACGACACGAAGATGACTTTGGGCAGCTTCGCCTTCTCCAACAGTGGCTTCAGTCGATCCGTCAAGACGGCCTGGGACGTGACGTTGACGGAGAACGTGTGGTCGAATTTCTGGCGCAGCGTCGCGTCCTTCGACAGATACTGTGCGGCGGTGCCGGCGTTATTGATGAGGACATCCAGTTTTCCGAAGACCTGCTGGATGGCCAGGAACGCGCGGTCGATGGAAGTGTCGTCCTCAATGTCCAACTGGATCGGGTTGACGTTGACGGGCGCACCGAGCGAAGATGCCGCTTCCTCTCCTTTGGAGGTTTCACGACATCCAAGCAAGATCTGGCAGTTGCCGGCGGTACTCTGCGCGAGGGACTTGACGATCTCGTAGCCGATCCCTGCATTGCCACCCGTCACGAGGATGATGGTTTTGTTGGCGGCGGCGATGCTCGAGGGCCGGTGTTGGAGGCCTGGTCGTGACATTTTGGGAAGACCTTATTCGTGGACTTGGCTTGATAGCTTGAAATTGAATTCGTAATGTGCTGTGGAGCGATACTCAAGTGATACGTTTCTTGATAATTGTGCGTCAGGGTGGCTTGAGCAGAATTGGATATGATTTCGTGGGGATGATGATGAGGATCAAGTGGAAAGATGAAAAGAGTTGATATGATCGGCTTGGCCGTTCACGATCAGCGGTGACCATGAGATGTGGCAACCACGACGATTAAGTACTACTTGTTGCTAGTGTTTTATTGTTGTTGATCATGCATCATACGTCACGGCAAGACACTTCAAGTCGCAATATGCACCTAATCATCCACGCTATCTCCGATTGGTTTCGTCTTGACTTCGACACCGATTCAACGGCCCGATAATCTTCCATCGAGTGGTGGCCTGAGACGATGTGTTGATATACAGTTTCCATCTGTGACTCATTCACAACTACGATTACAACTATATCATGCCTTGCCATCCAGTTTGGTAAACTCCGTGGGTCCCCCTGGTATCTGCAACCAATTCTTCTCGTCGTAATGCTCCTCGCCCTCGATGCAGTGGAAAGTATAAATGATCCTACCTTTCTGGCTCAGGTTTTTCTCCGATTTGTGCAAGATGTTGCCATGGATGAGGACCAAAGTTCCCGCTTCGACCTCACCCAGGGCGTATTCTTCTTGATCCTGCGGCGCCACGTCATGATCGTTCTGGAGACCTCGAGGCCATCTGCTGTCCTCGGGCACTGGCTCGAATGTCGTCCCCAGCCCGTCCGGCCTCCTTACGAATCTCTCCTTTATTGGAGCCCTCCGATGACTGCCGGGAGAGAAACTCAGGCATCCGTTCTCCACTGTTGCGTCTTCCAGCGCGATCCAAAATCCAACGGCGGACGGCTTATCTGTGTAGAGAAAGGTGCTGTCCTGGTGGGGTGGGACAGCACCACCAATCTCAGGCTGTTTGCATATCACCATACTTTGCAGTAATCTGGGATCTTTGTAGCCCAGATCTTTCGCAATAGCAGCATTCCTGCGCCCTGTCTCGCCCTGATGTGAAACATTGCCAAATTCGGGGACAATACCATGCAAGTTGTGGCCGATCTTATTAATGGCCCTCTCTTTAGGCTTGTTCAGGTCTCCAGTCTTTGCGTCAAAAGCATCTTCTTCAAAAAAGAACCGGACTTTGTCACCAGAGGAGAGGAAATAGTCGTCTCCGACGTGTTTGGCCGAGGTTGAGTCTCCGTTGTCATCGGTCCCGGTCGTGAAGCGCGTGAGCGGGTGATCTGCAAGGGGAAAGTCGATGAGAAGTTGGTTTGTCCTAGACAAGAGCTCTAGACATGTCTGCTTGGAAAGATAGGATGGTATTATGAGGTAGCCATCGCGCCAGAATGAGGCGATTTGTTTCGAGGTCAATCCCGCGGCACTCTCGCCTTGTCCGGGCTCCGGTGACACTCGGGAAGGGGCCATTATGGAAGCAAAGGCAACTAGGGGGAGAAACAAATCAAAGAAATAGCAGCCAGAAGAAGAATAAATTATTCACCGGCAAAAGCGCACGAGAAAGAGTCGAACGTAGTATCAAGATGCACTGGGTAGCATCCGAAAAGGCGTGGGGTAGCAATTAGAGGGGAATTCTGCTATCGATAAGGCTGTCATGCCGCTTTAAGTAAAGTCATGTGATAGTGTCTTGGCACATGAGTCCATCGTGACGGGATACATAACTAGGTACCTACAGGGGGTACGCATCCTAAACTACCAGCGTCGCATCTGCACCTCACCTGTAGCGTTGCGCTGAAATTCTTCTGCGGTTTTCTTGAGCTATGCCATTATGCCAGATCAGCAAGAGACTTTCATTGACGTGACCTTTGTGGGGTGAGGAAAGGAGGGGATAAGAGCACGACGGACAGAGGAAGGATAGGGATCATGTACCTCTTGAAGCAAATCTGCAGTCTTCGTCAAGCCATTCAAGACGAAGTCTCGGCGATTGCTCGCACTGTCAGGGTTGCCACTCACGCGATTCAGGTAAGAATCTATCTTCTGAACGCAAGTGACCTGAGTTCCGAAAAAGTCGCTGAGTTTCCCCAGGGCGGTTATCAAGTTTGACAACTTGCCATCAATATCGGAAGATTGTTCTATCAGCATGCTGACATTCGTGGCAAGCCTCGTCCTCTCGTTATTTTCTCTTTCTCCCTCATTAATCACTCCCTCGAGTTCATTGTATGCACTTTTCAAGCTATCTGTCCGGGCGATATCCAGTGGGATCCATCCGAGACCAGGCCACTGGGCCAATCCCACAGCCATACCAGGCTTTGTGTTCTGTTTATCAATCCATCAGGGTAAAATTCCTCAGAGCGGATGAAAACAAGGTTATGAAGCTACTCACCAAGTCTGAGCTCTTTATCCTCACCCCTTCAAGCTGCTTTTTGGTCTCGCTGAGCTTAGTGTTATACTTGGCGTCAAGTCGGTCGAGATATGGCCGCTTTGCTGCCTGATCGTTCGAGCTGTTTTCCGCTGGACCTGCCTTGAATTGCTTGATAACTTTCTGAACATCAGGTTGGAAGGCTTGTGTCTTAGATTTGAGCTACGTTTCTATGTCAGCCGTGAAAGATTCAAATCTGGGAGCTCGGATTTCGGACTGGTCTCTATGCGATACACAGACCTTGACTCGGGCGGAATTGGCTTACTGAGATCAGCGTTGCCCGGATGTCATCAATTTCTCTCTTCTTGTTCGAGGCATCTTCCTTCACCATCTCGCAAGTCATGAGACCCGCCTCCCTTGCTTCATTAAATTCCCCGTCCTGATCTGCCCGGCTTTTGTATTTATCTTGAAGTAAAATCCCAAATTGATGCTTGAGATTGATCTGTTCTGCCCTGTAGAGATTTTCAGTCGTGTTCTCGGCATACTGGATTGCTGGAGATAGAGCATTAACTAAGAAATTGATTAGCAAAACTTTCCACTGGTCTAGAATCCTCATCAGCCCACCCACTTAGTCTAGAGAGTTGATTGTTGTAATATTCTTGGCAAGTAGTTCCAACCTCTACCATCGTCTTCCGTGTCAACTATGTGATCCATCAGTGCGTGCATGTAGAGACGGTGAAACAGCATAGGATGAGACTTACTGAGTAGATTTCGTTGTCGAAGTTTACGATATCCCCGAACGAGTTTCCGCCAAAGCGGCTGTCGAACTCATAATCAGCGCTAGGAAGTTCCTTGCCGCTCATAATGTAAGCTCGAACATCTAGAAGTGCCTCTCTCAGCAACAGTCCTCTTCATCTGCTAGTAAGCAATTTTACAAACCATAGAAGTCCTTGGAGTTGAGTACAAATCTGCTGCCTGCATCGGCTTGGTCACCAGTCTTTGCGACCGAGACAATAGAGGTCTGAAGAGCAGTGATGGCATCTTTAAGCGACTTCTCTTCGTCTGAGGTTGGTGCCCAATCCTGACCCATATCGAGACTAATGTAAATGGACTGGAGCTGGAGCGAGATGTCACGGCTTCAGACTTTTGAAGTGGAGAATGTACTGATTTGTTCAACAATCCACAAGTAACGAGTCTGAAGGCAGACTGGAAGGAATCATGACTTCTTATACTTCATAACGCATGCGGACCCAACTCAGCTGTGGCAAAATGAGTCTTGTTCTGGAAGGGCTCAGATCATGAAGATGCCAGAACACACACCGGACAACGTTCAGCCGTCCTTACGCATCCCATTGTGACATCCGTCTAGACCTCCAGCCCGCTGTAGTGTTCATTTCGATCTTGTGATAGTGCGCTTGTCCAAGAGTAGCACATTCGTCCAGTTCGTGATTTTTATCCCTCTCCAACTAAGGAGCTCCAGATTGGGCAGCTTTCATGCATCTTTGGCATTTCGATCAAAGAAGTGGGGAATACCAGAGTCTAGATGCGATGTCGAAGTCACTGTCGAGCCGTGGGAACAAACATAAATAAATCAGCAACCAGAGTGACATCTGGCGTAGTAATTGGAGCGAATGGGTGTTAGTCAAGACGTCAACAACGTGGCCAGAATCTTTGGGGGACGGCTCGCGGGGATTCTGTGGGCCCCGTACTCCATCTTGGTTGTCCACTCTCGTTCCATATGAGCTGGATTTGGCCAGCCTCCAATATGGCTGGCTGAGAACTGTCCAGAAACGGACGCTTTTGCTGCCTTCTCGTACATCGTGCGCTCTGTACCTCCACAACCGAAACCTTGGGTTACCAGCGTATTCTCTTATGGCATCGGCTATCAGGCACTCCTATCCCGAGTGAGAATCCATCAGCTCGTCTAACTTAAAGACCATGTCTCACGAAAGTATATAATTTAAGCAGCGGCTGCAAACTTTCTTAGCGAGAACAGGTACAGCAATGCGTCATGAATATGCATTTTCCATCAGAAAACAAACAACTAATGCGCATCTTATGCTTCTCGCCGCGTAGGTAGCGCCATCGGTTCTCAGGCCCACCACCAATATGTTCAAGTGACTGAACAGGCATTCGCAACTTTAGTCCAAACCCGCGTCCACAGCTCTGGTCATGGACTCATGGCGGAGGCGCTTCACGAATAAAAACAGATCACTGACGAGAAAGGTTGATCTAGATGTGATGTCCATGAAGCCGCCGAGAAAGTGTCCGTTGCCTCTCCTCTCCAGCCCACCTGTGACAAACCCTCTGCATTATGGTCATTCATTCTGCTCAGGCCACCGGGCTTCGCCAGTTGGCTCGGGCGATCTCTGTACACTTGGCTGAGTCTCGAGATGCCCCAAGTATGTGAGTTTGCCGAAAGACACTCATGCCAATTGAGACAGAGTGTGACGCTTCGAGGACCTTCAACTTGCGTTTTAATCAATACCATGAATTGTTTGGTCAATGTGCTTGGTACTTCGGACGTGATGGGTAGAAAGAACCAAGGTGTTCGTCAAGATCGATAAGTGTAGGATTTAACATCTTGGCGCCAAGGCAGGCAATCTCGTCCTCAAGTCTAGGTGCCCTTTCATGTCGCTTGCCTGACGCGACATCCTGCTTGATGCATTACCTGCGTGATCACATACAAGTCTGCTTTCTCTAGAAGAACACTCTTCTGGTGACAACACAGCTGGGTTGCCAAAGAGCCGATGACACCAGTTGAGGTACATCGGAGAGCTGGCTTGATATTGCTGTCTTCCTCCTCAGGATCAAGCAAAAGGCACCAAAAGTTATGCCTCGACATCCAAGCAAAGCTTGTAATGGTTGCAAGCAACAAAAGGTATTTCAAATCAGCAGATAGTAGCATCGCCTCGCCTCGACTGATCTGTCTTCTCGAAGTTACGATGCAGCGCTGCTGTAGATTTTCCGCTGCCTTGTTCACGTTGTCGAAAGATGGATTTAGAGTGCCATGTTGACGATAATTTTCAGCGAATCAACAAACGAAGGTTGGTTGGGCATTTGAAGCTCGTTGACCAGCCCAGAACTACTTGATGATACTGACCCTGCACCCTTAAGGCGAACGGAAGCTTTGTTCGAGGAGAATGCATTGCTGAAACAACAACTCGAGTCCAGCCGGTCTCCACCAGGCCGCATTGACGAAACCTATGACCAGGGCCACATCTCAGCCGCCAAAACTGTAGCTGAAGACACCGCAACAATAGATTTACACTCATCTCAGAGCATACAGAACATCGATCCAACTGCAAGACCTCAGTCCTTGAGTTTCAGCCATAACGAGATACCAGCCTTGTTTACACCTTTGAGTCCAGATCAACAACCCACCCAGGTCCAGCAGCTCCCGAATGCTAGCAACGATCCCACTCAACCTCGTGTCCTTGCTGGTATCAGGGTTGAAGCCGACGAGGTTGACGAATTGTTCAAATTGCACGTTCACGTCACTCAGCGGCCCCGCGACTGATGCATTCGCTAACATGTTATGCAGATATCATCTACATTATTCTATGCACCTACCGTCTCTTTACCCAAGCTTGTCACCGAATGGATACTATGATAAGTCGCCCTTACTATTCTGGTGTGTAATTGGGGTGGCTGCCCGTAGATTCACGCCGAACCCGACTCTTCTTGGTTCTCTCGCAGAGCCAATTATTCGACTGGCTTCACCTCTTCTCCATCCTCCATCTGCTGTCATTCCTGCGATTCAAAGTCTTTTGCTCTTATCGTCGTTCCCCTTTCCAACGGATTCAACTCATAAGGACATTTCATACACGTTATCTGGGATGGCAATCAACTTAGCATTACAGGTAGGATTGCATGTGCCAACTTTCTCTCGAGATTACAGCCGGTCGAAAACGACCGTCACCCAGGAAGAAATAGCGATGAAGGTAGAGTTATGGTTCTACTGTATCGTCATTCATCAGAAGTATGTCTTCATCTGCTGTCCGCGTCTGCAGCTGTAAACTTATCTTGAACAGGGCAGCATGTGGACTTGGCTATCCCATCATGGTATCGCCTGATCGACTGCAAAAACAGATGGACCTACGAGGACTTCTCGACAAAGTGTCGCCAAGTCTCCTACTGGAAATGAAGCTAGGGAGCATTTTGAGCCGGGTCAATGTACTGTTCTCTCCATCAACGTTCCTTTTCGAGGAGACACGGGATGCACAATCAAAATTCGCACGGACGATGATGTCGGACATCTTCGAGAATCAGCTTGATGAACTCCAATCGGAGCGGACATTCTCAAGTCTGGAAGAACTCTACCTCAACGTCACTCGCCTTCAACTTCGACTGCACTGTCTTTCGAATCGGGAGAACCCTGCTACCAGTCTTCAACTGGGGAGACTAGGCATTGCTGCCACATCAATAATCGACCTAGTCGAGCATGTCAATGCACAAACGTCGTTGGTCACGCATTGCCCTCATTATATTTACCGAATGACCGCACTCACCGCAGCAGTCCTTCTTCGCCTCACAAAACAGTCAGAACCGCTGACTGGCTCAAAAAACCCAGAGGCCGCTAGAAATGCAAAGAAATATTATAAGTCTTACTTCTTCCGCACGATCTCCCTTCTCAAGAGCATGTCAGTCGATAGCAACGACATGCCAAGTCGTATGGCCAAGATATTCTCCCAGCTCTGGACAGTCGAAAAGCTCTTCGAAAAGCAGCCAAACCGCTCACTGGAGGACGAAAGTGGTGGCAATGAGTCTGCGTCAACTACTGCACTATCATCTCCCCTTGTCGTTCAGAGCAGACTATCCATGAGCGTTCTGCATGACTGTATGTGGCGGTGGAAAGAACACTTCATATACTCACAGTCGTCAAGAAATCCGATGGTCGATCCTTCGCATGCTCCAAGTGATCAGGCTAGGTCTAACACTGAGCCCACCGCAGTAACTCAGCAACAGCTTTCTGGAATGACGACTATTGCACCTGAATTGACGGCTGCCACGGCATCTTCAAGATCCTGCATTGTGCCATTAGCAAGCAGTCTGACTGCTGGCCCTACTATGTCCAACTCAGAAAACATCATGACGCCATCATTTATTCAAGACTTTTCGCCACTGGCTGCGCTACCGTGGGATACTAACATGAATGATGAATTTGAGATGATGGTCCACCATTTCCCCGATTCATGGCCAGTTTGAGTCTTGATGAGCTGGACTTCGCATGCGGAACAGTGCTGCAGACTTGGGGTACATTAGATACATACACAAATGATGGCCTCTAGCAAGAATTGGGGACCTGATAAGCGCATTGTTCTAGTATGTACCAGCCGCCTTGCGAAGACAGGGTTTTTAATACCTAATCTTTGCCCAGAATAAAATGATTGCCACCTCTGCGGCAAGCCTACGTTTGGAGTCTTACCCCGCTCGAGTGTATGAAGAACCCTGCCATGTTCCAGAACAGAAATGTGGGAAGTTTTTCATCTCGATAACTGTCTTCCATTGCTATTGTCGCAAATCAGCCTTGCATCAAGGAAACAATGCATAGAGACTTAGACATGGCGGAAGAGTCGACTCCGATTCCAGTCGTGTCGTTCGAACAGTTCCTCACGGGAGATCGAGCAGACCAGAAAGAGGTGGCGAAGAAAGTCTACGATGCTTTTTCCACGGTCGGATTCATCTACCTCAAGGACCATGGCATTCCGCAGAGCCGAGTCGAGGAGATCTTCGAATTGGTGCGTCCGAAAGCCCAGGCGTCGCGGGCATGTCGTATCCCACCATATTGACACACAGTCACGCAGAGCAAATCGTTCTTCACGCTTCCCCTGGAGGAGAAGCTCAAGTATAAACTCGCCGAAGCACAAGTCAACCAAGGCTACACGGCCGACGGGGCTGAAGGCATCCACGACCACAAGGAGTGCTATGAGCATCGACGCTTCAATAACAGACTATGCCCCTCGGAATCCGAACTCCCAAGTTTCAAGTCCACTCTCGACAGCTTCTACAACCAATGCCTGAGATTGGCGATGAACGTCCTCAAATGCCTCGCGATGGTGATGGACCTGAGCGACGACTTCTTCGAACCCATCACCAAACGCGCAGACCCACAGCTACGCCTGATCCACTACCCGGAGATCGCACGCGAAGTCATCGAACAGTCCGGCCACGCACGCATCCACGCACATACGGACTTCGGCCTGTGCACTCTCCTCTTCCAGGACCAGACCGGGGGGCTGGAAATAGATCCCTGGCACGAAGGGAACTTCGTGCCGGCGCCGCCAATCCCAGGCACGATATTGGTCAATATTGCCGACTTGCTACAGCGATATACCAACGGCAGGGTCAAGTCGACGAGGCACCGTGTTGTTAGTCCGTCGCCACAGAGGTTTTCTGGTGTGGTGTTACCGGCACGCTATAGTATTCCGTTCTTCGTGCATCCGGATCCAGAGACTACGATTGATCCCATCACGCTGGCTGAGGGTGAGGAGAAATTGTATGAGCCTGTTAATGCGGGCGAGTGGCGCACCATGCACACTGCGAATAATTATCGCCTGCAGCAGCCGCCTGGGAAGCCGGTCGAGGTCGCCACAGTTGGGTAAGGGAAGTGTTGAGATATGGGTCAGCAAGACTATCAGATCTTACTTTGTGTAGGTGGAACGTTGGCCGCGGCGCAAGCTGATTGTGGATCACGGATAACTCATCATTGCAGTTCAAATTTCCCTCTTCGGTCAGCGCATATTTTTTACAACAGTGTAGATGAACGGCTCTTCAACGCATTTGACTCAAACCTGGGTCATTGATTCAATAATCATATTTTGGCATGCTAGACGCAAACACATACCATCCTGATATGTACGCAAGCGAAATGTACCGTGACCCACTGAAGGATACTGGTTGAATCTGAACAACTCGCAAAATTTCCTGGTGTGTAGCTCATGGTGCGCGTCAAGTAGTCTTTTTTAAAAGCCTGTGTCAGTGCCAGATCATGTGAACGAAAGACTGATCTTATTAACAGTGTGGACACCTGCCCCGATAGCCTCGCTGATAGCATTGTGGGCATGCCTCGGATTATTTGGCTTATGCGGGGAAAGACCATGGATACGAGTTGCTGCCCAGGAAATGTGGCCGGTTGTTGTACAGGGCGTATAAATATGTCTTGGGTATGTCCTATTTCGTGTAGCATCATCTCCAAATATTCTTCAGGTCTAACAAAATATACTAGAGCCCTGTTAAATCATCACAATGGAGTCCTGGTCAGTCGTTGATTACCAGAAGCCACTAGAGAAGTTGAGTGGTCCCATCCCCGAACCTGTCGGAACCGAAGTCCTGGTGAAAGTAACCCACTGTGGTGTCTGCCATTCTGATTTACACTTCTGGGAGGGATATTATGACCTCGGATTTGGAAAACGACTGAAAATGAGCGATCGTGGGGTGAAGCTCCCACGCGCACTTGGGCACGAGATTCTCGGAGTAGTTGAGAACGCTGGGCCGGATGCGCAAGATGTACAAATCGGCTCACGACGGATTGTTTATCCTTGGATAGGATGTGGGAGATGTCGACGATGTGAACAAGGCGAAGACAACTTGTGCGCCAGTGGTAGACCTCTTGGTGTTGCTTCAAATGGTGGATTCGCAAGCCATGTCATCGCACCCCATCCCAAATTTCTCGTCGATCCTGGCGACGTGGACCCGGCGGTAGCATGCACATTTGCATGTTCCGGAATTACTGTGTTAAGCTCAATTCGCAAAATCCTACCATTAGAACCGGATGACCCAATCCTCCTGATAGGTGCGGGTGGATTAGGCCTTGCTGCAATCGCCACGCTGCGGGCCCTTGGACATCGCCGCATAATCAGTGCAGATATCTCTGAAGACAAGCGTAAAGCTGCCATTGAGACTGGTGCTACCTCTGCAGTTGACAGCTCGAGTGAAACTGCAGCCAAAGACATTCAAGACGCTGCTGGTGCTCCAGTGCTGGGAACGATAGATTTTGTGAGTAATACACAAACTGCAGCTCTCGCATTTGAGGTTCTGGCAAAGGGAGGGAAAATGGTTCAAGTGGGAATCATGGGTGGTGAACTCAACCTGTCCTTGGTTGGGATGATCTTCAAGGCACCAATGATCATGGGAAATTATACCGGTAACCCAGGCCATCTGAGGGAAGTTGCAGAGCTCGCAAAACAGGGCAAGCTATTGCCAATTCCTGTTACGACGATCCCAGTAGATGAGGCTAACGATGCCTTGACGCGTATTCGGGAAGGTAAGGTCACTGGAAGACTGGTTTTGAAATGGTAGAGTTGTCTTACTTCTGGGTACATTTCCAATAGCCATTGGAATGGACCTAGGATCCAGTATCAAGATCGAATAAAGGTTATTAAACACTTGCTTGAGACGTGGCAATCTGATGTCTCCTTTTTCACAGATTCATAGCCAGGGCATAGAGCCACGTGAGATGGAATCCAGATGAGATAAGAATAATTCGCACCTTCCCTTCTGTGGTTGAGCCCGAACGTGTTGAGAGCGAAAAGACGCGCCAAGAAACAGCGTGAGAGCGTGTCTACGTTACGTCATCGATTCGAACCCAATCCGAGTCCCTATCCATGGAAAGCTCACTATCAAGCAGTCCCAAGTAATGTTGTACTCAACATTATCGAAACATTATTGAGATTGATCAGAGAAAATGTCCTTCTTGCTGCCTATTTTCCACGTTGGCCAGGTCGTTGGCAGTGCTTACACTGCAACTTTTTCGGTCATTGCTATCTCAAACCTCTCAAAGCGGGAGGAACAGACCGAGCGTGCAGCCCAATACTCGAACACAGCGGCACATCAGCTCCACAAGACAAGAACGACACAGACGAGCGGAGCTCTCGCGGTAAGCTTCACAAAGACACAATCAAAACAAGAAGCGTACTGATTGCCTTTGATATCCCAGACTCTCTCATCACTGATTTCCGGTGTTGTTCTTGCTGCTTCTCTGACTCGAGAGACAACGTCATTAGTACTAAGCACCGCAAACACCTTTGGCCTGGCATTTGCCTACAGCCACCTCACCGATTTCTGGCATCACAAAGTCAAAGTGCCATTTGTCAACGATTACAATGATGGTATAAGAGCGTCGAACAATCTACGACAGTCGTTGGCAGGTCTAGCGATTAGCTGGGGTGTCTCAACCTGTATCTATGCATGGCAAGCTTTGGTGGGCTGAATTGACGAGTCCCTTACTCGGTGTTGGTCAGCGCCGGCCATGATCTTTCCGCACCGGGTCCTCATCCGGGTTATCTCTTAACCATGCACGAGCGCACCTGAACGTCGGTATCTGATCCGAAAACCTGCCCCACGCATGACATCTGAGGGGCCTTTCCCGATGATTGTTCCTTCAAGATCCCTTTCTCCTGCTGCCATGCGGGGTTTTCTCCGGAACTTTCAGACTGCTTCCCATACCATATTATTTTGTTACGACTTCAAAGCACTGAACAGTGTCTCCATTTTTGCTACGAAATATCCTTACTTTTCCAAGAAATACGCCTGCGCACAGCGACTAGTCACAACCTTTAAACACGAGCAATATGGATCCTTTTGTGTACAATGCAAACCCTGGGCGTGTTGTATTTGGCCCAGGTAGTATAAACAAATTACCAGAAGAAATCCAACGTCTGGGTCTCAAATCACCTTTACTCCTGTCAACACCACAGCAGGTCGATCAAGTCGAGGCTCTAGCCAAGATCCTCAAGTCTGCCTCTATCGAACCCGCCGGTATCTATTCAAATGCTACCATGCATACCCCCTCGAATGTCACCGATGAAGCATTAGCCTTTCTCCACTCCAAGTCTGCCGATGTGGTTGTGTCAATAGGAGGAGGTTCAACAACTGGTCTGGGAAAAGCAATCTCTGTCCGAACGGGCCTTCCACATATTTGCATACCCACAACGTATGCCGGCAGTGAAATGACACCTATTCTGGGAGAAACGCAGGATGGCCGCAAGACAACCAGATCCGATCCCAAAATCCTTCCTGGGGTGGTCATCTATGATGTTGATCTGACCATGACACTCCCGAGCTCTCTAAGTGCAACCTCCGGCGTCAATGCCATCGCTCATGCCGTGGAAGCATTATACGCCCAGAACAAAAATCCAATCATCTCTCTCCTAGCTCTCGAAGGCACCAAATCCCTCGCCGAGTCCCTACCCGAAATCATCCAAGACCCTTCTTCTCAGTCTGCCCGTGAGAAGGCACAATACGGGGCTTGGTTGTGCGGTGTCTGCCTAGGTAGTTCAGCCATGGCATTGCACCACAAACTCTGCCACACATTGGGAGGCAGCTTCAACCTTCCACATGCCGAGACACACACCATCGTTCTACCCCACGCACTCTCATACAACGCCCCCTCGATCCCCGATGCAATGGCCAAGTTGGCCTCCGCTCTTCCAGAAAGCGACGGTGATGCGACCAAAGGCCTGAATATCTTGTTGGGGAAATTGAAGGTCAAGAGAGCCTTGAAGGACTACGGTATGAAGGAGGAGGATATCGACAAGGCTGCAGAGATTGCCGTGAGCAATCAATATCCCAACCCGAGGAAAGTCGAGAAGGGGCCGATCAGGGAACTGATCAGGCGAGCCTGGGCTGGTGAGGATGCAAGGGCTGATCTATAGATATCAATGACAAAATTTGATTGCGGTTTATGATGACTTTCCGATATTGGAGCAGACAAGAAATATCACCCATTCGCACTGAAATCTGGGACAGGTTTTAATTCCCATCGCCTCAATATTTCTCATCTAGTAATTGCCAACGCTGCACGATCCAGATTTTCGTCTATACGAGAAACCGAATATCTATGCCAATGTGTAAAGTTTTTGCTCCGAATGAGGTTTTCCCATATGCCTTGGTACTCAATAACCCATCTTCATATCTAGCAAACCGTAGTCGATCGCAAGGCGACATTCGAAAATCTATGGTTGTATATCGGGATTGACCTCCACGCCTGCATTATTGGATGACGATTGTGGAAAGGCGGTACCTATCACTTCATCTCAAGATCTGATGAGGAGGATGTCCACTACCTGGGGCATCCTCGTGGGAGCGTTGAAGCAATGCAAGCATAGCAGATAATGAGGCCGGATTGCTAGCGGGCGCCGTGCCTTCTTTCATGACCAACACCGGCAGAGACATGTGGGCCCAGACCGGTGTTGTGCTAAAGAGTCAATTTTTTCTCCTCCCACGGAAAAAGCCGCTCATTCCTCATCCTCATGCCGGGGCGCATTTTCCTCCCTGTTGACCACGGGCGTCCATTGACTGACAACAGTGAAGCCGATGGCAATCGCCACCATCAACACCCAGATCAGATGACCGTAGAGGACACCCGACTTGACGCTCATTGCGAACAAACTGGAGAACAGAGCAGGCGAGAAGGCGCGCAAGCCGCTCACCAGCGTCAGATTGACAGCGTTCAGGGTTCCAAGCACCGCAGGGCTCGGAGACACGTCGTTGACGAGTAGCTGGATGGCCGTGAAGCACATGCTGACACCACTACCTACCGCGAGCAGGACGGGACCGAGCGTCCAGAATAGTTTCGTCCAGCCTAGGCGGAGGAAGATGTTGCAGAGTGGTAAGCAGAGGAAGAACACCGGGTAAGCGATTGCGCAGAGTTTCATCACGCCGGCGGTGCCGATGCGATGTTGGATCCATGGAAAGGCCACGAGCAGCCACAGTGATTGCGAGAGGCCACCAACAGCCATGTACAGGGAGATGAGAGCTGGGGAGAAGCCGAAGCCGCCGAGTTCCACCGGTGTGAAGTAGAAGACGGGCATGATGGCCGTGAATGAGAACGCGAGGATCATAATGTGGCCGTACAGATAGAGCGTCATGCCAACATTTGGTGCCCTGAGGAGTTCCAGAGTTGACATGCGCTTGGTGGATGAACGTGTCGACGACGATTCGCCGGTCTTGATGAGAGTCTGTTTTGTGTGTGTCAGAATCTGGGTATCAAATACAGCATCTTGGCGGATTCACACCTCTTTAATGAAAATGGCAGAGACAATAGTGACAACAAACGCTATGGCACCAGTAACAAAGGTTGGCGGCGCATAGGGGAAGTCTTCAAAGAATTTAACCTTGCCCACAAGCTTTGGATATTGCTTTGCTGGATCGGCAAAGACCCCTCCCACTACAGGTCCAATGAATATACCCATGTTGCTGGCGAAGGCAAAATAGCTGAAAGCCTGGGCCTGGGTTTTGGGAGTCGAGTTCTCCGAAAGCATAGTACGGATAGTTCTGGGAAGTAGTCAGCCTTGTGGACTTTAGAAGGACAATTATATCAAGCTTGATTAGGGATTAGCAAGAACTTACACTATAGTGCCAGCGAACAGTCCGGAGAAGCACCTTAGCAGTATCATCTGCCATATAGATTGACTAAGCCCAAACAGAGCTGTCCCGATTGTAATTCCTCCCAAGGAGAAGACCAGTACAGGTCGTCTACCCAGACGGTCGGCAGCCCAGCCCCAAGGTATCATCACGAACATTTGAGTCAAAGAGAATAGAGATTCCTAGCTCAAACCAATCAATCTCTGCAAGTAGGTAACTGTGGTCAGGACTGTGTGGAGCGGGGGCAACGTACTATCAAACCACTGTAGAAGCCCACATCAGTCTTAGCTACCTCGCCCGTATCCCAAATCATCTTGTTGATGAAAGGGAAAATGCAGAAGAATGCGATCGGTTCAACTACTCGGGCAAGACAGAGGAAGAATATCTGGCCTTTTGGCAAGGCTTTATCACCTTCATCCGGCGATGAGATCCCCGGCGATGAGCTTCCGGTAAACGCATTTTCGTCAGCTTCGTTGTTCAACGAGGCTAGCAGCTTTCCGGGACCTGCCAGCAAAGCTGTCGTCTCGTTGACATCGATGTCGACTTCAGTGTTCGCATCTGAAATCTCGTCTGAACTCATGATTTAATATGTGCAAAACTTGTCCAGATTTGATGCAGTAGTGAGTGATCTTGGCTTCGAAGGGGAGATGAAGCTTTATGTCTGAAGCTTACGAGCAACGAATTGCCTGGGAGCCTGAGACAAATTCAGGCAGGAAGGTGGGCGTAATACCGCAACAAGAAGAGACACTGCAAAAGTTGAACAACCCTTGTCATCTGCGCTGGATGCCTGGGGAACCACACTTGACTCCTGCGGATGCTTACGAGGAATACCCACCTAGTCGTTTGAATGTTGACGAAACCGATGATCTCCATGGAAGGCTGCCAAAAGGACGAAGCACGCCTCAGGCGATCATGCAGAATGGCGCCAACAGACACCCCGAAAAGGGGATCAGTACAACTTAAGCTTTAACTAAATTGTCGGCATCCCGCACTACCAAGCTTACCTATTGTTGTCTTAGGCTCACCTGGTCTTTAGGCATCTCAGGCTTGGCTCATCACCCGCACCAGGTCCCCGGAGCAACATTCTGGGCGCTCACCAGGTCGGTGCGGACCAGCAAGTCACGAGTCGCGACCGCCTAAAGAACCGCGCTCCAACCGTCCTCCAAAATTTTTAGAATCGGCTTTTTCGTCGGACTTCTTTACCCCGTCGATGGAGCTGTTGTGCATATGGCTGGAGGCACAATTTCACACCACGATGAATTGACAAGCCTGTACACCCTCAGATGCAGCCATGTTTGACACAATTTGCACCGTACCTCTCCAATCGGATGTTTTCGCACAAGTCGTCCATCCTTCCGAACCTCTCTTCCTCATCGGCCTGTCTTCGGGTCACGTTCAAGCGTACAAGCTTCCAGCAGAGACTGACTCCCTAGATGACGACTCCGATGATGGTTCTGCCTCTCCAGTCCAACTGAACGATGGCGTAAATGGCAATGGAAGCAGTCACATAACCTCTTCTCTACGGAGGTCCTCAACAACAAGCCTTTCGGAAAGTGGACGTGGTTCGATCGATACATTTTGGCAGACAAGAAGACACAAAGGGTCATGTCGGACTCTGGCATTCAATCACGATGGAGAGATATGTTACTCGGCTGGTTCGGATGGTCTTGTCAAGGCCTTCCTCACAGAGACTGGAAGAGTCGTGAGCAAGATCGCCATTCCACAAAGTGCCGATGCGGAAGACGATGACGGACCGACTGTTATACATGCGCTCTCCCCACAGACCCTCCTTTTAGCGACAGACTCGGGGAAGCTATGTCTACAAGATCTGAGACTGAATGGAAGAGAGATGGCCTCAAAAGCAAGTCAAGTGTGGACACCCCATGGAAGGGAACACGTGAATGCATTGATACCTCTACCTGCCAGCGACACAAGTACAAGCGGATTCTCAAAACAATGGGTTAGTGTTGGTGGTACGACGCTAGCAGTGACCGATCTACGAAAAGGCACAATTGCCACCAGTGAAGATCAAGAGGTTGAGTTGACCAGCGTTGCTCTCGTGCGCGGCCTCAAAAAGGGTGGAACAAGTGTTGGCGAGAAGGTCGTGGTTGGTCAAGGTGATGGTGTCATCAGCCTGTGGGAAAGAGGTGTATGGGGAGATCTCGATGAAAGAATCGTGATCCATCGAGATGGCACTGGCATTGAGAGCCTGGCTGAACTTCCTGCTGGGTCAGGTCATGGATGGTTGAAGACTAACGACAAGCTCGTTGCCACTGGGCTGGAAGATGGAATCATACGTTTCGCCAGGATAGGGCGGAACGGTCTCATCTATGAAATGGACGTCAAGCATGACGAAATTGATGGGGCTATTGGCCTGGGTTTCGACGTGGAAGGGCGCATGATCAGCTCTGGTGGGAATGTGGTGAAGGTCTGGACGGAGGCTAAAGGCCTACCGGGAGGCGGTCGAGGCCGAGCAGAAAAGCATGATCTGTCCTCCGATGCCGACAGCGAAGATTCCGATGTAGATGATAGCAGCGAGGATGAGGAGAAAAGTTCGTCAAAGAGGAAGAAACGGAAGAGGAATAAGGGAAAGGACAAATCAGGCGGCAAGGCTCTGAACTTCTCGCTATGATTAGCCTGAGACATGGCACACTCAAAATTTCGAGGAGTTTCGGCAAGGCAGGCTACCTTTGTATAGGAATACCCCAGTTCGGCGGCTCTGTAGATAAAAGTTGAGAAAGAACTCATGATATCCAGCTTCGACATTGTCATACTGCGATGATTGGGAAAGGCGGACGAAGGCCAGCACCTTTTCATCAAGGCCACTTTGCACGATGTACCTTGGCTTTACACTACTTCAATACATGCAGCCAGACACCTAAACCTGGTCACTCACTACGTGACTCTATCCAATAAGGCAATCAACACCTCGCGTAATAATGGTGATAAGAGGAAGCATCTCGGACGAATCATGGGGCAGCTTTTCTCTCCTGCGAGCCTCGGCTCAAGACATGACGAATTCACCGATGAAAATCGAGTGGAATTTCTAATCCGTGGAGCTTTGACACTCAGTACTTTATTTCCAACCCTTCATGATACAACAAAGATCTCTTTTTCCAGACGCGGTCGGCAATGGCGTCGCGGCTTCAGGGATTCCCAAATGCGCTGGATTGGAAATTCGCCATCATTGCGGGAGTAGGACTCTTCTCGGCCGGGGTCGTTGCAAGAGGCCTGTTCACGAGTCCGAAGAAGGCGATCATCCACCCATCACCTCAGAGAACGCTGTTACCGACTCTATCTGACGCAGAAAAGTCGGCGCTTCCGTACCCGCCTGACGTCTTGCCTGGAGCGAGAGATGTCGACACGCCTTACGGGTCCATTAGAGTCTACGAGTATGGACCCGAGGATGGCCGAAAGGTGATCCTGGTGCACGGCATCAGTACTCCGGCTATTGCTCTGGGCTCGGTCGCGAACAATCTCGCGGAGAATGGATGTCGCGTTTTACTGTTTGATCTGTTCGGTCGAGGATATTCCGATAATCCCGGCGACCTGCTGCACGATGATCGACTGTTCACGACTCAGATTCTGCTTGCCTTGGCGTCCTCTCCGCTGTCTTGGACTGGGGCAGGGTCTGGCAAATTCTCGATGATTGGGTATTCTTTCGGTGGTGGAGTTGTCACTTCGTTTACCTCCTACTTTCCAGATCTTGTTGATAGCTTGATCTTGTTCGCACCTGCTGGCTTGATCAGACCGCACCATATCAGCACGACAAATCGCATTATTTATCAAGAGGGTATTATCCCGGAACCATTGCTGCAGCGGATCATCAAGAACAGGTTGAGAACACCACTTTCCGCACCTCCGGACGAGAAGGGAAAGAACGTCGATGCGACCAATGCTGTCAAAGCTGAGGTAAATATCGAATACAACTCTCAGGCTGTCCTTTCTAAGAAATACCCGAATGTTACGGTTGTCAAGGCGGTGGCCCATCAAGTCGATAACCATCCGGGATTTGTCCCTGCGTTCATTTCAAGCATTCGTTATGGACCCGTGAGAGAACAACACGAACGGTGGCGTATTGTGGGCAGACAGCTAAGTCAGTTGAATACAGAGAAAGGAACTTCCAAAAAGGTACTGATGGTTCTGGGCGAGCACGATCCAATCATTATTAAGGACGAGTTGGAAGAAGATGCCAAAGAGGCTTTCCTGGGCAACGTTGAGGTCGTCACCTTCGATGCGGGCCACGAGGCCCCTGTCACCAAGGGAGACCAGATCGCGACCGCTATACTGGATTTCTGGAAACGCAACGATTGATTTGAATGATACCAAGGGCTACTTGACTATCCATTGTACGAAAGACTGCTCGGGTGCATAGACACAGTTGATATAGATTGCTAGAAAGATCTGTAGACAGGATAGAGGCTGGTACATTTTGATACAGATGAAGAGACATGCCTTGGTCAACTTTACCATAGATCGGCAATCATGAATGAATGTTCTGAGGTCCATATTCGTATTCGTTCCCTCATAATGGTGTCCTTGCCGGCCGGTCCGCCCCACAAAAACCATGTCTTGGCGGTACTTTCCTCACACGGCCCCGATCGACGATTACAACGTGGTCGACATGGTTCCTGCATCGTGCCGTCGTCAGATGCCCCTTCTGTTTTGTCCCTAGATCATCCGACAACCAGGGGGCGTGCCTGCGCCGTCTGGATGTCCTTTGCATTGGCCATTGTCAATTGGTCCATGTAGCGCTCGAGCCCTTGCGTCATGTCTGGGTCTTTCTTCAGGCGCTCGAGATCCATTGGCTTGGCCTTGTTCCATGCTTCAAGGGCGAGCATTCTAAGCTCACGTCCTTGTGCCATCTGGATGGAATCCACGACTGTAGATCCGTTGTGGAGGAACATGGTGAGCATTCCACTCTCCTCCTTCCTTGGGTGAAATCTCTCACGGAGGATTCTTTCGATTCTGGGGAATGATCAGCACAGAAAGCATAGACTCGATAAATCACCTGGGCTATTCTTCATACTTCTTGGGATCAACACGTGAATCAGCCATGATCAGCAAGTCTCGTATCGCTGTTATCAGATGCGGGTGATTGAGTCCAGCCTTGAGCGATTTGTGTCATTGAATGGTGCTTGGAGAGCATGATACGAAATCGGAGCCTGGCTTGAGCCTTGGATGGCCTACTTATATAAGTTGACCTCCTGCTCACGGAAAACCTAGGTGCCGCATAGCCAGCGAGTTTGTCGTATTCGCGAACTGGTTATTGTTGTGCTCAGAACAAGACTGCGGGAGCACGTCCCGTCCAGAATTACAGCGCCTTTTGCAAGCATATCTCACATTAAGTGGTCATAGGTTTCTGGGTAGCAAGACCCCCACGCTAAGCCTCGTCCTTCAGCTACGGGAGGGCAGCCTTATTGCCTGGAGTACTCAGTTACGCATAAAACTGGACAATTTAGTCTGCTCATTCGTCAGAGTACTAGGACTCTGTCTTCTCTTTGTTTCACCTATGGTCAGTTCCGGTCATGATTCCAAGCCGGATGATGCGGGAAAACTCGTATCAGGGAAAGCCGGCAAGGAGTTGGTGCCATGAGATACATCCATCCATTGAGGTACTCCACGATCGTTCTCCGGGCTCGTTGGAGGATATTATCGGTACTCGCCGCAAGACTCGGAATGGGTTTCTTGGTGATCTAACTCGTTGTCGCGTGGTGATCGATACATCGGATTGAACAAGATTGGCCGAGCGACGGGTCACACGTGGTATCTCGCTTCAATAGACGGAACATTTTAGTCGTCGAGAGTCCATAATTAGTATTGGGCACCAATCTGCTTGAACGCCGGAATCATTTGTACATATCCCCGGCGCGGCATATCGTTGACCTTAGATCCTGTAGCATTCAAATAGTTAGTTTGGTCGCAGCCTGATGGCTAGGCCAGTATACTGGGCGAACGTAAATTAGCTATCGATGGTTGCAACTTAGGCGATACTTCTGCCATTCCCTCCTCGCCATCAATGTGTTAGTCTTAGATAAACAGACGCAATTCTCCCTACCTTGCACGTCACCTCGCCCCATGGCCAACCCCGCAGTAATTGTTGATCCGGGGTTGGACCATAGGTTAAGAACTTTTGCTAGGGTCCCTAGAGAGGAGAGGCGTGGGGGTTTCACTAGGCTCACTTGGAACCCTAATACTTCCGATGCGTTGCCCAACCAGTGACTGCCAACGCCCATCGTATATGCCCCTGACGAGCTTCGGGCTCATTGTGAAGCATTTGTTCTTTTGGATGGTCACCTGCCTCTCCTTTGTATGGGCGGATCGTCCACATCTTCAAGCCGATCAAGATAGTTGTCACCAGGAGCATGGAGTGTCCAATTATGCGCTGGAGCCGATCACTCTAGTCTAGAAATAACACGGGCAGCTTACTGTAAGCGGATTAGCTCCGGAAGCACTCATTTGAGCTAGCGGGTCATTGTCCTTTCAGCTCCAGACCAAACGTCTTCTCATAGAGCCCTGGCCGAGCTTCAGTTCAAGGACGAACAGACTAAGTTCGCTATAGTCATCATCTAAATCTGTCGAGCCGCAGATTCGAATGACCTTGGTCTCGACAAGATATGAGCAAACAACCCAAGCCCCATAGCCCTGGGGGCGCTACTTCCAGCAAAGACTCCTCTCGGTACCCTTGGGGAAATACATTTGGGGGGCACCTGGTTTGAAGATATTATCCATCGCAGTCGTCTCAAATGGCAATTCTCTCCGACTGTTATCTCCCAGCCTGTACCAACTTCTCCACACACGGCCCAAATTTTGGGTTTTGGTCTGATACTGGTTGCAAGGGAAAATATCGGTTTGGGGCTTCGTCAGCGCCAAACACGGGTAGCCGCCTCACTATCAAAGTTGCCCCTTCTCGGTCCTTCATACCTTTCAGCACGCCCTCTCGAAGCAACGATGACTCACGAGGATTGTTGAGGGGTGATGTCACTGTCCATCAATGAATTGCTTTTTCTGAGAGGGGTTTCCACATGACATCCATTCATCCGCGGCTAAGTGCCGATCATTACATGGTACTATGAACTGCCTGTTTTCTCAGCCTTGTCACAACATTTGGTGTTCATGCTGCCTTCTATGCCAGTAAAGCCAGATCTGAAACCCCACACTTTCGTTGAGCATCTCTGCCAACGTCCCGAGCATCAACTCACATGGTTTTTCTCGAGATCAGTTGGTCGTATCTCGGCCCGCAGCCATCTCTGATTGACGTCAGTCACCTATACATGAGAGCCACAAAATTCTATGTTCGATCAGTACCTTTTTGATCTCGTCTCGCCACCCGCAGGAGCTCTGGATTAGTCATGACATCCATGAACCTCTCCAACCTGTTCTGAGCGACTTGAGCTCTCCTAGCTTCTTGTTGCTTCACCCTCTCTGCCTCAGGTGCACTCGGCTTGTTCACCACATCAACACCTTTGCTTGGAGTTGTTTCGGTCTGGCCTCGAAGACTTCGGCGGTCAGTGGAGAAGAATCGGTCGAGACTCGTGTCATGGATGTGCCGGGCAACACCCGCCAAAGTACTGGACTTTTTTGCCATATATCAAACACGGCCACTAGTCATCGACCTTTGTTGGTACAAATGTCAGTCTGGAAGAACTGCTACTCAGTTGACTGCCTCACATACAATCCTTCAGATGAAGTCTCAATAACTGCTCGATGCCTCGTTGATAATCACTTGCGTTGAGTGGCTTGGATGGGAGGTGGGTGCGGCGAAGTCTGCAATTTATGTGTGGCACGGCATGAACGACTGAGTGCAGTTGCAAAGTATAGTAAGTATAAGATGCATCAGCCCAGCAGAATTAGGCGAACTATCTGCTTTTAAGTACTTATCAAGTCTACAAAGGCACATATTTCTATCTTGAAACGAGGGCATCCCCAATCTTCTTTGCAGCTATAAAGACCCCACTCGTCAGTCGACCATCAAGTATCGGAGCTGCACTCTGGGCGACAGGGATTGGAAAGATCGAGGCGCACTGAATGGCCTGAATTACTCGTATCATTTGGTTTGGGTTACATTTGGCAAACAACACATTACAAAGGATGCAATGCAATGGGGCATATCCCGTTAAAGAGGATAATCGTCCAGGTGTTGTTTCATACGGCAGCCTGTGAGGACAGCCAGGAGTGCATGAAGCTGCATCGTCTCCGATGGCCTCTGCTCAGCGCTATACTTGAGTGGGCTAGAGCTGAGCCCAGCCCAGAATAGAAGCTCTCGATGCCATAGCTGTGGCCATGTAATCCTGGAACAGCTGGACTCTCTACAAGGGGTTCATTGGGCGTTGTTGCACGGACCTATGATCAGCCATGTCGCCGGGACTCGCCGTCATGGTAGGGCCAGCATTATAGGTGGCCAAGTATCATGATTGTGGACGACAGACGGGGAACCTAACTGTGCAAGATAGACGAAATGCAGTGATCAAGACCATCTGGAACACATTCTTTGATCCACCCAGTCAGAAACCTTCCAGGTGCGGAACCGTCTTGCGTCTCAGACATGCTTGACGTCGCTATTTTTAAGTCGGGATGGGCAGATCAATTCCCAGTGACATGCGTGGCCGGAGCAGCTTTGACACATAACTTGAGCGCATGGGGCCTTCACCCCTTACTGGTCAAGACTTTGCGGCGACAGCTAACTCGACTTATAACTCACACCATGGCTCCAAAAACAGATAATTGCGTGCTTGAAACCAGTCTTCACTGTCGAGCAGGACAACAGGACAGAATCCTGAGTCTCCACACGGTATACAGATTCTTATCCCATGGTGGGTGGGCTCGGATCGCCTGTCTATCCTAACGCTGTCCGTGCCCATGACATCGCTCCTGCAATCTTTCTAGCCTTTGGTTTTCTCCCAACAAACACGTTAACTTACTTGTACTTGTTTCGAAACCAAACAGTCCACTCAGGAAGGTGGAAAATCCAGTCAACACGAGGCACGAGTGGGGAATTCCACTCAGTCGCTGCTGGCACTGCCACTAGAATCAATCATCAATATCGAAGTAGCGAATTATGGACAGTCCGGTGGATTCAAAAGCTGCAAGGCCCCTCCGCAGATACCCTTTGTCTGCCGATCGAGCTTCAGGTTGCATAGCTCAATCCGACTATTTGAAACACTGCCATCGACTGCGTCTTGAATGGATGTTGAAAACTACGCGTTGCAAGGGGTCATGAAGAATCTAGCTGGTTGCTGGGAAACGTACGAAGCTGTAGCAGAGCTGGGATCCCATGTGAGAATACTTGAAACAGCTTACTGCCAGTTTTTGGCTTTGGCTGCCTGGTGTCCTGCCTGGCTGTCCCGTTTGCGACCCAAAGCCCAGCTTTGAAGTTACCAAATCGAAGAATTGAGGCTTCTATTATATGACTTGTGAATGAAGTTGAAGGGTTGTATGCTAGATTGGTCATGGTGGAGAAGAATTTCGTTGAGATATTGTACCTCTTAATCTCAGACGACGAATAACCTGTCCAATGAGCAGTCGCAGGCCGTCATTGCTTTGCATAGGACGTTACTGCATCAGCACCATGACTTCTTCCTTGCACCCCAGCATCCCACTGCATCACCGCTACGGCGTCTGCCGACCAAGTACGCGATGCCAGCTCGGATGTGGCGTCATGGTATACACTCTTTCCTGGAGCTACTCTTCATTGTCTGAAGCCTCGATCCAAGCTAAGACAAGAAGTACTTAAATTCATCGGGTGGCAGTCACATGCTACTCGAACTTGTGAATGAGAACTTCTCGCCTGTCGAAGCAGAAGTGGGCATGAACGTCGATTGTCTTATGCGGCTCTACAGCACCGACTACCTGAGCATTTTAGGATGAGTTGAGCATATCTCGGTAGGTTCGAGCAACTCATTCGCTCTTCGACAGCATTGTGTTCTCCATGGTCTCGTCCATTTCCTTTCCTCTGGTCGAACTTGTTCCAGGCGTGATTGTGGGAGGAAGTCAAAAAGGCAGCCACCTGAATGCAGATCAATGTTAGGCCGAGGAAGATCTTCCGGCCGCTAACACCAATCTCCGTGAAGCTTAAACGCTCACCTGGAGACCCGATCTTCGATACGCGACCAGCCCCGGCCGTTAGGGCCCCTCGGGCCTCAGGCCCGCAGCTTCCCGGGCCTTTCGGGCCCTAAGAATTTAGTCGAAGTCGCCACTTTTCAGCCCCGAAGCGGAGAACACCAAAAAAAGTCAACATACATTCAAACTCCTCCCAACTTTCAACTACATCATATGCCTTCCAACACAACCACTTGTAGGTAATGAAGTTGGCGTGAACTCATCAGTACCCACCTAAGGTATATAAACATGGCACTTATCTGATAGACACTGAGGTAAGACTACCTAGTCACGCTTTCAAGTGGTTTTCCTCACACCCTCCTGCCCTAAGGGAAAATAAATGATGATCAATACCTAACACAAATGAGAATGCTAAAGATTGAAGTTCCATCAAAGAGAGATCTATCTATCCAACGGTGTTTGAAAGATGAGACCCTAGCAAAGACAAGACATTGAAACTGAGCAATTTTCCACTTTTTCCAGAACAAGGCTGAACCCCCTGACCTTCCTTCCGATGGACAAATGAAAGTGTCAAAAGAGGGTGTCCTTCCGTCAACTTCTGCTTTCACATTGCACATCAACATTCTCTACCACTGCTTTTTGGTTTCGACTTTCTTTGTCAACCATCTTAACGCCATGCTGCATCATCATAGCATCATCATAATATCAATGTGGTGTCATATAAGAATGACAACATGTCCATTCCTATGAGCCCTTAGGTATGAGTCCTATCCAATCACTTGGGCCACAGGTCGCGATCTGAAACATCATCAACATTGAACATGACAACGACGATATATATAAGTGCATGACTCACTTGCTTGGTCCTGTCGAGCAGTGCGGAGCATCTGAGCATCTGTCCGGGCATCCATGTCTCTTTCGAGTTGGCGCACTGCGGCAGTGTCCCTGCGCTTTTGCCGCGATGCTGCAGGGCTTGATTGAGAATGATTAGCCTTGCCGTCAGGAGCGACTTGTCTCGGGGTTGTTGCTCCGAGCCTTAAGGCGTGCGTCCTGGAGCCTTGATGCAAGCGATCAACAAGGTTACTGTCATCGTAGAGGTATCGATGAAGTTCATGTGTCCCCGACCGGCGGCTGGTGTTTGACGATGACATGGTGAAACCCTGAACCACTGATCAGCGTTTGTGTTTCTGAAGTCGAGTGTCATAAGCTCAGCGAACAACCAGCTTTTGACTGACTTGCTTCATCCGAAGAGAGTCATACGGACCACTTACCTATGAACAGGAATGATAGCATACGATGGCATAAGATGACCAAAGTTACACAAGTGGCAGCGAAGAGGAAAGTTCACAGAAGTCAAAGTCAAACGCGATGCCACAAACACGAGCTTTACCTTGAAGCACAAGGGTAAGAGATAAAGTGTCAAAGGCCCGGTTTATTGTGAAGAGACAACGTCGAATACTGTTGCTTGGGTTTCGAGTGGTGGAACGTTTGCTTGGACAGTGTTATCAGTCTCAAGCTTCGCGCCCGGACTGGTGCGAGTAGAAACGGGTGGGCGGTTGGTGAAGACGATATTCATCTTTGCGGGAAGATATGACTTCCTTTAAGTATTCACCACAATTACAAGTGTCTCTCTCATACATTCAGGTAAGCTTGAAGGTCATAACCGATACTAATGACCAACGCTGGAATTGTTAGGTGTGAAATTTCATGATAATCGATTGTGTTGCCAAAGCTGTTTTGAAACACTCTCGAAAACCATTTGTGGACGAGAATGCTCCACTCCTGGACTGACCATTTGACCATTGTCCCGACACTAGGTGCATCGAGATATTTCGTGGTCACCGCGCATCCACTTTAGAACGGACGAACAGTTTGCAATTATATCAATACTACGATCCCATTCGCTTTGGCTGTTCGGCATCGAGAAACCCACACAGTTCGCGCTCCACTTTAGAACAGACCAACAGCATGCAATTATGACAATACTCCGATCCCATTCGTCAGCACAGTTCGCAACCTTTGAGGGGAGTTCACATTTTGCCAAAGTGGCATTAGTGGGTTGCCTTGTCCGTCGCCTATGCCAATCACCTTGAAGCTCAGCTGCAGTCGTTGCCTTGTGGCCTTATGGCACATCTTCATTTCGCTCGTTGGACCCATTCCACGTACGAGGCTGAGTCGTCTTCGACCCCAGCAGTGGCTCGAGAACCCCTACAAACTTCGGAGGAGTGTCGGCTGGAAATCCATTGTCTGTCTCAACGGCGGCTCGGGATCGGTTATGGCGTTTGCTGTCTGGTGGAGCGTAGCTTGACATCGCCCAAGTCTGCCACTGACTGACCTGGCTGACTTGGTGAAACGGGAATGTTGAAATCGAAGCCCGAATCGCAGCGAATATGAATAAATTAATATCCATTCCGGGATGGCTTCCTCGATTCGCTGTCAGTCCAGTTTGGCTGAGAACTATGGTACTCCAGACCCTATCCGAAGATAGACCTAGCCATGGCAGAACAGAATGTGGTTGGATTATTCTGGTCTTTCGATATTGCTCACGTGGAGTATAAATTCGCGGACGATCACTTGAAACCGCCGGGCATCTATAGACCTGGGTTGTCGATGTCATACATCACCTACCTTCTTCGTTTCATGCTTATGTTCTCGTGTTGGTGCTGGCACCCGAAAACGCCTTTTCGTCATCAAAGAAGACCTAGTCAAAAATCCGTGTCGATAATCATAAAGTGTGATGGATACGGACGGCAGAGCGTTTGAACTTTTTTTGACATTCGCGTGCAGAGGTCCTAGCCCTGTACTGCCACTGACTACGGTCAGATAACCACTATCATTTATGATCCCTCCAGTCCAGCGTCGGGGCTCCAGCTCATCATTTCCTCTCTCCAAAAATGGAGGGTTTACCTTTCGTCGTCACCAGCGTGTCCTCAAACCGCTGCGTTGACCCTGAGCAGTGCACTTACCCCAAGGGCACCTGCCCCAGATAGTATTCCTGCACACCAGTTTCTCCCAGCCAGCCAAAAATGTCAAAAGGTATATGGATGTATATATTACGCAGCACGCTTTCCCCTCATCGCATCAGCCGTTCGTCTCGTGAATCTCGTTCAGGTGGACCATTCCCTCCACCAACAGCAGCATGTGTCCAACCATATAGACATTGCCGGACTCACCCTCACCGTGCTCTGTGCGTTCAACACACGCAAAAAGTAAAAACCAATAAAAAAAAAGTTATGTCCACTGCGGGATAGAGAAAGGAGATTCGTTCAAGCTCGGAGGGATTCCTCGCGCCAAAAATCAATAGAAATCGGCGTTCCTCGCTCTCCCAAGGGTATCATAAAACCAGGGTTCCAGATTCAAAGGTCCAGGCCCTTATCCTTCACTCTCTCTCTCTCTCTTTTTGCTTTGCGCAAAAGGAGCGCCCTCAATTCGGGCCGAAAAAGACCAAAAATGCAAACTCCCCCTTTGTGTGTGTGAGTTGTGTGAGTGTTCGAGAAAAAAATAACCGTATCTACTGTGGGTATGCCCGCCACCGATCACTCTGGGGTGGTGATAATGTCGGAAAACTCTCGGAGCGTTGCCTGCCGGAAAAAATAGTATGCATGTTTGCGCCCTGCGCCTTGCCAAATGATTGAAATAGGGTGAGCCAGACCATGTTTCGGACCGCAGTCCAGATGTAAGCAGAACTTTTGTTGGTTGCCGTTGTAAGTATATGTTGAGTCAGCGCCGTCGCTGCTCCAGACCAGGATGCAGTTGTATTAATCCTTTTTTGACCAGAAAAAGAAGATTAATGCTGTTTTGAGATTGGATGTGGTAATAAATGAATGTTGTAAGAATGAAGACACTAGTCGTCCTTGATAAAGGACAATAATCGTGTGGGTAAAAAGTGAGTGTTGATTGTCCTGATATGAGACGCCTCGTCGGACATCAAGGATCGGACATTCTCGGCAGCCAATGAAAGTCATCTAGACTGTCCTGGTGCAACGTCAAGAGAGAACGATCCATGATACGAGTCAAGCGTGTTATATGAGGAGAAAGTCCCATCCATATCTCTGCATCACGTCCCGCCAGTGGACGTTCTGGTTCCTCGGTACGGTCGAGGATGCTGTGACGGCGGCGGTTGCGGCGTTGGCTGCTGCGGTGGTGGCGTTAGTGGCAGAGGCTATCGGTGTTGAGATCGAGCCTCCGGGGCTTCCGGCTGTGACAGGGGTGGCTTCGCACACTCCAGCGGAAACAACAATGTCGTCGTTAAGTCTCCAGACTTCGTGGAGAAGACGGACCATTTTTCCGAAGTTGCCGTGGTTGGCGGCGTCTCCGAGTGATTCGCAGCGCTCGGAGAGTGCTCGTCGGAACGGAGATGCGGGGATCGAGTTTGCTCCACAGATGAGCATGGGCCAAACCAGGCATCGGTCGTAGCCGTTGGGGCCAGCTGGGATGTACTGCAGCAGATCGGCCATCTGGGAAATCAGGTTGACGGTCGCTGTTTGGTAGCGGTTATATTCTGGAACAAGTGAGCAGAGGTAGACGCGAGCTGCCTTGCGGAAGATGGCACTGATATTCTTTGAAAGTTGCTTCGGGCGTAGTGCTCCTGACTTGGAATATGGGATCTGAAGGGGCTCGTTGGGTTCGATCTGATCAAGTGTCTGCGCCAGTGAGGTGATGTGACTGCACATACCGATGTCGTCAAGCTTTGCCTCCTTTTTGAGAGAGTCTAAGCAGGCAACCTCGGAAAGTAGGTACATTACGAGATCGTTGCAACCCATCAATTTTTCTAGGCCGGCGTTGGACATGGAGAAAAACATATTCCTGTAGGTGTGTGAGAATCTGGGAGCTTTGCCGAGCATGGTCGAGCCGAGGATGTCGATCCAGGCAGTGAGTGTCATGTTGAATGGAGGATGTCCTCCAGTCTGGCTGAGACTTTCCAAAGCGGCAGGAAGGCTGAGTTTTTGGACAATGTCGGCGGCAGCCTGAAAGTGTTGATGCCAGGGAATGAGTTCTTTTTCCAGGTCACTTGCTGACCCTACACAACCTTGCAGTGAGATCATTCCGAGTAGTGCATCCAACATTTCATCGTGATGAGTATCACCGTTAAGAGCCTCTACAACAATCGTCACAAATGCCAACTTATGTCGCATGGTGTCGTCGTCGATAGTTGTAGGGCCAAAGCCTTGGAGGCTTTTCAAATGTGTTGCAGCAGCCAGGAGACATGAGTGCAGATAAGCTTTGTTGTTCTCGAGAGCCGGCAAGATCACATCGGCTCGCACAGACCCATGTTGATTGGCTTCAAGCACTGGGAACAAGAGAGGAAGAACGTTGTCTAGCAGATGATCGAAGAGAGGCCGATCACAGTCCTCTAGCTGAACCATGGAGCATTGTGGCTGGGTCTGAGTAACGTGGGGAAAAGCAAAGAAGTTAAAGTCGATACCTTCCTCGCCACTGAAAGAGTCCTGTCGATTGTCATAGTAGTCTGGTTGAACCCAGTCCTCTCCGCCGCATGATGGAAGCATTGAATGTGGGGGAGGAGGCACAAAGGTACTGAAGGTTGATATTGTGGAGTCTCTACGAGTAAGTTCATCGTTGATGTAGGTGTGGCGTTCTGTTTTCACATCAACTTCCCATGGGTAGCCATGGCTGTAGGACTCGGTCTGAGGCATATATATGGTCGAGCCATAGGGATCGTAGATGCCAGGAGTGTCGACGAACGGTTGGTCGAAGACATTATCGTATTCCTCTTGCGAGTCATCGTCTCTAGGCTGTGTAATGTGACTGGCAGAATCTAAGGGATGTTAGCTGATGTCGGAGTAGCCCACCCTACCACGGGATGGTTACACATACATTGACTGTGAGAGCCCAAGGTCTTCTCATTAGTCTTGGTTCTCTTGATGATGGTCTTGATGTAGTCTTTATGCTTCCGTCTTGTCTCATTGTTGCTCCACCAATGTGGTCTCTTGTACTCGCAGTCCAGTCCAAGGTGACGGCATGCCTTGCAACTTGGCTTTCCTTCATCACACTTCTTGCGTCTTAGTCGACATGTAAAGCAACCTGGCGGAGAGTTAGCGACGATGCAAGAGATGTTAGTGGAGGAAGCTTACCTGATCGAGACCTTCGATGCATCTTCGCGGCCTTGGTAGCTGGGGAATCTTTCGCTGCAGGTGCAGGCTTCTTGTCCGTTGAAGAAGCCATTGGAAGTCGCAACCACAAGGCTCCGCTAGTATATTGATATGCGTAACGCACAGAGTATATGTCCGGGGATGAGGTCGATGAATGTACACACGATGAGGACGGCGATGAACCAGGCTGTTGTTGGATATTACGAATGAATGATCGCGGATACTGACCAGCAGTATTCCAGTCTATGGGGATAGTCGACGGGGTGAGGGGACAACAGCAAGGGCAACGGTCTGCCTAGAAAGAATTCACCGCGACATTGGCCGGGAATGTTGTTTATGAGAGTTTGATAACAGTCGAGTTGATTCTTGTCAAGTGGAGAGATCTATATTTGGCAAACAATCGAGAGAACATGCGAGGAGCATGAGGCTCCAAGATAGTTCAGTAGAGAGCAGATGCGCAAGGAAACAATGTTCTGCATGGTAGACGAATGAGAGATGAGGGCGGCACATTGTATCTATGAATATCGCGGTTGAGTTTGGAGGCGCTGACGTTGTATTGGTGGAAAGGCTGGAAGAGGAGTCGTCGACTGCATGATTGAGCAATGAGAAGGTTGGTCGAATGGGTCGATGCATTTGCAGTAGGAGCCATCTCGGTCGATTCGGTTGCTCAATAGTCTGCATTCATCGAAGAAGGAATCAGCATCAAGTGTGGGAGATTTTTGCCATGATTGGATGGAGGGGTCATTGAAGATGTGGGTTGGCGGTTGGAGGCTAAGATTAGCATATGCCAGCTCTTAACGAATGTAAAGATGCAGGCTGTTAGCGCCGACATCTCCAACCCTGCAGCTACCCCTGTCATGACCCATCCTAGAAGCCCCTGTCAAGCCTTGTCCACTTCGAGATATCCACCAAGTCTCGTCCCATGGCCAGTTCTCATCTTGTGACTCTCTCGGTTAGAGTCATTTGTACGAATCCAAACGTGCAAAAGACCACAATTGAGGTGATTCGTCGGCTGAGAAGCCAATCAGAGGCTGCATCCCACCGGTTGACGATCGTTTGAGTGGGCTCGGTGCTGAAATATCCTCGGACGACGAGTCATGAGGCAGGTCTGGTACAGAAATGCTGTGGAACTTGTTGTCTACTTCCGAGTTTGACCGTGAGTACGCTGCACGCACGTGTACCCGACGAGTATCTGGTGCCGTGGCCCACGGTCCATGCCAGCTTCCGGAAGGGAACGTGGTGTATCATGGGTATTTGGGAGGTACCAGAGCCATGAACAAGAGTACGCACAGACACAGCGGGCGGCCACATGATTGTCTCGCTCCGGTGTCCCCTCCATCGGGACGATTTCAGTTGAGGAAGCTTTACTCCGTACCATTCTGACCCAGTTGCCGAAAGTTGCCAGTTCAAGGCGAATAAGGAAGACTACAGTAGGTACTCCGCACGGATAGTTAGTGACTGGTAAACCAGCCCAATGTGCGGAGTATGACTCGCGAAATGAAGGGCCCTTGTTATGGCTCCTTCCACTTCCAAGGGTCTGGCTGAAATGCAGTGGCATCCCATCTCGCCCATTCAAGAATTTGTTGACTTCGTACAGTTTCCCATTGAATACCTCGTCATTGATGTTTACCAAACCTCGTTGCTCATGTACGGTGAGCACTGTATCTGGATGATAACGCTGTTGGTAGTGTACACTTCTTTTTGGTTCACGCTGTCCACGAGAGCCCAGAACAAAAGCGAAGGCCTTCCAAAGGCGATGGCTGGCCAGAGCTATTGGAAGCACTCACGGTGAACAAGAGAGCAAGAAAAAAGCCGAAAGGGTGTGGTGGAAGGTGGGAAAAACACGAGTGATTGGACAACAGGTGTCGAATGATGTGAAGGTTGCAGAGTTAGTGCAGAAGCTACCCTGGCCTTTGAGAATGAGGTGGTGAGCTACTTCCTTGTTCTTCGTGAAGTTCAATCAGGCTAAAGGGAGCTTGCGGAAGGGCGGGAGCCAGTGATAGCTAAAAGTGATGCCAAGTCCAGCTTCGTGCATTAGGTCCATTCTTTAGTCAGGTGGAGATTCTAGTCTGGGCCCTGCCTATCATAACCGAGCCTGGAGCAACGGCAAAGCACAGGGGGAAAGGTTACCTCTTACCTCAGCTTTGATTGTTATCGACGATAAGAAAACTCCCCCTCACTCTTTCCCCTCCACAAAAACCACACTTTAATCTGCACCACTGCCATTCGCTATTTTACCGCTAATCATGCAAGCAACATTCTGATCTTTTTTTAGGATGCATTGCAGACTCATGAGAGCCTCGTTCATGAGAAGATCTTCTTCAGGTTCACCAATCACCCGAGAGCATTGAACAATTTGATGTCTCTGACGCGATCTGGGACCTGTCAGATTTGCATGTTAACCCTACGCTGTAGCGATCGTTGCAGGTTCGACGGATTGTGACCAATGCGGCCACTCTAAAGTTTGAAGCATTGCCTCTACAAAGAGGTCTACGACACGAACAGAGTCCTTAAATTAGAAAGATTCAATTTAGATCGCATGAATAGTATCCAAGGCGATGGATAACCACGAACAAGTGCTAGCAAGTGATAAGTCCTCGGTGGCCGCATATATCATTCTCAATCATAAACCTCGCATTCACCAATTCACCATATTTGCTCCAGCAAGCTCTGACATCTCATCGGTACGAGTTACGCTGAGATCCGATCGGGGGTCATCCTTCATCGAATGCCATGCTTTCCGAAAGTACATGACCATGTGTTCCGCACGAGAAAAATACCATGTCGTCCCACGTTCGACTACTCGGTGCAAGTGGTCCCTCGAAGTAACACCCCCAACCTCCTCTGTTTCGTCTTCGGCGTATCCTTGTATATGCCCTTTGATGCTAGCCTCAGAAGAACCAGCGAGTGATGTATCCCATGCTTTTGTGGTGTGACATCTCGTCCCACGCTACAAGGGGAAAAGCCTTCGCTTCATTTTCGTGCACGACGACAGACAAGCAACGGCCTAATGCAGGCTATCAGTGAAAGCTAGAATGGAAGGTCAAGCTCCCCTCATCGGTGAGTTACTCCGTCCAACCTGGTCGCCCACACCAAATTATGCCTAATGGACCCGCATGCAGATCGGCTGCACTCCAAATCGCCGAGTCAAGCCTAGACTTGGATTGCACCACCAGAGTTTATCATGGATTGCAGCTCAGAGAATAAAAGATAGCTCGAGCTTATGTGTCAACAGATCTGGCAACATGAACCCCTCGTATGACAATCAACTTGACACCTCGTGCTGCTGGGTACGAACTCACGAGTCGCGGTCGGCTCACCGCTGTCACACACCACGATCTCAACACATGGCACATTCCATGAATCTGTCCCACAATCACGACCGTCAAGCCCAACACTTTTATTCCCGACTATCACAGCAATTGTACAGTCTACATCCTTAGGATTTCGCATCTTTGGAGCTGAATCCATACGATCTTCGAGACGATTGCATGTTTCCTAAAGCCTTGACTCTGGGGAGTATGCAGCTTACCGAACGATGCTTGCAGATCCGTCTGCAACAGATGATCAATATCACATCCGAGGTATTGAGAATGGTGCCGTTACTAGTAAGCGACGGACTATGGAGTCTCGAGTCGCTCGAGATGACAATCGTGCTTCCAGTTGAAGGAGCAGTGAGTCGGTGCAAGCCCAAAACTCAAGAACTGATTGAGAATAGCGCCTCCACTAGCTTTCGATTAGGCTTGCCGAGTTTGACCAATCTGGGCGCCATCTAGGGCTAAGAGCTCATCTCACGGGAAGGGCCGCTTCAACCGTTCGAACTCTCAAGGGATCAACCTTTGACCGGGGACGATCCGGCAGGACTCGGACCCCTCACGGAAGAAGACGAAAACGACCCCGTCTCGATCTCATTTTGTACAACCCCGAACTCCCAAGACTTGACATTCGGGAAGCTTTCACAAAGTGTGGCCCAAGATGAAAGACTCTTCAGCAAAGAGGAAAGTTTCACAAACCTGGTATGTCGATATTCCAATTCTGGCAGTCGATGGTGGACGGATACGACGTACCCCTCTGATTGTGTCCCATTCGCAACCATAGGATCACGCCCGTGAAGCAGGTACAGAATGTAGTGTGATTCTGTGCTCTTCAGTCTTTGCATCCTATTGTATCTCGTGATGTAGCGAGGGGTGTTGTGCTCCGTCACGAAGCATTCAACGACAATTCGCCCTGATAGACAAGGGAAAGACAAGCATCGCCAGGGTCAATTCAATAGCACAAGAATTAGTTGCAGGATATTTTGGGGAATGGGCCAATTAGAAAATTCAGTAAAGAGGAGAAAGCGGGAAAAAGTCAATCGAGGAGGTTGGGGATCTTGAGGGATGGGATTGTACGAGTACGGAAACTCGGTAAGCGAAGTGGGTGTAATGAGCAGTGGAAGGTTTAACGGTACGGCCCATCTTTCTCATCAGGAAACGAAATGGGAGGAAGGCAGCGGCAGGGAAACGGCTCGAGCCAGCCAGGGAGAGATGAGGAACGAGATCCAGGGACAGCCATTCAGAAGCGCTGGATGCTATTCATGGAAATACCTAGGGAAGGGTATTTTTGGAAGAGGGAGCATATCGGATCCACAATTGGGACTTTCCAGTATGTTGATTGGGCATTCTGTTCATGATGCATCAGTCTAGTTGCCTTGGCCGCACAATGCTTTTCCCATCACCCTGCTTTCATCTTCGATTGGCTTATCCAGAGAAGGTTGACCTCTGGGCGACCTCCTGGCCGCCTTTGCAATAGCTTCAGTTAGCTTCACTCTCTCCAGCGCGTACTTTTCATAGATGGCCATCCATTGGTCCCTTTGAGCCTTTCCCATCTTACCGCCCAGTCTACTCCAATCTATACCATTGTTCCCCTCCACTCCCCTCACCTCCCACAATGACTGGTTGCTTCTTCGCGTTTCACATCTTTCTCACGCATCCTCCTGCACGAGCTCATCGATATCTCATGCATATCCCACTGCATCCACCCTGGCCAGGTCCTCCAGTCATCACCGACCTCTAATTGTTTCTAACCGCCCAACCCTTTTTCCACTTGAATATACATATCTCTTCCCCATCTCAAAATCTTCAACTCCACCATGATTCCATTTGTAAAGTATTGTACCTTTCATCTTTATGGAAACATCTTCAACAATGGAGTGGTCACAACAATACCAGCAGCTCAGGCTAGATGCCAGAGACATGACCCAGAAGCCTGACAGCTTATCATTCTTTGCACGCCGCACCTATGTTCCCCGCCCTCTCTCAGAAGCCACCGAGATTTTCGATACTGATGCCGAGGATGAGTCGTTAGACTCTCCCGAGGACGATGACAGTCAATCTACCTTGTCTAGTCGCGATGAGCTCCCTACACCACCTCATACAGGTGGTCTGGGTGGCTTCGAATTCCATTTCGACGACAAGTGTGTGGTTGGACCTCAAGGACCACATCTGTTCAGAAGTACCCCAGATATTCTGACCCAACCAGAAGACGATGTCTTTCTTGGCATGTCTCCAGTCGCCATTACACCAGCTACCGAACTTACCAAAGCCACTCCAAGACAGATAGATTCACTCACTAGTGCTGTTGCCGAGCTTGACGAATCTCAAGTTCGTGACTGGACTCCAAAACAGGTCGCAGAATGGATGGCCGAGGCTGGCTTCGAGGCAACTGTGGTCGAGAAGTTTCTCATCCACGACATCTCGGGCACCGTCCTGATCGATCTTCAATTCGAAGATCTCAAGGAACTCGACATTAGCTCATTCGGCAAACGTCACAGAGTCATGAGCTCCATTCAACAACTACGCAACTCAAGCATGATCTCCGCCGAGACCTCACCAATTTCGAGGACACCATCGCGGAGTCCAAGATCAATGCAAAGGCCCGCCCGTGCTTCAGAGTATCAAGTGGTTCTTCCCGCTCGGTCTCGATCACGTCGGTCTCCTCGACCGGATGAACCTATCACCCCTTCGGAATCTGTCTCCATCGTCGGCATCGAACAGGTCCTACCCAAGGAACACAAATGTTCCAAGGGTGAAGACTGTGCCAAGTGGCAAAAACAACAACGAAAGATTCTTCGTATGCAACGAGCGTTCGAAGAAGAAGCAAACCGACCAATCTCTGCTATTCCATCCGAAGCTGGCGTTATTCCATCTGTTGTCGGTTCATCAGATGTTTTCGGCCCCACTTCCGTCAAGATCACTCCAGAGACCCTCAGTGTTGTTCAGCCTCGCGATCCACAAGAAAGTGTGCGACAATTTCTCAACTTCCAACATATTCACAATGTGTCCCACTCTCCGTCACCACCTCCTGCTGCTTCTGCCTCCTATGCACTCAAATCTCCCCAGCTCACTGAACACCTTAAGGGCTTACCAAAGCTCACCATACCTGTGGAAGTCGGTGCCGAGGAGGTCGGACCCTCGAGGACGCCCATCTCGGCCCTCCAGCAACCAACACAGATTCAGGCTCAGCTTCGGGCTCAACTCAAAGCTGATCCATATCACTACGGTGGCGTGGCTTCACCTGCAGACATCTATCGCCTTGACACACCCATGTCGGCGATGGACATTCCCCTCACTGCGGTCGCCCTAGATCCCTGCCAGCGCGATGTTTCCCAGTCTGTTCCACCCGAGATGCGATACGGTGCTCCAACATCTTTCACCCCCGATCCAATTCAACGGTCGGCCTCAACTCAACCTTCTCGCCGCCACCGACAGCCATCGTTCACTCCATCTGTGGCTCCAGTCAAGGAAAATACTCATGTCAACCGTTCCGCAAGACGTGTGACTGAGATTGAACTTGCAAACCACCAAGGATGGGTCCGCAAGCGCAAGACTACACGCATGCTACGTCACGAATGGCAGGACAACTACTGCACATTGGTCGGAAGCAAGCTTACTATGCACGATACTCACTATGCCAACGCCAATGCATTGGAAGACATTGACGTTGATGAGTATACTCTTCATGCCTATGCCCAAGCATCCAGCTCCAAGTTGTCTGCTGCTTTCAAGAAGAGCCTTCTTGGTCAAGGCAAGGTTCCCTCCAGCGAGCACACATTTGCCTTCACACTTATCCCCGAGGAGAAGGGTTCCCAGAACAAGAAACTCTTTGACCCCAAGGCCAAGTCTCACCATTTTGCCGTCGACAGCTCCAAGGAGCGCGTCGAGTGGATGCGGAAGCTGATGCTTGCCAAAGCAATGAAGAAGAATGAGGGCTGCCAGATCTAGTTGGGTCATCATCTCTTACCTCTCGCGTTCGACATCAGTGATGTTGTCGCTGCGCACCCTTCAATCATCACAGCAGAGCCTATTTTGCTCTACAGCCTCGACATACCTCAACTTTTCCTTACATGTTTACACTAACGACAACCACCAACGATTCTCTTAACAAGATGTTGCCTCGCGGCAATTTTCTTTTCTCAACAGCGCTGAAATGACGGGATATTATTTGGGATCATGTGAGCATGATAAGGACAGACCATTGGAACATTTTTGTTTTTTGAAACCATTGGCATAGCGATTGGAGTTTCCAGCAAGCCTCCGTCTGCAACTAGCGGAGGGATTTGATTTGATTGTTTTTTTATGTTGAGATACCACATTTATCCTCATCGAACTGCGCTTCACCGCGCCCACATCACCTTCCACCACCAAGCTGCTGCACCACACTCAGCAGTTGCCCCAGCTACCCTTCATCCAAACGCTGGGCTCATGAGCCCTGGACAAGAGTCCTCGTGCATTATCTAGTTAGCCATAGAAACTCAATGGAGATAATATGACCAACTCGCAAAACAGTTTTACTTCTTCCATCCTTCCTCATGCACTTTCTGTCTCTGTACTCATCGTGATATTTTCCGCCCGGCTGGGGATACAGCACAAGACTCTCTGGCAATGAGTAGGTTTTGGACCTAACTAAGCGTACGGTTCGCACGAAATGCTTGGCTGTGACTGCCAAAGCGTCATAGGTACCGAGATTAGGTACGTAATATGTACCTAGGTAAAACTACCAACCCAAGTTCTAGTTAGTTACCACGCTATTCAGCTCCTACCTCTCAATAATAATTGTCGAACTATGGTACGCAGTAAACACTGAAGAGGCTCATATTTTGACATCGTCACATGCATAGCCATGCAGAAATTGGGTTCCTCCGAATCATATTACGCTTTTGTTCAGCACGAGCCATCGTTTGGTTCATCATTGGAAGAACTGTCACGTCAAAGTGTCTGTGCCACCGTTAAGGGACGTCCCCTTGCAAACCCCTTTCCATAGCCAGGAACTCTGTACTTTTCCAAGGAGGACAAACATTCTGCACCTTTCTAGTGGCGAAAACTTCAGAGCTTACTGGAACCCAGTGTCAAGTGAACAGCTCTTACACTGTCTCTATGACGATATCAGAATGGAAGACAAAATAAGGGGGGCATTGGAAAAGTCTTGGGGTCTTTACATGCATGGCACCAACCACGACGACAAACAGACCGATCATACTTTGTCTTGACAGTTTATGCCATGCACGTCAAGATTGAACGCCCGTCGAACTACCAGAAACAACCCGATCCTGAGGCTCATCAAGTTCCGATGTCCACAGGGGGAAAAGTCACCAGCCGTGGAATGCGTCTGAGACGTGTTTTCCCACTTTACTCGCGCGTGGAATGCTCATGCGGATCTTTTACCTACTGTGGTTGTGCAATGAACTAGATTCAGATCTCCTTTTATGCTTCATACTGAGAACATACTTTTCTTCATATCAGCGCACTTATTTTCCTCATACCAGAGGCACCGATCAAACACTATGGAACAATCATTACCTCTTCTCAGCCAGACGGCTGAAGACGACACACAATACCTAGACATCGAGCTAGAGAAAGCATCACAACGCCAGGAATCAACTTCGAGCAAAGTTATTCGTTATCTCCTATTCGCTGTATCCCTCCTCCATAGCGCACTTCCACGATTTCTACAAATTGGTGGTTTAAACCCGAGAAAGGACAGACAACATTCGACCGCATGGTTAGATGCATTGCGAGGCTATGCGGCTTGTGTGGTCGTGAAGTTTCATGTACACGAGGGGTTTTCACACAGAGAGTTCTTCCATTTCCCGATCATCCATGCCTTTGAGGCCGGGCGTGGTAGTGTGGTCATTTTCTTCGTCATCTCAGGCTACGTACTCAGCGTTCGGATGCTCAAGATGATTAGAGCCCGCAACTCAGCCCAGCTACTCGGCTCCCTTGCCTCTGCGACTTTCAGACGGTGGCTCCGACTCTACGCTCCAACGGCCTTCGCCACTTTGCTGCTTGCTCTCGCAATGCAAATGGGATGGTCTTCGCACGAGGAGCTGCGTCAACCGACACTCTATCAGCAATTGTCGCACTGGGTGATGGACACCATCTATGCATCAGATCCATTCCACAATATCATGGGTTGGTGGGTTGATCCGGTGTACAGAACGGAATACCTCTTTCAGATGTGGACCATACCTATCGAGTTTCGAGGAAGCATGGCACTGTTTTTGTTCGTGCTGGCCTGTTGCAAGCTCAGTACAAGGGGGAGAATGATCGCATGCTGGATGCTCATCATCGCTTGCTATCGATGGCAGGTGGTTTATGTGGCATGTTTCCTTGCGGGGCTGTTCATCGCCGATATCTCGCTGAGCTATCCCCCGGACCAGCTTCAAAAATTGCTTCAACTTCCCCAAAATCAACTCGATGCGGATGTGACCCCTCCAGGTCGTCGATGGCAATGGCGCACAATTGCCCATCAGTCCGGATTCATCCTCATGTTCATCATGGGTTTGTTTCTCCTGAGTATACCGGAAGACACCGGCATCAACGGACCTTTTCCCTTTCAGTACATCAGTAGATTGACACCATCGTACTACGTCAAGTTGGCGGACGAATACTTCTGGCTGAGCATCGGTGCCATCCTCCTGGTCCTGGCGCTCGAGTACTCTCCGATCCTCCAAGCTCCGCTCAAATGGAGCTTCTCGCTCTATCTCGGCGAGATCTCCTTCGGTATCTACGCGACACACGTTCTGATGAAATACACAATCTATGAGAATTGGCTTAGGCCGTGGCAACAGAATCATCTGGGCGATTCGATCTGGGCCGACTGCTTGGTAGGCACCATAATCTTTCTGTTCATCTTCGCGAGCGGCGACTATTTCACACGCGTCGATACCCGGATTGTTGCTTTCGGTAGATGGCTTCAGTCGAAGACTTTTGAAGAATGGGAGTAGGGTTCACTTAAGAGCATGAAATTTGTCAAGGCGTTGAAATTAATAGCTAGCGATTTGTGTACTTAAGATAGGACGAATAGTTCACTAAATCTCGTATCTCCGTACAAGCCTTCCAAGGGGCTTCCAAGGTTCCTTGGCTACCTGGATGCTGCCTAAGCTATGGTCTTATCGCCCCTCATTCCCTGGATTCTCGGGCAACGTTGGTAGCGTGCGAACCTGCCTTATCGTTAAGGATCTCAATTCCCCAAAGTAATAAATCTAGGTACAGCACGCTTTTATCTCACGAGCTTCAACCATCATATTTCTTCTCTTTCACTTCAAGTTTCGGTAGTCAACGCTTACGGGAACGCCCATTCTTCAATGCCCGAGCCGCCAACGCGACTGCCGCTTGCCCTAGCCGACCACGCACTCTCCTGGGTGTCTCCTCCCGATGATTAAAATTAGGTAAGAAGATGATGGCCGAAAACAAACGTCATTCTTGGCTGTTATTCTGCCACCCACCCAAATGATCGCCCGAAGCTCTGAGAGGATGCCGCAGTTGCCGTCGAACTGCAGCGCGGTGGCTTGATTTCTCACAATAGTAATGATGCAACGGCGATGTGTTACTCCGGCCATTCCACTGTTTATTTGTTGTACGGCTCAAAAACCACCTCGGGCTGGGATCTCCGCCTCCCCAGATCGAAAAGAGCATGGCCCGTCGCCACTTGACTAAGATAATTAACTACATAGCTTGAGTTTGATTAAATTTTTCTCTTCTAGATTCTTAAAGCGAACGGATTTCATAACTTGCTCTGGGTTGCAGTTGGATTCGATCTGTATGGCTGCTACATGATTGCTATCGAGGGCGTGATACTAGAGTTGGCATTTGGTGCACAGGAGCTAGTGGAGATCGATTGAAGACATTGGTGGCATTGAAGGGCGACGACTACTAAGGACTATGCAACAATTCCACGGAGATCGTCTTGGCGAGGCCGAGTCTGCCATAACTGAAACACAGACGTCTGTCGACGAGAAGAGTACCGGTCTCTCTGGTACAGGCGACCATCCCAGATCGTTGAGTGTGACTTCGCAAGCTTTTATTCCTCCCAATGGAGGCCTCGAAGCCTGGCTGCTTGTGTTGGCAGGGTTTCTTGTGTTCTCAAATACTTGGTAAGTGCTCTTTCAGCGCCAACCGAATATTCATCGGCGCTCCAGGTACCGCTTGCGACAATCTGACAATTGAACCAGGGGAATCACGAGTACATTTGGTGCTTTCCAAGCATTCTATCTCCGAGACCTCCTATCCAATGAATCGGCATCTGCGATATCATGGATCGGAAGCGTACAAGCTTTTCTTGTGGTCTTCATTGGAATCTTTGCGGGTCCGCTGTTCGATATGGGATATTTGAGAGTCATGATATTGACTGGCTGTTTTCTTACCGTCTTCGGTATGATGATGACCAGCTTGTCGACTTCTTTCTATCAAGTATTCCTCGCGCAGGGGATTTGTGTTGGCTTGGGAGAGGGCATCACTTATATCCCATGTCTGGCTCTGATATCCACCTACTTCACGACCAAGCGCCCAATTGCGATTGGGATCGCAGCTGTCGGTTCTAGTGTCGGCGGCGTGATATTCCCAATCATGTTTCGAAAACTTCAGCCACAAATTGGATTCGGCTGGACAGTCCGCGTTCTCGCATTTATCGCTCTGGGATGTGCCATTTTGATCTGCATTATATTGGGTCGACATAAAGGAGAAGCACGCAAAGCCCGCTCATTACTGGACACGTCAGCACTTCGTGAGCCAGCGTTCATTTTCTGGGCCTTGTCTTTGTTCTTTCTCTTTTTTGCATACTATATCCCTCTCTTTTTCATCGTCTCTTACTCGCGATGGGCTCTGGGCACCACCGAAGACTTTGCATTTTATATGCTCGCAATCACGAACGGAGGATCGATACTTGGTCGTACGGTACCATATCTGTTAGGACAACGAGTGAAACCGATTTACACACTCATGTTCTCTTCGATCTTTGGTACGATCCTCCTTTTCTCATGGACTGCAATTCACAGCTCGGCCGCATTCATCGTATGGTGCGTACTCTGGGGGTTTGTCGCTGGCGTCCTTGTCACGGCACCGACGTCAACGACCGCGCATCCGGTCCTTTCACCATCAATGAACGTTGTCGGAACACGTCTTGGCATGAGTTGGATGGGCTCGTCCATCGGTTCAATGATAGGAGCACCAATCGCAGGTGCATTGGCCAATGTAGCCACTGGTGATTTCCTCCATGCTCAGATATTTGCCGGTGTCATTATGCTTGTCGGTGCCGCTTGCTTAACCTGGCCCCTTATTGCGATCGAGCGTTATGATAGAGCAAAGCTGAGGGTTCAATCTTCATGTACATCATAGGTACAGAGAAATTCATTTGTTGACACCTTCTGTCACCACAACCTCTAGCGGGCTTGTACACCGCACAACTACCATTTCCAGGCATTTTGCATCTATGGCGTTCCGTATGCACACATAACAGGAAGATAAGTCCAGCTCGATCTGACCTTCTTTTTGCATATCATTCACGCCAAACGATTCGTCTGGCGAATGAGATCGACCTGGCTGAAATGCTCGATTGCCGAGAGTCGCACTTCAGAGCGATTTCGCACTTGGTTTCAGGCTGCCAAGAACACATGCCGGTACAGGGCATCCTCTTTCCGAACAAGTCTTCCATTCAGTGAAAAGGTTTGCGATACTCGGCCTTCCACTTTCTCGACTTGTACATTGCGCTTCTCTATCGCCTTGTATCATACTGTCACTATTCTCTTGCTCGCACGTTCAGCCCAATTCATGGTTCATGTCCCCTCTTAGGCTATCTGTACGTTGACTCCATCCACGAGGACTATTCTGAAGAATTCCGAAACGCTAGAATCCCACACGAACTCGCTAAGCGGGGTCTGAAAAGGGCACAAAGATCTCTGGAATCGTGTTCGCATTCAAATTTGCGGGTTCGGCGACAGGCCTCTGTCGTCCACCCCGTATCCCCTGGCCGTATCAACTAGCCTCTTAGGGGTCATAATGAAGGCAAGAGCATGCACCAAATGCCGCCAATGGAAGGCCAAATGTGATTCTTCCGACAACAACCCTGGCGGATGCTCACGATGTCGTGCTCTCAAGCTACCATGTGTTTTCGACGCCAAGTTCCAAAGGGTGTCAAAGGTCAAGCGTATGCAGCAGATGGAATCGGAAATCAAGGACTTGAGACAAGCTCTTATCGAAACTGCGAGGCTTGAAGATTCTCCTGAGAATACCTCTACGCACGTCGATGAAGTCACGCTTCCTAGTACTTGGGCATCTCAAATCTCCGCTTTGCCTGGGGAAGCTTCTATCCTCACACCATCAGGTTATGACTTATCCATGGGGTCGCAGATAAGTCGGATGACGGACCAAGCTACTCTCATTTTAGATTCTCCGTCATCCTACAGAATGCTTGGTGACGTCTGTCTTACCAATGAGCAGGTAGAACAGCGGTTCAGATCATACTTTGGCCGCTATCATACCTACGTGCCCTTTTGAAATGGCAACGACATCGGCTGATGACATCTTTATCAAGAGCCCTCTCTTGTTCTGGGTTATCTGTGCTGTTGCATCAAGCAAAAGAGTTCAATCTCAGCTCTCGCTATTGATAAAAACAATGATTGCAGATATAATTCATGCACATCCACACGTGCTTGAGACCGCGCATGCCCTTCTCATTCTATGCATCTATCCATTCAAGATTTCGGGCATGATCGAGGATCCTTCCCTCATGTACAGCAGCATTGCCACTCAAATATGCCTGCAGCTAGGGCATCCGTCCTCGAGTCAGCATGCTTCAACCATATCGACGCCTGGAAGCGATCGGAAAGCCAAGGATGAACGGGTCAAAACTAGCACGTCAGTTGCATGTTTCATCATAAACAGGATGTATTCCGGCTACCAAGGCATTCCCGCCACCACCTCAGCTCACCCAAAGCTTCTCAGAGCGTTCGAAGATCCTATAGTTGATCCTAAACTGTCATCCCTCGGTCGAATTTATCATCTACTGGGGGACGCGATCGTCGCAATCGGTGCCGACGGACCTACTCCATCAGGTATGTTAGAACCAAATGCTCGATTGGCCATGATAAATATATACGCGGAGCAACTCTTAGAGCTCCGACAAAGATATTTTCCAGATGTGATGGGGGGGATGGTGGCGGTCTCGTACTTTTACGCCCGACTGCAACTCTGGTCATTCGCTCTGCTCGATGACATGATGCTTTCGGAAGAGCTCCTGAAGATCTATGAGACCGCAGAGCAAGAAGCTTACAAGCTGACCGACCTCTGCTATGATATGAACTTAGCAGCAGCTCCCTACCATTTCCGCCGCGCCATTTGCTTTGGTGGGTTCGTGCTGGTCAAACTCTTGCGTTCTCCCTACTGCCGCACGAAACCCGAGCTCCTCGCGGACAATATCGAGCGTGTCCGCCAGACGCTGAGCGCCAGTGCTAGTGCGCCAGACGATATCATCTGTAAGGCGTGTCGCATATTGGAGGAATTGCCATATTTGGAAGACAAGAAGCGCACGCCACCGATTTCTTCTCGGATGGGTGCCTCGATGATGTTTGACATGCTTCGCATCTACTGGGAAAATTGGTATGACCGGAATTTGCCAGAAGAGCCTTCTTTCCTTGATCTGGATGCAATTGAATGGGATGGTTTAGTGTTGTAACGATAAAAATTTGCCCATATATCGATGTAAATATCAGGATAAGGATACTAATATCTCATGGTTGGCGTGGCGGGCTTGTTGAACTGCAGCATGGTAGGCTCGCTGGTAGTAACATTTTGGTATCGCCCAGACGAAGAAGCCCACAACCCAGACATAACCTATGACTCGTACCAGTGCGACCTGGAGCTTTTCTCTTCTCCCCGCTATTCGCAAATTGCCACCTTCTGATGTTGCACTAGTGCGTGTGCAGCGGAGCAGTGCATACTCCAGACTCACACCCACTGCATTCATGCTGAAGAAACGCAGATCTGCGTAGTCACCATAGGTCGAATGAAGTTGCCACTCCGTCAGCTGATGAATCAGCGCCGAGATCAGGAAAAGCGAGAACGTCACGAATAGTCTCTTAATCACAGCGTTCCGCGAGACGGACCGTGGGAGCATGGCAATCAGGTAGTTCGAAACGTCGCTGTAGCCGCTCAGGTGGAGGCGGTGCCAAACTCTATGATGAGAGGAACATTATCAGCCACAGTTCAGATCACTGTTTTGGTGAGGCTTGATGTAGTGGTCAGACTTACGACATCCAAAAGCGGCCAATGGTGTAGGCTTCCGACGGACTGCCGAACAGGTCTGGCCAGTCCTCGGGTGTGTCGACACGCACGATGTAGATGAAGAAGATGGCGATGGCGGCGTGCAAGGCGTCAAGAAGTATCACAGGGGTCCAAAGTGCTGTCACGGTGAACCAGAGTCGTAGCATGACCTCCCTTGCGGAAACTGGGGCTGCGACTGATCGAGAGATGATTGGGTGTAGCAGACGTCGAAGGATAGACGCCTTGGCTGGTGTAAGATCATTGATGCTTATACCACCGAACATTCTGATAGTTGCTGGGTCATTAAGCAGGAAGAGGATGCCAATTTTGACGAGAAGCCGGCCGATTCTTGCCGTCGAAAATTTCCTATGGGTGGCTGTCGACTTGACCTGGGTGCCGATACCTTGTTCGCCTAGGATGATGTGCTTGTATGGGATCCTGATGAACCGCGGGTTTGATGCGGCCCTGTACATGCGTATCCATAGATCTCGATGCAGCCAAGGGTCGTTTCTTGATTGGGTCTCGTTTCTGGAGTCTTCGTTGACGCGGAGCGTCCACTTCTTCAGGTAGAGTAAGGATGTACAATGGATGAAAGTGATCGGAGCGACAAGACCCCATAGATCGGGCAGTCCAGGGACAGCAGTCAGATGGTGGATTGTTCGGAAGGATATCGTGACCAATATCAGCAAGGCAGGGAAGCCGTAAAGCCTATATTGAAGTGGAGTCGTAAGTAAAACGCCGGTTGTAGCGATGAGGAGCACCCATGAGAAGATTGGCACCAGAGGTGCAAACGTGAACATTGGAACGAAAGGTTCGAAACCACACTTCACTTAGAAGACAGCAATCAGGAGTAGTACTCGAAGCAAGATGACATGAGGGCCAAAGCCCTTGCAAGACAACCATTGCTAAATGTTCCACAGCGGTCAAGCTTTTCATTAGAAATGTATGTGGCCCGTGTAGCAGCCATCGCGAGGCTGGCGACTTGGCTAAGGTGTGACATTCTTTCCACCATCCATCAACATTTCACTGTACTGAATAACATCACCTTTCAAACAACAACGTCGAAGTAGCGTCTCCCAGGACATTTTCTTTTGACACATGCTCTGGTCTATTTGACTGTGGTTACCATGTCCATCTTCGGTATACATTCATCGTCCGACACAGGTCACTGGCTATTGGAAAAGCCCAGTAGTTGCAGGCTCAAGGGCCATTCCTGCAAGCGGCCATTGCTTCCGCAGAATACGCGATGCGTCTAGATTATAAAGGATGGCCGTCACTTCTCAGATCTGCCCTCATGTGCGAACAAAGACCCCCATCAGTTCGGAACAGCGCAAGCGGACTGCTGGCTCCTTTGTCACAATGGAACACGATGAAATACGTTAATCTCGAGGATATTGCTGTGAAGGAATCAACCTCGACCACGTATCCCAAATTACTAGCTGATCTGAGAAAATGCGTCTTTCTCTCAACTTGTTGTTCTTGCTTTTTGCCTGCTCTTGCCAAGCAGGGCCACTCGTCGCTCTCGCTGTAGTGGCCACTGAGGCGATCGCAGGCGCTGCTGCGGCCGCATCTGTGGCGGGAAGCACTATTGCGGCATGCTTTGGTGTTACGGCGAGTGCCATATGTGAGTTGACTGCTCCTGAACATAGTTGAAAGTCAGATCCACTAACCCTGTCGGAAGGGTTCGGAGAATTCGTCGTTGTTAACGGCGTATTGTTTTATGGGAGTGCGGTCGCCGCGGGTGGCGCACTCGCTGGCGGTATTGCTGGCGGAGTGGGTATGTGATTGATCCATTCGCAGTTGGCGCAACAACCCTGACCCAAGCTACAGCTGGAGCAGAAGTCACAGACAAAGATGTGGAGGCGTCAGTCATGTCTGAGTATAGTTCCGCTCTCTCTGCGTCAATGACGCTGCAGCCCATGGGGAGAAAGACGCCCCAATACAACGGTGCCAACGATCCCTTCACTTTCACCTTTGAGACAGAGACGGACAGAACAGACGTGAGCAAAACGTCCTCTGGTAAAACGTCCTCTGGTAAAACGTCCTCTGGTAAAACGTCCTCTGGTAAAACGTCCTCTGGGACTACAATCACTACCTCGGCTCCACCCCCCAATGCTCCTACTGCCAATGCAACTGTCGATTATCAACATAGGAATGGGTCGGAGATCCCAGCTGGTGTTCCCGAGTACAACTTTCGCATGTGCCAGAACGACATCATAGCCATGGGGCAAAAGAACATTTCTCTTGTATTTGACCAACCCCTGAACCAGAGTAAGTTCTGTGGTCCTCTCTCAAACTATGATCCTAATCGTCCGTTTCGCTTCCTTTTTCACTCTCAGTCGATCCCTAGCAAAATGGCATGGCTAAACTCGTGTGCAGGCATTCTTGTGTCGAACATACCGTCAACTTGTATGGTGCTCTCCACGGTAATTGCTGCTGATCCGGTTCTGGGGCCTCACCCTGTGCCTATGGGAGCAAGTAGCCTTCAGTGGAATAATGTCGACGTCAAAGCCATCGACCTTATACGTCAGGCTTTTGGCCAGCCCCCTATGTTCCAGAAGGGTAAATAGAAGTAGCGTCGTCGAGGAATAGTCCCGGCATGGCATTTGAAATGGCGTATGGCAGATAACAACGTAGGACTAGTGATAGGTCCGTAGTCCTTCTTTTGGTTTAATAATAGCATCAAACCGGTGTAGAGTACTCCTTTTCTTGCCTCAAAACTATTCATCCAGAAGTTCTGAAATACACGTCCATGCCGCGGCGTAATTCGTTGTTCGGTATAGGATCTCGATAACCTCTGCAGTGGTAGGCTTCTGCATATTGTTCTGTTTCGGCAGGAGGTTGATTTTCACAGAGAGCGCGCTGCGCCATCGAGCATGATTTTGTGGCAGACTGATGTAGACCTCTCCTGAACAAAAGCACTCAGGTATCTAGCAGACTTAGAGGACCCTAGAGGATCCACGACCGGTGGCTGCCCAGATCACAAAAGCCAATGACCACTCCAGGTATGAGTATGCAGATGCTGAACAACGATGGGACTTTTGGGTCAACTCAGTTCCACTAAAGGCTGTGGAATACTTTTCCGCATTATTTCTCTATCGAGCCTTCAGAGTATGGTCCTGAGAGAGAGAAGGTTGGGAAAGCAGCTCAACTCTTTTTCTTTGGGATGCGTTGGGTCCTCTTCGTACTCTTCTCCCAGCACTTGAGTAGGTCGTCCTTCAGGCAATCGAACCACCAGAACCTGCAGCATATCTTGGAGACTTTCTGCCATGACTGTAATGAAGGAAAGCGGATGATCACGTGGTCGAGAACATCGTCCGCTTCTCGCACTGGCTGATAGGACTGTGTTCGCCAGTTGACGATGAGAGCTAGCCATATCACTGTCTCGATGTCTGAAGGTTGCGGAGATCTGATGGCTTTGATATTGTCCAACATGCAACGCAAGAGCGCGCCATCGAAAACGGATGTGCGATTCTCTTCACTGAGATGCCGGACACAGATGGCTATGCCGATGCCGATGACATACTCCAAACCAGGAGAAATGCCAGTGCGCTTAAGGTAGAGCAGCAGCAAGGCCGCATCTCGAGCACATTCGCGGGGCTCACAGAACAGTCGGCACATTATGTCTTGCGTTCGTTTTGACGTATCATTGAGCTGCTCACCAATGAGCGACTGCCAGGATGACACAGCACATAGTAATTGAATGCACTGCACGCTGATACGTCCAGATAGTGCTACTTCGGCGAATCCATCGGGTAGTGCGGCGATATGCCGACAGAGTTGCGGGGGAAATGGATGGCGGGTGTAGTGAAGTCGGCTGCTGGGGATAGATTCTAAATCGTCCAAGTCGAAGCCAAGGTACTGTTCCAAGGCCATAAAATACTCTATGCTATTATCGTTAACATGATTGCATGAACGAATCTCAATAGACGTACATTATCAGTAGGCTACGAATGGATAAATGAGATGGTGTCTTCGACAGTCCTCCACGCAGTGAAATGATCTGTCGCAAACCTGTCAAATGTTGTTTGACAGCAGCAACATCGTGCTGGCCAGCCTGCTAAACATCAGATCAGAGCAACAGCTCGATTCGATCAACGACTCACCGATGCAATCATCAAGTGGACAACGGAAAACAAAACATTATCATCAAGGTAGGCGGACCGTTCCGAAAGACGTTTTTGCAGAGTCCTGATGGCCTTGCCATAAAGGCGATTCGCCACACTAGACGGTTCAGGAGCCCCAGCCCCAGTCCAGCGACGGAACTCATAGAGGCTCTGAGCTGCTACCAAAAAACAGTCATAGACACATGGATCTTGCATCGACAATGGAAATACCACCGATATTAGGGGATGCGCCACATCAGGGGATACCTTTAGGACGAGGTCCTCCCGCCGTTGGGTTTGAATGTCTGTAAATGTAAGTTCGATGGGCCCACAGCTCATGATATCGGTTACCACCTACATTCATCAATGCTGTTGAAAGCATTCGGGCCACCTCCGAATGGTAACGCTGCAAGTAGATCGCCGCGATAGGAGTCGAGGGCGGTTGGGGATAAAGTTAGAGATACTATACCAGTGTTGCAACAAGCAGTTGCTTTTCCCTTGCAACGTTCTGTTTCTGGTTTATATTCCGGATCAGACGAGTCATAGTGCAGCCGAAGTTGACCACCCATTAGGATGTATGGGACGGTGAATTCACAGGCAATCTCGATATGAAAAGGGGCTGCTTCGATCCCTGGCGCCGCTGATAGGGGTTCGAAATCAAAGAGCAAAATTATCGACTCAGCATGGACTGTCAGTCGTCAAAGACGTGGTTGAAAGGATATATATGCATCGCCACATTATTGATTGATGGCTTTCGATGGAGATAGCAACTCAAAGGCTGCGGGTGAGTAGAGATCGGACGGCAGTGTATTGTATCGTACTTGGCGAGGCTCGATGATTGGAATGGATCTTGTGCCGCAGTTGTCCAGAAAGCCAGTTAGACTACAGCGAAGGTATGTACCATTCCAGGCTTGTGCGAGTTTTCCTCGGAAAGGGAAGGTTGTCGAGTTCGTTGACGCTGTATCTTGCCGTGTTGATTTGGGGATGCGTACCAAACCTGATGGAAAAGACCGAATCAATTTTAGGCTAGATCAATCGCGGAGGATCACGAGTCATTCATCCGAGGCCATTCGCTTCTGATTGTATGATTAAGAATTGTAGAAAGGATAAGGCCCATATGGCCTCGCTTGGGGGGCTAATATCGTCAGTTAGGGACTAGAGTCGCCCACTTTCTTTAGCCCACGGTTTCCTGATGCAGCCCTAAATGGCATAGGAGTAGTGCAGCGGTCAAAAAATCGAGAATCTGCGCAACAACCGCATTCAAACACCGAATAGCTGTGATCCAGAATCACGAAGTCATGGAGCTAGGCCTCAGGATTAGTCAGGTCTAGTCGACAGCAGGCTTGGCTACTTTGTTGCTAGAGCTGTCCTGGTTAATGGTCTCTGCTTTGACAGTCAATAAGAAGCTCGAGGGCGGCAACTTCCGGCACATGATGCTCTATCCCGTGTCGTATATTGGCACACTGAGTCAACCATGATCTTCGTCAGATGGCCGAGACAGCATAGACAGAGGTTACCAACTTGCGCCCATTGGACACTTGGAATATCGAAAAACTTCCCAAGAGTGGAAGTTGCAAGGGACAGCTTATCGAGCCGTGCGAGGTCTCGAAGGGTTCGTGTTAGCTTCCATTAGTCATGGCTCGTAGACACTGAAAATTAGACCTCGGTTTTCGAGTTCGAGGCACATACGGAAAGGGTCCCTACAGACTAGTAAGCAACTCGTTCTGAGCTCTCGCACAGCACCTATCAAACAGATGTCCTAGGGTGCCTATAATCCAAATCCGTATCTATCATTTCGTAGGCTAAGTATCAAGTGATTGACAACGGAGTCCTCGTACAAAAGTTGGTAGAGCACCCCTCGAAGGTATTAGCTGTTTGACAACCGAGATAACCAAGGAGCATCATCAACATGATCGACGGTACTCGTATCTTGTACCACGGAAGTAGTATTTGGTCGTGTTCGAGTGGCTCATGCAGGTCAAAATGGCGCCATGAGGTGGCTTGTTCGCCATGGTTCCACGACAACCCTGAGGCTGTGCGAGAAGATTTAGGGAGCTAGGGCTGAGGCTGGCCAACCATGGCACCCCAGTGATGTTTCAGCCCCCTGTTTGCGTAGACCAGAGCAGAAATGTCAGACGAAGCCAAGCCAGGCCACCACCAATCCGAAACGCAAGCCTCAGCTCGAAAGTCGTACAATTTACCTGGGTAACCTGTCTTTCCGTAAGGCCAAAACATTGCAACACAGGCTACCACCCCGACTACAATTACAGCCTGTGCTTACGCAAATAGATAGTGTCTACGTCGCCGGGGCTCGTGGATAATTGTGGCTGATCACCTGCGTACTACGACTAAACTAGATATAGGTGGAAACATTGGTTTGCCGGCCCCCGAAGCCTAAGGGGGAGATATAACAGTCCATGCTGACCTCCCATCCTACTTGACTTCCCAACGTCAAATCCTTCTCTCCAGAATACTAAACTAAGCTAATCAATCAAACCATTCGCTACCGTTCTTGACTGTTTCTCACGACCACTCAAAAGTGTCGAAACCGGCTTAGCCCCGTCAGCAAACCTCTAAAAACAAACCAGACCTCTATTCCATCAGTCATCAAACATACATCATGCATTTCATCAAGCCCATTCTCATCGCCACCCTGGCACTCGGCGCCCACGCCCAGGACCTAGGATCATTAGTCAACTCCGTCGCAGGCGACATTACTTCTGCAGCAGGCTCAGCAGCATCCGACATCACGTCAGCGGCAGGAGCGGTCAATTCAGACATCACCTCGGCGGCGCAGTCATTGGCCTCGTCACTCACGGCAGCACTACCGTCCATCACATCGTCGCTCGGGAGTGAATTGTCGTCGCTATCGGCCTCGGTTTCGTCGGTGGCATCAAGCATCTCCTCCGTGGCCGCCACGGCGGACGATTCCGTCAGAAGCAGTCTCTCGAGCGACCTCAGCAGTCTTTCTTCGCGCGCCAGCAGTGCTGAGAGCAGTATTGCAGCCCAAGTCACGTCCGCCATCAACTCGGCGAACAGCGCCGTCGGCTCTTTTGTCTCTTCCGTCACTAGCACCGGCACTGCCACTGGGAATGCTGCTGCCAATACTGGAAACGCAGCTGTCGGATCATATGCTGTCCCAGCAGCAGGTGTGCTAGGAGGAATTTTCTTGGGAGCCGCTGCTCTGTTGTAAGATAACCGCATTATGATCAGTGCCATTATGGGATTCAAGAGCGAGGGTAAATGGCGTATTGGAGATATGTGGATCGAGATTACTGGACCCGTTCGTACCGCAGAGTATGAGGTAGATATGATTTGTACCTGAAATGCGATGATAGAATGCACCCACCTTGCCTCAACGTAACGCACTCCCTCGTTCAACTTGCAAAGTCCTTCATGTGACCTTAGTCAACGTCTCAAGCATTTCAAGGCAGGTATTACAGTAGTGGTTGCAATCACCCAAGCCTTCACGCTACACTCGTCGGATTCCAGCCTTGTCGTGGCAGACAGTCCCTCGGTCATCAATCAATAAATATGGTTGATATTGGACGTCTCCTCTACAAAGATGTGTCCCTTTGCATCATAATTCCGTAACAATCTCTTGAATCTGTAGACCAGATCTTTCCAGGCGTAGTGAAGCCGGTGATGAGACATGGTACCTGACGGCAAAATCACTGTGATCTTCTCCAGCAAAGTGCCTCTCGAGTGGTCGAACTTACATAATCCATAAGAGGTAAAGCGAGTGACATTAACTAAGCTGTATGTATACTCATTGTTCAGGTACGGTGCGGCAGACATGAGGGGGAAAAGGGTCCGACAAGGAGTAGTTGTAGACATACTTGTAACTTTTGATATGAGAGGGCAATGGATATCATCGAGAAGCTTTGAACTTTACAAGATCAAGCACTTTGAAGAACACCCAATAGGGGCACCCTATTCCGGAGAACGCTTCTGACGGCTTTACTCCATACTCCTGGAATATCTCAGACATGAATGATGGAGAATATGCCAGAAAGGTACTACCCCCTTTTGCTCGAAGGGCCACAATATTCAGACTTACTGTTCGACCTGAGAGTTACACTTACCCATGAGCAGAACATATTCAGGAGGTAAGCACCTCACCGCTCTGAAATCCAGAATAAGAGGACTCGAACTGCTGGATGATGCGATCGTGTTTGGAGATTGAACAAGGATGGCATCTTAGAGTAGCTCGCCCACCGACTTGGTTCGTCCAAGCAGCTGCTACCCAAAGCCGGCAGTTATCAATCCCGTACGCACTGCAAAGTGCCCCATAATCGCACATTGTAGGCTTGCAGAATGAGGTTCAAAGTACGTCATAGCACTGAACGCCACCTCTTTCCTCCCGAGGCATAATTCGTATAGGGAGCAGCAATGAACGGTAGATGACAGTGGGTGAGGATAGCTCTAACTTGGCTCGGACACTTGGAGCTCCTCTTCATCGGGCACGTACTGATCTTCGTCGTGCATTGAGGGAGATTGTTGAGTGAGGCGCCACAAACCTGTCTCCCATTGCACAGACATTTTGATCCAACCAGGGTAACATATTTGAACAAGACTTGCCGTCAGCTATGCTAAATGGTCAACCCCATCTGAGGTCGATCGTTTGGAAAGCCTGAGCGGTAATGTGCATTCCGAGTAGGGGCTGCAACGGAATTAGTCTTGAGGTTGGGCAGAAACAGGTGAAAGCCGTGAGCGACCGGGGGAAATCAGCATAAAACAAATTGCTTTCGATTTGACGCGATACTTTCTGTGATACGAAGGAGAACATGTGCTTTTCTGCAGGCTGCGTTGAGTAGCGGTGCTGTCAAGTATTGCAAGGTCTCACAATGTGGTATACCAAGCAGGTGAACAAACGTAGCAACAGGTGCTTCACCACATCCATCAGGCTCTCGTCCATTTCAACTTCAGAAGACTTAGTTAGGTAATTTGACACGATGGTGCATCCCAAGTCCTGTTCCCATCGTATTCGTTAGCGCCGTGGTGGTGAATGATACCTCGATCATAGAGCCGAAATGATCAGCGCCCCAGTTGGGCACAAAGTGACTTCATTCTGGTCGGTCAAGGAAGGAAGTCCCAAGATCACGGCCCAATAGTAAATTGTGGATATCGGTTCGAACGCTAGTGTAGAAAGCTTTTGAGGCTATGCGATTAGGAGGACGGCGTCTTCAACTTCAACCAGCATCAGTTGGTTGAAGTGATGTGGTGATTCACGTGATATGGCAATTCACCCTAAGATACGGTAGTTCGAATTGCCTTACTCGTGCTGCCAGTCGATGAAAAGACCCTTGAGCTTGGAGCATTGCCTTAGTGATTGCTCTATTCTGGACTGTACTTTCAAGCTCGAGGCGACCGGAGCAAAAGCAAAACCTGGTACCCCTCTGGACAGCTGTTTACCGAGGGAGACATCCTGACACCGGAGGGTAACAACTCTGCCCGTCAGCCGTCCTATCCACAAGTCATCATCACATTTACGGAACTTGCCAGAGGTAATAACAGCATTGGAGATTGGAAACAACGTTCCATATGACGGGGCACGACGGAATGTTTAGGGAGTATTCGTTACCAGAATCTGATGAAGAGTTGTCAAAGGAACGATGTGGCGCAGAGCCAAAATGAGGCGTTTCTGACTCTCTCGTCCTGTCACTCCCAAAAACTTGATTGGCACCCTCAAGAAGCGAGTGGATATCCCAGCCAGGGTGGTCTCTGTAAGCGGTGGCTTGGCTGTCACAGCGGCCAGAATGAGTGTGGCACACCAGAATGCAATCCACCTTGAAAATGTCCGCCTCAAAATAGTACCCAGGAAGAGGACTGGCTTGTCTCTGGGCATGGACTTGGAAACCTCTGACCTCATTTCTCGATCAAGGTGTCCAGCGCCCGAGTTTCATGGAAGGTGGGCACATGGGTGACCATTGGACTGTGGTCATCTGAGCAATTCCCCTGGGAGCGCTTGAGTCGAAACCAGGGAAGCAGGGGTCGTACTTTCTCCAGGCTACAAAAATGCCCCCAGTGGCAAAAAGAAGGTGCCACTTTACTGCCAAAAGTGCTCTGCTTTAGTGCTTAACACTGTCAACGCAGGAACGGTAGCCCTGCGATAGGGTGTCACTGAAATGCTAGGCTGCTTTCAGCATGCCCGGGTTGGACCAAAAGACCCAGCTGAATCATTCCCCGGGCACTAGATTGGGTGGTCCTTGAGGTATCCGTAGCGAAGGTATCCCAAGTACAGGACCTCGTACCTCGTACTGTCTCTATCCGTAAGCTGGGACTCTTCAAACATCCAAGGTTGTTAGGTATCTGCCTACGCATTACTGCTCCATACGGGTATCGAGGTCGCACCTAGAGAGAGATACTTACCTCGTACTGAGGTGTGTGTCACTCACCTCGTCACCCACCTCGGACCCGGACGTGCTGTGTGGGTTTTGCACAGATGTGAGAAGCGTCCATACCAATTCCACGTCCTTGTTCCACGTCATCTCATTCCCTTCCCCTTGCTTTCCCTTGACTTGCAATTACCCAAGTCATAGCCCCCGTGCTCATACTCAGTACTGTAATATCCCGCACGCTATCCCGTTGCTTCGGAACGGAGCCTGAGTACGAGATGGCTCTCCATGTCTTTTTACTACTGGTGAATTACTGCCCAATAATTCGCATTCCGTAGAACAAAGTCACTAAACTGGCGCTCCATGTCACTGACCCCTGTCCTGTCCTCCATCTCCTCTGCCATGATAGTGATGCTGCCTGAAGCTTGTTCTTTGGATTCGTCCGTGTCCACTGTCCACAGCCTGAGTCTTCTTGTCCCTCCCCTTCCACTGTCAACGCCTTGATTGCGGATCCTGCCGTTGGGAGGAAGGAATCTTGGGTCTCTTGTCCACCTGGTTACCCGGTCTGCGACCCTCCGTCACTTTGAGTCACCAGTGCACACCTCTAAACTTTTTAGATTCAGTTGCCTGATGCTGCCTGATGCCACCAGCCAAAATACTCCATAACTACTCTTATAGCCCACTGAGGCTGGTTGTCCCCGGTTCCCACTGTTCTAATACTCATATAAATAATTCCTGACAACCTCTTGAACCTTCAATTTCGCCTCTTCATCACCATCACCAAAGAACATTCCACGCCGCCGTCTCCAATCCGTCAATCTTCCGCAGCCCAAATCCGTCAACCCCTTAGCAATACTAGCCCAAACCCGCCCCCACCACCTTTACAACACCACTTTTAGAACTTGGCCACTTCCTAAATCCATCCATCAAGACCAAAGACTGACTCATTACCATTGCCCGACTCCATTCCACTGTCTATTGAGTGCAAACTTATAAGAGTCCAAGTCATTCAACCAAGGTCTTCTCTATTCCACATCCACACTGAAAGCAGTCGCTGTCCAGCCTTACACAACTTCAACTCAACCAACACAACAAAATGCCACACTATCACAGCTCTTCAAACTCGAGCAGTGGTGCTGAGAGACTATACCACAACCCTCGACGTGAGGGCCGAGATCGCAAGGAGCCTCGCCCAGCACCCAAACGTGAGGTCGTTGTCATCCATCACAACACTACCACTCGCGATGATCCTGTACGAACCTCAGGCATGAGCCACAACAGATGGAAGTAAATCACCCTCCTACTACCTCAGGGAGAGCCTGGTGTTCTCCCTTATTTACGCGTTGAACTCTACGACATCATTTTGGGAAATCTAAGGAATTTGGGCATACTTGATACCAAGCGAGGGAGTTATTCGGAACCTGCATCAGGACATTTATCGCAGTGCACATTGGGAAATCGACACAGGAATTGCATCGACACGGAATTGGATTTATCTTTGATACCGGCACCTCATCACCACTCTTCGAGAGTTTCGGAATATTGAAATGGGGGATTTCATTTGTTTGGGTAGGATTATTCGGAGCCACGTACTGTCGTGAGCCATCATCTTTGTATCACTCTACACCACGGACCATCCTGCTTGCGGTACTACAATCAACCATCAGCTTCTGGATTCTCGTTGGAATAAGGGCATTGTCACAACAGTCTGGAATAGAAGGACAAGAAAAAGGACGCAAGTCTGACTGTACGAGTTATCGTTATCGCCTGTCTATTGTTAGCTAGTTTATCGATTGTGACATCGGGAAGCCTATCGATAATGTGCCAATTATACCGTTACTGGTAAATTACATTGATTATTTCTACGCTCTTCACATTCCCTTCGCATGTTTCCGGCTCAATTTCCATGTTCTCACAATCTCTATAATGTTTCGAAACACCTCATGAGAACTCTTCCAAACAAATTTCAAGGCTGTGATCGTCAGATGGAGCATTTCAATGCGTCCCAAGATCGCCGCATGAAGCACCCGATCGTCTATCAACCTGAAGTGATCTGCACAGCCTTCGTCTCCAATCAAAGTGACGGATGAGGCGGCGGCTTAGCTGGATCCAAGTTAGCTGCGCATCGCCAGGTTGTGGATCTCCCACCTGGGGGGCATTGGGCTGCGGCATGATGGTTGCACCCGTCTTTGAGCCACCGAACCCTCCTGCAATTTAGGGCTCTCGGGTCTGGTTAGTACCATGCCCCAGTCTGAAGGGTGGTCCCTTAAGGCCGTTTGAACCCTTTGGGATACTTGGGATGCCACCTTCACATGCATTCTGCATCCCAGGACCGCGTCACCGAACCCGTTGGAGCATCCTGTCCAGTGTCCACAGCTCCGACCTCAAAAGGGTGTGCTAGCTTCACCTGGGCGGAACTTTTGTCACCACGGGCCAAACTGTCACAGGGAATTGCTGACAGTTGAGCCCGGCACTTCGAACTTCAAGGTCCAAATGCCCACAATCCTGGGCCCAATCGAACAGTAAAGAAGGCTTTCGAAGGATGCAGCCCAACCCGACATTCTTATCCACAATGAAGCGCCGTGCAGAAAAAACTTCGGCTGCTCATCCACGAAACCAACCATGTTCCGGCTTCCTTCATCGCGTGTCTCCTCTGAGTCATCCGGGTTGTAGTGATGGGTCGAGTGCGAATCCGGAAGAAGCAACTTAGCGATGGCTGCAAGACGAGATCACGCGCAGGTGCACTCTCTCTCCGACTTGCTCTTCAAGTACCACGCATGAAGATCTGCCATCCGCTGTTGACGGCATTCACTCCACCTTTGCTGTCTGGATAGATTCAATGGACCTTGCAGCATGCAACCTCATCGTCAAGTCGCCAGCAAGCGCTCGTCGTCATTCTACATCTGCCTGTCATCCATCACCCAACGTACGGATAGCGACTGCTACAGATCAAGTCTTGGCTGCACTGCCTCCACAAGCATTGCCATGTGCCTGTCACTGTAATGTACTTTGTCTAGGTGGGTTGGGTACAAACGCAGCTTTCCTCAATAACAAATCTCCACGTGTGTAACAGCAGGTACTCACTGGCTTCTGGCTTCATATATCGGTTTTCCTACCCATGAAGGAATTGCTCAGCCTCCTAGCCCAGCATGCCAAACATCATGAGTTGCCTAGTCATCAATTGATTTCTGGTGACAAGGAACCTCTAATCAGTTGTCTTAAGGTGTTGTGGAGGTATAAATACTCAGAGACACGTGGAATTTCTCACTGGACTCCAAATACTCCTTACGTCGAATACTAAGTATGCTCTCTGATGGTCAGTATTGACACAGCTTGACGGTCACAACTCCTGCAGGGTGAACATACGCTACGTCAAAAGTCTGCCTTCTCAGGGCTCTTGGTGCACATGCTGGCAAGTAGACCACCTCAATGATAGATGTGTTACAAACAACATTTATTGCCGTACTTCCTTGGCCAGCACACCTATGCAAATACTCGAATGAGTATGGACTGGAGAAACTTTGTAGGGCACGATCCTGTTCGAGAGTTCCATACATCCTCCACAATATGAGCGCCCGAGGCTTGTGAGATATCTATTGATACAACAGCTTTCGGTGAGTTTCGGTGTGGTGAGCCAGTGGTACTTGCATCTCCAACATAAACTCCGAACACCACTGCAGGTAAGCTGCACAGGCACAGCGACTTACTTACCGTAGCTGTGCGCGGGAATCTGCAGATCAGTAACTCAAGCCCCATCTTTCACCGCCAATCCTTTTCTTGGGCCGAACGATTGCTTCGACTCGGGTCACCACCACTCCTACTAATGAATTAGCCGTCGTTCAGAACGTCCACCATAGAATTTTGAACAAAGCAATCTTCTTGTCAAGACTTCATCTCTCCGTCATCGAGTAGGTCTGCATGAACATCAGCTTGGAAATCTAAGCCTAAAGCAAGCAACCGCACTCACTCTTGAACAGCCTTCTCCCCGCCAATCTCTTGACAACCTTATTAGAGAACCTTTGAACTCTCGGAGCAGATATCAAGAATCATGGCCCCAATCTGTGCCATTCTATGCGGCCGAGAGCCGAAATTGGTCGACTTCATGAAGACCGCTCTCGCACCAAAGATTGAAAGTGAGTATCTATTTGCCCTCTCCAGAAGCAATAGTCAGCATGCGTATCCCTTCTACCCATGAAGACCCAACAAATAAAGTTGCCCTTCACCAACGACACTTGCTTATCGTCCGCAGTCGTCCTCGTGTGCTCATCGACCGAAGCTGCACTCTCCGAGATTCCGGAACGACTGAAAAGCGATAATGACCAACAAGTCTCTCTTATCCTCGTTGGTGGCCTCTACCCACCGGAGGACGTCGAGAAGATCAAGGCCGCTGCCGATGCCGTGCGACCTGTGGCATTCTTCGTCGCGGACAGGAGCAAAATCCCAGCTGGTGCGACTGGTCCGCCGCCTCCAGAGATCATCAAGCAGCGTATCCTGGGCGCCGTTGAGGCAATGCAGACTTCTGAGGGCGTGTGGGAGCCGACTGTGCATAAATTCTAGATGAAGACTGCCTGAACAAGGTGGTCAATGTCAGTATGGGTCAGAAGCGTTGCTTACGATGCGCGGGGAAAAGCCACCAGGATGGTAGGTATCGTCTAGCGCTCGAATAGAACATGTCTTGAACCTTCCCCATTTATGCGATGCTGTTCAACCCATGCCATCGGCCTAACACTATGTCCTTTAACCAGAATGGCTGAGCGTTAGAGAAGATCACGCCGAAGGCTTTGCTGTGAGACCAGGATATAAGCGATCTATACCCTATCTACCATGAACTCATGTTTTTCTCTGACGCCTTGGCTCAGAGCAATCCAAAAAGCTTAGATTGTGACTATATCGAGCGGCCATATAAGTAGGAGACGAAATGCTTCAGCCTGACTGATCTCTTTTCCTTTTCCAAGACGTAACTCGTCGTGATCAAATAACAACAACTACTACTACTACTACTACTACTACTACTACTACTACTACTACTACTACTACAAGACGATTTGTTTGAATGAAAGTATGAAATTTTATTCGGTGTGGAATTGAATGGCCATATCCAACTCAGAAATATTGTCGGGTTCGGGTGTCCCTTGAAGATTCTTGATCCGTCTAAAGTTATTCGTCTCAGTCACCCCACGAAGTTGATTCTCTTCGACAATTCAAATTCGAAAGTCAACACAGTGACGTCCAACTTCGGCTCTTCTATATGATGTTGTTCGACAGTTCAGCTCGATGATAGACATAGGCATTCGCGTTACGAGCAGAGAACAATGAGATGTCGTCCCAAGACGAGCCGCCGAACTCAACCCTCGTCGCAAACGGGATCACGTACAACGCCACAGCCTTGAAATTCTGGAACTACACACTATACTCCAACGGCACACTATCCAACGGCAGCGAATGCTATCTCGTCTTCGACGCATACCGACCGATCCTGACATCCGCAACAAACGGCACCTTCGCCAACACAACCTCATGCTACACACCTGTCAACGCCATCGGCGCGCGGGGCATCACGGGTCTCGTCTTCGGCTCGCTGTTCGCGCTCTCGATCGTCTTCTCGACCATCAATCTGCGCAAGCACGGTCGAGCGTACCTGCCGCGTGAGAGGCGCTGGAAGCCTGTCGGTCGCCGCTGGCCGTGGTACTGGACGATTTTCGTCGCCGCCTGTGCCTTGTTGAGCTGTTTTACCGCCGTGGATGTCGATAGGGATTACATTGTTAATCTACCGTTGATTCTACAGAGTTTCTTCCTGACGCTGGCTGTGCCGACGGTATTGGCTTGCGTGTGGGAGGCTGTTAGGAGCTGGTATGCTTTTTGCATTATAGTTTGCTATTCTGTGTGCTATTTGGCTAATGGTTGCAGGACATCATTTAAGCATCGTCAGATTCATGATGCTGACCCCTTTGCGTTCCGGCCTACCGGAACACACGCAAGGCTTGAATTCTACCTCCCGCTTGTCTTCTACGCCTTTGACTGGATGGTCTTTTTCCTGGTCATCCCTCGTGGATGGACTTTTGTGCAGAAGCAAAGGTCCATAGAGCAGACATCTTCGTCAGCCATTCCGGCAGCTCTGGACGGCCGGTTCAAAGCCGGGTCGATTTTGGCGGTCATGTGTCTGGGTTTCACTGTGTTTCGTTTGGCATATAGTAGCCGTGTCTATAATGTTCGTATTCCGGGAGTGTTGTTGCAAGTTGTCCTTCTGGTGGCCATCAGACTGGCATATATGTTTGCAGGATCATGGGTTTGGCAGATCTCGCCGTACAGATTAGATGTCAACATCGGATGGTTGTATGGACTCGGCTATTCGCCGATCCTCCTCATCCTATGCCTGCTGAATCTGCGGGGTTATATGAATGAAAATGAGGAGAAGGTCTTGATTGCTCAACGAGCTTCGAGAGGCGATGAAGGTGGCATTCCCCTGGAGTCGAGATCGCATGATTACGCTCGAAGAGGTGCGGGTGGAGCGTCTCCTAGCTCTTGGTGGTCGAGATCCGGTGGCACAATACCACATCGGGGCCAATCTTCCAAAAAATCCATATCGCCAGCGGTCAAGGACTTCAGCACAGGAAACATCCCAAACGACCTGCGTGTCGGAGAGGATGAGAGTGGGGGCTCCTGGTGGCGGAAGCGCCAGCAGGAAGAAGTCGATCCAAGACGACGTGTATCTCAGGCTGAAGGGCGACCAAATCGGTCACGCTATGATGGTGGAAGCAGCGAGACCAGTTCCAGAACACAGCGCAGATGGCTCGGGGAGTCCGCCTCCAGTATCGGCACAGTAAGTCAAAGTAGACTGGACAACAGTGGTCGGAGCCACGCCTCATCGATGCATTCATTGCAGTCTCGACCTCAGGCCGTGAGAAGTATGTTGGATGTGTAGAATGCATGTCAACATTGGCAATTTCCGACATGTTCATTGTGTATCGTCCTGCTCATCTCCTGAAGCTGGTTGTACGTACTTCGCATGCTCCCATTCGGATACCTGTGCCTGCTAATTGATTCGAATGTTCTCCAATCTCTCAATAATGCCGGCTAGCTCATCGAGGCTTTTTCTTGCTCCTTTGATCTGTTCCCTCAACTCTGCCAGCGCCTCTATTTCCTTATTCGCGATGAATCGATCCAGGTGTCTGCGGCTGCGGAGATCCAGTTTGTTAAAGTGAGATGGGGCAACGAGCTTGGGACCAGAGGATTTTTGTGATGCGTGACGCGAGCAATGGACTATAAGCCGCTGGCCAGGCACTTTTACGAAGCGAGAACGTAACATGACAACGATGATGCTTTGATCAGCGAGGGCGTTGTCACAAAATGGGCTCGAGATCGTGCAATGTGATGTTTGCAGATTCGGATAAACTCCGGGCCTAAACGAGGCTGACCACACAGGCTTCTGACAAGGCTGACCAATGGCACCCTAGAGATCGACACCAGTGACTGCGCTCCAATTTGGTTTCTCGACTCGGTATATTTCATTTTCCTGTAAGTAAAGCAGTTTTTCGATTGCATAACCTCAATCTCGTGATGCTATGGCAGGTGGCCAGATCGACACGGATCCCTCGCGGCCTTCTGAGGCATCGACCCACGAACAGACTCTTCGATGATATTGTGAGAAACGGCGTCCTCGCGACTCCCCAGAAGCAATCACTCTCTACGATTCCTTCGCATGCCAACCCTTTCGCTCGACAACCCGGAGCGCAGAACGGCACCCCAGTGAAAGAAGAAAAGACAGGCGGCTCTACATCTACACATGGCCGTAAGGTGATTGATGGGTTGGTGCGCAGCATCAGGAAGCAGAAGCGAGTGGCCTTTGCAAGTATCGCGGATGGCACGACACTCGCTCCTCTCCAGGCAGTCTTCAGTGACCCTAAGCTGACAGAGAATATCTCCAATGGGGCCTTTGTATCTTTACAGGGTAACTGGGTACCGTCTCAAGGAGGTGGCCAGCAGGAAAATGAATTGCAGGTGGAGAAAGTTTTGATGATCGGCGATGGCGATACAGTCGAAAATCCAATTCAGAAAAAGGCAATGACTACGGGCTTTCTTCGAACCGTGCCCCATCTTCGAATGCGAACCGACTTTCAATCTCTTCTCCTCCGTGTCCGCAGTATGTTGGTTTCCAGCATGCAGACTCATTTCTCTGAGACTCAAAATTCTGACCGTCCGATCTATCTGGTGCATCCTCCTCTAATTACGTCGTCTGACTGCGAAGGTGCTGGAGAAGTTTTTACACTCTCGCCTAAGAGTACAAAGCCTGCGCCTTCTGATTCGAATGAAGGTGTTACAAAGAATGAGTTGTATTTCCGGGACCCGAAATATTTGACTGTTTCGTCACAGCTCCACCTCGAAGCATTTTGCGCTCAACTGGGTGCAGTCTACGCCTTCTCACCCACATTTCGTGCGGAGGAGAGCGATACTCCACGACATCTGGCAGAATTCTACATGCTGGAAGCCGAATATAGGAATATGGATCTGAAGCAGATCATGCACGGCGTGAAATCGCTGGTGCAGGAAATGACCACAGCTCTCATGAACCACCATGTTGGTCGGGAACTGGTAAAATACTATGCCGATAAGAATCGTAAAGCGCCGGCCGACGAGATCGTAGATCCAAGCGGTCGATGGACTCAGTTATTGGGTGAATGGCGCACTATTGAATATACTGCAGCAGTATCATTACTTGAAGAAGCCAATTCTGCAAAAGGAGGGAAGCTATTCACGCGTCGTCCAGTATGGGAGCATGGCCTACAATTGGAACACGAGCGTTGGCTTAGCGAACACTTTGCCGACAATCGGCCTGTTTTTGTCACAGATTACCCGAAGGTTGTCAAGCCATTCTACATGCTTCCATCCGGATTGAGCACAGAAGACAACAGTGCAGAGCGGCCCTCTGAGTCCAAAGAGACGGTGGCATGTTTTGACCTTCTGCTCCCCTACGGCTACTGTGAAGTCGCTGGAGGAAGCTTGAGAGAACACCGCCTACCAAATCTTGTTTGTGCCATGCGTGAGAAAGGATTACTTCAAAAGGTTGAGCCTGGAACCGTGGAGCCATATCCATACTTGGAACCTGAAGAGAGTCTTGGGTCGTTGAAATGGTATGCTGACCTGAGAAGGTTTGGGAGCAGTCCGCACGGTGGTTATGGCCTTGGATTTGATCGGTTACTGGCATACCTCACTGGGGTGGCCAATGTGAGGGATGTCGTTGCATTTCCCCGTGTTTGGGGAAAGGCTGATTGTTGAGGCTTTTGGCGAAAGAAGCCGCGTGCCATGTTTCCCCGTATCACAGCTCCTACTGTTCTAATAGTTGTACAATACAAAGTATCTTCACAGAGGAGATTGTATCACCCAAACATCTCTATTTCGTCTGCGAAAGACCCCTACTGGCCGACCTTGGGCCTAAGTGGTTAGCCCAAGCCTTTTCCCTTCTTGGCAAGGCTGACATATAATCAATTCATCTCGAATCTTTCCCCTCACTTTGTTGACTTTCTGTAAGCACCTTCTCGCCACGAGCCATAGTTTGTTCATGGCATCGTCTGAGCCTGACAACCTACCAAATGACTACTCGATAACATCAGCAGGGGCCACACAAATCTCTACACCTCCTGTTGCTCAGACATTGCCAGACCAGTGCGTCATCTGCCTCGACGTAATCACTGAGAAGGCAATCGCTTTACCCTGCCGTCATGAACAGTTCGACTTCCCTTGCCTAGGCCAGTGGCTGCAGCATCAGCAGGTGTGCCCATTATGTAAAGGCGAAGTCAAGGCGATAAGATATGACGTTCATGAGAAAGACAGCGGAGGTAGCAAGACATTCTATCTTCCGCCACCCGTTGAACAGACTGCGCCACGCAGTAATATCGAAGCCTTAGCTGTTCGTCACAGATTTAGGCGAGCGAGACATCAGCGGCACTTTTCAAGACCCTGGGACGGAGCACGGCCTGGTCAGCGACCACCTGGAGAATCGCGCCGCACGGGTCTCGCCTTCCGCAAGGTCGTTTACCAACATGGGCTCTTCTCCCTCCACGTCGGCTCAAACCGGATCTCACGGTACAGAGCGATCAAACCTACCTCTTTCCAACAGGACGACAATCTAGTCTCTCGAGCGAGAGCGTTTGTCCGTCGCGAACTCTCTGTCTTTGACTTCCTCAGTCCCGACTCAGAATCCTTGCCCTCTTCCTCCTCGTCGTCTTCGTCCACAGGTACACGTCGTGCCAATAATGCCGACTTCCTCCTCGAGTACATCATCTCGATCCTGAAATCCATTGATTTGAAGGGCAGTACTGGACAAGCAGAAGAGCTGTTGACAGACTTCCTGGGAAGAGACCATGCACGGCTGTTCATCCATGAGTTACAAGCCTGGCTGAGAAGTCCATACGAGAGACTCGAGGATTGGGATCGCAACGTTCAATATGCCGTCCCTGACAGTGCTCTGGAAGGCGATGATGCAAGCCATTTGCACATCCAAAATGGCAAATCTCAACAGCCGCTTCGCCATGCAAGTGCATCCGCGGGCGGCGTACCGAGATGGTTTTCTGACCGATTTGTTCTACGAGACAAAGCAAGGGCAACCTCAACAGCTATACCGTGAGCACCCTGTTGTGAGTGCAAATGATATGACTCAGACCAGCATCAAGGCGTTGTAAGTTCTGTGGAATCTTGACTGTATGCCTCTATGATGACTGTCGCAGACTACTCCTTTACTTCGGGACAGTTTCCAACAAGCCCTCGGCTAAGTCTACGATTCAGCTGCCCACTGCTCGTTCTGCAGTTTCGTAGATTACGACCAAGGTTACAGCTGGTAACGAACATGTTGTCTCGCGAAAAGATCGCATTGTTCGACTTTTTCGCAAGGTCTTGGTCACGAAAGTCAACAACATATTCCAGACTTGTACTCTGGAGTGATTGTGGATTTAGAGTGAAATACGACAGAAATTTCGCATGGCATCTATCCAGTACCCAATTATCCTCGGTTGCATACCCATTTTTCTTTTGAGGTGTGATGATCCAGTTTGCCACGAAGTCCATACTAAACCCCAGCGCTTCCGATAATGTCATTGAAGGAGGTTAAGAGTGATTGTAATTTTCGTATTGCTACGCAAACTTATCACCTGGAAGCAGGACAATCTGGACCTCAGTTGTACAACCTAAGTGAGGACTTAAGCCCCAGTCGACTCGCTTGCTAATGGCGGGTTTTCATACATGACAGGCGAAAAGACACAAGGCTGCTTGACAGGCCGAATCGCTCAGCCGCTTGGCCTGCCACACCTTGCACTGCGCGGCCAATCATGCGCGATCTGCCACGCTGCCCGACTATCACGTGGGGACTATCTTGTCGCTACTGTCCATTCCCAGCCTTACAACTCAACTTCACTTCTTCGACAGTTTCGAAAGATATACCATTCTTCTCTCAGATGGCGGAAGTCGCGGGACTTGCGTTAGCTGGCAACATCATCCAGTTTGTGGATTTCGCGATCAAATTGTTCAAGGAAGGACAGGAGCTATACAGCTCTGCAGAAGGCGTCTCCACGGAAGCCCTTGAACTTGGGTCGATCACGCAGGCTGTAAAACAGTATGCACAAGTACTCCATGCCAGCTCATCAGTGAAGAACACGTCCAGAGGAGGTCTTGCAGATATAACTCACCAGTGCGAGGCTCTGGCGGATGAGCTGCTCTCCCTCCTTGAAGAATTAAGGGTCAAAGACAATCAGAGCCGAAAATGGGCCACTTTCAAGGTTGCTGTGACTTCCATTCGCAAGAGCCGGACAATTGCGGATCTAGAGAAGCGGTTGAGTCGCATGCAAGCACTGATGAGCCAGTTTGTCATCAGTGATTTAAGGTTTGCAACCTTAAGCCTGCCAGCATCGGAATTGTTTTGATAGGACTGCAGGCAACAACAGTCGATCTTGCGGAGTGATATCCGTCTCCTACGACAGCAGAATGATGCGCTGGAAGCCAACACCGTTTCCAAGCTGGACGACATTGTCTCGCGGCTCAGCAGCCAAGCGGAAGACAAATCCTCCCCCGCGGTAACGCTCGGATTGACTGCATTAGCCGACACCAGTGAAGTAGTAATCAGAAAACAGCGAGTGCTACGGCGTCTACACTTTGGCAGTATCAGAGTCCGATACGACACCGTCAAACTGGCCCACGCCGAAACATTCAAATGGATATTCGAGAATTCTCATAGCAACTTTCGAGATTGGTTGCAATCCGGCGACGGTGTCTACTGGATCTCAGGTAAAGCTGGCAGTGGCAAGTCTACACTAACGAAGTGGTTGCTCAATCCAGATGGTGGCCGCGACTCTACACTGTCAAACCTTCAGGCATGGGCAACGACCAAAAAGTTAAATGTCGGATTCCACTTCTTTTGGAACTCTGGGTCGTCCCTTCAAAAGTCCGAAGAGGGCCTGCTGCGGTCCATATTATTTCAGCTATTCAAAGACGTCCCAGCTTTCATGGAAGAGATTTGGCTTCCATTGGATGAGTTTGATGATGACTGGAACCTTGAGCGTTTCCGCACAGCCATCCGACGATTATCGCAATCACAACTTCTAGAGGATCGAATCTGCATATTTATCGACGGTCTAGACGAGTACAGTGGTGACCATCAAGACTTGATATCGATCATTCAAAACCTAGCATCGAATCCATCTATCAAAGTATGTGCCTCGAGTCGACCCTGGAATGCCTTCATCAGTGCATTTGCAAAGAGCGTCAACAAAATCAAGCTGGAAGATTTGACCCGAGACGATATCAAGAAATATGTGACAACAAACCTGGCAGAAGACATCAACTTCAAGGAGCGCGAATCTTTGGAGCCTCTCTTGAAGACAATTGCCGATGATGTAACTGCAAGAGCCCAAGGTGTCTTTCTATGGGTGCATCTTGTCGTACAGTCTCTAAAGAAAGGTCTTATTGACGGAGCCAGGTTACCCGAAATGAAAGCGCTGCTTGATTCTCTCCCAAGTGATCTGGAGCAATACTTTCAGCATATGATTGAATCGATTGAGCCACAGTATCGCCAAGAATCAGTGAGGATATTCAAAGTTGCCACTGTTGCGCGTCAGCCACTTCCACTGGTTGCATATGAATTTATCGAGCGAGAACAAAGTGATCCTGAATATGCACTTCGTGGCCCTGTGAAACTATACAGTGAAGATGAAATTGAGAATATTCATCACATGATGAGAAAGCGCTTGAATGCTCACTGCAAAGATTTACTCGAGGTTGTACAGGACAAAGCCACTTCCCTTCCCCCACTATGGTGCTACACGGTCGATTTTCTTCACAGGACTGTACAGGAGTTCTTTCGCAAGACAGACTGTACATTTGAGACCTTTGGGAAGTGGAAGCCCGATGATTTCGATGCTGAATTGTCCTTGTTACGACTATCGGTTGCGTCTGAGAAGGCTTCCCCACCAGCTAAGGAATATCAAAATGTCCATCCATGGGGTCATACGATTAGTGACGTTCTGGACACTGACTTTTTCGTGAATGCATGTAAGTACTACGCACTGGCGATCGAGGACCAATGCGCTCAGGAGAGTGGACAGAAGGAAAGATTGAAGCAGGAATTCACCTTGCTTGATGAGATGGAGAACGTATTGGTCTCTAAGCATGGCATTGATTCCAAATTTGAGGTCGACTATTGCTACAGAAGCGAGTTAGTCGACAGAAATGACTACCTTTTAGGATCGATGATCGGCGCTGGCCTGATGCGCTACGTCGCTTACAGGTTGGAAGATCCTCATATCAATGAGAGGATAGCGAGGCCTCTTCTGGGTTATGCTCTACCAATGGAAAATAACCTTAATCCATCAATGGTCAAGTTGCTTCTACAGCGGGGAGCCAATCCCAACGAGCGCTTCTTTCCTGACACTAGGCTAAGCAGAGAAGCGTCTGTGTGGGCGGAGTATTTGGGGAATCTGCCGACGAAGTATATTGAGTCCTCGAGGAATGAAGCGTCCGCTTCATTTCTCCCTGTTTTGCGGCTACTGCTTGAGCATGGTGCTGATCTTGACGAGCTACAATGGGTCTTGCGCCCGGCGAACAATTACGGGAGAGGGCATTTGAAACAAATTGTGGAGTCGAGCGAGATCGTAGAACTACTTGAGTCACTGAAGGCGAGCCGTCGGAACGACAAATCAGTCTTGAAGAGGTTTACGAACAAAGCCAAGCTTCTGTTAAAGGGCACCAAGAAGTAGCCAGAGGATATATAGCTCCAGGACATCTGACGAGGCCGCACAGCCAGGACTGCTTTGAGTGGCGTGAATCCTCACGGGTCAGCACAGTCGAACAACGATTCAATGTCTGCGGCAACGACAGGCGACCTAGTTACCTCCTCTACCTACCAGTGTATTTATATACACACCTCAAACTGTCTTCGGCAAATGGAGCGAGGCCGCTGTAATTAAGCACATGATGCAGCATGGAGGAGGCCGTCCAGCCCGTCTTACAGGACCTATATAGGTAGATACCGTCGAACCTATACAGAAAGAAATCGACTTACTTTGTTGGCCCTAAGTTCCAGTACGGTTAAACTAGGTGGCAAGGTGATAGATCTTGAGGATGCATTTGTAGGAGTAGACTATCTGTCTCAACCAGTGCCTTCTTACGTGGGGGGTTTCGCCAAATAACATCACCGGGGTTACATACGTGCCACATCTTCTGAACTACACGAAATATATGGAATACGCGCTAATGGTGATACGCACATCCCCTCCAAGAGTGGGAGAATAACCTCCTTAGATCCAGCCTTTAGATCCCGCGTGGGGCACGCGCACCACGATTGAAATCCTCTTTCTATTCGAGGGATGGAGTCGGGCAGTCAACTAGTTGGCTGCAAAGAAAAAACGTTCGCTCGCTTTATTTCACTTCTCACTTTCACTTCTACACTTTCGGCCTCAGGATGCTTGGAAGTTTAAGGGGGGTTGAAGGTTTGAGGAAGCCACCTAACTAGTTACCCACCCTGCTGACTAGGTCCGAAGACGAAGGGCCAGTTTGCCTAGGAAACCACTCTTGGTCGATCGTTGAGTTGACGCTTGCTGGTGGAGTCGGGCATGTTCTGGTTCGTTGGATACAGATACAGAACTCGACCTGGCCTCGTCTCCTCGCTTGGCTGCGTGAGCTGCTGTTGGAGTTGGAAACGTCGTGGCGAGCAGTCCAGGAGATTGTAAGCTACCAGATTGTGGATGGGCCTGCTTCTTCTTCTTGTCCTCCTCTTCCTCCTGCTGCTCGGCCTCTTGCCATCGCCGCAAGCCTTCCTTCGAGACTTTCGTGTACTCGTGCTCGACGCCTAGCGTGGTCTCCCGCAGGTGCACGCACTCCCTCATCAAAGCGATTGCCTCTTGGTTACGGCCTTGGCGGTGTAGTGTGATGGCCAGGTTGTGCATTGAGAGCAAAGTGCTTGGATGTTCCAGGCCGAAGATCCGCTTTCTGGTCTCGAGAACTTCGGCTTCCAGTGTCTCTGCGGCGTGGTGTTTTCCTTGCCGGGCTAGGACGAGGGAGAGGTTGTTCATGGCTGATAACGTGTCCCGATGTTCTCGGCCGAGGAGTTTCTGCTGTCTCTCTAACACCTCGGCGTATATGCTTGATCCCTCTTCATGCTTGCCCTGTAGGGATAGTGACATAGCATGATGCCCCATTGCTTCGAGTGTGTATGGGTGGTTTTGTCCTAGGACTTTTTGACTTCGACTAACTACTTCCTGCCCCAGGGTAAAAGCCGCTTGTACTCTGTCTAGCTCGTTCAGTATCTCAACGAGCAGGGTCATGCTGCGAAGTGTGTCAACGTGGTCGACACCCAGCATTTCTTGACGCCACTCCAACGCTTGGCGCAGGTATTTCTCGGCCTCGGTCCACTGGCTGATCTCGTTCAATGCGTCGGCAAAGTCGTGATAAGCCGTGGCCTTCTTCACGGTCCCGGTAGTAGACTTGCATTCCATCCGGCGGACGATCAAAAGGTGGATCTCCGCAGCCTCGCCATACTTGCCACTCTCAAGGAGACAAACGCTTGTCTTTGCAAGTAGATCGTATCTTTCCTCGAGGTCATCGACGAGTCCTGATCCGGTTAATGTCTGCGCATGCGGCATATACAGGCTCCATTGCTCATGCACAATGTCCGGCCTCAGGGCGTCGTAGTTTGGGAAGATCTGCGCAACCCGCCGGATCGCATTGGCCGTCCAACTGCCGAGTAGGTCTTCGTGCCTCAGCCAATTGCGGGTCGCAAGACGCACTAGGCGGTGCATGTTGTACAAGGCTCCGAAGGAGCTCCTGTCATCCGTCTTTCTTAGAAAAGAATATCCTCTTAGAATTCCGATTGCGTCGACCATGTCTTTTACTGACGGGGCAAGAGGCAGGAGCGATTGGGGAATATTCTGTTCATTTAAACAGGACATGAATGATAAGTATTCTGCAGCGAGCGGATTCCTCGCTCGGATGTTATTGAATGAAATAAGCCATGTCGTCGCCACTGGATTCTTTGCGCCCTTGTACCGACCTTTATCCACAAAATCTTCGCTCAAGAGATCAACAACGTTATCTTCTGGTTGTTTCAGTAGCTCCAAATAAACTGAGATTGACTCATCGTTTTTATTGAGATAGGATGCCGCCTGGACGATTGCCAGAGGTAGGAAAGTCAACCTCTGCAGCAGTTCTTGTGTTTCCTGAGAGTTAACAAGGATTTCTGGTTTCTCAAGTAAGCTTCGGAAGGTTGCTTCGGCCTCGTTGATGCTCATTTCCTGCAGCTCAACTACATTTCTCCCTGCCAAGGTACTTGCGATATGTCGACTCCGTGTGGTGACAAGAATTGGACCTGAAGGACTTTCTGGTAAATAATCACCAAGATTCATCTGCTCTTCACTTTCACTGGCAGAAACGCCCCAATTGTCCTCGTCGTCTGCATTATCTATGATCAAGAACCATTTTCCGGCGATTGGCAGGCTAAGGTATCGCTTGACAACAAGTTTGATGTCGGCTTGGTTTTCGTCGATCCCAGGAATTTTGAGTAGCTTGCCAATTGCGAAATAATCCCTTTCAAAGGTCAAGTTGTTTGTTGCTTCAACCCAAAAGACTGAATGCCTCGGACGCTGGACCTTTGTTCGATAGGCTAAATCAAGCGCAATTCGGCTCTTACCGACTCCACCAAGGCCAAGTGCTGCTACTACTTTGGCGCTGTCCGACCCAAAGAGTTTCGCTTCGAGTTTCTCGATCTCGTTTTTCCGACCAATGAAACTCTGGAGTTGAGACTGGAGGAAAGGGACGTACCACTGGGGTGGTATTGAATAATCTGAAAATACATGAGAAAGATCGATATGCAGACAAAATCGTTGCTGGTTTACCTTGAGCGGGAGTTGCGGGCGTTACGATCTCAGCATTCCATTCCTGCAAGAACGACCTCGCACAAGCCGCCGCAGCCGCAGCCGCGTAACATTGCCATCGCTTGTTCTTGTGACTGTCAGCGTAATCACAGACACCCTTGATGACGACGCTGGGGAAGTGGTCCCACACACCCGCGCCTTCCATCTCAAATCCAATGATATTGTCCTCCTGAGCAATTCGGTCTCGATCCCAGCCGGATTTCATCACAACGTCGGCAGAACCTATTCTGCCAATGTGTATACTGACTGCGCTCTGTGTGTTCGACGGGCCCTCCTGTCGCTTTCGGACGGCAACGCCCATCTGCTTGCACCCAAGTTCATCGCAGTTCAGCAAAATGGACTCTGGGCACCTAGATTGTTCATCCTCTGCGCACACAACGCAGAGATTACTCGTGGTGAGATTGTGATGCTTGTGGAGGCGTGACGCTTCATAAAGAAGGTCGAGGCCTGGACCCGGGCTAATGGTGTCTTTGACTGTGCGCTGTAGTTCTGTGAGATATGTGTTAATATTGGCCTCCGTCTTCTTACGATAGCGGCTTTCTCTCATCCTGGCCAGGATTGATCGAATTTCTTGACTTGGCCTTCCGTGGCTATCTTCGACCGTTGAAATCCTCTTCTCCGACATTGGGTACTGCTTCCGGAAATCGTACTGGATGATTGTCTGGCTCAGAATGACATCGCCGAGAAAAATGTCTTCGTTGCTGTCCGGTCGACGAGGTACAGCCCCACAAATGCCGACCAGCAGAGCAAGCTTGACGCCGGCAAAACTGATCCTCATGCTGGCAGCCACACTCGCGGCATCGACCTTGCCCATGTTCGGTAGGCGGGCGAGAACAACATTGTGACCACTAATCACTCCTGGGGTGTAGATATTCGGGTCACCAGGAGCCTTGGCATAGTTATAGCCCTCATCCTCCCAAAAGATATCAAAAGTACTCTGGACGAGATTTGCTTCAAGGGGTAAGGCGCAAATAATGGCAACCTCGAAGCCTGATCGATCTTGAGGGGGAAGGGGAGACATTGTGCTTCATGCGGGATATTCCACGTCCATCCGCGATACGTTCTCTGCCGGGAGCGGGCGCATTTCACATCGTTCCTTACTCACCATGGCCCATTGTGAAGCGAGACGATAGTTGCATTGATTTGAGATAGCGATTCCCAGCTCAAAGGCAATGGCTGTTCCGCGGTCTGCCAAAAATACGCGTAGGTACGAGTATTCTGAACCCTAAGGGGCAACTATACCGAGCTCTCTCGGCCTCATCGCTTCAGCCTTCTTTCGACTGGTGCATAACTGCCGATAGTGTAGGGTGGTTCATCATGGGGATTCCTTCATCATGCACAATACTGGCATAGGGCACTGTTGTGGTCAAATATCTATTTCAGAAATCGACAAAAGAGCACCAGATCTGGCGAGAACCGGATCGTGGCCCTGTTACAGGAATACAACGCCGGAAATGCGAATCAAGAATCTCAAACAATCGTAGGCATCTGCAGATCACAGCCTCGCCATCGTCTCGAAATCCGGGTCCACCAACATTTCATTGCCGGTATACATAGCCTATACTCACTCTCACTACCTTGCAAAATCGCTTACTGCTTAACCTTCAACACGGCCTTTCCAAAATTATCCCCCTTCAACATCCCCACAAAGGCCTCCGCGGCATTCTCGATCCCGACCGTCTCATGAATCTTAGCCTTGAAGCTCCCATCCTTCAACCACTTGCTGACATTCTCCCTATGGTCCTTGAAATGCTTAGGCCCCATATTCGCATCGCTCACGATAAAGCCGGCCCACGAGAGGCGCTTCGAAACGGTGAGGAAGGTATTCGTGATGGGATATCTCTTGTCGGCCGGCAGGTTATACTGGCTGATCTGGCCACAGGCGACGACGCGGCCAAAATTGTTGAGGCTGTCGAGGGCGCCCTGCAACTGCTCGCCGCCGACGTTGTCATAGAAGATGTCGATGCCCTTGCCGTCGGTGAGACGGCTCAGAATCTCCGCCGTCGACCCCTTTTCCGTCTTATAGTTCCAGCCGCCGTCGAAGCCGAGCTCTTTGGTGATGAAGTCGAGCTTGTCGTCGGAGCCGACGCTGCCCAGCACCGTCAGGCCCTCGTGCTTGGCCAGCTGGCCCACGAGCTGCCCGACCGCGCCCGCCGCGCTGCTGACGAAGATGGTCTCGCCCTTCTTCGGCTTGCCGATCTCGTACAGTGACGAGTACGCCGTGAGGCCCGGCATGCCCAGCGCACCGAGGAAGTGGCGGAGATCGTCTGGGCCGGTGGCCGTGTCGATCTTAGAGGGCGGAGGTGTCGAGTCGTCTTGCCGCGTGAACACGCTGTATTGCTGCACGGGCAGTCGGCCCGACACGACGTCGCCCTTGGCGTAGCCGTCGAGCGTCGAGTTCAAGACGTTCGCCAGCAGACCGGCTTCGAACGCCTTCCCGAGCGTGAATGGTGGCGAGTATGATTTCACGTCCGGAGCTCGCATCCGACCTCGCATGTAGGGGTCGAATGAGACGTAGAGTGTCTCCAGCAGGAGGCTATTTGGTCGGAGGCTCTGGTTGAGGTCGATGGCCTCGAGGTCCTCGACTTTCAGGTGCTCGCCGACCACGGGGAAGTCCGTGGGGACTTTCTTGAAGATCAGGGCTTTGTTGGCGGTGGCCATGGTGGATTGTTTCGATTGAAGTGAGTTAGTTGGGTTGCTGGTAAGTAATATGTGTATATATGTATCCAAGTGAAGTCAAAAGGTGGAATGTAGTCGTGAAGTGAGATGGAGACAGTCAACCTTGGGGACCAACTGTGTATGTATATATATCTCGAAGACAAGCAGGCCAGAAATGAACCGAGCACAATCCGACGACACCAGTGTGATGTTATAAAAAACTTAGACAACCCACAGCACAGCACAGGGCAACCAATCCACTTATTTGAGGAGCAAAAATCAAAAGTCTGAATACAGGTAGATCAGACACAGGCCCATTTGTAAGCTGTGGACCAGGAAAAGGCAAGACAGGAACACCATCCCAATCCCTAGGCTCAACATCATCAGGATATGGAGTTAATTCTGCCAGTAATCGTGGCGTATGATACCCGCGGGGGGCATGAGAAATCGGGTTGAACTAGCCACTTGGAGGGTGCTTGTCCGCTTGGGCTCCTAGGGAGGGATGGACGAGATTGAATGCCTTTTACCGAGTGGGATAGCTTTTACTTAAGAGCTATCATTATTTGTTGGCACGATAGTACTCGTAGTCGTGACGGGACTGTTTTGGTGTGCTCGCGAGCTGTTTGCGAGGGAGCGGTGCTCGCATCCATCCCCCCCGTCAGTTGATTGACATCGTTGCGTCATCTGTCTCTGCGTCTGACTGGCTGTGATAGCCGAGGCACAGAATGAAAAACTCTTAACTCAGCGTCAGAGACTAGACTCGACGCGGATGCATATCCGGGGTTACGGACGAATGAATTTATTCTTCTTGGGGGGTGGAAGTTTTGTAGTACAGATTGAAGGGGATAGGATTAGCTCATGGTTTGTGTTTTATGTATGTTCATCGACTTATGCTTTTTGTACTCAGGGGACTTACCGTGCCTGGATATATAATTTGGGGAGCTGCTATAATGACTAAGTAAGAAGGAGGAGCTCATGATAATCGACAGGCCTCAAGGAATGGAATGATACTCATAGCACTACAAGTCATATCTCTGAGCAGGAAGAACGTCGACTGACCAGACCATGGCACGGGACAAACAATCATACCAACTCAAGTTGCGACAATCTAGTCGTTCCTCTCATGCCACGAAACAGATTTTAAAAACGGTTCTTGGCACTTTGTCTTTTCGTTTTCTTTTCGAATTATGCACTGTACAATACAAAGCGTCCTCGTCTTCACTTCTACTTCCAGACCAGCCTCAGCTCAGCTCAGCTCTACCGAAAGGCCTCGAGTCCAACTCCCAGATCACTTCCCCCTTTCTACTCTCACATCTATGCTGTGTTTCGGCTCATGTCGCTTCTTATTCTCTGGTAATCGAGGAGACCTTCGATCGAACCGACAGCAGAGATGGCGATGTCTTGATCCCAAAGTTTCTTCTGGGCGAATGCCATGACGTCCTTTTCTGTGATGGCACCGACGACTCTCTCGATCTCGGCGGGGTCTGATCGTCGTCCGGTGGTCACAATCTGTCGTCCAATATCTTCTGCGACGGCGGTGGTGCCATCGAGGGATAGAAGAATGGAGGCTTTGAGTTGGGCCTTGGCACGTTCTACTTCGGCTTCGGTGACGTTAAATGATAGTCTTGACCATTCTCGGAGTGTGAAGTGGACCAGATCATCGATTTGAGTCTTGTTCTCAGTAATGAGGTAAATACCCCAGAGACTGTGGACGATTAGCTAAAGATTCGGACCTGAATGGCTCACCACTTACCCGGTATCACTGTAGCTGGTGGAAAAGCTCATAAAGCTGTTGGCGAGGTTGTTGGCATTAACAAATGTGCTCAGCTTGCTTCCGAGATATGGGGAGTTACCCATGGCGCGATCCCAGTTACCAACGATGGCTTGGGTCACCAGGGCAGTGAAGAAATCGGGATCCTTCCAGCTCACACCTTCAACGGCGATGGCAATGTGAGCTGTAGGAATAGTGTCGTCTCTCAATCTGACTTCGGAGCCAACAAAGTCGGGCTTTCGCTTTTGTTCAGCGGCCACTTCGGCGGCGAACGAGGTAGGAGGTGCAGATCTCAATCCACCAAGATGTTTCTCGGCCAATTTGACGAGTTCTTCGTGAGGAACACCACCGGCTCCAACGAGAACCATACGATCGGCAGTATAGTTTGTGCTAATATAATCGACCAAATCATCACGAGTAATGCTGAGAATGTTCTCCCGTGGTCCGAGGATAGTGCGACCTAGAGGTTGGCCTTGGTAGGCGGTGGCGTGCAAATGATCAAAGACAACTTCTTCCAATTGCTTGTCAACTTCCTCTTGTTCCCTGAGAATAACATCACGTTCTCGTTCGACAGCTTTGGGATCGAGCTTGGAGTTCTGTAGAATATCGGCAAGGATGTCGACGGTCTTGGGGACGTCCGAGTTGAAGGATTTGGCGTAGTATACAGTATTTTCACGCTGCCCAGACTGTTAGCATAGCTTGAGATGCCTCAATAATGGTGCCGTACAGAAGTGTATGCGTTCAGGTGACCTCCCATGTTCTCGATTTCGAGCTCTAGTTGATGTTGGTCGCGTCGGCCAGTTCCCTGAAATCGTCAGATTTGACATTCTCAAGCTGCGGTAGGTCAAGAAGGTCTACCTTGAAAGCCAGATGTTCGAGGAAATGAGCAGTTCCATTGGTCTTATCGGTCTCAGCCCTGCTACCAGCATCGATCCAGATTCCCACGGTCGAGGTCTGGGCCCATGGCGAGTGTTCGGTGGCGATCTGAAATTTTATCAGTACAATATAGCTTCTCCTAGCGAGATGGATCCTACCGTCAAGCCGTTGGAAAGTGTGGTGCTCTCGGTTCTCGAGGGAGTGATGGGGTTTGCGTATCGTCTGAGAGGAGATTGAATGGAGGCGAGAGCTTTGCGGTTTCGAAGGGAACGCTGTAGATTCAGCGCCAGCCGCTGTGTTGCCATTATGAGAGGCTGAAAGGGAGAGAGCGACAGTTGAAAGGGTTGAGAGTCAACGACGTGATACTTTCTAGAGCTCCAAGTCTCTCAGCAAGATGAACCTGACTGCGAATTGCTTCAAACTGCTGAAAAGCCGCTAGTCCTTCCGAAAATCCGCCAAGCCTGAGTTCTGCTTTGGGGCTCCTCTGATTGGCCAAAACCTCTCGCCGCCTTAAGCACATCATTGAAGGAAAATCGAGATACAGTGCATGTATACTAGGTATCTACAGTAAACGTCAGTTGTTCACAGCTACTGATCATCATTCGTACTAATTAAAATTCCACATAGTATCTCCCGCTCCCAGTGTGGTCCCCTCAAAATCAAAGAAGGGCATCCCCAATCCCAGTGCAGGATCCCCAAAGTCAAATGCTGTAGGATCAAGAGAACCATAGTCTGGGATATCCGTCGTACCGTTAGATGATCTCCCTGGGGTCACAATAGGTACAGGTTGACTTGGGGATGGAAGAGGCTGACTCGGTCTTGCTCCATTGACCCGTCGATTCTTCGTCCGCGTGGGACCTCCTAGACTCTCAGCCATCTTCTCCAGTCCATCCGCCATGCGATGAATTAGATGATCCTTTCCGACATCTGTGGATTTGAAATGCTGTGCCAATGCATTGATCAACCGCTGGAATCGAACCGTGTCAAGGAACAATTGCTCGCTGTATTTGGTTGCAATCTTTAAAAGAAACATACACGCAAAGGCGATCATACCATGAACGTGATGTGGAACATAAGCAATGGCAATTTGAGCGTCTTTATCCTCGAGTAGAAGATTGATGATGGCAGTCGCGGCTGCTACTGCTGCTGATGCATTCTCTAGGAAGTGCTCAGGAATCACGGCGCCTGTTTCCGGAAGACCACGAAGAACATATGATTGAAGGTACAGCTTCGCCCAATGATAGTGCATAATTGCACCTTTGTTAGGCCAATTGCCCACCAGTTGGCTTGGATCTGGAAATTGTTCAGTATAATTTCTCCCATGGCACCAACATTGCACTTACTGTGTCTAGAAAATCTTGCAATCCAGTCATCTAGGTCTCGTTCAAACCCAGCAATCTTTGTCAATGCAGATGCTGGCAGGATCGTGTTGGTGTCCTCCGGACCCAGGGCTTCCCGTATCTGGTTCATTAGATACATCAGACAGATCTGGCCCGCAATCCTGCGGTCTGCATCCGTTGATAGTGAACACGCAAGGTATGACTCCCATCCAGTGATATAGCTCTCGTTATCTCGCATGATTGATGATCTACCATATAAAATGGAGAGATGGTGGTCACATATATAAAGCAGGTATAGCACTCGAATCCCATCAATGGCCTCTTGTAACTTGGTTTGCGAAACTTTGTCTGGTGAATCAACTGACTCCTGGATTTGCTGGTAATATTGTCGCAGGTGAAACTCACTCGCGCGTCTGATGGCATATCCAGAAAGAGTCCAGGAAATGTCGCTTAGCCAGTAGGATCCTAACACCAGCGCTCGTAGATATTCCATGTCAATTTTTCTTTCGAACATGGCATTTGCGACTAGTCTTCGATACTCTTTGCTGCAGATGGGATATAAGTGGCCAAGTTTGGAATCATGGAGAGCCGCCACGGTCAAGACACATGCCGTCAAGGTGGGCGATCTTCGACGGAACGATTCAAGATCTGTATAATCCGGACAGATGTGCCAAATATAGGGGTCCAGTTTGCTGAGATAGTAATTTACAAGATGGTCGGCGTCCTCTTGTTTCATGATGCCTCTGGCAATAAAGTCGGTATCACGCAGCTGCTTACATATCCTCGTTTGGTCCTCCGTGATGTTTTCGCTGGCACGCAGTGAACGCATCCCTGTAATCTGATACAGAGATTCAATAGGAACGTGCGACAGGTTGTCAGCCACTGGGGTCACCTTTGGTGAATTGTCCAGTGATTGGTCTTCGTCTTCGTCTTTATCATCTTCCTGATCAAAGAATATGGCCGGGTCTTGAGTCGATGTGAGCATCTGTGGTAGTGACGGCAATTGCAAAGTTCGAACAATCTCTTCCACCGTAGCGTATAGAGATGTAACGTCCCTGGTAACGGCAGCTTTCCATTTCGAATCTTCGGACATGAGTGTTTGCAAACTCTTGTTCAGTCGACATGACAGTCCACGCTCCTTGCATCGTTGACAAGGTGGGTCCCCCACCATGATACATTTGATCTACCGGGCCATATGTTAGTCTATAAAGACTTGTTCAATGGGACTCTCCTCTACCTTTTGTTTGCGACAAGCGGCGCATGCTTTGACCTTCCTCGAAATCCCCGGAAGCTTGGTCGCCTCTGTGGGTGTTCCATTTGTGGTTGAGTTGGTCCGCTGAGGCTTCGGTGGAGCTTTAGCAATAGGTTGAGGTTCGTCAAATGATTGACGACTTTTCTTAGGTGATGTCTGTTGAGTTGGAGAGTGGTAGGAATGCGGCGAGCTCGACGAACCAGACTGCTTTGATGCGGGTAGTGCTCTGGGAGAGGTGAGATTGGCCTCTTGCCAACTCCGCTTCGACATGATGAGAAGCTGGCTGGGGGATATAATGTAGACAAACTGAAGGTCCTTAGTTGCGACAGCCGGCTCGAGGAGAGTAAAAATATGACCTGTTCATGGATGTGAGTCGCACGCAAGTACTTTGTACGAGATTGATCAGCCCGCCTGGCTCGAACTTTATGGGGTTTAGTTCTTGAGTGGTAGTGCCTTCCTTGCTGCTTGAGTTGGAGTGGGATTTCCCCACCGAGGTCAACAGCCGTTCCTGCCTTTCCTGTCCCTTTTGCGACATCCGCAAAACCGCTAAGCCGCTAGAGGGGACCGGAACGCTTGCAGTTCTTGCTGGCAATTTACGAGTGGGATCCCCAATGCTTAAGGGTGCCTAAGAGCACCCCGAGGCTCAGTTGCCCACTAATGAGATTGTTGATCACAGGCACGACGACCATCTATTCCCATATTCACATAGGCTACCCTGTGCTGTGCTATAGTATATGATTTCTTCAATGGATCGACGTCCCATGGTCTATCGTGCGTGGATCATCGTCCTCTCAAAGCCGTACAAACGGATCATCAAAGTACCAGACTGGATCACCATCGCCCACCTCTGTCTGAGTAAATCCATTCCCCATAAACGCATATCTGTTGTCGGAACAATATGTAATGTTGTAATCTTCCCATCTCACATTCTTCATGACCTCAAAGAAATGTAAGCGACTTCCAGGATATATTGCAGTGACCGGGCCATGGGTTTTGCCATTCTTGAACCATGACCTACAAGCTGATGACCAGACCAGTCTTTTCATAAGCTCATGTGTATGGTTATATAGATCCTTGATGGCTTCCTTCTTCGGTTCAATCGCTTTGATCCGATCCGTCTGTAGTTTCTCAATCACTTGGAACACATACCGTGTATACCATTCCAAGACTGGTAGAAGACTGGAATGTGATGCTGGCCCATTCGGTCCAATGAAGAGAAAAAGGTTCGGGAAATTTTCAGCAGCAATCCCCATGTAACCAATCGGAAATTCACCAAATTGCTCATGGATCTCCCTACCATTGCGCCCATGAACCTGAAAATGGGGTGTAAATGAGGTATCAAATCCGGTTGCACAGATAACAACATCGACTTGGTGCTCGACCCCTGACTCATCCACGATTCCAGTTGCTGTTAAGCGCGCAGCTGACTGTTTTATTACCTCAACGTTGTCCGCTGTCAAGGATTTGAGATAACCAGAGCCAGGTGTCATTCGCCGGCATCCAAGGGCGAAGGACGGGATCATGTGGTTAGTGAGGGATTCATCGTGTCCCAATTGTTCTGCCATGATATCCGCGACAAGGTCACGGGATGCCTTCTGATCCTTTGCTTTGAGATGCATCTAAAAGGTCTTGAGTGCGCTGATCAGAGGATGGTAACACCAATACATACCAGAGTAAATCGCTTATTCAGTTCGCCCTCAACATCTCGACTATACTGGTCATGCTTTGCTGGGTTTTCCTGCCACTCCTTCTTCTGCTCCTCGGAGTCTGAACAGGTCAGTGGTGTCACGCATTGCGTTGACATCACTTACATGCGAAATTCGTCCCTCCTGGGCCGGCATACTTGGCTCCGAACCCAGTCGTCACCCAAACCGGCGAGCGGAGAAATGCAAACAATTTTGAGACAACTGTCGAAGTTTAGCATGGCCCAATGAAACCTGTCAACTGTGGTGCGAAATGACTAACCTGGTTGTATATTAGGTACAATTTGCACTGCACTAGAGCCGCCACCAATCACAGCAACGGTCTTTCCTTTCAAGTCATATTTGGAATCCCAACGTGCACTGTGCATCAGTTTGCCTTTGAAGGTTTCGATCCCCGGGATATTGGGCCATTTGAAGGAGCTGGCCAACATGTTTAGGATTCGACCTGACCTTCTTCTCAACGTATGCCGACTTACTTTAGTACTCCTGATCCATTGACGAGGATGTTGCAAGTATCCTCGAACTTCGATCCATCTTGTCCAACTATCTGTAGACGCCATAGTCCCGCATCTTCGTCCCATGTAGCTGATTCTACCTTTGTGTTAAACTTGACATATTTATCGATGCCATATTTGAAGGCGACATCACTCATGTATTTCCAGATTTCTTCCGATCCCGAGTAGAAATGAGACCAGTTGGGATTCTTGGCCCACGTGAATTGACTGTATTGCTTTTCAGGCCCTTACTTTGTTCATGGCGCATTTGTGGAGTACTCACTATGAGTGTGAAGGAATATCACAAGTGCAGCCGGGATAGCGATTTTCCAGCCAAGTACCACCAAATGTTTCGTTCTTGTCGTATATCTGGAGGTCGACATCTTTGAGGGCTCTCTCTGCTTTATATGCAAACTGTATCCCCGCGGCACCAGCTCCAACACATATCACTCGTAACTTGCGTCGCTGGAATAGAATCTGTTCGGTGACACGGTAACCGTCAAAGTCTCGTCCGTTGTACCAATCATTCTCATGAGGAGCATCAGAAGGGACAGTCACGTCTTCGTCTGGAGCAGCTGATATAAGAACAACCCGATTTGTGGACATGGCGACAGGGGAAACAAGACGAAATCAGAGATTGTAAAGAAATGTGCGCAAGGTCAATTGAGACATGAAGACAGGAGAATGCAGAAAGGAGGACTCGGATGGAATGAACCAACGGATATATAGGAACCGAAATAGGAAGTTGCAGGGGCTTTCCACAGGGCTGCTAGTCACGTTCAGTGGTACAATCGATGGTTGATAGCAAATCAACCGCACAATCTCACCAGTCATGGGCGTATTCACAGAAAGTAAATACCCAAGATATACTTCGGCAAAGACGGGAGAACCCCGCATGAGTCCATGACGCCAACGTAGTGGTCGTCCGAGGTTCGTCAGGCTCTGAAGGCACAGCTTTTCGCCATGGCCATTCTCTTAGCAAGATAAGCAAAGTCCGCTTTTGGAGTTAAAAGGTCGAGGGAGAAATTGAGAGTGGATGCTTAGGTACTGAGTACGTTGCATGGCGCTACTCATCTCACGCAAGCGGTATCTTTCAAGTAAGCACTGTTCCAATCTGTGGTCTCCATATCTGTAATAGCGGACCTTGCGTATAAGACTCGGCCAAAAGAAGACAGCAACTCGATAGTATAAGTCAAAAGCGAGCATTTGCTAGACAGCCCTGGTATTGGTTGTTCACATTCTTTGATACTGCAGCCGTTCGAGCGACTGGGCTGGGCATGCTCTAAGTGATTATCGAAGAGGTTTCATCCTTGGTCAGGCAATCTAGTGAGAATAGGGAGAATATCAACACAGTCATCGGAAGCGCTCATTCGTACTTCAGGTATGTGCAGTATGTCTCACACGTTTGCTCCGGTTCTCAGTGGCCTCGAGCTTGAGGCCGGAGAAAGTACTTGTAGCTCGGCACACTGCATATGACAATAGAGCTCATGTGATTGGTGGCGCCTTCCGAAAGCAGGGCTTGGCATCCGGCAGCGGGCTTCAAGCAACTGCAAGTGCCTTTTCCACCTTCATGTCATTGACTCTCGCAACCTGCGGTTCATGCAACAACACATTTAAGGACAACCTCAACTTGTCCTGGTTGAACATGGCGGCGCCATCGAGGACTTTGTTGTTGCGACAGGCCCAACTACTATCCTCTTCATCTTCGGCACGGCTATTCCCCAGCACAGCTCAACCACTTCGTCTCCTCCGATCTTCTCCGTCCATAGCCTCGAGAGCTTTACTTCCAGGGTCTTGGGCGGCGGCTGCTCGATGTGCACCATTTTCAACTACAGCTCAGCGGAAGATTCTGCCACCAGGGCCTCAGGTTATCGAAGGTGGAGTCAATGACGCTGCGCCAGTACCCAAGTCGAACCCCCTCCATGGAAGCTACCACTGGACGTTTGAGAGAGCTTTGTCGGTCGCGTTGATTCCTTTAACTATCACGCCGTTTGCTGCCGGGTCGGTCAATCCTGCACTCGACGCGGCTTTGATCTTCACAATCATTGTGCACTCGCACATGGGATTCCAGTAAGTGTGGGAGGAGGGTCGTGAGTTCAATGGGTGGTGTGGCTAACCGAGTCAAGGTCCGTGGTCATTGATTATATTCCCGTCCACCAACATCCTACGGCTCGAAAGGTCTTCGGATGGCTATTGAACATCGCCACAGTCGTTGTGGCCATTGGATTTTATGAGTTTGAAACCAACGATGTGGGTTTGACCGAGGCAATCAAGAGAATCTGGCATGCGGGAGCCAACGACGCAACCATTGGAAAGGCCGACATTTCGGGACTTGGACATGATGGAAAACTCAAGAACCTCAAATAGGTGATGACCGAGGTGAAGATGCCTTGAAGCCACCAAGAATATGTATATGACTGTTGCCTTAAAAATACACAAGGATTTCCACAGATGAGATCGGATGTACCATGTAGAAGCTTGCTTCTATCCATTCCAAAAGTCCATCTATATTGACACGCACTTTTCGTTGCATCATGCCGTTTTCCCAACGCCTGCAATGCTGCTGGTAGTGTTGCACAAAGACATGACATTCCGTCCCTGTCCCCATCTAGTCGTCCTCCGCGTCCAAGAAGTCGTCATCAGGGAGAATATCATCATCGTCCGACCTGGCAAGAACACTGCCAATCAATTTCAACGTCATTCTCAGTGGTAACCCAACCACATTATCGAAACTCCCTTCTATCCTCTCCACCAAGATCGCTCCAGTACCCTGGATTCCATACCCACCGGCCTTATCCGCGCCCTCCCTGGTCCGCACATACGCCAGTAGTAACTCATCCGTAATCTCAGCGTCAAACTTGACGAGCGTCTCCTCCGTCGCCGACTCCAGCGCATACCCGGGGTCGCGCGCGCTCTGCAGGGGCGTGACAACCACCACAGCGGTATAGACGCGATGCACCCCTGAATCCCTCAACCCCTTCAACATGGCAATATGATGCGCCTCGCTGCGGGGCTTCTCCAAGATATCGCCCCTGGAATTCACGACCACGGTATCAGCAGCGAGGATCAGGCCGGGCTCCTCCATTGCCTCGGCATTGTCAATCTCGGCCTGGTACACGGAGAGCGCCTTCTGCGTCGCCGTCGCCAGCACGTACTCAAACGGCGACAGCGATTTCGACAGGTTTTCCTCGAATTTCGACGGGATGATCTCCACGTTCGTCAGGCCGATTTGTGCGAGGAGCGCTTTCCGTCGTGGGGAGGCCGATGCCAGGATCACGCGTTTGCCGCGCAGCAGGTTGAGCGCTGGGAGGTCCAGCGGTGGTGGGGGTGGTCGTAGTTGGCGGGGTGGCGCATTCGCATTTGCGTTGGGCCGGCCTGGTGCGTGGGTTTCTTTGGAAGAAGGTACGCCCAGGGCATCGTATGACGGCGGTGCGTCGGTTGGGAGTCCTGATTTCTCAGAGGCTGCCATTTTTGGGGGGAGCAAAGCTGGAGGTGACTTTGGTTGTTGGTGGAAGTAGAAATCGTGCGGACAGAGGTGAATGTACGTATGCCGTGTTTGCAGTGCGCGTCACAAAATTATGTGCTCAGCCTGCCCGCCCTGGAATAAATTGGGGGGTCAGTTCGGAGATTGATCACCCGATCTCCGGGCATCTTGAGGGATGGCAGCCACCTTGGTTAGGCGGTCAACCCTACGAGTCCTGGGCTCCTAGTAAGTATACCAGATCTTTTAGGAGAGGGGTTTTAGCAATAGGTAGGCAATGGATAGGTATTTGCGACAATGCATATTTCCGTGCAATTCCTTATATGATCACGACCTTCCTCATGTACTTTTGTCGCTTTCCATCATTCTGAGTCTGCACTCGTTGGGGCTGGCCATGCAGCACTGAGAGCGAGACCATCCTGTCATGTTCATCATTAGGACCCAGATGCCTTCAAAAGTCATCAATGCCCATCACTTCTTATTCATCCTCCAGTTTTAAAACGTCAATTATGCTAATTATCCTCGCATGTTCACGTCGTCGCCCTCCACAACCTCGTCGAGCTTTCGTTTCGAGCTTGCCGTTGTAGATTGTTTGGCATCCGGCTCCTCAATCCCTCCGTCAAAGTATTCTGATACTTCCCATTCTACTCGTGTAGATCCATCGGCACTGACGCCCTGACCACGTCGAGTCCTCTGTCCCCGTCCAAGACGACTTCCTTCTAGTAGTTCTTCGAACCAAGATAGACCTTCTGTTGTTCCACTCCGTTGACTTCGAGTGATCAATTGGGAGTTTGACTCTTCGCCTGAAACTGTACCTTGGTGTGTTTGCTGCATCTCAGAAGATGGAGCAGATTCGGCGTCTGTATCACTCGGTAATATGTCCAATTCATGCAGTGCCTCGAGGTCTTCTGTTGAAAGACTCCCCAGCGTCACGCTTAAGTACTCTGCTTCTGAGGCCGGTTGTTCCGTCCAGTAGGATAAATGTGTTCCACAATATCCACAGAACACCCGCTTGGAATGAGGGGCATGTAGAGGACTGAAGACTTTGCGTATGGAAGAATGTGTCTCGTCAGAGAAAAGAGCTTGTGTCGAGGAAGAGAACCAAGGCAGGGGTATTCGCAGCCATGCTGTGAGAGGGGTAGCCTGACTTCGTCCTGCGATGGGAGATGATTAGCTTGACGGTGAAACTGATTTTAGCCAGCTCGAGGAAGTGACAGCTTACTGCTCTCACTACTGCCGTCGAAATACACTTCTGCTCGTTCTAGAGCATCCTGTGGTACTGTAATGGAGTAGACATTGCGACCACAATTACAGGCGCCGTGGATAGGTCTGAGTCTGCTCATTCTTGCACAGTCAAATGCGCATGTGCTGATGTAGGACCATGAATATGAAGGAATTTATAGGTACGTGACTTGGCAATCAATCCCTTGTCCTGTATCTGTTTAAAATCGTACCTCAACTTGGAGATGAGAGGGTCAAAGACAGGAACTGGAGATCCGGAGAAGGTGCAGTGTGCCGGCTTTAAGTGGATGCACCTCGCTTATACCCGGGGAGCTAACATCTCTAGCGTCAATGCTAAATAAAAGCTTGTATCAGGGACAGACGTGACCTTTCCTGACATCTCGGTCCTTTTCACTGCACGGTCAGCATACATCAGGTTAAACCTCAGGCCACTCTTGCGTAGGTCCACGACAACTCGCTTGATACTTTAGCAAATTGCTTGTCGCAACTGTACTGCTGGCCGGGACAATGTCAAATGATGATGGCGCCACGGCGTCGAATGCCTCCACACCATCATCTTCTGCAGAATCTGAATCCAAGCAAGTTGCTGATGCTTCGTCTGGCTCGGCAAAGAAATCAAAATCCACAAAGCCAAGATTGACAGCGTCTCAAAAGAACTTCAATCACAAAGATGCAGAAAACAAGAGACGGACTGCTATCCGTGAACGATTTACTGAGCTATCTCAGATGGTGCCTGGAGCACAAGGTCAGGAACGGAGTGAACAGGTTATGTTGGGCAAGACAACAGACTTCTTGAAGGACATGCTCCAAGAGCAAAGACGACTGGAGGCTCTGGCTGACTCTCAGGGTATTCCTCTTGATGCTTCAACCCGAATGCGAGATGATGATTTGGGTGGTCCTAACTGGGTTCAGCCCAACATGGCAGCATATGAAGCGAGTAAGCAGAAGAAGATAGGTACCGATTCGCAGAATACAACAAAGGACGAAGAAGAGAATGATTGAAGGAGTGCTTGGGACTTCGCCATGATGTCTTCGTCCCATGCAGAATTTCACTCATTGGGTCGGCATCGACATGATGGGTTGTTGTTGCTCGACTTGGTAAATGCATGCATGGAATTGTTAATCTCGTTCATCTGTTCATCCGCATAAAGGGATTTTCATCAATACTGGGGAGCGTTCAAGGCCTCACCGTCGATACTGGGGATCGCAATGGCGTTGAGAAGTAACGCCGAGCCACAATCGGGACTCATTCTGTTTCTATCAGTCACAACGGATCTTTCTGCCTCATCGCAAAACAAAAACAATCACTCTACACTTTCGTCTTTCAACCCTTCCCTTCCTGAAACAATTACACTTTCTTCCTGCTTGGACAACCATGTCTTCTAGCAAAGATGAGCGTGACGGCCCAGACCTTTCTCCCAGCGGCAGTCGTCAGAAACCAACTGGTTTGAGAACTAGAGCTCATGGTCTTCGCCAACCCTCATCCTACCAACAATGGCCTCCAGCGGCTATCACCCATATCACTGTACCTCCAGGAGCGACAAGACAAATTCGCAGCATGACTCACTCTTTGTCCAATACAAGTCCATCCCATCCATCCCCATCCACCCCTGTCACAGAGCCTAACAAAAAGACCATCCCTTGGGGTTCTGGTGTTTCCGACAAGTTTGGTTTCAAACCAGCAACTTCAAAGAGTCTACGTAGTCCAGGTGGCACTGTGACCGGTACGGCTGGACTTCCTGAGCTGGGCTCACCACGAAGCAAGTCAGATGTATGTATCACAACACACATTGATTGAACCTTTTCTGACAAACTGTAGGGACAGCAAACTCATATTCCTGTCATGTCTCCTACCCGCAAGCCTGGTGTTCACCCCAGTCCTCAAGACAAACCTCTTCCAAGACTTCCAATTCTTGGTGTCAAGCCTAATTCGCCAACACGCACACCTCTCATGGACCGTGATGGAAAACCACGCCGCCGCAATGTCGTTACTCCTGGTAGTGGAGTTTCAAAGCAGGAAAAATGGCCAGTGATGCTCTCATCACAACCCAAGATAGCGCCAACCATGGATGGAAGTGCCATTCAGGGGATGAGCAATATGGATCTGAATCGCCGTTCCGATGTCACCAGTGCCGACCGGGAATCCATCGAGACCTTCACGCTTGACGATGACTCTAAAGGCAAAGGTAGAGCCACCAAGCCCTTTCCTCTCTTTCAGACTGACGCCCGCCCACCACTTTCCCCTGGTGGACTCCTCGACAACGGGTCATCTCGCGGCCTCGGTCGCCACCATCGAGGAAGCTCAATCCCTGTGCGCTCTGGTGCACCTCGGCCTTCCCATGGTCGATTTCATGATAGCCCTGTGCATCATAAGAGCTATCCTCACGCATTGGAAGCCGATGCATTTGATCTGAATAAGTACTCGCCCGAACCTTCTCCAATTTCAAGTGGCTTTACTGCAGGTATTCAACTCCGAAGTGCCACCACACCGGTGACTGCTGCTCATGAACTCTCAGCTGTGAAATCAAACAACCAACTGAGTCTGAAAGAGATCTTGTCTTTACCATATCAAGACGTCATTGAGCGGTCTTACTTCTCAAGTGATAGTTCTGAAGAATCAGATATCATTACTCGTGGATACGATGCACATGGTGGTTATGACATCAAACGTCCTTATCACACATCTACAGGGGGACCAACTCTACGTATTCGTGATTCAGCCAGCGACCTACTCTTGGACAAAGGCACCACAGAGTTGAACAATCGTACTGCTGGTGGTGGTAGATTGAGACGTAAACAAACTCAGAATAATTTGCGACAAGGTGATGGGATCAGAACTTCACTTCGATCGACTAGCGCATTCATTCACCGATCTTTGTCGTCACTTACAAAACAAACATCTGAACCCTTCTCGGCTGGCGAATCCAGATCTCGTGCCAGCACGCAGAATCTGCTCCCTCAAACCACACAACAACTGATCACAAATTTCTCTTCTGATCAACACAACCTCATTGGAACAGACCAAGGACAGCCTTCCCCACTGTCGTTTCCATCCACAGCATCTTCTGAACGTGGTTTCTTCAATCAACCTAGTCTGAATCCTTTCCGGCAAAGCGTTGCAGAGGAGTTCCGTCAAGTGATTTCATCGTCAAGTTCTCACCACAGACCGTCTGTATCGCAAGTTGACTGGCAAAACCAAGAATTTACTGAGATCAAGATGCCTACCGCAATCAAGCCTGCTCCTTTGCAGGAATCATCTCCTACTGCAACTGATCCTGGGCCGATCACCCTTCCACGCACTCGACCCACAAATATTCCTCGATCAGCCTCCGCAATCATGCCTGAGGAACCTAACGAAGAGACTGCACCATTCCTGTTCGACAAAGACGAACACCTCAGCAAACAACCTTCTACAAGCAACAATCTTCCTCGTCTTCGAGTGACAGGACCTGACGCGCCAATCTCGCCTGACAAAAACTTCCCTCTTCGCACCACTTCTCGCAAGCAGAGACCCCCACCACTCTTCGTCTCGGACAAGAGCAACTCCAGATTCAGCACTCGGTACACAACAGAAGTTTCACAAGCACTTGATGAAACTGTTGTTATGTTGCGAAAGCCAAGAAACATGAAGACATTTTCTCAATCTCACAGCCCTGGCACCAATATCAAAGCATCTGCTGGACTGCTTCATACTCCTAGCAAGAAGGCGTTTGGACGTGTTCGTGGTCTTTTGAAGAAGAAGTCGACTGATGAGACCCTCGGAAAGCCATCTGCCACAGGCTTTACGAAGATTCCCAGCCTTCTCGGTATTCATACTCCACCAACTGTTCGCCGCACCGCAGTCCCAGCCGCCTCTAGGTTTCCAAACACTCTGTTGGACCCAAACTCAGCTCTCCATGAGGATTCGGACAACAGTCGCACCAAGCTGCTCTCCACTCAAAACCGACCTGCCGATCCAATCACTCCATTCACCGCAGGTATTCACGCATCTCCAGCAAGCTCAGGTCGTCCATCCTCAATCCCACGACCCAGATCTCCCATCTCTGCGCGTCCAACATCATCCACAATGGGCATCAAATCTCCTGCTCCAGCCATGAGCCGACCTCAATCCGGTCAAACCGTCATCACATCATCACCACCACCAGTCACCACTCAAGATGACAGTGACGCCAGCATTGCACCCGAACTCCAAAGTGCATTGCGAGTCGGACGAGCTCTCATGCGTGCAACGGTCGCCGAGACCGACCCCGAACGCCGCCAGCGCCTAGGCCAACTCGCCGAGTGCATGGTGAGAATGATCCACGTCGCCACCAAGGCCATTCAGGCTGCGGAAACTGCAGAGATCGAGAAAATCAAGGCTGACATGGCGGCCACCAAGTGCCTAAGTGCACTCGCCCACTCCGAGCCAATCGCTCGTGAGCTGTTGGCAATGATGGATGATTAGGAGGTGAGGCTGGGTTGGATAGGAGGAGGAGGAGGGGGTGTTGGAGTAGTTGGAAATTGGGAGGGCTTCAGTGCCAAACATCATGTAAAGAGTCGATAGCAATGCAATTCTCTACTTGTCTATGGCTTCCGTCTGCACAAAGTGACCCTTTCTTCCCTTCGTAATTCGCCGAACCACGCGTTTCGTAACAGCCAGACGACCAAGGAAGCCATGAAACACCGGCGGACTGGAGCACGAGCGATGCGCGATGGCAGGGTGAGTCTCTACTCGTGTATGTCTGCTCCTTCTACAGGGTGAAATCTCCCTCCCATGTGCTCCTTTGTAGCTTGCATAAACTCCACAATGGTATAAGAGCTCAATAAGGGCATTTCAGTCACAAAGCTCAAGGCCCGCGATGTGCACAGCGCCGCCAATATAGCGAAGAAGATAATGAGTCAACGGCGACTGGAACCTCCAACTCGTCGAGATCTATTCGTTTAGTAACGTGAACTTTCTCTCTCACATAGAGCCTGAAAGCTCGTGGCGACTGCGGGTTCACACAAAAACACAATGGATCCACAGCAGGCTTGAAGAGAAACGGCAGACCGTGCACATTTGTGCTGCCTGTAGGCTGAGGGACATGGCATGACGTTGAGGGTCTAGACATTCGCACAGTGGTCCGATGGATCTCTGCTGGGGTCAAAGATGAATAACGCGTAATGTTCACAAGGTCGCCCAATGTGCCAACTAAGCTAGGGGCTCAGATGAAATTTGATTACTACATAACTTCAAAAAGATATGGTGCAACCATGTCAAACTCAAGGCAGTGTAAAGAAAGAATAAAAATGAAATGAAATACCATCAGCGCCCGCTGTCGAGCTAAAAGCGAACACTAGCTAGCTACCTACATCACAAAACATTCATCCCACCGTCGAGCTAGCAACCGGCAACTCATCAGCCACACTCCCCGCTGGCAGCGACGAACTGGCGGTAGATGTTGACAATGATGTCAAAAACTTTTCTTGCATCTGGCTAACCAAGCGAGAAGGGGCCAGTACGATGCTGGTGGTAGTGTTCACTAAACCAGCACGTAGTTTGGTCCGGGCCTCAAGCTCGGCGTACGCAGCTTGACTTCTCGCCACGGTTTCAGCGTGTGCGCTCCAGAACGATTCAGAGACCGAGGTCAGCGTGTTTTGCGTCCAGCTGGATGCATCCGAGATGGCATGTCCCGCCGAGGCGATGGTGCGGGCGAACTGCGGCCGGCCGTGCAGGGCGTAAGCCAAAGTTCCCGCGAGGACCAGAGAGTAGGTACCCTTTCTCCTCCAGAGGCCCGTCTTGTCCTCGATTCACGCCATGGCATCCAAGCCCACATCGAGTCCCTGCGCCGCGACATCGATGCTTGTGTCGGCGAGGTGCGCGGCCGCGTCTCTGCCCTTGACGAAGTTGTCTTGGAGCGTGTAGAACCCTCCGGCAGCGCGACGTGCCTCGTCAACAGCCTCGTCGAGACTCGGTGCCGCGCGTGGATTCTGCCCTCGTTTTCCCCAGGAACAGTACACGTGGCTGCGGACGATGGAGCGGTAGAACGTAACATAGCTACCGCGCTGCTGCTCTGGTGGCGACGGCATGTGCTCGGGTTCCTCGCCATCGCCCTCAGCCTCGCGGGATCTTTGCTCTTCGCGCAGCTGTGCCCGGAAGAACTCGTAGTCGATCTGCGTTCCGTCTTCACGTGGCCAGTCTTCTTCATCTGAGTCCCGCCGCGTGAGCTCGGGAGGCAAGTGTGGGAAACGGTCGCCAAAGTATCGCTCCATCTGCTCGAACGTGCGGGTGTCTTGTGAGCCAATCCCTTCTTGCTCCTGCATCTCAGCTTGCATTTGCTGGTATTCTTCGAAGTCGACGCCGTGGGGCACCACCGCTTCAATATGGCTCCAGCATGTCATGCGAATCTTCATCTCATCGTCATCGGTACGTTGTTGTCTGGGGTTTTGGGCGTGGCACTCTCTCTTGTTCACACACTTCATGGTCTCGGGTCCGTGGTAGGGGCTGCCTTTTTCCACGTGGTGGAGAAAGCGGATGTTCGTGCCGTTGTGTCCGCTGAGACGGATGGAGAGGTGCAGAGCTGCGGCCTTGTAAACTAGTGTACGCAGGTCATGGACCATGGCGCTCCACAGGAAGTCTGCATCTCTCTGGTCGTTGGTAGAGAGCTTGCTGCCTGTGAACGAGAACTTTGAGGGGTCTTGCAATAAGATCCGCGACGAAACGAGAGGGTCGAACATAGGAGGTGGCAATAAGGGCTCGAACAGCGTCAGCAGCTCCGCTGCTAAGAGGCTGGACGCGTTGAACATGTTTTCACGATGTGCCAACCAAAAGCCATTGCTTTCGCGAGTGATCTTAGCAAGTAAAGAAGCTCGCTTCTTGTTCCGAACAAAAGCATCATGATTGATGTATTTTCGGTCAAGATCTTCGAACCTTTCGCGGAGCTGACCAGTGAAGGAGAAGGCTGTTGCTTTGAAGACGTGGTGCTTCAGGTACTCTCCGATGGTTCCATGAATCAGCGCAATCCGGCTTTCGGGAGTTGTAAAGAGTTCCCTCCATGTGCTCCCTTCAGCATCGGTGAGGTATTTCGCAATCTCCTTGAGACCGAAGTATTCATACTTGAGCATCGGTAGAGGCCAGGCGTCGATTTGTTCGTCACTCAATTCGAAGTTGAAGAACTTCTTTGCGAATTGTAGTGACTCCTTTTGAAGGCCGGTGAAGGCAATGTGCATTTGGACAAGACTCAGACGTTCGGGGGCGATCAAGATACGCTCGAGGATGTCTTCAGAGGTTTCGACAGCAACAGCGCCTCCGAATGTGGGATTTTGGTCGTCGCCACCAACTGTGGTTGGTGCAAATCGGGCCCTTTTGGGTGTCCGGACCGTGAAACTTGCCGGTGTGTCGCCCTCTGCCGGTGGCCTCTTCAGAATGGCCCTTAGATCGTGATTTGTATGGCCTGGATTATTTGTCTTAATGTTCCGGAACACGGCTTGCTTCTGGAGCCTTTGACGGTCGTACACAGGGAACATGGGACGAAGTACTCCCTGATGTGTTGCTTGATCCGCTGGTGCTGGTGCTGGTGGACCTGCTGGATCGGCTCTACCTGCTTTAATTGCTCGAAATGCTAGGAATTCCTGATATTCTTGACACAATTGTTCCTCGGAATACTCAAGATTTTCATTGTCGTCTTGACCATCGTGGCCCTCTCCGTCCCTTGCACGCAGCATTTCTCGGAATACTAGGAACGTCTGGTACTCTTGGTTCAACTGTTCCCGGGTATCCTCGGGATCCTCGTGGTCGTCTTGACTATTGTGGCCGTCTTGGTCTTGGTCTTCTTCACCATCTTGATCCTCTTGATCCGCTTGATCTTCTTGACCATCAATCGAGGAAGTGGGCGAAGCATTTTCAGAATCCTCATCATATCCGTGTTCCTCCTGCTGATCAAGATAATCTTGCTCGTCTTCATCCAGATCATCATCGTCCTCGTCGTCAGCGTACGCGTGGTTGAATTCCTGGCCACCTTCTAGAAACTGAGGCAATCCTTGAGCGTTGGCTTTTGGCGAAGTGTGCCGAGATGGAGGCCTATTCTCCTGATCATTTTCGGACTGGCTCTCACTTTCGCCACGTCTGTTGATGTCCATGTTGTGCTGATGTCTCTCCTCGCTCACTTCACGGGCGCGGCTGGACCCATCACTTATGTGAAGCTTAAACGGCGAAGGCGTATGAGTACAAGGTCTGAACCCCTGATTATCCTGACGATGTGGTGTTCTGTTTTCTTGGTCATCGTCGAACGACTCCTCACTTTCGTTGTCTCGCTCGATATCCATCTCGTTTCGGCGAAGTGCTTCTTGATAGTCTAGATCACTGAGCCAGTCAGAATCACTCCCATACCAAGAGTAGGAACTAATATCAACGTCACCATTGTCTCGATTCAGAGTCATTGGGCTAGGGGCCATTCTTGCAGGGTTTGCCGGCCTGCGATCGAAACTATGACGAGGCGGAGAGGTAGCATCAACGACAGCATCATCCCTTGCTGGAGTTCCTGGTCTGTGGCCGACATCATCACGCGGCGGAGAGGTGGCATCAGTGGCATTACCATCCCTTCCTGAAGTTCGTATTCTGCGATTTTCTGGTCGCCTTTCAGTTGACATAAGATGATCAAATTCCTCCTCCTCGAGTGACAGTCTGCTGGGCCTATATGACGGATCTTTATTCGGAGATCTGGCCCTCCTGATGGGCTCACTGGGGGGATCCTCACTTTCAGTGTGAGGCGGCCTGTACGCCTGGTCTGCGAACAAAGATCTGTGTCTTCTTTTCTGATTACGCGGCTGGAAGGGGTTGGGCGGCCTATGTTTCTCATTCGGGTCCTCAGGAGGTGGCCGTTTTGGCCTTGGCCTCCCAGCTCCGAGAGCATTTGCTGTGTTCTGAGTAGAAGGGGCTTTGGTCAATGTGATCGGAATTGCTGCAACAGGGGACTTTCTAGATGATCTGGATTTCTTGGGTGCAGCAGGCGTTCTTGGTCGGGAGGACGAGCTTCGTGGCGGCGGCGTGGTTGGGGTCACTGGTCTAGCCTTCCGTGCAGCTGCTCTTCCCCGTTTTTTTCTCCATACGTCTGGTTCGTCGATTCGAGATATCAGATCCGCTTCGCCCTTGGCAGTTGCTCGCCTCGTGGCTCTCCTCGCTGGTGGAATGCCCATACTGGCGAGTTTGCACTGGATCAGTGCCCTGCTTGGTTAAAGGCTGAAGGAACACTTATCAACAGAAAAACTCAGTCGTTCAAAAAGAAGGAAAGTCTGGAATACGGTAGGCAAGCATGGTGTAAGTATTTCCCTCATTTATCAAGATGGCCCATGGTGTATGCAAACAGCCGGGCTTGTGCTGATGCATACAAAGAGCATGAATCACTGTTCGCGGCTGACAAGGGAAACTCATGTTGGCCGGCGGCGATTGTTTGGAGGGCACAATGGATATCGTCACATAGCAGACGTCAAGTTGACTCATTCATTCTTTGAATTGCAAGACCATTACAGCAGTATTCTACCATCAGTGGCAGATTGACTGTTGAAGCACCACTTGAATGGACAAAAGAAGACCATTTTGCTTTATCCGCCCTGCCCGCCTCATCAAAGCTTGGACTGAGCGCCATCATTCCTAGGGAGAGTCAGTCTTTGCTCAGGATTATTTCCCTTGCCGGGTTCCATGCCTCACAATGCAGCAGTGCACTCGATCTCAACCTGGTAACGTCAGATATCTCTCTCCTAGAATCGAGCACACGTTCCATCGACTTACATCTGTCTTGAATGGTAGCTCTGCAACAGCGACGCAGGTCCGTGCAGGTCTTGGTTCTGGAATGATCTCGAGGACTGTTTCTGGGTCAGCGGAGTGGAATGTGGGAGATCCGCAAACGGGTGAGACGCACAGGCCTGGTTCATGGCAGCATAGTCTTGCATGCTCGTAATGTAGATGTTCATCTTGACACATAAGTGAGTATGATGCATAGAATCCGCTCCAGAGTGATCCTAGGATACCTTCAGAATCTTTTCAAGGCTGCTTCCGGCTTCCTCGAGCACTATTTTGATATTTTCAAGTGCTTTTCTGGTGCGATCGGCGACGGATCCCTCGACCACTTGATTCGTAGCGGTATCAAGACCGATATGTCCACTCACGTAGACGGTTCCATTGTGAATAATTGCTTGAGAAAGCAGGGGTGACTTGAGACCTTTCTCCGAGAAGACGACTTGTTTCGGTGCCATTTTGATGCTGGTATGAGTTTGGGATTCTACCTCAGGCAATATTTAGTTGGCCTCGGTGAATAGATATATGTTGGTCCGCACCGATGGATTTGTAAACAGTATAGTAAAGCTGAGAAACGGAGTGTCTTGGATGGCCTTGTTCATGTCATTTTGTACGCCCTACGAGATCACCGGAGATGTGCGCCTAGTTACTTGGAATAAATTGATGGCGGTTATTGCCGGCGTCCGTGGGCGAGTCATTGAGCATTCTTCATACTATCGAGCTTTGCTTACAAACAAGACAAAATCTCAACAGCTCTGATGGCCCTTCTCATCTGTAATGACCACCTCCACGACGACGGTGAAGATAATGATCTGCATAATCTCTACCCAGTCGCTGTTCTTCACGCTGTTCTCGATACCGTTCCATATTCCGTCGCTGGTAATAGTCCCTCTGTTGCTCCAGGTCAGCAATCTCCGACCATAGTCGTCTTAGTCTTCTCCTGTCTGGATTATCTTCAGATGACTCTCCACCATCCTGCCAGCCTCTAATCAGCTCTTCCACATAGCCCCGAGGTCGGTCGGTAATTTCATTCATTTCGCGATCAAGTCGAGCCATATTTTCACTGTGTCTTGCATTCCTCCATTCGTCAAATCCCGGAAAGTCTTCAGGCACCCCAGGATCTCCCATGTTTGCAAACCCGTTGTGTCCTAATCCTCCAAACCATGGTGGAAAGCCCCAATCCCCGTGACCAGGTGGAAGTGGAAATGGTGCATCCCAGCCGTGCCCGTAATGAAAGGGAGCTCGTGGATCGAAAAAGACATAATGGATTTGTGGATTATAGACCACAGGAACGATCATCAGGACTCGAAAATATGCTCGGTTTGGTCGAGTGCATTGAGCGCTGTAGTAGTCGTCCGTTGCGACCCATCGAGTTTTCGCAAAACAGGCCCAACCGGTTTTGACGGACCGGTACTTTCGCCCGTACATGACCACATCGTCTTCAGGCCAATGCCACTGCATGTCGACGAGGGAAATTCTTTCAAACTGTTGATTGTGACTGACGTTGTTGTTCTGTGCTCATTTAATTCTGTCGTTGAGAAGTCGAGGAAGCAGACCATTTCATGGCAGGCAGGCAGAAGCCATCATAAGGTACGGACAATCCATGCAAATTTGGCGAGTCACACAAGGCTACCTGCAGCAAACAAACACCAGATGAACGTTCCGAACTCGCGCCAAGAATTGTTCCGGGCAAAGAGGAACACGCTCTCATGTTGTACAATGTGCTGCTTTCACCCTCACCGACTTGTCACTTTCATCTTCCTCTTTCATGTAAAACATCCGGGCGTGGGAGCTCAGAGACTGAACTAGCTGACCGGTCTTCGAAACTAGACACTGTTCCTATGGTTGGACGGGGAGGCAAATGAGTCGCTGCCAGCTCATCGAGATGTTTCAGGGCTTCCATGAGACGATCCTCGGCGAACCACAGGCTTTGATATGCGAACATTAACTCGAGGTTGGCGACAGTACTTGACCATTCAATAAGGTGATCCAAACAGGCTGCGACAAGACTTCTCAGTCGGGCATCATTTTCGATGCGATGCTCTATTGCTCTCACAAATATTGCCCTGAGCCAGAGTTGACCAAATTCTAGGCGTTGTCGAGCTGCGGGTGGGAGTACTCCTCCTTCGGGAACTGTTGGCGTCCTCGACTCAAGCTGTTCTCGTATGGTGTCAAGATCAACTTGTGATCTCCTGAGAAAACGCAGCTCCTGGGCAGTATGGCAAGTCGCCTGTGAGCGGATTGGCTGTGCTTGGGGACCTTCATTGTCGGCCGTATCCTGGTCACTGATTGTGCTGGCTTCATCCATGATGACGAGGAAAGCCCTTCAGTTTGGCTGGAAACTGCCTGACTTCTACACTGGTGAGTTCAGATCTGATCCAAGAAGATTGGCTGGAGCTATACCTTGAATGGACGACGAGTAGTGTCTTTGGCCACGCCATGCGATCCTGGCGCCCACTGAAGGAATGTTTTGTTTCCAGAATGAATTCACGAAACAAGAGAGAAATTCACAATGTTGCTTATCACAATGAAGTCAGTGCTGCCGTCGACATGCTCAAACTTGAGCAGCAACACTGGCAATCTTGAACGTTCTCCTCCTAAAGAGGGGTTGAAAATCTTCATTGTCTATTCAGGACATCTCACCAAGCACTTTCCGTCTTGCTCTTTTGAGATGCTTTCGACAATCTTTCGACACTATATTGAAAGCACTCTGGCAGACCAGTCTCTACCCACGATCCTCCGGTAATTAGTCTTGCAAGTCCCGGAGCACATGTGAATATGCGGGCCATTCCATGACCGTTAAAGCCTGCACAAATATACTGTCCTGGTAACTCATCAATTGGTCCGACCAGAGGAACAGAGTCAGGTGTCATTGCGATGATACCTGTCCATGCATAATCGAGACCCTCACCATGTCTTGTCTTCGTGTTGGCTTCGGGGAAAATGATCTTAAACCTACGCATGGCATCTTCAACGATCTCAGAGTTGGCCGAAGAGTCATCAAAGCCCACAATCTGGTCCTTGGTCTCTGCAATCATCTCTGGATTCGCTCTTGAAACACCCAGGATGATGGTCCCGTCATCCTGACGTTGGATTAAGGAGTAAAAATGGTGCATGCTATATCGCAAGGACATTGTGCTTTCAAGCACTTTATCCCCTGAGAATGCCCGAGTGGGGATCACAGAATGTGCCTGCGCTTTATTCGGCGTGATGAAAGAACTGAGTTGTGGAAGAAGAGCTGCTGCTGAAGCATTTGTACAGTGAATGACCTTTTCTGCTTGGATTGTACCCCTTGGCGTCTGCACTTCCCAGTGATCCTGTGTTCCCTTGAAAATCTGTGTGGCTGGGCAGTAAGTCCACATTTTAGCCCCTTTGGCTATCGAATTGCTCAAAAGCCATTGTGCAAGCTTAGCAGGATGGCTGCTTCCTGCAGGCCATTCATATGCAGCTACTGCGTCAGGTACCCGAGTTCGCCTTTGTGCCTCTTCCCCCTGATAGAACTTCACATGACCGACATCTCCACCCGCTCTTTGAAAGGCCGTGAAACTGTCGGCTTCATATGCCGCAAATTCCGGTGTGAGGCATACGTCAAAAGTGGTGGTTGGATGGAAGTCACAATGCACGTTGTGCTTCTTGACAAATTCATCGATCTTTTCAAATACCAGTTTCTCGTTCTTAATGATTTTGATGGCTTGTTCCGAACCATGCGTTGCCGCATACGCCTGGAACCCTCGAAATGCATCAGGCCTCACATGCCCTGCATTTCGCCCAGAGGCCCCCGAGACTGCTTCACGGGCTTCCAAGATAACAATATCTTCACCTTTGACACCATTTTCAATCAGAGAGAATGCAGTCAAAGCGCCGGATATTCCAGATCCAATAATCACATACAGGGAAGATGCTGGTACTGTTGACTCAGCATTAGCGGTGAGATACTTAAAAGCCCTGGTCGTCCTGTGCCAATACGAAAGGCATGGAGCGTTTCGTGGCAGACAATTCCTCGTATCAGTGTGGGGCGGGGAATCTGTTCCGTGTCCGAAAGCCCGGGGTGGTGGACTGACACTATGCGGTGCCATTGTCTCTTGTTTTCTGAGCCAAGAATCTTAAGAAACGCAAGCCCCAATGCTTCCTTATCTCAAGCTAGAATTGGGAATGCTTTGTTCTATATCTACGGACCGTAACCTCGGCTACTTATATCACTTCATAATGCTGAACTCCGCGATAGCATTCGCCTCTCACGTGGAGAAGACGCCGAATTCCCCACATGGTTTGACTTTGGCCCTCTTGGAGGACGGAATGGTTAAGAAGATGCCGGCACATGGGAGCCAATGAGACGCACCAGCAATCAGAATGCCGCTGATCTCCCGACTCGAGTCTCGTCTCGAACTTCTTCTTGTGTTGTTGACAAGGGTGTCTGCCACCAATGCAACCTGATGAGCTCAGGTTCAAGTTTCTGGGAAAGATAGCTTCGTCGCTATGCGAACATCCATCGAATATATCTGGGTTGTTGCTCACGCGACTTTCCCATCTTCTTGTTCGATCATGTATCGGGGTGGATGATCATCAGATAACGAGTGCCATTTTCTTGAATGACAGATCTGTACTCGAAAACCCCAGAGCCTGATCAATTCGACATCATTCTAAAGCCGCCTCTCAGCCACATACTCGAACCGCTGCCACAATGGGATTGTTTAATGGCTTCAAACGAAAAACGAAGACACTTGTGCCAGATGTCAAACTTGAACACCGCTCAGCCGACGAGAGAAGCCTCGTCTTGCGTCTAGATTTATGGTTCATGACGTTTGGTTGCTTATCGCAGGTAATGCCTTTCCATATCAACCCCTGCTCTTGAATCGAGTGTATATATGCGCCGGTGCCAATCCTGTAACATGTTCATCGACGAAGAACCTCTTTACCAACCCCTTTCCAATGCTCATCACTAACTCACGGCTCCAGGTAATTAAATATCTTGACCAGCAGAACATCAACAATGCATACGTCTCGGGAATGAAGGAGGATCTTAATCTGCAAGGCAATGAGTTGAACTATTTCACAACGTATTTCAACGTCGCTTACTGCCTGATGCTCATTCCTTCACAAGTGATCCTGACCTATGTTCGGCCTTCATATTGGCTATCAGGACTGGAAATCACATGGGGCGTCATCACAGGATTGATGGCGTTGTCGAATCACGCATACCAGGTGTATATCCTACGTGTCTTTCTGGGCTTATGCGAAAGTAGTGCTTGGCCTGGAATGATGACACTGCTCATGCATTGGTACACTCCTGCCGAATTGGCCAAGAGAATGGGCTTTTACCATTCTTGTCAAGCGATCGGATACATGATGAGTGGCGCACTTCAAGCTGCCATAATGAGGACTCTCCACGGATCGAGTGGCCTGGCCGGCTGGCGTTGGTTGTTTATCGTCAATGCCATCATCACCGTCGTCTGGGGAATGATGGGGTTTTTTATGCTGCCTGATTATCCCAATCGACCAAATCCCCGTGCCTTTTGGTTCAAGCGAGTACATCAAGAGGTTGCTATGGAAAGGCTTGCAAGGCACAACCGTGCCGAACCCAGGCACGTCACCTGGGCTGGAGCAAAGAGGACCTTCTCAGGCTGGACTGTTTACTTCATTGCCACTTTGTACATCGCAACTGTCCTAGCGAGTTACGGTTACAACTTCTTCTCTTTGTTCCTCAAGTCGTTGAAGAACCCAGACGGGAGCAAGGTCTGGTCTGTGGAAGCAGTCAATGTTATCCCTATTGGTGGTGGAGCTATCAACGTGGTCTTCGTGTGGATATGGGCACTACTATCAGATTTTCTACGAACTCGATGGACGTTGATTGTCACACAGGCCCTGATCGGCTTGATCCCGGCAATTATGATGTCAGTTTGGACCTCACACCCTCGCTCAGTAACTCTTACGACCGCATACGCTGGATATTTCATCTCATATTTGTGTCTTGGTACGGCACCTTTGATCTTCTCCTGGCTGTCAGATCTTTTGCCACAAGATCCAGAAGCAAGATCACTCATTGTTGGCATGTCTGTTGCAGGGTACTACGCCATCAGCGCGTGGTCACAAGTTCTGGTGTGGCCGGCCAAGCAAGCACCTTACTACAAATACGGATGGCAAACTAGCATCGCCTTGTGGGTCTTGATCATTGCGATGACCTGCACATTGAGGTTTGTCGATGTTCGATATCTGAAACCAAAGAGGGATGCCTATAATGCAGCCCATGGAGTGGCAGTCGTTGGGGAAGAAGGACCCAGGTCTGATGATGAAAGCTTTGGTCGCAATAGTGTGACGAAAGATCTTGAGGAGCCTGACTCCAAAAATGTCAAGGGAAGTGAAAGCGCAATCAAGGGAACCTGAGGGCTATTGAAGAATAGTAGAAGTGCCGAGCGCGGAAATGCACCTTGTAATGGCTTGGATTCGAATGTTTAGACCGCAAGCAAAAGCTGCTGTGCCACCTGTTTAGGGGATTTCAAATAGAGGTGGTTAAGGATAGATCTTAGTTGATATTAATCCCCTTTACCTCACGCCCAGATTCTCTCATAATCAAAAGTATTCGAGGCATCATTATACCTAAAGAGCAAAAAAACTAACCCCACCTAAGACCTGCCTGAGGTGAAGTAACTTAGATCCTGTGATTAGAAAACCCTAGCCCTGATCCGAGAACTGCCAATTGACTTGGACGAGTAGTGGATTGGGAACCGAGATTTTGATTAAAATCTCTGCGGAATTTTTTTACCGTCAGCCAGGTTTGACCCATCGACCTTCTTCCATGCCAGAGAAGATGGGACAAAGCTGCTTCAATCAGGCGGTGCTGATTTGGTGATAGAATTTGGGGAATTAAAAATTATATAGGGGATTTCGGTGCTGGCGAAGTAGTGAAGTTATAGGGCTCTGGGCAAGGCTGTGAGGGCGATGAGGCCACTTATTATACTTGGAGTCTAATTTGTACTCGGCTTAGATGCCATTTATAGATGCCAAGCCTGGCTATCTCAGTAGTTCTCACTAAAGTGAAACTGATCAGAGCTAGGGCTATCTCCACGTGCTGATAGTCCATCCTCCCGCGGAAAAAAAAGTTCGGGCTGCACTCGCTATTCTTGAATTCTCTGCCCGCCCGTCTTCACGATTCAGGCCTGACTACTGCTTTCAAACTACAACATTGTGATACTTTCCATAATGGATTCTGCTACAGAAAAATCGCACAAGCGGAAAAGAAAGCAACTCAAAGCTGCAGTTGTAGAGACTGAGCCCGAGGTTACAGAAGCCACCACAAAGACGAAAGCGCCTCGAACAAAAATCCCAAAAGAACTACGAGAGAAGAGCAAGAAGAGAAGGAAGACGGCACACAGCAGCGAGGACGAAGATGAAGAATTAGGCCAGGGACAAGAAGATTTGGACGTCGAACAACCTGCTGCGAATGGCGAGCCTATTCAATCAGCAGACCGCCAATCCGACGAGGATGAGGATGAAGACGACGGTGCAGGACCTGAATTGGAGGTCACGCTAAACACAATAAATGGATCAAAAGAGATCAATACAAATGGTCTACCCACTGATGCAGAGCCATCATTACCGGGCGCAGATGCGAGACCGCAGAAGTTTTCTGAACTCAACCTCTCAGAGAAGACAATGAAGGCAATAGCGGAGATGAAATTCGAGACGATGACCGAGATCCAGCAGCGAGGTATCCCTCCTTTAATGGCAGGCCGAGATGTACTAGGTGCGGCCAAGACAGGATCTGGAAAGACCCTTGCATTTCTCATTCCAGCGGTGGAAATGCTTTCTGCTCTTCGGTTTAAGCCACGCAATGGCACAGGAGTGGTAGTCGTCTCGCCTACCAGGGAACTTGCACTCCAAATCTTCGGTGTCGCACGAGATCTTATGCAATTTCACAGCCAGACGTTTGGCATAGTCATTGGAGGAGCGAATCGAAGCGCAGAGGCCGAAAAATTGACCAAAGGTGTCAATCTTCTCATCGCCACTCCCGGACGATTGCTCGACCACCTCCAAAACACCAAAGGGTTCATTTACAAAAACACCAAAGCCCTTGTCATTGACGAAGCAGACCGAATCCTTGAAGTCGGGTTCGAGGACGAGATGCGGCAAATTGTCAAGATCCTTCCCAAAGAAGACCGGCAAACTATGCTTTTCTCGGCCACACAAACCACGAAAGTCGAGGATCTCGCCCGAATCTCCCTCCGCCCAGGACCACTATACATCAACGTAGACCACAAGAAGGAGCACAGCACCGTCGAAGGACTCGAACAAGGCTACGTGATCTGCGAGAGCGACAAACGATTTCTGCTACTGTTCTCGTTCCTGAAACGCAACCTGAAGAAAAAAGTCATCGTCTTCATGTCGAGCTGCAACTGCGTCAAGTACCACTCAGAACTACTCAACTACATTGACCTGCCCGTGCTCGAGCTGCACGGCAACCTCAAGCAGCAGAAACGCACGAACACGTTCTTTGAATTCTGCAACGCCACGCACGGCACCCTCGTTTGCACTGACGTCGCGGCCAGAGGCCTCGATATCCCCTCGGTCGACTGGATCGTACAGTTCGACCCACCCGATGATCCGCGAGACTATATCCATCGCGTGGGTCGAACGGCAAGAGGATCGAATGGGAAAGGCAGGAGCTTGATGTTCCTGCAGCCCAATGAAGTCGGATTCCTCAGCCACCTGAAAGAGGCGCGTGTGCCGGTCGTCAAATTCGACTTCCCCGCCAAAAAGCTCGTCAACATCCAAAGCCAGCTGGAGAAACTCATCACCCAGAACTACTATTTGAACAAGGTATGTCAAGTCCTCCCAGCCCTCCCCCTCTCTAATCTCTACCCCAAAGCGAACCAACTACTAACATTCATTTCTCCCTACGACACAGTCCGCGAAAGACGGCTACCGCTCGTATCTCCAAGCCTACGCCAGCCACAGCCTACGGTCGGTCTTCGACGTGAACAAGCTCGACCTCGTGAAAGTGGCCAAGAGCTTCGGGTTCGCGACTCCGCCGCGCGTCGACATCCAGCTCGGCGCCAGCATGCAGTCGCGCGACAAGAAGCAGGGCCGTCGCAGCTACGGCAGCCAGCCGAAGCACGGTGGACGCGGCGCGCACGGTTATAGCGGTGGTGGTGGTGGTGGCAAGCGGAATAGTTGGTCGTGACGAGTCGGCTCTGGACCATCCATGGATTTGGACCATCCATGGATTTGCCAGCTGGACTCGAACGACGGCGAGGCTGAGCTGTGGATTTTTAGCTTTTGCATGTATGTGCATAAAACTCGTGTTAGCGGTCGACTATACTACATATCATGGCACTTCCATAATTGAGTCTCGTCCAATCAATTCTTGAAGGATCGGATTACGATCGCACTAATGGCATTACAGAATTGGTGTTGAGCTCTCATGTTGAGAAACCCCAATTGTTTTTCTTGGTACACCTTAGTTCGCTAAGATGACCAAGATATCCTCGCACCGATCGAGAAAAAAACTGGTCGCAAGAAGATTAACAAATAAAGCTGATAATATTTTTGGTCATCGAAACTCCAACACTACATTATTCAAGTGTCTCAAATATCACGTGTATGAAATGGTCGAGGTCTGCTTTGAACCGAATCTATCGTTGTCTCAACAAATCAGAACCAGCCTGCAGTTCATGTTCAAGGTCATTCCCATAGACTGCACTAGCCTCTTGCGGTCGGGGATCTTCCTGCTTCCATTGATTCGGGTTGTCGGGAATTGGTACATTGATGTTGGTAGCTGGAGTCTGAGAGGGTTGATGGCGAACATGGTGACGGAACCGGAGCACTTCATCCAGAATCATTTTTCTCATCTCCTGCACATCATCAACCACTTCAAAAGCGAAGTCGAACGTCTTGGGACATGCTGGTTCATCGGATGCATCATGCCAGATGTGAAGATATCTGTGCTCCAGAGCATCTTCGACATTGATACGGGATGATGGATCAAATGCCAGCATTCGGTCCAAAAGATCCAGAGCGTCCGGATTGGCCTGAGGGAAGAGTCTCTGGAATGAGATTTTCGGCATGAACGGCAAATTCCGAACATATTCCTGAGCACGTGGAGATCCAATTCGAGATAGAGTCTCCTCGTTGGGGGTTCCCAAATAATGCAGAATTTGGTTGAGTTGGTCAACATAATCTCGACCCTTGAAAAAGGGTCTTCCACCAAGCAATTCTGCAAGAATACAGCCAACGGACCAGACATCGACTATTAAACATGGTTAGTGGCGATTAGAGCGACAATACCTTGCATACATACTGGCTTTGGTATAGCTTTGAAAGCTCAACATGATCTCAGGAGCACGGTACCATCGGGTAGCGACATATTCTGTCATATACCCGGCGTTTTCCTCTGGATCCTGTGAGAAACCTCTGGCCAAGCCAAAATCGCAAATCTTCAGTTCGCAATCAGCATTGACCAACAGATTTCCGGGCTTCAAATCTCTGTGCAAGACATTTGCAGAGTGAATGTATTTGAGACCACAGAGAATCTGATAGATGAAGGATTGAAAATGGGCATCGGTCAAAGGCTGTCCCGATCGAATGATAGCAGCAAGATCACATTCCATCAATTCTGTTTGAAGTCAATGAACATCCGGGGTCAAATCCGGGGAAGAAATACCCTCGTATAGATATGTTTCGTTGAAATTGTCCGGGCGGGGAATGTCCATGTCATAGAGACAAGCGATCTGCATGGTTTAGTCTTTTATCACTCCTGGGAAGAGGATACGAGAACACATACATTTCTGTGACCTCGGAAATGCTGGAGAAGCTTGATCTCACGCAAAGCTCTCTTTGCGAGGATCTTTTTGCTAAAAACATTCGTGACTTTCTTGATGGCTACCCCTTCACCAGTTTGAGCATTTGTGGCGGCGCTTAATCCAGATCAGTTACTGCTTATGGAGGACCAACGTGATGCAGGTCATACCAGACAATACCATATGCACCCTGTCCAAGCTCCTTTGTGACAGTATACCTATCGTCAACAACGAAGTCCTGGTTGAAGACCTTGAAGACCTTGCGGCCAGATAGATCGCCCATGATTGCGGATTGTTTTGTTCTTGTACTTTTGCAAAATGGCGCAACAGGATAGGGAAGGATGAGTCGAAGGATGATTCTCCAGGCTTATAAAGGGAAGGCGAGACAAGCTGAGGGATATGACAGGCAGAAAAAGGGTAGTGCGGCTGAGATATAGAGTTGGGCTGGTGCTGACAGGGCTGCGGCCAGCGAAATCAATATGGGCTTGGAGGTGGGGAACCAGTGGTATGTAGTAACGAGTTCTGCGCGTAAGAACTAGCTGATTGGTACGACGTTGAATGGATATGATGCAAGAAGAATGAATAATCAAAAGGAGTAGATGAATAGAGATGCGACGGAGGAGGCGAGTAGCCTGTGCTTTGCTGTTCTTATTGAGTTGAAGTTTGAAGGCTGCCAACCTCAAGTTCACCCTCGAGATTGTCGGGCGCTTGCAGCGAGGGGCCAGAAAGTGGCAGTCGCAGTCCGAGTTGCTGTTCAGTGTTCACCATTCCAGCCGCGCGCAACGGGGGAGGAGGCGGGCGGGCGACACTTTGGAGGGGCAATCCAAGACCCTAGTAATAATAATAATAATAAGCCGAACCACAACTTGAAAAGCACGTGCCACGGGTCTTGAACGGAATTTCATTAATCCGAATTCGAGATATCTGTACACGTGATCGCATCAACTTTTCGCGGTTCTTCCACCTTTTCCTTCATCACATCTCAAAGCCGCGACAGTCGTTTCTATCAAACGCAATGGACGAGTTGCTTGCGAGGCACAGCAAGGAGAAACGTGACCTCGCGTCCAAGATCGCTCAGAAAAAGAAGTCTGCAACCAAGAAGACAAGAAAGGGGGTCAATGACGACTGTGAAAGATTGGAGAGAGAACTAGGTGAGAAACATGCAGCGGAAATTCAAGAACTACAACCTCAAGATCCCGATGACCTCCCGAGTGCAGTCGAAGATCTCGCCATAGCCGATGATGTCGTTGGCCCTGGTGATGTTGCCAATGCTTTGTCAGAGCAGGTGTCGGCCTCTGCCACAAATTCCGAGACACCTTCCGAGGCCGGATCAGGATTCCAGCCTCGTGCTAAGAAACCAAATCGCCAAAAGGAAAGACTTGCACGAAGGGCTGCCGAGCAGGAGGCGGCAGCTCATGCGGCAGAGTTAGAAGCGAAGAACCAGCCCGACAGGCGAGAGCAGGAGATGTCGGCCATGAAGAAGCAGATGGAATCCCTGAATCTACGAGAAACTCCGATTCGACCCGATGGACACTGCTTGTTCTCTGCATGTGCACACAGCATGCCTTCAGAGGAGATTACCAAAGGTGATCAAAGTCAAGAACCTTACCAGAGAGTGAGATCTTCTGCCGCCGCCTTTATGTCAACACACCCAGATGATTTTGTCCCATTTTTAGAGGAGCCCTTAGATGCATATGTCGACAAGATCCGGGATACAGCAGAATGGGGAGGTCAATTAGAGCTACAAGCTATCGCACGATCTTACAACGTCGATATCAATGTTCTTCAAGCCGATGGTCGAGTTGAGAAAATCAATTCTGCATCGGGTGACAACAAAAATATCATCTGGTTGGCCTACTATCGACACAGTTTCGGTCTAGGCGAGCATTACAATGCACTGACCAAGATTGAATAACTCGATGTGAGACCATTTTTCTTCGAATTCTCGAGCTGAACACCTTTGAGCTTCCGAACTCGATACATCAGTGATGTCTCCAAACGGCAATATAATCCTCGACATTCCCATCGGCATCCTTACCAACCTTGTGGGTATCTGCAGGGTGCCAGTGGCCAACCCTTTCCAGAGCATTGGGGCTGTCCGGTGCAAAAGGGTTCATCATGACACTTCCTGCATCGTTGTATTTGATCTCAACTCCAGGGTGGCTCAAATGCTCCATCTGAAGGAGATTCTGTTAGCAAAAATGCCAAGATTTGAGTCCAAACAATGGACATGATGACAAGGCTAAGGATCTGGTCGACCCAACGCATGGAAGACGTCGACTTACATATGCGCTAGGTGGAGAAGACCACGGAGGGCCACCAGATATCCCGGGCTTCTGTGTTGGAAATTCCAGGCATATCAAGTTAGCCAGAGGAGATGGGCGGAGAAGTTCGGTCATCCTCTTCGACCAAGCTGGGCGCATTGAGATCTGCATTGCACAAAAGAACTATGTTTGCATGTCGGATAAGCAAGTTGACACGGAGAACATCTCGATTCACTCAGGATTCCAAAGACCTGGACTCACAGTGTAATCGTAAATCAGATCGAACTTGGTGTCCTTCTCAAGACCCGCGTCGACAAGCCACTCGTCCTTGTAGAAATCACCTCTCACAAATTTTCGACTCCCCTTTCCCACCTTTTCATCGTGAACGGGATACTCTTTCGCATGCTCAGCGGCATACTCCTGAGCCGCTTTGAAAGCGCCCTCGGCATATTCCAATCCCACCACATCATAGCCAAAGCTCTCGAGCAGCAACACGTCCACGCCCCTCCCGCAGCCCGGCACTAACGCCCTCTTTCGCCGTTTCTCGCCATTTTCTTCCACCAGCGCATGCCCTACCAACTCGACGTGGTTTACCAGAGTATCCGCCAAAGCAGGTGATGGAGCGAACCTGTCCCAGGGCAGGAAGTCACCTTGAGACCAAAGCTTGGCCCATCCTTCCGCGTATTCGGAGCCTCGATATTCCGAGAAATGACGTGATAGTTCTGCGCGTGCCTGTTCGACCGGTAGATCTTTACGCTGGGGTTTCACCTCTGCGTCTGCCATATTCGCAAAAATCGCCGTGAATTAGTATCGTTGCTCAAATTACTTTGGCTAATTCTGTACGAGTCGATGATTGTGTTGAAGATGAGGTTGAGTTGGCAGCCATCGAACCTTCTGGAGAATCACCCCACCTAACCTCGGCCGGAGAACTTGGTGACTTTGACAGTGGATGGAATTTCCCGCAATGTTTATTACATATCAATCTCTCATGATTACTTTATCACAATTCCAGCACAGGTTCGTGGAGAGAAACAGACTACGCCATGGAAATTGCTCTCCAGCTTCAAAATGACTGGTATCGTTCTTGTGAACCACAATTGGATGATCAAGGACCTAACGTCGCCAAAAATCTGAGACTTTCCATCTTGCCTTTGAAGTAAATGGCTTTCGATTCCCGCCTTCACAATCGATGGCCACCACCTCAATCATGTCAATTCAGGCGAAAAATGACCCGCCCCCGATTCCAAACACTTGACCTGTGATGAACTCTGCTTCAGGGCTGGCGAGGTACATGATGGCATGAGCCACGTCCTGAGGCAGACAACTTCTCTTCACACATTGCAGATTCACGTATGGTTCAAATGCTGCACTGGTGTGTTCGAAACCCAGCGTCGTTTCTGTCACAGTCAATGTTGGTGACACGCAATTCGCCGTGACGCCCGGTCCTGCTTCCGTTGCCGTCGCTTTCGTAAACCCTGCCACGGCACTTTTCGATGCAACATATACTGACAGACCTGGTTCCGGCTTCACAATGGTCGTACTCGCAGTATTGATAATACGCCCATATCCCCTTTTTTGCATATATGGCAGGACCGCTTGGGTGAGGAAAAAGCAACTGTCCATGTTGACTTGAAAGATCTTTCGATACTCCAGTGTTGTGGTTTCTAGCAACGGTTTTGCTGGGTATATCCCGGCTACATGGGCGAAGATGTCGATCCTGCCGTTCAATTTCACAATGGCATCGACGGTGCGATGTACTTGGTCCTCATCGGTCAGGTCGCAGACTTCAAACAATGCCTCGAGCCCCCTCCCCACTAACGTCCTTTTCACCTCTTCAAGCTTCTCGATGTTGATGTCTAAAAGAACCACACGTGCGCCTTGTTCGGCAAAGAGCGTAGCTACCACCTGCCCAATGCCTTGTGCAGATCCAGTAATGACGGCGACCTGACCTTCGAACCGTCGCGGATTCAATACAATCTTCGGAATTCCAAACTCGCTTGAAACCATATTATTCAATACTTTGGATAAGAATCAGGCACTTCTGGAGTGGATACTAAAGCAACGGCTCAATAAGGAAGCTTCTGAAGATTACCATCCTGACTTCCTTTTGCTCAAGCTGCTGGCTTGAGGTAGGACGAAACTCGTATTGATTGCGGGGAAGGCGCAGCCTCAAGAGTGTGTGGCAAACAGTATCCCAGAGGCTACCAACAAGGAGACGAACCTGACTTGCTCTTAACTTCCAAGTGAGGTATCGCAAAGCGTGGACAAATCCATCTCATGTTACCACTCCACAAGTACTGGTTATCTACTGGATGATCTTGCTGTCACATACGTGGCAGGTTATCACTCTCATCATTCGTCATCTTGCTAGCACCATTGTAATATCAGTGGACCATATTCGATCAATTCCCTGCGGCACGGTGCGGACAGTGTTAAATAACCGAAAAATGACTTTTGAGTGGAACAGTATGTTGCTACTGGCTAGTGCACCTTGAGTGTACATGGTATTCGAGGTTAAAGACACGAAGCCCCTGGAGGTAATCTCTGGATGTTGCCTCGGTGCTCCTTGTGCAGGGAGGAACTTTACCGAGTCCCGGTTGCAGACGACATTGAAAAGATGTCCAATATGCTTCGCAGAAACTGGATCCAATGACATTATTCAATTCAGATACATCTCATGATCAGATTTGCCGACTCGAAACTATTTGCAAGAGAAACTACTTTCCGCCGATACATCACCTTGCCCGTGGTAAATAGGCATCATTGGCCATGGGCAAAGATCTCGCGTAATTGTTGTGCTGTCCAATTTGGTCAGCGCTGCCAAAAGAGTATCTGGTGCGACTCCTGCTTCGACCCAGTCCACCAACGCACTTAGCGGATCCACTGGCGCAGGACCGTAACCGCCAAGGTAACAGTGCCCTGCACCAGGTGCCAAGAAGAGACGAAGAAAGTCATCAATACTTCCATTGGCTGAACGTGTATTGCTCTCAATAACGTCGTAGAAATGAAGTGTACCCTGGTGAGGGATGAACTGATCCGCAAGACCGTGCCAGGAAAGCAACTTTCCACCTCGATCTCGAAAGGCGGAATAATCGAATGGATATGGAAGGAACGTCTCGTTGTAGTTACCAGCCAAGGCCACAGCTTCGTCAAAATCGGCATATGTCATGTTCAGGACGTCGTAGGTTGGATCATGATAGATCAAGTACCTGAGGAAGGCAATACCCGGAGTGAATGGTACTGGGACAAATTTACCATCCTGAAGCGTCGTATTTGCAAGTCCCCAAAACTCGGTCCCTGGAGAAATCATCCACCAGACTTGTTCTCCTGAAGGTAGTTTCGGACTTTGAAGGATCTTAGAGACCACTTCTGCATGGGCCGATGTGATGGTCACGTCCTCCCCAGAGCAATTAAACACGGAGCCAACGAGACTTGTGGTATCGAAGTGGCAGTTTTCTGGGTCCGATATCAACCCGTCGCGCGCTCCGTCCAACACATCGCATGCTTCGATGATTGCTGCTAAGTATTGGTTAAAGACACACTGCGCAGGCACGGCGGTCTCTTCCATCACCACTGTTGGCCACACCAGCATCGGAATTGCTGAGCCGTCGACCAATGCAGGTGAAGCTGCCAATATCCCATCGAAGTCATCCGGGTTGTGTGCGGCCGCCCAAAAGCCTTGTTTTCCACCTTGAGAGCAACCAGTATAGTATGAAAATTCGGGACAAGCGCCATAGAATTGTTCAGTCAGTGCTTTTCCAACAACAGCCGCGTCGTGGGTCGCCCGAAACGAATAATTCTCCACCAACCCATTATTCACGCTGCCATTGCTTCGCAAGAACCAGCTTCCCGACTGCGAGTCGATGGTCTGGTTCAGGGTCAGGCCACCCTCAGAATTGGCAGTGGCATAGCCTTGAGAAGCCGCAGGTGCATTCCCCACGTCCAGATATCCTGTTGATAATCCTCCGCCCCCAGTTACCTGGAAACGACCATTCCATTTGTCGAGTGGGAGCCAAACTCGGAGGATATTGTAATCGTCGTCATTTGTGTGGGTGATCGCAACGGTGATGTTACAGACATTCAGTCCTGACACTGGATATCCGAGACTGCCAAGCACATATGGTTGAGAATAGTTATACACTTCGACACTATTCACTGAGAGCACTTCGAAAGATGAGTCCAACTGGGGTGGCAATTTCAAGTCCGCGCATTTTGGTGTTCGTGGCGATACAGCTAATGCCAATGTGAGGGGTCCGTGGGCAGCCACCAAACCTAGTGGAGTGCTGACCTTCATGTTGAAAATGATCTCGTTCAAGGCACTGAGAGAAACAGAACGATCTCTGTTGAAGCAATCAAGCAGTTGCTTAATAGTGTGGTTCTTGTATAGCCGTACCTGCTGTATAGCCGAGCCTCGTTAGAGTCTTTCGACACAGCTCGACAGGGACCGGCAAGTTCGATGCCGCATGTATCATACGATCGCAGATCAGTCTGCGGAGTGAATCTCGCTAATATCCCCTGTATGCCCCAAATCCAAGTACCAAGACGATATCATTGTCCAAGTTGGTTGTTGAGAACCTGAACCCAGCCTTTCAAAGTGATGATCGATGCTTCGGCCATTTGATCTCGCAAGACTTACTCCTGAAGGACTGGTGTAGGCTGTGAATTCTACTCGTGGTATTCAACTCGATGACAAATCTAGATCTCATGGGCCGGAGTCATGGTCGCGCATTACCGCATCTGTGGCCGTATAGCCATGAACCTCGGGCAGCATGGTGGGCTTCTTCACAAACATCCTCCACTAACGCAAGGCTGCAGGATTGCGGGGATGCCAAGACCGTTTATTTGCCGACCTTGGTAAAGCTTCTTCCTTCTCCCGCGTCGCTTTTGGTTCGGTTGAGCGAATCCCACGATTGTGATCCAGGGCTAACTCCGGTTCGTATTTAGACCTCGATCGAGAGAATCTTGATGGTGGCTCACAGGAGGTTGGTGCCTCGGGTCACAGAAGATCAGGCAGCCGCATTACTCCGCAAAGTTTGCACAGATGAGGTTGCCGCTTGCCATCATTCTTCCTTCCATCATATGCGGCGCACCGGGTGAACCATCATGCCGAGATAAGGAAATACTCAACGGACGAACTTCCGTTCTCGTGGGTCGAAAACTCACCATGATATGCTTGGAATGGGTCATTCTGTGATTAGGCAAACGAACAATGCGAGCTTGACATGTTGAATGCTTGGATAGGCTTTTTTCCTTCGTCTACTGATACGACGAGAAACCCTGATGTTTTCGTCTTAGTCGTTACAGACCACGCAGGAACAGGTTCGCTGCGAATTTTCCAGACCACAACTTAACAGTTGGCCCGTATGGATCGGATTATCGGAAAACGAAAAAGTCCCAGCCACAGCGATAGTACAATTTCTCTTCTCGAAATAGTCTGACTAGGCGATGCTTGTAGTGATGTTTTCTGCTTGTGACTGCAGGTTACCCTGGTAGTGGTCCAACATTCTCCAGATGCTTGCATACTTATCATCATCGTCGCTTCCGGTCCAGAGGAAGCCGATGAGCAGCAACCTTAGATCTCGCCAATCCATCAAGTATGAGCTACAGGTCATTGACAGCTTCTCGACAAGCCAATCATGACATGACAATCCATTGCTAGTCACACAAGCCACACTAAGAATCCAGAAAAGCAGTGGACGTGCGAATGCAAGTTCTTGGAAGTCCGGGGTCATCTCAAGAAGTGTTTCTTGCAGCATAGGGACAAGTACACCATACTGGCGATGTCGGAGGGGATTGCCGCGTAAGAAGTGGTGGACAAAAACCAACGCACTAAGCGCGGTGGCTTTCCAAACGAGGCCCGTTCTGTCGCGTGGTGAGCTGCAATCGGTAGCTGTGCGGCTGATTAGCTTGACGACGATGTTGAGCCTGCTCTCGATCTTGAGAAACATATCACATCTCAGCATTCTTTCGTGGTCCTGCAGCCCTGACATGGGTCTGGCCTTTTGAGCCTCACACAGTTCACGGACATCTTGAAGCGCTTCAAGCACCTCATCGTGAGGGATGTTGGCTGACACTAGGCCTCTGGGCAACAGACCAAGTGGTGACCCTGGAAGGGTCATCTGATCCCGGGAATACCAGGTTATGTCCCAGATCTCTGCTGGTGGGAACATGGGTGGCACCTCAAACAATTGGGAATACACAATGTCTACCCAACTGAGCAACCTCTGCAGCAGCAACTGCAGGGGTGTTACAAAAGTTTTGAAGCCGCCTCGCATCTCAACCAGTGCTTTCAACCCGTTCATGTGTTGGCTTGCTGCCTCTCTGGTACCGTACAGCAACTCTAGATGTGCAACCACCGTGACAGCAGCGATGGTCTGGTCTTTTACCGCCTCTTCCGGATCTGAAATCCTGGCATTGACGAGAGATATCGTTGAGAGCCGGTGTTGCATAATGTCTGGATTACTCTCAAGCCAAGCAGAGGCACTCTTCCCCATAAGTCGACTACCTATTCCTACACTCCATGAATACATGGTGGCAGAGAACGCCAATTCGTCAGAGAGCGCAAATGGCGACCATAGGGTCTGTCCACTGACTGGACACCAGGGCCACTTCTCGTAGTGGCAGAACCGATCAACCAGAACCTCGTCCCAGGGTGTAAGTTTCATTGGAAGCACGCCTAGAGAATCAAGGCGCGAATTTCCGAACAGGAGCAGTGGAGACGTGGACAGTCGAAGCAATGTTTGTTTCTCATCCGCGCTGAGATCCTCCACTTTGGTTGATGATCTCTGTGGTGGATCGCTTAGGTCGACTTGATTGGTTGCACTTGGGTTGACGACACCCATTGATGCCCTTATTGGGCGTTGTGCAGGTGCTAGAAGTGGTGGTGGTGGAGGGCTTCTTAGATTAGACTGCGCTTGTGGTTCACGACGAGCTAGGCGAAAGCTTCGCTTTCCTGCAAGCAGCGATGGCAATACTTGTGGTGGTGAGAGGGAATAAGATTTGTTCGGCTGGGTCCTGGTCTTGATCTGGCTGTGCATGACATGAGATCTTCGAAGCGAATTGTTCTTCGTCTTCCCCTCAGATGTGGATGTGACGAACATGTAATTGGGAGATGTTGATTGATCCTCGCCTTGTTGGTCCGCCATTTTATCGCAAGCATTCTTGTCTTTGGTACGGGAAGTTGGTAGAAGCTTGATACTTATAAGACTTCTCATTTGCCTCACAAGTTCAGAAGTTGTTAACATCGAAGATTCGACCAATTTAATGTGCCTTAGCACTGGTCATTATCGTTATTGTCCTCATAGTCGCTACATGTCTTTGTTTAGCAACGTGCGCGGGAAAAAGTCGGGAGAATCCGAAGATGAAGCAGATTCTGATCGATGCCGCCTCTTCGAGTCCGCAGATGGAGGAGTAGCTGAGATCGTATCTCGGGATCGGGATAGTGCACTAGTTCAATTAGTCAGCTCTCAAAGGGTCCGCGAGAAAACTCGAGATCAGCCAGGCTCTCACTATCTACCAATAAGCAAACGGGAATAGGACTAATGCCTTCATCTGGTAATACATTTCTTGGCAGGCAGATGCATTAGTCGGGACGTCCTGTCCCATCTGGAGGTGCTCAAAAACCTCTCATCTGCATCATCACCAGTCGATGTTCCCGATCCAAAGCCACAGTGCGCCTCCAAGTAACGGTCAGAGTTTGAATCATGTAAGCTAGACCCCTTTGTAAGTCGGCCTGGATCTTAATAGCTTCCGCTTTCCTTAATATGCCTCCCCAAATGCAACAACACCGCATGTGCGTCACTATCAAAGTCCACAGCTTCGTGTAAAGCCCACTCTGGCGACTTCGCAATCCCATGCTACCTGCATGGCAGATCTGATTACTGAGGCATGGTGCTTTGTAAAGCAGATGCCTGAAGTCTCGTTCCAGAGGGATGACAAACGACAGAACTTCAGCGAAGTGGGTAGTCAAGCCATGTGAGAGCGTCCGGGTTGATACTTAAGCTTGCGCAACGGATGGAATCGTCGAATTGCTTTCCCCAGCAACTCAGCAACCGTAACCTAGAAGACCAATTCTCTTTACAATAAACCTAGCAAAAGCAAAATCTCAAAGGCTACCATGGCAGACTTTGTCACAAATCATTTGAAGCCATATGACACTCTCACCTCCAGACTCGCCTCGCAGCCTCTGAAAGGGAAATCCGTCTTGATTACCGGAGCGAGTCGAGGGGTTGGAGAATTCATTACGCATGCCATTGCGGCTGCTGGAGCGACCAAAATCGGTCTCCTTGGTCGCGATGTGAAGCGCGTTGAGGCCGCCAAAGAAAAGTTCGCTGCCCAATATTCGGCCACCAAGTTCCTGTCCTATGCCGTCGACATAATTGACGAGGACGCTGTAACCGCTGTCTTCAAGGACTTTGGCGTTCCTGATGTCCTCATCAACAATGCTGGCGTCTTCCCAGATGACGGTCCATTCATCAAGCAGGATCTGAAGAGTTGGTGGGCAGGATTTGCGACAAATATCCTGGGCACAGCGACAGTTACCCAGAAATATCTTCAAGCCAAGGGTCCTGGCGCACCAGGAATTGTCCTCAATTGTTCGACAATGGCAGCACACTTCCGCATACCTCTCCCTGGATGGTCTGGCTACACCAGCAGCAAGTTGGGATCAGCCCGCATTTTCGAACATCTGCGATTCGAGCACCCCGAGGTCCGATTCATCAACATCCATCCTGGTAAAGTCGATACCGATGGATACACTAAGTCTGGCGCTCCCGATCTTGAAGACGGTATGACGGACGGTGCCCTGTCTGGTCAGTTCTTCGCTTGGGCCGCAACCGACGATGCAGCATTTCTCAGTGGCCGTTTTGTTTGGGCGGAATGGGATATCGCAGAGCTCGAAGCCAAGAAGGATGAGATCATCGAGAAGGATTTGCTCTTGGTCACGATCGATGGCTTCAACAAGGGGTTTTAGGCTGTAATTCTGCGAACAATCTTTGTGCTGTCCTCAACGACTGATATCGAACGGTTGTCAATCTCCACATCTACCACATGTGGTGTAGCCTGTGCAAACTATAGAATTGAGTAGCCAATAATGTTTGTTGACCTCAGCCTGCTAAGATGTTTCACTCTTGAAATTGAACCGCACACCCTGCTATTGCGTCAAACGCTCGCATTACTGCTATTTCTGCCTGAGAAGCTCAAGTCTCCAGCCTGGCAGCGAAACACTCTCCGCCGCCCCATCTTCATTCAGAGTGAAGATGAGCAGATCTCGCGCTTTGCCATCGTAGTTGACACCGTCCACCGCCTCCCAAGTTATACATGTGGGAGTACCGCCATCCACTAGTGCATCTTCATCTTGGAACACTGCTCGGAAAGCCATTTGCGTGCGTCCGCCGCTCATTCTTGGTTTTGAGTTGGTAGGGTAGAGGCGGATGCTGAATGTCGATGGATCAACACCTAGACTCCTGGCCAGTGATGCACGTAGATCTTCATTTCCACGAGTCAGATTTGCGAGAGACAGACCTGCCATGCCATCAGGCTTCGCGATCACCATGGTTGCGTTCTGAGAGGCATCTGAGCTTGAAAACGAATAACTGCCCGCGTAGTTTTTGCCAGCCTGTACGATTGCGGCTTTCTCGAGCGCCGGTATCATTACTTCGCCAATGAAGTCAGCGTGGGCATTAAGATCTGGTGCTTTTATCGAGTCTGCCGCCAGAATCACGAAGCCAACGTTGTGGTCTGTCGTTAGGCCAATATACGAGCTGTATTGCCCTATGAAGCCATAGTTTGTGAAAACTTCAATTCTCGGGTCAATTGGACTTCCAGGAGTCGCGCTGAAAATGATCCATGGCCTGCCAATTGCATTTCGAAGATTAGAGGTGTGAGATACAGGTTTCAGCCAACGGCGTGTGACTGCAGATGGTAGTAAAGTTGAGTTCAGAATGGCAATCCCCGCTAGGGAAAGATCGTGGATCGAAGAATACATTCCAATTGACCTTGGAGATCGTTAGACCGCCATTGTCGGCATTTGATGAAACTGACTTACGGTGATTCATCTCCATAATCAGTGGACCAACCACTGATGTCCACATCTGAGGGAATGATTGCATTCGTGATATCACTGGGCGCCGTAAGACTGCTGTTAGACATACCCACCTGTGTTGCAAGGTTTTGGAACATCTCTTCAAATGTTCTGCCTTGCATAGACTCCAGAGCGTACGCCAGAAGTTGAAATGCAAGCCAGGTGCGCCGCCAAGTCACCAAGCGTCACGTCTTCCCAGGCCACTTGGGTCACCGCAGTCTGATCGTGATTGGAAGCCACAGCTTGCGCCAATTCGGGTATGTATTTGGTCACTGGTGCCGCCCATGAAGCCTCACCTGCCTCAACCAGTGTCAACCAGGTAGTGAAGACCTGTGTTAGAGACCCGATGCGATAGATGTTTAATGCTCCCACGTTTGTTTCACTGCCGGGGTTTATTGCCAACGAAGGGGCCTTGTAATGGTATTCATAGAATAATGGCTTCGACGTGTTCAAACCGTCGGTTGGCGAGAACAGGCCAATACTGAAAGTAGTAGTATTGGATGAAATCGGACCATGTTCGTCGCTGCCACCAGTGGCAACAAGATCGTCGAATATCTTGGTGGTATTCTCCATGCCTTCTCGTATGATGGCATCTGAGGATAGTCCACTGGGCACTGGGAACCTCGGACCTAAAATTGGACACGGTTGGAATCCAAATGTGGTGGAAAGCAGAATATCTCCCACCAAGAGGTGGCTCACTGGAGGAGAGGAATAATACATCTTGAAGCCAACAATCAGTGATTTACTGGGTCAGTGAATGGTAGTGCGGTAAGTTTTTGACCAAGACGACTCCCTCTGTCCTTTTATATCGCCATGGTAAGTCTTGATGGGGGTGGGGCTCGACTCACTGCAAGATGTCTGAGATCGTATGAAGTGGATCCTTATATGTATAGCACTCCCGATTTGGTCAAGGAGTGCGAGCCGCAATGAGGCGGCTTGGCAACAAAGATTGAGACCATGAGTGCTGGATACGGAGCCCGTGATCTTGATGTGAATGTACATATCGCTTCGCCATAAAGCAGGCGCAGCAGTCGAACTGAAATTACGCTTCCAGGGTATTTGCTTTCTTGTGCGGCCTTTTGTAGTCGATGTCACCGTTTGTTCCCAGTTCCGAGATCTGCTCCCAAAAGTCTAATGATTGAGTGACTTTCATTCTTTCGAGCATTTGCCACTGCAGCCTGAATCTGCCTTCCGATTGACGTGTCCGCTTTCACACTATTGTTATTATATTCTTTGGATCCTTAATTGCACATCACCTAGATGTCCTTCCTGACCCGGACTTCGACCTCCCATTGACCTGGTGAAGTCTATTTGAGTCTTCAATGATCTGTAAACGCTTATTTGGAAGTTTCCTTTCCTCTCGGTCATAGACACAACCAGATCAACTGGATTATGCCGAGGCTGTTGGTCCAAGGGCGGGGACAAGGCTGACGGTGAAGGGGATGAAGCAGATGAAAGTGAGGGGATGATCCGGCTTGAGCTTAGCGCGCCGAGCCTCGGCTTTTCAGCGAGCCTCGCGAAATGCAGTCATCGTCAGCAGGCAGGGTGGGTCACTCTTTCCAATGTCATCCTTTAATCCCATTTTCAGATGGAAAGAGAGGTGTTCATGTAACATAGGCTATTCTCTGGACTTCAAATCCCGTGACGTGATACGCACAGCACTCCATTCTAGTTCCTCGCACTCTCTGCCCTTTCTGAGAACGCACCTTTAACAATTTTCTTCTGCCTGACCCTTATGGGCACCGGGCGTAGCGTATTATGGAGATTGTGTCAATTCACCCCAGGCCTAGGGCTAGTGGTCGTTTGGGATCACAGAAAGTCAGGACTGGTTGCCTTACATGCAAGTATGTTAGTTGAACCTGCTTCCATTGCCCATTGATGAGCCACAGCTAATCCACAGGCAGGCGGCGCAAAGTGAAGTGCGACGAAGGCAAGCCAATTTGCAAGAGGTACCATAACATTTGAGTCAAGCCATATTTGAGAACACTACTCACCTGGATTGCCAGATGTGTAAATCTCGACCTCAGATGTGCCGGCTATCAATTATTAACGTTCTCGGAGTCAAGTTTCCGAGAATATCAGCCGAGGAGCCATCGTGCCTTACCCGAACAGATCTTGAGACCGTCTTTAGCATCGGCTGCCACGCCACGCCAGGATGTGCGCCGATTGTTATCATACTATCAACACCAGGTTTCTCATCAATTAGGAGGTTTTATGGATGGCGACTTTTGGTCTGTGACTATCCCTCAATTGGGGCAAAGTGAACCTGCAGTAGCGTTCGCCGTTGCTGCTATTTCAACCGCTTTCGAAAACTTCCAGGCGACTAGTGCTAGCTGTCATGGGGTCATGAGGGATGCAGCTTGTTTGACAGGCCGTTCCCTCGAGTTATACAACATAGCTCTCATGAAAACTTATGAGAGGGTTGCGCACCATGACGGGCAGGCTATGGCCATTCTTACATGCATCTTGTTCCTTTGCCTGGAGTTCTTGCAAAGTAATAAACAGCGGTCTAAAGGGCTCTTTGATAGACTGTATCAACTGGTCACACTTGACCACTGTCGAACGAAGCCAGATTCAAGGAAGCATGATTTGACACCAATTCTGCGATCGATGTATCGAAGAATTGTACTGCAGTCTTTGCTGTTTGCACATTCCATTCCACCTTACAACTATCAAAATTGGACACCACAAGTGCCTGACTTTCCCAGGGTCTTTCACTCCATAGCAGAAGCTCGCGATGATTTATACCGACTTCTTGCCGTGATGCACGACTTTTGCAAGCTTGCTCGCACCAACTCAGAGCCAAAAAACAACCATCTCAAAGCACCAGTGGCAGGTCCAGATGAACAGGCATACCTTATCTTAAAGCTCGGTGAGTGGCGGGAGGCATTCAATCTCTGGTGTGCAGACAAAGACCTAAGAGATGGCCGGACCATGCAATCCATTTCATTATTGAGACTGTACGATCACATCAGCATGGGATGGCTCATGAATCCATGGGAAGTATCCCAATTGCCATTTGATAATGCAATGGTGTATTTCAAGCTCGTCGTCGAAGAAGCCTCAAGAATTCTTTCCCTGGCAGGTTCAGATTCCGCTATGTCCTCATTCCTCCATTTTGAGATGGGCATTATGCCTCCGCTGTACTTCACAGTGATAAAGTGTCGACACTACGAACTGAGGCACCATGCACTCAGTCTTTTACGACAGGCGCCGCGACGAGAAGGGCTCTGGGACCGAGAAGAATTGGTCGCGCTGGCTGAACGGGTCATTGAATTGGAGGCTGCTCTAGCATGCTCTGAGGGACTGATTCCTGACGCAGGTCGTGTTTGTGATGTCTCCATGGAGCAGCAAGATCAAGGGATCAGTTTTAGCGCAATCTTTTCCTTCAGGTCGGAAGGGTTGACCGGGACAACCACCCGGATTCGACAGTCATGGACGTGGGAACCCAGGCATGGCAAGTTCGTTCTTTGTAATAACTAGATACTACAACACCCTGGTAGGAGTATAGCAGTAAACCTAGCCGCAGAATTTCCAGCATATGGTTACAAGCTGGTACAACGTAGCCTAGAGTGTACTGGGCGAAGCTCGGGGATTGGAAACATGTTCTCTTCAGGGTCAGACTAAACACGAAAGTCTTGCTTATGCGTTGAATTCTACAAGTGACATAGACCCATCAAGATGGAAATTTTCACTAGTCCACTCTAAAAGTACAGATATGCCCCTGGTCAAAGCACTTTGTCAGCAAGGCTACAAAGGGGGCTGCAGCATGCAAGGCACACAGTGTGGAGACGATCTTGGATACTAATACCCGCATCTGGAGATTTGTGGGTCTTGCCTCTGAATATTCGTACAACGTCCAGGGTACTGTCTCAATAATCAAAACAACTCCAAGGATGCTTCGAGGGAGCAATACTCATTAATGTTTTGTTAGGAAGAGAGAAGAAAGAATCTGAGTTTAGTAGCTGTTACGTGAGCAGAGCAGACAAACCGCCGGTCGATCAACGCAATGTCCGAGTGAGAGAAAAGTAATCATTGAACCATGGTCTCCCGCTCCTCCGACACTGCCAACCTCCATTAGTAAGTAATGAAGTGCAGAATCGGTCCAGGGGATCGAAGAGTTGCCCATAGGTGCGATTTCGAAGCCACTGCGAATTGTTGTTACCGACGAACCCAGGGGCCACGTACCCGGCCCACAAAAATCACCGACCACCATTCACGTTATATTCGATGCCCCCTCCCACCTTGAACTTGATTGCATGACCATCCTGAGTACAGTAAATAGAAGGAGATCGAGGGGAATTTTTTACAATACATCACCTTCCACCACAATTCCAGTCACGGCGATCTTTTTGCTACTAGCCTATTATCATGTGGGATATCGTCAGAGAGTCCGCCCTGGGACAATTACTGCGACTATTCTCAGTGCGGGGCGGGCTATCATATCCTGAAGAGACCCAGGATTTCAAGCTTCCATCAACCTATAATTCCGATATCGATAATGGAGAGAATTCCTCGCGCAGCTCAATCCGCGAACCCGAGAAAACGAACGAGCAAGACGCCAATGAGGCAAATGACTCCGCTGATGTCGAAGCGGCACCGACAGTTCTCCATCCATACACCAGTCGCGATCAAAGCCTTGCTCGAACCCATACCATTACCAGTGCAGATGGGATTGAGGCTGAAGAGATTGTCCCCACTCGCACCAGCGACGGTTTGATCTTGGTGACTTGGTATTGTCCGAATGACCCAGCCAACCCTCAGAATTGGTCTTCTGGTAAAAAGTTGTTTGTCACGGCTCAGATCTGCATTTACACCTTCTCCGTCTATATCGGCTCGTCGCTATATGTGGCAAGCATCCCCGATGTGATGGAATTATTTGGTGTAGGTGAAGTGACTGCGGCGCTCGGCCTTGCATTGTATGTCCTCGCATACGGAATTGGACCAATCCTCTTTTCACCAATGAGTGAGATACCTTTGATGGGCCGAAATCTCATCTATATCGTGTCTTACCTCATCTTTGTCGCACTTTGTGTGGCAACATCTCTGGTCGACAACTTTGCAGGTCTGCTTGTTCTCCGATTCCTTCTTGGTTTCTTCGGCTCTCCTTGTCTTGCAACAGGTGGCGCAAGCTTTGGCGACATGTACGCGCCTTACAAGATGCCATATGTAATCGCATTCTGGGCCGGAGGGGCTACGCTAGGCCCTGCACTCGGTCCGGTAATAAGCGGATTTGCAGTATCAGCCAAAGGCTGGAGGTGGAGTTCATGGGAACTTTTGTGGCTCTCCAGCCCAATTTTGCTGGTGTTAGCGATCTTCTTGCCTGAAACATCACACGACGCGATCCTACTGCGGAGAGCCCGACGATTGAGACAACGTACCTCACGCAGAGATCTCAAATCTCAGTCTGAGATAGATATGGCCAATCTCACTCTGCGTCAGATTGCACAGGAGGCGTTGATAAAACCGTGGCAAATCAACGTCCTTGACCCGGCTGTACTCTTCACCACGATCTACACTGCGTTGGTGTACGGAATTTTCTATTCTTTCTTCGAGTCATTCCCGTTGGTATATCCAGTGATTTATGGCTTCAACCTCGGAGAGACGGGGCTTCCATTCCTTGTTGTTTTGGTGGCGTTGGGGATTTGTCTCTGTGGCTACTGCGCCTATTTCTATTACCATGCAGAGCCCGCCATGCGCAATCAACCAGGGTTTGGATCACCCGAAGCCCGTCTAGTCCCAGGACTTTATGCATCGTTTCTTGTTCCGGTTGGATGCTTCCTGTTTGGTAAGTGAACTCTCGCCCTGAATAAGAAGGGCTCACGTTAGATTATCACCAGGAAGCTAACAACTGTTATCTTCCCAGCATGGACAACGAGGCGCTCAGTTCACTGGATGGCGAGTGTGATAGGTGTAGGACTCAACATGTGTGGCACCTTCACGGTAATGCAATGCATGTTTCTGTACCTACCTTTCACCTATCCAAAGTACTCTGCGTCTTTGTTCGCAGCCAATGACCTGGCACGAAGTAGTTTTGCCGCAGGAGCGATACTTTTCTCTCGTCCAATGTTTATTACTCTGACGGTACCTGGTGGAGTGAGTCTCTTAGGCGGACTGACGGTGGTATGCATTGGAGGCATCTTTATGCTCTACTTCTACGGGGCAGCGATGAGAGCACGCAGTAGATTCGCAGTGGGTTAGGGAAACGTCAGCTAATCAAAGGTGCACTTGTTTGACGCGGCTGAAGGCATCTGATCATCAGGAATTCATCCTTTGAAAAGGTAGCCAGCTATCTACTAGTAGGTCAACACTTGTTGTTTTATGTGGTAGCGCGGTGGTGGTAACTGGAATTGCAGAACTGACGTAGTGTTCGAATCTCCTCTAGCTTGAGTCATGTATCAACCCCACGTGAGTCATGAAATATAATTACCGAAGTACTTCCGGGGAACCTTCAAATTATCCGTCTGCAGTGGCTCTGACTACGAGACATGAGCCTGATGTTCAACCAACATCCTCTATTTCTCTCATCCTACTTCTTGCATCCTCTATCGAGTGTTTGATGATCAATATGACATCACAATGTCTGATCAGACTTATCGCAAACCCGTGATCTTTGCCTTAGCGAGTACGATAGTGTTGACTGCCACCTGCTCCTACTATGCGTACACTCAATACCTCTCTGTACAGACCAAAACTAAATCGACACCTGAACAGCAGGGTTCCCTTCACCGCAGTAATGCTGTGCGGAGGCCTAGAACCAGGCGGAACTGGCGTCCTGGATTCCAGCCTACTCATCTCGATTTCAATCCGGTGGAACAAGCCCTAGCCCACCTCCACGAGCGAACCAATGATGGTGTTGGCTATGGAGTGTATCGCAATACATACCTCTCCCCCTTTCCACCCGAGGTCTCCGTCTTTGATTTCAACTTGCTTCCCAATAACCTCGAATCGATATACCAAATTCTCTTGACACCAAGTCTAGTCCCACGGGCTTACGAGCTCCCCCCTGACCATCGCCAATCTCTCCGATATCACATTCACAGCTTGTTTGTGCAGAATTTCCTCGACGAGGAGTTTCCAGAAGGTTACATTATCGGAGATGATGATATGTACCGTCTCGCGACCAGGGTAGCGCTCGCTGGAGTGGAAGAAGAGATTGTACTTGAGGCTGTTCTTAGATTTGATCAGGGCATGCAGCCTTTTACTGAGTCGTGGGAACCTCCAGCTCCAGACCCTGAATTGACTGCGTGGCTTGAGGCAAGACTAGAACCAGGAACCACTCCAAGCATACCTCCCCCACAAGCCATGGAACCAAATGAGTCTATCGAAGTTGAAGTGAGACTAAATCCCAATCCACCCAATGCAAGAGACCCTCCAACTCGAGCCAATTCAGCGTTCGAGGATATAGAGTTGCGTGATGCGCTTCAGGCTTTGCACGATCGGTCAAGGGATGATGACGAAGAAAGCGAGATGTACATGAACAATGACGAAGACACCGAAGGCAGTCAAGTCATGCTTGACCTATTGTATCACATTGCCGGAGAACAGGCGCGCAGGGAGGGAGCGATTCATCGAGGTGTCGAGTGCAACAGTTGTGGCGTACATCCCATCCAAGGCATACGGTATCATTGCGCCAATTGCTTCGATTTTGATCTTTGCGAGAGTTGCGAGGCCAGCTCTGCACATACGAAAAGTCACGTCTTTTACAAGATTCGCATACCTGCTCCTTCGAGAGGTCATATCAAACAAGTTGCCCAAAAGTGGTATCCTGGAAATCCCAATGCATTCTTGACAAACTTGCCAAAGGAGGTGTTGAAACCCCTGCTTGAAGAAACGGGCTTCGATCGGACAGAAATCGATGCACTTTATGAACAGTTCAAGTGTCTTGCAGGGCACTACTGGAACACGGATCCCACAAATCTCGGACTTGCTATTGATCGTAAAGGTTTCGACGCTTATTTCATTCCCACCACATTTGATAAGCCGTCTCCGGCGAATTTGATCTATGATCGCATATTTGCATTCTATGACACTAACAACGACGGACTGATCGGGTTCCAAGAATTTATTCATGGTCTTGCCAGATTACAGAAAAAATCTCGTCATGACAGGCTGGAACGGATCTTTAAAGGTTATGATCTAGATGCTGACGGCTTTGTGGATCGCAAAGATTTTTTGCGCATGTTCCGTGCATATTACGCTTTGAGCAAGGAACTGAGCCGTGAAATGATCAACAGTCAAGACGATTTCGGCTATGTCGAGGAAGAATTTCGTGAAATCATTCAGGGCAGCCAACCCATAAGCGCCGCATTTGGTGGAGGGCAACTATCTGGCCACGAATCGAGAACTGGACAAAACAAGCAACTCCAATCCAATGGTGATCTCCTGCCAGTTCGCGGAGAGAACAATGTTCTACAGCCTGATTCAGATACGCACGGAGACCGTGCACGAGCAATTGGCAATGCCGCATTAGGTGACCGGACCAGAAATCATCCATTCCGAACCTTTAGGCAAGAAAGTGTTGAGGATGAAGCGTTGTTACCTATATCAATACAGAGTAACTTCCATGAGTCCGGGTTTGAAGATCTAGACGAAGCGACCGAATCCGAGTTGGCTGGGCCTGATCCACCACTACAAACTTACGGTTGGCCACCCCCAATGTCACCTGAACCTCGAGACATCCTTGATGCACTTGGGCAGGAAGTGTCTCTCGACGATATTACCGACCCAGTCGATCGATCCCGAGTTTTGTACGCCCAGTCACAGCGACTAGATGCAGAATTCGACGAGGTCACCGAAAAGTCTCGAAAACGTGCCGTGGAGGATAGGTGGCAACGAAGGAGATTTTATCTGGACGAGCAAGAGGGCATGAATAAGCCTGCTGGTTATACTGAACCCGACAGCTCTGACGATGAGGAAGAGGGAGAGCCATCTAATTCGAAGCCGACCAAGAGAATCAAGGCTGGTCCCCGACGACAGTCTATGCAATCACGGTCGTCATCAAAGGTGCGGTTTGACGACAGCGCCATTGACACCGACTATGAAACCCGGTCCAATACGTCGTCGAGGAGTGTCCCTGTCAACGAAAGATGGGGTGGGTATGAATTGGGGGAGGCAGAAGCTGACATTGGCAAGGACATCCTGTATCAGGCCGTTCAGCAAGGATTCAATGAGCTGCTCGATATTCTTTTCAAGGACAAGGAAGACGAGTGGCTGTGTGCCCATAAGTCGCGGCACGCTCGTCGAAAATTACGCCATGAAACCGAGGAGTATGCGTTGAGTCTTTTGCCGCCAGAAGAGAAGGTTTCAGCGGAAGAGAAAATAACGCATAGGCTGAGAGCGGAAGAACTTCTCATGGCTGCGGAGAACTATGTTGAAGCTGAAGAACAGATTAACAGCCAGGCAACGGCCGGTGAAGTCGAAAAGGTGGATGTGGCCGGTCCTTCGTCGCCGGCAGCGCAGCTGAGCGATCCCGACGATCACATCGAACTGATGTTTGGCTCGAAATCTCCCTGCAACTCCAACCAAGAAACGAAATCCGACAATTCATATCACGATCCGACACTCCCACAATATAGACCCAATACCGACGATGATGCCATTTCCGTCAGTGATTTGAGCCAAATTTCGAGCATCTCTTCCGAAGATCTCCCCAATCCTTTTACAGGCGATCCAGCCGAGGCGCGGCTTGTCTACGAAGAGTGGACTCGACATGATCAAACGGACGAAGAGGCTGAGCAACGAGGAGGATACGGGAAGCTGAGCTTTGGCGAGTTCTGCCTAAAGATGCGACCTGAAGACGAGGTAGCTGAAGCATTAGGAGTCAAGACTAAGGGCGATGAAGGTCGGAAGCGATGGGAGAGTAGTGCAGACCTCGGAAGACTGGCATTTGTGGGTACGTGGTTAGAGATGGCCAGTTTCTAGGAGAGTTTGGCGTGTACTATCAACTTTCAGGTACCTAGTACCGAGCATTGCAGTGGATTGTGATGATTTACGATCAAGCAAAAGTGATACCCCTCATGGACAGGAAAAGGCTTTTTTTTTTTCAACTACATACATAACATTGAGCATCTTGAGTTGAACAAGGACATGATGATTCTCAAGTGTACTTGCTTGTGTCCATGGATTGACAATGTGCTGCGTGTCTTAAGCTTAAATAATTGAGCTGCAGCTAGTAGATTTAGCGTTCACTAGTCTATCCACTATAAGCTTGTTCGCCAGTGACTGTTGGAAACAACCGCGCTAATGCTAGTCACGTGCTAGGCTAACTTCAAACGCGGTTTTTGCTCCACTTGATGATGAGCGCGAGTCAGAGTTGGATTTGTTTCACATCTGGAGGCGCAGTCAGTCTACAACTCCCCCACAAGATGCCAATCCATGTCACAATCGCCCTTGGACCACCAACAATTCCCCTTGTATAGCTCACTCAGTATATACGCCTAACACATTACAACCCAGACTTTACTGTCGCCTGCTCTGGCTGCTGTGCTCACTCCCCTCAAAACAAGCGAACAGCACGCCTTAGACTCTTTCTTCCGGCTCTACATTCAAGCCCCTCCACCCATCTCGGGCACTCTCAACATTCATCCCCCAAACTGGCGCTTCCTCCCCCTTCTGCCTGATCCTCAGGCTACTGTCAAATCATGGGAAATATCAGTAGTAGGCCCGAGGATGGTTCAGTACTGCACCTGAAGGATCAATCCCGTTGTATGTCATGCCTGCCCTACAACGAACGACAAAGCTGACTCCTCCCAGTCTCCATCAGCTCCATCATTATCAGCAATGGTCGCCGCAGAACAGTCCTAACCGTCACTCCTAACGCATATCCTGCCGCTCGTCTAGTTGGAAAGCCTGATCCCATCGAGTTCAGACCCATATCTTATGTCCAGGTATATTCCGCCGCCTATACACCACAATTCGCTGTACAGGAATCTGACTGATGTTCTCAGGATCCCGAATCCATCAACCTATCATTCCTTCCCAGGCTTGATCTCGAAGATGAACTTGACTTTCATTTCACCTTTGTGAGCCGCCAAAACTCGGCTCCGCTGCCCGCTACCCCCTCGACTGCCACCGCTTCCGTGGATACCAACATCACTGGGTTGACCTTTGCATATGCTCAAAACACAAGAGATTTGGACACTCTAATCACCAGGGAATTCCATGCCGACCCCAATCTGCATAAGAATTCAAATGTCCAGCTGATTGGTGATTTTGCTACCAGCGGAAGTCCTGCAGTCACATATGAGTGGCATTGGAGGTGGAAGCCTCCAAAGTCCTTTGAGGACAAGGGCGGCGGTTGGCGCAACTCCTGCAGCTTTCTCGAGTACGACTCCAGGGCACACAGACTGAATACCCTAGCTTCTTTCTCCTTCTGGGTCAACAACAATGTCCCCGTGGCTATGACACCTCTCGCTTCCCCGGGCTTGGAACTCATAGTCCCAACCCAGAGGGCTCGAATGCCATCCTCGCAGTCCTATCAATCTACTGTCAGCGATACCGAGGGACCAACCTCGATGGATTATGCAAACCCGCCATCTCCTCACATTCAGTCGACAGAATCTGCGCCCAATGCCCCACCGATCATACAGCCACCGCCAGTAATCGATGTTCAATGTGCACGGCCTGGTGATGATGTGAGTGCTGTTGAAGATGGACCTGTGTTTAGAGCTACCATGAAATCTCTAGAACAGAAAACCGGAAACATGAGAATACAGATCAAAAAGGTATTGAAGCGCGCTGAGGCTGCCCAACAAGCTCAAAGTGAATACAATCAGGCGATGTCTGCCTTTCTTGGGGCATTACAAGAGGCTTCAGCTTCAAATGCCACGGCTTTCAAGCCTGCCATCGAGCATTATTTTACAAACATTGCTCAACGTATCCTGAAATACGAAAAAGAGAATGGAGTCCTGCTCCAAAAGCAAATCATCGATCCCATCACCAAACTCTATAATCTAGACATCAAGCAAGCAGACACTAAGAAGAAAGATTTCGAGGACGAAAGTCGCGACTACTATGCTTATGTCAGCCGTTATCTTGGTCAACGACAAGATTCTCTAAAAGACAAGAAACGGGCTGAAAGCGATTCCAAATACCAAAATAAGAGGAAGAACTTCGAACTCAAGCGATTTGACTATTCAACCTTTATGCAAGACCTACACGGAGGTCGTAAGGAGCAAGAATTGCTCTCGCAACTCACAAAATATGCTGATGGCCAAACGAAATCGTTTCTCGCAGCCGCCAAGCGTGTCGAAAGTTTGACCCCAAGGCTAGACGCTCTTGTCAAAGAAGTCCTTGAGGCTGACAAGGATTACAAGCTTCAAAGAACTGAAAGAGAGGAGAAGCGTCGCAATCTTGAGAAGAATGGTCCCTCAGCCATGGAGCCAGAAGCTGCACATCAACCTGTGGCTACACCCAACCAGAACTCAGTGCAGAATGGTACCGCTGGTTATACTTCTGACACAGATCTCTCAAGGGCAGATAGTACAAGCTCACAATTCGGCGCCTCATCTGTCAAAACATTATCTCCAACGTCTAACTCAAACACGTTCCATAACATTCCGACCACAGCACTATCCACTTCGCCTGGAGCGTCGTCTCTCACACCAACGCCGAGTAAATTCAAGGGTATTCGCGACCTTGACGAGACTTCTGTAATTTCCAGCGAAAAGTCCTCAGGCGGCCAATACCGGAAAGAAGGGTTGCTATGGGCTTTGAGCAGACCTGGATCACATATTGATCCCAAAGGCATCAATAAACAGGCTTGGCACAAGTAAGTTGTTGTTTTTCTGGAAATGTTGACATGTAACTAACTCCCACAGATTCTGGATTGTTCTCGATCAAGGTAAATTATCAGAGTATAACAATTGGAAAGACAAGTTAGACTTGCATCGGGAGCCTATCGATTTGCGAATGGCGTCCGTCAGAATGGCTCGAGATGCCGAACGAAGATTCTGTTTCGAAGTTATCACGCCCCAATATAAACGCATTTACCAAGCAACGACCGAAGACGAAATGAACAACTGGATCCATTCGATCAATAATGCCTTGCAAAGTGCTATGGAGTTAGGTACCCAAACCTCACAACCAACACGCAAAGAAGCTATTGGTCGTGAATACGGTCAAGTTCTCACTGGGAAAAGCTCATCACAATCTGGTCCCCACAGCTATTCTCAGAAAACGGAGACTTCAGGAGTCGGAGTCAGCCGAAGAATTACTGTTGGTGCCCGGCCTACGTACACACGTACAAGCAGCAACAGTTACGATGAGAATCCCTCCAAACTGCTTGATCAAATCAGAAACAATGATCAAGGGAATCAATTCTGTGCGGATTGCAATTCCACTTCAAAGGTTGAATGGGTTTCTTTGAACCTTGGTATAATATTATGTATCGAGTGTGGTGGTATTCATCGTTCGCTTGGTACCCATGTCTCGAAGATTCGTTCACTCACATTGGATGTACACTCGTTCACCAATGACATTGTGGAGCTCATGATGCTGATTGGAAATCGAATCAGCAATATGGTTTGGGAAGGCTTACTGGACCGAAACCTCAAGCCCGCTCCAACAGCGACCCGTGATCAACGGCTGAAATTCATCACGGCTAAATATGTTGAGCGGGCTTATGTTGAACCAGTTGGACAATATGGAACTGCCGATGATGCATTATTAACGTCGATCAAAAAGCATGAAATCCAAGGCGTTCTTCTCAACATTGCCCGACGAGGAAACGTCAATGCACATGATCGGTCTAGAAACACTCATGCAGTATTTCTGGCTTTAGCAGCAGCTGATCCTGCGCGACCTGTTTCATCTCACGCAACAAGTCCACAACAAGCCTCAACCATTAAAGCATTTGCCATGGCAGAATTGTTAGTTCAGAATGGAGCGGAAATTCCTACCGAGCCACCTCCAATCCCACTCTCGACCGCAGCCCAGATGTATATAGAACAGCGAAATTCGAGGGCGATATCTGGGAACGTTAGCGATACGCTAGGCCCGCTCCCAATGATGATGAAGGCCTCGCCACTTCCGTCTGATGGTACCAGTCGCCTACAGAAACGTGGCAGCGCCGGTGCCAGGTTCGCCGGCAAGGTGACAGGACTGGGTGAACGATAGCACCGTTATAGAGCTAGTGTTGAGATTGAGCTTGGTGCTCCCCTCAGTCTATGCGATTCTGCCGTGGGGTTTTATGATGACACGAATGAATGACGAGGAACTGGATATCGGGTAATAATGACAGAAGGGCACGATATTTGGACACTGGACATATATTTCTCACACGGAAAGACAGGCATTCACTCTCATTGGGTTCCCCCTATGTTTGTGTGCTCAAGCTCTCACTCCGTGCCGCACGGAATAACCTTGGAAAAGGATGGTTTTTGTTATCATTGTTCTTCGCCAATTCAATTGGATAGAACGTCGCGCTATCCCAAATCCCCTTACTAATGTTACATGCAGTTGTACTTTGTGTATAGTCATCCCTGATGAAGAAAGCCGGCACGGCATGCTTGGATATGCGTGTCGCAATAATACATGATCATATATCGATGAATGAACCAATATCGACCACTATGTGCATGTACTAGTTGGTATTCATGACGTGGTGAACAAGCTTAGTCTAGTCGTGGAGTTTTGCATGTTCGGCATGTCGACGAAAGAGAGTCAAAAGCCTCAGAACATGGATATCACACGGATATCATAATACACGAGCGCCAACGACGAGTTTCTGTCCCATTTTCCAGAAGCTTCCCACAACGCATAATGGTTCACTCGGTAGCGATTGTGGCAATCATAAAAGTAAATTGATAGGGCGTTGGATTTGCTGAGTATTGCTCAGTATCGGCATACATGACGGCTGTACCACTTCGTGGAAAATGAGAGTTGTCATGAACTCCACGGTCCCAATTTCGGTTACGGAGAGTCTATAGAGGAGGAATGAAAACCAAGTGGAGGGGAGCGTGCAGGAAAGACAAGAAAGGGGTCATGCTCCGTAAGTCATGATGCCGCTTAGATGATCGCCATCAAGGATGAGCCTTGCGAAGAGGATTTTAGCGAATGTTCTTAGTCTCTCGAGGGAGAAGAAGAGATAGAAATGGATATAAGCGGAGGAAGTGCATCCATCTGGAAAGAGCGCAATGCATTGCGAGAAGGAAAAAGGGGGGCGCGGCGCGAAGTCAGAACGAGCAATGTCAGAACGCGATTGATTGGAGTAACTTACCGTATGCAGGGGGAAATCCAGTGACCTACAAGCGTCGCGCATCTTTGAGCCTTCTGAGTTTCGCCTGCTGACTGCTGCCCGCGATTGGTTGGTGGAGGGCAAGCTCAATTATCGGCAGATCACTCGTCGAGAGCATGGCGTGTTCGTACTGATGACAAGCGGGACGGCTTGTGGAGTCAACCGGCCGGACGACGGTGTGGGTTGAGCCTGTGTGCAACGGCATGGACCATTGATCCCGGGACATGGGGCACAAAGCCTGAGGCAACAACGAGTGGGTAGCTTTGCATGATTGTGTATCTTCACAAGAAATTGAAAAAGCCAATCAAGGTCGTGATAGAACAAGCGTGGAAATCTTACCTTTGGAGGGACGTTGGGAGCGTGATCAGTTCCATTGATTCTTCCAATGAGATAATTTGATGGACAGATATATCGAGTGAAATCTAGGGAGATTATCGAAACGAAGTCTGATGGGCCTTGAGCTTGTAAGCACACTCTAGTATAGCGTTTTTCTCCTTGAGAGTTGCATGGAAGAGCCGTTTTAGCATTTGGATTGGACGGCAACTGACAGAGTGAGTGAAAAGGGACTGCAGGGACAAACGAACCAGTGGACCATGCAAGAGCAGTCTTGTTCGTTAGTAAGGAGATAGACGGGGATGCCGTTGCATCTCCTCGAAACACAGTCAGTCGCTGGTAGTTCGCCAGATCACTTCAGGTACCAGATTGCTAGCTTTCGACCACGGACCGGCATCTCGCTTCCGATGTAGAAGCAGGTGGTAGTGCGTTGTTGCAGATGCCAGGGACCAGTACGAAGGATAGTACTTTTGTCTCAACTATAAAAGGTACTTCTGAACGCGGTCCGAGATGCTGATCAAGCCCTATCGAGACTGTACTTCTCAATTACAAGGGTCGACATCATCCTGGATAGGAAACTGGCCAGGGAAGCTCGATCCGCTCATTGGTGAAGAGCCTGCATCAAAGACATGCATCTCATGCCATGCCTTTAGGCAGGTGTGCAAGCAATCAGATATCTCCGTCGACTTGCCACAACGTGATGCCCCTGCTTAGCCTCATGGCTACTGAACTTGGAGATTGCCCAATGACCAGAAAGATCAGGATTTTTCATCGCTTCGGCCCGCTTCTTTCCACAAGCGAGGTGGCATGACTTTGTTCACGAAAATCCATGGATACCTGGCTATTTCGTGCGTGGCAGAGTTTCTGTTGGTAAATTTTCGTTCGAGACCCGTTACGAGACCACACTCACACCCGTTGGGAAAGACTGTACATCAATGCCGTGAAAAGCAATGCAAGACGTGGCTACTAAGGGTCTCCCATTGCGGACGCTCCGTGTAAGGAGTGCCGATCATCGCAGTACTGAAAAAAAACGTCTGAGTAGGTCTCAGAGTGGGGTGGAACAAGCTGTTTGCGGAGCCTTGGGACGTACGCGGTCAACCAAAATACTCCGATTGTGGCGAATCAACTGCTAAACATCCACGACGAGAGCTTGTGTTCATCCTCAATCTGGTGGAAAGGAAGTCGAGTTTCCGAGACAGGTCGCAATGGTGGCAAAACTCGGAATTCTGACACCAGGAATCTGCACCAATCTGCGGTAGGGAAGACTCCCCTTCACACAGATAAGATAGAGAATGATTTAAGGCTTAGACGTTGGGACCGGCGTGACCGGGGAATCCAGATGTCTCAGAGTGCTCGATACCTTGACGACGTTGTGTAAGCATGTTCCTGGTGGTTCCTTGCGGAACATCTGGCAACGGATCAATGTCCGAAATGGAACAGCAGGAAGCACATTCTATTTCTGGACGAAGAAATGCGGGCATAGGAATGAAGATCATTCGTAATAGATGCCATATTTCATTGGGTACGTGTCGCAATGGCTGCGATGATCAGGAGGCAAATGAGTCTACAAGACTGGAAGTGATAAACCGCACAAGTGAGGTTGGGTTAAGAACAAAGTTCATTACGTCATCGATCGGCCTTCGCACCCGCAAAAACGTTTCTCCGTGGAATCCCCCAACCAGCGGGCTCCAAACATGGGAAATCTCCAATTTCCCTTTGGTAGTAATTGCCTGTTTGCAGCTTTCCCATTCTTCATCTCAGAACCAGGGGTACAGGTGCTCAGCCACATCATGGTCAAGCCACCATCACAGAAGGCCCTTACGGGTTGTTTGGATGCTTCGTTCTTGGTCTTGGGAGATATGCCGACTACAAAATACATCATGGAACATTGCCCTAAAAATAGGTTTATCGATCTCGCTTTCATCATTAGGCCGAGTTGGCAAACTGATCTACAGAAGATTTTCATTTTCGGATAATGTCCGTAACTCACGAATTTGTGCCCAACGGCGATGTCGCTTTTCGAGAAAGCACCAAGATGGTACAATGATATTCACGTCATCCCCACCATCAAGATATATTTCATAAGATATGCGCACCAATTTTAGAGTTTGATGAAAACCTTTGCGACGAATAACTACGGTACACAAGTTCTGATTCCCCACAAGAGCCTTAAGAGCCAGTCATAAGTAGGAGGATGACTTTTCCCGAGCTTGTAAAAGGTGAATGCTCCTTTGAGCTAAGATCTTCACAGTCTCAGGCATTGGCCCTACTTCTCTACTCGTAAGGTCAAAAGCCGTTTGCAATGGATCATCGCAAAAGACCGATTGCCAGGCTGTCGTCTACCCAAGGAGTGGCCCGTCAGATGCGTCGCCATGGCTATAAACAGACTGCCTATTGTGATATATGTCCTTCAATTGCTACCTAAGGTACCTCGAGTGTTGCTGTGCTATCGCCAAGGAGTGATGCAGATTGTGCTCGTAATAGCGACTGCAGAACTCACAAGTAACCATTAGTGAGCAGGGGATCCACAGATGTCCGTCTTCAAATCGTCCTGAGTTGGTACCAGAGAAGAAAAAAATCCAGAACGCCGCAGAAGCCGACGAGGTGGAGAGGTGGTGATAGAGATGATGCAAGCAGTGGGCATGTGGCTTGCCACGGTCCTCCTTGGTCTTGGCGGTATGCGCCTCAGTCTAGCTGTTGTGGTTAGGGATCGGCAGAGTCCAGAACATCGATCCATCTGCCCTACGTTGTCCCTAACCCCATCCTCCATGTTCTGGTCCCAACTCTCAGCTCTTGTGGTAACAACTCATGCATTAGAGCCGATTCCGAACGCACGGACAATGACATGGCTCTTTGTACGTTGGAGTTACTAGCATCCGCCATTTCCTTTGCCTGCTTCTCATGCGGTCTTTTGGTGCTTGGTTTGTGGCCCGGGATGCTGGTTAGCCAACAGGCTATCATCGACTTCCGAGCCTTTCTTACGACTTAAGCGACGGCTAAGCTCACTGATCATCGACCACGACCCTTCAGGACTGCATTAGTCCCATGTTTGAGCGTTGCCACAACTTCGTTCGTAACTAGACACGGCTAAAGCTAGGCATGACGGCTTTTCTTCCTCTGCCATGCCCATGCGTGCCTTGACTGTCCGCATGGTCCAACATACCCCGTTCAGTGGCGAATTCGCTTTTCTAGCCTTCGCATACGATACGCAGTAACCAGTGACCCATGAATTCGGCTCCCTTGCTGCTTTCCACAGCTCTATTTTGCGTTTTCCTACCCGGCCCAGCGATCCGGAAATGAGCACAAACACCGCCACTATCGAACCAGACCCACCTTTCGACCAGCTTGGTTGACTGACTTTGTCCCTGAACCCCTGTATCAATACGGTATTGTTTCGTCCATCTAAAGGCACCAGCCACTGAAGCCATATCGATCGTGGATGCCACCTGCCAACTAAGTGGGATACCCGCAGTACCTTCCCCCTGGTCCCCGTTCTGGTTCTTTAGCGTTCGCATACTCCTTCCGTCCAATCAAGCCCATCCAGGCTTCGCTGGCACTCTCATTTCCCAACTTCGCACGAGCACACCATTCCCATTCCAAAAGTAGGCTCCTCTCGAAGAAAAAAATTCGTGGCGCACCATGAGGGCCTTAGACTTCTTGCCAGACTGTCGCTATCTCGTAGCACACTCTAGCTCTTCTCCAGTGTTCCCCAAAACCAGGTTGCTTGCTCATGAACCCTGAACGGCTCTTGATCTTACAGGCCTTCCGTCCCTGGTCATCTCCAATCATTCCTATCTGATCCATTTAACCACTGGCGACTTGTGAACCCTGTCTCCATTTTTCGGGTTTTAGCTGCTACTTCCAACAGGGCTCTAATCAATTCCTTGTCGCTATCACCACTGGTTACCAGTCATAATAACCCTTCCTGACCGACCAGAGTTCGAGCACTACTCTTACACGGTTCCTCTTCTCATACTCGTTCTTTCCATGCATATGGGACAAGCCAATCAACTGTCCACGGTTGTCTGCAAAGCACAGCCATGATCAAGACCATTCCGTTCTAGTCCTGCGAAAATTCGAGTCTACCTTACCGACCACGTTCACTTCCAAATTTGGCGCCGTTCGATTGTTTCATTTCGTTTCTGGAAAGTAGGGAGTCTATCTCACTGGAACTACTATCCATCAATCCTTTTCAATCACCATCAAAGGGACCATTCGGATCCTTGGACTTCCGGACTCAGCCTACATTTGTTTCGAGAGTGATCATCATTCCCCTGACCTTGGGTGTAGCTATTTGAGGTACGGGTTGTCTTAGTTTTTTTATGTTTCATCTGCAGGTAGCCAGGCATCATGGTTCATTAACTGATGGCTGTCTTCTGGGTACAGCACTATTATCCTTTGCCGGTCATAATCGAGAATATAGGTATGGGTGACGAACCTCCGCCCAGACCTAACTTTCCCATTATTGATGGCGAACTAGATCAGTCGAGAGGTTGGCAACATTTCTTAGGTCGATTAATACCTTCGCTAACCACCATAGATCCATCTCCACAACACTCGTTAACAGGCGCAAATCCTCCGATTAGTCAGACATCGAACATGGAATTCGAAACGTATGCTCAACATCCTTTTGGTATGAATGGCTACGCCGGTCCAGGCATGATCAACATGTCCAGTATGGTTGCTGCCCTACCAGATTACCAGGCGCGACACTATCAGCAACAACCTTTTCCTCAACAGTTTCAATCGCCAGGAGCGGCTAATCAGTCTTTGATGTACCAATATCAACAGAACGCACAGTTTGCTGGCCAGACTGCTACAAGCTATAATCATCCATTCGCTCAACAGTTTCACAATCAATATGTGCAAGGCCATCAACCCAGACAGCAACAGCAACAGCAACAACAGCAGCAGCAGCAACAACAACATGCGATGTACCCCCAATTCGTTGGCAACCCCAGCGGACCAGGCGGTGGACATCATATACAAAATCAAAACTATATACTCCAACAACCTATGATGCACAACCCAAATGTTCCCTTGCAGCAGCATCAACTTCAGTCTCCACAATTTTTGCGACAGCAAAATACCATGTACGGGGGTGCATATGACTCTCGAGCAGCGGGCGGATATCCTCTGCCACAGCTACGGCTTGATAGCTCACTTGCACATGCTGGAACAACAAATCTCCATCCGCAGCTTCAAAGTACAGGTATGACCTAGCCCCTCTATTGATCTACCTCATGACTAATATACCGAGTAGTGCGAAGATCAAGCTCCAACTCATCCCTCCAGAAGTCGGTCCTGCGAGGTCCTCCAAGAAAGCCTAAGCAATCTGGCCATGCGCTTTGGGTGGGTAATCTCCCACCGGCGACACACATTATAGATCTGAAAGATCACTTTTCTCGGGATGCTACTGATGATATAGAGAGCGTCTTTCTCATTTCAAAGAGCAATTGTGCTTTTGTCAATTACAAATCCGAAGCAAGCTGCGCAGCTGCTATGTCTCGCTTCCATGATTCTCGCTTTCAAGGAGTTCGACTGGTCTGCAGATTACGTCGTGGAAGTATGTCAACAAATGCTACACAATCTGTACCAAAGCCAAACCTTGACTCAAAAATAGATGGGGAAGCTTCACCCGTCGTAGAAGACGGCGCACTCACAGACGGTGAAGCAAAAGCATCATCAGAGTCAGAGACGGAGGTTGTGGAGAAGGTTAAGGAGAAGTTTTTCGTTGTCAAGAGTTTGACTGTGGACGATTTGGAGCGAAGTGTGCAAAGTGGAGTTTGGGCAACGCAGGCTCATAATGAAGCCGCGCTGAACAAAGCATTTGACGTAAGTATACAATCTCCTTATCCAAATATGGATGGGGCTAACCCGGACATAGGCGGCTGAAAATGTGTATCTGATATTCTCAGCCAACAAGTCAGGCGAGTATTTTGGATACGCCAGGATGGAGTCTACCATTGATGGTAACGCGGTCGCGGATGTTGAATATCAACCAAGTCCCGAAGTTTCGATCCCGACTTCAACAGATCTACCCCTTACCATACCAACACAAGCAACTTCTACAGCTCCCAGAGGACGGATTATCGATGACTCTGCACGAGGTACCATTTTTTGGGAAGCAGAACCAGAGAAAAAGCTCCAAGAGGAGCAAGTGGCTGAAGACGAGGGCGGTGATCTATCTGGCGAAGGTGATGATTCTGCCAACATATCTCCTGGTACACCACAAGCCTTTGGAAAGCCTTTCAAGATCAAGTGGATATCAACGGACCGACTTCCTTTCTACCGAACGAGAGGTTTGCGAAATCCTTGGAACGCGAACCGAGAAGTCAAGATCGCTCGAGATGGTACCGAGATCGAACCAAGTATCGGCCGTCGACTTGTCAGCATGTTCCACCGTCCACAAATGCCTACAAGTAGCCCTAATGCTACCCGTCAGCAGCAACCACCACCACCACCACAAGGCGGAATGAGTCCATACATGAATCCCCATGGCTCTGCACCAGGAGGTGTGTATGGCAGGACTTATTGACACTACAGACCCGACACTCGTTTACTTGTACAGAACTCGCTCAAGATTTATGAAGCGATGTCTCACGTTTGTACGATGGCATGACCATGATGACCAAGGCCCTCAAGGCACAAAACCTAAACAGTGGCTATAAATCTGCCTCTATGCTTAAGCAACAATTAATGGGGTGAGATCTTAGTGAGAACAAGAACCCCGGTCATGAATTTCACTGAGCAACAAGAGCAATTGAGCTTGGCGGGCCGAGCCATTTTCTTCCAATTCTCTATTTGTATGGGTTTAATGGAAGGGGGAGATCAGCTTGGGAGAGAAAGAGTGGTTAAGAAGTCGCAGAAACAGAGACAGGTACAGCATGGAAAGGTCATGGATGTTAGCGAACATTGGCCTGCTCTTCAAGATCAGGTGGGGAGTTTCAGAAATAACTAGGGACGAATTTGGTTTTCCGCGTTATTTATGGAAGGTATCAAACATGAGCAATGGCGTGCCTTGGATTGTTAGCATAGATTCAAGCAGTCATCGTACTCAAAGTAATCATGATTGAACCTCATCAAGTTCGCGAACCAATTCAACAAAGTCCTCATCACCGCGCCGAGCCAAGTTTCGAAATTCCTCCATGTTGATCTTCAGCCATTCTTCTTCCTCGCCAACCTGTGTTTTGACCATTTGATTAGTCGAATACCGTAAAAGCCAATCACTCCCATGTCCACCAATGGCAACCCTCCAGTCCTATAGATAGATAGACACGGCGCGAAAGAAACTTACTCGCGGTCTCGCAATGCCACATTCCACCGCCGTCGTCAACGCGCCCAACACCCAGACGGTCCTCAACCCATCTTTGGCGCCATCTCCACCTCCACCTCCACCGGGACCTTCACAGCAGATCTGCTCCTCCCAGATCCTCACTATATCACGACAATGGTCGTCGTAGAGATCCTTGGTGCGCTGTTCGCCCACCCGCGTCCGCAGGATCACGCGGTTGTACTCTACCTTGCGCCCGCCGCGGTACACGGCCTGGGCGCTGACGTCGGTGTAGCGGACGTTGATGAAGAATTTGGGCGTGGCGAACCGCTGGCTGTGGAGGTTCGTGAATGCCTGTGCTAGGCTGGCTTGTTGGGCCTCTGTTAGGGGCGTGATGTGCTCGACGTCGTAGAGCGGCATGTTTGTGTGTCACTGAGCTGGTCGCGCGGTGGGTTTCGATCGATTTACAACCCACCACCACATTTGCATTTACTGAAGCCTTGTTCGCCGTGGCCCTTACGTCTCTATCTGCATGTGATTCTGCCTGGTAGCTAGATTACTGATCATCGATGACTTTTGATAATGGGAAGCCGGCAGGAATGCCGCGAAGAACAAGGACACCCATGTGATCGAATCCTAAAGGCGGCAGTTAGATTTGGCCGAATCACGCCCAGAGCTTTTCTCCGGCGAGGTTCCGTGAGGCGCCATCTAAATTTCAGAGTGCCCTGGAATAGGGTTCGCTCTTGATCATTATTATCCATAGTCATTGGCGTATCGAGTCATTCTAGTACCCACAAAAGAGGCACGTGAAGAAATCTTTGCCTCGGGAGTTCAACCATGGCCCAGGCATTGAAAATCAGGCATCCTGTCACCCAAGTCCAAGAAACACTGAACCTCAGCAAAGAGAAGTCTGACAACTTCAAAAGCTACGCTCGACAAGCCCACAATGAGTATCGGGTGAGCCACCCTCGATCAAAATGGGCTACCATCCATCTAGTGTGATCTGGGGTTCCCGAATGGGAGAAGCAATTGGTGATAACGAGGTTCTGGGATCTCTGTAAGGAAGGCATGCTATTCGCGGATCATGACGTTCCAAGCACCACCATTGAAGCTGCGCTTGGTCAGAGATCGAACTTGGTCCGGATGCAGTGGCAGAGGCAGGAGCGCAAAAAAATCAACGATGCGCGCACTGGCAATACGAACGCAACGGCTTAGGGGACGGGAACGGGGTGAAGCAAAGAACTCCGGCACCATATTGACCTTCCTGATTCTGCCATCAATTTAACAATATAGGCCCCAATCTCAGCTTGAGCTCTGCCCCGTCAGTTTACCCTCATCATCAAATTATCGAAGGGATGAATTTACCAAACTAAAGTACATGGATACTTTTTACCTAGATACCTCGAAACCCCCTCTTCGGCATCTGTACCCGTACCGAGTACGTAATCAGTCCCAGCAAGTGGAGATTGTGGCTGGTGTATTTGGAGAAACCGCACCCGCCACGGAACTGTGGCTTGAGTGAGGATTTTGCAAATTCCAAATCTCAAAAAAACTTAACATCAAACTATCCCCTCCAAATATCCAACACTGGAAGTCCAAAGTCTAAACCCGTGCCCTTCCATCCGGTACCAATACCAGGGCTCAGTAGACTGGCACTGGAGCGATCTTCCTTTGGTTCAAGCCACGTACCAAAACCTTCGAGTCTGAACATATTTGCGTCATTGGAAAACCGGATCTCGATGCCTCAAGATTTGTAGAATCACTGACTCTTCTCTGTATAAAGCGCTTGGGCACACTCAACTTTCGCTCGGAGAAATAAGTAGTGGTCCCGAGGAGAAACCCGGGCATCATGTTTTCGATCGACGGATGTTTAACTTCTGATCGGCTGTCATTGTTTACATAATACGATTCTCGGACTCACAACCCAAAGGTGTCACCCGGGGTTTGCCATGTGCTCCGCGGCCTTGATAGCGGCCTTGAGCAAGACATACGTAGTAGTACATCACAGAGTGGCGACATCGTGGAGTCAAGCATAGGCTATGTACGTACCTTGTCTGAAAGTCCGTTACATTACCGAGCGTTTCTCGGGGTTGCCTTCCTTCATGGACTAACCTGTGCATGATTCGAAAGGCCAGAGCTGGAGGTACGATTCGCAACCTCCAATGTTGTCGTTGGCCAATTCGCCTCATTAAACTTGTGTTTCCCATAGTACTGACATTGAACTGAATAGTTCTCCAGGCCCCGCTATGTAGGAGCTCTTTCACGTTGCCATAGAGGGCGAGTCATCGCTTGATATTTAGTGTTGATCTCATTTTGCATGCAACTCCAATGTACTACGAGTAGTGAGCCCAGCATTCTTTGATTCAGTGCTCTAGAGGTATCACTGTGAACGACATTGGCATAGTCTTTCATAGGAAACCCGTCTCGCCAAGTCCGTGATGCTAGTCCCTACAGTAGACCAGCCAGGAACATCCAATGCTTAGCAACACAACAAAAACGACCAAAGAAAGCCCCTGAGGCCGACCTGGGTGCGTCCCACAGCCAGCATGGCTCCCTCAGCCTCGTCACTGCTCTGCAAATCACGACAAGGCTGAGCCGGAAAAAGTGGATCAGTGGTGACACATCCACCGACCAATGATGACGCAGCAGATGCATTTTGGCTTCAAAATCTCAATTCGATTTTTTCCGCTTGGTCGGATTCAATGACTCTGCTGGCACACGACTCACTCTACTTAGCACATGGTCTCATATCTAATCGCGCGGATTCATGTTCATAGTGAGAGCTACATTTATTGAATTGATGTGAGTATAACGGTAGTCGGGACTGCACGATCTTGAGAGCTAGAATCTGTGGCGTGACGGCATCAGATCCATAGCAAAATAACGTCGAAAGTCATTCAACAACATCTGTATGCTGTCAAGAGCAATATTATCTTGCACAATCAGTGTTATCCAGGCAGTATTATCCTAGCTTCACCCAGCAATACCACCTTGGATAATCATACAACCCCAACAACACAAGACACCAACTTAAAACAAACCAACCAAACCCAACCCATGGCGACCACAACATCGACGCCGGAAGAGGACCATCACAGCCACGACCACGACCACAGCGACACGGCATCGCAGAACCAGAATGCAAGCCGCAGCAGGCGACACAGCGCGCAGGAGCGCGAGAAGCTGAACCGCAACACGCTGAACCAGCGGGCGTCACGAGCGCGGCGCAAGGACTACGTCAACTCGCTGGAGTCCAAGGTGCGCGAGTACGAGACGCAGGGCGTGCAGGCGACGGAGGAGGTGCAGAACGCGGCACGGCGAGTGGCGGAGGAGAACCGCGTTCTGAAGGAGGAGATGCGCATGTTGCGGGAGCATGTGAGGTGTCTGGAGGAGGTTCTGGGGAGGAGAGGGAGGAGTGGTGGTGCGGTCGTGGAAGGGGTGCAGGACGGGGGCAGTGTGGGAGACGCGAGTCGTGTGGGTTCGAATGCTGATGTCAATATGGATGATATGGGGAGACAGGTGGAGTTGGATTCTGCGTGGAAGAGACTGCAGCATGAAGATCGAATGCGGCGGCGTGAGCAGTTCGACATGCAAATGCAAATGCAACAGCAGGACCATCGATCGGAGCAACCTCGGTGGCGAGACCAGTTGAACCATTCGCACTCTTCGCTGCTGAATATCGAAGATATGCCCGGTGATGCTGCAGCCGTCCAGTACCCATCTCCACCCGGGGATGGCGAGGTGAACGGACAAAGACGGCGTCATCAACACCATGCATCGGTCATCACGGCACGTCACCCTCTCAGACCAGTCGACGACACGGAATTCCCCCACGCGACCATCTCTTCATTCAACGGCTATTATGACGCCGAAACCGACGAAGAAGTCGAGCAACACAGCAACGACAACCACAGCCATGCCCATCCCCATACCCACACCCACGGCAGCGAGCATTCCAGCCACATCTACTCGCCATACTCCGACGTATGGACGCAGCAGAGCTACACTGCCACCGGCCACGCACAGCATCAATACAGCCATTCACAGTCCCAGCACAAAATCCCATCGTCCTCCTCCTCGTCGTCGCGCTCGATGCTCCCCGCCAACACCACACCATGCGAGGAAGCAGCCTTGATTATCGCCAGCATGCGCGGCATCGGCCACACGAATCCGACGTACCAAGCCGACATCCTCCCGGAGCTTGGCTGTGATACCACGACCAATAGATCTCGTTCCTGCACCGTCGACAATGCCCGGCTGTTCCGGATCATGGACTCGGATCGCGTGTGAGTTGTGGTGTGGTGTGGTGTAGTGTGAGGTGATGCGGTGGAGTGAGGTAAAGTGAGATTGAACGAGGCTAGGGGTTCTGCATAATCGGATATAGGAGATACGATGCTACGGACGGATATAGAAAAAAATGCTTTGGTAAATTATGGCGTATGGAATTGGGAGAGGCCAGGGAAGAGCAGAGCAGAGCAGAGCAGAGCAAGCGAGATGATCGAGGGCATTCAGTCGGACCTCAACCCCCTAAAAAGTTTGTTCCTACCAGCGGCGCAGCATATAATACCACAGATATGATATTATCAATGAATTACAGCACGGCACAGCACGGCATCATTTTGAACCAAGAGGAATACCTGTTGAGCGGATCCCGATTTATTCTAAGAAACTCGAGAAAATCCAATGTGCAGTCGAAACCAATCCAAACGATGACTAACGTGAGATCAACCAGCGAATAAAGGGAATCTTCTCGATCATCACCACCTGAAGGAACAACGTTTGTAAGATGCATACATCATTATCTATCTATTTACGACTGAACGTTTGGAAGACACGAATCACTAGTGTGAATTTCGTGGTGCGGGTGGGTATCTAGCAAGTCTAACAAAAAGGTATGAGAATTGACCGAGCTCGAACAATCCATTGTCGAGACGGCAGTAGTGTCGGATGGAGGTCCAGTCATGCTGGAAAGGAGCATGGTTCATGGTGTTGACGTTTCACCCCATCTGACAGCCATAGCCGTCCTGTCTGGAAGCATCATCTCGCCGAGAACTTGAGGTGTACAAACAAGATCATGCTGGCTGGCCTCACGGACGAAGATTGATTTTCATTCATGTTCTTAGGGCAACATTTCATGTCGTGTCATGTCGTGTCCTTGACTTGACGGGGGTGATCCGAATTCCTCAGAACTCACTCGGCTCACTAGGCCCATTTGCCGAGTAAAGCCATCAAACCAGCGCCCAGACACATCATCAAGAAAGCAAACAGCACCGTCTGTATCCTGGCTCTTTGCATGGATCGGCTGAACATGAACTCATGGGCCATCAACTCCACGAGACCGGTGTAGATAAGGATACCGGCGGAGATGGAATCAAAGATACCGTTGACAATCAAGGTGGTTTGAGATCCAGGAGGGTAGGAGTTTCGGACACCCAGACCCACGGCAATGGCGATGGGGGTACTGAGACCATAAGCCAGACCGAGGATGTAAGGGGTCCAGCGGCGATTCTTTGGCCACGGGGTGACAGCCAATCGGGAGCCGAGACCGAGACCTTCGAAGGTTTGATGGAAGATGAGGACGACGAAGAGGGTGTCGAATTCCGAGCCGGCAACTGCCAGAGTGAGACCGATAAAGATGCTGTGGAAGATGATGCCGAATTCGAGAACGAAGATGGCGGTCATTTGCGCTTTGTAGTCCTCAAAGCTGAATGGATTGGCTGCGTCGTCGATTTCATTGTGTTCGTGTCGGTGGCCGAGATGGTCCTGCCCGGGGATGTGTGTGCTTTGTCTCGGATCGGCCATTGTTACGGCGGACGCGGCCGGTGCGGTGGTCTCGGATGGGGTGTCTTTGTAAGGTGTGGAATCGGCCACGTTGCTCAACTCTGTGTCCTTGGATCCATTGATTGCAGCATCGTGGCTGGCATCGCCGTGGTTGTGTCCATCGCCGAAATTACCATATCTCGTGACCATCAACTCGACGAAGAAGAGCACAAATATCGTCATCAAGATGATACCCTCACACCATGAGTAGTCGGTAATGGCGCCGGTGAGACATGGGTTGGTCAAGGCCTCTTCTGCGGGACCCAAGAGATGGATGAAAGCGGTTGCGACGATGACGCCTGAGCCGAAATATTTGCAGATGAAGAAAACCCACTCGGGGATCTTGAGGCCCTTGTGTCGATTGGCAAAGACTGGGAATACAGCACCGATTGACGAGGTGACCCAGATGATAAAGAGCGCGGCTACACGCAGACCAATTCGGCCATCATAGTCATTTCCGGTTTCACACGAGACGGGAGCTTCTTCTTCCTGTCGAGCGATGAGATGGCTGAGGATTTCTAGGTTGGCCATGGTGGTACAGTGTCGACCGGTAGGGTTGTTTTCGGCTACCAACAGCCGGTGGAAGTAATGATAAACTTATGTGCGTGTCGGCAGGGGAAAATCTCTTGGAAAGAAAATTAGGGGGTCCAATTGATTTATAGGCTTGAACTTTGAAGGGCAAGCTTTATGTGAGAAGAGCTTGTCTGGATGCTTGAGATCGAGGACCTTATTAGTGAACGCCGAAAGATGCGAGGTTCAGTCGACTGTGGAGAAGATAGATTGATATTTATCGCCTGTGGGCCGACTCGCTAACTTTTTGAACGATCTCCCGCTGCCTTATGACCGCGTGGGATGGCAGTGGATATTATTAATATGGGTCGGACTGCCTGGGGAGGTTGAATATTGGAACTCTGTTGGGTTGGTCGAGAACCGAGTAGGTAAACAAGAAGTTCACGGTTGAGGCAGTTGAAGGGCAGGATGAGGACTGGCGAACAAGCGTTGTGACATGTCAGCAGAAGTGCTTGTGGTTGAAAACGAGGTGTACATTTCGTTGCCAGTGTCAAGGTGGTACTCGTAAGTGTCAAGGGTCCTGTCAAATATGAGGACCTTAAAGGATGAAAGGATCTGTAGATGGGGTGGGTGACCAATCAGAGGCAGTGCATGGACTCAAGGCTGGGACTAATATGGCTTCTCTGATTGGGTGACAATCATGACGTTCGTGTTTCCGAAGGCACTCTTCCCAACACCAACATCAATCGATTCTTCTCGAACGTTGTGATGCTGATCAATACAAGACCTCGATCGTTCTATAATATAATACATATGTACATACATCCATGATCACCGCGCCAGTCGACCTTGGTAATCTTCATCGTCATTGAGAGCACCCACCCCTTGTCGTTCTTATCTGATGCGCAAGGCTGCGTCACCTTGGCGTCCTTTAAGGTCCTCATTTTCGCCCATGCTCCTATCACATCACGTCACAATTTGCTTATTGTGGAATCCCTACTCAACGTAGGACTGCATGTGAAGCGCGTCTCGTTCACTTGTCAATTATGCTTTTCGAGTCGGTAACGAGTGACAAACATCCGAATTTCGCATGAGCAAGCGTTTACACCAAGGGCCGGATGTCGGCACTCTCATGAGAACGAACGATCAAAGTCACGACCTCTGGCTTGAACCCCGTCAGGCCCATGTTCAACTTAGCCACGTGTCTTGCAAACGTGTCACAACGTTGATCATACCAATCCGAGCAAAGCACCAGCCTCACCAAACTTCCTTGGTTGTGGTTGTCTGACATAGCGAGGAAGATGAAGGATCCCTTTGTAAGAGAGGTACCCCACAAGGCCAAGGGTCGCAAAGGTTGATATCAAGGTTTGAACGTATAATTCGCGTCGTCTCGAAATGGTCGCCAGTTGGGATTGTTTCTCAAGCTGATAATTACCACCAGCCCGCAAATTGTGAAGTTCCACAGGCTTGTAGGGAATTCCAACCACCGGCAGAGAGCTAATGCAACTTTCCAGAACCGAGTGCAGAACCTGCTGCGGTGTTCTTTCTAAGGGTTTTTGCCAGGGTAACTCGCTTCCAGCAATTGATGTGCCATTTCCCCCCTTCAGAGGTGTAGTTGCATCCAACGAAGAACCTGAAACTCGTGGTGTTTGTTCCGAGGCCCATTGACTTAACTTGGCATATTTTGTCTGCAGAGCCTCCTTGACCCACGCTTGTGGTAGGTCAGGGACTTGAAGCAAGGCAATGTAAGCGATTGCCAGACAGTCGAGACTGCTTGTAGTGTCACCAAGCAATGATTGATTGTCACCCAGTTTCTCCAACAGTGGCTCGAGGAAGTCTGCTGTGACCGCATCCAGTCTGAAACGGTTCTTCTGCAGGTTCCGACCCAATAACGAGGTGACAGTTTGTCGGGGTTTTCGCAAGGACTTCGGGATATGTGCAGTAAGACCAACATCATCACTCTTGTCTTCTCGAGCTGTGTCCACATCCAGGCTGCTCAATCCCAAATGGTCCGATCTCTTCTTGGCTTTGTCTCGCAGTAGATGTGGCACAAACCAACTGTCGGGCCATAGTAGGATGTCACCTAGAGCTGGCCTTGTCGAAGCGAAGTAGTTGTCACTACTGACGTACAGACAGAGGTCAAGGAGAGGTTGGCCGCGTGACGCGAGGAAAGAAGAGAAGGCCGTAGCATCGGCTTGCTGCGTGGGATTCAGGTCTCGGTCGAGATCATACCTGCCGGTGGAAGAGTCTCGGAGGTATGTGACGATGTTGGAGAAGCCAGCAACCCACGTGTTGCCATCTTTGAGCGCCGGGAGTTCACCAAGTGGACTTATTTGAAGATTGTTGGAAGGGATCAATGCCCAGGCATCAATAGGGAGAACCCTCTGCAGGTAGCAGACTGCGGCGAGACATTGGGCGTCAAGAGACGGTAGTCCAAATGCTGGACCCCATATGTGCAATTCCAGCACCATTATCCGGCCTTTTGATGGCCTGATAGTCTATTGGTGGTCCCAATAGTTGATGCAAATTTATGAAATGCGAAGAATGACAATCGAGTCCTCGCCTTCAAGTTGGAGACTGAAGGCTCGGTAGAAATTCGACGTGGCTTGACGCGTTATCGGCAATGTTGCCTGTTTGGGAAACTGCATACCTGGGAATTGCATGCATCTGCAGCATCAATAACCCTCCGTAATTTTGTTCTCGTAGAGTCGTAGTAGTAGTCCAAAGTACCTCATCTCAAAATCATCCACAATATGGCTGAGAGCCCTGAAAGAAAATATCACTCTCTATGAGCCTATGACCTGCTCGAACCCCGCTGTTTGCGCATGGTCATTCACATCTTAGAAGGTATGGTCATTTAGGAAGGGTCGGATTGAGAGTGTAAGAAACATCAGCCTCACTTCGGTCCGCAAAACATCTGTTCCCGTGGGTTCTCTACTATCCATGTGGATTCGGTCAGATCAACCTACTAGATCTTGTTGGGATTAGAACGCGACGGTCTCCAGAATGACGCTGATAATCTAGTGTCTCATTTGGCAATCGATTTCCCTACCGACAAGTGCGGTCCGCAAGCCAATGTGCAACTATCCCGTCCTCCCATTTCTCCAGCCCACTGTCTCTAAGTGAGTGATGTAATTGGCTGCGGATGGGGGCTTGCAACCGGTGTGATTACTCGTACCATGCGGACAGTTGAATCCAGAAGAGCTGCAACAAGCACTATCACCGCACTAATACTCGGTTATCTTGAAGGTCACACGATGGCTACGGCGAGTGCTGGCCTTTCTTCTGGCACTATTCAGATATACCTCGTAGTGTTTGGGGGCCAAATCGAATCCTACTACCATACTGGGTTGACACATGTCGACTACTTACAGGATCCTATCCATTGCGCCACCTGGCTAAGTAATGTTGAGGGGTGAACACCATATCTTGTGCATGCGCCTCAGAGTACCATATACATCATATGTAAGTGCTTCTGACAATGATTCCTTCTGGAGATCTTTGGTGAACACTCCACAATCTTATTCATGTACCACTGGATCGCAGAGCCACCATACTCTTGTGATTCATGGTCGAACCTCCTAATTACCCATGCACGAGACCAATAGTTTGCACCCCGCGAACCTTATCGGAGAATCAAACCTCTAGTCCTGATGGCTTGCCTCAGCCGAAGACAGCCAAGCCAGAGGCTACAGACATGACATCGAATGTGAAAAGCCATGACCTTGCGCATGTACATCATTCATGGTTCGCTTTCGTCTGGGACGTCTTTCTGCTCTTCGTTCCACTCTTTTTCTTCGGTTGGTATTGCTCTCAACTAGGGAAACCCTTCAAGCTAATCTGAAAGATGGCCTTGGTGTCGCATCCGCAATATTACACGATAAGGCGCTTTCTCCGACCGGGAGTAATATTCAGCAGGCTTTGCTTCTCTCCCCTACAATCTTCCCAATCGCATTCGCTGCGCTTGCAGGTCGGTGCATGAAGTCCATAGCCACCTACAAATGTCAGACTGGCATGCGCCTAAAAGTCAGTCTCAGAAGACCTGTCATTGCCATGAGAGGGACTGAGCGGTTCAGTCATTAGAGCATCTCGTTGGCGCGCAGTCTATATTCTCGACTCTCGAACAACTCGTGCTACTGCGAAACTTCAGTCTGCTTGGAATTGCGGTGTCACTAATTTGGGTCCTGTCTCCAGTTGGAGGCCAGTCATTGCTCAGACTTCTTGACACAAAGCCTACTCAGACTCTACGCAACAGCACAGTCACATACCTGAGCTCCCAAGTACTAAACTCCACAGCACTCATGGGTTCAAGCTCAGGCGCGACTGTCATTACGGAGATTACGGCCATATACCTAACTTCCCTGCTGTCCGCCGCCGTCAGCCTGGATACTCCATGGGACCTGTGGAATAATCCAAAAGTTCCATCCCTAGCATCATTAGATGGCGATCTTACCGAGACATCCTCCTGGTTGAATATCCGCCAAGAATCCCAACCTAGCTATATTAGCTTGATCGGCATGCCCTTGTCGAACTTGGCCAGCAACGCCCAATCGCAATTAACGTTCGATTCCCTTGTAACTAATATGGATTGTAGCTCAAATGAGCGGACTACTTATTCGAAGTTCAACTCTTCTCTGACTGAGCCACTCTACAGAAGTGTCGATTATTGGCCGAGCGATTTCCAGAGCCTCGCGACTCACCCTGGTACCCAAACCTCTTTTCTGTTCATAACCAACTCGTCCTGGCACGACTTCCAAGAAGATCCCTCCCGCGCCATACGGCGTTACTTCGGATCTAAGACCACGGGTGAGAATGGTGGGGACATGTCGGACGATGACAGTTGGTGGATTAGCCTTCTGACCTGCGACCTCAGCGGCGTGTCGCTCGAGACCGAGGTTGCATGTAACGGGACAAGCTGTGCCGCTACTCGAGTACGTAAATCGTTGTCATCGCAGTTGCATACAACAGCATGGGATGCTCTGAGGTATGCATTGACAGAAGGAGCGTGGTGTGGGATGGGTCTTTCACGTCATCCTGCTGAACCCTCGCTGCCCGACCGCTTTCTGCACGATCCTCTGTCAATGTGGATGTCGTCGAGCGCCAATCGCAACTTGGGGCAGCTTTGGAAGCCACCCCTTGCGGAAGTTGAATCGAGGATGACGCTTGCCTTCAACAGTTTCTACTATGCCTTGACAACATCCGCGTTTACCATGGGCACTGGAATGTCATCTGACAATCTGACGCAGGCCGGTGTCTCGGTGCCGGTCACCACGACCACAGCCTCCATCACATCAGACGGACCAGAGATCTATGTATGCAACCGAGTCTGGCTCGTTGTGATATTAGTGGTATCGGCCATCCTAGAAGTGATGGCCGACATCAGCCTGATCTTGCGATGCAGGACTCGTGTCCCTGATATATTTGGGTACGTGAGCTCTTTGACAAGGGACAACCCATATTGTTCAAGACAGGGATTCCAAGAAAGCTCTGCACAGGATGGCTTGCTCCGTGCGAAAAGGCTGGGCCATGTTGAATTTGGACTGGTGGATGTGAAGCCGGGCAGCAATGTTGGCCACATAGCATTTATACCAATGCTGCCCAGTTCCGCTCAGGAGGGTGACCCGGGTGACCATCATTTAACAGTGGATCGAGTCCATCGTGCCAGGTCATATGAATAGAGGGGGTGCTTTGTGTGCCCTGTGAGGATTTATTCAAGATCCGTATGTCTAATGATCAGCTCTTGGGTGACTGCATGTGCATCAATAATCCTCCGTAGTAAAGTGGAGGTCAATATCATCAGCAGTAATCCTCCGTAGCGAATTGGAGCTTGATTTGACGTCATGAATGACCCCAATAACCCCCCTCCTAGCCTTTTAACTCCGTCGAGTTTGTCCGTAGCCCGGAGTTCCGAGTCACGCAATACCACTCTTACTCCTCGTAGCCTCTGTACTAGGTAGGTATCTCACACGAAGACTTTGGAGGCTCAGTACCTCGGCAAATAGTGATGGCTTCGCGTCTGGATGTCCTCGTTCGATGAGTATGACGGCTTCAGGTTAGATCGCTTTCCCTTGATTAGCGATCTCGACTGAATTTTGGCCCGCACTACCAACGCATGAAACTTGTCCACCGTAATCTGTGGCACCCGTGGCCACGGGGTTGATGATGACAAATGCCTTCAATGCTCGACTGGTCATCCTGTCACTGCACAACTCCCTAGGTTTGTCCCAAGCAGGCAGTCGCTGTATAGATTGGGTGCTAGGGCAGTACTCACTGTGGAATAATGTCTATCACACATTCGTCATGAGCTGACCCCACACTCGTTCGGCGACTGGCCGAAGTCGAGGTGCACGCCTCACGGCACATGGTGAAACCTAACATCTGAGCCGGCAGTGTACAAGGTTTAAAGTCTGCATGAAGTCCGACATCTTTATGCCAACTTCCTGCTCACATTCATTTCAGATAAGTCTACCACAGCACCATAACCTTTCAAGCGCAACAACAGACCACATTCACCGACATTGAGAAGACATGTCATCCCAGCCCCTCACTGTAGTGTTCGGAGGTGGTGCCATCGGAAATCGCGATCCATGGACTAAACCTGAAGACCTCGACAACGTCTATTCCATTCTCCTGAAGCACAACTGCACCCATATTGACAGCGCGCAACTCTATGGAGAATCTGAAGCCACTCTAGGTCTAACCAAGGCCGGCGAGAAATTCACCATCGACACCAAATGGGTCGGCGGTTTCACTGGAGGCGGCGGGTCCAGTCGTGAGAACATCGTCAAGTCGGGTCAGGAAAGTATCAAGAAACTCGGTGTCAAGCAGGTCGACATCTTCTACCTGCACAGTCCAGACCCCAAGACCCCCATTGAGGAGACACTTGCGGGCGTCCAGGAGATCTACCAACTTGGTCTTTTCAAGCGTTTCGGTGTAAGCAATTTCAAGCCGGAAGCTGTGCAGCAGGTCTACGACCACTGCAAGGAGCAAGGTTACGTTCTGCCGACAGTCTACCAGGGCAATTATTCCCCCGTCGCTCGGAGGCAAGAAACAACTCTCTTCCCGGTCCTTCGCAAGCTGGGCATTGCTTTCTACGCATACAGCCCGCTCGCTGGTGGGTTTTTGACCAAGACCCCCCAACAGCTCGAAGAGGGAGCAGGTCGCTTCAACGATGAGGTTATCGGCGGCATGTATAAGCGTATGTACGTCAAGCCCACGCTTATCAAAGCTCTCGAGACATGGGCATCGATCGCGGAACAAGAGGGCGCCACCAAGGCTGAGCTCGCATACCGCTGGGTGACGTACAATAGCCCTTTGAAGAAGGAGAATGGTGATGCTATCATCATCGGCGCGAGCAAACATGAGCAGTTGGAACAAACCTTGGCGGGTATTGAGAAGGGAAAGTTGAGTGACAAGGCGGTCAAGGACATCGATGAGATCTGGGAGCAGATCAAGGATGAGGCTCCCTTGGACAACTACAACGGGTGATTGCCAGGCTAGCTGGTTTTCAGTTCACCAAATGTAGACTCTTGTGCTGTTCATACATGGACGGTTTGATCAATGAATCATGCCTCACGATGACGGAGACTTGGCAGGAATTTAGCAGAATATCTCAATGATCCTTCCCGGGCTTATCGATGCTTTTGATATCGGTCTAATCAGTGATAGTTCAATTTGAAACGCGGTGGCTGTGTGACATGCCATAGATCATTCAAGTTCGACTCCAGTGTGACCTCAGCCCATGCTTCACAAGTTGGACTGACACTGAATAAATAAATCGGAGGGAAAGTCGGAGAAGCAGGTCTCCCATTAGTGGCTAGCCAGAAATTTCGGAGATTCCGAGAAGACTTGGCTGGGTGTAACAATTGGGTCCCTTGATGAACCTGGTGAGTCTGCAGTAGCTTTAGATATGAGCACGCTGTTGATGCAAACTCCACCTCAAACGGAGTTTAGGTCGGGTTTTGAAGACGGCGAGTCTCGGGGAGATCAGATAGATATTTAGCAGCCAGGAATTAAAATCTATCAAAATGACAGTAAGAGGCGTTGGTTTCCATGGATCTCCTTTCGCAGACAAGGACTTGAGCCAATAGTCTACGGCAAGCAAGATGGCACAATACAGCATTGTTACTGTCAATCACCGGAATACTACTAGCCCTTTGACCCTTACTTCGATCAACAATGTCGATGTCCTTGGTGTGCCACTATCCAACGATCCTTCCTTGCAACCATACTCTTTCAAATCGGCTATCTCCCGCGTCGCAGTGCCGCCAACTCGACTGAAACGTGCAACTGTAAGCTTCCGACCTTCCGACGGTTACAAATGCAACTGGGATCAAGCTGGCTTCCTGTTCGTGCGTCCAAAGCCAGAGCTTCCGGAACCTTCAGCAGAGACTCCAGGCACCACAGGCACCGCGCCCTCATTCATCAAGATAGGAGTCGAGCTTTGGGAAGGCAAGCTCTATCACATGATCTGCTCCAGCCACGAAGATCTCACTGATTGGAGCTTGCATGCCATCCCCGAGGCATTTGAAGATAACGAAGATATCACAATGGAGATATCCCGATTTGGAGATCGTCTCGCCATCCAGGCCGTCTATGGTCAAGGGCAGCAAGTGGTTAAGAGGATGATCCGAGTTGTTCCATGGTGCTTTGTGAATGAGTCCAAGTCTGATCCTGACATCTGGGTGGCAGTCTATGTTTCCAGGCCAGATGCTGAAAGAACAACCACCGAATCTCTTGTCGTGAACTTTCACAGCCTTCAGATTGAAGACACGGATGGCGTGGTGCGATTCGATGCGTAAGCTCCTGTGATAGTAACAGCTGCCAGATAGACTAGGGCTGATCCTATGGTAGAAGCAGCTGAATCATGTGTTCAAGATTCTTCTGGCTGCGTGATCACTTGTCTACTATTCGCACGCTGCCGTGGGACATGATCCGAAGTCGAGTATTGCGCTTGTCCCAGTCCATAATGCAAATATTGATAGCTGGTGAGTGAGAGAACTTAACGGGCATACGGGCTAAATGCCCACCTGGTCTTAAAAGACATGATCCGACCGCATGCATTATTGAAAGTGCTCGTATCTTTCTGATGCGCGGGAAAGCTTTGGTATCTGTCGCCAAGGCACATCAAAGTTCGAGCCCTAGGTCACAGCGGGGTACCAGTCCTACCGACCTCCTCTAAGTTCCAGCCTGCTGGGTTCCACGCGTCGAGTCTCTTCTTCATCTCGCTCGCGGTCAGCCTTCTTCCATTTCATCCTACTTTCATCGAAGAATATCCCTGTGATGCGTCCGGTCAAGTATCTGAGCACCTGCGACCGCTGCAGAGTCTGGAAAGTGAGATGCGCGAGTCAGTAGTGTCACCATAGCTTTCATCAATTGGCACGCTAATCATGCCCCAGAGGCCAATGAAGCAGATGAAGCCTGCATAATATGCGATGTTCGTGAGCTGGTCTTTCCCTTTCCCGAATAGACAATGACCCTATGGACCAAGCAACAAATCACCTGACATCTGCAGAAACGTGGTATACAATGCAAGTTTTCACCCATTAAATCACGCAAGCCGTACGCGACGAAACCTCCAAGACTACAAAAGGCTGGTGGTCTGTTTCCACCCTCTAGTGACTATCCTGATCTAATCTCTGGCAGTGCACGATGATGATGAGAATTTGATGATCCAGGCTGATGACGCTCGATCCTGTTCGATCGATGGTGTCAACTCTGTTGAGGCCACGAATTCGGCCCATGAATCCATGCCTGTCACGCAGAATCAAGGTCCTGAGCGAGCATCTGAGCTTTATGTCGACTGTTTACTCTTCAGCAAAGAGCATCCTGGGTCTCAGCAACCCGACAAAAGAAGGTACGCTGTTGGTGAAATCAGTGTGTCGAGACCTATCAGCAAAGAACAAGGTTAGTGCGCCCCTGGAAAAGTGGTGAATCTCTTGCTTCAAAGACTAATCCATGTAGTTCCTAGTTCCAGTCTCGCATTCTTCTCAGACGAGGCTGTTGAGCGCCTGTGTCAAAAACTTGGTCATGGCAAAGTCAAGGACCTTGTAACTACCCTAGAGGAGCAGATGAAAGCTCGATGGGAAGCTGCAGTCCAACAAAAAGACGTATCTGAGAATCTGAATTCCTCTCATGAAAACGAGTCTCAGTACATTCGAGGTGGGTACTACATCCTCCTTAAAAGGCTCAGACTGTTTGGGCGAGCACTGAAGATCTCTGGACAGCATACTTCAAGCACCTCCATCCCGTGTACCCGTTCCTTGATCAAGCAGACTTTGAGAGAAAGTCAGCTTCCTCCGGCTCGGAAACATCAGACATAGTTCAGAACACCTGGTCGGCGCTTTATTATGCTGTCTTAAGTTTGGGCTGCTTGTATGATGGTGGAGGATCCTTCAAGCCCGCAGAAGGCCTCGCATGGCATTACTTCCGAATATCTTTCTGTCACCTTCAAGACGTTCTGATGTGCAGAGCATCGATACTCAAGGCTCAGGTTTGCATAACCTATCCACTGAACCAGACCTTAAGCTAACTGCACAAGGCGATGACGGCTATGGTAAGTTCATTGCATCGAGGCAGCGTGACCTGAGAGAGAAGAAGAAGAAGAAGTCGCATCGACCTAACAAGAACGAACTCAGGCAGTCTTTGCTCTCAATTATTCAAGTCTCCAGATTGAGACCTTATGCATTTCTGAGGCGGCGAGAACTATCATTACACTCTGTATGCATAAACGCAACCTAGACCTGGAGTCGAATCAGGAAGGCCGAAGAATTTTCTGGGTCGTCTATTGTCTTGAAAAAGAATACGCTTTCAATTCAAGCCATGCTTCGGTAGGTTCGTTTTATGGCGGCCGACTGGGACCCCGCTGATGTGCCCTTTATAGTTGATCTCGGATGGTGACATCAGTTGTCCACTTCCCACATTATCAGATTCTACGCTTGACGGGTTCGATTGGTTGCGGTATTGGGCACAGTATTCACGTATCCTCTCTAGAGCGTACGACTCGCTGTTTTCAATTAGTGCCACATTGAACTCCAACGAACAATACTTCTCCCATGTTGATCACATCAAGCAGGATCTCCAATCTTGGAAGGACTCGATACCCGAAAGGCTGCGCCCCGGGTCATCCTTGCGGCAGCATAGATCAAGGGACCCGCACATACAAGAGCTAGCCTTTAGGATTTCATTTGCATACTATAACCTTCAAATCTGCATAGCAAGGCTGGTACTTCACATATGCCTTGATCAAAGGTCACTAAGACGGTCTGAAAGCAAAAGATGTCTTTTGACGGCAGCACGCTCGATAATCGAATCAAGCCCTTATATCCCAATTGATCCAATCACTCCTGTCTGGTAATTCTCCCGATCCGAAGCACTCACTGAAAATATATCTCACTAATTCCTACTTCTTTCAACAGGATACTTGGGGTCATGCCTATGGTCGCAATGTTCATCGTTTTTGATTTCGTCGTCCAAAACCCTTTGCACCCAGAGACCAAGACAAATATGTCGTACCTGGACATTGTCGCCGCACATTTCGCACGCCTAGATCTGGCATCACAGGGAACACTCCACGATGCAAAAGTTGCAGAATTTACCTCCATTGCACGGCTTCACGTCGAAAGGTGTATGACAGAGTCCTCACACACTACGAGTCGGACCAAGACTACAACAAGAGTCGATTCTTCCATCGGAAATCCAGATTACAGCGAAATTGAAAGGCTGCGATCCATGTCTGCTACACTACGGATACCCGAAGTTACATCATGCCCAGAAATTCCTGATATGGTTCGTCTGCCTTCTTCTACCTTTCCCTCATTGAATACCCCATCCCTGTTGAATGATGTGAAAGTGGCGTCACTCATCGTCACCGCTATGCTAATCTATTATGACTGCTTCTCAGGCCTACGAGCTGGACGATGCCGACTTCCTGAGTGCAGCCGACTACAACTTCCTCGACTTTCCCGATGACGGGACTTCCTTGTATATGTCGTTACCAAAGTCAGGATTTGACATTGCCGATTTCTTCAGCCACCCATTCGTTTAAGGGCGACAGACTGCAGAGTTTTCTTTATGATAGCTGTTATTGGGATAAGGATCATCGCTTTGACCCTTCTACTTAGGATGGCCAAGTTTCTCAAAAGCGGGCTAGACGTTAGGCAGAAATCTTTCCTTAATCAACTTTGAAACTAGCAGGGATGTGGATTGAACTATTTGGTCTGACCGATCCTTCATAGCATCAAATCATCATCGACAATGATGTGAATTATGCGTAGCTAAGCAATGAGCCCTTGAAGAGCCAGGCGTTGACTCCTTTCGATATGGGACACCTCCAGTGCTCCTCCACGACACCCTGCGCTCGGATGCCCCAGCATCACACCGAGCTCATGAACATAACTCGCGCTCACCGTTTTTTCCCCTCAGACTCCATTTTATTTCCGAGATTCAACATCTCCCAATCAATCTTTGGGCCTTCAAATTGGTGGCCAAACACAAACCAACCAATGACTATCAGCACGAGAAGGCCGACCAAAATTATCGATGTGTAATTCATAGACTCGACTGTGACCGGCAGACCGGGAGGCATACACACCAATACGACCAGGACAGGAATCCAGAGCATAGAAAATATGTTGCAGAAATATCCTAAAGGACCGAGCTTAAAAGGTCGTTCTGGGAGGTATTTATTCCGGCCTCTTAGCACGAGAATGGCTTGTGGAGCCGCCAGCGTGATATTGAGGAACAATACCGCGGATGTGATGATGGAGTTGAATGCGGTCGTACTTGCAAGGTACAATAGACCGTAAAGAGCGTTAAACCCGAAGGCCGCTACAGTCGCTCGTGCTGGGAATTGTAACTTGGTGTCGATATGTGCGAAATAGTCTGGAAATGGGGTTCCTCGGTCTCGCGCGAATGCCCAGGCGATACGCCCACATGCAATAAACTGAGGAGGCATGGCAGCTGTCAGGTAGGAATCAGTACTTGTATGTGTGTAGAGGATGAGGGTTTGCTCGCTGTGCAATTAGGAGAAACTCACATGCGTAGATGACAATTAACCAAACCGCCAGGAATATCGTCAGAGGTCGGTTTCCTGTCGCTTGATACATAAGTTCAACGGCAGGGAAGCCAGAATTCATAACACCGGTCATATCAGATATCGTAAACATGCTGGCGACTATGATGGGGACGGCAGTCATTATACCGATAAGCATCGTTAAATTCCTAGCGTTAGAATGTGAGCAAAAGAGCGACCACTTATCCTATCGATCCAGTCAGCACTCACATAACCACCGGTAGCTTACGCCCTGGAGCGTGCATCTCTTCTGATATATGGATCGCAGAGTCCGTACCCCCGAAGCAGTACATCGCATTAGTAACTCCAAGAGTCCACGCTGTGCCTTGTCCCCAGCCACTAGTGCCCATGTTCGATTGTAGGATGAATTCACCACTATTGGTGTGTTGCCGCATTGCCAATATCACAATGAACCAGACCAAGAAGCCAGTAAGACTAAGGTACATAGAGCCAGATGTGATCTTGGGAATGGATTTTGGGAACAGGAAAAGAGGTGTTACTTTCTGACATCAGCATGAGTTTAGCATTTGCAGACGATCGACGAACCGGAGATCAAAGCCATTCCGAGATAGCAGAGGTATATATGCCAGCTCTTTGGGGTATAACTTGGATTGACAAAGGCGGCCAGTCCAGTGGATGAGATTGCGACGAGTGACAGGCCTGAGGTTGTGGCAACCCACCAAGCAAGAACAGACATCCATCCGATAACGAACGCACCAAAGCGCTTGAACTTCTCTGGAGCAAGGATATAAGTGAAATGGTATTGGCCCTACAACTAAAGTCAGCCATCAAAGGTAGTAAGGCTGGTGCGTGGTTGGTTCATACTCCAGAGCTGGGAAATGCAGAGGCGAGCTCGGACAACCCGAGCGTGACCGCCCATTGGACGAATCCTGCAGTTATAAGAGCGAAGATGACACATTGTGGCCCGCCATATCTCAAGTTCTGTCCAAAGGTACTCAGTGCTCCAACCCAGGAATTCATGATACTGCAAAATAGGGTTAATGCCTGTGTTCTGATTCATGGTCCTCCGCAAGGAGCATACCAAAACATCAGACCCAACGAAGACATCGCTGAGAAAAGCCGGGGCATCGCAGCCTTGTGGCCTTGAGCTTGTAAGATGGCATCATCGATGGTGTCGGTGTTCATTGATGATACACCTAGCGCAATGCTCTCCAGACGGCTAATGTCGGTTTGGGTTGGGTCTTGCATTCCTTTAGGACTACTTTCGTCCAACTTCGTGCTGATTGTAGACTGCATATCGCTTGAAATGATTTCTGACTGCAACTTAGACATTCTTGGTACAAAGGTTGTTGAGCATCGCTTCTGGGCTACGACGGGGTTTAAATGAAGTGAACAACATTCCGAATACCACTGAGTTATCGGACTATGCTACAGCTCGGACCCTGTTTCCTCGTAATATCGGTGCCAAGATCCGAAGATAAGTTGAAAGTTAGTCCCCGGACTTTGGCTCACGCGCCGAATCATGTCTTTCTGCCACATAGATGAGCCTCATGTCTGATTGAAGTTTATTTTTGCAATCGACTTGAGAGGGGTCCAGCGAAGTTGAATTTGCCAATCCCCAGGTATTCGACAGCGAGGACGCATAGCGGTGGAGGTTCCCCACGGCCAATAAGATTCACAGCAGGAACCGGATCGAAGCTGGACGGCAGTGCTACGAGTTTCTTATCAATTGGAGATTGTAGGAGGTGAAAGCGGACGGGGGTAGGACATAAATTCGGACTTATGCCGTAGAAATATCGGCTTCTACTCCATGTTTTGCCGTGATCTCAATGCTGGCTAGCCAAGCATTCGGACCCAGAGAATATCCATCCTAGTGAAGGCTCCCATTATGTCGCTACACGCCATTGTTTGCAGAGTATGTGCCGTCCATCATGCCTCGCACGATCATGATGGAAAGGGGTACATTGAGAAGACGCTAACACTCTTGTGAAACATCCCGCCCCCCTTTGGGATAGGTCTTGCTACAAGTTTGAAAGCTGTGATATATCCCAAACAGAACGCATACGATAGAACCGTGGGCACAGAAGATTCCAAGGTGGATCAAGATCTTCTTAGATGGAGCGAGGAAGTTGTTCACAAATCACATGGGTAGCTACCAAAAGGCAAAGCACGTTCTATGCTGAAGTCCCAGTTTCCCTACAGCTTAGGCATGTCATTCGTCTTAAACAGTCTGGCATACATCAATAGCTTATCGCCTCATATCCAAGATCTGCATCCCCAAAATACCAAGATTTATCTTTGTTTTCTCCGTCCATGGTAGAGAACCCATTCCCAAGGTATGAGAACCTGTTGCGATTCCAAGAGGTCCACTCCCAGTCTTGCCACCGAGGAGCTGATAGCGTGTGAAACCAGTGAAGCCGACTTCCAGGATGGACAAGAGCCGGACCATCATCTCTCCCTACCATATATTAGCCGGTATTCAGTTTGAAGTGGGGTTTTGTGACTTGAAGTCTTGCATACCTCCCTTCAACCAGGAACGGCACTTAGCGTTCCAAACCGTGCGAGCAAGAAAAGCGTCGGCGTGTTGTATGAAGTCGTCTAAAGCCTGTTGTGAAGGAACAACTGCTTTGTAGCCTTCTATCTGCATCTTATAGAGCAGCTTAATTACATATCGTGTGATGTGTTCAATACTTGGAAGCGCAGAGCCGTGAGAAAGGGGCCCGTTTGGACCCATATACACTACAGAGTATCATTAGCTGAAGAATGAAGCCGGGCCTTCTAGAGCCACTCACAAATATAGTTGGGAAAGTTTGGCACAGCTAAGGAAAGGTATGCTGTGGGTCTAGAAGTCCACTGATCGCGCATGTCGACACCACCTCTACCAATAATTGGGAAACGAGGTTTCCAAGAGACATTGAAGCCCGTCGCACAGACTATCGCATCGAGTTGGATGACCTCTCCAGTTTCGAGTTCGATGCCCTGCGGAACAACTCGTTTGATAGGATCAAAAACCACCCGAACGTTCTGTTCTGTTAAAGCTTCCAAATAACCAACACCAGGTGTAGGTCGCCTGCGCCCTGGTCATTCATCGTGGACCGGGGAAAGTTTATGGGATTGGTGACGACTTACCGACATCCAACTCCAAAACTTGGGGTTATCCTATCTGCCAGCGCATGGTGATTACCCAATCGTATTCGCATCATGTTCGTCAATGTTTTTCTAGCTAAAGCTTGTTCAGGAGAATCATACAGAGCCTGTAAGGTCGATTAGAAATGGGTCTTGTACTTTGAGGATTAGTTTCATTTCTTGGGTGAGCTCACCGATTTAAACCCGTTGTTCAAGTCATTTTCAATAGCTTTGCGATATTCGAGATGCTTCTCTGGATATTCTGCGAATTCAAGTTTTTGATTTGCCGTATCTTCATATGATTAGCAGTGATTTCTGATCCTTCAGGGTGGTGACTGAAGCACACAGTCAAAGTTGGCTCCGTTAGGACCTGCGAAATCTTGGCCCAGAGTCGTTGAGATCCAAGTTGGACTTCTGATAAATGTGGTGAGATGTCCAGCAACTAGTTCTATTAGTGTTGAAACTACACTTGGTGTTTCTGTCAAATTTACCTTGCTGTAATGCCGTGACGAGCTGGATACCGGACGAGCCATTTCCGATGACAGCGATGTTCTTCTTTTCCAAATCGACTTTCGCGTTCCAGGAAGCTGAATGCAATAATGCGCCCTTGAAAGTATGTAGGTCTCGGATATTAGGCCATTGCCAGTGGCTAGCAGGTCACAGTTAGAAAGCGTGCGACGTGAGATTGAGGTCAGCTCTTTACTTCAAAAAACCACCCCCATTGACGAGAAAATGGCACCAATCGTCAATGATGGCCCCAGTCGAATGACTTTTAATCTTTAGCATCCACTTTCCCTCGTCCTCGGCCCATCGAGCCTCAATGACTTCGGAACGCAGCTTGATGTACTTTTCCAAGTCGTGAGTCCTCGCTGTATCGCGGAAATACTGCAGAATCTCTGGCCCTGAGGCGTAACTAATTTTTTTTGGGATCAGCAGACGCCCACAACTGACTCCTGGAGCATCCCACTCACAATTGCGTCCAATTGGCATTGGGCGCCCATTCATACTCATAGATATGGGCGGGAATATCACAGGCACAGCCCGGATATCTTGAAGAAATTGTCAGTCACCCTTCATTTCCGCCGAAGATGCTGCTTTACTGACGTATTCTCAAACCACGTTCCACCCAGTATCTCATTCTTGTCGTAAAGCTGAAGATCAACAGACTGCAGGTGCCGGCTGACTCTATACGCAAGATCCAAGCCTGTTGCTCCAGCGCCGATACAAACAACTCGCATTGGACGGGCATGCCCTAAAACGGCCTCGTTGACCTGATAGATCGAATCCATGCCTTCGTGGAAAGTACTTGTGTGCTCAACACTACCCATACTGGCAACGAGCTGATGGCTTCGCAGGTTGAATGTTCTGTGTTGCTCAGTATACTAAAGTTCAAGCTGAGACTTAGGCTGCTAATCTCTAACTCTTCAAACGGAGGTTGAGGTCCACATGCTCATGTCTGGCTAACTATAGTGTTTTGACCAGGCCTCGAACACTCGATCAAGTCTTCGGGACACGGACTTAGTGGATTAGGATTGATCTTGCCCTCTATGTCGCCTAATCTATCCCATCGTTTGCTGTGGTACGTGTCGTGCACTAAACTATGCGGCGCGAACGGCCAAAATTCCGAGTGTGCCGACAAAAGTTGTGCTGTTGGGTCGGAAAGTCCGAAGATTTTACTGCAACAACCCCGTAACACGACAGACCCACACCACAATATATGGCATGAAGCGTGATATGCGCGATTGGACAAGATAGGTCAAAAGAGACCCTGAGCAACAAAACATGAGCAGAAGCAACTCAGCATAGCAGCTCTCCAGCCATCGAGGGTTTCATCTATCTTGGCTAGGGGAAGCTCGTTACCAAAAAAGGTACTGAAAGTTTTCCACGGTCTTTTGGCTCGAAGAAACCAGATTCATAGTTGATACTATTCAACAATGGCCGCTGCGACGTATATCGAAGACGTGTTGAAGACTGCCCACGAAAGATTCTCCGAACGCAATCTCCTCTCAGCGGATGCCCATCAGAAGGCACATTCTCACCTTCCAGGGGGGAACACCAGGACAGTCCTCCACGCCGAACCATTCCCAATCACATGGGCCAGCGCAAAGAACGCAACACTGACCTCCATAGATGGAGATACATACGTGGATCTTCTAGGCGAGTTCAGCGCCGGGATATTCGGGCACTCAGAAGCGCGAATCGCAGTGGCGGTACAGGCAGCATTGGTCAACGGCTGGAACTTTGGTGGGAACAATCTACTCGAAAAACAGTTTGCGGAGAAAGTGTGCCAGCGGTTTGAGCCATCAGGAATTGAACTGGTGCGATTTACGAACTCGGGGACTGAGGCAAACACCACGGCCCTTGCGGCTGCCCTCGCCATTACACAACGCAAGAAAATCCTGGTTTTTAGCTCAGGTTACCACGGCAGTACTCTCGTCTTCCCAATGGCCATGGTAAAGGGGCTTCAAGTACCATTGATGAACTTACCGCACGACTTCGTTTTGGCACCGTACAACAATATCCTGGAGACGCAGCGAATCGTCCAAAACCTCCCAGCCGAAAGTCTTGCCGCCATACTCGTGGAACCCATACAGGGCTCTGGGGGCTGCCGTCCAGCTACATTAGAATTTATGCGACTCCTGCGAAAGACCGCTGACACTACCGGGGGGCTTCTAATAGTGGACGAAGTCATGTCCTCTAGGCTAGGAGAGTCTGGTCTTATCGCAAAGATAGGAGTGAGGGCTGACATAGTCACACTTGGGAAATACGTTGGAGGTGGAATGACATTCGGCGCCTTCGGTGGCCGCAGAGATATCATGGAGCTGTTTGACCCGGCGAAGAATCGTCTGTTCCACCCCGGTACATACAACAATAATGTGGTCAGCATGTCCGCCGGTATTGCGGGTTTAGACATCTATGATTCTACAGCAGTTGAGCGGTTAAACGAAGTCGGGAAGACGCTAAAAGAAAAGGTCCAAGCCATTCTAATCGAGGAAGGTGTTTATCCACCAGAGATAACGAGTCCGTCCGTCAACATTGTTGAGATCGATAGCTTCGAAGGCGCCACCAGATTTCAAATCGACGACCACAAAACCACGCTCGCACATCCACCACCTATGTTCATCACGGGCCAAGGCAGTATGCTGAACATTCGATTCTCTGGGCATGAGGCACTTGTATGGCAGGCGGTATTTTACCATCACGCACTGGCACGTAATATTTACATTGCCACCCGCGGTTACACGCCACTGAGTCTGCGTGTCACTGGTGCTCATGTCGAGAAGTACGTCTCGGCCGTACGCGAGTTTGTACAGTGCCATGGTGAAGAGTTACGGCGCACGCCGATGAAAGCTGAAAAGATTTGACGTAGAAACTAGAATCCATTCATAGAATTTTTCAATTCCAGTGTTAAAACGCATGTATATATGGAGAGGTTATCACGTAGTCACCGTCGAGAATTTGCTTTACTGCGAGATCGAACTCCTAGTGATAGAATGATTTGTGTGCAAGACCATATTTTGGCACATCCAGCGAAGCACATATCACGCGGCACGGAGATCAGTCTGTTACAAGCACAAGACAAGAGCAGGCAAAGATTTGTGAGGTTTTTTTGCTTTGAGGATGGATATGATTGTGGTGCTCATCACTGTAATTGTCTCGGTATTCTATGACAGACAACAGCACCCTATACTAATCGACTGAATTTTAGAGCTTGAGATTCCGATTTGAGTAACTGACTTTAAAAGCGCCGGACTGCAAGTGCTGGAATGCCTGTTCAGGATCGTAAATCTTGGCCACCTCGGTCAAATACTTGACATTTGGTTCTCCGAAGCTCCCAATCACATCTTGCCACTGACCCGAGTAATTTGGAAACAGGAAAGGGTGATAGAGATTTCGCTTTTCTGCCTCGACTCTGACTCTTCCTATGATACGTTTTTGAATTGCGATGACCTCTGCGTCGTGGCATTCGTCTTTGGAGCTGAATATCAACAAAAATGATATCAGCGGGCCCGTGATAGTGTCCAGACCGAATATATTGTCCGCAGGACTCAGAGTTCTTGGTAGAGCATGAAACTCCATTGTTCCTTGAATGTAGTTTGAGACTGGAGAGCTCTCCTGGAAGAAAACGTCAAATGCATAATGGAGGAAATCTTGGTCGAGTCTGAACGTCACTGTTGAACATGACGCACGATCGCCATGACCGTGTTGGAGGTTAGCTATGTTGTCTGCCAAGGTACTATAGTCGGTGAGCCCGAGTGATGATTCAATGGTTGGCACGTTACGGAGACCATCAAACATGGGTAATTCTGCGATAGGCTCTGTATAGACCAGATACTGAAGTAGCTGTAAAGAGCCTTGATCACAGACGAAGATGAGGATGGTGTGGCCTTTTGGATCTGTCTCAAGGCCGTGCACGAAACCAGCATAGGCGTCTATGGCCTGACCAGAATGGCTGCTGTCGATCAAAGTGCGGCCACCCCACATTCCGCTGTAAGGATAAGTCTCCAATTCGAAACTTGCTATAACGCCCAAGTTGGAACCTCCACCTCGGAGTGCTCGGAAGAGGGTAGGTTCATTCTCTCGGCTCGCCGTGACGATACTGCCGTTGCTGAGAACAACCTGAAAAGAACGAACGTGATTGATTGCCCAACCACGTCTTGCAGCATAGAACGACAGGCCGCCTGTCGAATTTGAGCTGGTGAGCACTAGAATGGAAGACTTGACGTTTGATTACGTACCTCCGACCAGGAAACCACCCACCCCAACACCAGCGGACCTACCCCCAACCGCAATCAACCGTTCCTTCTGAAGTCGTGTGTAGACGGAATTCCAGGTGGCACCTGGCCCTACATGCACAGTTCCCTTGTTTCGATCGAGAGAGATGGTATTGAGCAAGGCAAGGTCCAGCTGAATGCCTCCATCCAGACATGATTGTCCAGCATAATGCCCATGGCCGCCGCTCTTGAGCCCAAAAGGACAATGCGCTTTCACGCAAAGAGTGACAGCTCTTGCAAGGTCTTGGGCACTCCTGGGTTGGAAGAAACATCGGGGCTTCAAAGCTCTCTGATTGCCGGAAAAATAACTCTCCTGGAGGGATTTGTACTTTGGGTCCCTTTGCGTAAAGACCTGTTGTGGGAAATCAGTGAGAAGAGCAGAAGTCTACACCAGCGTCAGCTTAGGTCTCCGGCTACCAAGGACGTTGAGGGACCCGAGCCTACCACATCGTCCGTGACGGCTGTCGAGAGACGACCGCCGATGTCCTCTGAAGTAGATACCAAAGTGATCATTTCTAGATGGATCAGATAGTATTTCGCAGGGCGAGTTGTTGTGGTCACTGAGCGTTCCAAGAATATTTCGAACACCCAAATTGGTCGGACCTGCGTCGCAGATCTTCTCCAGCTAAAGAGAAAAGGCCTCCAGGCGCAGTGGTCGTGTTCATCTCAAATTGAAATCGTAGCTTTTCGCAAATCCCGATGGCCGGAGAAGGTGGCCTCAAGAATCACAGTATCCGAACATGGACATTCGTATGCCATCCGCACGACTTGCCGAGTCTCTGCCGTTGAAGGTCCGATTGTGTCCAAGACCATGAATCGGTATGTCCGATATTTAAGTCCTGGAACTGTGAAACTTTGATGTATGCCGAGAGATCGGATGAGACTGGAATTCCGCCACATGGGAGTCATGGATGACCTTCAGAAACTGCCAGTGTCCACAGCATGGCAGACAATCAGGCTACGGCTCCATTTCACGAGACCGAAAAGGGGTCGAGGTTGGTACAGTGTAAGTGTTTACCAAGGTGTTTAATTACCTGCAAGGTTCTAGGTAGATAAGTTTTGGTCCCGAGGAGGTGGAGCTCCAAGTGGACTGATTTAGTTGAAGGAGTGACTCCCTAGGGAGACCTTCTAGTGGTCTAGCCATGCGCCTATACGGTTACCTAGGTACTTAAGATAAGGTACCTACTGGACCTCCTCCCCCGGGCGGTTTTGGTGCCCGGACTTCGATGTATTACCTAAGCAAGCAAGTTCTGAAGCCCAGCCTGAAGATGACGTATTATCGCTCCCATCTCCCAGTACCATCATTTGCTCATCACGACTCCTACACCTGAGCCCACCTCTGCTTCAATAGCCATACCTAGAGAATTGCCAAGAGAAAGATAAAGCAGTATAATCGAGTCAATCCTTCACCCTTGCCACTGATGTATGCATGAATCACAGCGAGCTGTTACTGCGGCAGAGCCTGGGCACGCTCTCCCCGTCGACACGCCAACGACTGCACAATGAGTTCCTGATTGACAGTCTCACACATCAGAAGTGCATTTCATTCAGCTATGCCAAGCATTATGACGCAGATGCAGATGCAGATGCAGATGCAGGTATCGATGGGCCGTTGTCTGGCCGACCGCCTGGAAAACCAGATGCGATCGCGCATCAAGCGGGCGTGAATTGCCTGACGGTAGATGGCATTGAGGGACAGTATCTGTTCAGCGGCGGGGCAGACTCGACGGTGCGAATGTGGGATCTCGAGACGAATGAGCTCGACAGTTATGACTTGCCCTCTTCGAATCATTTTCGAGCTGGCTATATCTACAGCTACAATGCCACGTCTCAAACATCGCCATCAAGACGAGAGAGACTCTACAAGCCCAAAGCAACACTAAGCCGGAGCACGCCCTCATCACACACACACGCCTTGACATCCATATCAATCTATCCATTCGACCCCACACCATCAACACTACTCACGACATCATACGACAAAACCCTCAAAGTGAGCAGCATCACATCCTCGACCATCACCCCATTGCACACCTTTCCCCTCGACTACACACCCTACACACATGCACTCTCCCCGCTCTCAGCGTCCAGCCCTCTAATCGCCGTCGGGACCACCCACCCGGCCATCCGCCTCCTAGACCTCCGCTCCGGGCTGTCCACGCACTCCGTCCCCGGCGGCAACGGCGCAGTATACACACTGGCATGGTCGCCACGCAACGAACACACACTTGCCGCGGGCTTCAGCGACGGCCGCGTCCTATTCTTCGACATCCGGCGCGCAAACGCCGCATTCGCAGCCCTCGACCTCGATGACGCCGTCGGCGTGCTCGGCCCACCGGCACACGAATCCCACGGCCACGACACGCGCCGCGAGCCCCTCTCGTACAGCACGACCGCGCACGCCGGGCCCGTGACATCCGTGCAGTGGACGCCGTCGGGCGACAAGCTCGTCACGGCGGGCCACGACCAGCGCATCCGCGTCTGGGACACGGCGACGGGACGCACCGAGCTCGTGCATTTCGGCCCCCGGATCAGGAACGAGCGACTGGGGCAGCTGGGCCCATTGATCTCGCCGCCGGGGACGTGTTTGCCTGGGCGCGAGAGTCTGTTCTGGCCCAACGACGACAGCCGCGGCTTGGTGTTCCAGCATTCGCTCCGCGAGGGCGTGTTGAAGCGCGTCTTGAAGACCGAGGGCGTCAAGCTCGCGCAGGTCCAGGCGGCGTCGTCAGCTTCGCTGCGTGGCGCCGGGCGCGGTCGGGGTCGAGGTCGAGGCGGTGCAGATGGCGGTGGTAGTGGTACCAGTAGCAGTGCCACCGCATCGCGAGTCACGGGCAGTGGACGCATCAATGCGATGGTGTGGCGCGTGAACCCTACAGGACGAGACGGCGCCCCTGTCGAGATGTACACGGCGCACGGCGACGGGCGGATCGGGGCGTGGCTGCCAGGTGGTGCTCAGGACGCGGATGAAGAAGAAGCAGCAGCAGCCAAAGACGCAGATCCCGCGGCTAGCCGGTTCTCTCAGCCCGGAGGACTTCACAGCGGAACTACAGGAGATGCGAAACCGCTGGATACCGATGACGAGGTGGAGAGGGAGGCGGAGAATCGCAGGAAGCGCAAGCGTGCCCTCATTGGGGATTTGGTTCAGGGGTTGGCGAAACGTCCGATTTCCTTCTCTTGAGGCCTTCTGCAGACTGCGAATGTCGAAAAGGCTTTTTGGGATCGATTGATTGGGCCGTAGTATGTTGGGATGGGACGAATACATCTACAGAAACATTGCACGCACGTCTACAGCTGAAGTGGCGTCCAAGATTTCTGGAAATACTGGCGCCGCGGTAGACGTAGACGCCGATGCCAACATCAGCTGCCAGAAGATGGTGAAATCTCAAGCTCGACTACTAGTCGTTAGCTCCAGGCAATATGATATTCCACGTCCAAGAGGTGTGTGTGTTCTGTCATGCCACTCTCCACCTGCTCATATCTAGTTTAAAAGCTCAATATCTCCACTCCGTCCTTTTGTTTTACCGGCCTGGGTGCGATTCAAAGTCCAATGTTGCCTCAATTCAACCCGCCCCTTTAATGTGCAGGGGAACGACAAAGACTCCAAGACCCAATTCCAAGCGCCAACGCTAGCAAAATGTACAAATCGATTTCAGCAAAACGCTCAGCAAAAAGGTAAACAGGCTACAGAAGTTCAATGGATGGATAAGGCCGTTGAAAATATTCTGGAAGACAAAACTTTGTGTTCCTCCTCATCACTCAATAGTGGTCTTCAATCTCGTAAGACCCAATCATCTGCTGGGGTTCACAGTGAAATCTAATTTGGTACCGAATCGCATTGCAGAATAACTCGGATTCGCAGCGGCAACCATGTCGGCCGCGGTCATGAATACACGTTTAGCACCCGTGCTAGGCTTCGTCATGGTGGCTTCAAAATCGGAACCTGACCCGGGTGATGGATAAGTGTACATACCCGAACCAGCCACAGGCTGATTAGGATACGACACAGGAGAGTTGAACAATGATGGGTTGGAAAAGTTCTGCTGGGCGAAATTCGTCTGTCTCATGGTCACAGGCATGGACATTGAAGGCCCTGTGGGGCTGTTTGAAGTCGAATATTGTTGAGGGTAGTCAACTTTATAGATGTTTTGTTGTGCAGCGGGAAGTTGAGGATTCATGTACTGATACTGCTGACGAGTGACCGAACTTGAATTTGGGATCGGATTAGTCCCTGTCTGGACTTGGCCAGTCTGGAAATGTGGCGAATGATATAATGGGGATTGATGCTGCGAAGAGTGGGAGGAGCTTGGTGGGAATGAGGCGTGAACGAGTGGGCTTTGGTGTTGATGGTGTGACTGGGGAATTTCAGTAAAAGGTGACTGATTGCCGACCTGGGATGACGATCCGGTGTTCCCATTTTGTGTACTCCAATCCACTGGTTCTTTTCCATGAGTGGTAGATGATTGTGCTTGGTGGTTAAATCTGATGGGTTGTGCAGATTGCCGGTTAGATCTTGTGGTATCCTTTCCGAGTCCAGCATTATCGGTTGCTTGGTCGAGAAATTCGGTAATTGGAGAGGAAAATGGTGAACCATAGACAGACTGGGAATCGGGCTCCTCAGGCTCAGCATTTTTCTGGCTCTGTGACTTGTGGACGGATGATTTCGTGTCAGGTATTGTGACCGTTTCCGTAGCTGGCTTTGAAGTCTCATCTCTAGAAGGCAATCTTCGAGTGCTGGTCACTAATGATGGCACTGGCCTTGGTGGCTTAACATTGGAAACCGTTCGGGATTGGGCTTGCAAGGGAGAAGTACGAGTAGCATCTATTTTGAGTTCGGTCATAAGTTGGCTTCCTGGGGATTCAAGTTTCCCCGTTGTTCGATATTCGACTTGATTTCTCTGCCATCTTGCTCGATGACCTGCCGCCTCATTCTCGGCTCTTTTCTGTGCGATCAATGAAGCGATCAGGTTGGGGTGAGTTTTGAGACTCGGGGCTTCACCAGGTTGAAGAGCAGGTTCTGGCGGGGTTTGGACCGTAGGTGTGGGATTGCTCGCGGGTTTTTCTTGGGGCTTGCTCTTGGGTGGTCGAGGAGGTCTGGGTTTGGGGGTGGGGTCGGGTTTCTTATTTGCAGTCGCAGGTAAGAACTCTCTGGAAGGCGGGCCTAGCCATGGCTTTGGATTGGGAACCGGTGTAGTCGTTCGTTGTAATAAAGAAGTCTGGGGAGGAACCTGAGGAACTGGACGAGTGGTGTGAAAAGGAGGAGGTGGCTGAGATGATGATTGAGAACCCGGTCGAGGTTGGGACTGTGTCAGGGTGGGCGTCGGTCTCTGTGTCTGACTTTGAGCCTGGACTCGAGGAGAGGCAGTAACAGGAATAGGAAATCCAGTAGGTGCAGTATTAGTTGCGAGAGAGCGTGAAATGGAGGAGAGGTGACGGAGTGAGGCCGGGATCTCAAAGGCGACGCGTTTCGAAGGATCGGACGAGGAAGGAGAGGAAAGAGAGGCAGTCCGCTTGGGACGTGTCATGACGGGGTTGACTCAGTCAGAGTCAGACATGGGAGATGATGTGACGATATCAAAAAGAATGGAAGTGTATAGAATGGTTTGAAAAGTGAAAAGACTCGGGTTGCGCAATCAACCGTTTCGGGTTGGCTCCATCGTGGACATGAAAATGAAGATGAAGATGAAGAAGGCGGAGATCGGAGGATCGTGATGACGCATTCGTACATATGGACCACTGCCATCCACTACCGCCAATTTCTTTTTCAACGGCAGCACTTGATCATCACAAGAAACATCTTAAAACTCACATTATCACATAGTGTTCTATCATGCTAAACAACACCAGACACCCTTTACCCTTTCTCTGCTGCCTTCTACCCTCAACTGGCCGTTTGGGCTCCAGTCTGACCCATCCAACACTTCCGTCGTATTTATCTATATGGGGAAGCGCCTGATTGCTAAGACTCCTGACTGACTTAATCAGGCCAGCTGACCAACCGAGATTTGGTGCGGCCCGTTATACGTAGTCTGTAGAGACAAGAGGAAGAAAATATGCCGATCGAGAATGCTGAGTAAATTATATCTATCTAGCAATGATGGGTCTCGCATCGGCCATCAAAGAGAACAACTTCCGTCCGTGGTTTATCCTCGGGCAGCTATGCGATATCCGATCTCCTTCTAGCCCGACCTCTCTCTGCCTCAGGCATGATGACACTGGTTTTGCGAGATTTTTCTTCTCTCCCCGAGACCTCATCACCTAACAGTCGTGAATTGCCATCTAAAATATGATCAAGGATAGACTTGGACTTCCCACCAAGCGAGTGATCGGCAATGACCTCCAGTGCTTTCCATGCAATATCGCCTTTGGTGTTGAGATTCGAGGCTGAAGCAATCGTGTTTCCTAGAGTAAATAACTTGTTGCCTTTGGTGAGCAACTTATTCAAATCTCTCCCAACTACGCCGATGGAGTGTCCAAAATTCCCCATTGGCGCATCAGGATATGGTAGATCCGATGACAAGTCGAAGTTACTGCGTGATTCGGGCCTAGAAGGCTTTGGCTTGCGAGAAGATCCATCATAATTTAGGTCGAAAGATCCATAGATCTCGTCAATATAACCTCGATCGTTTCTGGATCTTACCAGTGATTCAATTTCGGACTATCGCATATTCAAATCAGTAGAGCGATACAGGAGTATTTCTTGGTAATGCTTGTTTGTGACGAGCAGACTCTGGGGTAAAGGGGGAGGGAGATACATACGTAGACTAAAGGTATCTCAACCCGAATAACAGGGTGATAGACACGGATAGGCTCCCCAACTCCCACTCCATTCTCATCATAAGACTCGTAATAGGAATGCGAATACCTCTGGTACTCATAAAAGGGATATCCCTGGCTCTTCAAAGCGCTGGCCGTAACCGTAACTCGGTCGGTCTTCTTGAACTCCGTCCAGGTATCGTCGCCACGGAAGTGTGTTTTATTAACGTTAAGAACCACGCCCTTGACATCGAAGCTCTTCAACTTTTGGTTTGTGAACTCACGCCACGCATAGTCGTTGCCTCGGCGCCATGTTATTCCCAATTTATTGTTATTGGACCTCTTCAATATCGAAGTCACATCTGCTGCAATAGTCTTGCGCCTTTGTGCTGACAGCTGTTGTCGAGAAATTTGGACATCGGTCCCAGTTGTTGTAGCTCTTCGGAGCGGCCTAGGCGAGACAAAGGCCTGGTCGTCGTCTGAAATCTCCTCAACCCGCGACGACTCATTCTGTTTGCCAGTGGGATTGTTCGGACTGTGGCGTCGCTCTACAGTATCTTCCGTGTCTGACAAGTCATCTTCGACGTAAGCAGATTTATATCTACCTGTCTTCTCGCCAGTGAATCGACGATCGGGCATGGGGATACTACGTGAAGTTTTGCCAGCTTTGACGTGCGGAGAAGTTGGCATCCGTTCCTCGCTAGTTGTCGATTCGAATTGGTTTGGGGGTGGAACCGAACCATCATGCACGTACCTTACGATCGTCCATTGGTCGATCATGTAGAGGACAAGTGCCATTTCATCAACACTCTCGGGAGCGGACATGATTCTATCCACACGCATGAGTGCCTGGTCGTTATATTTCACTAGTGCTGAAGAGACATCTCCGACAGGGACGAACCCCTCGGGTGGGTCGGAAGGCGCTGCATTGATAGCATTTTTATCTTCTTGCTCGGCTGCTGCTTGCAAGTCTGCCAATTGATCAACAGCTTGATGTCGTTGCTTGTTCAGCACAACTGCATGGAGCATTTCTGTCTGAACCACAATATCCGACTCGTCAATGCTGTCATCTGATTTGTCCGGGCAAGGAGGCGATGAACGTTGAGGTTTGACGGGTTCAAATCGTGATTTCTGTGCTTCCTCACCAATAGCAAATATCTGCACCAGAAGAAGTAATGTCAATTTCAAAGACTCCAATTGACCAAGGAGGAGATTGACTCTGGCCTTCTTAAAATTCCACTTGAATCTTTGAACAAGTGTCATGGTGTCAGGACGGCCAGCGGATCTTGGTAAGATAGCAGCAATCCTAGCAAAAACCTGTTCACTCTTCTCTCTTATATCTGTGATGCCTTGCAAGGCTTGAGGTGATTGTACCGAGTTCTTCTGCTGCAGCTTTTCTGCAAGCTGCTTAAGAGTCATGCAGTATAATGATACACCCAAGGCAATATCGTCAGTATCCTCCTTTGCTCCAGCAAAGGCTGATCCAAAGGCGTAAAGCTCCATCGTTAGATGGACCCCTGCTCCGGCGATCTGAATGATCGAGGCAACGATGCCAATTTCCGCCATATTGTACGTTGAAAGCCACGCAACGCCGGTCACGCATATTTAGTCGAGCAGAATCATTACTCACCTTAAGACTAAGTCTTTGACTAAGAAGGGCAAGTTATGTGGGCATGTTGATGGTTAAGAAGACCATTCTTGAAAGCCACAAACACGAGACACACCAGACTTCGAACTCTGGATGCCTTTTTGTCTGCCTTGCCGCTAAGGGACGGAACACAGGTGGTGGCTTGAACTCTGTCTTAGCTGGCGCGTAGACTGCACGTAAATTTGGGTCTTGGTTGCATCTCAGTGTCCCTAGAGTTGATTATCGCCGTCATGCTTTCGTCGAGAATGTTGTCTTGAGAGTCAAGCGTCGATCATATGTGAACTCCCGAGAAGTCAGCATCGCTGATAGTTGTGATCAGAGTCAACAAGTCAGAACTAAAGATGAGGCCAAAAACGGTACCGAGCACATCCAGAAGCACGGCTAACTTGGGGTTGGGGGAATGGTCCTGCGCAGCCCAATGGTGTATCGATAGATCAGGGCGACAGTCTTCGTAGCAGTGCTGAAAGGCTTTGAAGATCGACACGAAAGACACCAATCAGTACTCAGGAGGGAACAAAGTCGGAAGTACACAAGCGTGGGGTGCACCAATTGACAGCATGTGCCACACTGAATTCAACAAGGATAAAGAGAATTCATAAGCCTCAAAGGCGCACTTTGAAGTCTGATGTGTACGCATATTCACTTTTTGCTGTCGTAGGCGATGAATCGCCTTGGATATCTACCTCGACGGATCCATTGAGTTATTCAGAGAAGCAATAGGGCATGGACCGATCAAAAGTATAATCAATAATACTCGAAGGCAGATTCAGAGTTGAAATTATGTTTCGATCGAGAAAGAGTCTGGTTAAATAATAGTATCACGATTGAGCTTGTGATTGTCTCGAGGAAGCCTCGCAAGTGGAATGATCTGGACTGTTGGGCCATTGAAACGATCTCGATAAGGTGACGCTACCTTTAGATAAGCCTCTGGGCACGCTTGCTGAGCGTCTCTGACAGGCGAAGCACCTGGGAAAAGCTCTGTAAGAACTCCCTCCTGAATATGGTAGATAATTTCATCCATCGTCTCCACTGCTACCCAAATCCACGAACTTGCAAATCTGACCATGGATAAAGAGCGACAAGCACCTATCTCTCTATGTTCGATATTTTTACTCACAGGCTTTTGCTGATTTTGTCGAGAAAATTGGGTACACTGCACCTCTTCCCCACCCCAGACAGAGGTTGACGGAACCTCTGTGTGCCCAGCATGACTACTTCAGCTCGTATTTGCAGCTTCTCACTTCATCTTCGGCTTCCCAGACTGCATACAAGGCAATTGCCTCTGCGATGCCCTCTTTTTGCGCCGATCCAATGAACTGATAATGTTGAAGCATTCTTGAATCTGTTATACCGTGTGCAACGAACATGGTTACAAATGTATGCCGAAGTCCGGATTTGTGCCCCGGTCAGAATGCCATAGGACATTTCAAGAGACCAAACTGTCTTACCGGAATTCAACAAGCCTAGCTGCCTGAATCTCAACAATCTGTTCCTGTTTTTCCGAATTCTATACTATGACTGGCTCGTCTAAAACTCAATCTCGAGTTCATGCTGTCTAGGAAACCGTGAGCTGAACATGGACAAGATTTGCAACAAGGTGTCATGGGTATCCAGTACCCAACCTGGACAAGCAAGTCAATCACCCGGGATGTACGGATACTTTATCTACAAGCATAGATCCCTACAGCATCGTGGGTATCGCTTGGATCTCTTTTATTGCCTTTTGGGCCTGGGCGTCGCTAATCTGGTCCTAACATGGGAAGAAGCCTAATCCTGACAATTCGACAGCTTCAATCCCACCTTTGTCTACATCGGTATACCAGCATCTGCTCTGTCACTGTCTGGACTTCATCGTGCAATGCTTCAACTGCAAGCAAAGACGAACTCTGACCGGCCCAGAGGAACCCATGGTGATCTATCAACTTCTGACAAAGAGGAGTCAACCGAGGATAATCAAGATGAAATCCAACGATTCGAACGACTCGATATCTGGTCACCCAACACCCCTGCATGCACCACGCAGGAAGCCAATGATTTTGAGCTCCGGGTCACAACTCCTTTGCTTCCCCAGATTTTGTCGATCTTATTCTGAGGGGAGAAGCGGGGGAACACCACACCCAGCTTGCGAGTTTACCAGATGCCGTAGCACTAATTCTATACCATGCTTTCGATGCGGATCCGCAACCTGTCTTCAAGGAGGTTTATTGATTACCCTAGCATCGTTCACACTGCCTACCTACAAGCGAGAGAGGAGTAAGTTTGTACATCCATTTTACCGAATCTTATCCCTTTTCAAGCATGGAGAGACATATCAATATCTTAACCCCACAGGATGTGGTTTCTCATCATTTCACGTCTTTAGCACTCTCCAAAAGCTACCTCAGTACTCGATAGCGAATTTCCCTTCTGCCACAATCTGAGCATCTATCGAAGTAATCAACATGGGAGATCCATCGGAAGGAGAACAAAAGCCCGAACGCATCCTCAAGCGACATCTGTATGAATACGCCGAACGCAAAAGGACCGATGGTCCTTATAGCGACAACCTTGACGTGGATGTTCTGATCGTGGGGGCAGGTTTTGGTGGAACCTATCTGCTATATGAGATGCGTAAAGCTGGCTTCAAGACCGTCTTATACGAAGCGGGTCAATCATTTGGTGGTACCTGGAGATGGAACGTCTATCCAGGTACGACATATATCCCATGTTTTAGTCATTCAACTAATGTTGTTATAGGTGCACGAGTGGATTCTGAAGTTCCAATCTATCAACTGTCCATCCCTGAAGTCTACAACACATGGACATGGACCACCAATTACCCCGATTGGCACGAGTTACAAGCCTACTTTGACCATGCCGATAAAGTCTGCAATTTGAGTAAAGATTGTGCATTTGGAACTGTGGTTACCTCTGCCGAGTTCGATACCAATGAAGGTAAATGGCAGGTCGGGACTGCTGACGGACGCAAAGCCAAAGCCCGGTTCCTGATTGTGGCAGCCGGATTTGCAGCAAAGAGATATATCCCAGACTATGCAAGTATGGACAAGTTCCAAGGTATTATGCATCACTCATCGTTCTGGCCTATTGAGGGTGTAGATGCTCGTGGCAAGAAAGTCGCAGTCGTTGGGACTGGCGCCTCTGGAGTACAAATCATTCAAGAATGGGGCCCTGAGGTTGAACACTTGACGGTTTTTCAACGTACACCGAATTTGGCTCTTCCCATGGGTAAACGAGATATGACCAAAGAAGAGCAAGAAGCCCTCATGCCAGCATACCCGGAACTGTTACGTATGCGTGAGCACAACTTTGCAGGATTTACTTACGACTTTGCGGAGCGCAATACCTTTGAAGACTCCCCAGAAGAAAGAGAGGCACTTTATGAATCATTGTGGAAGAAAGCTGGCTTCGGTCTATGGCTAGGGTCACACAAGGATTATCTTTTTGATGCAAAATCCAACCGATGTGTGTACGACTTCTGGCAGAGGAAGCAAGCACCACGAGTCAAGAATCCGGAGAAGCGTGCGGTGCTTATACCAGAAGAGCCACCTCATCCATTTGGGGTGAAGCGGCCTTGTCTGGAGCAAAACTATTATGAAGTCCTCGATCAAGACAATGTGAGCATCGTTGATATCTCAGCCAAGTCCGGCGTTGAAATTGCAGAATTCACCGAGAAAGGAATCAAGACGAGTGATGGCAAAGAGCACGAGTTTGACATTATTGCACTTGCAACAGGGTTTGATATCACTACAGGTGGTATGACCAATATGGGCTTAAAGTCGATTAATAATACGACGCTGAACGATGAATGGAAGAAGGCGGCCAACACGTACCTTGGAACCACCATTGCTGGTTATCCCAATATGTTCCATCTTTATGGTCCACATGGTCCGACGTTACTTTCCAACGGCCCATCAAGTGTGGAGGTACAGGGCCGGTGGATTCGCGATGCTATCAAGCAAGTCGATCGCCAGGGTCTCAAATATATCAACCCTACCCAGGAGGCTACCCAGAAGTGGAAGCAGAGGATCAATGATCTCAGTAACATCACATTGTTACCAACAACCAGAAGCACTTATATGGGTGGAAGTGTCCCAGGTAAGGCTTTCGAGCAAGTCAATTATGCAGGAGGTATTCCGGCCTATGTTAAGGAAATCCGACTTGTCCTACCAAGTTTCACTGGCTTTGAGACTGTCAAGTGAGTGTAACAGGTCTGAATTGAACGAATGATTGAATTATGAAGGGATGTACAGCATGGAGGATTGTGTCTTGGAGGAGTGATAGTGGGCTAGTCTTTAGTCTGTATGAAAACAAGAAACTCACAGTAGTTTGAGTATCGATAGGAGCGACCAGTGACTCACATTACTAGTTACCATGGTATCATGACTTATTGTTGTATACTCGAGGACTGTGATCATGGTCTCCTGCTTTGGTCAGCTGACCTTTCAGGTAAACTTGGAGGGGAGGGATTTCCCAATTTCGTCTCCCTCGTCCAGCCGACCAACTAACTAGAGAATTTCAGCCCAACAACAACCCCGAGGATCTTCGAGAAGCCTTATACCAAGAAATGGTGCCTGATAATAGGTACCAGGGGTAATGATCATTTACTGCCAATGCCGGAACCTGTGGCGATGCAAGAATCTCAGGACCCGAGTCAAAGATACACCAAGTGTGAGTCCCTCGAAGCTGCGGCTGTGCTGGTGATCAAACGAGCTGGTGGCGACTTATTCTTCACAGCGTGGTTTCTTTTTTACACGTACCAGGACATGTACATATATAATTGCTTCTGTCATCGACACCGACATTGACGTATACGCGAGTACCTCGCACTTCCAAGCAAAACAATAAGGAACTCCCTCCAGGCTCTCTATTGTGGAGGCAAATGAGGATGGATGGCAATGCCGACTCCCGCTCAGGGGCGATCCAGGCTCCCGAGGCGCTTAAAATGTTACACTTCAACAAAAGAGCCAACTGCCCTGCCTGATGCCCTGCATATATCGTGTCAACTGGGCGGGTCAAGTGACGTCGGTCCATTCCAGGATCCAGAGGCACCTAGAGGTTTTCAGCTGAAACTCCCTCAATTCAGCCCATCAGTGTGGAACCTCGGGCCCAAAACCAAATGCCAACCCTATCCAAATCTCTGTGGCGGGGACTCATGTCCCAGGTCTCCGTGACTTGCAACTGCTGTTCGTTCCTTGTCGGGTGATTCAGAGACCACCAGTTTTTTCCCAATCGCAATCTTTGGACCTCTTCAGTCAAATCAAACCTAAGCTCTTATATCACTCTGTCCTTGCCGCCTGCACACTACATCCTTCCCTTCTGTTGTCTTTTTCTCACCGACATTCCTGCCAACAATATATACCCCACCTTGTGAATATTATGTCCTCACATGATGACTATGCAGCTCGACCTCGACGAGATCCCGGTTTAACATATCCCTCGGAAGAAGAATACCACCAGAGACGTCCACGCAACGATCCCTCCCCTCTACCCAGTGGTGACGCACCAAGACACAAACGAGATATGGATCCTCGAGACTTTGAACCAGCCAAGCATTCAAGAGACAACAGCCACGAGAGGAGAGGAGGGGGAGGTCGAGATGATCCTCCACCCCGCTATCGGGAATCCAACACAAAAGCTCGACGTCGCAGCCCCTACGACGACGACGATAATCACAAATACAGCTCTCGCTCCAAACGAGATGACGATTCCGGCGCCTATGGTCGGTCCAAAGGCTATCGCGAGCCAGTCCCCGAACCAGAACCGCGCATGAGCAGGCGGCCTAAAGATTACGATGACCGTGTGGTCGAACCTCCCAGAAGATCCAAAACACAGCGTGAGCCTGATCGACATGGGTATGATGATGATCGACGACGTCGCCAGCGTAGCGTCGATGATAGATATGATTCTCATGGTGATCGAGGATACAAATCTGATCGACGAAGAGACGATGACCGATATGATGATCGGAGACGAGGCGGCGCAGGAGGAGGGCGAGACCGCCGCGACGATGGATATGCTTCAGATAGAGGCCAGCGACGGGATCGGGATCGCGATAGAGATCGAGACCGAGACCGGGGCGGTGATCGACGACGTGATGATTATGATCGCCGAGACCGTGATCGGGATCGGGACAGGCGCGACGATGACAGGGGAAAGAAGAAGGGTGGGTTCAACGTCAATGATCTACTCGAACAAGGCCAGAAACATTACAAGACAGTCGTCCCGTTGATTGAGAAAGCAGCCAAGTTCTACATGGACAGCAAGGGTGGCAAGTAAATACGGGAATAACCTTGAATCCATGGATGGTGGGATTAATGAATTATGGCATGGAATGATTGATTTTGACGATGAACCGCCATACCGATTGGAATATCTCAACCGATAGGAATCTGAATGGGCGGCCTGGTGGGTAGGGAAGAGGTTCACGGCTTACCTTCTCATATGTGTTTGCAATGCTTTCTATTTGTGTTAAGGATCACAACTCTATCTTGACTTGGTCTAATTTATTATACGTGTATGCGATTATCTCCTGCTGGAGGACGAATTCCTTGGAATACTATAATTGAACAACGGTGTTGGCTATCTCGATCGAGCAAATGGGTACCAATGTCTGCCACCTTACTGTCGGCGGCATCTAGTGAGGGTGACTAACTATCTATAATCCGCTCATTCTTGACCGTGGCTTTCACGTTCGCAGTGCCGCTTGCTGGCCTTCATATCTTCTATCATTTTGGAAAAAGAATCCAGGAAAACAAGAACACCCCAGTAAAAGCAGACCGCTTTCAATGACCAGGGCATCTGACCACGAGTTATGACACCTAGGACCTTTGATATAGTGCAAACAAGGTGTCATCAACCCAGCTATGATAGCAGCATGTTTCGCACGTAGTCCTTAACTCATGTGTCATGATACACGTGCGGATACCCTCCCGCAGACCAAAGATATCGTTTTCGTCGGAAATAAGACCCTCTTTCCGTGGCAATCTGACTGCCATTTTAACCCGACGTAGAACGGCAGGATTCATAGCTGAGATACGAGGTAGTATTCTGCTTGAATGTAGGACCACCACTGGCTGCGCCCTGATTAACAACGTCACCGATTGTTGAATTCCACCACTAACCGAATGCTATGTCAGCAGCAACCCTGCGAGCCTCGTGTTGACCGAAACTCTCCCTCTGCCTTGTGCCTCAGCAGTCCACTACATCTCTTGTATTACTTCTTCCAACCCAGTATTCTCTACAGGGCTACCAGGCTTTTTCTCCCACTGTGAATCCCTCGTTGCCTGTCCTAGCCCTTGTACTTTCGTAATTCCTTACTAAACCCCGCTCCATACTCGAAGGATTCCTGGTAGAAATCGAAAGTGTAAGAGCCGAACTCCCGGTCACGACAGAGGACTTAAATTTTATGGTTAAAAGCTTCGCCAAAGCTTCGATTCAGATCAAGTAGGGGTTGATCTTCATTTTCATTCCTATCTCTTCAAGGCACATACGCTGGTCGATCATACCATGGGTCCCGCAATTGCCGAGACGATGTCGTCGAGTAATCTCACGTTCATCAACCTGTCGGGTTCGACGTCGCAGATGATCGGGAAGGACAATGATACGAAATCCCGCGTTAGGTCTCAAGTCATGAAGAATGTGAGACGGAAGCAGCGTTTGGAGGACCAGAGAAGTTGGTGATGAACTTTTGCGCATTTTGAAATCTGGACTAACTTGATGGCCAGAATACGAAGAGTCGTTGCGGAGTGTTCGCGATCAGCGTGGTCATTCCACGTCTTCAAACGATCTTGAGGCGAAAAGCGACCATGATCCCAACACCAAAACCAGCACCAGCAGTACTTCTAGTACTAGAAGTCGATCGACAGAATCCTCCAGAGAGTCCAGCATTAACGAAGTCTATGGGCTCAGTGTTGCGTCGAAGAACTCGATGACTCCTCCGGAGACACTGGGGTTTCCAACGATGGACAGTACTTGGCTGTTGACACCAGAGATTACTTCAAAGCCGGATCAGTTCACTGTCGATCACCGCCTCCAGCAGCCTGAGATCCAAAAGGCAGTGATTGAAACCAGCAGGCGCTTTCTCCCCATTCCAATCTTCGGCTCCCAACTTGGCGACTCAGTCTCGTCCGGTCTACCACCGCAAGAGTTCTCCAAACTCGTCTCAACATTAGAAACATGTAAGTCCGGAAGAATAGATGAGAGACCTGTTCTCAATTCTCCCCCGTTCAGCTGATATCATACTTATCACTGGTTCTTTTTATTATTAGATTCCAAATTCCTCGCCGAGCCACTGACACTTATGTGCAACTCTCCACCACGGGTCATGGGCTCGAAGCGGACCGTGCTACAACAATGCTTTGAGAACCATGCGTTCGATGAATTGATTCTCTTCACGATCCGACTGAGTCACCTTGGCCACACCACTGCCATCAGCTATCGACCCGAGAATGTTCCAGTGTGTGTTCGTGCCAAAGCGAAGGCTTTGGCGCAGATCCAGCAGCATGTGTCGGTCACGACGGAGATGCCGCCGAATGCGCTACTCGGGAGCATTATGTTTCTTTTATCGTTTGAGGTATGTGAATGAGAGCCGTGGAGGCTTTTGCTATCCCCCTTTCGTCTGCACCATGCTAATACTATGGTAGATCATTCGAGGCGGTGAGTCTGTGGCGATCCATCTCGAAGGTCTGGCTCGACTCGTCAGTATGCGTGGAGGACTCGCGGGCCTCCCTGACCCACCATATGCACTCGTTCCTGGTCTCATAGCGTAAGTGGTCACCAGCTAGTCCCCATCCACCTCATAAGTTTCAAGACTGACATTCTATTCTAATCACCAGCTGCGACCTAACCCTCGCCGCCACAACACCACGCATGACCCCAACCTTCATGGAAATGACACCACCCCGCCTGACGGCCCCACAACGATACGATTCCAAAACCCTCGACTTCTACCAAAGCTCCCCACTGATGCGTTTCGAAGACTTCCAGGGCGTGCGACGCCTATACAAAGGCGTGCCCGACGTTTTCACCGACATCCTGGAGGACGCATTCGACGGCACGAAGCGGGTTCTCGGCGCCGATGATATCTGGCCTAAGCTCTCGCCTGGAGAAGCCGGTATGGACTGGACGGCTGAGTATGAGACTGGTACACATGACTTCCGAGATGCGAGAGTCGAGCTACCCTTCGTGGTTGCCGAGGCGTGCAGTGTGGCTGGAACGATCTACTACCGCGCGACGAGACGGAGGATCCCATTTGAGGATCCGGTGAACCTGGACGATAGCAAGCGGCTGGGTGCGTTCTTGAATAGTGCTAGTCTGGATGTGTGGCGTGGTATCCCTTATATTTATCTTTGGGTGTAAGTTATCCTCCCCAGACCCCTCTTCGCGCTTTGTGATCACCTTTCAGAATAAGAAGCGCTAACGTCTTGGTGATCTATCAGAATCCTTACCGGAGCGGCAGCCGCACAAGGTCATCCCGAACGACAGTATCTGCTGGCAAGGCTGATCCAGTTTGGGTTCAGCGTCGGGTTGGAACAGGCAGAGGACTTTAAGCGTAAGTTATGTCATGATACCATCATAACAACTATGTGTGATACTGATGCGATTTTGTGCAGAAATTGTACTGAATTTTGTCTGGCTGAGACATAAGCTCAGGAGATAGGAGAGAAAAGGCACAGAATTCAGGAAAGGGGAAGAGTGTTGTGTTCGACAGGGCAAGGCTGTGGATGACAGACAAGGCTGAGCTCCGAGTCGTGTGGAGCCTGAGACGCAAACCGAAGTTACGGTGCAGCACAAACGTCACTTGTGCAGATCACTTTTTGGCCTTTGCGGGCGGCTCGCGATCCGCAGAACAACCGCTGCCAGATCAAAGCACAACAACCCTCTCAACCCAACATCCCATGAAATGCGACCGTGCCTGCGCCTCCTAGCAGCCAACAACAACATATCCTCGACTGTAACCGCATCGGCGCCTCAGGCAATATCACGACGCCTGCGGTCCCAACCCGCCCCTCCGAGCCTCGAACACTTCATCCAACGGCAGCGAGTCTTGTCACTGTGGCGGACGATTCTGCGGAGTGTGTACAAGATCCCCGCCGACCGCCGAAATGAGACGGTGAGCTATGCGCGGCGGGAGTTTGAAAGGAACAAAGGCGTCTCGGATCTCGGGCAAATACGGTATTTGATCTCGACGGGGAAGACCGAGTTTGATGGCATGCGACGGTATATTGACGAGCTTGCTGCGCGATGACGAAGATTGGACGATGAGAGGATGACTCTGGCTCTGGTTCATGTGAGGAGAGTGTTGTTCGAGAAACTGCAACGTCGATGGCAGTATCATCATCAGGCAACAGAACAGCCCATGGCCTCGACGTTGACGCGATGAGCTGGATGCATTAGACCAGAAACCTGTCGACACACAGAAGAAGGATATGCCGATGAATGCTATCAACCACGCGGCCAAGATTGGGACTGAACGCACGACTCATACGCCATGGGTCAACTCTCTAAGAAAGGAAAGGGAAAAGCATCATTGAACTCTTTTTAACTTTTGGAGGGAGGATGAGCAGACCGAGACTTTTGTACAAATCAGCGAGAAACGAAATGAACATGTCTACTATTTGGACCTCGATGACCAGGTCCCAATACCCCAACCGTGCCTTCTTACTTCCTCACTGACACTTTTACTTGAGAACCAACTACCGGATCTCTTCTTCTCTTGCCCGTCCTGCAGCTGTTCCTTGTCCTTGATCTCCTTGATGATGCCCTCCGTCTCATCCACAGCCTGCATGACGGCCGCAGAAGACGCCGCCTCGGCGGGAGCACGGTTGGCATTTTCAATCTTGTCTCTCCACTCCTTGTCCTCCTGGTCTCTGGCCTCGAGCTCTCTGATCCACTTGTCCCTCTTCTCTGCATTCTTCTTCTCCTCGAGCGCCGTGTCAAACTGCTTCCTCCGCATCCTCTCGTCCTTGTAGAAGATACTGCCGGCCACGAGTGCCAACAGCGTGAATCCCTGCGCGTAGATACGAGCCCGGAACATGCGGTTCGTCTGGTGGTGGTCGCCCGCCCGGATCGACCGCGTCGCCATGTAGAGTGCATAGCAGGTCGCGGCGCAGCCCACGGGGATCAAGGGTTCTTGTCGGATCTTGCGCCATAGTTTTTGCGAGCGTGATTCTTCAAAGAATTCCGGCGAGCTGTCGAAGCTGGAGGGGATGGCGCTGCTGCTGAGCGGGGAGGGCTCGGAGTCGGAGTTGGACATGGTGATGATATAGTGGTGTGTGTTCACTTGTTTGGGTATCTCCTCGTGTGGTTGTGGGGGGATTGAATTGGATTGAATTGATCGTTTGACCTCGATAGCATGATGGTTCGAATATCAAATGAGACGAAATGCAATTGGCTGCTAGACGACAAACCGGTGAGTCGTGACGTCGGCATGCATCCGACAATTAGGGAGATTTAGGCGGTACTGCCCCCCGACAAGTTTTAACTAAAGCGGCACTCATTAACCGTCTTTAGGCGGTGACGGACCTGTCAAAGGGCGGCGGTACCTGGCAGTTCTGGGCACCACTAGTTTGTCCGGTGGATTGCGGGGAGTCATTCGGAGCTTGACCTCTTTTTTCTTGTTGTTTTTTGTTGGACCTGCGACTCACATCAGTACAAATCACGAGCAGACCACGAGCACAACGGCATCACAACTGACCCATATATACAATCAGCCCCAGTCCAACATGGACCTCGAAGCCCATGTCAACGGCAATGGCAGCGGCAACAACAGTGGCTACAGCACCAATGGAAGAACCACCCCCACCACCCCCAGGCGGTCAACCCTCGCCATGACTGAATACACAGCCATGCCCACTCCTCCCTCTGAACGAGCCGAACGTCCAACATACGATGTCCCTCCAGACTTCCTCCTTCCCAGCGGGTATCCCGACTATCTACGGCTCATCCTGACCTCCAGAGTCTACGACGTCGTCACCGAATCCCCTCTCTCCCACGCAGTCAACCTCTCCAATCGCCTCGAATGCAAAGTCCTCCTCAAGCGTGAAGATCTCCTGCCCGTCTTCTCCTTCAAGCTGAGAGGTGCTTATAACAAAATGGCCCATTTGTCCCCCAAGGCCAGCTGGAAGGGTGTCATTGCTTGTTCTGCGGGAAATCACGCTCAAGGTGTCGCCTACTCCGCCAGACATTTGAAGATCCCAGCTACCATTGTCATGCCAGAGGGGACTCCGGCGATCAAACATACCAATGTCTCGCGTATGGGCGGCAGTGTTGTCCTGCATGGTCCAGATTTCGACTCGGCCAAGGTACATTGCCATACACTCGAGAAACAATATGGTCTGACCAATATCCCGCCATTTGATGATCCTTATGTCATTGCTGGACAGGGTACTATCGGAATGGAATTGTTAAGACAAACTTCGCTGCAGAAACTACAGGCCATTTTCTGTTGTGTTGGTGGTGGTGGTTTGATCTCTGGTATAGGTGTCTATGTCAAGCGGATAGCTCCTCATGTGAAGATCATTGGCGTGGAAGCTTCAGATGCCAATGCTTTGGTCGAATCTCTCAAGGTCGGCAAAAGGGTGCTTCTTTCTGAGGTCGGTTTGTTTGCCGATGGTGCTGCGGTAAAGACCGTTGGAGAGGAAACATTCCGACTATGTCAAGAAGTCGTCGATGAAGTCGTTGAAGTCAGCACCGATGAAATTTGTGCCGCCATCAAGGACGTTTTTGAGGACACCCGGTCTGTCCTAGAACCGGCAGGAGCACTATCATTGGCCGGTTTGAAGAAATGGGTGGCTCAAAACCCATCAGAGGACTCCACTCGAGAATTGGTCGCGGTCGCAAGTGGTGCAAACATGAACTTCGACAGACTACGGTTTGTCGCTGAACGAGCCAACATCGGTGAACAGAAAGAAGCCCTCCTCGCCGTCACCATTCCAGAACGTGCAGGTACATTTGCAGCCTTGATCGAAGCGGTCCTTCCCCAAGCAGTCACCGAATTCTCCTACAGATATGCCAACCCAGATTATGCACACGTGCTGATGGGCCTATCCATCTCATCGGCCGCAAACCGGGCCAAAGAACTCAATTCTCTCTTCACGCGCCTCGCCGCGGGAAACATGGTCGCCAAAGACATCTCGGACGACGAGATCGCAAAGACCCACCTCCGCTATCTCGCGGGCGGTCGCTCCGGCGTCGCAAACGAACGACTCTACACATTCGAGTTCCCCGAACGGCCAGGCGCGCTGTTCAAGTTCCTGCGAACGCTGCGACACGGTCAAAGTCTCTCTCTATTTCACTACAAAAATTACGGGGGCGATGTCGCCAGGATCCTGTGTGGTGTGCAATGTCCGGATTCTGAAAGAGATCAGTTGAATGGATTTCTGAAGGAGGTCGGATATCCTTTCAAGGAGTGTACGGATAACGCGACGTACAAGATGTTTTTGAGGGATTGAGTTTACGATTCATTTCGAGGTTTAGAGAATGTGATGCTCAAGCTAGGTCATTAATTGCGATCCAATATATGCTAAGAGATGGGACATTGAATAGGCAGCATGGCTCAATAATGTAGGTCGGTAGGCTGATACCCCAAGCGTGGTGTTGGGTTTGGTGTAGATAAAATGGTGGCCGCACCGGACGTTAGCTGGCGTTGTTCAGCTGGAGTAAAATAATTTGTAGCTGCAAATACTTATAGCATCATATCCATTTTTATTCTAGTATAGGCCTACGTGTATCCTCATGTCTATCTGGATAATGTCATGTACAATCGCCAGGTCGAGTGAAGTCAGTTGAGTCTTAAGATGTGGGGAACATGGTTTTGATGGAATAAAATGTCAAGCAAAATCAACTCAGGCGGTTTTCGACTTTTATACCTTCACTCCATTCTCAATCTCCAACCAAAAACCAATAGTCAGCGCACTTCTCGCTGCCTGTAAAGTATCTCGATCTTGTTTCTCACTAGATCAAGCAACTGTCTTTGCCTCGACTGCCTCATCGCATTGCACAAGCAGCGCGAGAGTCCCACCATGAAATTCCAGTCAACGACACTGCATCATGGATTCAGGATCAGAATTTGTGGAATCAGATGAAGACGTCAAGGTAGAGCAGAAATCGGACAACGAGAGGGTCGATCATTACGGAGAAGAGATGCAGGGCGACGACGACGAAGTCGATCCCCGTGAGTTAATGACCTCGCCGCCGCCTGAGTCCAGTTCCCATCCCCAACGCCAACACCACCGCCAGAACTTCCTCAAACCAGAGACCGCGCGAGATGTGTTAATTTCATCTCCATCCCGTGACGTAAAATTCTACGAAGCGGAAAATGCCCCATCCACTGGGGTCACCACAACAACCATGAACACGTCCATCCACCCCCAACGCCCCCATCCAAACAGCTACTACACGCGACCGAACCGCTTCTTCGGGCCCGGCGTCACCTGGAAATCCTGGACGCGGGCCGAGCGTGATCTCGCCGTTTCTCTTGATCGGACCCGCGCCGGAGATCTCAGTCTGCATTTGTGTGGTGCTTTTGCGCTGAGAAGGGAGTTGGGTAGGGCGGGTAGTGGAAGGAGAGGTCGGCCCGTGAAAGGGAAAACGGATCGGAATGGGAAGGGAAAAGCGAGGGATTTTGGTGTTGATGGTGATGATGAGGGAGAGCAATATCAGAGACGCGGCCGTGGCGTGGAGGTCGACAACCACGACGAAGAAGAGAAGACTCTCGAAAATCAAACGACGAGCTACGCCCTTCCCAAAACCTGGACGGCCTGGCCCATGCCTGTGCAACAGGTCCCTCGTGACGAACTGTTGTCGCGCATGGGCGGAGATGGTGAGTCTACATACCGCGCAAGGCCTGATCTGCGCCCGAGTGCGGCGCTGGAGGAATGCCTGATAGCCACGGCTACAAGATTGGCGAGGAAGAGATGGGGGAGAAGAGATTGGGTCCAGGGAGAGGATGGTGATGACATGGGCCAGCGGGAAGCTGATGAAGGTGGTGGTGTGCTCGGTCAACAACAACAAGGAACGGGTCAAGAAACCGCTGATATTGGACGCGAGAGTAACGACGAAGAGAATAACAATCATGGCGGCGAAGACGATAACAGTGCACAAGAACAAGAAGCATACCAAGACGACCAAGATTTTGACTACCCAATGTTCACCTCACAGCCTTACGCCTCACCTCCGCCATCATCTTCACCACTACTCCCGCGCCGCTCAGTATCCCCCTCCGACACCGACGCCTCCTCTCGCATCAAGAACGAACAAGATTCAGCTCCTTCAACTTCCCCGTCACCGTCACCCTCCCCATCTTCGTCGTCATCTGATGAAAACCATCGACCTGTCCCACTCGCCGACGAAGCTCAAGCACGCGACCTATTCATGCCCAGCGCTCGCCATATTCTCAGCCAACTCGACGGCTTACTCCTTGCGTTGCATAAGTCCCGTGCCGCATATGCGGGAAAGCCGATCGGGAAGCCAAGGGGGAGGAGTGTGAGTCAGAGCCAGAGCCAGAGTGCCAGTAGAAATGTTTCGAGGACACGTGATCTTGCACGAGGAAGACGGAGAGTTCGAAGCCGTTTGTCATCGACAAGAACGCGAGATACGTCCACGAAGAACGACGATGCTGATATCGACGGCGAAGACGACGACGAAGAGGATTCGGAATACCGCGATGAGCAGGGCTCGCCCAATTCTCCTTCTCGAACACAACACCACAATTCCTCTGGGGAGTTAGATCTCTCCATGCCATCAACACCTCCACCCAACACACTTTCCCAACAAGCAAGTCAAAAACGCAAACGCAACCAGGGCGCCGAAAACCTCAAACTCCAACTCCGCGACTGGAGCGATGTGGTCGGCATTGCGGCTCTCGCGGGCTGGGATCCGGCTGTCGTGGCACGTGCAAGCGAACGGTGCGCGAGGCTATTTGGAGAGAATATGTTGTTTCGCACGTTCGGTGAGGGCGATGTCGAGGAGAAGAGTGCCGTTGAGCTTGGGAACAAGAATGCGAAGCGCGCGTGGTATATCGAGCAGCTTGCGCTGGATGAGGAGAGTTCCGAAGATCTAGCTGAGCGAGATGGTGAGGGTGGGAGAGCTACCATACGCAGACTCCGTATATCTACACGCTGCGAGCATTGTGTCACAGCGAGATCTCGCTGTTTGCCTCCTGTGGTGGACGGAGACGAGGGGGAAGCTGAAGGTGAAGCCGAGTGGGGCGGCAAGAGCGAGGAATCACGCAAGTCACCATTCAGCGGAAGTGTTTCATGCAGACGCTGCACTGAGCAGCACCTCGAATGTTCCGGTATCGTTGTGCAGGACTTGAAAGACGAAGGCGACTCCGGTGACTATCCACCACAATGGCACGAACGTGCCTGTCCATACAAAAACTGTGCGAGACACGAAATCCCATTCCGCAAAACCTACCACCTCCAGCGACATTTAGACAGCGCGCACCACGCGGCCGAAAGGAAACAGGTACAGAGCAAGAACAGAAGTCGAACCAGGAGTCGAGCACGAGACATGCGATTTAGACGTCGCCTGCACGATCCCGACACAGATCTCGACATGGTCATGGACTCCGACGATGAATACCCCACGACCGCGACATCGACGCATGAGCACCACATCACGATCCCATCGCAAGATACAATCCTCTGTCCCGTGTACGAGTGTAAGCGGCATCGCGTCCCGTTCTCGCGTGGCGCCAAACTCTACAGTCATGTCAAGCGCATGCATCCTGATGTGGATGTTGTGGCGTTGAAGAGGCTCGAGACCAGTCGCAGAGGAGAACGCCGGGGCAGACCGAAGGGTGGAGGGACGGGGACGGGGAGTCAGAGTCGGAGCCAAAGCCGCAAACAGAGTAGGAGTGGAATTGAGAGTGGAGATATGATGCGGACGACACGGTCTGCATCGAGGATAGGGACAGGAATTAAGACCGCTGAGGTCGGAATGAATAGCGGAGATGAGAGCGGCGAGTGAGTCTTCTGAATCGATTGGGACTCGGACCGTTTGAGAATGCATCACTATGGCCTGTGGAGAATGTTCCTCCGTGTGAGCTGATGATATCGTCAAGATAGACTAACCCTATGAGACTCCTAATCGCAACAAAAGTGGAAGATTACGCTCCTGACCACACGTGATAAGGCTGTTCGCCTCAGGGGGATTCCTTGAAATCCGCCAGGGGTGGTGACCTTGCAGAGATTTCGAGAGTGGCATGTCCAAATGTGGCACCAGAAATTTAAGCCTGCGATAATTACACGCAATGTTGAATCAATGGTTGTCAAGTAATCTAGCCATCAGGGCTTCCTCAACGACGGACAGAGTCGAACGCTTGGATCGATACTCTAAAATTGGACTGACAGTGGGAGCATGTGGGGCCCAGCTCGTGATAATTTCTAGAAGATACTTGCTACAGGGACGAGATGTTTCACTGAGCTGAACATGTTCTGGTGGAACAACCTGGATACAGGGTGTGTCCAAGAAGCCAAGAATTGTGTCTTTGGTGGATCAGCTTGAATGGTGCAAAAGCATCATGACATGCGACTCTGTTTCCTATGAAGTAAATATTGTTGCAGCAATGAGGCTCGTCAGTCTAAGTTGACGAATTTCAATATTGAATAGCTGGACCTACTCCATAGGAGCATTGAGTTCATCTAAAGTATACCAAAGTTACCATCTCGTAATAAGGTAATGATATGATAGCTTGGCGTTTGTATTCAGCTAACAGTGCGTCTGGGCGCTGACGAAAAATGCTTCAGAGATGCTGAGCGTAGTTCTGGTCTGCGTGCCACGAAGTGGCACTCCTTGGCAGGATTGAGCTTGGTAGACAGACAAAACCTGCACAGACCCCGCCTCCCACTCCAGTCATTCCTTCCATTGCTCTCACAGGCAGTAGGAGAAACAAAAAAGTCACGTAGGCATGAAGTCACCGATCCCCGACTACCTGAATGCGGCGCTGGAGAAGGTCCGGCCAAACGAAGATGGCCAGCCCGCTCAATACATCAAGACACTGGCCAATGCAGACACATCCAAGCTAGCCGTGGCACTGGTCATGGTCGACGGCAATGTCTACTCTGCGGGGGACGACCAGGTGGAGTTTTCGATCCAGTCGATTTCCAAGGCGTTCGTCTATGCGATCGCCATCGAAGATGCCGGACTGGAGCACGTTCTGGAAAAGATCGGGGTCGAGCCGTCTGGCGACGCCTTCAACAAACTGTCGCTACACAAGGGCAACAACCGGCCGATGAACCCCATGATCAACGCCGGTGCCATTGCGGCGCATTCACTTGTGGTCCACCCTAACGCCACAGCGGAGGAGAGGACGGACCGCATCCTCAAGACCATGTCGAGGCTGGCCGGGCGACAATTACACGTGGACGAGGAGGTGTACGAGGCCGAGCTCGAGGATGCAGACCGCAACATGGGAATCGGATACATGCTCAAGGCAGCGGGCATTATCTCGTGCAGACCGGCCGAGGTCGTCAAGGGCTACATCCGCCAGTGCTCCATCAATGTCAACGTGCGCGATCTGGCTGTCATGGCAGCAACCCTGTGCAACGCTGGGGTGAATCCCGTTACAGGTGAGACCATCATGCCGGCAGATAGTGTCCGCCAGGTCCTTTCCGTCATGACCACATGCGGGATGTACGATGCAGCCGGCCAGTGGGTGTCACGAGTCGGCATTCCAGCCAAGAGCGGTGTCGCCGGCGGAGTCATTGGTGCGCTGCCGGGCCAGGTTGGCATCGCCGCCTTCTCACCCAAATTGAACGAGCGTGGGAACAGTGTACGCGCCGTAGCACTGTTTGAGCAGATGTCCCGCGACATGGGCTTCCACATGATGGACGTCAGCCAGATCGCTCGAGCGAGCGTGAGTACCTCGGTGGCACGAATCGTTGCTGGAAAGCAAGAACCTCACCACCCCAACTGCGATCGACGCGTGGTTATATTTGCTCTCCGAGGCGCCGTGCGTTTCGCCGGCTCGGAGCGCCTGACACGCGCGATTGTGCGTGAACTCGGCGAGCCAGATCCCAAAGATCCCGGTTCTGGGGAGCACCAGGACGCCTGTGCCATCGTAGTCTCACTCAGGGACGCGTTTTCTCTTAACCCCGTGGCCCGCCGGGTGATCCACGAAAGCGTGAAACGTTTGCTCGCCGAGGGGAAGAATGTGGTAGTGATTGACCCCAATAGTGTCTTGCAAATGGATCTCGACAGCCTCCCAACGTCTCAACACCCGCAGATTGTTCAAAATGAAAAGGAGGCGAGAGAATTCATAGGTGGAACAGGTTGTTCGACCATTAATCAATCTGATAATTGGTAGGGTAGTCATGAATATCACCATCATAGAGATCCTCTATTCGTAATGCAAATTAAAATGAGTCTCAGGTGATGTTACCCCTTTCCTTCCCGATCGACTGAAAAGTGATATCGATATCGCTTGATTAGGGGTATTGATAGCCTTACATATTGGACGCGACAGCTCGGCTTTGGTTCCGGTGTAGATCGCGTACTAATTAGGACGAACCCTAGAGTTGAAGTCAGTATGAGTGAGTCACCGCATATTCTCCGCCGACACTCTGACGATCCTCAAATGAAGATGGATAGAATCTCCAATTTCTGGCCTGAGCTGCCTTTTGGAGATTAGTGCTACCACGTAGAATTGATAACGCCATGCGGTATTGAGGTAGTATTTACTGTAGCACACGCATGCATATTTAGTTCCATCTTTCTGGCGAGGCACGAAGAGTCATAGTAGTGGCCCAGTCACCTTATCCTTATTGATTCACTCTCAGTCACAGTTGCCTCGATAATTACCCAGGTGAGATCTAAGTTCTTTTCCGAGACCAGTAGCTCCTAGCAAAGATTCAACTTGCCTACAAATTCATCCTGATCGACCACTATGAGGGGTGCTAGTATTGGGGATGAGGATGCTGGATCTCTACTTCCACCGACCGAGCGATCACCATTATTACAAGACAGAGGATATGCGACCATAAACGCAATAAATAACGAGCGCGAACGCGGAAGAATAGTATCAAAACAAGGACCGATAAATGGAGAAGCCGTCACCAGTGCCAGTCGCGGCGACGACACCAATTCGTCTGAGATACCAGTAGACATCGAGAACAACAACCTCGCGCGCACGCCATCACTCTCGCCATCCCGCGCTACACAGTCCAAAGGCACCCGCTCGGCTACAGCACAGATGCGATACATCGTGCCGGCCGTCTCGCTCGGCGTATTTCTCGCAGCGGCCGATCAAACGATCATTGTATCCTCGTACGGTCGCATTGGATCTGACCTGTCGGCTCTCAACCTCACACCGTGGATTGCGAGCGCTTATTTTCTGACGCTTACGTCCTTCCAACCACTCTATGGCAAACTCTCGGACATCTTTGGCAGGAAGACGTGTCTGCTCTACGCTTATACGATCTTCGGCATCGGATGTGTCCTCTGTGGTGTTGCACCGGATATCAAGAGCTTGATTGCCGCAAGGGCATTTCAAGGTGTCGGCGGAGGGGGCATGAGCACTGTCGTGTCAATTCTGTTCAGTGATATCGTACCTCTGCGGGAGCGGGGCCTTTGGCAGGGTATTATCAATATCGTTTACGCTGGAGGAGCTGCAGTGGGTGCACCGCTCGGAGGTCTGCTCTCAGAGACGCTTTCGTGGCGTTATTTATTCCTGGGGCAAGCGCCGCTCTGTTTGCTTGCCTTTATCGCGGTGTGGTTTGCTCTGGATGTCCCCCCAAAGCGCTCGAATGGGAGCTATTCAAGCTCAGAGCAAGCCCTGGAACGAGAACCGGGCCAAGGCTGGCGAAAGAAACTCTCCAGGGTAGATTTCCCCGGCGCCATCGTGTTGGTGGCAGCAGTCTTCAACCTCATCTTCGGACTAGATCGGGGCTCCAACACTGCGTGGCATCGACCGATCTCATACGGTCCAATCGTCGCATCGGGGTTTTTCTTTGCCCTCTTCATCTACATTGAACGACACATCGCGAAGGAGCCCTTCGCTCCGGGCCACATCATCTTCGATCGCAGTCTGTTCGCCAGCTATCTGTGCTGTTTTTTCAGCTTTGGCGCTTGGCTGGCGGTCCTGTACTACCTGCCGCTGTTTTACCAGGCCGTCGACGGCTATGGCGCGACAGAGTCGGCGGTAAGATTACTCCCAGCGATTGTGGCCAGCGTGTCGGGATCGTTGTTTGGGGGCATCTGGATCAAACTATTTGGAAAGTACTATTGGCTTACGGTGTTTGCGTACACTCTGCTCGCTGCGGGGATGGCAGTCGTGTTACTATCGACTGGCTTACTGGTGAACAACACGTATGCCATCTCTGTGGGAACCGTCATGGGAGGATTTGGGAACGGAATTGGCGTCACGTCTGCGCTCATTGCTATCATCTCGAATGCAGCACCAGAGGATCAGGCGGTTGCCACGGCTTGCTCGTATCTGTTTCGCTCACTCGGCTCTGTGCTCGGGATCTCTCTCACTGCAACGGCTATCCAACAACGTCTGCGTGACGATCTGGCACGTCGAATCGGCAGTGGTCACGATGCAGCAGCCATCGAGCAGGGCGTCCGTCAAAGTCTCGACTATCTCGATCAACTGACGCCTGAGTTGCGTCATCTCGTCAGACTTGCTTATGGGACTGCCACGACCAGTGGCTTTTTGCTGGCATTGATTGTCTCGCTTGGTGCCACTGTTGCGAGTTTGTTCATCAGGGAACAGCGACTGAATCGATAAGGATGGTAATCGTTCTGCTATGCCGCATATTTGGATGTCTGAAGGAGCATTTACGCAAAGCGGGAGTTTGGAATCGTGGAAATTGGTAAGTAGCTAGCTATGTAGACAAACAGCAGGCTGATGCTGCGCTATTTCTTCAATGTAATTATAAAAGAGGGAAGGGTGATGGACTTCACTCCCTGGCATGCCCATGGTATCAGGATGGCAGCGACTTGGCTTGCCAGCATTCAATCACTATCATCTGCAGGTACCACTACGGCGTGACCATGACCCACTCAACCTGACTTGCCCTTTGTAGTGGGCGCAAGGCTACGCCAACCACTAGGCGGCATCCATCATGTCGTTGATTTCGGCATAATGTGAGCTCATGGGCGCCGTCCATACGAAATCGAGGCTCATTTATAAACCATTTAAGATCCAACCACAATGATCAACATGATCATAACCCCGGGCTGAAGTCCCGCTGGGATTCCTGTGGATGTCCTTGTCCTTGTAAGTGGTATCTGTTGGTTCAGATGTCGTGATCGTGCTATTTCAGCGATTGGCGTGATTTGACCCCTGGATGATCCTCCACTACTAGTCTTCGGTAGAGCCTCCTTCAGAGCTCAAAATTAAGCCTTGGCCTCTCCATTCGGTACTGCACCGTTTGTGGCCGACGCTGGGGGAATGTCGATTGGACCTCCTGGTGAAGTTGGCAGTCTGGCGGTTAGAACTTCCACACCATCCTCGGTAACAAGCAATGTGTGCTCGAATTGTGCAGAACGAGTTCCATCTGCAGTTACTGCAGTCCAGTCATCAGGCCAGGTTTTGTCCTTATACGTGCCTAGGCATATCATGGGTTCAATCGTGAAGGTCATTCCTGGTCTGCATTTACCGACAGCCTTGTTCTTGGCATAGTGCGGTACGTTGGGGGCACAGTGAAAAAGCTGATTGATGCCGTGGCCACAATACGTTTTCACAACACTGAGATTTTGAGATTTGGCATGTTTCTCGATAATGTCCCCGAAATCGCCAATCTTGACTCCTGGTTTGACGTGCGCAATGGATTTTTCCAAACATTGTCGTGTCGTTTCCACTAGACGAACATTGTCCGGATCAGCCTTGGCTTTGTCACCAACATAATATGTTTCGTTCAGGTCTCCGTGGAAACCTTCATGATAGAGAGAAACGTCGATATTCAGAATGTCACCATCCTGTAGCACTCGGTGATCCGGTATTCCGTGACAGATGACTTCGTTGACTGATGTGCAGACTGATTTCGGGAAATGGTTGTAATTTAATGGAGATGGATATGCCTAGAATGTCAATTAGCAAGCGCCCTAACAGAATCCCAGTTTGGTGGGACTTACATTCCGTTCTATGCAAGCCTCATGAACAATCTTGTCGATATAATCAGTGGTAACACCAGGCTTGACGGCCGCTGCAGCCACATCCAAAACTTCTCTCGATAGTCTGCAGACTTTCCTCATACCCGCAATACCTTTGGCATCCAGTATTTGGACCTGGTTCTTCTTGACATATGGATACCGAGGCATGCCATCTTGTGACCATTCTGGGTGAGGTATCGATTTTGGGATTTCTCGTTTTTCTGATAGAGGATATACTGGTCTTAAAGTACCGGTGAATGGATACGTGGGGAATGGATTGAAGTGGCCACTTTCTGGATCAACTTTAGAAACGATACTCGGAGTGAAGAGATTGCGGAGAGGATTCGTACTCTTGTGTATGGTTTTGTGTTGCGCCTTTGTGAACAATGTCAGTAATGCAAGAATTTGTAGGGATCTCATTAGGGCCGACTTACCCAACTCCGCTTGAAGCAATCTTGAGAACAGAAGAAAGTATCCACACCCATTTCCTTGCACTTCGGACATTGTAGAGTGGAAGCATCGTTTTCACATTCAAGACCAGGACATTTTCGGGGTTGTTCAGCAGCTTGATCCATATTTACGATCGCGATAGTGAGTTGTGTTGCCTTCAGGCAGGGAGGACTCGAATAAAAGGTGCCTCGGATTGCGGTGTGCCCCGGGAACAAAGGTGTTGCGATGGAGTCAGTTGCGGTTCTTGAGGGATAAAATCGAGTGCTTATCACACAGAGACCACCGAGCGTCCTTAGATCCGAGTTTATGGTCTGGGATCGTGGTATAGAGTAAGAAGCGAAATGCAAAGTCAAGCAAGCGAAAGTTGGAGAGTGAAAGATCGACAAGTACGAGATTTATGCGAGCACTCGAATGTGGTCCCACCATTAAAGCGGCATTGCAAGCTGAGGGCCCACGTGACGCCGCTTTCAGTGAAACTCGATCAGGCTGAGCTTCAGCCTCGTCCTTATGCTGCCCTCTAACATTAAACCCAGAGATGTCCCTATCTAATCTAAAACAAGAAAGCCAGATAACCAACAAGGCTCCCAAACATGGCAAATTGACTGTACACAACAGAATCCCTCGATGCAGAATTGGTAGAGGAACCACCACTTGCACTGCCTGTGCTTGTAGCCGTTCCAGAACCAGTGGCTGTGGGAGCAGAAGTCGAACCCGTAGAAGCAGCACCACTTGTGCCAGACCCAGAACTCGAGCCAGAGCCGGAATCTTCCGACTTTACGACTGCATCACTGGTCGGTGCGTCCCCAGAAGTGACCAGACGAGCCCCCTTGGTCCAAGCAGTTCCATTGTAGTGAATAATCGTATGCCATTCGATACCATCTGGTTGAGTGATCCAAGTCATATCAATCGTGACTGATGCTGAATCAGGTGAGATGTGTCCCGTCAAGTCCCAATGCCATGTTTCACCAGAGCTTTTCTCTCCATTATTGGGCCAAAAGTCACCACCGTTCCAGCAAGCTGTGGTTGGATGATAGTAATTGTTGTCTGAAGGTCTTGTACCTATCCATTGTCCCGTGAGATCATATCCATCACCTGATTTGGTAGCCTGAAGATCCCAGAACTGGGTTTCATCATAATAATAATCCGAACTAGATTCGAATGAAACTCGAATGTCTTTACCAGTCTTGCTGGGGAAATTAAAGTAGTATGGATTGGTGTCGTATTTGGATCGGTCGAGACTGGCGTTTCCCGGCACTGTCACTCCACCAATTCCGAAGTCGTTCTTCAATGGTTCAAAGGTGACATCGGGACATTCACTTGGATTGCCGGTCAGGGTGAGGGTTGTTGTTCCATTGTACCATGCAAGGTCGTACTTCATGACCTCGCTCACGGAAGGTTTGCAGTTATAGCTGTTGGCGCCGGCATAGCCAAATGCAACGAAGAAGGCTAAAACTCGATTAGAAAACTGGGTATGATAATAAGGAAGAACTCTTGCATCCACAATCTTGTGCCCTGACTTGAGTAGAGAGTGCTATGAGAGGTGCCATAATGGCGAACATGGACGGAGAAGGCATTGGGGCGACAGTTTCGAGTATTGAATAAGAATGTTGAAAAGGACTTTGAGCACAAGGAGAGTTGGTTTGAAGAGTCTGAGATTTGTCCTACGCAAGCCGTAGCAGGCGTGATATATAGTGTCCCGATGATATGGAGGATATCGACAAAGTTGACCAAAGCCGTCCCGAGTCAGCCTGGTGGAGGAGGGCTTGTGTTAAAGGGGGAATACGAGCCCTCATCTCTCATATGTCCAACATAGTGGCTTGGTACACATTGACCTATCAATTATGATCATTGAAAGAACAAAGTTTCCCAAGACTTCGAGCCACCGTAGCTAAACATTGTATAAATGATAATCAAGAATAGATCCAGGCGCAGTTCTCGATAACTAGCAACGCTGAACACTAGGATACTTCACTAACGCAAGATTGAGGTTCCTTAAAAAGATGCTCTTGGGTCTCAGGGCCACTAGTAGCGGATTTGAGACCAAGATGAGTCTTGATCCTGGCATGTATTGACACCCTCCTGCAGACTCTAGATCTGAATCAATTCTGTTCAATGAAGAAGTTCATGACAAGGAGGACTTCTTCATTTCAGAAATGAGTATACATCATTGGCAGCGTGTTGCCTTAGCTGCCTGCTGGACCCCGTGCCAAGATGCCGGTGACACTCAAATGTTGGTAGTGGAATTCACAGGCTGAATCGACATTTCGCGTCCCAAAGGTCTTGGTTCAAGAGCCACATCAGTGAAAACCATCTTCCCTAGAATTGCATTTTGTATCCGTGGCTGCTCTCGTGATAGGTTTTCCTCCACAGATTAGAAGCGGACTAGGTGTCTCAAGAGTCAAGATAGAGTGCAGAGTATGCCTTGCAATCAAATAGGGGCTTGCTCAAGCGTGTCTTGGAATGATGATAAGAGCTTATTGAGTATTGAGACCACGTTATTCGGTGGCCAAGCAATGCTAAGGTATGCAAGGCACTCTGTCCAGCGTTGAACTTTCGGTATCGGTTCGTGTTGAGATAGGGCTGAGGCTCGTGTTCGGATATTGCTAGGTTGACACTAACCAATAGGGAAGGGCGATAGGCGAAAGAGGGATTTCTTGTTTGCAATATTGACAGACTGCGGATATTGGCCAGAATCTTGGCTCAAAGCATGTTCTCGTACCGACCGTGCGATTCGTAGTACTTTTGGAACCAAATGTCACGTTTCACTTTGGCCCATTTTGAAATTGAGACGCCGACAAACATGTGACTGTCTAACCGACGGTAGTGTGGTCTGTCACGTAGTTTGTTGTTACTGCTGCTGCTGTGGATGCTGTTGGTCTTCACTTTGTTTCCATTCAAATTCTGCCTCGGTTAGCATCGAACATAAGATAAACTAGGCAAGGCATACTTTGACGGCACATGGGACACAGACCCTTGGAAGACTCTTGCTGAATCCAGGTGAGAAGACAGTGCTGCCAGAGTTAGCACCGCGACGATCTCGGCGTTTTCATAAGTTCCTTACCATGTGGAAAGAGTGACCACATTTTCCCATCAGTAGAGTACAGTCGTCGCCAGGAAACTTGCATGTAGGGCAAGTTCCGTCAAATTGAACTCGACAAATACCACAAACTTCATCCTCTGGCAAATTCCATCGCCAGGTGGCAACGGCGTTCCACGTTTTGATCTTGACTTTCATGTTTGTGTTTGGTGAGATACGTTCGAAGTCCGCTGAATGTCTGAAGAAACAGAGACGTTGTGAATAAAACATTTACAGACGCGTCATTGTTTACAATTAGGAAGTCGCGGAATTCAGTTGATGGCGATCGTCCCTTCCAAAGTCGTGAAGAATGGAAAAAGGTTTGGCCGAAGTTGTTCCGGCGTCTACCAGGTTTCAAACCCCACCTGACTGAGGCACCTAGGTATCCATTCTCCAACCCAAAATCCAAAGCTCCAAGAAGAATGAGTCCTATCTCCCAAGCTCCACATCCACCCTTTTACGACATCACCATCCCAACTTAATTCGATCAAACCCTTGCATGAGCGTTACCGGTTAACTAGACTCTGCACAGTCGACTCTTGCCCGCTGCCATCAAGGCAATCTGCTTGATCCCAACAGCCCTCATTGCCAGGCAATGAAAGAGTTGTTACAGATAAGATGACGATAATCATTGCATCGTCGCCAATATGGCGTGCTACTTTTTCACGGCCCGCCAGCAAACTCTCCATTCTTCAACGATGCAAATTCTCCTCCTATCTTGTTACGCCTCAAGAGCTCCATCAAGCTCTCAGCAAGAATGCTCCCAGTACCATTTCGACCGCCCCGAAAACCATTCCTATATGTGCTGCATGGTTCATGCCTAATGATCCGGAAAAGAGAACTGGTCTCGAGACGTTCAAGAAGAAGCGCATCCCCTCAGCACGATTCTTTGACATAGATGAAATCAAAGACGCCGAGTCGGACTATCCACATATGCTGCCCACTTGCGAAGCATTTGCAGACGCCATGTCACGAATGGGAATCAAGAGAGATGATGAGCTGGTTGTCTACGACACAGAAGAGTTGGGTATCTTTTCGGCTCCAAGAGTAGCGTGGACCATGCGTGTTTATGGCCACCCCAAAGTTCATCTGTTGAACAACTTCCGGATATGGGTCAAAGAAGGTCTGCCAGTGGAGACAGGTCCTCCGGAAGTGCCAAACATCACCAAATACCCTACTCCCAGCTACAACACAGATATGGTGGTGAAATATGCCGAGATGAAGACAATTGGTTACGATCACGGTAAAGAAGGTGCTGAGGATTTTCACATACTTGATGCACGTTCTAAAGGTAGATTCGACGGGACTGATCCTGAACCACGACCCGGCTTAAGTTCTGGACATATGCCTGGTGCGACCAGTGTTCCATTTCAGGAACTTCTCGACCCCGAGACAAAAGCTCTGCTTCCTGCTGAAGAATTGCGAAAGGTGTTCGAATCAAAGAATCTTGACCCCAAGAAACCAATCATTACAACTTGTGGTACAGGTGTCACAGCGGCGGTCATCGAGGCTGCTTTAAGGGAGGCGGATTTTGGATCGGAGAATGATCGCAGAGTCTATGATGGTAGCTGGACGTAAGTTGAAGGGTTCCATTTTGTCAGATCACATTGACTAACTTTATGTTGCAGTGAATGGGCATCAAGAGTATCAGCTTCAAGTGGTCTAATTCGAAAGACTGGTTCCAGTTGATGCTCAGCAGCAAGAGATTACTTGCAATGTTGAGGTATTGCTTTTCCGATCCTGCCAAAGAACTACCCAGCTGGCGAGCATACCACATCTCGGCTTTAGCGTCGGCGTATGGCTTTTTGGGCGTCCACGTCTTGTGTTAATATCTCCCCTTGTTTATACCAATGAATATTGACGACACAACATGCACTCCTCACCATAAAACCCTTCTTTGATGTCTTGCATGTCTCGTGATAGGTCCCATCTGTCCTCCTCGCCCTTCGAAATGCTCAATCTGAAAGTGCGCTCTCATGTGTAAAGTCCACCGTAGACAACGCCATGCCGCAGGTCAAGAAAAATAAATTCCACCAACTCAACCGCCATCTGCATGTGCCTTTTAGATTTGATGACATATTTAGACTGGAACGGGCGTCGAAGGTCGCCAGCGGTGTCATGAACCAAGCTGCGAAAGATGCAGCCAAAGACGCAGCCAAATACCTGAAAAGCACGCTACGACTGCCAAGTTCGAAATTCCCTCCACGCCCTCCCCCAGCCGACCTTGCCAGACTCCTCCCCAAATGCACCGACGAGCTGTATGCATGGCAGCGCCAGGAACGGCCAGCCTCGAATCCATTTGTTCTCCATGATGGGCCACCTTACGCGAACGGCGATCTGCATGTCGGGCACGCACTCAACAAGATCGTCAAGGACATTATCTGCCGCTCGAAGCTCGCAGAGGGAAAACGTATCAGCTACACACCCGGCTGGGACTGCCATGGCCTGCCGATCGAGCTGAAAGCCCTGGAGGCGTCTGGATGGGAGCGTGGTCAGGGCATCGACCCGGTCAAGATCCGAAAAGCGGCAAGGAAGTTCGCGTACAAGGCCGTGGAGAAGCAGATGGCCGGCTTCCGTTCCTGGGGTGTCATGGGTGATTGGGCGAATCATTGGACGACCATGCAGAGAGACTTTGAACTGAGGCAATTGGCCGTCTTCCAGGCTATGGCTGAGCATGGCCTGATCTACAGGAAGAATAAACCGGTTTATTGGTCGCCTTCATCGGGCACGGCCCTCGCGGAGGCGGAGCTGGAGTACCAGGAGGACCATGTATCAACAGCGGCGTTTGTGAAGTTTCGACTTGCTGCTGCGATCCCCGGTGTTGAGGGCCCGGTGTACCTCTTGATCTGGACCACTACGCCCTGGACAGTCCCGGCAAATCAGGCGATTGCGATTCATGAGGGATTGGATTACTCGCTGATTAGGTCTCCGAGTAATGGGTTGCTTGTCGTGGCAAGCTCGAGAATTGAGTATATGAAATCGATCCTGAGCGAACATCTTGACGTCGTGTCGGAACGAGTGTCACCCGATCTGCTGCTCAAGGCGACCTACTCCGGCCTGGCAGCATTCGGCAGTGATGCAGAAAACAGACCTATCATTCACGCCGACTTTGTCTCGGCGGAAAGCGGTACTGGTTTGGTGCACTGTGCACCCGGACACGGCATGGAGGATTACGAGGCATTGCAACCGTGGATCCGGTCTGGAGTCGTAACGGTCAAGGCTCCAGTGGACAACGGTGGTCGATTCGACGAGAACGCTTCCCCGTTAGATCCGACCGTTCTCAAGGGCCAAGAAGTGTTCAAGGTAGGGAACCAAACAGTGCTGGATCTGCTTGCTGCAAACAAGGTACTTGCGCACAGCCATTCCTTCAAGCACAAATATCCGATCGACTGGAGGACCAAGGAGCCCGTAATGATACGCGCGACGGCACAATGGTTCACGGATATTTCCAAGATCAAAAGTGACACCCTCCAGGCATTGGAACCTGTGAAGTTCGTGCCGGAGTCAGGCCGATCCCGTCTGCGTGCATTTGTAGAAAATCGGAGTGAATGGTGTATTTCCCGACAGCGGTCGTGGGGTGTTCCGATCCCTGCGATCTACCACAAGACAACCGGCGAGGCTGTGATTGATCGGGGGAGCATTCAGCATATCATTTCGACCATTAAAGACCGTGGGATCGATGCGTGGTGGTCTGATGCGCCAGACGATCCGGCATGGATTGCTCCAGGTTTGAATCCAGCAGACTACGTAAGGGGAGCCGACACCATGGACGTGTGGTTCGACAGCGGCACGAGCTGGACATCCATGCTTGACCCGAGCTCGCCGCCGACAAAACCACTTGCGGACGTCAACGTCGAAGGCACTGACCAACATCGAGGCTGGTTCCAATCGAGTCTACTCACACACATCGCATATCAGAAATCCATGTATCCCGACGCCACGAATTCCTACGCCCCCTTCCAGACTCTCGCTACCCATGGTTTCACACTCGACGCGCAGGGCAAGAAGATGAGCAAATCCCTCGGCAATGTGATCGCGCCCATGGAGATCATCCTGGGCATGAATTCGGGACCGAAAGTCGTCGCGTCTAAATCTTCCAAGAAACCGCGGGAATACCATCCTCTGGGGCCCGACGCTCTGCGCCTCTGGGTTGCGAGCAGCGATTGGACGAAAGACGTGGTCATCAGCGAGACGGTCGTCAAGACGATCCACGCATCGCTGGATAAATACCGCGTCACAATGAAGCTGCTGCTCGGGCTTCTAGAGGACTTTACCTTGGACAAGGCTGTGCCGTATGAAGACTTGTCTTTTTTCGATCAAGTCGCGCTGCTGCAGCTACACCGTGTGTCGAGTACGGTGCAGAAGGCCTATCCGAGCTTTGAGTTCCACAGGGCGGTCACGGCGATCAATCGGTGGGTTGCTACGGATTTGTCGGGGTTCTACTTTGAGGGGATCAAGGATGTTCTTTACTGTGATTCGCCTACGAGTGCGAGACGAAGGAGTGCGCAGACGACGCTCCACTACATTTTGAGTCACTTTCAGGAAATGCTCGCTCCGGTGGCGCCGTTGTTGGTGGAAGAGAGTTGGGCTCATACCCCGGAAGAGTATAAAAGCAAGCTTGAGCATCCATTGAAGCGAATATGGGCGGAGCCTCCGTTAGAATGGCAGAATCAAGGGTTGAGCGATTTGTTGCCTAGCATTATTGCTATCAACACGGGCGTCAAGGCGGCACAGGAAAAAGCACGTTCGGAGAAATTAATGGGGCAATCACTTGCATCGGATGTCGTGGTGTATCTCCAGCCAGAGATCGATGTGTCCCAGATACCTGATGAGAGTTGGAAAGAGATGTTCGTAGTGTCCGGGGTGGAGGTTGTCAGAGACAATGAATTTCGCACGCTCTCAGAAGCAGCCGACAAGACATCTGGAGCTCAATGGGCACACTCGAGCCATATTGAGCTACCAGTGGACAACGTGGTTGGGACTGCGGTGGTCCGAAGTCCTGATGGGAAGAGATGTGCCCGCTGCTGGAAGTACGTGGTGAAATCTGCAGTGTCTACTCCTACTGTTGCCGAAGTTGTTCCTAGCGATGATGCGGGCAAGCCAGGCCTTCCGCTGTGTGGAAGATGTACCAATACTGTGGCGGAGTTTGAAAAGTAATTTCCCCTGTGACTCGTGGGATGTACGAGTACTGGTGGTGCAGATGTTTGCTGCTGCATGGAAAGCTGAGGGGCAGGATCATGTAGATACCCTTGTACAAATAAAGAATGCTCCTTCCTCAACAGACACTTACATTGAATCTCGAGAGCACTCTCGATCAATCCATGGACGAGACCGATGGTCATGGGATTTGGATTGTTCACCAAAAGCTTGATCGACAGCAATTCTACTCTGTCCACATATTTAGCTGCATAATTCGTGTGGGAGGTTTGCGGGGTAAGCGGCTTTTGGCTGCATGACTAAGATTAATCGAGGCTGCAGCTGCAGTTGCAGATATTTTTTGATGCACACCGTTTGACTCACCAGGCGTTAGAACATGGATGGAAGTGACCGATCGGTATTAATTATGCACCATCCGTGATTCACATGTGCTTCATTTCTTGTCAACGTCGATCTGACAGTGAGGACAGCTTGAGCCACAATGGTTCTAGCCCAGGTTCCTCTCAAACGTCATGAAGGGACGTTTTGTGCATAGCTCCAACGTTAGCTTCTGACTTGACCAGGGTGTGAAGTACCAATGTACCGCATCGTACATGGAAGGTGACCTTGCCTGCCCTTCAACCCCCAACCTCGTGCCGCACTCGTTGCAAAAGGCCAGGCCAGGCCCCTCGGGCATCGTTGTCACACCAGCATGTCAATGCATCACCCATAAGCCGTTCTAACAGGTCGACCTGTGGGCAGATGTGCATCCTTCAGTGGGTGAAGCAGATCGAGGCTTCTTGCATATTCTCTCGTCATAGCGACGGGAATACCCGACGCCAGTGCCTTATGAGGGCTAGACAGCGTGGCTGGTAATTGTCTGATTGGACGGCTGTTACACGTCGACCACGGTCTGATCTCATCGACATGCCTCCCCCTGCCTCGGTGGTCAAATTATACATTGACTCCCCCGCAACGTGTTGCACAGCTTGTAGCCAGCTGACACGGACAGAAACACGCCTGAAATCTGGTGAGGAGTAAGAAAAAGTTCCCACCAGTCCCATTGAACTATGCCATGACACCAGGCAGGAGCTATGGAGCTCTCAATGCAAAACAAGGCGCTGCTGCCCACTTCTTGCCCTCCCTGCCTGCACGACATTGCTGAAACGGTCAAAGAGCTCTCCAACTTTGAACGTGCTTTCCGTCATCGTCCCGGTCAAGGCTAGTCACTTCTTGCCCTTCGAGCTCTTGTACCATTCATTCATTTCGTTTTTGACTGCTGCCTTTCTTTCTCTCCTCTCCTCCTCTTCAACCTTCTTTTGCTTTTTCTCAAGCAAAAACACCTATCCATCTCTTCAACGATTCAGAGCCGCTGCTCTGTTTCTCTAAGATCCCTCTACTCTCTTTCGTCCTTGTACTCCACAAAGCCGTCAACATGATTGTTCACCCAGATATGATCAAATCAGCATCTGCTACCACTTCGGTGGCCCCAATTCCCACTGTCATCCCAACCCCTCCCATCTTCGTCAATGCCGGTGATACTGGTCAAAGAACTCTATGGTAAGCTGCCGAATCAACACGTCCTGTCCAAACCCCTCTAACCGCTCTGTAGGGTTGTGGTTGTGTTGATGGCACTATCCTCAATTGCCTTCTATGCCATGGCATTCCGTGTTCCAGTTGTGAGTTGACAGAGCCATCAGAACATCTAAACTTGACATTAACCTTCTCAGCAAAAACGTCTTTTCCACATCTTGACAGCTTTGATCACCACATTTGCATTCCTCTCGTACTTCGCCATGGCCACGGGTGATGGAATCAACTACCACGGATACACTGTCACCGAAACTCACAAGAAGGTCCCAGACACTCACCAGGACTACTACCGCCAAGTTTACTGGGCCCGATACGTCGACTGGAGTGTCACCACCCCACTTCTACTTCTCGATCTTGCTCTTCTGGCTGGTCTCAGCGGTGCCAATATTCTCGTTGCAGTCATTGCCGATGTTATCATGATTTTGACCGGTCTCTTTGCTGCTTATGGCAAGACTGATGGGGCCAAGTGGGGATGGTATGCGTGGGCCTGTATTGCCTATCTCGTCATTGTCTATCAGCTTGCTTCTGCTGGCCGTACCGCAGTTGCCAACAAGGATAGCAAGACCAAGGCTTTCTATGGTTCCATTGCTGGATTCACTCTCATCGTCTGGACCGTCTACCCAATGTGAGTAACTAAATGTCAAAGGTGGAAGAGCCAAAACTCACACATTTCACAGCATTTGGGCCCTTTCTGAGGGTGCCCACATCATTGGAGTTGATGCTGAAATCCTCGCTTATGCTGTCCTCGATATTCTTGCCAAACCAGTTAGTTTCACAACTCTGGTACATTACTCCCTGCTAACTCGAACTAGGTCTTTGGTTTCTGGCTTTTGTTCACCCATGACAGCATGTCAAGCACGTATGTTCCATCCCATTCCTGTTGTGCAATGGCACAATGACTGACACATTGCAGATCTCCCTCACTCGAGGGATTTTGGTCCAATGGCTTTGGAAACCAAGGAACTCTCAGAGTTGGTGACGACGATGAAGCATAAATGACTTGGCTGACCTCGTCAGGTTGGTGATGATGATTAAATCAAAGTCATATCACGCTCGTTGCCGAATCCTCATCGGATCAATATGACCTGCGGCCGAGCAACCTTGCAGATTTGAAATGGTGATGGGGAAGATTGAAGAATAAGTGGAGAAGACAAGTACTGGAGAAGGGTCCGGTCTGGTTATGAATATTGTGGACAAGGATGGAGTTACCGGAGGAGCAACACATGATCACGTTGCTGAGTGAAGAGACACAATACGACGCAAGATGACTTCCTTTCTGGAGGCTGGCCCGGGAGGACAGCAATTCCGAGCTCGCCAAGAAGCTCGATGAATCACTTGTACAGTAATAATTCCTTCTTTTGCAAGAATCGAAAAAGCCCGAGACAGCATGATACAATGATGATTTATTTTGATAGCACTGTCTATGAATGATCAATGCCTGGCAAGACCTTCACTGGAAAGAGAAGTCTGTCTAGTCTACCGCGGTAGAACTCTTTGCAGAGTTCGACAACGAATGAATACTCTCCTACGGTAGAGCACAAGACCTATGGTACGCTGTGGATGAAGCCTGGTCAAACCAGTCGGAGTCCCCAATTCCGTCTGTGCAGTATGCAAAGCACTCCCACCGATAAATTTCTCCACTCAAGCCTGTGGGTATGGTAGGCCATATAGAGCCTTACGTCTCAAGCTGTCTTATTTCCCGACTTTTTCTCGTAAAGGTTGCATTTCGAATTGTTGGATGGAACAATCTTCTTCCGTCGACGACGAGCCTTGCGCAGCCTCGCGAAGCCCCCACAAAAATACTGACTGGCAACACAAGGACATTCTATTGAAAATGGAACTGAGCAGCAAGTGGTCTTGAGGGTTTTCCGAGTGATTTAGGGCCAGATGAACTAGATCAAGGTGTGTAAGGATTCTTATAGGAATTGTAACCAGTCCTCATCGCGTAGAGGAATTAGAGACCATTATCCCGTGCTTATGAAATTCCTTGAGGCTAGCACGAGGCGAATCGACACTATATCCTATGCGGTCTCCTCACTGAGAGGTGTCTCTGTCTGGTGTGAGCAAGAATATATAGAGGTGACGAATTGCTAAGTCTATTGGGTGGTGGCTAGGTCGATCCAGGAATTCTGTAGATTCTGTAATCGACGGCGACGATTGGCAAATGGCGTATGCTATAGAGGAATAAATTCCAGTTGAATTTGCCATCTGATTAGCTTTCTAGTAGCCTTATAGGATGCCTATAGCGATGAGGATGTACAGACCTTACACCTCAATCGAAACACCTTGAGTTTGATGCTATCGACTCTCCTCCTTATCTTCTTATTCTTCGTAGTCCTGCTCCTCCTGCTCGTCGTCGTCGTCATCATTATTCACATTTTCATTATTATCCGTATTCTTAAAAGTTAGCCCGGATCAATAATACTGTATATGTCCAATAAGACTAGGGTAGCCTGACTCGAGAATAGAGATGTTATTTCTATGCCGCCAGAGCCCACCTAGACTGGATTGTAGGTGAATTGACCAAGCCATTATCAAATAGACCGTAATCTATCCGCCTTTCGCGAGATTCGTGCTTCGACCCTACCATTTCTACAGTATATCTATCTCGGGAACGTGGTTCTACGGACCATAGCTCTCCAGAAACTTGCGCATCAGTCGCTCACTGTCCCTGACTCGTCCTAGCGAATGGTCATTTGTATGTCTATTGTCGTTGACGAACATATCTTCGCCCTAGTTCTGTGTATATTTCAATAGCATTTCATTCTTTTAAAGGCTCACCTTGATCGGGAATCCGGAAGTCCTCGGAAAGCTCCGGGTATAAATCCGCGTGTCATTATGACAGCAGTATTAGAACTAGCTATGTACAGACTCCAGCGAGGAAGCTTTCATCCACATGTGCAAAGTAGTCTCAAGGCTTCGATACTTTTACACAATGTTGGAGGTACAGAACTCAGCAGAAACGACTGTTAGCCATGTTAAATAGTGGGGTTGTCGCAGACCATTCGCCTGGACTTGTGCGGCTTGTGTTACGGCTGTGTAAAGGGCAATGGATGGCCATAGTAACCATAGTAAGGAGTAATATAAGCTGATTGAGAGGGTGGTTCCATTTCAAAGGAATAATTTGTCCCATGGTTCAGCATTGTCGTCATTCCTTCAACCCAGTCTGGGTCTTGAATCGACAACTGAGCGTAAGTTGCGTCTGCTGACTGAGACAAATCGTTGTACGTAGAGTCGTTTAGGACAGGCGTTGCTTTTATTTCGGCCGACGAGAAATGTGGATAAAACAACGCTGAAGAGGGAGTGTTCGAGAAACTCGAACTTGAGGACGAAATAGGGGCCGCGGTAGTCATGGTCAGACCTGTCGGAGATGCCATAGTAGGCGACCAGTAGTCCATTATGGAGCTATCGGTGCGGGTGGTACGAGCAGCTCCAGCTTCTTCATCACTGCTGAGTAGATTCCGATAATAGCACAAGACCGCACAGAACTGTCTTGCCAGGGGATTGTGGGGGCCGCAAACAGATAGAACGTTTATGCTTGCCTCAAGACTCTGTTGTTGTGAACAGGGTCTTCTGACACGCTGGAGCTTGTAGCGCACAGAGATTCTTGGCACCTTGAGACTCAAGACTAGCACGAGACCAGCGTGATACAAGAGGGTCCTGAAGCGTAGGACGTTAAACACTACTATCACGTTCGATGTCCCAGATGTACTCACATAACGCACCAGTCACCCTTGACGAGAAATCCACGGTCCAGCATCGTTGATGCTATGTGAGCCATCGCAGCGGAAGCATCAATGCTGCCAATCTGGGGTTATTTGCTGGCGCTATTCGGAAAGAGGGCCAATCATACCAAGTTTGAGAATACAGGCGGTTGTGCGGCACATAACCCATATCTGCAGATAATGAAGCGAAAAACTCCGCCTTACTCAACGCCATTATCGATGCAAAATAGAACATTTCCAAATAGAGCTGGGGCTCTTAGTACTCATCTCCCCTGGATCCGGGGTATTTCACTTACAGAGGCCGCCTCCACGTCTTGTGATGAGGGCGAATCGTTGGTATTTGCCGAGTATCGTAGATTCTGTGGTAGCTGTGATGCCCATGCTTCAAGTGTACGGAAGAATGACTCTTTATCACCAGCATTCCTTTGAACCTGGGAGAGACTCGCCTGGAAGCGGCTGATCAATACGGCCAATTTGGCGAGGTTGACCTCGATACTATCATTCGGAAGAGCAAGTTCTTGCGGCGTCATCTGTACAACATTTAGTAATGCAGTTCGCTAAGCCACACGATCTCGTTCTTACCTTTACAAAATAAATCTTGTGTCGCTTTCTGGGTGATTTGTGGAGACTCACCAAGTGTGATAGACAGCCATCTAAAAGATATCAGTCAAGATCGATTATCCTTCAGCAAGTATACATACGCATCTAGTGAGATCATGGCACGCCAAACCTCTCTCCGCCGCTCGTACTCGCCTTTCGAAAGACTTCCGCGGCTTTCCCATTCGCAGTCTACTTTATGCACTTGAGCAAGTCGAATTGCAGTACCAAGTGTAAGCCAACAACTCCTCGGCTTATGACTGACGGTATAGAGACAGGCAAGCATCAGCGGGTTCACCATCCAGAATGGAGATACCTCATCTGCTTGCTCAATGCACCATTCGAGATACTGGTGCCCACTTGCGAAAAGCTTAGCATGGATCCCATTTGCCGTGGGGCTTGTCATTTGACATCCAATGGCCAACTGCAGCCAGAAAGAACATTTTGATGTATGGGCGACGCAATCATTCGCGTAGATCGAGTCCAGAAGCTTCCAAGTTTCGGCCTCGTTACAGATTCTGAATAAAACATTTGGCCCTCTTAGAAAATTGGTCAACCAACCTTGGGCAGTGAATTTGTCGGGAAGTTGCTCTTCTAAAGGCGTGGCACTCTTGTAAGCTGAAATCGCGCTCAATGGTGACGAGGTAGAGCCTGATTCGTCATTTTCTTTTGGGAAACAGGCTTTGTCTCCAAGTGACTTGTCCGCGCAATATGATGCCAAGACATCAACCAGGAAATCTGTAGAGCTTGCTTTACAAGACTGCTGCTCCACAGATAAAAATGAGGCCGACGATGAACTCATCGCTTCAGTACTTTCGTCGGTAAAGGTATCGTTGTTCGAGTATGGAGAGTCCAAGGCTTGCTGCCAGTATTTAGCATAAAGACGTGTGTAAAAGATGTCCACTTACACCATATCTGGATACATTGCTGTCCTGCTTTTCAATGGCAGATACAGACGGAGTTTCGCCAGCTCTCTTGCCATCGGTAGTTATCGAGACCCTGGCCGATGTTGTGGTGTTTAGCAGATTTTTTTCACGTTGATTGGTGGAAAGAGTGTTTTTCTGTGTTGGTACGTCAAGATACACACAGTCAACGGCTCTCATCCGACAGTAGTGACATGTTGGCTTGTTTTTACTGCATTTCTGGTGTCTAGTCTTGCATAGTTCGCACGTAGTGGAAGACAGTCGTTGCTGTTTAGTTGATGATTTTTCCGGCTTCATCATTACACTGAGCATATATTCGTCTTCCTATCGAAGCCGTGCTACTGATTCCAAATGGCTAAGTAGAGATTAAATACGAGATTTCATTCTGCTGAATAGCGTCGAAGAGGGTTCGGATTTACGCCACATGGTTTGGGGCAATCCTGAACGAAGCCAGGTGTAGAGAGTTTTGCAAGGATGCCCATCCGTCAGCGCCGTGTCAGGTGCCTCGTGTTGAGGGCCTTGCTTTTGTTCCCAGTCAACTCAATCTCTAAAGATTTGTGGACTCGAGTTGATGCCACTGATTGCTCAGTGGAAAATTAAGCCGAGAATATCTGCAGGGCGCTCAAAACGTCATAAGAGTGTAGAAACCCCAGGGGGTATTTGGTCCGAACTCCACGATGGCGTTTACTAGCCGTATGTACGAAGGTACTCGGCTCCTCGGGGTAGCTTCCGACCTTATCAACTGGTCCACTTATTAGAGGTTTTGACAGCCACCTTAGATCCAAGACGTTTCCTCGGCATTGTCCATGATTGGCAACCGCATGTGGTTTAGAAACCTACGCGAATAGGGCGATGAATATGCCGATCTGATCATGCGCATTCCACCAAGTGTGATATCGCAGATCTGGGAAGGAGAGATTCATACCTAACGGTGCTGCGAGATCCGTATTCACGCGCACATGAAATTTTGCCACAGTATTTAGTATTTCGTATCCCGGAAGCTTTAGCCAGCAATCCTCGGGGAGCGCGATGCTTATTCGCTCAAGTCGCCCCAATAGGAAATGGCCTTAATGATGGCCAGTGGGTCCTAGTGGTCAAAGAGGCTTGCTAGAAGCAAAGTTTTCGACGGAGCAGGCCTCAGGCCTCATTGACTTGCTACATACTCCGACATGACCAGAACTTTTTTCCGCCGAGTTGTTCGTAGAGAAAACGATGCAGTGTCCCTTTGTAGGACTGTGAAGATCGGCACACATGGTCCACGCCTCGACTCCGTTCAAGGATAGGAGTTCTGAGGTTTCATACTATCTGTAAACTTCGAACTCATTACACGAAGAAGTCTCCACCTCCAGGTATCTGCGGGGTATTCGTACTTGATAAACGACGCAGAATATTGAACTTCGGAAGAGGAAAGTGAAATGGACACCCTAACCTAAAAAGGAGTTTTCTGTTTTTTGACTAGGTCTCAGGCATGTTAGCTATTTAGACTGATTAGAAATATACGTAGATTGAGACAGCGATACCATGTTGTTGTTTTCAGTCAATCATTAAAGCGGAAACGGGTTTTCATGCCAGCTCAGTATGCTTCAACATCCCATCCCCAGGAAAGCGCCAATTTAAGCAACAATAGTACAAACTAAGATACCCTCAAAGCAAATACTTCTAACAGGTGAATCATGATTCAACGGATCATATGAAACAAGAGAAGTTTTTGTAGTCATAAATCAATATTCCGCTGAGAATCAAAGCAAATTATTGAGTTTCTAGTTCCTAACAGCATCGTTAATTATTCCGCGAGGAAGTAAAACAAGAAGCTGAGAACGATGTGTTGTAAACTGTCTTCGACAAATCTTCAGCGCAGTTCGCATTTTGTCAAATCTGAGCGTAAGCATGTCCGGACCTCTTTGAACGGAAAAATACAGACATTTTACAATCCCACAGTTTACAGCAAATGATACACGATCTTCACATGGATATAATCGAACAGGCAAAACACTCTATGCTGAGATCTAATAATCGCTGTCTAGAATTGAGGCCCATCACGAAACATCGCGCCTTCGCCCAGTCCTGGATCCAACCTTGATATGGGGCACAATTAAAAATGAAATCTGAGGTCTTGCCTCGTAGGTTTATTCGTCGGTCGTGACTTCACAACGTAGACTCAACCACCAACAGACAGATCAGAAACAACTCGTATTCGAGTTGAGGTCCTTCATGAAAGAGAGGCCCCATGCCGAACTAACACGAACTTTGTTAATAATATCCCTGTTCAAGGGCAGCGGCAGTACATCCTTGACTTACCTCGAATTCTGAAGGACGTGCTTCTCCGATTTTTTCTGGTTGGTCCTACGCTCTTCCGCCCCCATAGTTACTCCACGGTTCAAGGCCTTCACAATGCATTCTGTGTCCCAGGGGTTGAATAGCACTGCCCCTTCCAACAGATCCGCAGCGCCAGCAAATTCTGACAGGAGAAGTACACCATCCAGGTTCCGTTGTGTGGCCACATACTCGTATGAGACTAGATTCAAGCCGTCGCGAATAGAAGAGACAAGGCAGATATCTGAAGCGGCGTACATAGCTATGAGCTGCTCAAATGGCACACTTTGGTGCAAGAAGTGGACAGGCTTATAGTCAGCAGTTCCTACAGATTGTCAGTAGTTGTTTCTGGGCTCGCACTTTCTAAACGCTCAGAGATATGAATTACCGAATCTTTGGTTGAGGGTTTTGACTTGTTCATGAAGATTGATCGCAAGATCTTTGTAGTCTTGTACGCTTTCCCTGCTTGGAATGGCAATTTGGATCATGCTGATTCGTCCAATATTTTGGGGATATGTCTCCAAAAACTGCTCGAATGCTGTGATCTTTTGTGGAATACCTTTCGTGTAATCGAGCCTGTCAACACCAATGACCAGTTTCTCAACATTGTACTCGCTTCGCAGGTCTCTTATTTGTGAAGAGGTTGACTCAGATCCAACATGATCAAGAAATTTAGGCACGTCTATCCCAATTGGGTAAACTCCAAGTCTAACCACTTTACCATATCTTTCTACCCCATTCTGGCACTGGTTGAAATCCCTGATTGGACGTTAGCTAGAAGTTCGCTCAAAAGAGACTCAATGTTCCATTACAAATAGTCGCAACAGGTTCGGGCAAAATTCTGAGCGTAAGCCTCCGTATGAAAGCCGATAGTCTTGCAACCGACCAGGCCCTCTAGAATCTCACGCCAAACAGGAAGTACCTTGAACATATCTCCACTAGGAAAGGGTATATGCAAGAAAAAACCAATTGTGATTGTCTTGCTGAGCTTTCTGGCTGCATCAGAAAGCATTTGAGGTAAGAGCATAAGGTGATAGTCGTGGATCCAAACAACGTCTCCGTCACTGATCTCCTTCGCAAGTTTTTCGGCAAAAATGTGGTTGACTTGGCAATAGGCTTTCCATTCATCCCGAAGGAATCGCATAGAATTGGGTTGATAGTGAAATAGTGGCCAGAGAGTGGAGTCTGTGACGTCCTTAGCTGTATGAAGTTATGAATTAATCAAAGGAGCATACTTGAAAACCCATTGTAATATGCTTCGGCGAGATCTTCACCCAAAGGAACTGGTACCGCGTTGTGTTGGTCCAGCAAAGCTTGACTGATCTTTGATTCTTCCTCCAAAGGTATTTCGGCACCGGGCCAGCCATACCAGATCATGTCGAACTCCCGCTTGACTCCACTCATGCCTGTAGCAAGTCCTCCACACGATTCTTTGAAAGTATACTCTCCGTCATTACCTTTCTCTATTGTGACAGGTAACCTGTTTGAGACAACTGTGAGACGCTGATTCGCAAGTGGACTTGTAATCGGAACAATATCAGGGGTGGGGGGAGGCGTCTGCGTGGCCATGGATTGAGAATGAACTTCTGTGTTGCTGTGAGGGAGTTTCTTTAGAATGACCGTGTCTGAAATTGGATGATGATATGATGAAACGATAAGCGAAGGCTAAGGTGTATATATGGCTCACACTTTGGCAGCTTTATATTGAACTAGTTGCTAACTCAGATAGTGTCTCGAGCCGAATTGGCTGGAACACATCTGACCAATAGGTGCATACTGGGGGACCTATTTGCCTCAACACCACTGCATCAATGGTCGCCATTTGATTAAAGTCCGGTAAAGACGACGACGTGTATGACACCGATGAACACGGACAACAATCGGTAATAATCCACCCTTAGGATCTGCTCGGAGAAACTGAACCCATACTATTTGGGTACCAACCGCAGTCCGTGATGAAGCCCAGCAGCCAGGGAGATTGATGTACGAACATAAGTTGTGGGGTGGACTGTACTAGTAGCATCTCTCTTTCGTGCGCTCATGGGCTACAAAGCAACCAACTACGCTTACAATGGGCTCAATCTTAGCACCTCTAGGGTCTGTCATCAAGCTCTAATGAGCCTGCAACTTCTTAGGAATGATTAAACTGGGACACCGGTAAGGGCTGAAGGGGCGACGGCAGTTGGCGTGGAACGAGAGCTTGCAGTGGACTCGTACCGAAGATATCCGCGGAGGATACTTCTGTGGGGATGTGACATAAGTATCTATGTCCCCGGAATAAATCTCCACGCTACACTCGCTTATTATGCTTTTGACAGCACAAGTGTCTTGAATAATCGAGTCAAGTCGCCCACATATTTTATTGGAGAGCGTGAGGCTACTCTTCTGTATAGTAACCGAAGTGCCCCTGTTATCTTCGGTTTGGTGGCAGGAATGCCCCTGCATTTGCTGCACCCAACCTCTACATGCAGTCAAAGTGCGTTTTTGGCAAATTTGACTAGCTTTGCGTTCCTGGACCTGGCCTGATCATGGACTCAACCAGTATCAGTGGGGGAGCGAAGGTACTTGCCGAGGATTACTCTGCACCGGTTGAATCAGGCGAACGGCCAACGTTCAGATCGGCATGATCAGCTGGGCTTGCAGCCAATTTTCGCGTTTGGAGGTGGGGCGGAGACCACATGTCTCGACTTGATTTAGAAAGTATACTATACCGTACCTCTATCCCTTCACCAAGGTTGGGCATGAATGCTAGACCCCGGTGGGATCGATCCGTTAATAGATCGGCATCTGAACGGTCTTGTGTAACGGCCTAAGCATCAACTGGTTCTAACGGCTTTCGCGACACTCCGGAAAGGGGCAAACCCCGGCGATCCAGGATGCTAGTATGTCGTCAGAATGATTGGCGATTGTCGAAACACATTCCTAGTGGAGCGACTAACGAACCAGACGTCAGTGTGGAGGAGGGGAGATACATCCCCGCCCAGATGACTTCTTAGCCTCGAACTTCCCGAGGAGTTGGAGGTAAAAGCGATCGTCACTCGATATCCTCGACCATGTTCAAGTTAGCTTCTTTTGTGCTCCATTTCTTGTGAAGATTACACTTTATGAACCGGAAATTCTCCTCTCTTGTCATTCAATTCCTTCCAAAGGCCGAGAATTGAACACAACTCAAGAGGACGCAAGCCAACCTTTGTTCATCACGGGATATTGCTTTAATTAGGCCAATCAACGCCGCACTGTCAATCAATATGCCACGGGGAGCGGACTACGACGATGGGGTGCCACGGTCAGACAATGCCATCGAGGCTGGCGAAGACAAGGCTCATGGCACAGGAAATGTACGCCAAATGACAGACGCTTTCCAGGAGCTATACTAACAGAGTGTCTAGAATACCACGGATGAAGTTGAACTGAATCGCGCAAAGAAAACAGCGGCCATGCCCGACCTGAGCGAAGTTAACGACCGCACAGCCAGTGGTGGAGCAGCAACAGGTCATAATGATGGACACGGTCATGATTCCCCCGGGACACGAGGCGAGAAGACCGGATCGGGTCTGAGAAAGGACTTCGGCAGACAGAGTCTCAATAAAACAATTGCTTCGCAGAATGGATCAGAGGCTAGTAAATAAGGCAGGTCGACACGTCGTGGTTCACCATAGCCTTGTTTTATTGAATACTGTCAGGGGTATGAGTGGCCTGCGGCTGTGTGGAGGCTCGTATTGGCAGTTGATGGAAGATTGGTTATGCCCAACTAGCGGAAAGATGCCTCGGATGACTTGGTATGCTCTAATACTGGACCACTGGGTAGAGTGCCCAGATTGCCCAGAATGCTCTGTCCAGGAGTACCAAGAAGGTAGAGGGTCATATAGCTCATCATGATTCGGATATAATCATTGTCCGACCATGCCCTTCGTCCAAAACCAGTCCAGCGTGAACCTTAATCACCCACGTTCCCATTTGCCCCTCTGCTACATTCTTTTCTGTGTTCGTTGAAGACTAATTACAGGTGATCAGAAAAGGCAAGGAGGTAAATTACCAAGCTCAGATTAGAGGGGTCACTCTTTCCCGCTTTGAGCTTGACTTGAGGGCCATGCTATGCGAACCTCCAGAGCCTGTATCAGAAGCTGCAATTGGATTTTAATATTCGAATGATATAAGAGGAGGTAGTGCCTCAATTTCGGCTAGCCCTCATCCGAAGAACGGTTCTCCATTCTCTCAGATTTGAACATTTGTTTCAAGGGGAAGGATTCTCAACGTGAGCCATACTTTTCTCCGCATCTGTCCAACCTATCTTATACTTATTATATATCATGAGCGTTGAGATTTTTGGAAGTGTCTACGTGATGTGAATCCCATGCCTAGTAGTTAGCGAAGATTAATATAGGATCCTCCCCATTGCAATAGGCGAAATACTCTTGGCTGATATGCGGATAAAGATACCAACAAGCTTACAGCGGCAGCGAGAACAAATCAGACGATGTGATCAGAATGACCACAAAATCACTCTACAATGATGAAACTCGACTCTCTGGCTCAGATAATTGTGAAAGGTTTAGCTATATCCTAAATTGGATTATGAATGGATACAAATGATCTCTGCCGCCTAATGTTGGGTCCTGAAGATAGCCTGCCTTTTGAACCATGGCCATTCTAACCCTTCAATTCATGGCCAGATGTTTTTGGTCTTGCCGGCCTCCAATTCTTCGATTTGTTTCCTCAGTACATCTATCCGAAATGACCTGAAAGCCTTTTCGATCCTCTCTCTGCTATCAGGATTTCGAGATATTGTCTTCTTCGCTGACCATGAACCTGTTAATAGGCCAATCTCGCCGCCCAAAAAGATGCCCCCAAGACCAAAGAATGTGTACGTCATTATATCTCCTAGAGGCGTGGGGTTGAGAAGAGGAGTGATGTCTGGAATTGCTTCTTCTCTACCGCTTGCGAACTTGACGTGTGTGGGCTTCTCAGATGAACGAAATGCTTGATACATAGCTTTCCGGTTCGCTCGCAGTCGGAAGGCTAGAAAGCCACCTAGTGCGAGGCCGGCCAGTGAGCCGATGAGGGCATGCGTGGAAGCTTTGGTTGCGGCGCTGCGCACTCGATTGCGGTCATCATCCCGGAGGCTAGATACCAGGAATCATTAGGCCCATGATATCTACTTACTGGATAATTCTCTGACTTACTCGTGCTTGAAATGCGCTTTTGCAAGCTCAGTGAGCTCTTCGCCCTGTGTCTTGCGGAGAGCCGCGAAAGCTTCGGACGACATGCTTTTGGAATTTCAGATGCGATCGTAATCGAATGTCGTGCTTCGATGAGTCTCGATGAAAGATTCAAGAAGGATCAGGCTGGGTAGACCTGTCAACTTTTCAAGTCTGAGGCATCTCTCAAAGAAGCAGAGTGCCACGTATCCGCAATTGTAACGCATGGAAACGTCACAAAAGCCGGTAGAGTGAGCTGAGAATGATGCATGCAAATCTCCTGAATTGAGACCTGCAACTTCCCAGGGACCTTGATTGTCATCATTGTTCGGTCTGGAAGGGCTTTGACCTCACCCATGTCTGGACCATAGCGTAATCCTGTTTGAATTAGGATGTTGGTGAGCAAGCACGCTTTCTCGCACGGCTCAAGCACTAAGACAAGTACCCTTACCGAAGAATATTGGATTCTATACAAGGAATCCTAGCAGTGATGTTACATGCGGCTATGTCGAGACAAGGAAGAGAATCCTAGTTAATGCTGCAGTCCCGTTTTGACTTTCCGCGGGGAAAGTCAATTGAGACGGTCCGCCTTTGACGGACAGTTTGACCTTCTCCGAGGAGACTCTTTGGTTTTCTAATCGTCGATTTGACTTATTGTGGTTAGGCTATCAGTCTCTCAGATGAAAACATATTCACCAGTTGTGCACGGATACTGTCGGGCCGGAACTCTCAGCCGGGCCGGAAATACAAAGTCTTCATCATCATTGGATAGCTCCCATGGTGGACACAGACGTTGTCATATCGTGCAACGCAATGATTTGGTGCTGCAGCCTGCAACATCTCGTCTGGTTGTCACCTCAACAACCCTTAGCGACAATCATATGATACACACTGTAGGAGTGCTAGCTCATCAAGCTTCGTTGGAAACGGATAGTGCTGGCGGAATAAACCGTTGGGTTATCATAAGGTGACGCTGTAGGAAGTTCGGAAGGTTCAAGACGCGACATAGAATACAATGGACCTATGTGCTATCTACAAAATTGGTCACCAGAGAATAACTGTCGTTTATGGCGATCACTATTCCTGTCACGAAGCTACCATGAGCTTGGCTTTGACATGATCTCGTAGTTGAGTGTTAATGGTATAAAAGTGTTGTAATCTGCCCTCTTCAAAGTTGCCTCATGCCGAACTCTTTCAACGTTACGCTTCATTTTCCGTGCCGTCGTTGACATACCAATCATGGATACATCCGAGAGGAAGACGACGATTCCAAAACATATTATACCTTTCCCACCCACATCTTCTTTGATTGCACGGCAGGACTTGGTCCTCCCAGCAGCCTTCAATGATCTCGTTCCCCTAGCAAGAGAGTTGTGGCCACTGCGAACCGAGAACAAAGATGAGGTACACAGGTTTCTCTGTGCCTTTTTCGATCTTTCTCGGCTTGATGTCATACGTAAGATGCTATGGCTCATCGCCGTTCCTGGAGCTCCACGCTCCTTGTACTACCAAAAGCTCTTACGCCGAGAAATTGTCATTGTTGAAGAACTTGATCTTCATTTGGTTTGGGCAAAGTCGAGAATCTTTCTCAAACCTCTGCCGGACTTTCTGCTCAATTATGAATTTTGGGAAAACAACATATCCTGTGAACCTCAGTTACACCGAGCAGCGTGCGGGCTCCTGTACTCTTATTGTGGCCTTATCCGTTTTGATCATGATTTTCGGGTAGCGCAAGAATATCATTTGATCAGTGCGAAATTCGGTTATCGGGAATGGACAGAGTTTACTCGCACGATATTATCAAACCTCGACCCCCATGACTCCAATAACGTTGCGACACGATTCCGTTATGGCGAGTTACGATTAAACCGCCTTGACACCATCTATCGATATTCGCCTCAAGATTTCTCCATATCTAATATGCTTCAAGGCTTTCCTCATGCTTTGGCAGAAAGCTATGTGCCATATATGGACCAGTACAATAATGCAGTGTCGGCATTTGGCGTCATCGTTATTGTTCTCTCGGCTTTCAATCTATCACTGTCAGCACGTTCGAAGAATCCAAATCCTGATCTTCAACAGGTAGCTTACGGATTTGCAATATTCGCCATGACTTTGTGTGCCTTGATTACAGGATTATTCATTGTATTACCCTTGTTCACTTCACTTGCGACAATATATGGCTCCCTCCTCACACGAAAAAGACTTCATGCAAGACGAGAAGTCGAGGACCAACCTCGATCGGCTTAATTTTGTCTCTTACGAAGCAGTCTGACTGGCCTCAGACTGGGAAGGCTGGCAAGCTGTAAACAATGTTGCTGGTCTGCTTTTAGGCGAAAATCCCGCAAGTGTGCGACTGAGGACCGCTGATAACAACACAAAGTCACCCAACGTGACCGACGCTACGATCGATTTGATAACAGCGGCTGGCACTGGTTACTTTGTTCACGCTCGTTCAATGTATCGTCCTTAGTGAGAACACTGCTGTTGCTGATATTCTCATGTCCAGAACCATTGACGCAATGGCTACCAAGTGGCACTAGATATGTACTCTCGTTACCCCAGATAGGAGACACATGATAGTCATAACCAAGCTACCGGACATTCCTGCCTAAAATATATCTGTCCCAGTTCTCGGAGAATATCCACGATGATCAGTAATTATACTTTCCACATTGCGCATCATCGTAAGCTCTAAAACGCGCTAAAAGCGACAGAGAATGAGACGCAGTTTCTTGTTTGCATCATTCTTGGTCTCCCGACAGAGCAGCTTTTGTCAATTACGGCAATAACCGGGATCACTCAGATTGCCAGATTAAGCTGATGGGCTTTTGTCGTCCTTCAAAGTATCTCCAAATTGAGAATCAAGAAAGACTGTGCCACTGATTCGAGTCCAGTTTCGCACAAGCCTGACGGTATACAAGGCTTTTCTGATCAACCATAAATAATCCAGAATACTTCATCACGCAAGATGAACAGTTTCATGAGCCTCAAGTTGTATGGAGCTATGGTCAAGGGGAAGATACATGTCTAGCCAAGGAGGACGAAAGCCAGAGCAAATGGTACAGTAGCTCCAGGGGTTTATCCAATCAATCGAAAGGATGAAGTTCATACTACACTAAGCAGTTGCTCTATAACTAGTCAACATGAACACCTCGCCGATATAACAACAATAGGTTTCGTTAAGCTATGGGTCACTTTCATGAGACCGCGGACTCCGCGGACCCACGAGTTTATGTCACGTATTGATTGTTCCCATCTTTGCCACATTAAATACTTAACGGCGGCTTTCAATGCCGATAAAACGTCAAGCCCAATAGTTCAAAGCCTGTTGAGTATGAATCTGGGGAATCCCGAACAGATCACTGCCATTTATGCGGCTCCGCGCATCCAAGGAAGATTCCACCACTGTAAACACACAGCCAAAGCCACTGATCGCCCGCCCACGTCAGTATGAGGCCATGCATCGTTTTCACTAGTGCTGCCGACGGCTTCACGGGGCCAAAAAAAGTTTGGCTTCAGCAACCAGTGCTGTGCACTTGATGCAGCCTGCCACTTTATCGAAGGTGTCACTGACCACCAGCATAGTTTACGTATTTGGTATTTGGCCAGAGAAGCCTCGTGTTTGGAACCAGGCAAACGTCACACTGTCTCACAGCCATTTTGCTGAACTTATTACAGTGAATTTCTCAAACTATAAAATGATGCCAATCATTCTCTCAACAGACCACTCCTCCCTTTACGTTGTTCAACAAGTCTAAGCTTCTTCTTTCGGAAAGAATATATCTCGTTGTCCACATCATGAATACAATCATTGCCAACTCGGCGGAAAAAGCACTTGGTGATAGGCCCACCGCTACCACCCGTGACTACACGACTCGTCAGAATGAAACCATGCTGGCATTACGCTGGTACGGGGATAAGGATGTTCGCGTTGAAGAAGTCCCTGCACCCACTTTAACTGAGCCTACCGATGTCATCGTCAGAGTCACCGGGACCACAGTTTGTGGCAGTGATCTGCATCTGTATCACAAAGAGATCATGCAACTGCAAAAGGGTGAGATCTTGGGCCATGAGTTCATGGGCATCGCCGATGAAGTCGGGTCTGAAGTCAAATCTATCAAGCAAGGCGATAGAGTCGTTGCCAGTTTCCAAATTGCGTAAGTCTCTTGTGAATCGAGGTGATTGAAGTTGCCGATGCAGACCACGTCAAGACTGACAGATACACACTTAGTTGTGGCACGTGTCAATTCTGTAAGGAGGGCCTTACTAGTATGTGCGATCGGACAAACTCGTCTGCCTTACAAGAAAAGCTCTACGGTAAACCTTTTGCCGGGTTGTTTGGCTACTCTCACTTTGCTGGCGGTTTCGCTGGCGGCCAAGCCGAGTTTGTCAGAGTACCGTTCGGCAGCGTCAATCTTCTCAAGATTCCGGATCATGTCCCCAACGAGAAGGCGTTGTATTTGAGTGACATTGTCCCAACCTCGTACCACGCCACTGTTTGCGCCGACGTCGAAAAGGGCAAGAGCGTCGCCATCTGGGGACTTGGCCCAGTTGGTATGCTGGCTTGCAAGTGGAGCAAGCTCGCTGGGGCGAAGCGCGTGATTGCCATCGACCAAATACCAGAACGCCTCGCTCTCGCTCAAGACATAGGCTGCGATACCATCGACTTCTCAAAGCAAAAGGACGTCGTTGGTGAAATCTACAAGCTCGAACCCCTAGGCGTGGACTGCTGTATTGATGCCGCGGCCTTCAGATACACGAAAACACTGCGGCAGAGCGCTGAGCGCCTTATCGGCCTGGAGACAGACAGCAGCGAGATTCCCAACGAGACCCTTCGTGCAGTGCGCAAATTTGGGACTGTCGCGGTCGTGGCAGATTACGCCGCAATGACGAACCATTTCCTCATTGGAGCTTTGATGGAAAAGGGTATCACGTACCGCGGCTGCGGCCAAGCTCCTGTACAAAAATATTGGCATCAGCTGCTGGAGAAAATCGAGAGTGGTGAATTCGACCCCACTGTTGTTCTAACCCATCGATTTGCGATTGAGGAATTCAGTGAGTTGTACAAGGCTTTCGATGAGAAAAAGCATGGGATTATGAAAACCTATGTGCAGACTAGGTTCTCTCCACCACCAACGGCAGGGACTCCACCACTGAGCACGCTTAGACAGGGCGATCTGAAACCAGTACCCACAGGTTGATGTAGCTTATTGAACAAAAAAGGGGAAGATTGGAAGTGTTCTGCTAGAAGAACTGGTTATGTCATACTTCAGAGGGCACTCGCTTTTGACTATAACTATAGCTGAACTTAACTGCTATACTTCAATGTTGCCTAGTACCATGGGATTTCTTATCCTCCTCTGAGAATAGAAGTTTGTAAATGTGAGAGCCCCTCATGTTAGTAGACGATTGGTCGCCGAGAAAAGAGCTATCGCAACACAAAGTACTCGTCATTAGGTCATTGTGATCGTCATCCGCGGCATTACTGTCTTAGTAACCATTAGACATAGTAGAATGACCCGATTTACGAGAATGCGACTAGTTCTAGGTGCTGCATCAAATTCGACTTGGTCTGAAGACAGGCTGAGCATGGTTTGGCCACTGGCGATTCTGCGGAAGAGTCGCTAAGACTCGGGCTGGCATTGCACTTGAAGCAACGTGCAGTCTGCTGGAGTCAGAGGACAGTAAGAGCCCACGTTAGGACTCCACTTGCGTGCGTGTTGAGTTGGGTATTTTTGCGAGCACCACATTTGTAGAAGTAACCAAAAATTCGTGACTGGTACCCATCCTTGCCTGCGACGTACGCGTCGAACATTATGGTTTCTCCGGTTGACAAAAGTTGCACTAGTTCCCACGCCGAAGTCATTGGCTAGTAGGAGCTCGAAGAATATGTAAGTGCTTGCGAAGGATATGTGGTCTGAGGCTGTGAATTTGTATGTGATCTCGACCACCAACTCTCGCCCAAGGGGAGAACTGTGGTGGAACTATGGTACTTGGTGGAGGTATTCTGTAGGATGTCTGGGCCTAGGCCGGGAGGAGTGGCGTGTGGAAGAGGTAGGATTCTTCGTTCTCTTAGTCGCTAGCAAGAACTGGAACTTCTGAATACCATGGAATGAAAATTTCGCTCGGCGCGTCAATTCTCACGCCTTAATCCCCAACGTCTGAGACCAGATTGTTAGGCGACCAACTGTCTGCGGCTTGCATAAGCCCAAGATTCCAGGGCCAGTCTTCAAATATACTTGTGGCCAGCTGAGAAGGTATGGTCCTCAGCATGTCGGGATGACGCAGGCCGTGGGAAGTTTGAAAGGTCGAATTGGCCTGAGGACTGGCCTCGCCTTCAGAACAATTGCGGAGTTGATTCCAATGGCTCTCAATTTGCGCTACCAAGTCTCGCAGGCGCTGGGCATTGATAGCTGAATGGATACCATGGTCGAGATTCTCAAGAAGTTGTGCAATTGACAGCAACACGACTCTCACTTGCTGATAAGCAATATCGCTGAGAGGCTCCTCAAGAACACTGCCTAGAATAGCGCCAATACCAGCAAGGTGATGAAGGAGTGGAGAACTTATGGCTCTCAGATAAGCAACCGGAATGCGCATGAAGGCATCCACGACCTCACTCGCAATCTTACAACGTTCTTCGATTGTGCCGCCGGCTGAGGCAAACAGCATCATTCGAAGTAACTGGATAGTAGCGGTGATGTTGGCGGCCTGAAATCCATATCGATCACTGGTACGGTCATTAGCGTCCCACGCTCACCAGGCGGAAGACTCACCTTGAGGGGTTGCATGTTACTTCTGGAAATTCTTTAAAACAGCGTGGAAGATTGCGGTACGCCGCCATGATGGAGTCCTGGACCGAAGAGGCGGAAAGGGCAGTCTTATTATCGAACATATCGCTAAGCGACGTACGCTTGTGTCGCTTTTGGTCGCGAAAGTTGGTAATAACAAACTCTAGGATCCGATATAGATCGGTCGTGAAGTTCCATCCACAGAGCCAGCTGCCGGTTTTCACATCATCCCACCTGCCACCGGGGCTTGGCCCAATGTCAACCGGAGATAATGCTGGTTGATTGTAGCCCAAGTCATTGAACAAATCGTCGTCCATCTCCGTAGTATAGGCAACTTTGATCTGCTGTGCCCGACATCGTGTGACCCCGTTCCAAATTATGGATGAATAGACCTCCAAGGTGTACATGGACCAAATCTATTGATTGATCAGCAGAAAATCTTGCAATGCTTGGGATGACTCACCAATCGCCGCCTCTCTTCCGTCTCAACGATTCCAATGTTTTTAGGCCAGTTCGATTCATCATGTAACCCATCCATAGCCACGAAAGTGTGATAGTTTCCCAGGTACAGCTGCATTTCGCGAATTTTGCCATATTGAATGGCTGTGAGGGCAAGCAAAGCAAAACATCGTAGTGTATTGAGAGAGTGAGCTTTCCTGCAGTCTTCGTGGCCGGCACTGTAACGAATAGCAGCATCATAGAAGGTCTCCGAAGGCGTTTCGGATAATTCTTCAACGTCCCAAGAAGAATTGAAGATTGCTTGGTCCCGAACGCGAGCGGACACTAGAGCACAGACTGCCATGGTCACTGGGAACAAGTCCTTGTCCGTAGTATAGTCGCCTCTGGATATCTACCAATGTTTGTCAGCGCCGCGGAAGAAGACCATCTTCTGATAATGTCTCTCGCCGGCAAGGAGAACGACGCTACCCGGTGAGACCCACCTTTCGAATGTATGTCGACCTGTGGAAGAGTGGGAAGATCGGGTATACTATCTCAAAGTAAACCTCGACGAGACTCATCACCACGGCTTGGCTGGCAACTACCGGAGCCCTCCATGGCTGAGATGTTGACTTAAGATGCGCTAGAAGCCGTCAGTATTATGCGATCAATTACGCCATCGGCCAGCCTCGTCGGAAGGTTACGAATGGGGTGTTGCCAATAAAAATGTGTCAAACATACCTTCCTCAGACGCGGAATTTCGAGGGGGTTGGGTAGGTAAAAAGGCTCTAGGTCCTGACTTTGGCTTGACGCCTCGTCTCTTTGCTGCTCGGTCGTATGTACATGGCTGGTCGAACTCGATGCACTTTTGACACTGCAAGCCAGTAGTATTGATGCAGCGAATGCTACGTTTGTGGCAGTAATCGCATGCTCGCGTGATACGTCTTGACTTGGTCGTCTGCCGTCCGGAGGCCGACATGACGTTCACCCAAGTGCAGATCTGTGGCCTCTCTTACCACCACAAATACACTGTAAGAGAAACAAGGCTACTCGTGACTGACAAAGGACCAGAAATGCAGCACCGGAGGTAGAAATTGAGTTGGTCCGTAGCGTGAAGAAACGATGTTTGCCGGGCAAACAAGCTGTTTTAGATACATAGGGGGCAATGTGAATACCTAGATCCCTACCTAGCTAGGTAGGCAAGGTAGCCGCAAGTTTTCATGTTGCTGTTTGCCAACACCACTAGGCCTCAATAGGACTAATGCTGCCAAGACATGCATTTGGCCTAAACCGTGCTCTAGAACAGCACTCGGCCTCTTCTGGATGTATCTAGGTTGGTAGAATCAACTTATCACTTGGACATCACATTGCGTATATACGTATATACGCGTATGACACCGATTTTCAGTTGAATTGTTTTATTTCCCTAGGTGAGTATTGAGCTCTCCAACCACTCTCAGCAATTTTGAGACACAGAAATGCATTCACGGCGCGTGATGGAGGGTTCATGGTAGAGGGGGCAAATCAGCCTGTGGCGCTTCAAGTTTTGCCGCCTGTCTATCTACCCAAACCTCGCCACACGTTCATGCAAATCCTCCACTTCCTCTGGTAAAGGAGGGTTACTGGGACAGAGGTACGAAAACGAAAATCCCACGCTTTGCAGCTTCTGCCTCAACGCCCCCAGGATAAATTCCCCACAAAGTCGTGACAAATATGTTCACCACTTGTTGTTAAAGACCTTGCCTCTGATGTAATTCACCAAGTCCGTTACTGGTTCCAAATGTTCGCTCCCTGCGCCAAAATCCATTCCATGCTTCATAACCCGGCGATAATTCTCACCAGGACTGACCTTCCCAAGCACAAACTGTCTCTGTGTCTCCACCCTGGTCGGTACTGGGATACTCCGTCCCACAATTGCCTCCATTCCTTGCCATGCAAAAGTGATGGCTTCCTTTGCATCCGCCGGGATGCCAGCCTCGTCAAGCATCACGATTCGCGTATCAGGGAAAGCTTTTTGCATATATCGCGTGATGTTTGGATTTCTCGCTCCGCCACCGCACATGAAAATTTCTGCAAGAGGCCCGTACTGCTGTGGCATATATCTCTGGTAATGGTTGACAATGGCTTGCGCAGTGATGCGAGTTATTGTTGCGACAATGTCGTTTGCTGACAGTCCCTTGGCCTTGCCTTCTTCGATCAGTCTGTGCGCAATGGTATCCCTGAACACCTCGCGGCCTGTGGTCTTTGGTGGTTCAAGGTTGAAATACGGGAAATTTTGCAGGAAGTTGTCCACCATCTCCTGATCCACGGTCCCTGCAGCGCCCATCTCGCCATCCTTGTCGTACTCGCGCTCTCCGTTGGTAAAGTATCGCACTGCCGCATCAATGAAGACGTTGCCCGGGCCCGTGTCAAAGTCGAAAAAGTCTGGGTTCAATTTGCCTTCCTTATCCGGGGGAATGAAGCAGACATTCGCTATGCCACCGATATTCTGACATGCTCTAAGTTTGGTAGGGTGATGAAGAACTAGTGAGTCGAAGAATGCGATCAAAGGTGCGCCCTGTCGACCAGCTGCTTGGTCTGAGATCCGGAAATCTGTGACAGATGTGATTCCTGTTCTTGACGCAAGAATCGACCCTTCAGCCATCGTCAAAGCTGATTTGGTCTGACCTCGCTCTGGCATGCTTAGCAGCCAGATTGTCTGGCCGTGCGATCCCAATGCATCGATCTTCTCCAGAGGGACACCTTGTTTATGAGAGAACTCCTTCACAGCCGCAGCGAAGGTCTCGCCCAGCAGGACATTGACCTCCGACAACTCTTCGGGAGTTGTTCTGTTATGCAAGATCATTTCCATAACGCGTTTTTTGATCTTGGGCTCCAGCGGTACTTCATCATATGCAAGCAGCTCGAAATGCATTGGCGACTCAGGTGACTCTTGTCTAAACCGGCATAATGCGCAATCAATACCATCCATCGACGTGCCGGAATTTAGTCCAAGCACCGTTAAATCCAACCCTTTTTCATGATGGCCATTGGTGAAACCATTTGAATATCCGTTTGTCTGGCTGCCAAATTGACTGGTTGTTACTGAGGGTGACATGGTGACTGTGTTCTTGTGATTGATACCGAGATCTGAAGATCAAAGAAATTTGATTATTGGAAAAAGAAGTACTCATATCCAGAGTCAGCTTCCTGAAGGCGTCGCAATAATGTCTGGATGGGCATATTCAGGCAATTCGCCGAGCACTCCCTTCCAGACTTAATTAGCGCCTGGAAAGACCCTTTGGGATCAGCATGAGCAGGACTGGTCAACCAATAAACCCATTCAGCCTTTTAGCCGAGTCCAGCGAGGCGACCGCATCGGCATTATCAGCCGAACTTGCTCCACAGAAGCAAGGGTACCCCATCAGTTTACCTCCATTTCCCCTAATTTCAGTCCTCTTTCTCCATTTGCAAAGATACTACCAGTCACACCTCATTGATTCGTCGACGCAAGTGTCGTGGCAACCGCTCCCTGGGGCAATGCTAGAGAGGTGAATTTTTGATGGGCTTGAAATCAAAATGAGATCTGAGCACGTGACCTGTGCAATCACCATAAGGGGGAGCGTGTCCTGCTCATGACTATGCAACAGTGCTTGACAATCACCCTTTGAACAAGCACTAAAACCACCAGTACGTCCCGGTGAGGAGGATCTCTAAGCAGACAACCATTTTTCACGCAATGGATATGGTATGTATAGGAAGCATTCCGAGAACATAGATTGACAGGGTGTTTAGTTCGATTTGAAACATCAGACCGCAGTGATATCGGGAGCAGCTCGAGGACTCGGCCTTGCATTTGCAGAGACCCTCGCGTCAGCAGGCTGCAATATTGCCGTGTTGGACATCCTTCCCCAACCATCATCGGCATTACACGAATTGGGCTCACAACACAACGTCAAAGTCAAGTACTACTCCATTGACATCACTGTCCGCGACCACGTGGTCAGCACGCTCTCGAAGATTGTCCAGGACTTCGGCAGAGTTGACATCAACATTAACGCTGCCGGCGTCGTATCCGATGAATCCTTCTTAACAACGTCTGACAAAAATCTTCAACGCACCTTCGCCATCAACGTCAATGGGTTCTTCCTTGTTGCGCAAGCCTGCGCCAATGTCATGGTCGAACAGTACAAATCTCAGCACGGCGATGTACCTGCAAAGGACGCCACGACCGGGAGTATCGTCTTTATTGCCAGTATCGCCACCTACATCGCCAGCACCGCCCAGCAGATCTCATGTTACACAGCGTCTAAGGCTGCCATAAAGGGGCTTGTGAAACCGGTGGCAATGGAGTTATCCCGCTACGGAATTCGAGTCAACAGTCTCAGTCCCGGCTACACGATGACGGACATGATGCGCGGCTTGCAGACGGAGCAACCCGATCTGGTCAAGCAGTTTGAAAAGGAAACTTTGTTTGGGAGGATTGCGTTGCCGCAAGAGCTGAAAGGCGCGATTTTGTGGTTGTGCTCTTCCAAGGCGAGTGGTTGGTATACAGGCCAGGATTTACTGCTTGATGGTGGTGCGACTTCCTGGAAGCATCCTGCAGTTTTAAATTGAGTAGCAGGAGGCATTTCCCCGTCTGGAACCATAGATTAGTCACTTAGAAATTCTATATATCTCACAGAGGCGTATGAATTATAGTTATATATTCAAGAAATGACTGGAATGTTGATAGTATATTAATCCAACGATCTTTGGTTGACGAGCCACTGCTGCAGGGCTACAGGCATGCCATACATCACCGAAAGCTTTGGACACTCATAAACCCGGGCAATTTGAACTTGCAATTATGCAGTACACAAACTCTTGAAGGCTTAAGATCAGGTAACAAGTCAAATTTACACTATCTGCATATGGATGAATTATTTTCCTCTTTAACAATCCACCTCTCTCCTTTGATATGTAGGAACATATTGCCCCTCAACTACATCCCAGACATCATGGTGATGACTTTACAAAGGATGCCTCCACATGATCTTTCTCGGGATCAATCTTACCACGACTCTCTCCAACGGCACTAATCGACACTCGACTTGGATCCAACTTATCCTCACCATCAACTTCGTCGAGAAGCTTCCGGGCAGCGACCGCGATGTTTCCGCCAGCCTCAGCAACACGGCGGTTATACTCGGCCATGTTCTTGCTGACCAGCAGGGAGTCGCTGGCGAAGAGGAGGTCGACTTCTTCGAGCGAACGTCCTGCGGTCTCAGGGTAGAAGAAGTGGATGATAGGCATGACTACAAAGTTCATGCAGCCGAAGAAGATGAAAGACCACCATCCAATGTTGGAAAGCATAATTGGGATGACAAATGTTGTCACGCCACAGCCGATTGCCCAGCCTAGGATGGTGAACGAGTAGCCCTTTGCGCGGACCTCTTGGGGCCAGATCTCGGTCCCGTAAATCCAGCATGGCACGATGTTGAACATGGTGAAGAAAAAGACGAAGGTGAAGGTGAATGAGGACGCCGCTGTTCCGAGAGCCTGAGACTTCGAAGGATCGGACAGGACTCGATCCTGAGATGTCTTGATCAGGGCTGCCACCAGGAACAAGGATACACCCTGAATCAAGAAGGAAACCTGGAGACACAGCCTACGGCCCATGCGATCGATAACGAGGGCTGCCGCTGCAGTACCAATGACACCGGTGGTATTCAAAAGTCCTGACATCCAGGAAGCTTTGTAGGAGTCGAAGCTCGCAAGCTCAAAGAGTTGGGTGGCCCAGGATACCATGACCAAAATACCTGTCCACTGTTGAATCTGCTGAAGAGCCAATCCAAGGACAGCGCGACGGCCAAGATGAAGCTTGCCGGAGTAGCGACCGCCGAGAGCAATGTTGATATAGTTGTTTCGTTTGTGGTAGGAAGCCTCGACAACGGCGCTGATCAGTTCAACCTCTCTGATTATTTCTGGATCAGACGCATTTTTGTCACCACGGATCTTGCACAGGATTTCAATGGCCTCTGAGTCACGATGGTTTGCCATGAGCCACCTGGGAGATTCTGACATCCTGTTAGATTCACTCTCTCACTAAACTGCCAAAAGACTGATGACTCACCTGGGACAAAAGGGATAGCCACTGTAACAATCAACATGGGAATGCACATGAAGCCCAGAGGGAATCGCCATCTAAACTCATCGCCGCTGGTGCGGATTCCGAAATTGATCCAGTTGGCGAGGAAAATGCCGAGAAAGTTTGAGACGAAGACGAGAGAGAAAGTGGATCCTCGATCGTGGGCCTGAGTCAACTCCGACACCCAAGAGAGCATGATGTTGTTGATGAAACCGATCCCGAGCCCCGAAATGACTCTGGAGCAGATGAACATGTTAGAGTTGATCGAGCCGCATTGCAGGGCGGAGCCCAAAAGCGATAGAATAGAGCCAATGAAAGCAGCCTTCTTCCTTCCAAGCTTGTCACCAAGCCATCCACCGATGAAGGCCCCAAAAATTGCTCCAAAATAATATGCTGCAGCAAGACCGCCTTGCTTGGTGGTTTGGGTAACGGTAGAGTCGTGACCGATGCCGGACATGGCAATAAAGCCAGGGGTCCCAGAGACACTGCCGTAGACACCTTGATTGTAACCTTCGTAGATCAGGGCGACGGCGCTGACAAGATTGAGCAACAGCAAGACTCCCTTACCAGGGATGGCACGCCACGGTTGGAATCCCATGTTGATGGACGTCGTGTATGAATACAATGAACGGAATATTGGCAAGGGTAGATGCTTTCTTTGAGTATAAGACAATGCATGAGGTCCCAAGGTAGGGATGTGGAGATATATATATAGTATTCTGTGCAGAATGGATTCAAGGTCGTCATCCACATGGATCATAAAATGCCACTTGCCCGAGCTCCGGCCGCAGGGGGTTCATCCCCAGATTTTGCATGGCAGACTTATGTCACCCTCAGGTGTTTCTCCGCGAGTCTCCCACACAATCCACACTGTTGGGGACATGAAGCCAGTCTAGTTCAATCTATTGACCAGGTGTGATTGATCTCATTGACATGACAATAGGGGTTTGCAACCCCAAGCCCCATGAGCAGCAGAGGAAACCGAGAATAAGCTTACGAGAATCTGGGCATAAAGGTGACTCTAAGGGGCTAAACGGCTAAAAGGCTAAACAGTCAAGAAAGAAATTGTCCGAATCTTTGCAGTGACCAGACTAGTCAACTTAGTAATAAAAATGAGGAAGAGAGGGGATTGTGGAGAGTGGTGGAGTGGAGTTTGTTTCCGGCAAATAGGATTCGGCTACTAGCCCATCGTCCGGGGCAAACATCCGTGGAACAGAAGCAGAACAATTTGTTTTCTGGGGAGCTAAGTTGGGGGATTCGTTGGAGTCTGGCGGCGAGAACGAGCCGTTCATGATGAGACGTTCGGTCGTCGATTGAACCGTTCCGTTGTAGTTCGTTGCTGGCAATAGACATGATCACGGCTAAAAGGCTGATTCCAACATGTGCCATGACTCTAGAGACCAAAGCACGCCGTTCGACACATCTTTCTCTGCGATTCACTCTGTCCAATTGTGAAGAGTTAGATCAACTCTTATGTTGTCGCCTTGGCGCACCAGTGGAGGATGCTAGCTCTCTTCATCAGCCTCATAGCGCTCACAATATCGGTCCCGGACAAGCATTCGGCACTTAATTAACAGTCTTCCAGGAACGAGAACTATCTACTCGGCAGATCTGGAACCAGATAATCCAAGAGAACAATTCTGCTGTTCCGGACGAGGCATCACGAATACTTCAAATCAAAAGTCTACGAAAGTTGCATTCCAATGGAAGGAAAGCAGACATGCCGTTGGGCGGCACTTTCCCTATCCAGCATTGCTTCAACCTTCCTGCCTGATCTACTCGGGCGGGAAGATGCACAATATGAACACAAGCTGGTCGCAATTAGTACGACGGGCACAAATGAACGCGCCCAGAAATGGTTCAAAGACAACAAGATTCCTGATTCTGAATCCGTAACGGTCTACAACTCATGGCAGACGATGCTGGAGCAGGGCGATTTCGACATCGTATACATCTCAACACCGCACCCATTGCATTATGAAGAGATAATGAAAGGCCTCGAGTGCAAAAGAAACATCCTAGTCGAGAAGCCAGCGACCATGAATGCTGCGCAATACCGAAAATGCATCGAACTTGCGAATCGGCAGGGTGTCGTCCTCATGGAAGCCATGTGGACACGCTATTTACCTGCCACGAGGTATCTGACAGAAGAGCTCTTGCCCAAGATTGGAAAGGTGAGGAGGGTGTACTCCGATTTCTCATTTCCCATCGTTGGATCGGACCTCCAAGACACATCTCGATTTCTCGATAAAACAGCTGGTGCGGGTGCTCTACTAGACCAGGGCGTATATGCCCTGACTTGGGCGGATCTTGCACTCAATGGAGTGGAGGTCGGTGAAACCAAAGTGCTGCACTGCAGTTCTTGGAGCGTTCCTGAGAGGCCTGGTGAGGTTGACGACATCAACACTGTCGTGCTCGCGAATAAGGGTGCCACCGCTATCGTCACCACCAGCATGACTCTCCCAGGGTCGAGCAAGCCTCCGTTCTACGTTCGCCTGGGTGCGCAGAAAGCCGCTCCTTCTGTCAGGATTGAAGCCACAGAGGCATCGGTGGCTATTCCGTTCCCACCCATCCGACCTGAGGAGTTGCATGTGCAGTGGTATGGGTCTGCCCACTTGAACGAGGATGGCACGGAAAAGAACGAGGTAATCAAGAAACCTGTCAGTGGTTGGGGAATCTGGTATCAGGCGGATGTCATAGCGGCGGCAGTATTCAACAAACAACCGTGTGTGATAGGGGCGGAGGAGAGTCTCAGGGTACTGGCATGGATGGATGATGCCAGGCGACTAGGAGGCATAACATACGACCAAAAGTTGGAGCAACTTTAGATGGCCTCCGATCATATAGGCATAAGCTAGCATAGTAAAACATGCATTTGGAAGATTTACAGCTCTGTCAAATGGCAAGCTCCATGCGGCTCGCCCGCGGTGAGGCTGATTCCCCGTTGATCAAGATGGATGATTAGTGTCACTCCTCGAAGGATGATGGAAGTAGTAGCAGGATAAGGAGTCACATAGCCCAACACTTAAGCCACCCGGTGTTAACAGTACCACGGGTTTCCTTCTGCCCAGTAAGAACTAACCCGAAGCGGAAACCGAAGGTTTGAAAGATCAAATCGAAAAGATATTCATAAAAGACAAGACCTCACACTGGTGCCGGAGAGAGACGACCGAGGATACGATTGCGTTTTATGCCTATCTACGATATAAACCTCCCATGTTCCTCTCCAAACTGCGGTGGGCCTCTTTCAAGTTATTCAGCTTGGAATCTAGCTTCCTGAGCTTGTCACCGGCACCGCCCCGTCCGTGGCTCTGAAAATACGAGTTAGCTATTGCTTATAGAGATTGGACACTTCATGCAGCTTCGTTGCAGAAGAATGCAAACCAAAAGGCGGCCTACTCACATTCTCATCCGGAGGGGTCTCCTGCAGCTCATTGAGTTCATTCTTGATCTTTTCCTCGGCCTCAATGAATTCCTGAACCATTGCCCGACATTCCTTGATCAACTGAGTGTTCCGATGATCTGGGTTCCCGTCTCTTGCTTCTATTTCCGCTCGCTGACTTAGATCACGAGCTTTGTCGACCATTGGTTGCACATCGATGTTGGACATGATTGTAGTTGTGACTTGTTGTAGATATTTCGTTTTTGGTCGCTCCTAACTAGGGATTTGGCAACGATATGGTGTCGCTAGTGATGTATTCTTAATCCCACTCTCGTTCTGTAGATAGTCGGAGTTGTACCGCTTACCTTGTCTGTTTATGTAGTGAAATCTGCCACGAAGAGACTATTCAATTCTCTCAAAGCAAAGAGTGTTGTACAATTCTGAAAGAGATGGAGAAATACTTGAGAGATTTTGTATCTGTGACACTGGGGCGAGATCAATCTATATCTCGCTTAGGAACGCGGCTTGGGTTGAGATGGTGTAATCATTGAACCTACTCAAGGGTCTAGAACTGAAAGTCTGTGCTGAAAGAGGGTGTCTTCGCCTTGGCTTAGTCCTTCTCAGCATGAATTAAGTCTTGCATTCAGCAGCTGGCCAGAGGATGAGCAATTATTATGAATTGTGGACACTTGAGCTTTGTTACAGGCTGTGTTGATGGCCAACGATAGTCAATTTAGTCTCGAATGAGTTTATTTTCAGCAGACTTATCTCGGCAGACCCCCCAGTCTACATTATCAATTCACAATAGTAACAGTACTGCAGAAGACCGACTGGGCCTTCAGATGAACGGCGATTCCAACGATCACGGGGAATCTCTGCCGCTATGTAACCTTCTCAAGCCTCATGAATATCCTCACCATTCATAAGCCTATTAAAGATCTACTTCCCAGCTTGGTGTACACCGTCTTTATGACTCGCAATTGGATGCTGGGATCTTAGACGGACGTCCCTTCATTCCACTTAGATAATTCAAGTATACAACCCCTAAGACGGCGCTCAACCCCTTGCAGCTTGCCCAAATCTTCGCGCGCAGTCTGGTTCACTTGGTACGAATCCTTCGCATCGCTAGGGAAGCCTCCCTGGCGGAACCCCGAATCATGCTGATCTTTCTCTTTCTTTTGGATGTATTGCACCAAATCTTCAAACAGCGGGTCGTGCGTCTGATGCTAATATCAAGAAATTGGTAAGTTATGGAGTTCACGCGATAAACGGCGATGGATGAACGGGCAGTAGGGGCCATCGATTGCTCACTGTTAATCCCGATTGTGCTTGTATCGGACGAGATAGCCCAGCACCCATTTGAGTTTCACTTTCGACCTTCTTAGTGGCGGAGGTGATCTGTTGAGCCTTTTCATGGCAAGTTATAAGGAGCTCAGTGATTTCTCGTCTTGTTAGGTTTGTCCTCTGAAGAGCTTCGGACACTTGTCTCTCCGTGTTCTCAGCTTCTCGAATAAGACGCCGCACATCAAATTCTTCAGAGCCAGTAATGAAAGCGGGCAATTGTCCGCTTCTTGTAGCTCCGTAGGATGGGGGTGGTGGATATATGGCTGCCATAGATTGAGGTAATTGGTAGACCTCCCAGCTAAAGCTCAATCAAGAAATCACGCAAAAAGGAGTTGGCGTGATCGATGCTGATGACCAGAACCAATCTAGACAATACTGAGAATCATTTCTCATATGCTGTGAGTATGAGTGTTAGAAGACATCCTAGGGGCGATCTTGGTCTTAATGCTCAAGCGCCCTTCCGCTATTCGATGTCCGGGGCGAGATCGTTCCATGTTACCGGTTCGCTTGTGAAGGACATTGCATTGGCGAAACTCAGAGTTTGCGGCTGAGCTGAAGTATCTTGCGTCAAGCTCTAGACCCTAGCTAGGCCTCCAAAGGGTGGCGCTGTGAAGCGTTCGTCTCCTCAATTCGTACCGGTCGCTCAATCCCAGAGATGATATCGACCACAAGGGTCTCATGCAACTGGGCACCAAGAGAGCTGGCGCTCGCGACCGTCAGTGATGGTTTTCCATTCGTCAGTCCGGATACGTTTATAAATGATGCATCCGCCTGGTTGCTGAAAGCTGAGTGCCAAGTGAAGGAGCTTGGCGCATCGACGTCTAGAACAGAGGTGGCTGGCGCACGCGCTTCGTTCCACACCTCCCGCGTCCAGGCCAAAGATTAAGTTCTGCCCAAAATCCTGATAGAGGCTAGCAATGTAGATGTTCTTTCCTTTTACAGCGATGGGAGGAGCATTCCAGGATAGCCAAGACCTTTTGGAGGAGCGCCTCCACGCGGTGTTATGCACAATGGGAAAGGGCTCCTCGGGCCTGAACACGAACCAACCAAGTCCATTTCTGGAATCTGGAGTACTTCGATAGATCGGAGCATCCGTGCCTTTGTCGAATGGATACTTAAGTACCTACCTCTGGCTCACTGGTAAATGGAGCCAAGACCGATTAGCTTTCGCCCTTGCTCTTGGCCTGCCTTCAGCTGTAAAGTTTTATGAAGGGCTCTTTTCAACCTGGAAATTCTCTGCCCAGTTCGTCGGGAAATGTCTGCTAAACCCTGAACTTGACCGATCAAGGAAGTATTAAGCGTATGTTCAACTGTGCATCGTGGTCTCGATCCTGACAGGACGGCTGATTCTTGCAGCGTATGTTTAGGATACGGCTACCGGCTGAGGAAAGATAGCCCCGTGGTTTCGCAGCTCTGTGAGATGGTATGAGAGAGGAAAGCGCCATCTGCTTGTGCCTTAGAGTCCTGATCATGCCTTCATGATGTCGATGAGAAGCATTCATGTATGTATGCCCGGGCCTGGTTTCCAGAGCCACAAAGCGTATAAAGCTTTGTAGAAGTCCAAGAAATGCATTTGGCAGTTCCAGCCAGTCCTAAGGTGCTTCACGAGCGAAAGCGGGACTGAAGTCTTGATATGCTCACCAGTTGCCTTTTCATATAATGCGTTTTGGTTTTGATAGTACTGGCCACTACTAGAGAAGGAGTTGAGTCGGAGGTGGACAGAAGACAATCTATATGTATATTGATAGCCTGAAGAGATATGATCCCTTGCATGTGGTTCTATCTGATGTGGAAGATTTCAACGGTCGAACATATAGGCAGGCAACGAGTGTCAGGTGAGGGTAAAAAAGGCGTGTCAATGAATGTGTCAAATTGTGAAGGAGTTTGATTGCGCAATTTGCCGTTATCAATTTCCTTCAACTGGATACAGACAGACAGGGATCGTTCCTGCAAGCATAACCTTGAAATATCCGGTGCATTTAGCTCCGTACTGCGAGACCTCTATGCATGGCAAGAGGGACTCTCAGGTTCACGGAAAATCCAGCTAGTTTGGCACTTTGCAAGTTTCTTGATTTATCTAGGGGCTGAAGGAGGCTGTCCTTCGATCATAACGGTTTCGCTTGGCAAGGCTGTAGGGGAAGGGATACCAGTGGCTAATGGCTGAGCCTGTAAGCGCCTAAAGGGACTACGGAATGAGGCTGTGCTTAGGCTGTCGCTGCTGACTCGTTTGTTACGGAGGCTAAGGTGGCTAAGGAGGCTCCGGCGGCAGATTCACCACCTAAAACACCAGCAAGTAAATACTAGAGAGCCACCGCTCTTCACTGTTAACCGACATCTGGACTTCTTTTCAGCTCCCTCCACTCTACATAGTCACGCACCAACAAAATCCACAAATATAACATCAACATACTATATACGTTAACAATTTTTCACCTCCTTACTAAGATTTGTGTCTGAATAACCCAAGTGCTGAGCTCACCCCCCGTGACCGGTTTCCCCGCTGGGACAGCCCCGAGGACCTCAGCCACAGCCGCCAAAAACATCTCATCCCCGACCCGAGTTCCATCTTGGTATCCCCCGGCTGATATTTTCACTACCACTGCACTGCAGTGTCCACGTCCGCCTATTCGTGCAACCACAAGGCATACATCTTGGAATACGAGGCATTTATTTGCAGCCTGATCTATTCATCTACCATAATCATTCACTGTCACGCTATCTTACAACACACCTCACAACACATAACACATGCGCACACCTCTTCGGTCCTACCTGCCTACGCCTGCTGCGGCAACAGACGCTCGCTTTGACCTCTGTCCAGCACAATCGCATGTCCGACGTCTGTAGTATCAGCGATTCATCATGCGCGTCCAGGAGATGGTTCTGGACAACGACTCGAGCGAGTCACAAGATCTTTATGAACACCACTTCTCCTCCATGTCCAAATACTCGAGATCCGATGTTCGATTTCCTCCCTTGTCCACTCCTCGAAGACGCGCTCCTTCAATCACTTCTATTCAGGATCTGAACACCACTGACCAGCCTCGTGGTCAGTCTGTCGGGGTATTGACTATTAAGGCTACCAACACACCCCTACAGGAGATGAATCAGCTCAACATCCAAATGCAAGATGACTCGGATATGCATGACCCCGAAGAAGCAGATAGACAAGATCAACAGTCAGAACTAGAATCAGAACCAGAACCCACAAATTCCCTAGAAGATCTACCCCTCGAGGTACAGGGGAGAATTCTCGACCACATCTTTGGGGATATGCATTCCATTTATGCCGGGTCCACATCATTACGAGGCAAGAGTGTGTCATCACTCATGAGACATCCAAGAAGGAAAGCCGTGTCGGATTTGGCTTTGGTATCTGCTTCTTGGAGAGAATTGGTCCAGGAACGAATCTACCGCCATATCAAAATCAAGGGTACCCGAACCGGTCTTGACGATTCCAAAGAATACTTTGTCAATCATCTTCATCTGACAAAACATGTTCGCCATATTGAATTCTGGGTTCCCGTATGGGGCGACAAGGCAGCCTTTGACAATCGTTCCCTTGATACGTTACTTCCAGGAGGTAATGACCGTGCGGCTAACCTCCAACTGGCACACCAAGCCAACGATGGTCTCTTCCCGGCTAATGACCTTCTCGGCTTCGGCTTCAAACTCTCAGCCTACAGTGCCACTCTCTCCCAAATCTTCTCCCATATCGCCTGTTTCTTTCCCGAAGCCCGTGTCTTCACCCTCGAGGGCGGCCACTGCAAGAAGTCTAACATGATCCGACATTTTCCCAAGGTGCTCTTTACCCCACCCCACCGAGCCCTAGAACAACTTCCCAACATTCGTACCTTTGCGATGCGTGGCGCCTGGAATATCATGCGTGAACACAAGCACTGGAGAAATCTCGAGCAAGCTCTCCCTAACGTCGAAGAATGGCACTGTGGCTACGCAAAACCCCGCCCCGAAGCAGACATGACCATAAACGATATCCTCTACGACCTACCCACCCGTTTCCGCCACGTCAACATCTCCCTTGATGGTATGTACAGCAAAGATCCCACGACACTCGGCTCCTCCTTCTTCCCACCCGGCGGTCAGCCGCACCTCTGCGAACGTCTTGGCCCTGTCTTACCTGACTTGGAATCCCTCTCCTTCACCGGCAAGATCTGTGAATGCATGTGGAGTTCAGCGATCTCAGCCCTCCAATCCACCTCATCTCGAACCAGCCAACCTCCACGCCTGAAGGCTCTCGAAATCGTCGTAAAATCCTGCTGCCGGCAGCGCGTCACGGAAGTCGATCCGGAGACGGGCGAAACCATTACGCACGAACTGGGAGGCATCATCGCAGACGGCGCGGGCATCACGAACCTCGTTTTCATCCGCGCATTCGAACGCCTCGTGCTTGCCACCGTTGAAGCGCTCCCTTTCTTTCCCAGTCTCGAATATGTCCGCATCCGCTTCATAGATCTCGACAGTCCGTGTACTCTCCTCAATCCATATTGGCAGCTGGAAGGCGGCAGGGTGTATGGGATATGGAACGAGGAGATCGTGGAGCGCCTTGGGGAGGTCAGGCCTGGCGTGTTCTACGAGGAACTCGGAGACGGAATCGAATACTCTGGCTGGACTAAGGCTCACGGGCGTGGTGGGTCAAGGAGCGGCAGTGGGAGTGGCGATGTCGGATCAGGGCCGGGCTCGTCCGCCAACAATGGCATGGCTTCTGCTAATGGCGGTGCCGGTAACAATGGCTCCGCTAACGGCGGTGGCAGTGGGAGTACCTGCTCGCTGTATCCCAAGTGGAAGCCTCGGAGTATCAAGACGAGTAGCTACAAGATCGTTGCTGAGGCGAGGGGCGCCTGACCTTGATTTCATTTTGTCGCTACTCTCCAATACGTTGCTGAGCGATGGACTCGTGGAGCTGTCTGTCTACCTGTGGTTCTTTTGAGAGCGAAATTAGCGAGGGGCGCGGAATTGGCGAATTGAATTGAATTGAATGTATTGGATTGCGTTGGCTTAGGAAAGAGAAATGGAATGCAATGCAATCGGCTGGGCTTGAGACGGGGTCAAGTCTATCTATTTTACTATCAGATTCACCCCAAATGACACTCTGGATATGAACAATGCATGCGGGAAATAGAAGAACAATGTAAAGGCAATCACTGTACAATTGACCTGGTCGGCCATTCGTTTCGTTCGCTGCACTAAATATATGACTGTATAGGTGCTTTCACTCGTGAACTTCGGCATGATCACGAGGACAGAACCTCGTCACTATCGTCCGATGCAGAGTGCGCGGTCATACGGGGTTACGACGTGCTGCCTTCGATTCTCTCCCTTTATTGAGTGTCTGGTTATGGTGAATCGCGCGGGTTGTATCATGCATTGGGCCGAACAGATGCTCCCAACTCTCAGAATCATCTTGAGCAATTTTGTGCACCATAGTTTAATTACTCTTCAGTGTCCGATTTCTCGGACCCAGGTGCACGGATTTGGTCGAGCTGACGTCGAGCTTACTTGTCTTGCGAGCGCCAGTGGTCGCTGGCAGGGGAGCTGGTAGTGGTTTCAGTGAGGTGGAGCTTGGTTCTGCCTCAGCTCGCAATGATCTGCCTTTCGCGCCGTTCTTCAGCACATCCGACACGATGATTCCCAAGATCCAACAGTTGATGATGAAGAAGCCCAGTCCCGCGGCGAAAAGCCCCGGCACGAATGTACTCCGTCCGAGGAACTCCAACTGGTATCCCTGCTGGAGCCAGGCGGCTTGGCCGAGGATCCAAAGCACGAGGGCTATGGTCCCGAGTTTGGGACGAGCAAGGAGAGATGAGTGTGGCAGGTACAGTGGGAGGAAAATCAAATACCACAGGAAATACTGCGAGGTGCAGACTTTGTTGAAGGTGACGAAGGCGAGCGTCTGCGCGAGCATGGTGGTTGGGAGGTCGTGTTTGGATAAGGCCAGTGGGAGGAGAACCGTGGAGAGAAGGAGTTGTGGGATGAATGCTACGGATTCAAATGAGAATGAGAGGGCGGGAGAGGTTGCTGAATGGGCGGAGGAGATGTACAATAAGGTGTTGTAGGGAGAAAAATTGTGACGGTGGTCGATGCGTGTGAAATGGTGGAGGAATGTGTGATGGAGGAAAGGTGGGCCGTAGATCTTGTACATGAGGATGTTAAGGGTGGTGAAGGTTAAGAGGGACGTGGTCAGGAGTAATATGCGTCGTGTGTTGAAGAAGCGGATTATGCTCTGAAAGGAGGATGCTGAACCTGAGGCTGATGTGGTCTCTAGGATCCATAGCATACTGACTCCATAGATGAAGGGATATATCTTGAAATGAACACTCAAGCCGAGTAGAACACCGGAGAGAGCAATCTGGTTTGTCTCAAAGGCACCCAAGAGAGCCATGACCAGGACGCATAATAGACCCTCACTGCTCCCTCGAGTGCTGATGTTCGCAACCATAGGATTGAGCAGCCATACACTGGCATACTTCAACGCATGCTGCTCATCCATTCCCCTCTTCTTTAACAAAGTCAGAATGAGCCATCCAGCAATCAGGTCCGAGAGGGCAAACAAGGCCTTGCCGAAATGAAACCACAGGCCTCCCCATGTGGTGGGTAACAGGATCCATGCTAACAACGGAGTGTAGCGATATGTGGCTCTATCGTAGGGTGAAGAATGTCTTGCGACAGCACGCGCAGCGTCTGTGAAGACATAATAGTCGATGTCTGTATATTTCAGGGCGGATACTGAATCTTGATATATGCCATAAACCATAAGAATTGCTCGGAGGAGGAAGCCTGAGAAAAAAACGAGAGGAGGGGAGGTGAATAGGGAAGATATCAAGGACGCCATTTCGGTGGCTGCATGACGGTTTCTTGCTGAGCACTCGCGCGGTTAGGGCGTGACAGCGGTGAACGGAGAAGGTCGATGAAGTGATTCTCTTGCTCCAGATGTCCTCCAACCGTCTCCTGTTGTCGACTTGTAATTGTCAACGTGGTCTTCAACATCGGAGGACACAAATTCCCAGGTATCAAAATGTACATCTTCAACACGCTGCCCTAAGCTCGTGTTTGTTAGCGCTTCACTAGGATGGGGAAGGCAACTTAGGCGGGCTGGGGAATCTTAGCACAAGGCTGAAAAACAAACTCCCTAAAATCGAAGCATGCAGTAATTGCATACCAATAGTCGTCTTCTTATCAGATCCTGGTATCATGCCAGGGACCAAGCGAGACCACAACGGCATGGAGGTTGTTTCCAAATCGACAGAGGAGGGTTCGCCATTTATTCCCATCTTTGAATCCTTCCGCACAGAACTTGATGAGCATCATGATCGAAGGGAGAGGATCATCAAGGCATCTCGAGATATTACTGCTCAGAGTAAGAAAATGTAAGTTTAAAATATCATTCTTAGAAAATGTAGAGTCTATATATGGTTTATTGACATGGAATCTTAAATCGTGAAGAATCTTCGCACTACAGAGGTAAGTGAACGACCACACGCCAAGTGGAGACAAACACTCAACTCACATTCATGAACCACCAGAGTCCGCGAATTAGGTCGACCAATCCACGCATCCATCACCAACCAAATCAAGCCGATGTACAGCACGATCAACGACCTATTCACAGGGATCATCCCGGATCTCCAGGGCATCAATGCCTACCGGTACCGGTCGAACATCACGGGTGGCACCCAAGAGTTCATGGAAGCGCTACTGTTCCAGCATTACCTCGAGACCCAACACTTGCTTGACTACGAGGGTGCGGCGAAAAGACTTCCCGAGGGTATCCTGCTCACGTATGAGGACTACGTGCTAGGGGTCTTCGACATGACGGGCGAGCTAATGCGGTTCGCGATCACCTACATGGCGACGAACGGGAGATTGCCGGGGAGTAGCGGGAGCGGCTCAGCAGACTCGTCTATCTTGACCGACATGCAACAGCTGAGGATGGAACTGGAAGGTCTCGACACGGGCGGGAGTTATGCACTGAACAAGGAGTTTGCGCAGAAACTCAAGACGACCCGCCAGTCGACGGAGAAGATTGAGAGTGGAGTGTACAGTATGATTGTGCGAGGAAAGGAGAGGCCAAAAGGCTGGAGACCTGATGTGTCACTGTCGGATGGGCCGAGGGATAGTGAGGCTACTGAGGCATATTGAGGACACGACCTATAGATCGGACTAGGTATGGGTATGTGTCAAATGCTGGGCCATTTCAATGAGGCTACTGAAGCATCTGTTCTGTCGCTAGTAGCGGTTGTAGAGAAAAGGACCATCACACAAACCATTGTCCCTGCTTATTCCTTGATGGGATTCTCATTCTCTTCCAAAATTCCCTCCTTGACCAGCTGATCCGCCGTGGGCCGATGTGAGATCTTTTTATCCAAGCTGTCCGCTCGCATGCGCCTGTCCAGTTCCTTCTGGTTGGCTTGTAAAGCGGGGGCGGCGGATGAGTTTGGTAGGATGTTACCTGGCTTAATGTTAGGTGTCGCGTGTATAGATTGTTCGCAGGAGTCACTCACGTTCCACCAATTCCTCTCTCTCTGGACGCTTCTCCAGGTGCTTCTTCAAACTGTCCGAATGCTGCTGACGCTCGAGTTCAATTTGTTTGGCTTGGAGAGCCCTGATCATGAGTCAATCAATAACACTCTGTCTGGAAATTGCACGACTGACTTACGGAGCAGCATTGGTGTCAAGTAGAATGTGACGGTTCTTGAGGTCCTGCGCATCTGGACGGTGTGCCAGGTGTTTTTCAAGGGAGTTGCGACGTTCAAGTGGGGAGATGGGAGACTCGTCGACCTTGAGGTCGGGAGCATTTTCGGTATCGAGGGGAGTAGTCATGGTGGCTATGTGTGAGAGTTGAATATGAGGTGGATGATGCGAAGGGTGGAAAGAAGCAAACAATGGCAACCAGTCAGCTGGAATATGCACACCACTGGAGGGCAGGCAAATAGGAGGGCCGTGCTTTGTTCTGACCGGAGCTGAGGGTTACCAACTTGAACGAGGCCGAGATGGCATGTGTCCAAGTGACGTCGCAATGAACCCCCGGGGCAACTCTAAGAAACTTGGTCGGTGGTGGAGCTTGCAGCTCTCATGGCGGCTTAGAGCTTGGAACGGAGCCCCAAACGTGGCATTGACCGAGATCAGCAGGGCAGGACAAGGCATGGCAGGCAGGTCGAGGGTCGAGGGGGGAGGGGGTAACCTCTGAAACCCCGCACTATGCCTAAACATCTTCGTGTCTCAGTCCCAAGTACGAGGCAGGCGTAGCCTATCACTCCCGCTGCCTGCTAACACACTTACCGTTGCGGGAAGCGCCTTGAGCCATGCCCTTAAAGAACCACATTAACTAGCCGCCCACCGTCGACCATTTAGGCACCTGCAGCCCCATCTTCCCGCTAAACTCTCGCTAACTCTAGGCATCAAAAAGAACGTGTCAATTTGGCGATTCACCATCGCGTCACGAATTCAACCAAATACTCGGCCTTCCTTGCCTGCGCGTCAGGCAGTCGTTGACTCGATCACTGTCCAGGGCACGCCACACATATGATCGATGCCTTAATCCTCCTTCTCCTTCTACCTCTGCCATGTCATCAACATGTGGATCCTTGAATCCAATGGAGACTTCCTCCAGGGGAAGCGAATGTGGCTGAAGCCAGGTCAAAAATATCTGTTCGGTCGTGTCAAAAGAGAGGGTGTCCGTTTCGCCATCGATCACAAGAGCGTCTCCAGAAAGCACTTCATTATTTATGTCGACCCCGTCAGGAGCGGCGATGTTGCCCAGATCCACGCAAGAACCAAAATCAGAATTGAGGACCAGAACTCCAAGAGTGGTACCTCCGTTAATGGAGAATTAATCAAAAATTCTTCAAAGGAGTTGAAAAGCGAGGAAAACTCGGTCAGACCTGGAACACAGCTTAATGAGATCATCATTAGATGGGAACCCTGTGTTCTGACTTTCAACCTGTTGAAGAAGGAGATCAAGTCTGGCCTCTTGAAGTTGAAGCAAGCTAGAGTCGAAGCTTTTGACATCAAGGCAACCAGTGATTTTTTCTCCGGACATACTACACATGTAATCGCGAACAAGAGGAATACAGCAAAAGGATTACAAGCCTTGATCACTGCAAAATATATCGTCTCCGAGTCATACATCGATGCTCTTGAATATGCCACCACTCCCACCCATCTGAGTCAAGAAGAAAACCTGTGTCCTTTGGAACTTGACTTTGACTACTCCTGGCCTGACCCAAATGAACACCTTCCTCCTCCCGGGAAGGAACCTACCCTAAGACCTGTCGAATCTTATCGCCCGGATCCAACCCGACCCAACATTTTTGAAGGATATGTGTTCGTCTTCGGTGACCAAAGTCAGTATGATACTCTACTACCGGTCGTCACCAGTGGTCATGGAAAGGCAATCCTCTTCAAAGTCATCAATGGTGAATCATCCGCAGACAGTCTGATACAATTCTTGCGGCATGCTTCTGGCAAGAAGGATGATGAAGGTTTTCGCAGTCAGGAAAGTGGTGGTGTGATTCTAGTTCGATGGACTGGCAAGGATGATGTTCAGGAGTGGACCAACAGTTTGATCAACGAGGTTGCCTTGAAAATGGATCAGCGTGCAATCGATCAGTCCGAATTTCTCGATGCGATTCTCGCTAATGAAGCAGGTCTATTGAAACAAGCCATACCATTTGAAAGCACTACCGAAGGGCGAATCGCACCACCTCCTTCAGCAGCCAATTCTCTGGTTAGCAATCAGCCTTCAGCAATTGCTCAAAGTTTACCATCTCAATCAACCTCCAATGTGCGCAGTCGTCAATCTGCTCCTGTTTCGTCAGCAAAGGAAAAGCCACCAACAGAAACAGCTCCTCCACAGGATGTGTCCGCGAATGTCTCGCAAGTCAGCGACCCGGATGAGCCTGCACCTCGTCCATATCGAAGACCTCGGTTCACTCAAACCAAAAATAATAAATTCGATGATGACTTCGACCCGGACGCTATAGTGGATTTCGAAGAGAACAGCATTCTCGAAGAGCCACCTGTTTCCGAAAATGACGTTCTCAATAACAATGGGGATTATACCTCCCAAGTCAAAGAAGAACCTGGAACTTCTTCTAAGAAACGACCTCGTCCCGCTACAGAGGAGCCAGAAGACAACTTTGCCGATGAAATAGATGACCTGCTCCCAGCGGCCACGGCTTTCAAGAGACGTAAACTCGCTGAAGCTCAAGTCAATAGAAAGTCTAATGTGGCAGCAAAAGTCGAATCAATCACACCTCCAACGAAAATGAAGAAGAAAGAACGAGAACTAGATGTTCGCAAAGCTCTCGGTCTCCAGCGCGAGGAGGAGGAAGAAGCCGCTCGAAGACAAGAAGAAGCCCGTCGCCGCGACGAGGATCTCGAAACTACCGGACCTGCCCACCTTGTCGAAGTCCTCAGCATGGACCTTCCTTTGCGCGACAAAACTAAGAAGCAACAAATTCGCAATGGCGAGCATGGACCAGATTGGGATCCCAAGTGGAATGGACGCAAGAACTTCAAAGGCTTCCGCCGCATTGGTGAAGCACCACAACGAAGAGGCCACGCGTCGAAGGTCATAGTCCCGCTGGTCGAGATCAAACGCCGCAAATTTGGGATCGGAGAGCAGTACTGGGAGAAATCACAGGAAGAGAAAGAGCTCGAGCGCGAGAGGAAGCGGCGCGAAGAAGCCAGAAGTCAACGGACGCAGAGTCAGACTCAACGTGCGAGTGGTGGTACGACTATGAAATCGAGGTCGAAGGCAAGAGTCATTTCGGACGAAGATGACCTCGATGATGAATTTGACAATGACGACGAGCATGAGCCACCATCGACGAGTCCCACTACAGCCCGTCTCCAGCACGAAGCCGCAGAGATCCTCGACCACGATGTCGACATCGACACACCCCGGCGCACAAGGGCCGACGATCGACGTGCAGCAGCCGCAGAAGACTCGGACGCCAGGGATGCCGAACAGGACGACGAGCCCGATACCACACAACGTATCTCCCAAACTCAGCGCCAATCTCGTACGCAGACGCAGACCCAAACCCAACGCGCCACCCAGAATCCACCTCTGTCCGCCAAAGCGAAAGGCAAGCGACCCGCGACAACCTCTGCGACGACCAATCCACCCAAACGCCAAAAGACACTCCCTGTCACGGTGGTGCACGGCAGCGATAGTGAGGATGATAGCGATGATATGAAATTCAAGTTCGGGAGTCGTGCAAGGAGGGGACGAGGGAAGGCGAGGGGCTAAAACTCGTGGCTCAGGGTTTAGATTTGTTTATGGTGCAGTACAGAAATGTCTGTGCCGTGAGAATGGTCGTCATCCATCAATAATGAGCCTGAGCCTCGCATCGCGACAACAAGTGGAGAGCTGAAGAGTGCGGCCAGTGATGAGCGTATTTTTGATTGAGGCCGTTCAGCGGCATATGTCCTTGTTCAGCGCAGGACATGAGCAACGCGGAGGCGAACAGACTGTCTCGGAAGGGAGAAAATGTACAAGTAGATATGTCGATACCAATTCAGAGATACCCTCAGTCAAGGGCAGATTCATGAACTACTCACTAGTGGCCGCCAGTGCCGAAGAACGAGACGAAAGTATGAGTGCTCGGGAATGTTAATTGGGTAGTGAGTGTTAAAACATTCCGTTTTTGTTCAGAAGAATCATCTTGGGACCGGGAAGGCCTCTATTTGGACGTCATGCCTCCTTGGTCACCACTCAGATCTATTGTGGATTTTCAATCGAGGAACAAAGTGGCACAGCGGCCAAGTGTAATGCAATGCGATGCACTTGCTAACGCCGCCCATCAATGTCCTATACACATACAAACATCCCACCGGCGTCATCTCCGTGCACCCCATGGACCACGAAGGCCACTCAGATGGATGTTGCCTGTCTCCAGACTCGGTTTCGAAAATGACTCTACCGCCAATAACTCGGGGCCTGTGTCTTGAACAGATTGTTCCAAGCCTCGTCCAGCACGGCCACGACCTCTTCAGGCAGTGGTCCCTTCTCCAGATCCTTCAGGTTCGTCTCCAGCTGGCTGAGGCTGCTCACGCCAATGATGATGCCGTCATTGCCGCCGTCGGTCAGCTTGAGCACCGAGTGGTGTCGCACCCAGCGCAGGGCGGTTTCGATCAGTGTCAGGTTATGTTTGCTCACGACGGGCTCGATAAGTTGCAGGGCCTGGAAGTACACGTCATTGAAGTAGCGGTCGCGGTACATCTGGTGTGAGATGCAAGGTGTCAGCAGTGGTGGTGTTGAGGTGAGGTGGGAGATCATTCGGCTGCGTGAGAACTTACCTTGCCTGTCCTGGGATTCGTGTCTGCAAAACGACCGGAGTTTGGGACTTCTGCCTTAGACTTGTATTTGCCGCTGAAGAGACCTCCGGCGAGCTGGGAAGAGAGTCAGCATTTTGGGACGTTTCTCAGTGTGGACCAGCAAGGACTCACCGGATTATACACGACAAGGTCAATCTTGTATCTGGAGAGCGAAATTGTTAGCATCATTGTGGTCTGGGTCGTGGGATTGGATCATCTGACTTTCTCAATGCTGGCACCAACTCCTTCTCAATGTCCCTCGTGATGGCATTGTACATGGCCTGGTAGATCGTGGGCTTGACGAGACCTCTCTCATTGGCGATATTCCAGACTTCAGCGACTTCCCAAGCGGCGAAATTGCTGAGACCGAGCTGAACGAATTTGCCCTCCTTGAACAGTTCGTCCAAGGCCTTCAATGTATCTTCAAATGGCGTAGCCCGATCAGGAGCGTGTAGGTAGAAGATGTCGACACTGTTGGTCCCCAGCTCTTTCAAGCTCTTCTCCAGGGAGGCACGTAACTTCTCAGGACTATGGTCACCTGCTTGAACGGGGTAGCACTTGGTGGCGAGAGTCAGACCACGGTCCTTCCACTTTGCCTCCTTTGTGAAAGCTTCTTGCTCTCCCGAGATGTATGCACGAGCGGTGTCGACCTCATTGTAGCCATTCTGCTGGAAGTAATCGAGATTCTTGTTGTAGTCGTCCAGAGTCGTGATACGGCCACCTTTGGCTTCACTTCCCGGTGGACCAAAAGTCATAAGACCCAGAATCACACGCGACTTACTGCCCAGGGCAGTGGTTGACAGAATTAGTGGCATCTTGAGATACGGGCGTGTGGAGAATGGATGATATCGAGTCCGTGTGGTTGAATGAACACGGGAGTGAAGAAGACTGGATGAGAGAGTCGTAGCAAGCCTTCTGACCGGGTGATTGAACATAGACAAAAAATCGATTTTAAGAGAAGATATCTTTTTTTCCAAACGGAGAAGGTCGTCGGTACTCGTGAGCGACCATTTGTCTGAGAGAAGACAGGAATCTCAATGACGAAATCCGATTACCCCACGTCCTGTTCGGCTTCTCCAAAACCTTCACAAGGGAGGATTTCTATTCTAGTGCTAGTGCCCACGTGCTGCCTGGGCGGGAGTCTTACCCGAATGGTACTCTTCCTCCTGAGCATAACTTGAGATACCTAGGGAGAGTCGATCAGTCGTGGCAGCAGAGACAGCCTTCAAATAGGGCATAACCAATGCACGTGGCTCATGTTCCAGCATATCACATGCTATGAATGCTCTCAACCTTTCTTACTTGGTCAAAACTTCAATCTGCTATCTCCTGCCGTTATGCACAATTGAGACTCCCCGAAGAACCCGGGGGACACCTCAAGCGTTTATGGTGGGAAGGCACAGGCGCACTGTCGGAACATCCTGCTGCTGGAACATTACCTGGATTTGAAAAGAAAGGTTCGAAACATTCGATCATAGATAATGTTGAACATATCATCAAGCCTGCTTCGGCCCACGGCTTCAACTCATGGGCCGAGCGAGGCTGATATACAATTAAAAGGTCTTCCAAGCCTACAAGGTCAGCTGGCACTAAGAAATATGCTTTAAACACCTGCTGTCCACATTGCCGAATACGATATAATCTTGCAGGTTATTCGATCTCACTCGACAAAGGACCAGCCTCAAAACCAGCCTGGTCTTCGCGAAATCACCTAGGTACCTCCTACTGGGAACGGCGAACGGATCAATCGTGAACTTCTCAGTAGTGTGGCCTTTAATTTTAGAAGCACAAGTTGCGAGCTTTGGCCTGATGCTTCATCAGTACTCCGTCCTCCGTCCTCAGTCCTCCGTAACTGGCCTTGTCGACTGACTTCTCGAAGCGACCGAGTTCAACTGAGCCGAAAGTATCGAGCAGAAGCGGGTGACTAAGTGATTTTGCAGTGGAGATTTGGGACAGGGGTGCGCGGGAGGAATTTTGTTAGTCCTTTGGGGGCCGTGAATGTGGTTCGTACCAACGAGGGGCTCCTCCATGAAAACCTAGTACACACCTATACCTCTTCAGCCTTGTCCACGAATGTACTTCCTGGGAGGCTAAGACATGCTCGAGAACAAAACATCGAGTGTCACAACATCAAAGTTCATCAAAAAGAAAGCCTGGGCCTCGAAAGGCACAAATATCCAGAAATAGCTCACCAGTGTGAAATATGTCGAATGATCAACCCGTGTCGGCTGTGACGATACCATACTGTATCGACGGCGGCAGTAGCACAACGCTAGAGTTCGGCCACAATACGAGTACGGATACAAGGATAGCCCTCCAAAGGGCCCCGCCCCTCCAGACTCCAGTCCTCCCTGGTTGGTTTGCTAATTGCCCATTAAACACTCAACATGATCAAACGTCCGTACGATGCTTAGTTGGCCTTGCCAGCGTGTCGCCATGTTGTTGCTTGACATGCATCCCAGGAGATATCCATCTTGGCTTTCTCGATTCACTCCTTAGCTTCTCCCCACTACGGAGTACAGGTCCAAGGCTCTACCTGCCGCCACCCTTGTTGCGGTCGCACGCAGCAATTAGCCTAACCAAGCACGGTGGGAAGCTACTTTCTTGCTTGTACCGAATATGCACAGCCTGGATTGGAGCCTCATCTGCTTGTCATCAACTCCCGGGTTCAGACTCTCCAGATTGTAACCACTTCTACAATATTCAAGCTTCAACGAATATCAAAGCGCTTCAGTCCCGTCGGAAGTGCATTGTTAGATTTACTCGGTGAGGATGAATGCTTGGTGATGGAGGAGCAACCGCCATGATAGATTGTGGAATGTTCCGGCTACAATCCCAACTCAATTTGAGACTCTTGTCTCGTCTACAGACATGGCTTCAGCCGAAGATGCTCCCCCATCGACTCAGGCCGACCAAGGCTCGCTCCATGTCTTACAATTGTTCGATGATAGCTTCACGGTTCTTACATTTGAAGACCGCCTGGCGCTATACCTAAGGACCGCGGAACGAGCTCATGAGCAAATTCAGTCTTCAAGGATGCTACTCCGAGGTCTCGGAGCGGAAGTTTCAATCCCAAAAAAGAAATCCATCGAAAAGACCATCAGTGAGACTGAATATCATGCTCGAATTCTTGCACAAGACCTGGATCCCGCAAAATCCGAATCGTCTTCACCTCAAGACATTATCAGACAATCCCGACTGTTCTTGGTCCTTCGCTCGGAGAACCACGAGGTGTCCAAAGATCTGGAAAGCCTTCACCACGCTTGCAAGGCTCTTGACGATATTATCGAGTCATGCAAATCAGTCCGAGCCAATTCAGTAAAGCGGAAACCACTTCAGTCATCTGTCACTCCATCTCAACCACTTCCGGTGGCACCAACGCCAGCAATCAGAGTCGATGCTGTAATTGCTGAACAACCATCAATGTCGCAGCAAACTGACGATTTCCTAAATGGTTTACCACCTCTGGATGCCACCAAGCTATTACACCATAGGAGGACTTCGAGACTAAGGAACAGGAGTACGAGTCAATTGGGAAGGCCCAATGAAGGCTCGCCAGGCCAACAACCCGGTGATTCCCAACAATACCTGCTTCCAGATGATCCCGCTGAACTACCAGGATGGCCTGCAATACCAATTCCACCACCAACGGCACGTGGCTATGTATTTATTCCAACTCTTACTTCAATGCCTGAGCTTGAAGCACCGAGCGAGATAATATCTGTTACAAAGGCCAAACCAGATTATGCTGCCAGCCTCAGGTCTCCCATCATAGAACCTGGCGTACATCAACTCCAGCAAAACGATAAACCTATCGATGGAATTGCTGATCAACCAGCCGTTCAACCTACTGAGACAGTGTTGCCCTTGAAGCAGTCCTTGGAAAAGCCTCAACAAACGCCTTTCAAACTGAAAGAGACACCTGATTCCACCTTACCTGTTGCAGCACAGGACACGCCAACTACTACTCAAAATGCAGCCAACCCCCAAGGAAGCGTTTCATCCCCACGAAATTCAATTGTTCAGGTGTCTGATGCCCAGCATGGAACAAGTCGTCGGAACTCCGCCATTTCGGAAAGGCCACAATCGCTGCTTTCCTCGGTGCCAGAAAATCAGAGTTCTGGGTCCGCAATTTCACCACCTTCAACAACGAATTCTTCTCGAGTTTCAGAGTCACCAGTTGTAAAGTCTGCAAGTACCCGAAACAGGTTAAGAAAGAACCCATATGCTCTTGCTGGCAGATCAAACATTTATCTTGCCAACTCTATTGACGAGGCAGCAAGTGCTTCCAACATACCATCCGCTTCACAACCAGGTAATCCGCAGAGAACATTGAGTACTTCTGCGTTAGCCACGACCAACCAGGATTCGCAAACAACTCTCCGCCAAGTCCCTTCTGTCTCTGTGAAAACGGGACAGGCCCTTGATAAAGAATCTCACCAGATTTCTGAGGCGACCAAAACCCCATTGTCAACAAATCAGGTCACCAGTTATACCCCCACACTTACTTCTTCGCCTCAATTCCAAACCAGTAAATCATTCACGATCGTCTCTCCGCCAGTATCACCAAGCAGGGAAGTTTTCCAGCAGCAATTTGAAAAGTCAAGATTTAATGATTCAAAACGAAATTCCATCACATCCATAGCTTCTGCACCACCTGCAGCTGGATATCTACCACGCAAACAACACCAAAGCGCCTACATAACTCAACAGCAAATCAATGATGCTCACGAGAGTCGACTTCATCAAGTTCAGAATCGCACGTACAGTCTTCCTGAGACCAGTCAGCACAAGAAGAATCCCTCAATGGACGAACGCTGGACGCCACAGCGTGCTCAGACGCAGATACCAGAGCAATCCGAGATGGCTCATCATCATGCCTATGCGTCAAAACTGGCAAGAGAAGCGAGAGAAGAACGCATGAGTTCTCCGTCAAACGTCCCCAATACCAGCGTGGCAAGGACACCTATTCCACCTTACCCCATGACACCCATTCAAGGACCGATTGAATCATTGCACCGTGAGCCAATGCCAGCCGTACCGACAAGAATGCCGATCCCAGAAAAGCAAGACTCTCTACCAGCGATACAATCACAAACATCTCTAGGGAAACAACCGGAAGCACGTTCATCATCGGCGCCTGTAGCTTCTCATCGACTGTCTGTTCGATTTCCTCAACATAATCCACGAGGAGAGATGGTGGATCCATCAACGCAAGAGGTCATAGCACGTCAATCAGTATATTCCCAGCAACAAGCACAATCTCATAATCCCCAGACTACACCACCTGTCGCACAAAATGCTCCAGCCTCGAGACAGCAAAGCCAAACGCTTCCACCTCAACATCCAATCAACCATCAATCAAATCATTACCCACAGCAGCAGCAACAGCAGCAACAGCAGCAACAGCCACATCAACCACAAATGCAATATCAACCACAAACCACAATTCCCACGAAAATGGGGGGACCTCCCATCCCACCCAAGATCAACCAACAACAGCCACAACCACATCCAGCAGTCCCTGACCCCGACCTGCACCGCGAACGCAGCACATCCGGCACGAAATCAACCATCTCATCCCGTAGCTCCACCTTCGGCCTCCCCCAACAGCACCAACAGCAGCAGCAGCACCTCTCTCAGCACCCGTCGATGAACTACCGCACCGCATCAAGCTCCACGCTCTCTGCCAAAGTTGGCATAGTAGGCGAGGGTGCGGGCGGCGGCGGATCAAGTAACGGCTCGACATTCGGCGCCGGGCCGGCTGTGGGCATGGCGCGCAAACGCAGCTCGTGGTTGACGAGGCAGGTTGAGCGTGCTGGGTTGAAGTCCTTTTAGATCTAGATCGGAGATTATATATCGTCGACTTGGAACTGGGATTGGATAGCATAGTATAGCGTGTTCTCTTAGGCTCGGGAGTTTCGGACCCGACCTCTTTACCTCATCTATGGAAAATTTTTGTGGAAAACCGATCCCGTGGATCTTAAGAATCGGATGGAATGGAACCGGTTGGAACACGGTACTTTTACGAATTGATACGTAACTCAAGCGCGTCAGTCCATTCATGCTGTCGTGTTTGTTAGATCATGAATCCATGGCCTTTTGTGGTGTAATTAGTGGTGATAAGATCGGGAACATGCTGATCAATTGCCTGACCTGATGGTCTCAGCCACTACATCGACCTCAACAAATCATTTTCGACGCTGAAGCAAGGGTGACGGCGAACGAAAAACAAAATCACAGCGGGATGAGAGCTCACGGAGGATGTTGGTAACGAAAGATTATTTACACTAATTGATTTGATAATTTGAAATCAACCTCATGTCCAGCATGAACTCGTTCACTTGATGGTGTATCCAAAATCTTTGAGAGAGAGAGAGAGGCAAGTGTTTTCCTGCTCACTTTTTGGAACTGTAAACTGTGCAGTTCTGGAGTGACGGTCATAAACATCGTGGCAGAAGATTACAAGACATGAAATAGGTATGCTTGTCTGTAAAGTGAAGATGGCTGTGCGAATTGGTCGAAGTTAACAGCTAGTTTCTGGTTTCCGAGGGGCCATAATCCTCTCACACACCTCTTGATTCTTTTCATAGAAGCCAGAACAAAAATCAGCAGATTGAAAAGAGATTATATCGGCCGCTTGACAAGCTTGCACAGGACCTTCTCCGAATTTCTCGACAGGTGCTGCTTTCCACCATTGGACGTGACCTTGACCAATGCAGGCACCGTGACAAGGCTATGATCACCAAGGCTACTGGTCTCCTTATCGTTGGTCGAGGAGCTAGAGGCATTGGTGGCGCCGGAGGAGGAGCCGTCCCAGCGTAACTCAAATGTCTCGGGTTGACTGAGCAGCCAGACGGAGAACTTGATGGCTGAATCGAGCACCTCAGTGAGATGTTGGGTCCGCCTAGCCTCGTCGTATTGGGGGTCCGCCCACAGGGAGAAGACTTTCGTGAAGTGGGAGGCGGCCTCGCGGGTTGCGGAGCTGGTGGTCGTCGGTATGCTTTGGGGTGATGTGCGGTAGCTGGCCGCAAGTTGTTTGAGGCGAGAGTAGGCAGATGTTTGGTGGCCTGGATTTTGGGGAAAGACACTGGATGTTAGTAAAAGCATAATGAATGTGTGGATGTGGGGGCTGTAGGTTTAGTTTGGATTGGGACGATTTCAATCATACCTCTTCGTCCGCCCTGTTGTGAAGATTGCTGACTTTGGACTTCTTGTAATAATGCTAAAAGCGGAGTAGGCAGGAGGCTTCGTCTGCGATCCGCAGATGTAGGATCCACAACCGTGGTTGTAATCTCATAGGAAAGCACATGCTTCAGAATTGTTGTGGTACGAGGTGATTCTTCCAACCGTGCGGCCAGTGGTGCTCCTAGAATTGGTGTGTCATAACGTGATAAGGAGCCTTCAATCGAAGGTGGTATCATCGGACTCGCATCCTTGTAAAAGTTTTCAGCGTGCAATTCGATCTGGTCATAAAGTGTCGAGAATCGTGATTGTACGGTAGCATCATCGGCTTGTTGGGGTAGTGGGTTTTGGCTCTCTGGAGATGGTGAATCACGGTATACAGGGGCAACTGCTCCCACAAGAGGAGCACCCTTTTCGACCTGGCTGGGATTGCTGTTTCCAGGTGTTCCAACCCTGGCCTGTCCATAAGCAGCAGCCCGCTGTCGGTTCCTCCTCTTACCAGCACAGAACTTCCATAGAAAGAAACCAGCGATAGCGGCGACGATGACAACGGCAGCCACAGCAATCCCTGCTATTGCACCTGTCCCCAGACCCTTGCTACCACCACTGCTGCTGCCGGGTGCAGCAGTGGTTGAACTATCTGCTGAGGTTGATGATGCCGCCGCGGCTGAGTTCGAACTACTCGTGATTGATGCCGTGCTCGAGGATGGCGTTGATGTCCCGGTTCCTACTGCTGTTGGCTTGGTCAGATTCCCATCGACTGATTGTGTGCTTTCGCCCTGTGAGGCAGAGTTAGATGTCGATATAGATGATGTTGGGGAACTCGAGCCCGAATCTGAGGGCGCTTGCGGCGTTAATGGAATCGAAGTTGATGGACGATTATCGTCCTGTGGCGCCATTATTAGTGATGGCTTCTAACTCTAAACCAAAGTGTCGCAGGACAGACGCTGTCCAACAGCGTTCAACCCGTGGATTGCTGAGTAGATGAAGCTGGTCAGGAATGATGATAACAGATAATGATTGACTTCAGTGCAGTTGAGTGCACGAGCAGAGGTGGAAAGGTGTCTGAGGCTGAAAGTCGGCCATGACAAGGTCTACAGTTTCGCACTGGTGTCCTACCGTGTCCATAGTTAGTACGAGCCATTCAATAATGAATTAGCACTCGTTCAGAATTGACTGTAACACTCTGTATTGGGCTGTGCAAGCAGACGGCCTGAGGAGACGGAACACGACACTAGGAGTTTTGGACCCAGGCTTCATGCAAGCCATGTTAAACGAGGTCGAAATGGTGTCTTGGTATTTATTTTCAGCCTGATCATGTCTCCGAGTTGGTGATCTGTTTGAGAAGCAAATCTCTGCCACTTTTCTCTCTCGGTTGCTTTGAAAAAGATGTGAAGCCTATTGCTGCTTTCAGTTGTATTGAAGCATCTCCGTGATCAAACGGTCATGTTCGAACCTGGTCAAGGTGAACCGGTGAGGCTGGACAAAAAGGAAAGTGTTAAGTTAGCCTGACTTAAGTTTGCCCTACCCCGGACACGAACCAGGGGATGCACTACCCAGTAGACGATGAGGGGCCTGAAAGTTAATGCCGCATCTGCAGAGGGCAACATTTGTCGAATCAGATCTTTCGATCTCTTTCATCAGATCCAGTCGTCTGGCCGATTTCCGGTGCGCGGCTTTGAGAGTGCGTCTTGGAGGGTGTTCCGGAATGGAGATTTGCCCTCAAGGGTTCACAGACCTCGGTGGATATCCGTCCCTAACTTGGCTTGCTAACTTGGTCTGGTGCGAAAATGATGCCTGGGCATCTGCTTAGACAGTCGAGGCCAGCCAACATGCAAATAGCCTCATGCAGCCAATGATTAGCCCACATGTGGTCTTGCAACCGATGCGTAGCTCACTCTTGTGTTCTGCACCAGCCTCTTGAGCAACACGCTCCCCATCGAGATAGAGGGATTGCGAGATCTGCTCGGTTTGGAAGGCTTAGCCTCTTCCCGTAGTACCTTTCCGCGCGAGGTTCGCCCTCACTCCAAGTCGGACGAAAGAACGGCCTCAAACCATCTATCGTGAGGGTGAGTATATCGTAGGGGAAGCGCCGCATGATTGGGGGCCGTTTTCCAATCTTGCAAGTCCCTCTCACCTGCCTCATCGCATTTGTGAGCCCAGGTGGGCGCTTTTTACACTTGCAAAAACAGCTCCTTCCGGCCTTGAAACCTGTTGCCTCTCACTCGATACGGCCTTGTGTACAATGGCGATAGTAAATGAATTATCAGCTGGGAGTGGCCATAATCAGGCCCCGGATATGGTTATTGGGGTGGACTTTGGCATGACACAGACTGGTTTGTCTCCATTTTGCGTATCAGGCAATAGTCCTGCCAAACTAATGTATTTCAGGGGTTTCATATTGCTCAGCACCGTGGACAAATCCAAAGTCATTCCAACACTGGTCGGGAAATGTCAATGAAATCGCCAACAAGGTTCCAACTCGAGTCGCTTACGACATCCATACGGGCAAGTTGAGATCGTGGGGGTTTGGCTGTGATCTTCGAGATCCAAACTTGGATGTTGTCGAGCATTTCAAGCTATACCTCGATCCAGATTACAAGGATGACTATGCGGATATCAGTTGTGCAGATGCTCAAAAGTTCTTCTACGATTTTCTATTTCTCATCCATGAACATGTGGCCCATCACTTTCGAATGCGAATTCCTAACTGGGGTCGGATGAGAGTTGAATGGATCTTCAGTGTACCTACGACTTGGCGCGATGCTGCATTCATTCATGGACTGGAAACTTTGATCAGAAGTGCTGGCTTTGGCAAAGATGGAAATCTCCACTCGTGTCGAATTACGCTGACCGAAGCCGAAGCCGCTGGTATATCAGTTGCCAACCAGTATCTTGATGTGAGACAACTCTCCACTAATTCACGGCTCCCACTGACGACAGATGACAGAGAAACGATGTGATCTTGGTTTGCGATGCTGGAGGTGGTACAACTGTAAGCATGAGATCAACAAAAGATAGGGGTTCTCTGACACGAAGATTTAGGACGTCAATATACTGAAACTAGTCTCTGACAAGGGTCAGCCACTCAGACTAGATCCATTGTCAAGAACTGAAGGTATTGTTAGCTGTCGCTTTTCGTAGATTTGGTCCTAATGTGGCTTCAGGGAAACCCATTGGGTCAGCATTGATTGACATTCGCATACAGCAATTACTTGAGCGATACTTGCAGAATATTGCACACATGTTGACAAAACCTCCTTCAGAAGTTGCCGAACAAATGATGATTGGTCGATTCGAGAGATTCAAATGCAATTTTGGAGCACCTGGCTCAAACATCCCCTACTTGCTTTTAGATGTGCCTGATCTTCCTCCTGGACAATACATTCCTCAAGCGAATGTAGTCAACTCTCAAATCCGAATTACTTCGTAAGGGTGAACTCCTCTCTTGATGATGCTGTGCACTGACTCTTGCGGGCAGCGAGATTCTAAAAAATGTGTTCGATGAGCAGGTCGATGGACTTGTGTCCTTCGTGCATGATCAGGTCAAAGACCTACACTTCCGACGGCCTGGCGAAAAAGTCGTAAGTTCAAGACTCATTTTCTGGTCCTAGCGATAGATGACTCACGACCGTGTCAGGACTATATCATCCTTTCTGGGGGATTAGGGTCTTCACCCTATGTCCAAGACAGGCTCAAATGGCATTTTGACGAGCAAAACACCATGAACATACCAGCAGCGATCGGACTTAGAATCCTGGCAGCCGAAGAACCCCAGCTTGCTGTCGTACATGGACTTGTACTCGACAGGGCACAGCAAGTATCTCAGACTTTGGATCCAATAACATCTCGATATGCAAGAGTTAGTTATGGTATTGTTGTGAATCAACGCTATGATCCTAAGATTCATGAAGGTATAACCTCTACCAAAGACCCTCGAGATGGAAAGAAATGGGTCGTTGATCAGGTGGAATGGCTAATTCGACAGGTATGATGGAGGTCATTCTTTCAGATGGCAGTGCTAATCCCGTGTACAGGGCGAGACGATTCGTCCAGATGGATTCATCAAACGATTGAGGGCAAAGGTTGACCCGATGCAATTGAGACAACCTTGGCACGCTCATTTTGTGATGACAACAACGCCTCCTCCACAACTACCAACGGCATTATCAGATCCTCGAGTCCAGACAGTTTGTGTGGTCCAAGCAGATGTTTCACAAACGAAGCGAATTGTGAAAAATGGACACTGGTACAACCTCTCTCAGCGGTATGAGCTGACACTTCTTGACGTGCGAATTCTGCCGGGATCGGCGGATCTGAAAGTCGAAGTTTGGAACGACGGGAGAAAGTTGAATGGCGAGAATGATCAAGTGGAATTCAAATGGGAAGACCGGCTAGGGACTCCTGCCTGGCACTCCTATACTCCCCCGTTGGACAGGACTTTGAGCCCATCAGGAAGTCCACCTCAGCTATCGCCTTCGTCCAATGGCGACTATGGCCATCGACTGAGCAATGTACCATCAGCGCGATTCTCAAGGACATCATACGGGCCTGGTTGATAGTTCCAAATTGCCGAGGACGCACCATTAGAGATCAACCAGGGTAATCTCTATGTCGAGACGACTTTCATGACCAATTGAGACCGTCAACACAGAGACGTCCTCGAAGATTTGATGAACACGGCAGAACTGATCTGGTGCAGAACCCGCCACGCATTGGACCTGCATCGCCCGAAATCCAGTTCGATCGCTTCGTCATAATGCCACACACACTTGGGATCGTCATTTTCCATTTGGAGTGTCTTTCTGTGCAGGACATGATAACAGAATGAACGATCTAAATCGTGGATCAGCAGCTCTGAGGCACTACTAATGTGGTGCACAGTCAATTTGCGGTCGTCTTGAAGGTAAAGACCATGAGGCGATATAAATGCAGTTCATCACTTGGATTAAACGTCCCGGCGGGTTGATGGAATTGTGGTCATGCAGATTAAAGTATGGCCATCAAGGGGTCTGTCTGTCTTTTAAGGTCGCAGCCGCTCAGATGATGAGATCAATTAGGTACGGGTTGAACTTATCGAGATGTCCTTGCGATTCAATATTCTCGACTGTCGAGAACGCCAAATTGTGCAGAAGCTCAGTCACGACCACAGTGGAACGATGGATTGGCGTGAGGCAAAGATGTTCCTGGAACATGATCCTGGATCTAAATATGAACCACCCCCTGACAACAGCGGAGAGCAGCAGTCAAGGTTCTCCCATTGCGATCGCTTTCGAGGAAAACGCCCTCCAGAATGAACTTGGTTGATTCAGGGCTGTGGAGATTTACTCATCCTTGAATATGAGATTCTTAATGTGGTTGCCTGACTAGATACCAGGAAATCTTTCTGTATAGTTTTAAAGATCAACGATGAGACATACAACGACACTGCTTACTTGAATTTGGGAATGATTACCTATCAATGACTACTGTGGAATCTCTATTTGTTCGGTAGGTTCCGGTTGTGAGCGGCTTGCTCTTCGTGTTTCTTGGGCGTGGGCGTACATTTGATCCCTTGACCTTCGGCTTCTCCACGTTTTCTCTTAGCCCCCGTGGACCCTGAACATTGAACACGCGTTGGGGCTACTTTAACTAACCTTTAGGGGTGTTAGGCTTTCGCCTCCCTGATGGCTAATCCCCATCAATCCCCATCTGAATCGCCAAGCAGACACCTATTCGTATTCGTAGAACCCCTTCAAGGCTCTCCCTTATCCGCACTCGTACAAAACTCGAACCACTTTCATGCAACACTTGCCACTAAAGCGTTCACTAATTATTTTATTCAACACCCAACATCCTATAACATTGTATATTGACAAAACCGCCTCCTTCTCATTTGCTTGATCAATTCTCCACTGCGCACACTCCTCCTTGCATTGTTCCACGCCCGCCAGGCACCCTAATTCAAATCTGGCAGCGACGTAACTTCTGACTGGTGTCGGTGATCAATCCAGCTGACCAACGATTCACTGCCCTCACCTCACATTCCTTATAAAACAGCCAAATCTCCCCCCAAACCGCATGGATGACACATTCCGACAGTAGCGACTCAACAGCTGGCGATCTGATCTTCACTCCCTCTGTGACTGAGTCGCCCTTCGATCCTCCTCAACGAGGTCCTAGACCATCTCCAGGGCCCCCCAGTCCTTTACGTCTATCCTCACTCCCCTCCACCATCAAGGAAGAGTTCCGACCTAATAGACAAGAAGATCGCATCCATTTCGATCTGAATGCACCCACTCGAGACACCCACTCAGACGACGAAGACGACGACGACGAGAACATGTCAGGGCGACCCTCAATGCATCGGCCTGCACCTGGCAATCATGCCTCGGAGCCATTGTTAGGAGAAGACAAGAGATCCTTCAGTCGAGGAAGACCCGAAAGTCCCAGTGTCCTGGGATCTAGTCGGCCAGCCTTCGCCGCACGAAGAAGCACATTCCGATCAAGATCACCGACATATGCACAACCTCCGGATCTTGTACGGCGCAAATATATCTACGCCTCCTTCTTCCTCATCCTCTCCCTCGTATCCTTCGTCGTCCAGACCGAGACCGCTGTTTACATCCAACACGAGTTGAAATGGAACAAGGCATACTGCATGATGTATCTGACCCATGGATCCTGGGTGTTCCTGTGGCCCTTCCAACTCCTGATCATCCGGCTCCAAAAACGTCAATTATCATGGGAAGCCTTTTGGCGCCGACACAAGTACATCCTCAAATCCACCGCGCAAATGGTTGTTTCGCAAGATTTATACCCCTCTCCAACCACCACCGCCCGCTCGCCGTGGCCATATATGATCAAAACCACTGCCTTCATAACCACCTTCCTTACCATGGCCGGCGGCTCTTGGTACGTCGCAGTCAACCTAACGTCCCCCTCCGACCTTACCGCAATCTACAACTGCTCCGCATTCTTCGCGTACGTCTTCTCCATCATGCTGCTGAACGATAAACTACGCTTCGACAAAGCCATCTCCGTAGCCCTCGCCATCATCGGCGTGCTAGTCGTCGCCTACGGTGACAAAGACGACTCAACTCCCGGACCCTCCCCATCGAACCCGGGAGCCGAACAACCCTTCAACACCAAGCTGGTCGGCAACCTCGTCATCGGCATCGGCTCCGTCGCCTACGGTTTCTACGAAGTCCTGTACAAGCGCTTCGCCTGCCCGCCCGAAGGCTGTTCGCCCGGCCGCGGCATGATCTTCGCCAACACATTCGGGAGCATGATCGGGCTGTTCACGCTCACCGTGCTCTGGATCCCCCTCCCGATCCTCCACATCACGGGCCTCGAAGTCTTCGAACTCCCCTCACGGAAAGCCGCCGGCCTGCTCGCCATCTCGACACTCTCCAATGCCGTCTTCTCCGGCTCCTTCCTCGTGCTCATGTCGCTGACGAGCCCCGTCCTCAGCTCCGTTGCCGCCCTGCTAACGATCTTCCTCGTCGGCATTACCGACTGGCTTATCACAGGGAAACCAATCAGCTTTCCCGCGATGGTCGGCTGTGCGCTTATCGTCGTGGCGTTCCTCATGCTCAGCTACGCAACGTATCGCGAGATGAAGGAGGAGCAGTTGAAGCGCGAGGGCGAGGAGGACAAAGTGTTTGACGACGATGATGATGACGATATGAACGCGGAAGACGACGATGCAGATGTCGAGACGGCACCGCTCGCCGCTGATGGCCATGTGCGCCCAGGTGGCAGTCGGAGTGCGCTACGCCGGAACGACCACGATGACGAGGAGGTGGATGAGCTGGGCCGCACAAGGCGCGGGCGCCGCCAGAGCTAGACTTTGGATGTGTATCTATCATGACGTTTGTTCAGGAAGTGAGGATTCGGTTTCCCTCGTCCCGACTTGGGCTTTGGACCAATTTCGTCTGTATTGGTACCTGGGCGGCTTGGATTTTTGGCATTGTTGCATTTTCTGCGAGGTCTATGACCTTAGAATCCGGAACAGAGATTCATATATCGGGGTGTACCCCCGGAACATATAGATAGAGAGGGTTCTCTGAATGTTACCGTTCAATACAAATCATTTCTTCTCGACTGTAAGTGAATTCATACAATTTTATTATCTTTCATTCCTCATTATGCTAACCCTCCACGGAAGAGTGCGCTTTCATCTCTTCGTGGATCCTATCTATATACCTTCGCTATGCAATGGCATTGCCAAAAACTCAATCATCATGTGAAGAACAATCTTTTCTGCTTTCTCTGCGTGTCGCCGGGAGCCGAGTTCTTTCGTTTGACCCCACTGTCCACTTTTCGCGTCGTTGAATTGGAAGAAGTCTCTGGAGATGCTCGTGCCGAATCAATGGAGTTCGTCTTATTGAGGAGTGGTATCGAAGGTCCAACCGCTGTATCGGCTTCTGCTTGGGCAACTACCTCTTTGATCGTCTGTCGGGACAGGCATGAATCAATGTGGTCATTGAAAGCCTTATCCGTAGCAGGCTGGGGTAGGTGGCATATGGGACAGTCCCACAGTGGTTCGCTCTTTAACTCAGGGATAACAGCCGCTGCATTCGGGAGACGCCCATGCTTCGCTGGCGAGTTGGGTTCGCTACCATATTTGTAGCGACCAAAGGGCTCATGCCAATCTGCAGTCGATATTATAGGGTCTTCTGATTGATTTTGTTCTTGTTCTTGACTAAGACGGTGCAACTCTTCCATTTCTTCTTGTTGCTCTTGACGTGCTGCCTCTTCGAATTCAGAATCGGGCCAAACTTCCCACTGATCATCGTCCGATATTGGTTTTTCAGTTGCCCAGCTATTGGCCGGCCTCCGTCGAAAAAAGTCTGGCTTGTCCTTCTTGGTACTAATCAGATGGGTGCATCGAAGACCTAATAGGCGAAGTTTGAAGCCAGGCATTTCTTTTTCAAGCTTTGCTAACATTGGAAGACTATAATTGTAGAGGTCATCCGCGAGATGTACCGCTTTTGGTGGAGCGACTTGTCTGGTGAATACTTCATAGGTATGAAGTTTGATCTTGAGGACAAGCGTTCGGCCTTTGACTTGAACCCGAGCCATGTCTTTTTCGAGCTCTTCTGCCGTGTGACGAAGTTTCTCTCGAAGCTCTGTTTTACTGCTGATATCGCGGAACGTACTCTCAGTACCAACACTTTTTCGCTCTGACTCTTCAGCCGGTTGAACACTTGTCCGACCCAGACCCAGATGGGTTTGCATCAAGAACTGAAAGGCCTTTTCTCCAAACAATCTGTTAAGGTAGGCTCGGTGGATGTAGATATCCCCACATGTTTTAACACCAATTGCATCAAGCTCTCGCTCAAAGACGCGGCCCACCCCATTGACTTTGCGAACTGATAGGCCAGACATGAAGGCCATGACAGCAGCCCGGTCGTTGGGCACACGAAATTGCCCGTTCGGTTTGTTCTTGTTGGAGCAGATCTTTGCGATTTTGGCATTCGGGGCTATACCTGCTGAGATTGTGATTTTGCAATTTTCCCGAACTTGATTTCTCAATTGTTGAATGGCCTCTTCAGGAGCCAAGTGGTGAGTATCACAATACTCGGTTATGTTCAAGTAGGCTTCATCGATGCTGGAACTTTCGAATCGAGGGTCATATTCAGCGAGGATGGCTCGGACCTCTTTAGCTTTGGCTGTGTACTTATCAAAATTCAGTGGTAGACAGATCAAGTCTGGGCATAACTTCTTTGCAACAAAGCCAGCCATAGCACTTCGACAGCCGTATTTTCGGGCTTCATAATTGCATGTTGTTAGGACACCCACACCCACAGCCATTGGTTTATTCTTCAGGTCTGGGCGATCGATTTCCTCCACAGCAGCATAGAAAGCGTCGCAATCAATGTGTACGACATATTGAGACAGATCCCTGGATAACTCGAGAGAGGCAATGTAATCATCAGCACGGCGTAGGTCGGATTTGAGATCAAGCTTCTCCAACTGGGCCTTGAGTTTCAAGATACGATCAATTTTGACAGTGAGGTTCTGATCCCTGACTTCTTCGTTATTGAAGAACTTTGAGCCTTTCGAGGCCTCATATATTATCTCGGAGACCTTCTTTTGATCAACGGCATCTTGACCGGCCTTTGTCAGAGAAGGGCCTAGGAGGGAGTACTTCAGGGAATGGTGTTGGGAGGGTTGTGGGAGGGATAGATTGCCGAGACCATTGCGCTCGTCAATGTTGTCGTCGTTGTCGTTGTCGATATGGCCGAGGGGGGATTCGAGTGCATCGTCTAGTGGCATTTCAGTTGCAGACTCGAAGTGGTTGCCACATTCTGTGCCTGCCTATATTGGTAGTCAGGAAAGTGCGATGGAGTAGGTTCCAGCCTAGAGTACCTCGGAATCCTCAAGTTGAGTCAACGGTGTCGGCCCGTGTAAATATCCGTGCGATGCCAGCAAAGACGCGGTTTCCAGAAAAAGTCGCGGCGTGACGCGGGGAAGGAACGCGTGTTGTGGCTTCGTCCGTTCCCAATGCCTGCACCTGCCACTTTAAATGCATCATCGCACCCATTCGGCTAATCCTCCCACACTAACTCGATTAGGATGGAATTGGCTCGGGAGCATCTCCAAAGCAGACCACTGTCAACATCAACGACGCCATGAACTTGAATGTCAAAGACTTCATGACTTGCATCCACAACACCACCACCACAAATGACTTGGACTTGACCATGCTGGTACACCACCCACAAACAGCTCTCCGTCGCTGTTATGCGCGAGCTGCCACCTCAACAATCTCGTCTCTCTCCATCGACACGCTCCCCCTTCCCGACCATGCCCTCCGATAAACAATCCAAATCATCCTCCACCCCCAAACCACTCACTCCCGCTCTGTCCTCCAATTTCCGAAGTGGAAGAACTGCAGTCACTCCCAGACTAGCAGGTTCTTCTACCGCCACTACCAATAATGTTACCACAACACCCGTGGTCTCTCCCTCGTTGACTGCTCGCAAGGAACCCTTTGTCAGGTCCAGGTCACCGGGTAAGACTGACTCTCAACAAACCCCTCTTAGTCACAATGTCACTCCTCGTTCTGGTACAAGGAGGTCAAGGATTGGCACAGACTCTCCCTCAACTCCTGCTCCTATAAGAGTGCCTACAACTACCACCATGGCACGGAAATCCCCAAGCGATGATGCCCAAAGACCATCTACCATCAAATCTCCTGGACTGGGCATCACAAGCCCACGCCTCAACATGAGTACCCCCACTCTTGCCAATCCAAATACTTCATCCAAACCTACCGTCACAGTTCACCGAAGGGTCTCCGCCGCAAAGAGTATGGTTGAAGGAGCCAAGGAGTCCAACAAGTTCTTCCATGCTAGTGAAGTCAAGTCAGCAATAGGCTCTCCCCCCATTGGCGATGCGCCTCGATTGCCACCGAACCGAAGTCAGTTCTTCGTTGGTTCTCCCCCTCTGTCTGCTACTCAGCAACCGCCTTTATCAAGAGAGGATGAGGACAAGGACACAAAATTCTTCCGAGCCAACGATGCTGTTCAACAGACCGTTCCTAAACGCACCCCTCAGCCTCCTTTCGTGACCGAAAGGTCAATAGACAATTCTATTGTGAAAGCCTTGCATCTTCAGGAGACTCCAACAGACCGAATGAATCGATCTACACCACCTCCTTCACCCAGCAAATCCCAAGGCCCCTTGCCACCACAGCCTACCTCTCCTCGCAAGCACATACCGCTCACAAGGGACATAACGCCACCTTCAAAGTCCCGCTTGAGCTCGGAGAACCCCAAAATCACGAGTGCCCATACTGGATTTACTCCAGCATCAATCCAAGCTGGACATCGAAAGTCTACGAGTGCTGGCTCGCTAGTAGCAAAGCCCGAAAGGCGCACTAGTGGCTCGCGGTCTCAATTCACCCTTCCTTTGGAATTACGATCCACATCATCGGCATCTCCTCACATGGTTGCAAGCAGTCTGCTCTCTCCCGAGGCCTTGAGTCCAAGATCCATTAGTATCGCGTCATCAAACACAGTTCCGACTTCGGTCACAAGTGACACTGATTTATCAGACGCCTCAAAGCCGCCTCCACTACTTACAAATTTTACCGATCAGCCCAACGATTTGATCACGTCACCATCCCATTCTCATACCGACGGTGCCGCAAATGCCCGTCGAGAACGCAAAGTACTTGATCTGGAGATCTCAAATTCTTCGTTACTAGCCATCAACAAGACTTTGGAGCGAGAGCTACGCAAACAAAGTGTCGAGCTTCGACGCTTTCGTCGTTTATCTAGATCCGGTAGACTATCCATGGTACCAGCTGCAAGGAGTGTCTCTGGCCAGTCCAATCTCAGCCTCGGAACTGTTACTGAATTTGATGACGAGGACCGCGAATTCTCTGAAGGTGAAGAGGATAGCGATTTTGATGATCTGGACGATGAAGAGGACTCTCTACTTTCAAATGATTCTGGATCATTGATCAGCCAATCTGCTCGCACAAGGCAACGTGCAAGAGATGAGAAGCGACTGATGCTTGACTTGTCCAAGCACCAACAACTTCTGATTGACTCACAGAAATTGAGTCAAAGCATAAAAAGATGCATGACCTGTACAGAGGAATTGATCAGGGATGGAAACAAGGCTTTAGACTATAGAGTTGGAATTGGAGATGTGAAATTGGGTGGCAGGGTACTTAATGACGAAGAGCTGGATGAAAGAGGGTTTCAGAATGGCGATGATGAAGTACAGGCGAGGCAAGGATTGTTGAGCCCTACTCTCGCCAAAAGTGAGTTGAGTGAGGCACAGACCTGGGCGTTTGGAACCTCCTCAATCACGAATCTGAAAGACGGAGGATTTCCTGCTCTTGAACAAATGACGGAATTATTGAAGGAAGCTGCAATAGTATTGGGCGACCCTCCCGATTTTTCTGGGGATCAGAACCTTAGGTGATTGGTGAACGTTGAAAACATGACTTGGGAAGGGAAGAAGCAAGAGATTGTGTTGGACATGGACGACTTAATGACACAAACATCGCATATCATGTTCACGAAAAGCGGTATGTATGCCTTGAACATTTCTTTTGTCAAATTGGATCGTCATCTGGGAGGGATGGGTCGAGGTAGAGGGTTGGTAGCGGAAGCATGCCGGTCTTTATGGATCGGAGTTTTGGGAGAAAGAGAGAAAATCACCACTTTTGCTGGATTCGGCTACATCTATACAATGATACCCACACTTGCGAATTTTGCTATTCTACTGGTCTGTCGGAATGGTGAAGACAAATGGCTGAGAAAAGGGAGGAGATTGGCATTGACCATGAGAGAGTGAACGACACGATCGAGAAAAGACGTATATATCCAATTGATACACTCCAATCAAGAATGACCAATCCTCTAACTATATCAATCCGATCGAGTCGTCATATTCCCTCCCAGAGAAACGGTCCAAGTCTGCATATATATCTCGAGCAAATGGTCAGTTGGAGATTTGTCACGTATTGGATGGCCAAGGTCAGTCCGTGTATAAACCGATCTAATCCAAGGAAACATTGAAGGAAGTACGTAATATGTGAAGGGGTATCAATTCAATCTCGGTGCAATTAATGTAGTAGTGGGCAAAACGAGCCCTCGGCTGCCCATGATGAATCAAAGGTCTAGCTAGCTAGTTGGTCCCAACTAGACATGCGTCCTATGGAAAAACGCCGTGGCGGTCTATATCGCGGGATGGAAAAGCAGGCGTCCGAGAGCGGAGCGATGCAAAGGGGGCGGATGGGACGGGAGGATGCGAGCTCGTGGAGTGTAGGGGTTCAGGATCGTCCTTCATTTGTCGTTCCGTGTCAGTGGCTTGCTTTCAGTGCGAAATTTCCAACTGCGAATTCGAACTCTTGGGTGAAAATAGGGACAAGAGGCCAGCAAGAGAAAGATATGAGTTTCCAAGAATCATCACGCCTTTCCTTGCCCTGCCTCGCATCTCCTTCCCTCTTTTCCTTGCTGCCCTCTAATATGGAGGAGGCCAGTGATTCCTGTAGTACTCGGAACCTCGAGTCATGCGGCCCGCTCAATTAGTCACTCAGTCTTTCCCGCGTTCAATCACAAGTCCCGAACACCACAAGGGAAAGAACACCACCAGGACGAGGTGGAGGCAGCTTTTCGTGCACGGCCCGTGTGGCCATGAGTCTCCTAGGAGGCCGACGCGCGGGATGCCTCAGCCGGGTCTTTCTCCTTGTGTCCAAAGTGATGTCGATGGCTGCCGCTGGCCGAAGCTTCAGGTTCTTTCTCCTTCTCCTTTTCTTTCTTCTTTTCCTGTTTCTTCATCGACTCGGCCATCAATTGCTCAAAGGCCATAAAGTCACCTTCCTCGTCGGGATCACGTTCGGCCTGTGAGTAGGGGATTTCATGTTAGTAAACGTTTGGGGGAAATTACCAACGGATGAATTAGAGCACTTGAGGCTTACCTTTTGATATATGGTTCCAATGAGGACGAGAGCATGTGCACGCTCAACACGCTTCTCTAGCCTAACGTTCTTATCGTTCAGGACCTTGTCGCAGACTTCCCGCAGAATACCCTGGATTTCAAATCTCGAGCCACGCCAAGCTGCGGCGAGAATCTTACCAGTCACTTTTCGCTCGTATTCTGCTTTCTTTTCGTCGGTCCAGTCGGCACCACCCTTTTCTTCTAGCTTCGCCATTTCCTCCATGGTGAGCTGTGCGTCGATCGCTGTAGAGATGGTGTTCCAGGTGTCTTTGGCCAAGGTGCCCTTGTCCTTCAGGCGAGAGAAGAAGCCTGAGATACCGAGGAATTTCTGAGATTTCAGGAACGAGGTGGCCTTTGATAGATACGTTTGACTGACGGCATGTAAGATTTCAATACCGAACGATTCCATCTTCAAGTTTTCCACTTCCAGTCTCGTTTTTTCCTGGAATGCATGGGTCACTTCGGCGCCCTTTTCAGTCTCAGTCCACACGCTGATCCGATCAACGAGTTTCTTGGCCAAAGTGTCCACTCTCTCTTCACGCTGCTTTCGTCGTTCTCGCTCATATGCCTCGAGTTTCTCGCGCTGCTCCTTTGTCAGCCCGCCCTTCTTTTTCTTCTTCTGCAGATCTTTCTCCTCGGGGCTGAGCCCTGCAGCGTCCATTCGAGCATCTTCTTCGGAGCGATCCATGATTGCTTGCTGTCCCAGGTATCGTCTTTGCGGGGTGCTGGTACCAGAGACCTTTTCAGATGATGCAGCCGGGGCATCTTCTCCAGCCACATAAGGTGGAGGTGGGGGTGCAGCAGCACTTGATGCTGATGGCGAGCTGGCATCTGCTCTTGCTTCTCTTTCTTTATCGCTTAACCCGGCACCAGATAATCCAGCTGAGACACCTGCAGCAGTAGCCTCTTGTTCTTTCTCCTCATGAAGGTTTAGCTTCTCCTCGGCAGATTTAGCAAGCTCCTCTTCCTCCATCTGTTCCATGGTGATATCCATGGTATGTGTGAGATCTTTCAGTAAAGAAAGCTCGCCAATAATGTCAACAAAGGCATCACCACCAAAGATCATGGAAAAGAATTCTGCGGGGTCTTCGAAGCCTTCTCTCGGCATGGCCTTTTCTTTGCCATATTTGTCGTAGGCAGCTCGCGTATCTTTATTGGACAAAACCTGGTAGGCTTCACCAACGGATTGGAAACGTTCGTGAGCGGTTTCATCGCCAGGGTTTTTGTCGGGATGGGTGGTTATGGCGAGTTTTCTATATGCTTTCTTGATTTCCAACTCTGTAGCGTCGGGTTTTACGCCTAATGCGTCATAGTAAGAGGTGTCGACAACCATGCTCGCGACAGGTGTGGTTGTATCCTATGCTAAGGATATCAACCCTCTTGAACCGCAGATAAATTTAGGCTGTTGAATGTTTGAAGAGTGATTGTTGAGGGTACGGGGTGGATAAGAGGGAGAGGTATGTATGGAAGAGTTTGAAGGATAGAAGAGTAGTGCGATGTTGGAGTTGGATAGTCGTGACAGATATGGTGAAGCCTTAGTGATAAGAATTTCAGGTGAGGACAAATTGCCGCGTGTGCCCGTTAGAAGGGTCCCTCTTGCAATCCGACTACGAGTACTACTGCACATGAAGTCATCGCAGGTTCGAGTGCAGCCTTGACCAAGAAACCACTGCCAAGCTCAGCCACATTGCGAATCACTCAGGCTGGGCATGTGGCGCCCCAGCGGGACAAATAAATCACGTGATATTACTCCTCTCGGTAAGGAGGAGTATTCGGCCGTAGTTCACCCGCTTTGCCTCTCTGTGCCACCCCATCGTACCATTCGGCTTGGAGTTTCTCCACACAAACTCGCCTGCCAGCCTAAACAACCACTGACCCTGCGGAATCCCGAGATTTGTTAGAGACCAAATGCTCTAGACCCAGCGCAGAGCGGTGCTATGCTGATTCCAAGAGTTCTACGTTGAAAAAAGTTCCAAAAGTCCACGTTTCTTCTTCTTTCATCTTCGGGTTGTCGCTCTCTATTCAATCTCTACAATTGTTGTCTACCCCCCTCTCGCCCACTTTTTAATTCACGTGAAAACAAGCTCGGCCTTCACATTTTCGATTACAACCGAGATCAAGATGCCGAAAGCTTCAGAAGTCCTATACTACCTGCTTCACGTCCAGGAATTGCGCGCGATAATTCAATGGTGAGGAAAGACCTGTGACGCACTTGAGTATTTACTGAGATCCTAACAGGAAAGTCTGGCACAACGCTGTCCATGAGCGCAACGAGAGCAAGGAGTCGGAGACGACCAAAGAATGCTTCAAATATCTGGATCTGACCAGCCGAAGTTTCTCGGCCGTCATTCAAGAACTTCACCCTGAATTGCTCATTCCTGTCACTCTTTTCTATCTGGCCTTACGGGGTCTAGACACAATCGAAGATGATACCTCGATCCCTGCAAAGACCAAAGAACCCTTACTCCGAAAGTTCCACGAGATTCTCACGGTTGAGGGCTGGCACTTTGATGGAAACAGACCAGAAGAAAAGGACCGTGAACTATTGGTCAACTTTGGATGTGTCACGGCAGAGTTCAACAAGATCAAGCCTGAATATCAGGAGATCATAAGGGACATCGCTGAAAAGATGGGAAATGGCATGGCAGACTATTGTCTGAACGCCGAATTCAATGAGAATGGCGTGGACAAAGTAGAAGATTACGATCTCTACTGCTACTATGTCGCCGGCCTGGTTGGAGAAGGGCTGACCAGAATGTTTGTCGAAAGCAAGTACGGCAACCCTGCCCTGCTTGATCGAAGCAATTTACATCGGTCCATGGGATTGTTTTTGCAAAAAGTCAATATCATCCGAGACGTCAGAGAAGATTTTGATGATGCACGGAAGTTCTGGCCCAAAGAGATTTGGTCCAAGCATGTTGACAAGTTTGAGGATCTTTTCAAGCCAGAGTACAAGCAACAGGCACTCAACTGCAACTCTGAAATGATCTTGAACGCTCTCGACCATGCGGACGAATGTTTGTTCTACCTCGCAGGCCTGCGCGAGCAGAGTGTGTTCAACTTCTGCGCAATCCCTCAGACCATGGCAATTGCCACGCTAGATCTATGTTTCCGAAATTACGCCATGTTCCAGCGAAACATCAAGATTACCAAAGGGCAGGCGTGTGAGATCATGATTCAGTCAACACAGAACCTCAAGCTGGTGACCGAGGTATTCACCAAACACATACGATCGATCCGAAAGAAGAATCGACCAGAGGACCCCAATTATCTGAAGATCAGCATCGCATGTGGAAAGGTGGAGCAATTTATCGAGTCTATCTTCCCCTCGCAGAGTGCGGAGGCTGCGGCTGCTGCCAATGGCGGTGCAGACGGAACGGCACCGCGTGTCGCTGTTAGGGAAAAGACGGCGGAGCAGGTGGCATCGGAGAGAAAGGAGATGTACATGTTAATGGCGGTGGTGGTCGGGTTTCTGCTGGTGGTGGCTGGCAGTATGGTGAGTGATTTGAAGTTCCTGCTGCTCAAGAAACTTGCTGACGTTTTTAGGTTGGTGTTGCGTGGGCGATGGGTGCACGTTTCGATCTTGCTCTGGTTGAAGTGAAGAAGACGTGGGATCAATTGTTTGCCGCTGGAAATGCCACTATCGATATCGGCGACTTGGATTCGGATATCACCAAACATGGGGAATTGTAATCATATTGAACGGCGGAAGGGTTTTTGTGTTGGAATCGAGTTTGTATATTAACTGAGACAGCACTTACATATACAATTCGTTGAACGATTCGGGGTCACAGGCTTGCCAAAAATGAGAGGATACAACTGGGGGCTCATAGCACGGATGTCAAATTGCAACTCAGTCTCTATCATTGACTGTTGTTGTGCCGAAGATGTGCTGATATTGAAGGGAAACCGAGGCTCGATATTGACAATTGACAGGCCTGAGTTGACGCTCTGAGGTGTCTTGTTACGATCGAGTCAGACATGCATTATATATATTACGCTTTTCACTGTCGTCCACCTCCCGCCCACTACCTCACGATTGACCATATCCATATACAGTCGTGCAGTTGCATGAAGAAGTGTGGTGCCACAGCCTCTCGAGACCATCAGCTCGTTCACTCCACCTGGACAGCCAAGCCGACGCATTATGCCTGATATTGACTGACCGTCCGTGTCCTTCCATACGTACCCATCGATGTGACTAAATCACGGATGCTCACTCGCAACTTTGAACTTGGAAGCAAGTCTTGGCTAGGTGAAAAGTGTACCTAGGTATCTACCATCTAGGAGGTCCGGGTCTGCCTTGCAGTCAACTTAATGCAAGTCGTCGGGATCCGAGCGGCAAGCGATATCCTGGAAAAGTTAAAGCCATTGGAGTTACTCCAAGATACCTAGGCTACCAGCCAAGGGATTCTGCTCTGATACAGTAGACGAGACTGGATTCGCAAGCAGAGGCCTCAAATAGAAAGGCGCTCAGGAAGAGGTCCAGACGACGACTTGACTAACTATCCTCGGGATGGCAAGATGGCTGACGGCGGTGAGGGCTTGGGAGTCTGACCACTGCCAGTGTCATGCAGGCCGGGGCATGGCGGTCGGTTAATCGGGGCTCTTCCACCAGCGTTGAATTGATCCAGCACGTTGCGCCCATTAAGCCCGGGAAGTACTGATACAGACCATGTCTAGCAAGATTGTTACACAAATCGATGTCTCCATCCATTTGATACGTGTGCGTTGTCATTCAGTTTCATAGCTATGGAGATATTCGGGAGGGCGGATCAAAGCATACCTAGGTACTCCTGCCAGTGGCTCCTGGCCGCCCGTGCTGAATACTCGCAGCAACATCCCTTATCCTCATCCATGGCCACTACGTCATTTGAGCCACCACATTGTGGCAGACTGGGCTGGATGAACAAGTCTTCTTCGTGAAGCTTTCTATTACTCTCGTCGATCGATCCAGTTGAATCCTGGTTATGGGGTCGTGGTTAGAAATGCCATTTCACAATGCCGTGTCCTTTTTCTCTCCTCTCCACCCCATGAGTACCGAGTACTCGTACCTTTGGTGCCCTTACATCCGCTTTTCTTGGACCACTGCAACACCCTGGACTGACTCCCTGACAAGCATTTTTGATGGAACCTTTTCCAACGCGCCACTCGCCGTCCGGCAGGGTGCGCGATTGCTTGGTACTTGGATGAGCTTTCTTCTTTTTCCTTCACAAAAGAAGAGCCACATGACCCACGTTTGCCTCTGGACTTCTGGACCTTTCTCATCTTCTCTGAATCGTCCCCTCGTGTTTCGTCCGATTCAATTCCAATTTGACTTCCCATCCACTGAATTCTATACCCTGATTTTCAAGCTCCTTGCAATGCCTCTCTTTTCGGGCATAGCTGCCCCCCGATGACGTCTTTCCCGCTACCCATCGATCTCGGTCCAAATTGAAAGTTCAAACTACGGATAGTGGACTCGCCCGTCCCATCACGGGCATCACCACCACCTCCTCCACCAGCACTATCCACGATCTGTACCACTTACCGCCCCTTCTGTTTCTGCTTTGGTTCATTTAACCTAACGTGTAGCCACACCCGTCACTCCAGCCTCCCAGTATCACTACCACCACACTTTCCGACTCGACATCCTAACCTTCTCTTCTACTCCAATAAACCCACCTTCAAGTGGTTATCCGTTTTGTTAATTTGTTTGCAGCGCTACATTATGTTTGTGTTCTGTATGCCTTCATATCCCATCCATTCAAAGAAAGCATAGACCTGGGATTATCCAGCAATCAATAATCAACCCGCCCACCTTAGACTCGGGCGCACAACCCACACCCATCCGGCGCTCGTATACTGTGTGATTGTCCGACTTGAACCGCACCCGACCCTTGCCACCACTCCTGCATCCAGTTACCGTCAGGCAACATGGCGGAACAGGCTCTAGGTTTAACCTTGAATGCCGTCCCCGTCGTTCTTAAACATGGCGACAAAGTTTGGGATCCTGTCCAGCACCGATACCGCAAGATGCGAGGCAGAGTTCCGGAAGAAGATCGAGACATCTATGATCAACGAACAATGGAAGAAAAAGGAATGGTGCTACGTCGCCGACGCGATGTGGGGTCGGACGAGGAAATTGTTGAGGTGGTCAGGCACAAAGGTGAAGTCCTCCCAAGACGCCCGGGACGATATGATCGGCGAGCCAGTTCTATGGACAACCGAGCCATTGCAGCAGGAGCGGCGGGAGCTGGTGCTGGAGCCATGGTCCCTTATCGTGACCGCCGCAGTGATGACTACTACGATTCAGAAGGCTCCGTCCCTCCGCGATCTCGCGTTCGAGCAAAATCTAGCTCTGGTCGATCTCGTCGCCGTCGTGGTTCTTCTAGCAGCTCCTCGTCCTCTTCATCCCTCGATTCTTCCACCGAGGAGGAAAAGAAATGCCGAAAAGTGGCTCGCAAGAAGTGGATTACGGCTGCATTGGCCAGCGTTGCGACCATTCATGCTGCCTCAAAGGTCTATTCGTCGATAGAAAACCACGACAAGCGCATTGAAAGTGTCAAGCAAGGCACTTTGTCTCCAGAAGAGGCTCATAAACAACAACGATCAGCACGCTGGCAAGATGCGGCGGCCATTGGAATTGCAGCTCTTGGCATCAAGGGCGCCGTCAGTGAGTGGAATGAAGTATCCTCCGAGCATATGCATCACAAGGAGATGTTACAACAACGAGAAGAACATCACAAGAAACGATTGGAAAGAGAGCGACGACGCCGGGCGAAAGAAGGCGGAGGCTACTATAAAGGTCGAGATGGCAATTGGTACTACGACGGGCCTCAACCACAAAGCAGCGACAGCTATCGTAGTGGTAGCGTGCGAGGCAAATACGACGATCGGAAACAGATTGAAGACTCCAACCGCGAGAGACGGATGATCGAGTATGAAGAGGACCGAGGGGATAGAGATAGACGTGCGGTGAGTCGTAGCCGTCACGGTGACTATTGAAAAGGAGTGAGTATTGATATTTTGGGTGCTCTGAAGCATTCGACCGTTTCCGCCACGCCGAGAGAACGAAAAATGGAGAAGCCCCGGACTACATTTATGAATTTTGGAGGCGACATGGTAGAGGCCATCTTCAAAGTTTGATGGTGGCATTGAGAGGTTCGATGGATGATAGGAATTGTGCAGCGATGCATTTTTTGGTCTATGATTTGTTTTTGAAGTGGTTCTACTTTCTCAAACTTTGAATCAGAGCTGGATGTGGTGAATGTTTCGAGTGCCTTGGAATGAAACGCATGGCATAGAGATGCATAGCGAGCGAGCGAGTGAGCGAACATGCAACGACCTGCTACAAGTGATGATTGGTATCCATATGGATTTATGAAGAAATGATAATGACTTGACTAGAGCATTGGATTTTGATGAATGCATTCATGTTGCAGTGATTCAATGGGACCCATCCTGAAGTCTGGAGAGGTACCTCGAAATGCTAGACAAACGCCCATAATTCTAGGTACCTTTGCAGCCAGATTATGGCAAAGGCGGTTGAAGAAGCTTGGCGTCGGGGGCCGAAGTGGATGGTGGGATTCGTACACCAAGAACCAAGAGTGACCAGGTAAACTGCACTTCCGGTGAGGTACGTAGTTGGCGGTCCAGCATTACTACCACTGACCAGTCCCTCACAACCCGTCTGCCTTGGATGTTTTTTGCTCACACGGCCATCCCTTTCGATCTTCCCTTCCGCATGTCGTGACGCTCTCATCACCATCAACAGACTGTACCACATCATCCCACTCACTCCAAAATGGCCGAACCACCCATTGGTATTCCCACCCCTCCAACTCCATCCACAACCATGCTGACGCCGACACAACAGTTCTCGATGGGGGTACCGGTTTCCTCAAAGTCGGCTATGCCGCTCAGGTATGTCCATTCTACAGAACTAATACTCCGAGATGATCTCGTTCCACTGACCACCATCCCACCCACAGAACTTCCCCGAACATCAATTCCCCTCCATAGTCGGTCGACCCATCCTACGTTCGGAAGAGCGGGCTGGAGATATTGTGGTCAAGGATATCATGTGTGGTGATGAAGCTGCTGCCGCGCGTTCCATGCTTCAGATCAGTTATCCTGTATGTCCCGGCACTGCAGCCTGTGCCCCGTTCCATAAACCCAATGTCCGACTGCTGACCAGGACTCCGCTGCTCTTTCGGAATAGATGGAGAACGGCATCGTCAAGAAATGGGATGACATGCTACACCTGTGGGACTTCACATTCAACGAGAAGCTCAAAATCGACACCACGGGGCGCAAGATCCTGCTGACCGAACCCCCCATGAATCCCCTCAAGAATCGCGAGCAGATGTGTCAGGTCATGTTCGAGAACTACAACTTTGGCGGCGTCTACGTGGCCATTCAAGCCGTCTTGGCTCTGTACGCTCAAGGATTATCTTCCGGCGTCGTCGTGGACTCCGGCGATGGTGTCACCCATATCGTGCCCGTCTATGAATCCACCGTGCTCAACCATCTCACCCGCCGTCTGGACGTCGCCGGTCGCGATGTGACGAGAAACCTGATCGCTCTGCTCCTCCGTCGCGGCTACGCCCTCAACCGAACCGCCGACTTCGAAACCGTCCGCCAGATCAAAGAGAAACTCTGCTACGTCTCCTACGACCTCGCCCTCGACCAGCGCCTCTCCGAAGACACCACCGTTCTGGTCGAATCCTACACCCTGCCCGACGGCCGTGTGATCCGCGTAGGCAGCGAACGCTTCGAAGCCCCTGAATGTCTATTCCAACCGCACCTGGTCGACGTCGAGCAACCGGGCATCGCAGAATTCCTCTTCAACACGATCCAGGCCGCCGACGTCGACGTCCGTTCCTCGCTCTACAAGGCCATCGTCCTCTCGGGCGGATCGAGCATGTATCCCGGACTCCCGTCGCGGCTCGAGAAGGAACTCAAACAACTCTGGCTGCACCGCGTGCTGGGCGGCAATCCCGAACGGCTGAATAAGTTCAAGGTCCGGATAGAGGATCCCCCGCGACGGAGACACATGGTCTTCCTCGGCGGTGCTGTGCTCGCCAACATCATGGCCGACAAGGAGAATATGTGGATCAGCAAGCAGGAGTGGGAGGAGCAAGGGCCGAGGATATTGGAGAAGCTGGGGCCGAGGACGTGAGGTCGTGACGCCGTAGCCTGGCATTTACATTGAGGGCATCGAAGGCATCAACGCAGTATATTGACCCCGCTGAGGCTCAGTCGAAGCGAAATGATTAAATGGCAGACATGATCCCTAGGTAGTCTGTCCGCCTGAGTGAGCGATTGATCGAGCGTTAGTAGACTTTTTGATCCATGTGAGATGGAAGCACGACTACCTAGGGCACGTACTGGCCAGAGGACGCATCGAATCTGACGGAGAACGAGATCAACGAGACAAAGTATAAAATAAAATGAACATTGAACTGAACCGAACCGAACCGAAATGGAAGAAGGCCTTCCATCTATACGCCCTGCAAAGCATGGGCTTCGGCGTTGACATGAATTTCATTCACAGATGGCCACGACCGAACATGTGACGCCACCGCGCCGTTTCCCTCGGTCCCGGGTCACTATTTCATTCGCATATATGTGTATGTGGATGAATATATACTTGGCTGTCTACGATGCATACATTTCGTCCTTCAGAAACCCCTTTTGTCTGGTTCACCGGTCATGGGTCTAGCACTGGTTCGGTATGGTATACATTTCTCATGGTGATGGCATCTACATCAATTGGTATCTCCTGGTGGTGACTGTTCTCGAGAAAGGTGCTTGTCCTCAACCTCGCCTGACGACATTCATTCCAGCCCCATCTCATCTCAACTCGTCTCACCGTATCGTGCTATCTGTGTGGAGTTTCTCCCTCTCGCCTATCATTTGTTCGCAATTTTCCGTCTCACTGATATATATGTCTGTCGAGTGGGGTTTCGACATATATATTTATATGTATGACAATCTGTAGACTTATACCTTCGAGTGCTGGATCAGGCGATGGTGGCGGGGCGGGGCGGGAAGGTGTTACGTGTAGCCCAGCTGTAGCGGACCGGACTACAGCATTGGATTGGATCAAGATTGACTACTAGCCTATGATAGACCCTGGTCTTGATCGCACCCACACTGGTGCTTCCGCTGGATGTCTGAGATATCATCTGAGCATGACGTCCTGGTGGACCGCGAAGTCCTCCTCCGAGGACAAGGACAGGAGTACAGACATGTGAGATCGTTTGGGCTTCCCCTTCGGTTTTGGGTCGCCGTGTCTCTCCTTTCATATATATGCTTCTCCTTCCATCGGTTCTATGGAATCACTCGGATATCAGTGCCAGTCGAACGGAGCAGGTTGAACTGGGGTTCCATAGATGCTGGGAACGCGCAAGGGGAGACTCTCAAGTTGGCAATCCCATTTTTCGATGCTGGGAATACACCTGCTGCGTCGTTGCAGGATCCCACTCGCCAGCGTTTGTTGTCATAGCACTCCTACCACCACCAGCAGCGGGCGGATTTTCGTGTAAAAGGTTATCCGAAGATCGCATGTCAGAAGCACCAGTGTGCCCGAAATCCATTAATCCGGGATCAAACTCCCCATCATCGCCACCCATTCCACTACCGATTCCGCCATAGTCACCCATGACGGGATCCATGTTATACATGTCGTTCTCATCCAACATAAATGCCCCACCGTCGTTGAAGCCGAATTCGGCCATTGTCCATGGGAATTGGAATTGCTCGCCGCATTCACCTGGGAATTCACCCATATTGACGGGCGAATAACCCAGATCGATCGTCGCGGGCACAATAACGCCGGGTATTTCGGGATGGCTGGTCAGTTCTTCGTCGTCTTCTTCATCTTCTAGGTCCTCTTCGTCTGGAAAACGCGATTGGTAGGGTTCACCGTTTCCTCTGGTATTCGTGTTCTCGGTTTCTTCAGCCTGTTGACTGAGGACTGAGCTCTCTCGCGAACTCTCTAGGCTGTCGTTCGCCACAGCGACAGGCACAGCTTGCATCCCCAACGTCCTTGCCGTCCCGATCTGACTGTTTGTGATCATGAGCCCGACAAGGAAGCAAGCAGAATCCGCGATTGGCCAGATATCTCTCAAGCTCAACAACGCTCGCACACATTGATGAAATTGATGGCCTGGAAGGTCACCCAAAGACTTTCCGGTCGATTTAATCTCAACGAGGAACGATGCGATCGCAGGTAACATGAATGCAACGGAGATTGGAGGAAGGAAGCGCACCAAATCCTGCTCGCGTAATGACTGTACCAGTTCCGACATGCGCTCTGCGGCTTCTTTAACTCGTGGTCGAGGGACTTTCTGGAGAATATTGCTCAGCGAGATCGACGGGTCCTTGGCCAATGTCGTCGGTCTGTGCAGTGCCTCCAACGCCATCCAGAACATCATGCTCAGCACGGATCTGTGAAGATGCAGAAATATTTCGCTGGGTTGTTGGCCGACATTGTAATTCGTGATTTGACAATTAGGTGGTAATGTCCGTTGCCAAAGGTCGAGTTCATTCTGTAGTTCGAGGACATCTTTCACTTCAATGTTGGATTTCTTGGGCGAATAGAGCATGATGGAATCCGCTGTTGTCCCGGCAAAACCTTGCAGCACGTAGAGTTTCCGGATGACGCGACCAATGATGGATAAGATCTTGATCTTGGATATGCACATTTCGGCAAGCGCCACTCTAGTGGTTCTACTCGCGAAGAAGGCGCAATCTCGAACCGCAGTGATGGAAGTATGGATTGGGTCCAATTCGAAATCGTCCATCGTCAACATCGGTAGCAGGTGAGCCTCGTCCTTTAACCGCATCGGTTTCCGCATTGAAATCGCCATGACTCGATCTCGTATATAACAGGACCAGAATATTCGCTTCCAGAGTTTCGCCGTTCGTGCATCCTTCTTCGCGATTGTGGAGCGCTGGTTTAATCCACAGGTGGTGGCAAGAGAGATGGCGGAACCCAGCCAATACCAAGGGTCCTTCAGATCATTTTCTGCCACGTACCAGTACGCTTGAAGCAAGATGGCTTGTATCGTCGTCGGCCGGTCTGCTTCCCAGTCAAAGTCGGATAGAAGCTGGATTAGAATGATTAGAATGGAACGCGATCAGAAAGTCCACAAGAGAATTTACCTTTACCTTGTTATGGAAATGCGCGCGTGCGGCACGTCGATCAGCAAATCCAGCCATAATCAAGAATTGCAAGTCCACAAATGCGGTACCGGCGAACATGACAGCCTGGAAAAGCAGGAGACTAATTCGCGTGCCGCCATTACCATCCAGAGCATCAAGGAACTCTTGAAGATCGACGACAGGGAGAAATGGATAGACGTAGAGAATAAATGCACGGAGCAATTGATCTCGAAGCTCATCATCCGGTATCGAGAGGGCTCCACGCCGATACAACAGCTCGAGATCATCGGCGCTGAGCTCACGTGAGGCTGGTCGGATGTATGATGGAAGATTGGGAATTGAGAGTGGTGCCTGGACAGACGCTGGTGTTCCTGTGGTGCCACGGCGACTGGAAGCTGGACCCGTCAAATTCAGCACCGGTGTGAAGGCGGGTGGCGATTGAAATTGATTGCTTGGGTTGAGATGTAAATTCGGTGAACCCTGGTCTTTGAGACAAGCGTGTTAGAATGTCGATTCATATCGATAGGGACTCAGGAAATACTTTACCATGACCTGATTGACTACGAGGGGCCGGAGACGGCATAGGTAATGGAGCTGGTGGCGAGAAGGCATGATGAGTGGATTGGGGGGTCGGCGCCGAGGGACCTTGTTGGGTTTGAGGAAGTAGAGGGATTGAAGTGGTACGATTGAGTAGTCGTTTCTGAAGACGATACTTCCTGCTTCGCCTCGACTCGGTGATGACACAGTCAATCCCGTCGACACTGCAATTATGACATGGAGTGCCAGATTTAACGAGGTCGCATTTGACTTTGCGAGTTCGACAATGGTGACAGGCCTGGGATGCGCGCTTCTTCACTGGTCGTTCAGGCTTTTGGCCAGTAGTTGGGGATGGTTCGTCCAATCCCATGACAGAGACGGGCCTTTGAGAGAGGCGTATATAACTAGATATACGGCGAACCGTGTATAGCCGGGGTCTTGGAGACGACGACTCAAAGAGCCTGACAGTGAATGGAATGTCAAGCGACGTTGATGATGAGACTCTGAGCTTGATACGGGGGAAACGACGAGCCGAGGTTCAATTCCAAGATGGGAAGCCTTGGCCAAATCAAGATCCTGACCCCGTTGAGGATGGGAAATGAAATCAATCATCACATTATTGGGATCAGAAAAAGAATATCATCATTAGACGGGATCGGAGCAGATATGCGTCGTTGCGGTCCCAAATCCCCCCACTGGCATGCTTTGGTAAGATCAATCAAACTTTGGCGGAGAAGATCGGGGCAATGTTGGTTGGTAAGTACCAAGGATGGCAAAAAACGGCAAGGTCAGAAATTATATTCTGACGAGTGCATCAGACCAATGATGTTGTTATTAAACCTCGCCAATTGCACCATCGGGGTAAGCTACATGGGCGTCAGAGCAACTAACTGTTCATCTAGGTTTCTAATTCATGACTTTGGCTCTATGATGGTATGTATATCTAAGATGACTGCCACACTATGCTAAACACTGAGGTGTATCTGGCGAATCTTCAATTACATATCATGCAGGCGGCCAATTGCAAACCATAACCCAGCTAGGAACCCCTCCACCCTCCCCTTGCTTCTGACCCTGAGGAAAGGACTCAATATACCGCACGACACGGAACCCAAAATACTGATAAACATCTCTGGCGCGCGTATTCGCGGCCGTCAACCAGAGCGGCACGCCCTCCTCTTTGGCCCTCGCGACAAAAGGCTCAATCACCGCCCTGACCGCCCCTCTATCCTTCCTGTCCGGATCCCTCGCCATGAGCGACAGACTCCAGTATTTCGTCTCTGGGCCGAGTATCTCGATCCGCGCGCTTTGAATGTCGCGCGTAAATTGTGCAAAGGTAGGTCGTTGCTGCGCTATCACTTCTAGCTCTTCGGTTGTGAGTAGAGATGGTGTTGCAGAGGGTGGTTCCCAGCATGCGACGGCAGCGAAGTTAGCAGCTTCCACAATCAAGGACCCCAGATTGACTTTGCGCTCGATGCGACCCTCGCACGCTTTGCGGACGAGTGCTGCTGTCACCGACATGACGCTTGGGTCTTTGTCTTGCTCAAACATGATGATCAAGGGGTCTTGTACCGACGCTCGTGCGTAGATGTCTGCGAGTCGGTATCGGTAGTCCGCTGAAGTTGATATCGTCGTGCTGGGTGGTATGTATGGTGTCTGTTGGCCTGAGGTCGCGTTTTGGCCATTGTTTACGGAACTGGTCGAGATGTTCTCGCTGGTCAATGTTGCAGACTCCATTTTAGGAGAGAATTCAGTATGACCTCGCTCGCGTGATCATGAACCATCCAGTCGAAACAGTTCAGCATCCCAAGCTTAAGGAGCTGCTGCGCGACAAATTGCACTAAGGCTGTGGGAGATTGTCGCACGATTTTAGAAAATCCAAACCTCACGAAGGGCAATTTGAATGTTCACTGAATGTGAAAGATACCTGCACTGAGCGAACGGCTGGACGTGGGAGATCTCAAGCGTATCATGGCATTTTGCAGTATCTAGGCATCGAAGTGTAGATGGATTATGACTCAGTCCTTTTGAAGTTGCATTCAGCGCGATAACCATTTCCCTAGTCGTAGTGCAGATCTCCATCCGATATATCCGATCGGTTTTCGCCATCTGATTTCGGGCTGACCATTGAAAATCTTTGATACAGCAAAGAATCACCCTTCATTGTGATATCACTCCTCGATGCGTATGTCCTCAACTATCACACATTACTCTGGTCCGTCGCAGACATCGTTTCAGCCACTGAGCTACATTCCCAGGTGTCTGGTCTGACCATAACATATTGCATGCCCCCACGACGACCTGAGAAACGAGTGGTCATACTAACACTGGCTATGGCTGTGGATCCTTCACGGATACCTTCACACAGGGCGCCGACATCAAAACACTTTCAGCCCACGGGCGAGATTTCCAGATGGGAGCCACATGCATACAACCCGTTTCTGATGTTCTGGGTACCGCTAAGGACCCCGTCCTTGTTCGTACAACAGTCAATGACAGTCTGCGCAGCGGCAATGACAGTCTGCGCAGCGGCAATGACAGTCTGCGCAGCGGCAATGACTTCAAGATACGTGATGGACCTTTCACAGTAGTCTGGCCACCAATCGACGTCGTAGATGACTTTGATACTGCAGTTTCCCGAGACCTGATTCGTGGATTTGTAGTCAGCTTTGGGAATGAAAGAAGATGGCAGGATCCTCACCAGGCTCAATGCCTCTGCGCCTATATAGCTGCCGTCAAGAGATATATATGGAACATACTCAAAATCTGAATTAATGGCTCCATTCTTCGTCATCTTGGCTAGCGCGCTGAAGCAATCGGACACCATTGACGGTCCTCCACCCTGGTTACAACTGGTGTAGTTCTTGTCCACCGACGCGATATTCCCAGAACCGCCATCCACATTTTTAAGGCTCCAAAATTTACCGTAGTCGGACGGTATATCAAGAGGGAGAGACAAATTCTTGCTTGCGGCCAGCTCATTCTGCAGGGGTTCCATGGTACGGCATTCCGTCTCTACGAAGATAGTTTCGCCCGCCACCACATTCTGCAACCCCGAGGCATTGGAAGTTGATGGGGCCTCCTGGATCTCGGAACCACAAAAGTTATTAATAGTTCGCTTCGTTGTAGAACAGTCTTCGCCGGACGTTCTCGATCCACAAATTTCTCAGAAGATAGGCGAGAAAGCCCAGTATCCAGAGGTCTGATTGGCAGGAATGATCGTGTTTCCCGGGGCTGCAGCAATCGCCACAGGAGCTGGAGATTGATTGAATCCACCCGTAGACTTGGTCATTAGTCAACTACCGATGATATATGAAGGAGCTAGCAGTAGGATGTGGTACTCACACCAATATTCAGTACTCCAAGGGTAGCAGGATCTCGAGTGAGCCTAGGATCTCCAATGTAAAATTGTGTTTTCCCAGGTGTAAAATTAAAAGTTCCAGTGCCATCGAAACTTCCCTGATTCATCCATGGCTGAGGTCTCCCGTAGTAAAAGCGGGTCCGAACTTGACAGAAGCTGTCGCACGAGTTGTTCTGGCCCGTTGTGCTAGTTACGCATTCACCATTCGGGGTCAATTTGTTGGTTGGAGGACACACATCGTCAAGATATATATTGTTGGCGCCAATAGATACATTTGGATCACCCCAGTGGCATTTTTACTGTGCTGCAGTGGTTAGTTGCAGCGACATTGCGACAAAGAAGATTGGGAGAAGCATGAATGGAAAAAGGAAGGTGGAGATGAAGAGCGCTGAAGGAGACTGTCTGATATCGACCCACGTATGAGAAAGAGCTCATGTACTTAGATAGCGAGGTTTGACAGAAATCTCGCTGAGTTTTAGAGCTCGAAAGTGCCGTAAGACTCAAACTCAGAGAGGAGAGTGGTACTGTCCGAAACAAAGGGTATTGTTGAACGTGCCTACCTGGGTTGGTGAATGGGGGGGATTCCAAAGCCGGAACTGGTTCACCGCAAGCGGCTGCTCGAAAGATCAGGATACGAGAAGGATGCTCCTCAACTTGAATCGAAACATCTGGTACACGTTGAAACGATGCAAGGCAAACTTGAATATGAAAGACTCGGAGAGGTGAATCCAGAGTTCGGGTAAAAGTCAGGGAGAATTGTGCTCCATCCCAGTAAGGAAAGATTTCCGCAGATGGCCGCCTAATCAGGATATCTAGCCGATATGGTCAAAAGTGCAGAAAACATTCATGCAAACTGGCAATAGCCAGGCTTGCTTACCATCTTCTCATATCAACACCTCAAGCGCGCACATATACTGCATATTGAGCTAAATGCGGAGCGAATGGTTGGAGGGAAAGCGCTGATCGGTTTCGGCTGGCCCTCGTAGACTTGGTATGTAACTAATGAGTCGAGACAGTGAAGAACAGCAGTCATGTCACAATAGTTAGCAATCACCTCATCAGCAATACCCAAATCCAGCGAAATAGTGTGAGATATATCGTGATGCTGCCTCTGGAAACAGCCACAATAATCATCACCATGAGTCTCTCCAGCCTATCCTGTCAAACAGCCAGCCCTCCGAGGCTCCATCGCCCTTCCGATGGCTAACTGAGATAGCCCCTGAGTTGACTAGGGATAGCCATGCCCACATCTAGTTCCTGCACCAAGACCATAAATCGCATAATCGACATCACACCTAGTTCGGTTTAGGATGAGGCTAAGCGAATTCTAGATGACAGCCACAGTATCCAGGCTCCCTGATTGTCTGCCTGCCTCCAATAATCCCATCATCATCCATACAATTATCCATGACGGTCTGTGCCGCAGCGAGAACTTCGAGATACGAGACCTTGTTTTTGCAATCGATGTCACCACTCTTGGGCCAATCCTCATCGTAGATGACTCTGATACTGCAGCTATTGTACCCCTAAGTCGTGGATCAGCAAGTCAACATGAAAATGCCCTGAAGTGGACTTGATATTCTCACCGAATTGAAAGCCTCTGTACCGTTGAGACTAGTGGCATTCGACGGGAGGTATCGATGATCCGGATCTGCGTTGGTCGCCGGCATCCCTTTCATGGTCAAGCCGCTCAGTACCACGATACAGTCGTGAGCTATCGGTGTACCCCTAGCCAGCTCGCAACTCGTGTGTGTGGTATTGGTTGAGGCTACACGGGCTTTTGATGTTTCGAGCCAAATTCTAGTATAATCATCTTGGAGATCGGTAGCTAAGGATACGTCGTGCGTGCCCTGGAATTTCCAATTATTGGAAGGCCTGTATGTAGCACAGTCTGTCTCCACGAACGTGATCTCTCCCGACAGTTGATTCTGCAAACCCCAAGGACTGAATCCTGGGGCTTTTTGAACCTCAAGGCCACAGAAGTTGTGAACAGTCTGTGTGGTTGTCTTGTTGGAGCAGTCTTTACCAAAGATTCTCGTCCCACAGACCTCTCGAAAAATGGGAACGAACGCCCAATATCCACAAGTTCGGGATGCAGGGTTCAACGTACGTTCCTCTGGAGATGTGGCAACTCCCATCCAGGCCATATGTAGATGGAACCCGTCCGTAGCCTTGGTAAAGAGTCAAACACTATCAAAACGTGCAGATAAACGTAAAAGTGGGTCTAGGACTTACACCACGGTTCAATACGCCAGCCTGAGAAACTTCTATACTGAGCCTGGGGTCTCCGAGATAGTATTGTGATCTTCCAGGTTTGAAGGCGAAAGGCCCAGTCCCATTCCAATACCCTTGAGATAGATATGGCTGATGAGTGCCATAATAGAACATGGTTCGGATTTGGCAAAAGCTATCGCAGGCATTGTCGTAGTTGAGTCCTGCATATGTGCATGTACCATCATTGTTCAATGGGTTGTTTGGAGGACATATATTCCTATCGTAAGTTTGATTCAAGCCGACTGCTGGATCACCCCAATGACACTTTTTCTGTGTAGCTGCCGTAAACCGCAGTGTTACCGCGATGATGAAGGTTGGGAGGAACATGAAGAGCAAGAGGAATTAGCGATGTCTAGAGTTGTAAAGGTACTGTCTCTCCAGTATCTCAAAATATTGAAAGGGCTTCTCCTGCTAAAACAGAATTTTGTAGACGGTCTGAAAGCCGCAAATGACTCCTGAAGCTCGAGACATTCATGAGCATCGAATGCTAAGATGACTCCACACCTAAGATTCTCCGACATATCAAGAAGACCATGTGAATGGTTGAGCTCCCAAGTCCACTCTGCATGTGTCAAGACGAATTATGACTGATTTCAGGTTGGTTGATTTGCACGAAAGAGGTCTCCTTGATGAGTCGAGGGGGTGGGAATAACTTCCATGTCTCGTCACGCATGCGTGCGCGAACCAGGGTGATTAACTGCTCACCTTCAACCTAAGAACCCAGGCCCTGAAGCACCTGCAAACGCAAACGCAGGAAAGCGGATAAGTATAGACAAATTCACTTTCAACAGACCTGATCGGCGAATTGAGCTAGTGAGACATATAGGATCATTACTTCACTGTGGGTTGCAGTGCAGCTCATATTGCTGACGCGGATGAATGATTCATCTATGCATCTGGCAATGAAGCGTGTAACACTTGCTCACCAGCAGATTTACGAGGCATCAACACATACCGCGATGACTGTCTGAGCTCAATCGCGGCGACCAGTTGTTTTTATCCAAGGGCAGAGAGAATCGAAAAACTGCGGCAAAGTGCCAGAGCCTTGAACGTGTTTGCAGTGCCAAGAGGAAGAAGGAATGCTTCACTGTCTGCGGCAAGAGCTCATCGTGATGACCACCCTCATTGCAACATGATGAGTTTCGTCCATTGACGATTGTTCGAGCATGCTTCTTGATGTGCTATGCTGAAGCAAGCCAGTCGGTCAGTCAGGTGGTGAATTAATGCACGAGCCTCATGACTCAATACTGAATAATTCATAATAAGCAATTACGACCTCAGGATTTTTGACTCAACTTCGAATGAGGATATCAACGTAACACAGGATATCGGTCGACAATGACGATTGTGCTGACCAAGTGAACGGGTCAGCATTTGTCACGCCTTTCTCGCGCGAGAGGCATTCTTGTTCCAACACCAGATCTCGAGATCAAAGGCCAACCCTATCAATTTCACCTGGAACCCTCAGTGCAACGGTAGTTCCTGGATGGTCATCGGTTCTCGTAACTTGTCAAAAGCTACTTTAACGAGATTGAAGCCATCCTCGCCAATCTTGAATGATGCATACTCTATTGGAATGGACTTTTGATCCAATGCAGAAGACGAATCTTCAATCTTCAGACACTTGATGACGACTGCCATTTGACACACTACTGCGACAAGATCGATGTGTGCTAGACAGGCTCCGCATCCCATGTTCTAACGATGTTCTGGTTTCCGGAAGCACCTCCACCCGACGGCAACGACATTATCCAACGGTTGTGTATTCGTTTTGTACTCTCATACCATTTCGTATTCCTATGTGCATAAGGGGTGTTGGTTGTACGGATACTGCTTCATATGATACCCCGTAGGTGACGAATAGCCAACCACAGGAACTCAATGTACAAACCCATTTAGGTATGGCCGATAGGGACCAATAGCGACAAGTGTCAACTTTAAAGAGTCGATAGTGGGTTCAAGGTCCACAGGAACGCCTTTGCAGTTTGCACCTACTTCGTATTTACCTGGTAAAACAAACAATGGACAGACTCCAGTGATCGATCAATGGATGGTGATCCCACAAGTTGCGAACTCATGAGCTGCGAGGTACGGTATCCACCAGTCTCGAATTGCTCACGGAGAAAAGACTCCGCATCAACGGAACATAAATTGATCATCGCAAAGTACGAGGTAGTGCGCCGAGAAAGATCCAGCGTGCATAACGCGAACCAAAACAGTCACACACTAGACATAAATCGGAATATGGACGGAACCATGCTCCGATGGAAGTGGACGAAATGAGTATTGTGCATCGCTGTTCGCTTAGGGTATGACCTTGTCAAACTCCATGTCAATACACAAAAGAAGCAAAAGGCGCCGAT